CTCGCAATACTACGCGCCACTTGGAGTATAGATTCACCGCCTGCGCCTGCCCCCTGCGTGCCGAGCTGCAGTGCTCTCGCCCACATCGAGCCCGCCACTCGCCCTCCAGGAGGCGGCCGCGACGAGTTGTCGCCCCCATCTCGCACGCGTCCCTCCCCCTCCCATCTCGCTCGCCTCGCCCTCGCGCCCACCATCGCCAGGATCCACCCCAGTCCCGTGAGCCGTCACTGACCCACCCCCTCGTCGCCCACAGCGCGCCGATGAGCTCCTCTCGGTCGGCCAGCCGCTCGCGGCCCTGTCGTCCATCTCCGAGGTCTTCTCGAGCCGCCGGTTCCGCATGACGCCCCTCTCGGTCCTCGAGCCCATCATGCTCAAGTTCCTCGAGCTGTGCGTCGACCTGCGCAAGGGCCGCACCGCAAAGGACGGCCTCATCCTGTACAAGAACGTGGCCCAGAACACGTCGGTCCAGTCGGTCGAGGTCACGATCCAGAAGCTCCTCGACCTGTCGCGCGCCAAGCTCCAAGACGCCCTCGCAAAGGTCAACGAGATCGAGGGCGCCCCCGCCGACGGCGACCTCGACGACCTCGAGGCGACCGAGACGCCCGAGAGCCTCCTCCTGTCGGCCGTGTCCGAGGAAAAGACGCGCGACCGCACGTACCGCACCCTCGTCACGCCCTGGCTCCGGTTCCTGTGGGAGTCGTACCGCACCGCGCTCGACATCCTGCGCAACAACGCCCGCCTCGAGGTCCTGTACCAGACCGTCTGCCACGAGGCGTTCCAGTTCTGCCTCGAGCACCAGCGCAAGACCGAGTTCCGCCGCCTGTGCGAGACCCTGCGCTCGCACCTCGCGTCGTCGCAAAAGTACACGCACCAGTCGCACTCGATCAACCTCAACGAGCCCGACACGCTCCAGCGCCACCTCGACACGCGCTTCCAGCAGCTCAACACGGCCGTCGAGCTCGAGCTGTGGCAAGAGGCGTTCCGCACCGCCGAGGACATCCACACCCTCGTCGGCATGAGCAAGCGCGCGCCCAAGGCGTCCGTCATGGCGTCGTTCTACGACAAGATGGCCAAGGTCTTTGCCGTCGGCAACAACTTCCTGTTCCACGCCGCCGCGTACGGCAAGCTGTACTCGCTCCACGCCGCCCGCGTCGCCCTCACCGGCGGCGCCGACGGCACCGACGCCGAGCTCGACAAGATGGCGAGCCGCGTCCTCCTCGCCGCGCTCGCCGTCCCGCTCGGGTCGGGCGTCGAGTCGGCCAAGCGCGTCGACGGCACCGACGAGGGCGAGGGCAAGGGCCGCCTGAACCGCCTCGCGTCGCTCATCGGCCTCGGTGCGGCGCCGACCCGCGGCGGGCTCCTCAACGACGCCCTCGCGCGCCACGTCCTCAAGCGCGTCTCGCCCGAGCTGCGCGACCTGTACCACACGCTCGAGGTCGACTTCAACCCGCTGTCGATCACGCGCAAGATCGAGCCCATCCTCGCCGAGCTCGACAAGAACCCCGACACGGCGCGGTACGTCGCCCCGCTCAAGGACGTCGTCCTCGCGCGCCTGTTCCACCAGCTCGCCCAGGTGTACGCGTCGCTCAAGATTGACCGCGTCGTGCGCCTCGCGCGCTTCTCGTCCGACGCCGACGCGGCCTCGACCCGGCTCCGCGTCGAGCGCTACGTGACCGAGGCGTGCCGCCGCGGCGACGTCGACGTGACGCTCGACCACGCCTCGGGCTCGATCAAGTTCACCGAGGACCTGTTTGGCGACGAGGCGTCGACGGCGTCCAACGCGCACGACGCGCTCCAGCCGTCCCAGTCGGCGCTCCTGCGCACCCACCTCGCGCGCCTCGCGTCGACCCTGCACGACACGCTGCAGCGCGTCGGCTCGCCCGCCGCGACGACCGACGGCCCCGTCGCCGCGCGCGCCGCCGCGTTCGAGAACCTGTCGAGCGCCGTCGCCGACGAGCGCGAGACGGCGCTCGCGCGCGTCCAGATCATCCAGCGCCGCAAGGAGCTCGCCGACGAGCAGGCGGCGCGCAAGGACAAGGAGGAGCAGCACCTGCGCACGCTCAGGGCGCAGCAGCTCGCCGACGAGGAGCAGCAGCGCCAGAAGGACGAGCTCAAGAAGCGCGAGCTCGAGCGCATCCGCAAGGAGGTCGAGAAGGTCAAGGCCGACGAGGCCAAGAAGGTGGCCGAGAGCCTCATCCAGGGCGGCCTCAAGGTCGACATGCAGGTCCGTCCCGCCTCTCCCGTCCCTCCCTCTCTCTCTCGTCCCAAGCGCCTACTGACTCTTCTCTGCCCGCTCCCGCAGAAACTGCCCGAGCTGTCGGCCGGCGACCTCGTCCAGCTCCAGGTGCAGCAGATCGAGAAGGACAAGAAGTCGCTCGCGCAGAAGCTCGCGACGGCGTACAAGCGCCTCGACCACCTCGAGCGCGCGTTCCGCAAGGAGGAGATCCCGCTCATCGCCGAGGACTACCAGCGCCAGCAGACGCGCGACCGCGAGGCGTTCGAGGCGGCCCAGGTCATGCGCGCCGAGCAGTCGCAGCGCGAGCACGCCCAAGGGCTCGCCATCAAGCAGAGCCTGCAGCGCATCCTCCCCGACTACGAGGCGTTCCGTGCCCGTGCCGAGAAGGAGAGCCGCGCCGCGTTCGAGCGCGAGCAGGAGCGCCTCAAGGAGCAGCTCGAGGAGGCCAAGGCCGAGCGCCGCCGCGCGCACCTCGACAAGCTCGAGCAGGAGCGCCAGGCCGCCATCCAGCGTGAGAAGGACGAGGCCGAGCGTGCCGAGCGCGAGGCGGGTGCGTCCCAACTCTTTCCTCCTCTCGTTTCCCCTCGACTCGCACGAGCCCGTCCCTGACATCCGTCTCTTCTTCTCCGTCCCGCAGAGGAGGCTCGCTACCGCGAGGAGCAGGAGGCGCGCGAGGCCGAGGAGCGCGAGCGCATCGAGGAGCGTCGCCGCGCCGCCGACGAGCAGGCCAAGGCTGCGGCCGCCGCCCGCCTCGCCGAGCGCAAGGCCGAGCAGGACGCCATTATGGCCAAGGCGCGCCAGCAGGCTCAGCGCGAGGAGGAGGCGCTCGCTCGCCGTGCTGGCGGCGGCGCTGCTGCCCGTCCGGCCGGCGCTGCCGCAGCCGCCGCCACGCCGGCCCCGATCGGCTCGGCAGAGTGGCGCCGTCAGCGCGACGCCGCCGCCGCCCCGCCGTCCGGTGCCGCCCCGCCGTCGAGCGAGCGCCCGCGCTTCCAGCTGCAGCCTCGCTCGAGCGAGACCGGCGCGTCGTCGCCGTCGGGCGAGCGCCCGCGCCTCAACCTCGCGCCGCGGTCGTCGCCTCGCGCCGAGGCTCCCCCTGCCCCGGCCGCCGCTGCCGCCGCGTCGCCCGCGCCCGAGCGCCCCTCGTCGACCGGCCCCGGCGGCCGCTGGGTCCCGCCCTCGCAGCGTGGCGGCGCCGCGTCGCCCGCTCCGGCCGCGTCGTCGCCCGACAGCTCGCGCCCGTCGACGCCCGGCGCCGCGCAGCCCCAGGGCGCGCCGGCTCCCGCTGCGGGTGCCGGCGGCAAGTGGGTGCCGCCGAGTCGTCGCCAGGGTGCGCCCGGTGCCGGTGCGGGCGGTGAGCGCCCCGCTGGCAGCAGGTGGTGAGCGGAGCGAGCGGGGAGGCGGGACCAGACCAAAAAGCGCGAGCTCGGCGGTAGCGGTGGGAGACGTAGACCTTGGATAGCTGTGCAGAGCAATTGAGTGATTGCTCGTCCCTGTGCGTCCCTCACCGAGAGAGAGGAGCGAGGCGGTGCACCCGAGGACGAGCTCGAGCGGAGAGTCGGCGCCTCGGCTCGTCGACCACTCCCACCTCGCACCCGGCTTGCGAGCGATGGACGGCGACAAGCAGAGCAACCGTGCCCACAGGCCGGCCAAAGCCCCGAAGCAGGGGCCGGGCAAGGGCAACAACCCCAAGGTCCGCCTCCTCATCTCCCTCTCGCGCGGTCGACAGGCCCTCGCTCCTCCCACACCGCACCGCTGACCACGAGGACCCACCCACACAGGCCTTTATCAGCTCGTCCTTCCGCAGGGCCGAGAAGCAGGCGCGCAGGAATGTCGAGAAGGACCAGACCCGCCTCCATGTCCCCGCCGTCGACCGCACCTTCAACGGCACGGCCGGCCAGGGCGGCAAGGGCGTCGAGCAGGAGATCCCGCCCGTCATCGTCGCCGTCATGGGCCCTTCGGGTGTGCGTCCCCCCTCTTTTCGCTCGTGGCCCCTCTCGTCGACCGCGAACCCTCGCAGCTGCTGACCTCGCTCCGCCTCTGCAGGTCGGCAAGACGACCCTGATCCGGTCTCTCGTGCGTCGCTACACCAAGAACACCATGGTCGACATCAAGGGCCCCGTCACGGTCGTCTCGGGTGCGTCCCCTCTTCGCCGGTGCCACTCGTTGCGAGCGGGAACTGACCCTCCTCGTTTCGTTCTCTTTCTGCAGGCAAGACTCGCCGGCTCACCTTCATCGAGGTCCCGAACGACCTGAGCGCCATGATCGACACGGCCAAGGTCGCCGACCTCGTACTCCTCATGATTGACGGCAGCTTTGGCCTCGAGATGGTCCGTCCCACCCCTTCTCGCCCCCTCGCCCCCCCTCTCTCGCCCATATTGACGCACCTCGTTCGCCTGCAGGAAACTTTCGAGGCGCTCTCGGCGCTCTCGTCGCACGGCATGCCCAAGCTCATGGCCGTTCTCACGCACCTCGACCTCGTCAAGACCCCTGCGGCGCTCAAGGCGCAGAAGAAGCGGCTCAAGAAGCGCTTCTGGACCGAGGTCTACGACGGCGCCAAGATGTTCTACTTGTCGGGCGTCATGAACGGCCGTTACCCGGACCGCGAGATCCTCAACCTCAGCCGGTGCGTCCCCCTCCTCCTCCTCGCCATCTCCCTTAGAGGCGTCCTGACCTCGTCCCGCCGCACAGCTTCATCTCGGTCGCCAAGTTCCGCCCTCTCGCGTTCCGCAACAGCCACTCGTACTTCCTCACCGACCGGTTCGAGGACCTCACCTCGCGCGAGATCGTCCGCAAGGACCCCAAGGCCGACCGCACCATCGCCCTGTTCGGCTACCTGCGCGGCGTCCCGTTGCGCCCTCCCGGCGCGAGCAACTCGGTCCGGGTCCACATCCCGGGCTGCGGCGTCGACGCCCTCGAGGTGTCGCGCATGCTCGAGCTCATCGACCCGTGCCCGCTCCCGACCAACGACTCGGAGAAGCGCCGCCGCATGGGCGACCGCAACAAGGTCGCCTACGCGCCCATGAGCGGCGGCAGCGGCCAGGGCGTCACGTGGGACGGCGAGCGCGTGTGGATCAACACAGGCGGCACCTTTTCGCGCCGGCGCGAGGAGGAGGGCGAGGGCGACGACGACGCGAGCGCGATCGACGGCGGCGACGGCATCAAGATGGTCATGGGCCTGCAGGACGCCGACGAGACGCTCGCCGAGAGCGTCGCCAAGAGCCAGATCCGCATCTTTGGCTCGTCCAAGCCCATGACGGCCGCCGAGTACCACGACCAGCAGCAGCAGCAGCAGCAGTCGGCAGCACCTGTCGACGGTCCCGCCGTCAAGCGTCAGCGCCGCGCAGCGTTCGACGACGCCGTCGGCGACCACGACCCGGCCGAGTACGACGGCTTGAGCGACGAGGACGACCAGGTCGGCGAGGCCGACTTTGACACGGACGACGAGGCGCCGCTCGACGACGACGAGGCGCACAACGGCGAGCTCGCGTTCGAGAAGGGCGGCAAGGGCACGTCGGGCCGCAAGCGGCGAGCGAGCGCCGGCGCCGGTCCTCGCTCCGAGGAGATCGCCTACGCCGAGTCGGACTCGGACCTCGACCTCGGCCTCGACGACGACGACGACGTCGTCGGCGGCAAGGGCGCCCGCCTGCTCGACTTTGACGACGAGGACGCCGGCGCCGACATCGCCTCGGACGACTCGGACGACGACCAGGGCCCCGAGTGGAAGAAGAACCTGTCGGCTCGGGCGGCGGCGACGATGCAGGTCGGCCGTCGCCGCAACCTGATGCGCCTCATCTACGCGTCGACGCTCACGCCGGCGCAGGTCGCCGCCGGCGAGACCGAGGACACGGTCGCGGCGCAGGAGGAGGCCCAAGCCCGTCGCGAGGCGCTCGGTCCCGACGGCGACGACGAGGACGAGGACGGCGACATCTTTAGCCTCGCGCGCGACGCGGCGTCGGGCGCCGACGAGGACCAGTTCCGGGCGCCCGTCAACCTCGCGAGCCTCGGCGTATGGGACGACGACGAGTTCCTCGACTCGATCCGCCACCTGTTCATCACTGGCGGCGACGCGCCGGCGGGCGAGAATGCGTACGAGGAGGCCGGCGGCGACTTCGAGGACCTCGAGGACGACGACGAGGGCGCCGCCAAGGCCAACGGCGCCGGCTCGGCGTTCCCGCCCGAGCTCGACGACCTCGACGACGACGAGCGCAAGGCGCGCGAGATCGCCGACAAGAAGGAGGCGCTCAAGCGCAAGTTCGACGCCGAGTACGACGACGACTCGGACGAGGACAAGCTCGACTTCTACGGCGAGCAGAAGGCCGAGATCGAGCGCAAGCTCAAGGCGACGCGCGACGAGTTTGCCGACGACGACGCCGAGACGCGCGCGCTCGTCGAGGGCTACCGCCCGGGCGCGTACGTGCGCCTCGAGATCTCGAACGTGCCGTGCGAGCTCGTCACCAACTTCAACCCGCGCACGCCCATGATCGTCGGTCACCTCCTCGCGCACGAGGAGTCGTTCGGCTACGTCCAAGTGCGCATCAAGAAGCACCGGTGGTACCCCAAGATCCTCAAGACGAACGACCCGCTCATCTTCTCGCTCGGCTGGCGCCGGTTCCAGACGGTCCCGATCTACTCGCTCGACGACGGCACGCGCAACCGCATGCTCAAGTACACGCCCGAGCACATGCACTGCCTCGCGACGTTCTACGGGCCCATCTCGGCGCCCAACACGGGCTTCTGCGCCTTTACGCGCCTGTCGCCCGAGACGCCGTCGTTCCGGGTGTCGGCGTCGGGCGTCGTCACCGACATCAACGGCACGACCCAGATCGTCAAGAAGCTCAAGCTCACGGGCACGCCGTACAAGATCTTCAAGAACACGGCGTTCGTCAAGGACATGTTCTCGTCGTCGCTCGAGGTGGCCAAGTTCGAGGGCGCGTACGTGCGCACCGTGTCGGGCATTCGCGGCCAGGTCAAGAAGGCGCTCGCCAAGCCCGAGGGCTGCTACCGCGCCGCGTTCGAGGACAAGGTCCTCATGAGCGACATCGTCTTCCTCCGAGCGTGGTATCAGATCAAGCCCCGCCAGTACTACAACGCCGTCGGCAACCTCCTCCTCCGCGACAAGACGGCCTGGACCGGCATGCGCCTCACGGGCGAGGTCCGTCGCGACCAGGGCGTCGCGCTCACGCAGGACGTCAACTCGCTGTACAAGGTGCGTCCCTCCCTTTCTCTCTCTCTCTCTCCCTCTCCTTCTCGTCGTACACCTCCTGACGTCCTCTCTGCCCCCTTGCGCAGCCCATCCACCGCGAGACGCGCCGGTTCAACACGCTCAAGGTGCCTCGCAAGCTCCAGTCGGCGTTGCCGTTCGCCTCGAAGCCCAAGATGCAGCCCAAGCAGCGCGAATCGACCTGTGCGCCCCGTCTCGCTCTCGTCCTCGTCCTTGTCGTCCCTGTTACTGACTCTGCGTGTCGTTCCCCTCCCTCCCTGACTCGCAGACCTGCAAAAGCGCGCCGTCGTCATGGACCCCGAGGAGAAGAAGGCGCTCTCGCTCCTGCAGCAGGTGCAGGCCATCTCGCGCGACAAGGAGTCGAAGCGCAAGGAGGCCAAGCAGGCCAACAAGGCCGAGCGCGCCAAGAAGCTCGCCAAGTGCGTCCTCGTCTTTCCCGCCCCGACGCGGCTCTGCCGCAGCCTGTCCTTGCGACCGACACTGACTTTGTCCTTTCCCCGACCTGCAGGGAGGACGCCAAGCGGGGCGAGCGCGAGAAGGAGGACAAGAAGGAGTTCTTCGCGAAGAAGGGCAGGGATGAGAAGCGCAAGGCCGAGGGAGGGCGGTACGCCAAGAAGCAGAAGCGCGAGTAGTGACCCTGTCGGTCGCCGTCCGGCGTGTTGTATTGTTCAGCTCGGTCACTCTCCTGTGCGACTGTCCCGTCTGGCTCGAGCGAGCGAAAGGGCAACTGAGAAGGCCTCGAGTCGAATCGGCTAGCGGCAGAGGGCAGCGTCGCTCTCACGCGCTCTCGCTTACCTCAAGCGACGGCCCACCGTTGAGGACTCGTCTCGATAGGTCGATCCCGCCTTGCATCGTCGAGAAAGAGCGAGGTTGTACAGCGAGAAATCGAGTCCCTCCTCCTCCACCTCCTCCTCAGCGCAAAGTCGAGCGGACACTCTCCCGGAATCGCCGCCGACCGCGGAACCTGATCTTGTCGACGTCTCGACGCTCTGTCCGAGCGCACCGTGCGCAGGAGAGACCGTCGACAGCCGGAAAGCGACCTCCCGCTTCGAGATTCTGATTCAAACTGGCGGCCCAACTACGTCGGATCGCCGCTGATTGGCTGCTTCTTATTCCTGAGCAGGCTTGCGACGGCTCACGGCGGTTCTCTCAGGCAGACGAGGCACTCTGTCGCTGTACAAGCTGTCACGTCCTCAGCTACAAAAGCTTCTGCTGCCGCAAGAACCCGAGCTGCTCGTCGACAAACGCTCGCGGCGCCTCCTCGGCAACCCAGTGAGATGCTCCCGCCACGCCCTCGCTCGCCATCACGTTCTCGACCCGCAGCGGGCACAGTGCGCAGGAGGCGCGAGGAGCGAAAGAGAGAGAGAGAGAGGGAGAGCGGGCTCGAGCGCAGCCTTGCCGTCGAGCTTCTCTCGCTAGCCGCTCTCGCTCGCGCGCGCATGCAGACTCGAGTGACTTGCAGATTCAACGGGGCCGGACAGGCGCTACAAAAGTACAGGGGAAGGGAACGAAGAGGGGAGCGACGACAGACGAGAGGGCATTGTGGCGAGTTTGTACGGTGGGGCGACGACGAGGCAGAAGGGGACGAGCTAGGGCAAGAGGGGAGGGAATACCTGAGGGTGCGCGGTATACTTGCACTGCCGACGGAAGGTGCAGAGAGGAGGGGAGAGAGAGAGGTCCGACGAGGAGCGAGCGCTCTAGGCCGAGTCCTGGAGCTCGTGCACGAGGTCCGACACCTCGGCGAGGAGGTCGTGCTTGAGCGACGCGATCTCGTCCTTGAGCTCCTCGATGTAGGCCTCGACCATGGAGGACTCGACGGCGTCGACCTCGCGGACGGCCTCCTCGGTGCGCCACTTGCCGCGCTTGGGCGCCGTGTGCGACGCCGGCGCCGTGTAGTTGTTGAACGAGAGGATGTCGGGCGAGCCGGCAGGGAGGTCCTGTGAAGCGGGGCCGGGCGCAAGGTCAGGAATGAGGTCGTGAGGGAAGGTAGAAGAGAGAGAGCGAGAGACGCACGTGGAGGACGCCCTTGGTCGCGACCTTGAGCATGGCCTTCTTGAGCGCCTTGGGCGACAGGATGTGGTTCTCGGGCTTGCCGACGAGGCCGCCCGCCTTGCCGAACGCAAACTGGCCGATCGCCTGAGCGAACGTCGGCTCGCGCTGCATCTCGAGAGCGAGAGCCTCCTCGAGCGCAGCCGACTTGGCCCACTCGGTACCGAGCATGTAGGCGGCGAGACCGGCAATATGCGGCGAGGCCATCCTGCAGACAGAGCGCGGTCAGGACCGAGTCGACAAGAGAGAGAGAGAGGGGGAGGAGGCGGGACGCACGAGGTGCCCGAGATGGTGTTGACCGAGCGGTTGCCCGAGTTCCAGATCGACAGGATGTTGAGGCCCGGCGCAAAGATGTCGACGCACTTGCCGTGGTTCGAGAAGTAGGCGCGCTCGTCGGCGATGGTCGACGCGCCGACCGTGATGGCGCCCTCGGCGGCGGCGGGCGAGTAGCCGCAAGCGTCGCGGTTGTCGTTACCGGCCTGTGACACGCAGGAGAAAGGTCAGTGACGGCCGAGAGAAGGAGAGAAGAGGCGGCGAGAGGAGCAAGAGACGCACAGCGACCGCAAAGTGGAGGCCGTCGTCGACGGCGGCGTTGACGGCGTCGTCGAGCGCCTGGCTCTTGCCGCCGCCGAGCGACATGTTGGCGACCGAGCCCTTGTGCTTGGGGTTCTTGCCCTGCGCCTTGAGGTCGGCGTTGGCGGCGGCCTGGTCGGCGGCCCACGCGACGCCGGCGACGACGTCGGCCATCGTGCCGGACCCGCCGGCGCCGAGGACTTTGACGGCGTACACGGTCGCCTTCTTGGCGACGCCGTACGTCTTGGACGCGATCGTGCCGGCGACGTGCGAGCCGTGGCCGTTGAGGTCCTCGTCCGGGTCGGTCGGGATCGTCTTGCCCCACTTGGCGCGACCCTCGAGCTCGATGTGCTTGGTGTTGACGCCGCTGCAGAGGGGGGGAGAGAGGGTTCTCGTGAGCTCTCGGGACGAGCGGCGCAAGGGAGAGGGGAGAGGGAGGGGACGCACGTGTCGATCACGTAGACGTCGACGCCCTCGCCGGCCTGCGACTCGTACTCGTAACGGTTGAAGGTGCCGAACGAGAGCGTGTTGCGGTGCGAGATGCGGGCGAGACCCTGCGAGGTGCGAGGAGGAGCGAGGAAGGAGGGACGAGGGATCGCGTGACCGGCAAGTCAGCCATCCGGCCCCACTCGGCAAGGGAGGACGAGGGAGAGAGAGGAGGACGCACCCAGGGCGCACCCTTCTCGACGTCCGAGGCGTGGACGATCGAGTCGCGCTCGACGTACTTGACGCCCTTCATGGCGCGGATGGCGTCGACGGTCGACTCGGAGAACGAGCCGGCGTAGCCCTTGAGCTCGTTCTTGCGCTGCTTGTGGGCGCGGTGACGGCGGCTCTTCTTGCCGCCGACGTGGAACTTGTGCTTGACGCCGTCGTGCGCGCCCTGGGCCTTGAGGCTGCGCAGGCGCTGGTCGGCGCGGTGGAGCGACTCGACGTGGGCGTGGTGCCGGTCGACCTCGTGGTCCTCGAGCGAGTCGTCGAGGACGATGATGTACGAGTCGCGGACGATGTGCGAGTTGGTGTGGGCGACGGCGTCATAGTCCGAGGTCGGCGGCGGGGGCGAGATAAGGGGCGACAGCTCGAAGGTGTCGGGGAGGAGGGCGGCGGCGCCAGGCGGGAATGGGGTGGCTGCGCCGCGCGTGGCGTAGTACAGCGCAGCAAAGACGGCCGAGGGGAGGGTGAGGGTGGTCTTCATCCTGGCGACGAGGGGCGAGGAATGAAGTGGTGGGGAGGAAGGAGAGAGGGGAGACCGACGAGGCCGCGTCCTCCTCCTCGTGGCGAAAGTGGGGCCGCCAGGCTCGCCATCTCGCTCCACTCGGACGACGCTCCCTGGGAGCGTGGGCAGCCGTACGACGCTCATCTTGACCCTGTCGACCCGCCCGATTCTCCCAGGGAGGCTTTCCTCGACTGCCGGCTCTCTGCTCGCGCCTCTTCCGAAGCTGCCGACGCCGGTCGCACCGCCTCGTCCGTCGCTCTCGCTCGCAATCGCTCTCGCAAGCATGGCCCGTACACGGCGATGATAATGCAGCTGTGTCGGGCGAGAACGAGCTCACACGAACGACTTGTGGAAGACGATGGCGTCGACGAACTCGTCGCTGCCCTCGAGGTTGCCCGCTCCGGGGATCAGGCCCGCCCGCATGAACCCGAGCGCGTCCCAGATCTTGACCGACGCGACGTTGTTGACGTACACGAGGTTGAACACGCTGCCGCGGTACCCGCACAGCGGCGCAAAGTGCAGGTACGACCGTCCGAGCGTCGACCCGATGCGCAACCCTCGGTGGACCGACGGCACGACAAAGCCGCCGTTGCACAGGTGCGACGAGCGACCTGGGTAGTTGGGCTGTAGGTGTTCGAGGGTGCAGGATCGTCAGGTCTGGGTTGTAGACGGGGCGGCTCGATCCGGCTCGACGAGGGCGCGGTCGTCGCACGAACCTTGACGTCTGCAGAGGTGGGCGCCGTCGAGATCAGCTCAGTAACACCGAGAGGAGGAAGACGATGAGAGAGCGGGACGCACAGTACATGCCCAAGACGCATTCCCGCCAGTCCCGCCCGGCAGCGACGCTCTCGAGCGTCAAGCCCTCGTCCCGGTCCAGCCCTGCCGACACGTCGCCGAGGTCTGCTGGAGCGGTGTCGAGCAGCCCGACGAAGCAGTCGGCGGCTGCAGAGCGTATGAACGGCGCGGGGTCGAGGTAGAGAGGGTCGGGGAGGGGAAGTGGGGGAAGGAGGAGAGGGTCAGGGAGGCGGACAACAGCTCGACAGAGGCGGACGCGAGCGGGACGCACCGAAGAAGTAGGCGCACTGTTGCACGAGGCCGGGGCCAGGCTGAGTATCAGTGCGCGCGGACAAGAGGAGGCAGAGAGCGAGGTCGAGGACGGGGTGGGAGCGGGACGCACGAACTCGTTGAGGGAGAGCTCGCTCATCTGCGGGTACGTCTTGCCCTCGCGCACGGTGTCGTTGAACGTGTCGCGCAGGAAGTGGACGAGCTGGTCGGGGACAGAGTCGCGTCGGACGGGGAAGACGGTGAGGCACGCGCCAGGTCGAGGGAGCGGGTACGACCGCGGGACGAGCTTGCCCTTGCGCTCTGGCGTCTGGATAGACCCGCCGTAGGGAGACATGGCTCGAGCTGGATGGTGTGGGAGGGAGAGAGCCGGCCGTCCAGGGCGGCGGCGGAGGAGAGCTGGCGACAGCGGGCGGCACTCACCCTGGGGCAAGCGGCCGATGGGCTGGAGCTACTGTCGAAAAGACGGCGAGTGGATTGCACCATGCAGTACGACCAGCCCGAGCCACCTGGGTGAGCCGCCTGAGCGATGAGGTACCTCTCAACTCCAGCTGGCTCAGCTCGACGTCCTCGCCACGGCCTCGTCCGATCGAGCAGCCAGTGTGTCGACATGCTCCTCGTCAAGAAGCACATCGAGCGCGACGGCAGCGGCTTTGTCACCCTCCGTCGTCAGTCCCCTCTCCTCTTCCGACCTGATCTCGCCTCGACTGTCGCCCTTGTTTCTCGGGGCAGGGCTACCATGGCGGCGCGACTACTTCTGAGCTCTACAGGGCACGGCGCAGGAGACAGCGCAGAGCCTGGATCACAGCTGACCCTCCCCTCCTCCCTCCCCGCCGCGCAGCACAAGACGATGAGGACATGTGGCACGCCTACAACCTCATCTCCAAGGGCGACGAGCTCCGAGGGTCTGCAGTCAGGTGCGCCCTGCGTCCCCGTCCACTCGCACGAACGGGCCCTGTACTTACCCTTAAACCTCGCTCGCAGGCGCATCACGAGCGAGAGCGCAACTGGCTCGACCTCGTCGCACCGCGTCCACCTTCGTCTGACGATCCAGGTCGAGAACGTCCTCTACTCAGCACTCGCCGCCTCGGCAGATGCCGCCGCCGCCGCCGCGTCCGACCCGTCCTCCTCCTCGGCTCCCTCTGCCGCCGCCGCGTCCGGCACAGCCGGCACGACGACGCTCCACGTCTCGGGAAAGATCACGAGCGAGAACGAGCACGTCAAGAAGGGCGCCTACCACACGCTCGACCTCGAGATCGGCCGCGACTTCAGCATCATCAAGGGCGAGGGCGAGTGGGACTCGGTCGCGCAGGAGCGGCTGCGCGAGATGACCGAGCCAGGGCGAGGCGCAGACGTTGGCGCCATCGTCTGTGGAGAAGGTGCGTCCCGCTTCCTCCCTCCCTCTCCTTCTCCTCTTGAGCCGGTAACGTCGGGCGCTCGAGCTCCTTGAGCTGAACCTCGCCGCCCGCAGGTCAAGCCAACATCTGCATCATCACGAACCACACGACGATCATCAAGCAGCGCATCGACGTGCCCGTGCCGAGGAAACGGAAAGGCGGCGGGACGGCGTTGGGCGCAGAGCGAGTGCGTCCCCCCTCCCTCCCTCCTTCCTGCCCGCCCTCAAGCCGACTCCTGAATTGTCGCACCCTGCAGGCGAGCGGCAAGTTCCTCAACCAGGTCTACGACGCGGCGACCCGCCACTTCAACTTTGACGAGCTCAAGGTCCTCATCATCGCGTCGCCCGGCTTCACCAAGGAGACCGTGCACTCGTTCTTGATCGAGGAGGCGGTGGTGCGTCCTCGCCCTCCTCTTCTCGCCCGAGCGTACGAGGTCCTGACCGTGAGGCACCCGCAGCGACAAGGCAACAAGGCGCTGCTGTCGGCCAAGAGCAAGTTCCTCCTCCTGCACTCGCCGACGCACCACGTCCACTCGCTCACTCAGATATTGTCAAGCCCTGAGGTGCGCCCTCTGTCCTCTCCCTCACGCTCGGCGCCGAGCGAGCCGACCCTGAGCGACCGCTCCTGCAGGTCTCGTCGCAGCTCAAGAACACCAAGTTCGCGCAAGAGGGCGTCATGCTCGAGAAGTGCGTCGTCTTGCCCTCTCTCCAGCCCTACATCGAGCGGGCACCTCACCTTCTCTCTCCTTCCTGCGCAGGTTCTTCAAGATGCTGGACGAGAACCCGCTGCGAGCGTGGTACGGCGAGGGCCACGTCCTGCGGGCGGCCGAGCGTGGCGCCATCAGCAAGCTCCTCGTCTCGGACGAGCTCTTCCGGTGCGTCCCTTCAGTCCTTTCGCGCCCTCCTCGGTCCGTCTCGACGTCGACGGTCCGACTCTGACGAGGACTTGCTCGAGCAGAGCGCCGTCGGTCGCGCGCCGCCGCATGTTCGTCAAGCTCGTCGAGGACGTCAAGGCGTACGGCGGCGAGGTGCTCATGTTCTCGTCGATGCACGAGTCGGGTCAACGTGGGTCCTCTGTGCCTCTCTCCTCCAGCGCCACTGTGGCGGCGAGTCGGCTGGCGGCAACTTGCCCTCGCCGCTCGACCCGCCGACGCTCGAGAACGCCACGTACTGACTCGTTCTCGTCGTCGCCGCTCGCAGAACTGAACCAGTTGACGGGCATCGCGGCGCTGTTGAGCTTCCCGCTCGACATCGAGGTCATCGAGGAGGAGGAGCGGGTCGAGGCGGAGGAGAAAAAGGCGCGAGAAGGGGTCGACGGCGAGGACGAGTCTGGCGTTGCATAATTCGCAGTACATTGTCGCCTGCACGTTCAAGCTGCACGCTGCCCCTCGTGCACCGAGAGACGTGTTGGCCAACCTCCGCCCCGCAGGCTCGACGAGAAAGAGCGCAGGACCCCGCGTCCCTCTCGCGCTCGTCCCAGCCCGCACACGAGCTCGCCGACCCGCTCGAGCGGCTTCACGACAGCCAGATCACCCGTCCAGCGCCCCGCCGCACCCGCACGACTCGCATTGTCGTCCCTCGTCGTCCTCGCTCCTCCCTAGCGTCAAGCCCCCGGCCGACGTCCCTCGCCCACCAGGAGCTGCCGTAGCACCTCCAGCACATTCTCCAGCACGCCTACAACGACCACGCGCTCGCCAACATGAGCTGGGCGCCGCAGCAGCAGGGGCTCGAGGAGCTGGTCGCCTGCCTGAGCAAGTCGGGCTCGGCCGACACCAAGGTCCAGGAGGGCATCCAAGAGGTGCGCACCCTCTCCCTGTACTGTCATCGCACGGCCTCGTCGAGCTGCGCGAGCTGACTCGCCTCTGCGTGCTCCTCCCCTCCTCCTCTCTCCCTCCTCCTCCCGTCCCTCCGCATCTCGGCCTTGCCCTCGCCATGCCCGACTCTCGCCTGCGGTCGCGCTCCGACAGCGCCTCGAGTCGTTCAACAAGATCCCCGACTACAACTCGTACCTGGTCTTCATCCTCACCCAGATGCCCAACGAGGACGTGATGGTGCGGTCCATGGCCGGCCTCCTGCTCAAGAACAACATCCGCCTGTACCTCAACGACATCCAGCCCGACGTCCTCGCGTACGTCAAGGCCAACATCTTTGGCGCCATCGGCGACCCGACGAGCATGATCCGCAACACGGTGTCGACCGTCATCAACCAGCTCGTCGTCGAGCTGAAGCCCGAAAACTACCTCGAGGCCTTGAGCCGCCTCCTCGAGCTCGTCGACTCGTCCGACATGTTTGTCCAGGAGGTGCGTCCATCTGTTCCTCAAGGTCTGACGGCGGCGGCGGCGAGAGCCAGATCTGACCCTTGTCCTCTTGCGCGCACGCAGGGCGCCTTCATGTCGCTCGACAAGCTGTGCCAGGACATCCCCAAGGCGCTCGAGCAGCTCGAGGTGAATGGGCAGCGCCCGCTCGACGTCATGATCCCCAAGTTCCTGTCGCACGTCGACTCGCCGTACCCCAAGATCCGCAACTACGCCCTGTCCTGCGCGATCCAATTCATCTCGCCCGACAACAACGCCTTGACGCTCCACCTCGAGCCGTTCATCGTCGGCCTGTTCAAGCACGCGTCGGACGACTCGACCGAGGTGCGCAAGACGGTGTGCCAGGCCCTCGTCCAGCTCCTCGCGACCCGGCCCGACGTCCTCGTCCCGCACATGGCCAACGTCGTCGACTTCATGTTGTTCTCGACGCAGGACATCGAGAACGAGGAGGTCGCGCTCGAGGCGTGCGAGTTCTGGCTCACGTTCGCCGAGGACCCGGAGCTCGTCAACCACCTGCGCCCGTTCCTGCCCAAGGTCATCCCCGTCCTCGTCCAGAGCATGGTTTACTCGGAGGACGACATCCTGCTGCTCGACACGGACGAGGACGACGCCGCCGTGCCGGACAAGGCGTCCGACATCAAGCCCCACCTCCTGTCGTCCAAGGCGCACACGCACGACCGCCTCGAGGACGCCGAGGGCGGCGCCAACGGCGCGCAGCCCGGTGGGCACTCGCGCGCGCGAGCAGACGACGAGGACGACGACGAGGACGACGAGGACGACTACGACGACGAGGACGATGACGACGAGGAGGCCTACACCGAGTGGAACCTGCGCAAGTGCGCCGCCGCCGCGCTCGACGTCATGGCCGTCGCGTTCGAGGTCGAGATGCTCGAGGTCCTCCTCCCGTACCTCAAGGAGAAGCTCTTCAGCCCCGACTGGCTCGACCGCGAGAGCGGCATCCTCGCGCTCGGAGCCATCGCCGAGGGTGCGTCCCTCCTCTCTCTCTCTCTCTCTCCCCCTCTCCCCTCGTAGCGTGGGCCGTTCGAGCACGCACTGACAAGGACGCCTCGTCGACACGCAGGCTGCATCACCGGCATCGAGCCGCACCTCCCCATCCTCATGAACTTCCTCATCAACTCGCTCAACGACCCCAAGCCCCTCGTGCGCTCCATCGCGTGCTGGACGATCGGCCGGTACTCGAGCTGGACGATCAAGGAGGACGCGACGCCCGAGCACCGCCAGCAGTTCTTCGTGCCCGCCATGGAGGGCCTGCTCAAGATGTGCCTCGACAACAACAAGCGCGTCCAGGAGGCCGGCTGTTCGGCGTTCGCGACGCTCGAGGAGGAGGCCGGGCCCGAACTCGAGCCGTTCCTCGGGTCCATCCTCGGCAACCTCGTGTTCGCGTTCAACAAGTACCAGCAGAAGAACCTCCTCATCCTGTACGACGCCATCGGGACCCTCGCCGACGCCGTTGGGCCCGCGCTCAACCACCCGCCGTACATCGAGATCCTCATGCCGCCGCTCATCCAGAAGTGGAGCACGCTCAACGACTCGGACCCGGACCTCATCCCGCTCCTCGAGGTGCGTCCTCTCTTCCCCTCTCTCCTTCCTCCTTTCTCCTCCTTCTCGTCTCCTCGTCCCCCTCCCGCCTCAGCCTCCTGTCGCTCGTCAAGCAGGCGTCCTGACGCCCCCTTCCTCGCGCGCCCGCAGTGCATGTCGTCGGTCGTCATCGCCATCGGCCCGGGCTTTGGCCAGTTCGCCGAGCCCGTGTTCTCGCGGTGCATCAACCTCGTCAAGTCGAGCCTGATCGAGGCGCAGCAGTACCAGCAGGACCCGGTCAACTACGACGAGCCGGACAAGACATTCCTCATCGTGTCGCTCGACCTCCTGTCGGGCCTGACGCAGGGACTCAACATGGCCATCACGCAGCTCTATTCGGCGAGCGACCCTCCCGTCCTCACCCTCCTCGCCATGTGCCTCCAGCACCCGGATGCGCCCGTGCGCCAGTCGTCGTACGCCCTCCTCGGCGACACGGCCATCTCGTGCTTCCCGATCCTTAAGCCCCTCCTCCCCCAGTTCATGCCGGTCCTCGTGTCGCACATCGAGGTCGAGCCTCGCCTCGCCGAGGTGTCGGTCTGCAACAACGCGGCGTGGGCGGCGGGCGAGATCGCGCTCCAGGCCGGCGCCGACATGGAGCCCTACGTCAACCCGCTTATGGAGCGCCTCGTGCCCATCCTCATCAGCAGCAAGGCGGCACGGAGCCTGACCGAGAACTCGGCCGTCACGATCGGCCGCCTCGCCATCGTGTGCCCGCAACTCGTCGCGCCGCACCTCCAGGTCTTCGTCCAGGCGTGGTGTCAGGCGCTCGCCGACATCAAGGACAACGAGGAGAAGGACTCGGCGTTCCGGGGCATCTGCGCCGCGATCCAGGTCAACCCGAACGGCATCTCGACCGTGCGTCCGCCTCCCTGCCTCTCCTCCTCCTCCCCCTTCTCCCGTCGAGACCCTTCCCTGACCCTCTCTCTATCGCCCAGGCTTTCGGGTTCTTCCTCAACGCCGTCGCTCGCTGGAGCCGACCATCTGAGCAGCTCAACGAGATGTTCAAGACGGTGCGTCGCCCGAAGCTCGTCCCCTCTCTTCGTCGAGCGAGCAGCCGAGGACTGACTCGAGCCCGCCTTCTCGCAGATCCTGCACGCGTTCAAGGGCATGACCGAGGCGGCAGCATGGGACGCGCAGCTCGCGCACCTGCCTCCCGTCATCGTGCAGCGCCTGCGCGAGCGGTACGGCGTCTGAGCGACCCCGGCCCCTCCTCCCTCTCGTTCCCCTTGTCACATCTCTCTCGCACCTCCCCGTCGTTCTCCTCTTTCGACCTCCCTCTTCTGTCATGCTTCCCCGGTCTCCCTTCCCCCCAACTTGCCGTAGTTTCCCCCCTCGCATCGTCGCAACCGCTTCCCCTTTCTGCGCCCTCGTCTCGACGGCCTCCTCCTGGATCTCTCTACCCCTCTTCTCCCTCGTCTACCCTCCCTCACCATCCTTGTCCCTCTATACCAGCCTGCCGTGCCCGTCCTCGCGTCGTCGACGTCGTGCCGCCTCGGCCGACGTTGGCGAGCCGGAGGAGCTCGCGCTCGCCGGGGCATCTCTCCCTCTCTCGGCCTCCTTTGCTTAGATTTCTCTCGCCCATAGCTGCAAAGGATCACGATCCGTCGTCGACAGCCCCGAGCCGCTCTGCAGAGAGCGAGGCGAGGTCGAGCTTTCGCCGAGAGCGTTCTCATCTCTCTCGCACTTCTCCACACGACAATCCACCTCTCTCGCAGCTCGCTGGGCTCCGCGTCGCCTTGCCCTCCCACCGCATCCCGCACAGCAAGACTGCCCGACCCTGCACACGCCCCCATGCAGTGCACCTCGCTCTCGTCGGTCGACACCGACTACTCGGCCTGCGCCCTCGAGTTCTGCCCCGGCCGCCCGTCGTTGTTCGCCTGCGGGACCTATCAGGTGCTCAAAGAGGGCGAGCGAGCAGGTGCGCCCCAGTCGAGCGCGGACCGGGGCGAGGAGGGCGGCGCAGCAGAGCCGGCGAGTGAGGCGCAGCTCGTCGAGGAGGAGGACGAGGCCGAGACGCAGCAGGGCAGCCCAGAGGTGACGAGGGTCGGCAGGTGTCTGCTCTACGAGGTGGACGGCGAGGGGCGAAACCTGTGCGTCCCTTCTGTCTCTTCGTCCCCTCCTCCTCGGCGAGGAAGCGCTCACCTCTCGAGTTCCCCCGCAGCGAGGAGAAGCAGCGCATCGAGGGCCCGGCCATCCTCGACCTCAAGTGGTGCGCGCTATCTCTCAGATCCTCCCGAGCCCCTCACAGACGCTCACCGTCCAAAGAACCGCAGGTCGCTTCAGCCGTTCCAGGGCAAGACGACGCTCGCCGTCGCCGACGCCAAGGGCCACGTTCAGCTACACGGCCTCGACGACGAGTCGGTCCGTCCAGTCTGTCCCTCGATCAGGCCGACTCGCGCCTGACGCTTGCGCTTGCAGGGCCTCCTCTCGCACGTCCAGACGGTCGACTGCGCCGACGACAAGACGCTCTGCCTCTCGCTCGACTGGTCGACCCGGCGACAAGCTTCGTCAGAGTGCGCCTTCTCTCCTGTCTCTTCCTGTAGACGAGCCCCTGACGGAGGATCTCGTGCGCGCAGCTCGGCGTCCATCGTCGTCTCGCTCTCGTCCGGCTCGATCTGCACGCTCGGCGGCGAGTCGTCCCTGTCGGTCACGAACGAGTGGCACGCGCACGATTTTGAGCCGTGGATCGCCGCGTTCGACTGCTGGCAGCCGACGACCGTGTGGACAGGCGGCGACGACTTGAAGCTCAAGGGGTGGGACTTGCGGCAGGGGTGCGATTCGCCGACGTTCGTCAACAAGCGCAGGTGCGTCGAGTCGCTCTCGGTCCGGCGAGACGCCCTGTACCGCATACTCACCGTCTTCGGCGACTGGCGCAGCTTCGAGGGCGGCGTCACGACGATTCAGAGCCACCAGCACGTCGAGAACCTTTTCGCCGTCGGCAGGTGCGTCTCTCTCTCTCTCTCTCTCTCTCTCTCTCCTCGCCTGCGCCTCGATCGCGTCACTGACTCTCTTCCACCGTCGCACCATGCCCCCTTCCACAGCTACGACTCGCACGTCCGCCTGTTCGACCGCCGCAAGCCGCTCGTGCCCCTCACGACGTTCGACGCCGGCGGCGGCATCTGGCGGCTCAAGTGGCACCCGACCGACCCGCAGCGGCTCCTCGTCGCCGCCATGCACGGTGGCTTCAAGGTCGTCGACTTTGACGGGCTCGCGCTGCGCGAGGCGGGCTCGACGGCGGCGGCAGGAGAGGACGCGGGAGGGTGGGTCCGGCCGGGCGAGGGGGCGCTCAAGGCGCGGTTCGACGGGCACGAGAGCTTGGCGTACGGGGTGGACTGGAGCGATGGCGGGAAGACGAGCGAGGGCAGGGACCTCGTCGCGAGCTGCTCGTTCTACGACCACTCGCTGCACGTCTGGGCGTGCTGAGCGGTAGACTCTCTCTGTCTGTGCAACCTAGACAACTCTCGACGCTCTCTATATATCTCTGCTGCTCTGCGAGAGAAACGGACAAGCTGCTCTATTCCAAGCGGCGCTCTAGTGCCGAATGAGGAGGTAGATGTACTCGCCGACCGTGACGCGCGAGATGTGCCGGTACGAGCCCGTCAATGCCATCAAGAGCCCGCCAAACGACACGTACGCCGTCACCTCGTCGCCCGTGCCCTCGTCGAACTTGTACACCTGCGACGAGAGAGAGAGAGAGGTCAGGTCTGCGGGCTCGAGGTGGAAAGGGGTCGCGGGACGAGGAAAGGGAAGGCGAGGCGTACCTTGCCGTACATGACATACTCCCAGTCGTCTGCCAAGCCGCTCTGCAAGTCGGCCCTCCATCCACCGCTCGCCGCCGCACCGCTCTTGTCCGCGTCCGGGTTGAGCGTCGTTGCGAGCGCGAGCGAGAAGTCGGCGTCTTTGGACAGCGTGAGCAGGTCCGTGTTGATCTGTGTGCGCGAGTTGGCGTCAGTCGCGTGAATAGGGTCAGTCTGTTGTGCGCAAGGAGCGAGAGGAGGGAGAGAGAGGGACAGACGTCGAGGGTCAGCTTCATGTCGTTGTTGTGCGACTGGCCGGCGATGCGCGACACTGCGACGGCGACGAGAGGGCATGTCAGTACCGTCTGAGGGCAACGAAGGGATCTTGGAGGGGCGCACCGCGGTCGAACTTCTTGCCGTCTGTTCGAGCTCGTCGAGAGGGTCAGCTCCCGGACTCGGACAACGTCGGGGAGAGCAGGACGCACCCTTGTCGACCGCGACGACGGTAAACACGTCGTCGAACACGAACGCGTCGGACCCTGCGTTGTTGGCCATGGCGGGAGCGAAGGCGGGGAGCGTCGGCGAGAGATGAAGAGGGACGAGGCAGTCGAGGCTATGGGGCGGCTCTGGGGCGAGGGGACGGGTCGAGGGCACTGTCGAGAGTGCTTGTGAAGGTACTGGAGCTGCGGCGAGGCGGACGAGCAGCGGTGGAGGTGGGCGAACCTCTCGCCTCATCTCGCTCTCCTCGACCACACAAGTCCGAGCGATTTCGACCTCGCGGCCACCGCTTTCGTGGCTGCTGAGCTCGCGAAACTGCTTTGGCAAGCTCAAGCTTGAAGCTCACGAGCCGAGCGCGAGAGAAAGGTCGCACTCTCGCTCTCCCTCCTGCTCCTCGTCGTCGACAAACGCAACAGAGACGGTCACGACGGCGGGCTCTGCCGCTTGTTTGCAATGCTCTACTGCGCCCTGCTGCCGACACACGCGCACCCGCTCAGACGCCGACGGCCCAGGTCCAGTTGTACGTCCCGCTGTCCTTGAAGATGGCGACGCACTCCTTCTCGAGCTCGAGCTGCGCCTCGAGGCCCTCGGCCGCGCCCTCGAGCGGCTCGCCCGGCTCGCGGCCCGTGCGCTTGGCGCCGCCGGCCGGGTACAGGGCGCGGTACACGCGCATCGTCTCGTGCACCTCGTCGGCCGTGCTCAGGCCGACAACGGTCGGCGTCTCGCGGCCCTCGGCGCCTCGGGGCTTGGCCGACGAGAAGCCGTACCCGAGCGCGACGTCCTCGAGCTTGAGGCCCTTGGCGGTGCACGCGCGGATCGCGGCCTGGTTGGCGTCCTGGAGCGCCGGCGACGCAGGGTGCCACTGCGGGGCGGCGGCCGAGCGCAGGAGGCCCATCGAGAGCGGCGAGGCGCACATGATCTGCTTGACGCCGGCGGCGTACAGGAGCGGGAGGTAGGTCGACAGGGTGTTGTTTTGCAGCTGCAAGGGTGGGTCGAGAGGGGGACGAGGTCAGTGCTCGCCTCTCGACGGTGGACGGCGACCTCGTGAGGGAAAGGCGAGGGACGCACAGTGTGGAGGCAGTAGGTCTGGAGGAGGTCGAGCGGCTCGAGGTGGTGGGCCGTGAGGCGCGCGAGGCGGAGCGTGGTCGGGAGCGGGAAGCCGCTGAAGCCGACGGCGCGGATGACGCCCTCCTTCTTGAGCGCAAACAGCTCCTTGAGCGCCGCGAGCACCTTCTCGTCGCCCGGGCCCCGGATCGTGCCGGCGTCCTCGTCGCGCAGGCCCCACCGCTCGAGGTCCTCGTCGCGGATCTTGCCGTCGGGCCCGACCTTCCACCCCTCGTGGCCGGCGTCGTCGACCTGCTCGCCGACAAACTCGACGTCGTGGCAGTAGACGCCGTCGAGGTAGTCGGTGCGCATGAGCTCCATGCTGCGCTTGACGCTGGCGCGGACGCGCTCGGGCGAGTAGTCGAACCCTTGCTCCTTTGTGCGGCCGTAGCGGCCGACCTTCGTGATGATCTGGTACGACTCGCGCGGGAACTCGTCGCGGATGGCGTCAAAGACGTGGCCGAGGACGGTCTCGCTCGTGGTGTAGTACGGCGAGGTGTCGAGGGTGCGGATGCCGTAGCGGAACGCGGTGCGGACGGCCTGCTCGGGCACGGTCGACTCGAGCGTGTCGGCCGTGTTGTAGTCGAAGCCGTAGACGCCTGTGGACGTCGAGGGGTCAGTTGTGTCGAAGCGTGCAGGCTCGATCGCGAGGGGCGGGGCAAGAGTGGAGGCTCCACGGCGGAGGAGAGTGGAGTGGGAGGAGGGGCGAGGGACGCACCAGCTCCGAGGACGAGCGGGGTGAGCTTGAGGGGGCCGTCGGTGATGCCCTCGTCCTGTGTGCGGATGCGGTGCAAGTGAGCTGCGGTGCGACGAGAGCGAGAGAAGGAGGGGGGAGGGAGACGGACGACGGTGAGGGGCTCGACGCGAGGCTTGAGCGAGTCGGCCATGGTGGTGGGTGGTGCGGGTGGTTCGAGTGTGTAGGCTGAGGGGAAGTCTGGCAGAGCAGAGCGAGCGGTCGACGAGAGAGCGAGCCGTCACCTTCTCCCCCACGAGCGACCAGCGACGAGGCGTTCGTTCCACCCCTTCTCGCCTGCTGTGCGACCTGCGCCTGGCATGGACTCGTACCCGAACGAGTTCACGGCCCACCACCACCCGCTCCTCTTCGTCGCAGGCCTCGCCCCACCCCCCTCGAGCTCGTCGGCCAACACGACCGACCCGTTCACCCTCCTCGAGCACGCACTCGCACGCACCTTGGCCTCGCCCAGGTCCTTCCCGCTGTGGGACTCGTCCAGACCCGCCCAACAAGGAGCGACCCCCTTTCACGCCGTCCTCGTCGACAAGGTGCGCCCCCTCGTCCCTCATCTCCCTCGAGCCGCCGTCCGCTCACCGTCCTACGAGCCTGCAGAACCTCCGCTTCCCTCCCCTCAAGGCCCGTCCAGCTGCCACCGCAGCGCAACAACCTGCGCCCGCCGCACCTGCGTCGACTGCCGCCCTCCACTCGCCCATCTCGCCCCTCACGCCGACCTCGCCCCTGTACCCAGACGGCCTCATCGCCCCAATCTGGGTCCGCAAACACCGCGAGCTCGTCCCCGCCGTCTTTGTCCTCGTCGTACGCCTGTACGAGTCGCCGCCCGGCTCGAACCGGTCCCCGGACGACCGCCTCGACGACGAGCGCCAGGCCGACGTCGACCTCGTGCGCGACATTGTCGACCGCCGCCGCACCACCCTCGAGCGCGGCACCAAACTCGCCGTCGTCCTCCTGTGCTCGCGCGAGCTCCTCGACGACCCGGCCCTCGACCTGCGGTTGTCGCTCATCCGCCGCCAGTCGGGCCTCGACTCGCGCGCGAGCCTGTTCGTCATCTCGCCCGTCCCGCAGGCCGAGGTCGCCAACTTTTGCGCGAGCCTCAAGCACGAGCTGTACCCGGCCGCGCTCGACTACTACCGCGAGCATGGCCGCCGCGTGAGGCGCAAGCGCACGCGCCAGGCCCCGCCCGGCGCGGCCCTGAGCGACCGCGGGTGGACCGTCCGCTACGACTACAAGCTCGCCCTCTTTGCCGAGATGCGCAGCGAGATCGAGGTGTCGCTCAAGTGCGTCGGCGTCGTCCCCTGCCTCTTTCGCCTGCCCGAAGGCCTCGACTGACTCGCCCTTGACGTCCGCGCAGGCACTACGAGGACTGCTACGAGGCGCTCGTCGACATGTTTGCCCAGCCTGACCTTCTCGGCGCCCGCACCAAGCGCTGGGCCGAGGCCAAGGTCCTCGCCGACTGCGTCTCGATCAAGGTGCGCCTCGAGCCTTTCTCTCGCTCCCCGAGTGCCTCTAATGACACCCTCGCTCCCTACAGGTCAGCAAGATGTACCTGTACCTCAACGAGCCGGCGCGAGCGCTCGCCCAGCTCAACCGCCACGTGTCGCGCTTCCGGGAGCTGAGCGGCTCGTGGCAGATCGGCGACGACACGTTCGAGTTCTGGTCCTGGCTCTCGAAGCAGTGCGTCCCTCTCTCTCTCTCTTCACTCTTCACGAGTGCGCAGTATTGATCTGCCTGCGCCCCGACAGGTACCGCCTGTTCGGCGACCTCGTCGCGCTCGCCCTGCGCGCCGGGTTCCGCCTCCCCTCGCTCCGCCCACCGCCGACCCCTCGTCTCCCCGCACCCTCTACCACCGGCCTCAGCCCGTCCCAGATCCCGTCGCCCGGCCTCGTCCCGCTCAACGTCCTCCAGCACGCCGGGCACTACTACCACCTCGCCGCCGTGTGCGCCGTGGCCCGTCGCGACCGGTTCCGCGAGGCGGTGCGCGCGCTCGAGGCGGCGACCGAGGCGGAAGAGCAGCTCGACAGCAGTGGACCGGCGGTCGTGGCGAGCCCGGCGCTGGCGCACGAGCGCAAGGTCGATCACGGAGAGCTCATCGTCGAGGTGCGTCTTGCCCCTCTCTCTTTCCCTTGCGCACGTGTCCTGACCTCGAGAACCTGTCGCAGCTGCTCACCACGGCGTACGAGTTCTTCAAGGCGCACCGGGCCAAGAACATGACGTACTGCATCGCGAGCGAGATTGCGCTCGCGCACTTCGAGGCGGGCAAGTCCGACATGGCGCTCAAGTGCGTCCGCGCCCCTCTCTTCCCTCCTTCTCTTCTTCACTCACTAGACAAACGACGTGCAGGTTCTACGACCGCATCGCCAAGTCGTACCGCCGCGACGGCTGGCGCGACATCCTCGACTCGATCCTCGAGCGCACGTTCCGCGCCGCCGTCCAGTGCGACGACTGGGACGCTGCCGTCCGGGCGGGCTTTGAGCTCCTCGCACCGAGTGCGTCTCTCTCCCTTCTTCTCACGATGCGCCGAAAAGTCGAGCCGGACCTGACCTTCCCCTCGAGCACGCTCGCAGGCTCCAAGATCGCCGTCACGCAGCGCGAGCAGTACGCGCACCAGCTCCTCGACATCCTCGAGAAGCGTGAGCCGCCGCCAGGCAAGGCTCGCGTCCAGCTCGACGCGGCCAACGTCGCGCCCATTCGTGAGCTGCTCGGCACCCGTCGCTTCCCTCTCTCGACGACCGAGACTGACATCTGTCCCTCGCCCACTCGCAGTCGATTGCGGTATCACCTTCCTCCGACCGTCAGCACACGCCGCCGAGCCCGTCCCGTTCCAGCTCGTCCTCGCCGCACCTCCCGGCGCTCGGACCGCCCACCTCGCCTTCGCCCACCTCGACCTGCACCTCAACGACGGCCGGCCGCCGGTTCGCGTGTCGCACAAGGAGGACGCGCCGTCGAGCATGAGCGTGGGACATGTCGGGTCGGCGCAGGAGCGAGAGGCGAGGCTGAGGTGGAGCGAGGGCGAGAGGAGGGTCTTCACGGGGACGGTGTCGGTCGACAGGGAGCTCGAGCTCAAGGTGCGTCCCTGCGCTCCCTTCTACTCTTCTCTTGGCCTTCTGCGGGCACGAGAAACTGACTCGCCCCGTCGCGCGCAGGTCGACAAGGTCGTCCTCGTGGCCGAGATCGGCGGCTGGACCGTCGAGCTCGGCCTGCAGCCCCGGCTGCCGGCCGTCGCCGGCGAGGAGAGCGTGTGGTACGTCGGCGACAAGTGCGTGCCGTTGCGGCACGGTGGATCGACCTGTTTGTGCGTCACGAGCCTCTTTCCCCTCCTCAGCCGCTTCGCCTTGAAGACCTCGTCACTGACTCGAGCCTTTGTTGCAGGATCACGCGGCGGGACCTCAAGATCGACGTCAAGACCGACTGCGCGAGTCCGGCGTACCTCGACGAGCGCTTCCCCGTGCACGTCGACGTCAAGAACGAGGACGACCTCGACGTCAACGTGTCGCTCGTCGTGTTTCTTCAGCCGGGCGAGGAGGGCTCCTGTGCGTCCTCCTCCTCTTCAGGACCGTCTCTCCCTTCCGCGCAAACTTACCCTCGCCGTTGCTGCAGACGACCGCGTCCTCGTCGACGACCTCGCCTCGACCTCGCTCATCGACTCGCTCCCGCTCGGCACCCTCGTGCCAGGCGCCTCGCTCCGCAAGACGTTCTACCTCGAGACGCTCGGCGGCATCCCTGGACCGCGCAACCTCGACGTCACGGTCCACGCCGTCCCTGTACCGCCGACCTCGTCCGCCCTCACAACCTCGTCCACGACCATCCTCCCGCTCCTGCCCAACTCGACCGACTGCACCCGCTCGCTGTCGCTCCTCGCCATCCGCCCCGTCCACGCCGCGTTCGACACGCACGTCCTCAAGCGTCGCAGGGACGTCAAGCCGCTCCTCGACCTCGACGAGCCGTACGGGTGGGAGGGCGCGAGCGACGCCATGGTCGTTGCGGGGCTCACGGCGGCTGGACCTTGGGACATCGAGGTGGCGAGGGTGCAGCTGAGGGCAGAGGTGCGCTCTCACTCTCCCTTTGTCTGTCCTGGTCCCGTTCCGACTGGTCGGAGAATTGACTCTCCCTCTCTCGCCAACAGGACGCTCCCTCGGTCCGGGTCGTCGCGTCCTCTCTCGGCTACCTCGCCGGCGAGCAACTCGAGGACACTGCAGCAATGAGTGCGTCCCAGTGCCTGTCCACCTCGCACGACGGCGCCTGACCTCGTCCTGCCCCGCAGCTTGGCGACCCGGCGACCAATTCAACGCCGTCTTCTCGCTCGAGGTCCAGCCCGACTTTGGCCAACCGCTCGACTCGCACCTGCACCTCGACATCGAGTGGCGCCGCAGCCGCAGCAGCGACGCCCTCTCGCTCACTCGCCTCCGCCTCGCCGCGCCTCGACCCCTTCCCCTCATCCCGACCGTCACGCTCCAACTCCCGCCTTTCCTCACCCTCCACGAGCCCACCATCCTTGTCTACCGCCTCTCGAACCCGACGGGCCGCCTCGTCACCCTCTCGTCGCAGCTCGACAGCCCCGAGACGCCGTCCACGTTCGCTTTTGCCGGCGCGCGCCGCCTCCCCGAGTGGGTCCTCGGCCCGTCCGAGGCGCGCGAGCTGCACGTGCGCGTCGTGCCGCTCGCGGCGGGCAACTGGGCCTTGCCTCGCCTGCGCGTCTGGCGCGTCGAGCGGCCTCCTGTTCCGCCAGCGCCGGCACCGCTCGGCCGCGCCGACGACAACGGCTACGCACCGCCGCCGCCTGCGCCGCAGCCGCCGAGGCTGTACGAACTCGAGGTCGAGATCGAGGGCGAGGCGGTGGTCGAGCCTGATCCGGCCCAGGTCGAGCTCGAGGCGGATCTGCGGAGCGCGAGGGGGCCGGACGAGGAGGGCGACGCGGGTGTGGGTGGGGCCAAGGCGCCGGTGGGGAGAGGACCGGTCGTGCTTGTGCTCCCGAGGTAGACTCGCTAGAAGCGCGCGAGGGCCATAGACGAGTCGTTGCGATGCAGCTTCTTCACCCTGCTGCTTTCTTCTGCCTCGTCTTATAGAGAGGTCAAAGGGCTGGCCAACTCGTCTCTGTTCCGTCCTCGACATCTCGAGGCAGTGGGCGAGGAGCGCATTCGTTTGAGACGGAGCTGGGCAGGATGAGCGAGAGCTCGAGCCTCGTCGAGCAAGAGAAGGTAGCTGCGAGACGCTCTCACTCCTCGAGAGTAGTTTAATCCCGGGTTCCGCCGCTCTCACCGTCCTTGCTGAGACGGAGACTCGACGTCTAGAACCTGTCCCTCACCTACTTCTCTCGAAACCGAGAAGTTGACCTCGTCGAGCAAGAGAAGGTAGCTGCGAGACGCTCTCACTCCTCGAGAGTAGTTTAATCCCGGGTTCCGTCGCTCTGACCGTCCTCGGCGAGACGCATACTCGACGTTGCAGACCTCGGCCGACCCACCTCGACAAGAAACGAGGAGCTGGCCCGGTCGAGGACGATGACGATGAGAAGGGACGCTCGGACGACAGGAACGGATCTATTGACACGATACGCGGCGAATCTACTCAAAGGCCATCTAGAGCTTGTTCTCCGACTTCTCGTAGCTCGACGTGTCCTGCTCCTCGACCGGCTTCTTCTTCTCGGCGCCGCCGGTGAGGATGGCGACGACCTCGTCGCACACCTTCTCGTCGGCGAGGTCCGGGATCGGCTCGCCCTTGGAGATGGCGGCGATCTGGACGATGGACGCGCCCGTCTGCATGGGCGCCGGGAACTTGTTGTCGCGCGCGGCGTCCGTCTTGCCGTCGAGCATGTCGCGGATCAGGTACGGCTCGGCGGTGAGCGGGCGAGCGAGCCCGACGAGGTCGGTGGCGCCCGACTTGATGGCCTCCTCCATCGCGCGCCGGCTGCGGAACCCGCCGGTGACGCAGAGCGTCGCCGACTTGAGCGACGGCTTGACGGCCTCGGCAAACTCGACGAAGTAGGCCTCGCGCTTCTTGGTCGACTCCTTCTTGTGGTTGAACGCTCCCGACTCGTAGGTGCCGCCGGAGAGCTCGATGAGGTCCATGCCGGCCTCGTCGAGCCACGCGCACACCTGCCGCGACTCCTCGGGCGTCATGCCGCCCTCCGAGAAGTCGGCCGAGTTGAGCTTCACTGCGAGGGGAAAAGCGTCAGGGACCGGCTCGAGGACGCAGGACGGAAGAGAGGGAGGCGACGCACTGGACAGCATGAACTTCTGGTCCGGGACGCGGCGGCGGATCTCGGCGAGGACGCGGCCGACGATGCGGTAGCGGTTCTCGAGCGAGCCGCCGTAGTCGTCGGTGCGGCGGTTGACGCGGCCCGAGAGGAACTGCGACAGGAGGTAGCCGCTGCAGGAAAGGAAAGGAAGGAAGGGAAGGAAGAGAAGAGGTCAGGGCCGGCCTGACGAGCCCCTCTGCAGGAAGATGAGAGAGGAGACGTACTGGGCGCCGTGAAGCTGAGCGCCGTGCGCGCCGGCCTTGTACAGGACCTCGGCGCCGTAGCCCCAGGCGTTGACGAGGGCGTCAATCTCCTCGATAGTCAGAGGGCGAGGCTTGGCGAACGTCATGCCGCCCATCGGCGGGCACTGAACGTCAGACGACGAGACCGGGGTCTGTAGAGCGTGAGGGAGAAGGAGGGCAAGGTGGGAGGGAGAGGGGGGGAAAGTGAGTACGTCGACCTTCTCAAACCGAGATTCGGGGTGTGCGCACCTTGGTGACCTCCTCCGAAACCTGGCGACCACCGTGAGTGAGCTGACCAATAACGAGGGAACCCTGCGAGGAACGAGGAGCGTCAGAATCCGCCGCGGTGTCCTCTGCTGGCGAGGCGAGGAGGAAGAGGCACGCACATGCGCCTTGGCCGCGCTGATGGCGGGCTTGAGGTTCTCGACAGGGTCGTAGGACGAACGTGCATCAATGATCGCGTTCTTCTTGGCCTCGAGGCCCTCGCTGCACGGGAGGAGGAGGAACGAGGTCAGTGAGGGTTCGTTCGAGGTCGCGATCGGCTCGACGCGAGAGAAGCTCGCAGACGCACTAGTCAATCGGGATGTTGCCGAGGACGATGACGCCGATCTTGCCCTTGCCCCACTCCTCGTAGAGGCGGTTGTACTCGGGCGTCGTGTGGCCGCGCGACGCGAGGTCCTTGTCGTCGTAGGTGCAGATGCGCTCGGTCTGTATAGTCGGCGATAGGTTGGGTAGAGTGGCGGTGGGAGAGAAAGAGGTACCGCGTAGAGGCATGCGGCGAGTGTGGGAGACGGGCGAGAGGGAGGAGGGTGTCGACGAGGTCGGGAAAGAGTGGGGGCAAGGGGGGAAGAGGCGAGGGAGGAGACGAGCTGTCAGCGGCTTGTCCTGTGGCTCCTCGTGCGACCTCGCCCACACTGCGACAGGGGAACGGGAGACGCACCATGGCCGACTTGAGCGTCGGGGTGGGCGCCGTGAGGCCCGAGTGCTTGAAGGTGATGGGCTGGGCGAGCGACATGATGCAGATGCGGTGGGATGCGGGTGATGCGGAATAGATGCAGAAAGAGTCTAGTCGTGCGATGCGAGTCTAGCAGAGCAGCGTGTGCGTCGAGGAGGAGGAGGAGGAGGAGGAGGAGGGAGAGCGAGGCCCGCGGCTCCTCCACCCTTCGAGGTCGGCTTCGGACTTCTGTCATCACCGAGCTGACGAGAGCAGCCCTCTCTGTGTCTCGAAGATTCCTCACTCGTCGACGGGCGCACGCAGCACAGCACACAGCGTTCGCTCAGAGTTACAGCGCGCCCGAACCCTCTCAGTCCTTCCTCGGCAACGCCTTGTCCGCCTTCTCGAGCGCGGCCCACCGCACGTCGAGCGCCGCCCTCAGCTCCTGCTGCCGCTGCTTGAGCACGTCGTCCGACAGCGACGCCGTGTCGCCGGCCGGGATGGCGAGCAGTTGGTCGTAGATCGAGTACGGCGACGAGGTGCTGAACTGCGTCGCCGTCGTCGACGAGGACTGCATAACTCGAGAGAGGGTCAGTTCGGCGCCCTACAGACAAGGACACGAGAGCGAGAGAGAGAGAGAGAGGGCGCACCTTGATCGCCTTGAGGCTGAACGTGAAAGCGTCGTCGAGGCGGTCGTACTTGATGAGGGCCCGCAGCAGCGCCGGCAGGTCGTGGTCCTTGAGGTAGTCGGTGAGGAACGACGGCGGCTTGGCGCCTCGGTTGGTCGCGAGGGTGCGCTCGAGCGAGACGAGGCGGTAGCGGAACGTGACCGGGTCGTCGTGCCGTGCGAGGTGCCGCTCGAGGAGCCGCCACGCCTTGGCCGACAAGGTGCCCTCCCACGTCGCCGCCTCCTCCGACTGGACGACCCATGCCGCATCCTCGACGCTGCGGACGAGCAGAAGCGAGTCAGCTAAACTTTCCGAGAGGTCCAGGCGGGAGGGAGGGAGAGGCGAGGACGCACCTGTCGCCGTGGAGCGCGAGCGTGACGCAGCGCTCGGTGACCGCCTCGAAGAGCGACGACAGGTCGACGTTGAGGATGCGGCCCGCCTGGAAAGCTTGGTCGAAGCTGGCGAGCTGCGAGAAGAGGGTGACGACCGATTCGGGCTCGAGGTGGAAGCCTGCACGCCGATAACGAGGTGAGCGGTTGCTCGTCGTGGACGAGGGAGAGCGGACCTGGACGCACTGGTACGCTCGAGTTCGGGGAACTCGTCGGCGAGCTGCAGGCGCGCGAGCGCGAGGCAGTACTCCTTGCGCACGTCGGTGAGCTCGAGCACTTCGAGCGGGCGCGACGCGACGGCCGGGTCGTACTCGTCCTCGGGGATGAGCTGCGCCACCTTGCGACGCTTGTTGCCCTGCAGGCGTCGAGACAAGGGAGGGTCAGACAGTCCCCTTGCGAGTGGGCGAGGAACGGCGAGGAGAGGAAGTGGACGCACCCGCTCGCCATCGTCGCTCGACATGACGGCGATCCACGCGTGGTCCTTGGCGACGAGCGCGAGCGCGTTGGTGGCGGCGAGGTAGCTCTGACACTGGAGCTTGACGATGTCGTGGAACGAGCCCTGGCGAGCCCCGAGCTCGCCGAGGCGGCGACCCTGCTGGAACATGACCGTGCCGGCTGCGAGTGCGCGAGGACCGCCTGCGTCAGGGCCGTGTGTCGACGAGAGAGGGAGAGGGAGAGAGAAAGAGAGCCGACGCACCGCTGCGGAAGTCGCCTTTGGCGACGTGGTAGGCGTACAGGACCTTGTAGTAGTTGGGCTGCGCGAGCGGGTCCGAGTTGCGCGCCCGGAACGACAGGTTGCGCTCGAGCTCGGCCTCGAGGCCCGAGAACGAGTAGGTCGTCAGGAGCGCGGCGGCGCCGTTCTCGCACACGACCGAGATCAGGTGCGCGAGGCACGTCATCTGCCTGCGAGAGAGGGATCAAGAGAGCGTGAGTGCCGCACGACGACTCGGTCGAGAAGAGGAGAGAGAGAGAGGTGACGCACGTCTCGTGGTAGGGCACGCTCATGACGACCTGGTAGGCGAGGTCGTACTGGCCGAGCGCGGCGAAGCTCCGGAAGAGCTTGGTCCACAGGTCCATCTCGGCGACCTCGTCCTTGACGCCCTCGGCCTCGAGCGCGTCGAGCGCGAGCTGCGCAAAGCTCGCGACGGCGGCGTCGAACGGCGTCGAGGCAAACAGGCCGACGACGTGGATGTAGTACCGCGCGAGCGACGTGCCGACCTCGTCCGGGAGGACGAGCCGCAGCGCCACAAGCGCCTCGTCCTCGTCCTCGTCCTCGTCGCTCAGGACGAGCTCGGCGCCGTACAGGCCGCTCGCCGCCGCCTCGAGCTGCGCCATGGCGTCCTCGCCGGCGAGCGCGTCGAGCGCCGCTCGGCCGCACAGGTAGCTCATGCCCGCCGTGCGAGGCCACATGCCGACCCACTGCGCCGCTTGCACGGGGAGGCCGAGCTGCTGCAGCCGCAGGCCGACGATGGTAGCCGCCGGGCTCGCCGAGGTGCGACCGGCGGCGGCCGACTCGAGGAGGCCGAGGGCGTTCGAGGTGCCGGCGGCGGCGTAGGCGAGGGCGACGGGGAGCGACGAGCGCGAGGCGGGGAGGATCGAGGGGGCGTAGTCGGGGACGCGCAGGAGCGCTGACAGGAGGCCCGAGGTCGGGACGGGCATGACGTCGGCGTGGCGGTCGCGGCGGCGGTCGTACTCGTGGACGTTGAGCTCGCCAAAGCGCGCGAACATAGGGTCGTCGTCGGTGCTGTCGCTGCCGCCGCGACCCTGCAGCTCCTTCTGCACGAACGCGAGCGCTTCGACGCTCGGCGTCGACACCTCGGCCGCGAGCCACGCGAGCGCGCCGAGCGAGTGCAGCGCCGCGAACGCGGCCGCCGTAGTCTGGTCGAGCCGGCCGAAGAGCCGCTCGGGCGCGCCGCCCATCTCGGCGTCCTCGCCTGCGCCGTCGGCCTCGGCGCCCCATGCGACGAGCAGGACGGCGACGAGGCCCTGGACGAGCTCGTAGCGCGCCTCGATGCCCGACGCGAGCCCGTCCACGACGAGCGTGTTCGACAAGTCGGTCGTCGCGTGCGCGTCGGACCCGGCGTCGGCGACAGGCGGGAGCTGCTCGGTCGTGAGGAGCCGCAGGAAGGTGTCGACGGCGCGCTCGGCGCTCTCGAGGGCGGCGAGCTGATTTGCGACGTGCTCGACGGTCGCGTCGCTCAGGGCGGGCTCGAGCGCTTGGTCGAAGAGGGCGAGCGCCGTCGTCGTCGTCTCGAGGTCGGCGAGGTCGGACGACGCGAGCTTCTCGCGCAGGCCGCGCTCGAGCACGCGACGCTCGTGGGTCGAGAGATGGCGCTCGAGGTCGCGGATGATGGCGAGGAGGGGCAGGACGTCGTGGCGGAGGGTGCGGTCCGAGGCGACGGCCGCCGGCAGGTCGAACAGGGCGTCGTCGGCGCCCGCAGCGGCGAGGAGGCCCTCGGGCGTGAGGCTGTGGAGCGCCTGCACGGCCTCGCGGACGACAGGAACGACGACGGCGTCTCGAGCGACGACGGCGGCAATGCCGCGCTGCTCGTCGACGACGAGGCAGGTCGGGAACAGGGCGGCCGAGCGCGACTCGTTGAGGTAGGCGACGAACCGCAGCCACTCGAGCTTGAGCTGCTTGTTGTACTCGTCGTGCAGGCACGCGCCCGTCTGCGGCGACTGCTGCAGGGCGACGGTCGAGCCGACGACAGCGGCGGCGCGCTCAATCGGCGTTGCGTGCTCGATCGAGAAGACGTCGGGCACCTCGACACCCGCTGCGGCCGCCTCGGCGGCGACGGCCTCCTCGTACATCTCGAGCGCGTACTCGACCGTGGCGGGCGGGTACCGGCCGGGCCGTGCGACGTGCTGGAGGAACGTCTCGGCGACGGCGACGTCCGAGCCGCGCAGGAGGTCGTCGAAGTGCGCCGCCGTCCACCTGGCCGTCTTGGCCGTCGCGCCACGGTCGACGAAGACCCACTCGTCGCTGTCGGCGCCGTCCATGGCGACCGCCGACGACACCGACTGGCCCTCGAGCTCGCCGAGCCCGATCGTGCGCACCTCGCTCTCGCCGCCCTCGTCCCAGCAAGTCCACAGGGTCCACTTGGCGTCGCCGGCGAGGTCCATGCGCTGCACGTCAAAGTCGACGAGGCTGCCGGCCGACGCGCCGGGAGGGCACACGCGCTCGGTGACGGGCGTGAGCTCGCTCAGCTCACCCGTCGCAGGGTCGCTCGCGAAGCCGTACAGGACGAACACGCCCGGGGACGAGCTCGACGGCGGGCTGAACAGGGCGAGGTACGACGAGTGCGACGTCGACTGCGTGCCGGCGACGACCTTGACGAGCGGCGTCGGCGCATCGGCGAGGAGGAGGGCCGCCGAGCGGCCGCCGTGCGGCGAGTCGTGCGAGGCATGGGCGTGGGCGAGGGTGAGGGCGCTCGAGGAGGAGGACGGCGCCGATGGCGAGGCGGGCTTGGGGAGGTCGATGGCGCGGAAGCACGCGCCCGACTCGAGGTTCCAGATGCGCAACTTGCGGTCGCGCGTGACGCCGAACGCGATCGACGTGCTGCGCGTGTCGGTGCTGGACGAGGCGAGCGAGACGAGCTGGGTCGGCGTCCCGACTTGGTGCGCGGCGGCGTGGCCGCCCTTGACGGGAGAGCCGAAGGTCGAGAAGGAAGGGAGGAGGGACCGCATCGAGAAGCTCGACAGCGACCGAAGCTCGGTCTCGACAAGAGCGCCGTCTGCGCGCATGAGAGAAGGGGAGTCAGGTCATGAGGACTGAGAGACGGCTTCGCGAGGAAAGCTGGGGCGCACCTTCTCCCTGGGCGATCTCGACGTTGACCGCATAGCCGTCCTCGCACCCGACAACGACCCTGCCCTCGTCGACGCCGTGAGCGAGGACCGGGACGCGACCCTCGAGGCTGTCGATCTTGAACTCCTCGCACCAGTCGTCGCCGGCGAGGTGCTTGTCGTCGTAGAACAGGGTGCCGAGCGGGAACGACAGGGTGTAGAGATAGCCCGCCTCGGTGACGCATGCGAGCTGGAGGCGCGACGAGGAGGGGGAGGAGGTCGAGGTCGAGACGACGAAGGCGGGGGAGGGGACGAGGCGGGAGGGGAAGACGAAGCGGACAGGAGGGAGGGTGCCGGGGTGTGCGTCGAGGTCGGCAAAGGGGCTGCTGCTGTCGGGGCCGGTGCTGGTGCTGGTGCTGGTGCTGGTGCTGGTGCTGTTGCTGCCGCGCGAGAAGGCGACCCAGCGCAGCTCGAGGGCGTACGCGTCCTCGACGACGCGGGCGAGGACGAAGCCCGCACTCTGCGGTGCTCCATCGAGTGCCCTCGGGAGCCAGGTCGACGAGTACAGGGCGTGGTCGGCCTGGGCGAGGGCGGGAGGAGGAGCCGTCTCGTCGACGGGCGCCGAGGTCGGGACCGGGTACGAGAGCAGGTCGAGGGTCGAGCAGTGCTCGAGGAAGGCTGTCGCGGTCGTGTACCGCGCCAGGCCTGCCATGGTGCTCTGTCGCCGCCGCGAGGGAAGTCGAGGAGCGATGAGGACGGGGGAGGGCGAGAGGGCCAACGAGGGCCGGGGCGGGGGCTGGCTGGCGTGCGCGGTGCTGTCGGTGCGCGAGCTCGGCGTGTGCGTGCTGCCCGGGCTGTGCCTCGGTGCTGTGCGGGCGGAACGACGACTCGAGGTGAGCGGCTCTCCTGGACCGGTTGAGCGAGGCTCGCTTTCTCGTCGCTGGCAGCTCTCGCTCTCGGTGCAGGGCTGTAGGGGGCAACCTCGATGAACGCATAGAGTGACAACAGTGGCAGAGCTAAGAAGAAGAGCTCGCGAGACAAATGATCCGACCTCTCCCCCTCGCTCGTTCCGCTAAGGCGCGACGACCGCTTGCCCCTCGACAGCAGCCGCCTCGTGCGTCCCCTCCCGCACAGCCAAACTCGCGTCCTCCTCCTGCCCGACCGTCAGAGCCGCCTCGCCCGTCGCAGCCTCCTGCTCGAGAAGCGCCTTCTCGCCGCCGTCCGGCTCCGGCCGCCCGCCCTGGTCCCGCCTCAGCTCCTCCTCCTGATCCGCCCTCGCCGTCCTTGCCGTCCTCGCCGCACTCTCCCGCTCCTCCTCCCTCTCGCGCTGCGCAAGCGCCTCGACCCTCCCGGCCTGGTCGCGCAGCATGCCCTCGACGAGCTCGACGCACTCGTCGCGCGTCTCGGCAAACAGCATGGCGCCGCGCAGCTCCTTGAGGAGCCCGACGATCGACTTGGTGCCGGACAGCGTCGCCGTCGTGAGGTGGCCGGGGAGCGACGGCGGGGCAAAGGTGGACTGCGACGGCGGGGTCGAGGGAGGGGTCGTGCTCGGCTGCTTTGGCGGCGGCGGTTGTTGAGCGGCCGAGAGGGGGGCAGATGGCGCGAACGATGATGAGGAAGGCGTCGGCACCTCGTCGACAGGCGAGAGTGGCGCCGCCATGACGAGCCCATTCGCCGAGCTCGGCGCAGCGATGGCGTCCTTCTCGCCGTGCGACTGCGTCGACTCGAGGGGAGCCCACGACCCAGAGAGGCCTGCTGCTGCACCGATGGGCGCAGTGAGGGACGACTCGGCTGCGGCTGCCGGGTCGAAGAGCTCGCCTGGTCGCCCGACCTCGGTCGAGTGTGCCGGAGCTGCCGCCGACGGCACGACGACGACCGGCGCCGCCGCGCTCTCGACCTCGACAAGCTGGTGCGGCGCGAGCGGCAGGGTCGGCGGCGACCTCGTCGAGCCCGCCGAGCTCTCCCTCGTTCTCGGCACGGACGCCGGCGCCGAGCCCGACTGCTCGCGCTCGCGCGCGCTGCGCTTGAGCGACGAGCTGCGCCGCGGCGGCTTGATCGATACGGGCGGGCCGAGCGTGCGGGCGTTGTCGTCCGTGGCGGCCGTCGAGGCGACGAGCGGGATCGGCGGCGTGAGACCGGCCAAGGGCGACACGGCGGAGCCGTCAAGGCCGCTGGGCCTGCGCTCGTCGATGCTGCTGCTCGCCGACGACGACGTGCCGTTGACCCTCGGCGCTGAGCCGCCGGCGCTCGCGAGCGAGGCCTTGCGCTGCGCGGTCGACGGCGACCTCGCCACCTGCTGCCCGTCCTCCTCCCTCACCGCGCCGTACCCGCCCGCCGCACTCGACGATGCGCCGCTCTTCGACCGCCGCCCCTGCGGCCGGTCGTAGCTCTCCCTCCTCCCGCCGCTCCTCGGGCTGCTCGGGCCCGCCAACCCCGGCGGCGCCGCATACGCCGCCGCTTTCGCCGCGAGCGCGACGTTCTCGCCGAACCCTGCCGCGCGCATGGCGGCCTGGCTCACGCTCGTCGCCGGGCCGGCCGGCGCGCTCGGGCTCGAGGCGCTGACCGAGGAGCGAGAGCGGTACGAGGGCGGCGGCGGCGAGCTCGGCGGCGTGCTGAGCGACGGGCGCGGCTCGAGCTCCTTGTCCTTGTTCTTGGACGAGCCGCCGCCGGTGACCATCGACATGAGGCCGCGGAAGCCGCCCTTGCCCTTGGTAGGCGACGAGGTCGACTGGCGAGCCGAGGGTTGGTCGTTGACGATAATGGGCGGGCGGTCGAGGCGAGCGGGTCCTGCTGCCAGGACAGGTCCCGGCGGCGGGTTCGAGAAGAAGTTGGCGAGGTCGCGGTTGATCTGGCCTGCAGTTGCGAGAAGGAAAAGGGTCAGTGACGGCTTCGAGGCTTGAGGACATCGAGGAGGACAGAGAGAGGAGGACGCACGCTCGCTCGCCAAGTCGCGCTTCTCGTCCTTGGCCTTGTACGCCCTCGTCCTCGGGCTGTCGCCCGGCTCGACGGCAGGGCTCGTCGGGCTGTCGATCGAGGGCATCGAGTCCTGCGACTGCTGGACCCGCATGGCGACGCTCATCGGGTGCGACGGGTCGTCGGTCGGCACAGGGCGCCGAGGGTGGATCGACAGGCGGTGCGAGGCCGGGTCACCGGTCGGTGGCGGCGAGTTGAGGAGGTCCAGGAACGACTCGCGCTGGCGCTCGGGCCGCTGTTGGCCTTCGACGGCGGCGGCGGCGTCCTCGTCCTCCTCGGCGAACAGGTGGCGAGGCAGCGGGTCGCGAGCTCGGAGGCGTCGAGGTGACGGGGTCGCAGATGACGAGGAGGAGGGAACAGGGAGGTTCTGCAAGGGGAGCGTGCGTCGCGTGAGTGAACCGGCCTTGCGTGACGCTCATAGACAAAGAGAGAGGAGGGCGCACCTCGAACGTGCGCAGACGATCAGGCGTGGACGAGAGCTTGAGGGTCCTGCCGCTGCTGAGGAGCTGGTCGAACGCGTCGTCGAGCTGGGGCGCCGGCGCGGCCGACAGCCCGTTCGAGCCTGTCGAGATGCCCAGGCCCGTCGCCGAGCTCTTGCGAGCGTACGTCGGCGCACCTGCTGCTGCCGACGCACTCGGCACGGCGTCGCTGCTCGGCCGCCTCGCGCCCGACAGGGCGGCGCCGGCCGGGCCCGTCAAGGACGGCTTGCGGGCCGGCTCGCTCGGCCCCGCCGCCGCCGCCTTGCCCGCACTTGACACGCTCCGTCTCGGGAGGGCGCTGCCCTGCGAGAGCGTCGGCGAGGTCTTGGTGCGGCGCGCGCGCTCCTGCGCCGCCTCGTCGGCGATGAAGGCCCGGACGCGCATGCCCTGGAGCCAGCTCCACACGAGCGTGTCCTCCATGACGGCCGTCTCGATGTCGGCGACGCTCGCCGTGTCGGTCGGCGGGACCGAGCGCGCGACGACGCCCGAGACGAGGCGCAGGAGGTGCGCGCCGAGCGTCGTCAGGACGCGCTCGACATACAGGGCGAGGATGAACGAGACGTGGGGCGAGGGATCGGGGGCAGGTCGAGGGGGCATGAGGACGACGAGGTGCTCGGGCAACGGGGCAGGCGCCGCCGCACTCGCTGCCGGGCAGGCGGCGCCGAGCCCCGAGATCTGCATCGCCCACGCCCGCAGCACGCGAAACGTCTCGCTCGCCTGCCGCACGAGCTCCTCGTCGTCGGCGAGCGGGACGCCGTTCGAGGGCAGGACCGGGCTGCCCCAGACGCCCGGCGCGCGCTTGAGGGCACCGTCGGCGCGCAGCGAGGGGCTGCCGCGGCGGACGAGCTCGCGCACGGCGAGCTCGGCTTCGAGGATGCACTCCTTGGCGAGCGAGGTCGGGCCGAGGATGCGCGCGAGGGCCGACTTGAACCGGTCGGACGTGAGGACCTCGGTCGCGCCGAGCGGTGTCGGGGGCTGGGTCGAGAGGCCGCCGGTGGGCGAGCTGGTCGGGGTCAAGGGGGAGGGCGTCGAGTGAAGGGACGAGTGGACGACGAGGTGGAGGAGCTCGTCGATGAGGTGGTTGAGGGCGAGGAGCGCTTGAGGTGCGAGCTGGGTAGGTCGAGAGTCGTCGCCCTGGCTCAGCGCGATGGTCGTCGGTGTCGGGTACAGGTAGTCGGGCTCTGCGGTTGTCGTGGAACGTGAGCGACTGGGCTCTACAGCCAGCGATGCGCGCTGGCCAGGACCCGGCGGGCGGTTGTTGTTGTGGTGGGGGGAGATTCGAGGGGAAGGAGACAGCGCGGGGCTCACCAGAGTACGTGAGAGGCATGCTCGCTGTCGCAGTGCGCAGGCTTGACACCGTCGTCGGGTGCACACGTCGAGCTGGAGCTTGAGGAGGGCGAGGTGCCGAGGGCCGGGGTCGAGTGGAAGATGAGGGGGCGGAGGCGCGAGCGCGGCGCGAACAATGGGCTCGACGCTGCCGTGTGCGCGTGGCTCGGCAGCTGGTGAATGCGTGCTCGAGCTGCAGGCTGTGAGCGAGCGAGTCGGGTAGGAGAGACGAGGGAAGCTTGCTCTCGGTCGGCGGCCGGTCGCTTTCCCGCCTCGTCCGGACCTGCGATCGAGCCCCCTTGGCCGAGAAAGCTTGTTCATTCTGCGTCCGCAGCACGCCTCTCTCGCTCTGCGCTTTGGTACCGGGCTTCGTTGCACACAGAGCTACACGCAGAGCGCAGAGGACAACAACAAAGATAGACCGCTCGCCGCGAAATTACGCCTTCGCGCTGGTCGAGACCTTGACCCGCACCGTCTCGCCAAAGTCGGTCACGCCAAACTCGTCGGCCGTGATGCCGTACACGTCGCACGCTCGACGCAGGCGCTTGGGCGGCTCGGTCATCTGCGGGCGCAAGGCCAGTGGGAGAGGTCAGGACGAGGCTCGAGGGGAGACGCGCGAGAGCGAGACGCACCTCCTCGGGCGTGAGCTGCCACGTTGCCCAGTGCATGCCTGCATCCGAGAAGCTCGACCCGTCAGTCATCTACTTCGCCCTGAACTGGCGCAAGAGACGGGAGAGAGCCAAAGGACGGACCGATCGACTTCTTGCACCTCGTCTCGCGATGCAGCTCGACCGAGTCCTCCGGGGCGCAGTGCACCGAGCTGAAGAGCCATCTCGGGTCGTACGCGCCGATCGGGATCATGCCGAGGTCGTGCGGGCCCTCGCGCTCGCCGATCCGCTTGAACTCGGGGCAGACGGGCAGGGTCGACAGGTCGTGAGGCGCTCGAGGGACGGTGCGGTAGCCCGTGTCGCCTGCGCAGGACATGGACGAGGTTGAGGTCAGAGCTCAGGAGCTCAGGAAGAAACCGCGAGGAGGAGGGAAGAGAGAGAGAGAGAGCGAGGGACGCACCGCCAAACCAGACCTTGCCGCCCGCACTCGACGACACGCTCCAGCTCGCCCACAGCGTGTCGTTCCTGTCGGTCAAGCTGCGCCCGGTAAAGTGCTGACATGGCGTGCACACGACCCGGAGCTTGTCGTCCGCGCTCGCCCCGCCGCTCGGACCCGCTGCCTTGCCGCCGTCGCTGCCGAGCCGCAGCTCGCGCTCCTCCCACCAGTCGAGCTCGGTCACCTCGGTGTCGGCGACGCCGATGTTGGACATGAACCAGTCCTTGTTGCCGAGCGGGGCGAAGAAATGAACTGAACCGGCGGGCTGTGCGCTGTACAGCTTCTTGAGCGTCGGGATGTCGAGGTGGTCGTCTGTCGTGCGGGCGAGGGACATCGTAAGTGAGACGACCTGAGTGTGCGAGAGTGAGAGGGCAAGGACGCACAGTGGTTGTGGCTGATGACGACGGCGTCGACAGGCGGCAGCTCGTCGAGCGCGACAGGCGGCTTGGTGACACGTGCTGGGCCGATCCCTGTTGCTCGTCGAGGCGTCAGTATGTCGGCTGATCGTGGGAGGAGCGCTCTGAGGGAGAAGGGGACGCACACTGACTCGGCGAGCACCGGTGGCTCCACACGGGGTCGAACAGGACCCGGAAGCCGCGCCGCTCCTCGCCCTCCTTTTGCCCTTGGCCCGGGCTCGCCGGGAACTCGACGAGGAAACACGCGTGACCGAGCCAGGTCGTCTTGAGGTCGGCGAACCAGGCGTCGCGCTCGGCGGGCGAGAGCGAAGGAGGCGGAACAAAGTCGGGCTGGCGGCGCTGCGGGAGGAGGTCGGCCGACGGGACAGGGTGCGTCTCCCAGCTCTTGTAGGCGTTCCACAGGGTCAAAGGGCCGCGTCCAGGATCCTGCAGCGCCGCGCGAGGACTGTTCAGCTCGATCGTCTCGGGAGGAGGAGGGGGAGGGGGTGGACGAGGGGAAAGCTCGAGAGCGCACCCGGAAGCTGTCCCACGGGTTGACGAAGCCACCACCCTTCTTGTGGTGCGCCTTGTTGCCGTCGCCAGGGTCGCCGGGAGCTGATGCGGCGGCTTGAATCGAGGACGAGGCGGTGACGACGACGGGAGCGGCCATGGCGGCGAGGTAGCGGGTGCCGGTGCGCGCCGAGGTGAAGAAGGCCCGCATAAAGAGCGTGGTCGTGGGAGAATCGACGCTGTGCGAGGAGGGAGCGAGAAGCGACGACTCGGCCCTTTCGGCGGAGGTCATGAGAACGCTCCTCGCTTCTGCCACCAGCTGTGCCCGCCCTGCTAGCTCGAGCGCGCACCCACAGTCCTGCTCTCTTCCTCGCCGGCGTCCATCAGGCAGCGCGCACGCCTCACAGCACCCGCCGCCGCGCCCTTCCCTCCCCACCTCGTTCCGACTCGACCTCACTCGCCGCTCCATGGCCAGCACGGTCGCTCGCATGCTCGTTTTCGTCGCAGGTGGATGAGGCTTCCCTGCTGTGCCCGTCAAGGCTGTGCCGACAGCGCGTGGGCTGCGCCGCCAGCTCGCGCAGCACCGCCGTCGTCGCCCCGTCGCACAAGAGCTCAAGGACCACGGCATCAAGGTCGAGCAAGGAACTCGATCGCCCTCAAGAGCCTCGATGGTGCGCTCGACGGTGTCGGACCTGCCGTACTCGGTGAGCTCTTGCCGCCTCCCCTCCCTCCTCGAGCCTCGTTCGTTGCGGAAGCTGACCCAGCGTTTCCTCCTTGTCGCAGTCACGATCGTCCTGGTCGACGAGACGTCGACCGAGAACACCTTTCCGCGGACAGCGCGTCTCGCTGGCCAGGTCGAGGTGAGCGCGCCGACGACTGCCTCCAGGACGGCCGGATCGCGCTTCTCTCTTTCCCTCTCGTCCTCTGATTGTGTAGATCTTTCGCAATGTCTATGCCTCTCATCTCTCGTCGAGCGCGCGCACGAGAGCTGTACGTGAAAGCTGCGGCAGAGTTGCACGCCGAGAAAAGCGAAAGCGGCTTCCTCCTCCTCCTTCGTCCCTCCTCAGCGGAACGCCTGCGTCCTGAACCTCGCGATCTCGGACCCCTGCTCGATCCACATGAGCCCCTGCTCGCCCATGCCCGCCGGACCCTCGACGAGCCTCTTGCCGTTGAAGATGGCCCTCGCCCGGTCGGCGTCGGCCCTCGTCTTGTACGTCACCTGCGCCCACCGTCGGTCCTGCGCGAGCCCGGGCTTCTCGTCGATCACGACCTGGACCCGCTTCGGGACCGGCGGCGGCTCGTCGTGCTGCCGCTGCTGCTGCAGCTGCGCCGCCGCGCTGCGGAACTCGCCGCCGCGAACGAGCGCGTCGAGCTGGTCCAGCTGCGCCGCGCTCGGCAGGCTCTCGAACACGGACGGCCCGCGCAAGAGGTACATGCGCAGGACGTTCTCGGTCGCGTACGGCGGCAGGAGGTGCACCTCGACCGTGACGAAGCCGGCGACGCGCTGCTGCGCCGGGGCCCGAGCGGCGCTGGCAAAGGCGGCAGGCGCGGTGGGCGTGAAGGAGGGCATGGTCGTGCTCGGGTACGCGGTCGGGGCGAACGTGTTCCAGTGCGGCGGCCGGTCGTGGCTCGAGGCGCGCGGGATCGAGGCGGCCGGGCCCGGCGGGGCGAGCGCGCTCGGGAAAGTCGGCGCCCAGCCGGGGTGCACGGTCGACGTCTGCTGCGACGGCGGCGCCGGTTGTACGGGAGGAGGTGGATCGGGTGCGGACGAGGCGGAAGAGGCGACTGAACGAGGGGTGGACGAGGGAGGGCGAGGGCGAGCGACTGGAGGAGGCGGCGGCGGACGGGCGAGTCGAGGCAGGCGCGACACCGATCGCGGCGGCGGGCCCGATGCGGCCGTAGCCGTCCCGAGCGCCGCAAAGTCGGCGCCCGACACGGACGAGCCGAGCGACTGGGTCGCGCTCGGCGTCCATCCGCTCGGCGCGGCGCTTGCCGTGCTCGGCGGCGGTGGCTTCTTGACCTCGCTCGCCCTGGCGCTTGGGTCACGCTCGGGCACGGCCGACGCCGAGCTCGAGGCGGCGGACGAGACGGGTGCGGCGGCGGCGAGCGGCGCAACTCGCCTTCCGAACGAGTGGAGCGACGCCGTCGAGGGAGGGCCCATGCTCGTCGAGGCCGGCACGGCAGGCCCTTGTGCGACAGCCGACGCCGCCGGCGCAACCGCGCTAACGGCGGACGACGTGTCGAGGCCGGGAGCGCCGAGAGATGGTGCAGGTCGAGCGGTGGAAGGGCTGGTCGCGCGCCTCGTCATGGCCATGGACGAGTCCGCTGCCGACGCCGACAGGCCGACGACGTCTTGAGGCATCGAGACGACCGAGGCGGACCGAGCCATCTCGAGCGACACCGGCGTGAGGTCGCCCTGGACGACCCGAGGTCCGAGCGGCTCGTCCGCGAGGGGACGCTGCGGCGCGTCGCGCGAGCGCTCGCGCGCACGGTCGCCGCGGAGCACGTCGAGCAAGTTGACGCGCATCGGCAGGGCCGACGAGTCGCTCAAAGCCGCCGGGCCGGCTCCTGCGACGCCGAGTGAGGTAGTCGACGAGCCGGGACCGAACGAGCCCGGCGACGCCGCCGAGCCCTCGGGCGCTCGAGGGACGGCGACGGAGGACGACGACGTCGACTGGCCAGGCGACCCGGCGGGAGGCGCACCGGCTGCGAGAGGCGTACTCGAGGCGCCGGGCACGGGCTGCGCAGCCGCCGAGACCGACGTCGTCGACGACGATGCCGCGCCCGACTGCGTGGGCCGCGTGATCGTCGGCCCTGGCATGATCGACGGGGCCGACGAGCGCGGCTTCTGCCGGTTTGCCGTGAACTCGCGCCACGACTGGCCGATCTCGTCGGCCGAGGGCGAGCTCGTCGAGGCGGCGCCGCCCTGGCCGGCCGACGTGGGCCGTACGGTAGTCGAGACGACGTGACCTGGTGGCTCGAGCGAAGGAGGCGGTGCCGGGACGGAGAAGGCCGGGTCGAGGAGTAGGGAGCTCGGCCGGGGCGGCAGGACGGTGGTCGAGTGCTCGGGGCGCACGACTGGCGCGATCGTAGACGGTGGAGGCGAGGGTTGAGGTGCACGGGCGGTGGCGAACTGCGTACAGCATGAACGGGTCAGTGTACTGCGCCGCCGGCGAGAGAGAGTGAGGCTCGAGAGACGCACCTCGGCGGTGAGGCAGATCAGGCTCGGCTTCCTCTCGCGCTCGTCGATCGTGATGATGCGCAGCTCTTGAGCGCGATGGCCGTACGGCTTCCAGAACGACAGGGCCGGGTCGCGACGGTAGACGTCGTAGAACTCGCGGCACATGCGGCGCCCGACGTCCGAGACGAGGACCCACCGGTCGCGCGCCTTCATGCTGCGCAGCGTCTTGATGAGCGGCTCAAAGACGTGCGCCTCGTCGTCCGTCAGGCGCGACGCCTCCCGCGGCCGGCGCGGAACGGCCGCAGGTGCGGGAACAGGTGCGGGTGCGGCGGGAACAGGTGCCGGTGCCGGGCAGGGCGGTGCGCGTGCGGGCTCGTCGCGCCCACCGACAGGCTTCAGGATGTCGGTCGAGACGGCGAGCGGCGGGATGACCATCTGGCGCTTGACGACGGGCTCGGCGACAGGTTGGTCGGGCATGGGCGACGACGAGCGCGACCGCTTGACGAGGATCGGCTCGCGGCGGTCGGCGACGGCGGGATCAGGCGCCGAGTGTGACGCACTCGACGGCTCGGGCAGCCGCGGCGAGACCATCGACGGCAAAGACGGGTCACTCGGCGCCGGCCGAGCGCCTCCTGCGACGCCGAGCGAGGCGGCTGACGGCCCCGTGACGAGCGCAACCGACGCCGCCGAGCCCTCGGGCGCTCGAGTTGCGGCGACAAAGGACGACGAGGTCGACGAGGTCGACTGGCCGGGCGACCTGGCGGGAGGCGCACTGGCGGCGAGAGGCGCACTCGAGGCGCCGAGCACGGGTGGAACGACGGGCGAGGATGACGTGCTCGACGGCGGCGTGGCGCCCGACGACCCACGGGGCATGACGGGTACGCCCGGGACGCTCGATCTGGTCGTCGGGCTCGGCTTCTGCCTGCTCGCCGTGAAGGCTTCCCACGACTGGCCGATTTTGTCGGTCGACGAGGAGCTCGTCGTCGTCGGGCCGCGCTCGCTGACGGTCGTTGACGGCTCGGCGAGCAAGAGAGGGTGCGTCGGGGGCATCGATGTCGGCTGGTAGGGCGCAGGACGAGGAGGAAGGGCGGTCGTCGAGCGCTCGGGTCGGTCGGGCGAAGGGATGCGGGGCGAGCGGGTGTACCGGAAAGGGGACGGGGACCGACTGTCCGGAACGTCGAACTGCGTGTACGAGGTAGGGTCAATCCGACCGCCGACGAGAGCGACGAGGACGACAAGGGAATTTTGGGGCGCACCTCGGCGGCGAGGCGGACCTCGTCCTGCGCGTTCGAGAGAGGCTGGAGCGTGATGATGCCGAGTTTGTGCGCGCGCTCGGCGTACGCCTTCCACGCGCCGAGGCGCCGGTCGCGCTTGTACACGTCGGGGAACCAGGGACGCATGCGTTCCCCGACGTCCGAGCCCCTCACCCAACGCCTGCCGGCTTTCATGGGGCGGAGCGTCTCGACGAGGGGCTCAAAGACGTCTGCGTCGTCGTCGTGCAGGCGAGACGCCCACCTCGGCCGCGGCGGGAGCTGCGCTCGTACGGGCGCAGGACGGGACGCCGCTCGCGAGACCTCCTCGCCGTCGCCAACGCGCCTCGTGCCGCCGCCCTGGACGTACGCCGACGTGGAGCTCGAGTGAGGCGGGGCGGCGCGCTCGGTGCTGCGGTAGTCGGGCCGAGGGGACGGCGAGCGTCTGCGCTTGGGGAAGATCGGCTCGCGGCGGTCGATGACGACGGGTTCTGGCGCTTCTTGAGGCGGGCCGATCCGCTCTGGCGGCGGCTGCGAAAGCTTCGGGGAGCCGGCGAGCCCACCTCGGTCCGGCTCGAGCGGCTGGCGGGGCGCCGACGAGGCGAACGAGCCGACCGAGGTCGAGGTCTGGGCGGCATCGGCCGCGCTCGCGGTCGTCGGGTGCGGGAAGGACGGCTCGTGTGGCGAATGAAGAGGTAGGAGTGGTGGAGGTGGCGGACGACGGAGGTGTGCGGGAGGTCGAGGAGGAGAAGGTGGGCGCGCTTGAGGAGGGCCGGTGCTCGGCGGCCGGTTGTGCGCCTCTGACGGGAAGGTGGTCGAGGAGGACGTCGGCGGAGGCGAATCATGTCGCCGAGGCGTCTCGTGCAGGTACTGCGGGCTGGACAGAGAGAGTCAGTGCCGGGCGCGGATGAGAGGAGTGACAGCCGGGACGCACCGAGGGACGCAAGCGGACCCAGTCTCTCCCTTGAACCGCGCCTCTCCCGAGCTCGACGAGACCGAGCTCCTCGGCGCGAGCGACGTACGGCCGCCACGTGCTCAGGTCCGGGTCGAGCTTGTAGACGGCCGAGTTGAACTGCGGCAGTTCCTGGCCCACCCTGGACGCGAGGGCCGTACCGTTCGGGGCGCGGCGGAGCGTGCCGATGAGGGGCGCGAACACGCGCGCCTCGTGCTGCGTGAGGCCGCCTGGCGCGCTCGACCAAGGGCGTGATCCACCGACTGCCGGCGACGGGCGAGGCGGGTCCTGGACGGGCTCGTCGCGCGCTCGAGCGTGCCCTGCCGCCGCGTAGGGTGCGTCGACGTACAGGTACGGGTGAGAGCGCTCGGCGAGGTGCTCGGCGTCCTCGTAGTCGGGCAGGGGCGAGAGCACGCGAGGACGCTTGGCCGGCGGCGCCTGGATCGGCTCGTGGCGGTCGAGGTTGTCGAGCTCGTCGTCTGCGGAGGAACAGGCGTGTCAGTACGGGTCACGGGCAAAGAGGGGCCGCAAGGAGGGACGCACAGTCTTGCATCGGCGTGTCCTCGTCGTCGACCTGCTCGGGCTCGTGCTCGTACTCGACCTCGGCGTCCAGCGCCGCGAGCTCGTTCTCGATCCAGTCGTGCACCTCGCTCGCTGAAGGTAGGGTATGTCAGCTTGCTGCGCGTCTAGAGAGGGGTGGAAGGGAGGAAGGAGAGAGTGGACGCACGCGCCTCGTACCGCACCATGTTGCGCTGGGCCTCCTTGGCCCGGCCGAGCTCGTGCAGGCACCACTCGCGCATCTCCTGCTCGCCCTTGATCCGGTACAGGACCCACTCGGCCGCCATGCCGTTGTCGCCCGCCGCGTACGGGCTGGCGCCGCACTCGAGGAGGAGGGCGAAGACTGCGCGGCGGAACTCGGCTGGCTGGAACAGGACGGTCGCTGCCGCGCCGAGCAGGCAGGTGCCGTCGTAGATGCTCGAATCGAACACGCTCAACGGGGCCCTGGTCGGCCGGGGAGGGAACGGCGGAGGCGCGGAAGTTGTGGGGAGCGCGTCGACGACCTCGCGCAGCGACCCAGAGTGCAGGGCGTGGTGCAGGCGGTAGGCCAGCAGTCAACTCGTCTTGCGAGGCGCCAGCTGGCGCTCCATCGCGAGAGCGAGGTGCACAGGAGGAGGAAGAGGCGGCGACGAGGCGATGAAGCAACCTCGTCCGGTTTTCCTCCTCTCGCTCTGTCGAGAGCGGTCTGAATGGACGCGGCAGTCACGCTTTAGTACCTTGTGCTCTCGTCCGGTCGAGGCGGCGAGGAGTCGCGAGCTTCTGGCGATCCCTCTCTCGAGCTGAGTCTCGCGGCTCACGGTCTCTCCATGTGGGCGCCCCAGCATCGAGTTACTCCTGCATTGCGTCCTCCTGCACCTCTGCTCGGTCCCGCCGCTGCGCCCGAAAGACCGCGACCGCCCCGCCGTCGCCCACCGCGACCACGTCCATCCCTCCCGCTCCGACCGCGAGCGCCCTCCAGTGCAGCGCCGGCCGCGCTCCTGCGCCACCTCGCGCGTCGTCCCTCGGTACGACGTCCACGACGGCGCTCGGGAGGAGCCGCGGCGCAAAGTCGTGCGCCGAGCGGTCGCGGTCGGGCGGGAAGAGGGCGGCCGCAGCGGCATCGACCTCGGCGGCGCGAGCTGCGGCGGTCGGCGGTCGACGAGTTGCGGTAGGGGAATTGGTGATGCTGAGGAATGACCGAGCGGGCGCGGCGGAAGAGGAGGTGGAGGAAGAAGGGCTCGTGGCGGTACCGAGGGGAATGGGCGCGAAGGGGCGGTAGAAGTAGAGCGCCTCGTCGGCGTCGGCGGCGTCGGCCGGCACAGGAAGCGGCGTCGACGTCCCAATGACGAAGAACGGCTCGTCCGGTCCGTCCCGCTCAGGGTCGGCCGGCGAGTGCGGCGCCGGGCGGAACCACCCGACCGAGTCGCCGACGCAGTTCTGCGACTCGACGACGGCCTCGTACGCGACGCGTAACGCGCCGTCGCTCCTCGCGTATGGCGGGAGTGGGGCCGACGGCGGCAGGAGCGCGGGCGCGTCGGCCGACTCGGACGTGGCGCGTGCGAAACTGCGCGCTCGCTCGACTGCTGCGGCGCGACGATCGGCCGAGCGCGACGGAAGGACGTCGAGGACGGTCGGGGTCCACAGCTTGACGCTCGTGCGAGGCGAGAAGCGCGCGTCGGGGTGCGAGACGGGCGCCTTCGACAGGATGGTGCAGGTGGTCGGCGAGGCGAACAGGACCTGGTCGGGCCACTGGCCGGGGTGGACGGCGTACGAGGAAAAGATTGGCGGGCCGATGACCGGTGCATGGACGAACGGCGGAGGTGAGGGAGGGTGGCGGTGGAGCGGCGTGTGTGGCCAGAAGGGCGTCGCCTCGAGGACGGACGGCGGGAGGTGCCACAACTTGATGAAACCGTCGTTGCCGGCCGAGACGATGACGTCGAGCGTGGCGTGAAAGTTCTGGAGGAGTGTAAGGGTCGTCAGGACCGAGACAGGCGCAGAGGGAGAGGGAGAGAAGAGAGAAAGCGCGACGCACGCACGACATGACGGCCTTTTCGTGTCCGCCCTCTGCGAGCACGCCCAAGAGCTCTCCCTCTACCCTTGGCCTGCTCGTGCGCCCTCCCTCGGCCTGCCGAATGCGCTCCTCGACCTTGCTCTGCGGCCCGACCGCCTTGCCCTTGGCCTTCTTCTTCCCGCCGCCCGCCGTGTCCGTCTCGGTGGCGCTCGCACGCGCAGGTCCCGCTCGTCGCGAGACGATGGCGTCCGAGCCCCAGGGCAGGGTCGGGTCGCACAGGCGGACCGTCTTGTCCTCGCTGGCGGACGCGAGGAGGTGCGGGTACGAGGGGTGGAACGCGAGGGCGTGGATCGTCTGTGGGCGAGCAAAGGAGGCTTTTGTCAGGTTCGTCGACGGATGTAGAGTAGACTGAGAGAAAGGGGACGCACACCGCCATGGCCGGTGAGCGTGCGGTCCTTGTGGAGCAGCCACTCGCCCGACGGTCGGCGCCCGATGAAGAAGATGTCGATGACGCGCCCTCGACCTGCGACGGCGAGCATGGGCGTGTACGGGTGCGTCGAGATGTTGACGGACCAGGCGCAGGTGAGGTACTCCTCCTTGTCGCGCTGCGAGAGCGCGCAGGGTCAGTGCGGCCGAATCGGCGAGAGGGAGAAGGAGCCGACGCACGTGTGACGGGTACAGGCGAGCGGCACTCTCGTGGGAGACAAGGTGCGAGAGCTTTGAGGAGCTTGTCGAGGTCGAAGCCGAGTCGAGGTGGTGCAGGTTGACCTGTCGAGAGCGAGGAGGTCAGGATCGAGGCGTGAGGGGTGGGACGACAGCGGACGCACCTTGCTGCCGCCGACGACGGCCATGACGCCCGACATGTACGAGAGTCCGGGTAGATGGGCGTGCGGGAAGAAGGCGGCCGAGCGGTAGTCCTGCAGGCGCAACAGCCGTGAGGACGAGGGGGACCGAGTTTAGAAAAGGAGCTGTAGGACGCACAGTCGCGGTCTCCTTCTGCTTGCCCTTGCTCTCGACGTTCTTCCTCAGCTCGACGAGGCTCTCGCACGTCCACGTCCACCCCCACGGCGCCGCCTCGGGCTCGCGCAGCCTGCGCTGCCGCTTGATCCTCCTCCTGCGCTCGGCAGCCCGCGCCGCCTCGTCCTTGTCCTCCTGCGCCGTGCGAGAGGACGGCTCTTTCCACGCTGCAGGCGGCGCCGGATGCCGTGTCGGCGCGTGGTTGAGGATGTCGAAGTCGAAGGGAGGGTGCGGGAGAGGGTGGTCGCGCGAGACGGCTGCAGGGTCGACAGGCGTGCGAGCGCTCTTGGGCGGCGAGGGCACAGTCGTGTGGGCGTGGCGGCGAGGACGAGGAGCGCGGGACGGTGTGCGGAACGGCGTCGAGGCGCGGGGAAGAGGATCGGGCGAGAGGGCGGCGCGAGGTGCCGCTCGCGAGTCGTACGACGACGCGCCGCTGTCGAGCTCGATCGACGAGTCAGACGACGAGCTCGAGTCCGCGGACGACGAGTCGTCGTCGCGCATGCGGTAGTCGTCGGCGGCGAGGTCGACGAGGTAGTGCTGGTCGGGTGCTGCACCGAGCGGGCGCCGACTCGTCGCAGTCTTGCGAGCCGTGCGCTCGACCGAGCCTCGAGCGCGTCGCAAGCCCATCGAGACGTCGTCGTCGCCGCTGCTCGCCGCGCCGTGGTCCATGTCGGCGACGTTGGACGACAGGGAGGTTGGTGCCGAAGACGGCTCGACGACAGGACCGACCTGGAATACGACGCGCGCGCTATCGGTCTGCGAGCTGCTGATGCATGTGTGAGCCAGGTCTCGTACTCTGCTCGCGCGCTAGAGAGGGCGAGGACGCACCCGCGAGCCGGCTGGTCGGTCGTCGTGTCGGCCGCCCACCCGCTCATGGCGAGGCCGTGTTGACAAGGCTGCCAGCGTGTGGGCTGCTTGGCGGAGGTGCTGCGTAGCTACACTGGCGCGCAGGAGGCGAGCGCGGTGCAAGTGGTGGCTCAACGACGAGCTCGCTCGGTCGGCTCTCCCCCACACCCTCTCGACCTCGCGCAACTGCACAGCTGGACCAGCAGATCGACCCATGGTGCGTCCACTCCCCCTCTCGAGCCGGACGCCGACTGACCAGAGCCCCGTGCGCCCGCAGACGGCGCTGTTCAACTTCGAGTCGCTCCTGCTCGTCATCCTCCTCATCATCTGCACCTGCACCTACGCAAGAGGCACCGCCCCGGGCCTCATCGACCGCAACAAGAACGGGTCCGTCCCTCTCTCTCCCTCTCCAGCGGCCGCCGAGACGAGGGTCGAGGGTGAGGTGGAGCCTCGAGGTGATGAGAGCTCTCGCTCCGCCTGCAGGGCTCTCGGGAGCGGGTGCACTCGTCGGTGGAGTCATACAGGGCACCTCGATGTATCCAGACCGTCCAGCAGACTCTCGAGCGTGCGAGCCCTCACTGACCTTCCCCCACCTCCTCCCTTCTTTTTTTTCTTATAAAACTTAAAACCTTAGAGGCTATTTAAGTTGCTGATTTATATTAATTTTATTGTTCAAACATCTGCTGCGGCGTCTTCGAGCCTCGTAGCTGACGCCGTCGCCTTACCCCGGGCGCAGGAGAACGCCTCTCACCCTACGTCGCCCTTGCCTGCATCGTCATGGGCTGCCGCATCCTCCTCAACTAGACGACGTCGACCAGGACCCTGCAGTGTACATATGCGTCGGCCGGCGCAGGTCGAGCAAGTTCGGAGCGAGAGCGACTCTGTCTTGCGCTCCCAGCTTTCGCTTCCGCTTCGAGTCCCTCTCCCACGCGGCGCTCGTCGGGCTGTCGATCGCTTCGTACTGTCCTTCGCTGCAAAAGCCGAGACTCTCTCCTGAGCCACCTGCCGCTTCGGCGTGCTCGCGCCGGTCCGTCCGCGGACTCTCCTGCGCTCGCGCCTCCCGATCTCTCCTCTCGTCGTCCGCCGCGCGTCCCACCTCTCGCAGCCGCCCACCTCCCTCACCGACGAGGTCAGCTCCGCCCGCCATGAGCAACCCGGCGCACAAGTACGCCGCCTTCGACCCGAACCACCCTGGCGGCTCGGACGGCGGCAGCGACGCGAGCATCGTCATGCGCACGGGAGCCAACAAGGCCGCGCTCAAGGACCTCGAGCGCGCCGTCTTTGCGGGCAAGAAGGCCATCTGGCCCCTCTTCTTCGCGACCCTGGTCGTCGGCGTGGGCACGAGCGTGTGGGGCTTGCTCAAGGGAGAAGGGCGACTGTGCGTCTCTCTCTCTGCCTCTCGTGCCCCTCCCAGTCGACGAGCTGACAAAGCCTTTCGAGAACACAGTGCGCAGCGTCTTCATCATCGTCTTGATCGGCTGGGGCGTTCTGTTCGGCATCGAGGTGAGCCCCTCCTCCTCCCTCTCGGCTCTCCCCTAGCCACACTCGCTGACATTCCTCATCTTCTCGCAGGGCTTTATGCTCAACGAGCTGTCTACCGTTCGCCGGTCGCACCACCCGATGATCGTCTTGCGCCTGTGCTTCACCTTCGGCGTGCGTCCGCTTCCTTCCTCGTCTCGAGTCAGCGCACGAGCCTGACGACCTTGCTCTCCCACAGGGCTGGTTCTCGGGCTACCTCATCGCAACGTGCGTCCTTATCGGCATCTGGATGTACAAGGGCCGCTTCGAGGGCTCGCACAAGCTCGCCTGGGCGCTCCTCGTCGTGCGTCGTGCCTCCTCTCTCTCGAACCCTCTCTCTCTCGCGCACGCCCTGACAGCCCGTTCCCGCAGATCCAGGGCCTCCTCTGCGCCGCCGTCATCGTCGCCTTTGTCCTGTACGTCCAGCTGTACAGCCGCAAGATCAAGCAGCTCCAGATGCAGGCGACGCTCGTCACGCCCGGCGCGACCCAGCACATCGCCTCGGCCGTCGGCAGCATGCGCCGCAAGGTCTCGCGCCTCTCGCAGCGGTCGCACACGTCGTCGTCGAGGCGCGCCAAGGACGGCTCGACGCCGTCGCGGCGCAGCTCGCGAGGGTCGACGCTCGTCGGCTCGGCCTCGGTCCGCTCCAAGGCGTCGAAGCGGTCGTCGAGCCAGGCGCCGTCCGACAGCGGCACCGACACGGACGACGGGTACTCGGACGCCGCTCGCGGCGAGGCGCGCAGGCGTGCCGGGTCGGGCAAAGGCGGCGGCGAGAGCGGCAACGACGGCTACTCGAGCGGCGCAGGGTCGACAACGGCCTCGGACGACGACACGCTCCTCGGAGCACACGACCAGCACGGCGCGCAGGCCCGAGCGCCGACATCGACGGTCTCACGCTCGGCGTCGGCGGCGTCGGCGAGCTCGTACTCGTCGAGCCGGGCTCACGACGACCCAACGACCTCCTCCGACATCCCAGCGTCTCTCCGCATCGGCTCGCCAACTTCCTCGCCGACGAGCTCTCGACCTACGTCGCCCGTGTACCGCCCGACCTCGGCGGCCTCGTCGTCGACTCGCCCGGGCACGATCCCGGTCCTCGTGCGTGGTCGCTCGGGCACAACGAGTGCGTTGTTCGACCCTGTCACGAGCCGCTACGTCTCGTACTCAACGCTCCCCGAGACAGGACCCGCACCGCCGCCGACGAGAACGAGCGACCCGTACCTCACTCGAGCGCCGTCGACCTCGCCGTACCCCTTCCAGCAAACCTCAACATCGACCTACGCCGCCCCGCCACCGTCCGCCTACTCTCCTTATACCGCCTACTCGCCGCCGAGCTCGCCTGCGCCACCGGGCCGCGCCGCATTCCCCTACGCCCCAGCGTCCGCCCAGCCTCGCACGCCCGGCATCGGCTCCCGCCCTCCTCCCTCCTCCTCCGCACCTCCGCCATCCACCTCTCGCTACCCGCCTCCGCCCTCGTACCCCGTCGGACGATCGGCATCGACGGCGGCGGCGCGCTCGGCGTACTCGGCGGCGGCGGCAAGTCAGGGAGCGGATCGAGCGCGGCTTGCGGTGACGAATCCGGATGGGCTACCGCCCATGCCGTTGCACCATTGATATCACGGAACTGTCTTGAGCGTCGCAAAAGCCGAGGAGAGCATGTCTAGCGAGCGAGAGATCGCAGAGCGAAAGTCGGAGAGCGAGCTTCGAGTCGGTCGAGGTCCGAGCCGAGAGCGCTCTTCCTGCCGGCTTGCTCGTCAACGAGGCCACTCTGTACAGCACTGAGAGCATGCTCGAAGCGGGAGAAAGTACGGCGACCGCTGTGGGGAGCGTAAGCTCGAGTTCAAGGTCTGCTCGGCACTCGCGTCCCTCGTTCCCCTCCCACCCCTCGGCCCTCACGACCGGGCTCGCTCAGACTGGCTCGAGTCGGTACCTGCACATCTCGGCATCATTCTTCTGCTTCATGCGCACCACTTCGAGCGCTCTCCGCCGGCGCAGGGCGCGTCACATCTTCATCAGTAACCCGCGTCGTCCGACCTCTCTCGACTGGTGGCAACGGTTCATGGGCCTGTGGGTATCGTCGTCGAGGTCTATCGCAGCATCAAGGAGACTACTGGGCCAGGCGACCGCGCTGTGCGGGCTGTGGGCGACTGGTGCGTCCCCCTCCTCCCCGCCTCCCTTTGTTTGGCCCCCCTCCCCCTCTCCCCTAGCCCCCTCTGCCACCTCGCGACGCGGTGCAGGGGTCTCGATAGACTGACTCGGTCACCTTACAGGCGGAACGGCTGCGCAAGGCGAGCAGGGCGGTCCTCTGGGCGGCGCGAGGCGGGCTCCCGACCTCGAGGCGGCTCGTCTTGTCCTTTTGTACGTCCCGCGCGCTCTCTCTCTCCCTTGCAGGACCTTCATGTGGGTCTGTGCTCCTCGCCGAGCCGCACACTGACCCTCTCGACCTCGCGCCGCAGGTTAGTCGCGCCCTCGATGGCACCTCTCCCTTCTCGGCCCCGAAAGCTTCCCCTCGCGCCCTTCCTGCGCCGCGCGACGGCGCTCTTCCCTCTCTCATAGCTCTCTCGTCCCTCGCGATTGTTCCCAGACCGCTCAGAGTTCTTGTTCGTCGTCGCACTCGTCCTGACGGCTCAGCGAGTCGAGCCGTCGCGGACGGGTCTTTACGAGGCTGCGCCCGCCCTCACGTGCCCCTGAGGGCAGCGGGCGCACTGTGGTGAGCCGCTCGCACGGCGCGCACCCCTGCGGAGTGCCCGTGCGCCCGGCCACCTACAAAAGACAAGGGGGATCCTGCGCACCCTCGCTCAAACGCTAGCTCTTGATCTAGCAGGGTTACGGCCTTCTGCTCGCGCCAGATCGGACGACGATGTGTCTGCGATGCAATCGAGCGCGTTTCCCGAGCTATTTTGTCGTGTAGAGCGCGAGCTGGCCTCCTCGGCTGCCTTCTCAAGTCCGAGGTCGGCGAGGCGAGAAATCTCCCTGATGGCTCGTTTCCTCGCGAGCTCTCTCCTTGAGTGTACTTGAGTGATCCCTGAGCAAGGGCAAGTGCCCCCACCCTTGTGGACAGCGCAAACCTCGTCTTCCTCCTCGACTTGCTCCTCGAACCTGTCTTCATGCTTCCGCTTCCCAGACCTCGCGCGCATGCCCCTGCAGTCTCTCGATGGACATTCGAGGAGGGCGAGACTGAGCTCGACAGCGTCGCGAAAGAGCTCGTTCTGCTGCAAAGTCGACCAGGGCGCTCGAGCCCTTAGAAGACTTCTCGGTTCGAGAGAAGTAGGTCAAGGTCAGGTCTCAGACGTCGAGTATCCGTCTCAACGAAGACGGGCAGAGTGACGGGACCCGGGATTTAACAACTCTCGAGCAGTGAGAGCGTCCCGCAGCTACCTTCTCTTGCTCGACGGGGCCAACTTCTCGGTTTCGAGAGAAGTCGGTGCCGCTCAGGGCTTAGTTAGACGTCGAGTATACGTCTCAACGAGGACGGTCGGAGCGACAGAACCCGGGATTTGACAACATTCGAGCAACTAGAGCGTCTCGCAGCTCCCTTTTCTTGCTCGACGAGGCCAACTTTCCCTCGAGCGACCTCTCGTCAGGAGAGCTCTATTACAGCTTGTCCGAGCATAGAAAAGGCTATCTGTGTTACGGAGGCAGAGAGACTACGAGAGGGACGAGGGCGGGCGCGAATCGAGAGGGGAGGACGCCGAACTTGGGAAGGTCGACCAGCTGGCTACGAATGCCTGCCGAGCTTGTCGCCCGCCGTGCGGTAGCTCTTGGCCTGTGACGACGCTTCAAGGGGTCAGGAACGTGGCTGAGAACGAGAGGAGGAAAAGAGGAACGCACGAGCTTCTGCTTCTCCTTTGCCGCTTTGGCCTCCTGCTCGGCCTCGCGCTCGAGCGCGTGGATCTCGTCGCGCGCAGCTTTGACGGCCGCACGAGCGCGTGCGAGAGCCTGTGAGAGAAATTGAGAGTCAGGTCTGGGCTAGTTGAGCGCGAATCGAGGGCGCAAGGAGAGGAAACGGAAGAGGACGCACGGCGTCCGCCTCGTTCTCAGCGTGCTGCGCCGCCTCGAGCTTCGTGCGCGCTCCATGGAGGCTATCGGTCCTGTGTGAGTGAGTGTGTAAGTATAAGATCCGGAGAGGGACGCGAGGCAAAGGAGCACGGCAACTCACTTTGAGAACCGGTGCGACGATCCGACATCGTCCTCGCTCGACCTGCTCTTGCGACCGAACAACCCGCCGCTCTTGTGCGTCTCGACAGGCTCTTGATGGACAGGAGCCGGCGGCGGCGGCGAGGCCGTCTTGTGCTTGCCGAAGAGCCCGCCGCCGTGCGACGAGGTCGTCGTCGTCGTGGTCGAAGCGGCAGGTGGCGGCGGTGCGACGTGCTCGTCGGCCTTGTGCGAGGTGAAGAGGCCCATGATTGGCTGAGCGCGAGGATGAGAGAGGAAGAGAAGCTGAGCAGGCGAGAGGCGAGCAAGCGTCGAAGGGAGAGAAGCGGAAGAGAGACCGCTGACGACGGAGCCGACGTCCACCCACTGCGCCCTTCCTGCTCGATGCGCCTCTCGTAAAGCGCGTCAGAGCGAAAAAGGCGAATGGAGCGTGCGCGACTCGAATTGCGAGTGACGGCGTGCGGGCACGTGCCCCTCGGCTCCGGACGGACTCTGCGACGGACGACGAGTTGAGCGCGCGCAACGAGCCGTCTATTCCATCTCTGCAGCTTCTACGGGCCCTCGCCTGCGTCTATGAACCGTCCGTTACGCTGCGAGCAGGCCGGGCACGTCGGCTGCCCTGCGGCGCACGACCGGCCGCCCCTCGAGCAGCTCGTCGACGCGCTCCCTGCCGCCCTTTTCGCTCCAGTCGTCCCACCCGATCGCGAGCACGGCGCTGTGCCTGCCCCTCCCGATCCGCTCCTCCTCGTCGCGCCACGCACCTTGCACGAACGCCGGCAGCGCGACGCCCTCCTTGCCCGGGACCGTGACACGGTCCCACGCCATGTGCGCCGCCTCGAGCGAGAAGCCGAGGCGCTCTGCGGCGCGAATCGAGGGCACGTTGAGCGCGTTGGCGAACCATTGGACGCGGCGAAGGCCGAGGCCGGGAGGGGACGAGGGCGCGGCGGACGAGGGAGGGGTGAGGAGCCACCGAAGGAGGAGCGCGATCGAGTGCGTGAGGACGTGGATGCGCTGGAACGGGGACGGGATGTGCAAATGACTGTTTCGTGTGGCGCAGGACGTAGGTCAGGGACGTCTATCGCGAGAGAGGAAGAGGAGGGAAAGGGAAGAGAGAAAAGGGGAACGAGAGGACGCACCCAATCTCGGTCATGCGGTTCGCCGGCGTCGACTTGAGCACTCCAACGATCCCGGCTATTCTCTCCTCGCGCAGCTCGTCCTCCTCGCCGGCTCGCGTGTCGTCAAAGTCGAGCCCGAGGTCGTGAACGGCGAACAGGAGGGTTCCGGGCTCGCGACGGCGCTCTTCGAGGAAGGTGAGAAAGGCTGGGTACGAGGGGAAAGGGCCGTAGGGGAGGTAGAAGAAGCCCTCGGGGTGAGCGTTGTAGAGCTTGTGGAGCCGAGGGCCGTGGAGGGAGGGCTGGAGGTGGAGGCACGAGGAGGAAGAGGCGAGGTCAGCTCGTGCGAGGCGCATAGGGGAGCGAGAGAGGGGACGCACGATCAAAGGCACCAGTCGGACGCCTTCAGAGCGCAGCACGGCCTCGCTCGGGAGGTCGTAGCAGAAGGCGAGGTCGTACGCTTCGGGCGGGGTCTGCGCCTCGTAGGCGGCCTCGGCGAGCGGCGCGGGTGGCGTGTACTTGTTGAGAAAGTGCATCGTAGCTGCTCAGGCCGAACAGCTGGCGCAGGAGAGTGGTGGTGGAGGAGGGAGAGCCTCTCGTCCTGACTCAAGCTGATGAAGAATGGATTCGCCCGGCTCACCCGCACCCTCGCCCTGGAGTGTCTCTGCTGCTCGAGCTTGCGCCGACAAGGTCTAGTGCGACAGCTGGACGGCCGGCCGGAACGACGGCCGGCTGTATGGCCACTCGCAACCAGTCGCTTCGCTCGCAGACGGCCTCGGTCGCGCTCTCGCTCGCTGCAGATCAAGGCCGCCTCAAAGCATGCTCGACACAGTCCTGGGTACCTTCGAGAAGAGGTCCAAGGCCCGATCTGAGCCGAGCGCCCGTGCCCGAGCCACCAAAAGTCGGCTCGCGCTCTCATGCTCTCTGTCCTCGCGACCTGCACCGCGTGGCCTGAGCGAGGCTCGTGCAGAGAAGCACCGCGTTTCAGTGCTTGGCGACAGCGACGGGCGTGATGGTAGCCTGCAGGAAGGAGGACGAGGTCTGTCAATGGCGTTGCGAGGCGCGCGAGGATGCCGACTCGAGTACGGCCTCCTGGCGTGGCTGTACGGCGGGAAGACTCGCGAGATGGGAGAGAAACGCACCTTGGACATGTCCCATGCTCCTCCAGTCGCGTACACGTCCCGACTCAACCGCTCTCGCGCCTTGTCGAGCGACTCCTCGCGCAGGCAGAACCACGACCCAGTCATCTTGGTCCGTGCGTCGTCGGCGAATGTTGCGCCGGCGGTCACTGCGAGAGTCGAGGCGATCGTCGAGGGCACATAGATTCAGTGGCCGTGCACGAGGGGGAGAGAGAGAGGGTGAGAGAGGGAACGGACCGATCCAGCCTTGCTTGTGGCCGACGGCGGCGTGCTCGAGGTGGGTCGGGCGGACATCGAGGCTGCAGGGGATCAACCTTGGGTCAGCTCTGCACCAGATAGAAGACCGCAGGAAGAGGCCGCACCGCTTCGAGCCCTCGACAAAGTCGGGCAGGGTCGCAAGGTAGGTCTTCATCTCGTCTGCAGGGCGAGTGAGTCAGCTCGCGTGTGGCGCACAGAGAGGGAGGGTGGGTGGGCGGACCTGCAGGCTTGGACATGGGCTCTGCCCAGGGGTTGCTCGCCGAGGAGGACATGGCGCGGCGCGTGTGGGGGACGAGGAGCGAGGGGCGGGCGAGGAGGCGGCTGGCGGGTGCGGCGTGGCGGACGGCGAGCATGTAGTACCGAGGAGCGGTGCAGCAAGCTCGACTTGTGCAGCAGTGCGGGCGTGAGCGAGGCAGAGCAGCTGACCAGAGCCGCGGCAACGCCGACGAGCCTTCGGCACAGACAGTCCGCCTCACCACTGCTGAGTGCACACGAGCTGGTCACACAAGCAGAGCACTGCTGCTCCCTGCGTGGCCGACCGCGCCAGCCACTCTCGAGATGCCCTCACCCACTCTTCCTCGCCTCCTCGTCGGCCTCATCTCCTCGCGCCTGTCTCGCTCTCGCATCGACTAGCGAAATGGCATAGATTACGCCGAGCCCGACACATAAACCTCAACGAGCGACCGCGATCCCTTCCAGTCCCTCCCGACCCGCCCTCGCCGTTCACCTCTCCTCCTCTCGCCCGAACCCGAACGACGCCCTGCGCGCAAACCCGCCCGCCTGCGCCGTGACGGTGCGCCGCACGGTGACGACCTGCGTGATGGTCGTCGCCGCCTGTGCGCCCTCGAGCGTCGTCGTGACGGTCTGCGTCGACGTGAACGTCGTCACGTCGACGACCTCGGTCCGGGTCGACGGCGCGACCGCCTGCGAGACGGTGACGACGGCGCGCGAGGGACCGGTCGCAGGGGCGGCGACGGTCACGGTCGAGCCGCCGAGCGTCTGGACGACGGTGGCGCGCGAGGCGGAGCCGGTCGTGACGCGGATGGGGATGTAGCTCGTCGAGGTCGGGTCGGCCGTAACGATAGACGACAGGGTCGACATGGACGTGACGGTCGAGGCGGCATCTGAGAGGGCAAGCTGTCAGCTGTGCCTCACGAGAGAGCGAAAGGAGAGAGGGACGCACTGGCTTGCGCGGCGTTCTGCTTGCCGCCGTCGCCCTGGTTCCTCGTCCCGAGCCCAACACCAAGCCCGACGCCGAGTCCGAGCTGTTTCGCGCACGTTCGAGGATGGTCAGGTCGTCGTCTCGAGACATGCGCGAGGAACGAGAGAAAGAGGGAGCCACGCACCGCGAGCAGGAGCGTAGTGACGAGCGCGAGGATCCCGGACCACTTGAGGTACCACGGCGTGACGGCGCTCTTGCCGCTCGTGCTCCTCCCGACGCTCGTCCGGCTCAGGAGCGGCGCACTGCGCGGGCCTGAGCCAGTCGCCGTGCCCGCAGCCGACGTCGCCGTCCCTGCTCCTGCTCCTGCGGCGGCGGTAGCGCCAGCGCTCGAGCCTGCGCCGGCAGACGGACCACGAGGCTGCGCGTGGAGGAGGTCGGTGTCGTAGCCGTACTATAAGAGGACGGGCGAGAGTCGGGAGGAGTCAGTGGCGCGATCCTGGAGAGGTGGTGGACGGCGAGAAGCGCACGCACCGTCGAGCGGGGGTCGGCGAACGGGTCGCTGGGAGACACGGGCTGCATGGTCGAGCTGGGCGGGGGTGGTAGCGAGGGCGAGATGAGCGGCGACAGGGAAGGAAGCGCGGAGGCCGCCTCAGGCCGGGCTCGGCGACGACGAGAGAGGAGGCTCGACGAGGTTCGCGCGCACACGGTCGAACGCCCGGACTCTCCGACGAGGCCCCGCCGACATCTCGCACTTTCTCACAATCTGCTCTGCGTTGTGACGAGCTGGCAGGACGACGCGACGGACAGGGATAGGGTTGGGTACGCGGAAAGAAGCTACACGAGCCTCGCCTCGAAATCGGCACTTCGGCTCCTTCTCTCCCTCAGCGCCCGCTCCTCCGGCGCCAGACCCACCACGCCAGTCGAAACAGCGCCCTCGTTGAGCATCGTTGGGGCGAGGGTGCGGAGCGAGAAGGACGAGGCTGTCGACCCGCTGGACGAGGTCGAGGCCGAGCGGCGCGACGAGAGAAAGTCCTCGAGGAGGTTGGCGAGGAGGAGGACGGGGAAGAGCGCGATGAAGGTGAAGATGATCCTGTGGCAGGCGGGACGAGAGCGGCGAGTCAGTCAGGGCTCGAGAAAGGCGAGAGGTAGAGAGGGTCAAAACGCACCACCGCTCGCGATGTCCTCGGCCCGTCGCGACCCTCATCTCTCTCGCGCCCTCCCTCAGGTCCAGCGCAATCTCGTCGAAGAACCGGTGCGACCGAGTCTCCTTCCCGCTCGCCGTCCGGCGGACCGCATCGGCGAGGATGGCCTGCTTCCAGTCGGCTCGGCGCGAAGTAGATGACGAGGCGCCGGCCGGCGTCGGGTCGTGCGGCAGAGCTGTAGTTGGTAGGAAGATGTCGCGGCGTCGCGAGCTAGATGATGTCGAGGGTGACGGGTCGAGGCGATAAAGAGGGGGAGGCGAAGGGGGAGGGAGCAAAGTCGCCGGCGACGCGTTCGCCTTGACCTGCGACGCGGAACAGGGATGTCAGAGAGGTCGTTCGAGGAAGAGAGAGACTAGGAGACGCACGAGCTGAGGTATCTTGAGCGCCTCGAGGCCGTCGAGGAGCCGCAAAAGGATCGAGAACGGGTTGTCGACGACAAAGCGCGATGCGTGAACAACGTCCTTGGTCAAGAGGTGCTGTTTCTCCGTCGGGTAGTCAGTGAGAAAGCTCGGAAAGAAGAAAGAGAGAGGGGAGACGCACCGGGAACTCGTGCGCACCGACCTCGAGGTAGTCGCCAAGCGCGTCTGGCTCGACTCCCTCGACGCCTTCTCGCCTCGCTCGTCTCCTGCGGTCCCGCCCCTCGGCTCTCGCCTCGCGCCTGACGTCCCGCGCCCGCCGAGCGAGCCGCCGCACGACGCCGTCCACCTCTTCTCGCCGCTCAGCGAGCTCCCTCGCCTCGTCGCCTTGACATCCTCGCTCACCACTCTTGCCCGCCAGCCAGACCCGCTCCTCGTCCTCCCACAGGCGCAGAATCTCCCTGTCGACGTCGCGGAGCCGAGCCGCAGCGTCCAGGAGCGCGTCGCGCAGGTCGAGCGCGAGCGTCGGGGTCGAGAGGTCGTTCGGGTGGAGGGCGGCGAGGCGGGCCGAGAGGGCGCGCAGGGTGCGGATGCGGGTCGCGAGGGTGTCGAGAGAGGTGTGCGCCGCGGCGAGCTGTGAGGTGAAGAGGATCAGGAAAGTGCGAGAGGATGCTGGCGAGGTAGGCGCACCTGGTCGTCAAAGGTCGGGACGCAGTCGTCGAAGTCGAGGCTCGAGCGAGTCGTCGAGCTCGAGGAACCGCCCGAGAAGCGCAGCGAGGAGGACATGAGGCTGTCGAGGACGCGAAGCTGGTTGAGCGAGGGCAGCTGAAAGCGCCGCTCGCCGGCGGCACGCAAGGGGGCGCACCGTGCAGGTCCGCGGAAGCTCCGGCGAACGCTTTATGCGTCCGAACGACGGACAGGAGGCCGAGGAGCGTGCGGCTCGGCTGGGCGCGAGAGCCAGCAGGGAAGCACGGTCGACGCGCTCGAGCTGCTCCTGCGACGAGCTTGTGGCTGGTGTGGGCGACAGCACGCGCAGCTTCTGGGCAGCACGTTGGCTGTCCCGCGCAGGCGCGGAGGGCGGGGCAAGCGAGCGGGGCGGCGTGTGGAGGATGACGGCAGGCGAGAGGCGGTGGACGACGACGCGACGAGGTGAGGAGCGGGCAGCGCGTGGTCGTAGCCAGAGGTTCGCTGGACAGCTCGGCCCTTGCATTCTGCCCCTCCATGCAGCAGAGAGAGAGAGCGGCGAGCGACCGCGAACGCTCTCCGGCTCGCTCCGGCAACGTCCCCTCGTCGCTGTCTCCGCTCTCGCTGTCTCTGTCGAGCTCTCCTTCCTGCGCAGGCTGCAGCGCAAGGCCCACCTCTACCGACCCACCCGCCATGCTCAACCGTGAGCCCCGTCTCCCCTCTCCTTGCCCTCCTTCCTCCCGCCCACACCGCGCCCGACCCTTCCGGTCCCTCGGCGCCCTCCTCGCCCCACACCAGCTCGCGTGCAAGTGGACGCAGCGTGGACACCTCCCGCCTCGATTCGCGCGAGCTCTCGTGCGCGCGCACACCCCAGCGAGCTCGTCCTCGCCGAGTTGCGCCTGCCGGCGGCTCACCCTGGGCGATCCCGCGGGTGCGACCCTCGACTCGGCTCGTCCTGCGCCGTTGCGCTCGAGCGACGAGGTCCAACACCGTCCCGTTGAGCCCCGTCTACAGCACTGACTCGCCCCTTTTCTCCCCTGCAGCCTCGCCCCTTTCGTGCGACTCGGCTCCGCAAGCTCTCGCCGCGCCTAGCTTGGGCATCCAGGCCGAGTACACCACCCCGAGCGAGGTCGACAAGTGGAAGAAGACGTTCCACCGCTATGCGACCCGCGACTCGATCGGCGGCGAGAGGTGCGCCCCCCTCTCCCTCGGCGAGGCGGTGCGGCACGAGCCAGCGATGGCCTCGTGCCGCAGTGTCTTTCACCCGCTATGCGAGCAAGGAGTCTCACACTATCGCCCCTTTGCAGCTACCTCACCGAGCCCGACTTTGTGTCGGCCGTCGCTCCCGAATCCGACTTCTCCAAGATCAGCCGCCAGCAGTACGGCATCCTGTTCAAGGTCGCCGACCGAAAACATACGGGCCGGGTCGACTGGGACGACTTCGTCGCCTTCGAGGAGCTCCTCAAGAAGCCGGCGGCCGAGTACGACGTGCGTCCACCCCTTTCGCACTCCCCGCCCGGTCCTCCTTCCTCCCTCTCGACCACGTCGCTAACCCTCTCGCGCATTGTGCGGCACAGATCGCCTTCCGCGTGTTCGACACGAACGGCGACGGTCAGGTCCTGTTCAACGAGTTCAAGAGCACGTTCCAGAGCATGCGCGGGCCCGACGCCATCCCGTTCGACTTTGACAGCCCGTGGGTCAAGCTGTACCTCGGCAAGCAGGACGGCGGTCACGTTCTCGGCTTCAAGTGCGTCTCGCCCTCTCTCTCGGACCCTCGAAGCCGGCGAGGACGAAGCCTGACCCTCGCACCCTCGCAGCGAGTTCACCCAGCTCATCAAGGGCCTTCAGGGCGAGCGCCTGCGCCAGGCGTTCCGCCACTTTGACAAGGATCTCGACGGCTACATCGACAAGGGCGAGTTCAAGCGCATCATCTACGAGCTCGCGCGCCACAAGCTGTCGGACGCCGTCCTCGAGAAGCTCGACTCGGTCAGCGAGGTCGTGCCCGGCGGCAAGATCAGCTACTCCGAGTGCATCGCCTTCTACAACGTGCGTCCCTAGCTCTCTCTCTCTCTCTCTCTCTCTCCGATAGTGCCGGACTGACCGCTGTTGCCCCCGTCGTGCAGGTCATCCACGAGATGGACCTGGTCGAGAAGGTCGTCCGCGAGGCGTGCGCGCGCTCGCCCGACGGCAAGATCACGCCGCTCGACTTTGTCAACCACGCGTCGCGCACGATGCGGTACGGCACCTTTTCGCCGATGGAGGTCGCCATCATATTCCATTTCTCGCGCCAGGGCGTGAGCGACGCCGACAAGCCGCGGCTCGGCCTGCGCGACTTTGGGAGCCTGCTCGACGCCAAGTGGGGCCCGCCGAGGTCGACGACGACCGTGACCGAGGGCGGCAAGGTCAAGCGCAAGGCGGGCAGCGCCCTGCACGAGATCGGCAAGGTGCGTCCTCGTCCCTCTCATCTTTGGGTGCCGGCCGGCCTAGACGAGCTCGACCTGACTCTCTCCTCTTCTTCCTCGTCGTAGTCGGCGTACTACTTTGGGCTCGGCGGCATCGCTGGCGCGCTGGGCGCGACGGCAGGTGCGTCCACCTCCTTCCCCTCCCTCTTCCTCCTCCCTCTCTCGACGAGCCGTCCCTGACTCGGCCTCTCTCGCTCGCAGTATACCCCATCGACCTCACCAAGGTACGTATACCTCCTCACTCGCCGAGCGTCCGGCGCAAAGCCCTGACCCTCTCCTCGACCTTCCTCGCGCTCGCCCTCGCAGACCCGCATGCAGAACCAGCGCTCCAAGGTCGTCGGCGAGCTCCTGTACAAGAACTCGCTCGACTGCGTCAAGAAGGTGTACAAGAATGAGGGGTTCACCGGGTTCTACCGCGGCCTGCCGCCACAGCTCATCGTGCGTCCCCGCTCTCCTCTCGTCCCCTTTCTCCCCGTGCCTCGACTCGATGACGGGGAGCTCACCAGTCCCTCGACATGCGCAGGGTGTCGCGCCTGAAAAGGCGATCAAGCTCACGGTCAACGACCTCGTGCGCGAGTACGCGACCGACGCGGCAACGGGGCGGATCAAGGTCGGGTGGGAGCTCGCGGCTGGTGGTCTCGCCGGTGGCTGCCAAGTCGTGCGTCCTCGTCTCGCTCATGTCTCTGCGTCCACCGTCGTTCGTCGCGCTCACCCTCACCCGTCGTCGTCGTCATCGTCGTGCAGGTCTTCACCAACCCGCTCGAGATTGTCAAGATCCGGCTGCAGATGCAGGGCGAGAACGCCAAGATCTCGGGCGCGGCGCGACAGAGTGCGGCGCAGATCGTCAAGAGCCTCGGACTGCTCGGCCTGTACAAGGGCGCCATCGCGTGCCTCGCGCGAGATGTCCCCTTCTCGGCCATCTACTTCCCTGCGTGCGTCCCCCTCCTCCACTTCTCTTCTCGTCCCTCATCCTCGTCCCTCCCCTGACGAGCTCTCCTCGTGCAGGTACGCCCACCTCAAGAAGGACATCTTCCACGAGGGCCGCGACGGCAAGGCGCTCTCGTACGGCGAGGCGCTCTCGGCCGCCGCCATCGCTGGCATGCCCGCCGCCTACCTGACGACGCCCGCCGACGTCATCAAGACGCGCCTCCAGTCCGAGGCGCGCAAGGGCGAGAGCACGTACAAGGGCGTCGTCGACGCGTTCCGCAAGATCCGTGCGTCGACCTTTCCCTCTCTCCCGGTCTCTCGAGCGCAGCGTACTGACCCAGCCTCTTGTCGACAGGTGCCGAGGAGGGCTTCTCGGCGCTGTACAAGGGCGGTCCCGCACGTGTGCTGCGCTCGTCCCCGCAATTCGGCGTCGTGCGTCCCTCTCCCCTTTTCTCCTCTCTCTTCCTCGACGGCGTCCTGACCTCGAGGCCCGCTCGCCCGCAGACCCTCGTCGCGTACGAGAACCTCAAGAAGCACTTCCCGTACCCCGAGCCCAACCAGAGCCTCATCGAGACGGTGCTGCCCCGCGAGGAGGAGATGGCGCGCGTTCGTGCGAGGAATGCTCTCAAGGGTGCGTCCTCTCTCTCTGTCTCTCTCTCTGCGTCTCTCCTCTCTCTCCCTTGTGGCGACGAGCTTGACTGACCTCCCTCTCGCCCTTGCAGTGCTCCTCGACGTCGACACGAACGTCGGCATGCGGTCGGCGCCCATCCCCGAGAGCAAAAAGTAGACTCGTCTCCCCCCTTTGTCGAGAGACGACCCCAATGCAGTTATCAGACACTACGTGCGACGCCTGGCTCGGGGTGAGACTGCTCGAGAGCGTGAGTTGGTCGCGAGACGGTCGAGCTCAACTTGGGAAGGCCAGCAAGCAGCTTTGCGGCTCGCTGGAAGGACGAGCGACGCGAGGCGAGAAGAGAGACTGCTCGAGTATGCAATACATTCCTCGATAATTTTCTACAAAGACAGGGGAGGGTCGACTCAAGCGCCGATGGACGCGAGAGGCTCGTCCGCTCGCGAGCTCGAGCTCGGCGGGAGCACGCCGCGCACCCACGCGTCGACCTCGACTAGCTCGGGCAGGCAGAACGTGTGCGCGATGCCGTCCCACCACCGGAAGGTGACGTTGGTGAGGTTGAGGCGCCGGGCCGGGTGCGTGTGCGCGAGCGCGGTCGAGGGCACGCTCGAGTTGAGCTTGGGAGGGACGGCTGAGGGCGAGAGGAGGGCGAGCGAGGCGAGAGCGTCGGAGAAGCTGCGTGCGGGGAGCGAGTCAGGACGGGCGAGAGAATTGCCGAGGTTGGCGAGGTTGGGAAGGTCGAGAGAGAGGGAGGGAGGACACGCACGTGAGAAAGTCGTCCTTGCCGCCGTGGCCCCACCACACAGGCAGGTCTCGTCGATCGAGGTCGTACATGAGCTGCGAGAGGTGCGCTCACAGTCAGGTCGGGCTTCTGAGAGGAGAGGAGAGGAGAGGTCGAGCTCGACGAGGGGGACGCACCTTGGCCATCTCGTCCCTCAGCGGCAAGAACCCGCTGAACACGATGACGCCGCCGAGTCGCTCTGGGTGCGTGAGACCGACGAGGAGGCTCATGACGGCGCCCTGCGAGAAGCCGGCGAGGATGATTCGGCGGCTCCCCCACTCGCGCTCGGCCCTCGTCCCGACCTCCTCGTCGTCCTCATGGCCCTCGCGCCTCTCGTCCTCCTCGTTCGCCGCCGAGCTCGCACCGTCACCTCGCGCCTGCCGCCGCCGAGCGCGGATGAGGCGTGCCCGCTCGCGCACGACGGCGCGGTTGATGCGCCTCACGGTCGCAAACATGCCGTCGCGGTCCTGGTCGCGGTCGTACTCGTACGGGAACGCGTCGATGTTGAACCAGGCCGTCTCGTTGGCGTCGAATACGCCGACGTGGCGCTTCTCGCTGTGGCAGGGAGGAGCAGGCGAGGGGGACGAGGTCAGGGTGTGCCTCTCGAGGAGGAAAGAGGGCCTGAGCGAGGGACGCACGCGAGTGGGACAACCCAGCGCGTGTTCGGGAAGCGCTTGTGCAGGTACGCAGGCATGAAGGCGTCGTTCTTGACCTGCTTGAGGCCCTGTGAGGAGAGGCTCGTGCGTCAGGAGCTGCTCGAGATTCTTCGCTCGGGGGCGAGAGGAATGCGCAGGACAAGGGAAAGGGAGGCGACGCACATGCATGAAGATGATGGTCGACTCGTGAGCATGCCCTTTTGCGGGCCCTTCTGCGGCGACGACGACCTCGTGCTCGGGCGAGCCCCACAGGTCCTTCGCCCTCCTCGCGCGCACCGCCGCAAGCTCCTCCCGCTCGAGCACGAGCTCATCGCGAGCTGCACCCCTGCCTCGCACGGCGACCGACGCCGCAGGTAGCGACAGGTGGCCCGTGACCGTGAGGACCGCGACGACGACGAGGAACAGGAGGACGCCTGCGCGCAGGTGGCGCTGCGCTCGTCGACCGCCGCCCGGATTGAGCGACACGAACTCGAGCGCTTCGACGGCTACTGACGAGCAGATGCCGTTCGGGTTGGGCGACTTACTGCCCGGGTCGGGCGCGCCGAGGCCGAGGGCGAAGAAGGAGGGACGGAGCAGGTCGGACGGCTGGCTGGCGAGGAGAGGGTCGGACGAGTGGGACGAGGAGCGGGATGATCGGAAGGGTGCGGGAAGGAGGGACTGGACGGTTTGGGAGAGGGAAGGGCGAGGGCCGGTTGCGCCGACGAAGGATGAGGGTCGTCGCTCGTCGGACGAGGTCGAGCCGCTCTGGGTCGACGCGATGGACGACCTCGCCTGCTGCAGGTACGCCGCCGACTCGAGCACGCCAGGCGGCGACTCGGGCGGGACGACGATGCTGCTGGGCGAGCGCAACGGCGCGTGGTCGACGCCGACCGGGACGGCCGACACGACGGAACGGCGCCGGACGGCGCTCAGGGGCGACCTCGTGGCGGGCCCGCTCGCGACGGCCGTCGCCGCAGAGAGCGTGTCGACGACGGCGGGCTGTCCAGCCGCTGCGCGCCGCTCGGCGAACACGGCTCTCCTCGTGCCGGCGGCGGTCGCTGCGTCGTGTTGGCGCGGGCTCGGCGCCTTTGGGTCGTCTTTGGCCGCCGCCGACCGGGTGATGCTGGGCATCGTGTGCGACGAGCTGCTCGGGCCGCAGTGCGATGATGCTCGAGCGCAAGAGGGCGCCAAGGAACCGGGTGGTTGAAGGCGGGTCGGTGGACGGCGGGCGCGCGAGAGGCTGCGCAAGCTTGGTCGGTCCGAGTGCGTCGAAGCAAGCGGCCGAGAGGGTGCGGCGAGACGAGCGAGCGAGCTGATCAAGGTCGAACCGGGCCGGCCGGCGGGGGCGTCTCGCAGGAGGACGACGAGGAGAGGAGGAGCGACGGACGCAGCTCTCGCTCTCCTCAGGCTCCCTACACCTCCCTTTGTACGTCCAGCCTAGCCGTACACGCTCATCAGGAGCACCTGCACCCTGTCCTGCCCCGCCACAGTCGCCCTGACGGCTCCTCATCTTTTCCTCGCAGCTTCCCCTCTCTCCCACACAAAATGGCCGCCGAGCTCTCTCACCCGCTCATCGTGGGTAAGCCGCACCCTGTCCAGCTCTCTTGCACACCTGCGCGTCGACTGACTCGCCCGCCCTTGTCCCGCAGACGGCTGGTTCCGGTGCGCCCAACCTCCACCTCGTCCCCCTCCCTCCTCGAACCCTCATCAACAGCAAGTTCGCTGACCGTCTTTCCCTCCCCTCCCGCCAACAGTGAGATCTCTGAGCAATGGCCTGGTGAGTTCTCCCTCCTCACTCTCGCACCCGCCCCGTACCCGTGTCGTCCAGTTTCCGACTCTCCTCCTCGCTCTTGCTCCGGCGACTGACCGCTCCCGCAAGGGGATGGCACTGCAGGTCAGGCCATGACGCTCCGCGTCAAGAAGGTCCTCCACGTCGAGAAGTCGCTCTACCAGGACGTCCTCGTCTTCGAGTCGACCGACCACGGCAACGTCCTCGTCCTCGACGGCGCCATCCAGGTGCGCCCCGCTCTCTCTTCCTTCTTTCTCGAACACTCGAGCCTGACTCTCTAGCGTCCTGTCACAGTGCGTCGAGCGTGACGAGTTCTCGTGAGTCGCAACACCTCGCTCGTCCTCCCCCCTCCCTCAATCCCTCTTGCCCTTCCCGCCGACCGACAGCCTGCTCACCCTCTCTTGTTCCCGCTCGCAGGTACCAGGAGATGATCGCGCACCTTCCTCTCGCGTCGCACCCGAACCCGGAGAAGGTCCTCGTCATCGGTGGCGGCGACGGCGGCGTCCTGCGCGAGGTCCTCAAGCACCCGTCCGTCAAGTCGGCGACGCTGTGCGACATCGACGAGGCCGTCCCGCGCGTGTCCAAGCTGTACCTCCCGCACATGGCCGCCGGCTACGACGACCCGCGCGTCACGCTCTTCATCGGCGATGGCTTCAAGTTCCTCAACGACTACAAGAACGAGTTCGACGTCATCATCACCGACTCGTCCGACCCGGTCGGCCCGGCCAACTCGCTGTTCCAGAAGCCGTACTTCCAGCTCCTCAAGGAGTCGCTGCGCGCCGGCGGCACCATCTCGACCCAGGGCGAGTGCATCTGGCTCCACCTGCCCCTCATCAACGACCTCATGTCGATGTCGCGCGGCCTGTTCGCCAAGGCCGAGTTTGGGTGGACCTCGATCCCGACCTACCCGTCGGGCACGATCGGGTTCGTCGTCGCGACGCTCGACGGCAACCGCGACCTGCGCACGCCCGTGCGCGACCTCCAGAACTGCCGCTACTGGTCCAAGGCCGTCCACAAGCAGGCGTTCACGCTCCCGACGTTCGCCCAGAAGGTCGTCGACCAGAGCCTGCAGAAGCCGGCGCCGGCCAACGCGTCGCCCAAGAAGGTCCTCCTCCTCGGCTCGGGCTTTGTCGCCCAGCCGGCGGCCGAGTACGTCCTGCGCCGCAGCGAGAACTCGCTCACGATCGGCTGCCGCACGCTCGCGACGGCCCAGTCGTTTGCGTCGTCCCTGTCGCGCAAGTCGGACGCCATCGCCGTCGACGCCGCCGACGAGAAGTCGCTCGACGCCGCCATCTCGGCGCACGACCTCGTCATCTCGCTCATCCCGTACACCCAGCACGCCAACGTCATCAAGAGCGCCATCAAGTTCAAGAAGGACGTCGTCACGACGTCGTACGTGTCGCCGGCCATGAAGGCGCTCCACGACGAGGCGGTCGCGGCCGGCATCACGGTCCTCAACGAGATCGGCCTCGACCCGGGTGTCGACCACCTGTACGCCGTCAAGACGATCGACGAGGTGCACCGGGCGGGCGGCAAGATCAAGGGCTTCGTGTCGTACTGCGGCGGCCTCCCCGCCCCGGCGTCGGCCGACAACCCTCTCGGCTACAAGTTCTCGTGGTCGTCGCGCGGTGTCCTTCTCGCGCTCGGCAACTCGGCCAAGCTCTACTCCAAGGGCGAGCTCGTCGAGGTCGAGGGCAAGGACCTCATGAACCACGCCAAGCCGTACTACATCAACCCGGCGTTCGCGTTCGTCGCCTACCCGAACCGCGACTCGACGCCGTTCCGCGAGTTCTACAACATTCCCGAGGCCGACACGGTCGTCCGCGGCACGCTCCGGTACCAGGGCTTCCCCGAGTTCATCAAGACGCTCGTCGACCTCGGGTTCCTCAACGAGTCGCCCGTCGACTTCCTCGCCAAGGACGGCGCCGTCGCCCCGACCTGGGCCGAGGTGACGCAGCGTGCGCTCGGCGCGTCGTCGTCGGACGAGCAGGCGCTCGTCGCCGCCGTCAAGGCCAAGGCGTCGTTCCCGTCCGAGGCCGAGGAGCAGCGCATCGTGTCGGGCCTGCGCTGGATCGGCCTCTTCTCGCAGGACAAGGTGACGCCGCGCGGCAACTTGCTCGACACGCTGTGCGCGACGCTCGAGGCCAAGATGCAGTACGAGAAGGGCGAGCGCGACATGGTCATGCTCCAGCACAAGTTCGAGATCGAGAACGCCGACGGCTCGACGGTGCGTCCTCGCTCTCTCTCTCTCTCTCGTTTCCCCTCTCTCTCTCCCGCGTCGTACTCTCGACGTGTGTCGCGAGCGTCGCACGAGCCGTACTGACCCTCCTCGACCTCCTCCCTCCTCCCTCACCCTGTCTCTTTCCTCCTCTTCCCGCCCTGCATCTCCTCCTCGCCTTGTCCTACGCAGGAGACCCGCACGTCGACCCTCCTCGACTACGGCGCGCCCATCGGCACCGGCGACGCGTCGTCGATGGCCAAGCTCGTCGGCGTCCCCTGCGGCATCGCGACCCAGCTCGTCCTCGACGGCGTCATCTCGCAGAAGGGCGTCCTCGCGCCGTACTCGATGGACATTGTCCAGCCCCTCCTCGACGGCGTCGAGGCCGAGGGCATCACCATGGTCGAGAAGACGCTCTAGAGTGCTCGAGCCGGCGGTTTCTTCCTTGGTCGTCGCGCATCGGTGAAACGCACGGGTTGTATTGAGTCTCGCTCCCGTCCCGTCCGTTCTGGAGAGCAGCAGGAGACGTGCAGAGCTCGTCGAGCCCTTGAGGGCGCGCGTCGAGACGTCGGGAGAGGAGGTGACGCTCGTGCCTCGACTTCTCCTTTCTCCTCTGCGTCCAGGCTCGCAAAGGCTCTCGCTCTCTCGTGCTCCCAGCTGTCCGAGGAGCGCGCACACGTCGTCACGCCTGTATCGCCAATCAGTCGGCGACCGTGGGTCGCGACCCGCCGCCCCCTCGCCTGCTCGCGTTCGAGACAATCTCGCTGCCTTCGAGTCTCGCAAAGTGCTGGCTCTCGCTCCGTCGGAACGCTTGCTGTCGACGTTGGCGAGCACCTGCAGAAGGGTCGCCCTTTTTCTCGCGAAAGGGGGAGCTCGCGACGGACAGAGGCTCCATCACGTCCGCCTCCAACTCCGCGCTCGCCGCCCGGACCCTTCTTGGCGACGCCTCTCACGATACCGAGCCGCGTGCAGAATTGCACTCGAGCTAGTTTCTGTGCGCACAAGGGCTCGCATTCATTGAGCAGCAGGCTAAAGTAGCCTGCCGAACCGTCTGGCCGAGGGGAAGTTGCAGGCAAGGACGCCGTGGAGAGACCGAGGAGGAGGAGGTCCCGCACTGCCTTCGTCCGCAGCGACTACTGCGGTGAGGGCATGCCGAACGTCGCCGTGCATGCGCGCATGAACTTGCTCGAGGCCTTTGACTGCGGCGTCGAGAACTGTCGAGCCCGGCAACTTGCGAAGGTCAAAGTGCACGGACCTCTCCGAGAGCTCGCTGCAGGCGCATACGAACGGACCGCGTCCGGCGCTCGCATCGTGGTCCCGCATGGCTGCAGTACCCGCGTCAAGCTTCTACTCGAGGGCAGGGTCCCGCCGCAGGAAGGCCGGGCCGCGAGGGGGAGCGGCGCATCGCCAACGCAGAGTCGCTCTTGTCGTTAACGAGGCATCGCCGAGCCGGTCTCTGCCTGGAACAAGCGCAAGCGTGTCGGTGTGGGCCTGGAAAAAGCCGTCGGCCACGGACGATGCGCACGCCTGATGCACGTGCGGAGGAACGAAGCCGGACGAGGGAGCTGGCGGCGAGCCTGCCCACCTGCGAGCGACGTTCGCAGCGCTTGCTTTCGCCACGACAGCTTGATCGCCCTCGGGTTCCCTTGGACGCCGAGCGGTGGCAGCGATCCACCCGAGAGATCACAGCGAGCGAGAGTGTGCTCGGGCGCGTGTCGGGTCGCGACCAGCTTCGAGCGGAACTTGCGCCCCTGGCCCTGACAAGTTCGAAGCCGGGGGTGAGGCCGCGTAAATGTGGAGCGCGTGCGGGCCGCCAGACCCAGGCCCGCATGCATGCTTTCGTTTGAGCGCTGATAGAGTGACCAGCCGCAGGCGCTCGCTCCTCGAGTTCTGGCGGCGAGAGGAGAGCGCGAGGCCCGTGCGCGTGCCTGCGCCCGGCCGTCACACAGGAGGCCCACTGCACCGAGAGCTAGCTCCTGCTGCCCGCCCGTCACAAGCTTGAGCGGGCCCTGGTGCGGCCGGCGCGGGCGCAGAGTGTGAGCTCTCCCACGCCCGTCGCCAGCGCGCGCACACGCAGCTGTGACCGGGCGTGACCCCGCTCTTTGCCCGTGCCCTCCGACCCCAGAATCGGTCCCTCGCAACCACGGTTTCCGATCGCGCTTCCTCTCCACACACGGCTCTCTCGTCCGCTCCGCCAGCCGAAGGAAACCTGCGCCGCTCAGAAACGCGAGAGCGCTCGTCCTCCCCTCCTCTCTCCCGCCTCCCTCTCTCGCCCTCGTCGTCGCCGGTGCACGCTTCCTGTCCCACTCTTCTCCTCCCAGCACCTCGGACCCGTCGACGTCGACCGCACCGCTCCACCACCTTCTCGCGCCTCGCCTTCTGCACATTCACGCACCCTCGATTCTCTCCGTCACGTTCACTCGTCGTCGGTCCCTCGAGCCCTTCTGCACCTTTCTGCAAGGTGCGTCCAGCTTCAACTCGGTCCTGCGCGAGCGGCGCGAGCGTAGCGCGTCTCGAGGCACTTCGAGCTGACCTCCCCCCTTGCCTCCTCTCTATGCAGCATCTCTCCTCACTCCGACATGATCTCGGCTGCACCTTTCTCGTCGACCTCGATGGCGACGACCCCTGTACTCGACGTGCAACGCACGAGCGCGCGCGACGACGAGCGCGACTTTGTCCTCGAGGGCGTCTTCATCCACCCGGACCACCTCGCGCAAGGTTTCTTCGCCGACGAGCTCGTCGACTCGTGCTCCGAGACGTCGAGCATCGTCGACTACAACGACGAGCTCCCCGTCGCCGAGCTCTCCGGCCTCGCGCTCAACTGCGGGTCGGCGCAGGACGCGTCGCACGACTACTTCGCCCCGCGCGCCGGCTCGTCCAACCCGTCGCCGTTCTACTCGGGCTCGACCGAGTCGAGCCAGGCGTCGTCGCTCCTCGAGCGTGACAGTCCCGGCGCATGGTCGGCGGCCAGCACCCCGACGTGCGACGCGCTCGTCAAGCCCGACTTCTCGCGCCGGTCGTCCATGTACTCGGTCTCGGACGTCGCCTCGCCCTGCATCCCGGCGACGTTCTCGTACGCGTCGTTCCACGCCCCGGCGACGGTCTCGGCGCCCATGACGCGCCTGCCGTCGCGCAGCACCTCGCCGACGCGTCCGTCCCCCTACTCGCGCCCTGCCTCCTCGGCGTCGCACGGCGGCGCGTCAATGACCCGCTCCGTGTCGTCGCCGGTCGAGACGCAGCGCCAGGTCGAGGACCGTCAACGCCGCATCTCGATCGCCGAGGTCGTCATGGACGAGCGCGCCGTCAAGATGGCTCGGTCGCAGTCGACGGCGACGACGCCCGTCCTCGGCGCCTTCCCGTCGCACCTCACCGGCAGCGCGTCGATGGGCCGCACGTCGAGCAAGCCCCTTTTCTCGCCGCTCATGGCGGCTTCGTCGTCGTCGTCCGGCTGGGCCAACCTCCCGGGCGCGTCGCCCTTCCTCGCCTCGCGCCCCGGCACGATGCCGCTCCGCAACGAGCGCGCCCACTCGTACGCCGGTGTCGAGAACTACTTCCCGCCGCCGAGCGCCCTCGCCGAGCCGCGTCGGTCTGTCCCGACGATCCCGTACGCCGCCTCGACCTCGGCGCCTCGCCAGTCGCGCCGCATCTCGCGCATCTTTCCCCTCACGCCTATCCTTCCTCAGTCACCCGAGCTCGCCGTCGAGCCCTCGTGCGCGGTGCAGGCCACCGCGTCGTCGTCGCTCGACTCTCAGCCTCTCGCTCGCGGCCGCCTCCACCGCGGCATGACCTTCTAGGTCGCCTGCATCTTTCCCGCCGCATCATTCTCGTCACCACCAGCACCCTCGTCATCCATCTGTCTATACCTCCTGCATCGGCCGTCGCGGCTCATCGCGCTCATCCTCCTCATCCCCCTCATCGTCTCGGCCTTTCGTTTTCGGGCCAGCAGCATGTCTCCCTCTCCTGACTCTGTCTCCCCACATCGACCTCGTCATCATCATCATCACCATCATGTTCTCCTCCCCCTGTCAGTCGGTCATACAGTCACTTGTCCCCCGTTCCCCTCGAGCAGTACCCTCACCCTCGCCGTGCGCATTCGGCTGTACCCGCGTCCTTGCTGTCTAGCATGAAAAGTACCATCTGTTCCCTCGTCCTTCTGTCGTCGAGAGCACGAGAGAGCGGCCGTCGTCGCGAGCTGCACCGCTTATTAACCTTCGCAAGTTGTGCGCTCGAGCCTGTCTCTCGGCGAGTCGCCGTTTCTCTCTCTCTCCCTCTTTCGTCGCGGCGACAGCTTTCATGCGGGCGTGACTGCGTCGCTCGGGCAGCAGCAGCATCGGCTCGTAGTGCGATAGCATCGGAGGGAGCACGCGAGCCACGCGAGCCACGCAGGAACCGGATCGGAGCGAGCGGTTTCTCGCTCATTTGCTCGCACGCGCAACAGGGCGCCGACGCTCGCTCGGCGCATGCGCACGACCTTGTGCGCCAGAAGCGTCTCAGCTGGGCCTGGCCGACGCCCGGAGCATGACCGAGAGCACGACGGAAGAGCCCGCCGACGAGGGACAAGCAAGCTGCATGCGCAGGTGACGGACCCCTTCCCGACCTCGCAGGCTCAGATCCATGAGCGCTTTCTCGGCCCCGGGTTCCTCGCACCTCTGTGTCCGTCCCACCTGGCGTCGGGGATCGCTCCGCTGCGCCCGTCGGGCGCTTGAGCCTCGAAGGCTAAGCGAGCAGAGTGCACTGCGGCGGCACTGGTAGATTGACAGGGCCCACAGAGGATCGTCGCGACGTGCTCGAATTGCTGCAGGCCCTCGAGCGAGCCGAGCGGGACCCACCCGAGAAGAGGGTGCGCCGCGAGAAGCTCGTGGCGAGGCGGCGCACCTCGCGGCGAGGACGGAACGAGGAGGTATGATAGCGGCTCGCAGAGAACTGCGGCTCGCGAGAAGCGCACGAGGGAGTCCCACAGCATGATTGCGTCCATCAAGCGTGCGCGCGAGAAGCTCGTGCGCTCGGCGGCGCGGCGAGGTGGTGCCGCAGCTGCGTCTCGACAGCGGCGAGGCGAGAAGCCCGGCACGACGACGAGCAGCGTGTCCCGTCCCTCGAATAATCAGCGCGAGCAGGTGCAAGGAACGAGCTGAGAGTGGCGCGGCTGAGCCGGCGCCGTTTGCGCAGCTGTACCAGCCGCCAGAAGGACGACCGCAAGCAAGCGACCACGAGGAGGGCCGCGCGGCGGCGACTCGGCACGAAGCAAGACGCTGCTTTCGACGCAGCATGTGAGTCGACCTGCCTCGAGCTCTGGGTACGAGCACGAGGCTCGGACGCGCGCCCACGAGCAGCAGAGACGCAGCAGGAGGGGCGGCGAAGACGCAGCGACGCGAAGCACGGCGGCGGCAGCACCTGAGCGACTCGTTGGCCGCGCAGCCGGCTCCGAGGTGCGATAGTAGTGTGTCGACTCGGAAAGACGCGTCTTTGGCGGAGAGGGCGAGGGGCGACGCGCTCGAGAAGATGAAGCGAGAGGAGAGGGAGGAAGGGGGGAGGGACGCGACGACGGCAGCACTGCGCGGAGCGGGTCGAGTCCGAGTGCAGAGCTGTGCGCGTCCTCTAGCTCTCCAGGGCCGCAGGCTGGCCCATAGTGCGAGCGAACGAGGTGCAGAGGCCGACGAGCCTCCTCGCAGCTCATCCGGCGGCGGAGGTTGTCCAAACACCACGCCGCTTGCTCTGAGCCACTCGCTGGTACATCGAGCCTAGCCGCAGCCATCTCGCACGAGCCGGCGCAGAGCACGCCGCGCCGTCTGACGGCCTCGCCACCTCGCCAAGCACCAACCGCCCCGTCTCGTCGCGGCAAGCCCTCGCGAGCGGCACACGCGCCCCCAGCACGCCTGCGAGTACCCGGAACCTATTTCAGGTGCGTCTCTTCTCCTCCACGCCTATCCAGTCAGCCCCGGAGCGGTTGTGGGAGGGCCGGCCGCCCCGCTCGCGCCCAAGAGTTCCGCCATCCGCCGCCACAGGGCGCGACGCGGGCAGGCTGGGTGCGCGCGGCTGCCAGCGACGAGGTCGTGGCGGCAAGAGCTGGCAATGCCGCGGTCCTTGCTGGCTCCTGGCGCCTCGCCCTCGTCGACGAGCACCGCCTCGCACGACCAAGACCTCCCAGCCTGCGAGCTCTCTAGCATCGACACTGACTCGCTTGCTGTTCCACGCAGACCCACCGATATGCCGTCCTCTACCGCACGCCAACGCTCGCCCTTGACGCGACTCGTCGCGGCCGTCGTGCCCGTCCCGCTCCTCCTCGCTGCGGTCCTCCTGCAGGCGCCGAGCCCGGCGAGCGCCGCCATCATCGGCGCCGAGCTGCACAACGTCTCGTCCGACACTACCCAGTTCAGCTACGTCGGCCGATGGCGGTCCGACACCGAGGACGGCGTCTACCAGGGTGCGTCTCTCGCTCCCTCGACTTCCTTCGTCCTCGCGCCCGCAAGCTCATTCGTCCCGCCCCTCGCAGCCTACTCGAACGACACGGACGCCGTCGTCACCTTCTCGTTCGTCGGTGTCGGCGCGTCATACCTCGCCGAGAAGCGCGACGACCGAGGAATCTGCTCGATCCAGGTCGACGACCAGTACCCGACCTACATGGACCTGTACGACAACTCGGGCTACTCGCAGGGCCTGCAGCCTATCTGGAGCAGCGGCACGCTCGTCTATGGGCAGCACAACATCACGATCTCGCAGGTCGGGCCCGACTCGCGCTTCGGGTGCGTCTTGCTCTCCCTTCTCTCAGCTTTCCCGGCCTTGCCCTGACTCTTCTCGCCCTGTGCCGCAGCTATTACCCGTACCTCGTCACGTCTACCTGGCTCGAGGCGGTCCCGAGCGATGTCGGTGCGTCCTCCTCCCGCCTCGAGTCTGCAAAGAGGGCCCGGCACTGACTCTCTCTTTCTCACGCAGCGTCCTACCTCAACACCCAGGTCATTCCTTCATCGACCGCATCATCTATCCCGACCCAGTCGTCGAGCTCGTCGCCCAACGTCGGCGCCATCGTCGGCGGCACGATCGGCGCCGTCCTCGCCGCCATGCTCCTCGGCTTCCTCTTCTACCTGTACTGGCGCGACCGCACGCAGCGCAAGCGCAGCGAGGGCGCGCCCGTCGAAAAGGTCAAGAAGGCCGACGGCAAGATGGCGATCGAGGACGAGCCCGAGTCGAGCCCCTACGGCGGCGCGCCGTACCCTGGCTGGGGCGCCGGCTTCAGCGGCTACGGTTACCCGCACGACCCGTACGGCGCCTACTCGAGCGGCGGCGCGTACACGCCGTACGGCTACGACCCGAGCTCGGCCGCCGGGTCGGCCTGGGGAGGCTACGCTCCGCCGCACCACCCTCAGCACGCGCACCAGGGCGGCGGTGGCGGCGGCGGGTACCTCGGCGCGCCCCTCTCGGCGGACTCGCGCTCGGCCGACTCGCACAGCGCACCCGCACCTCGCGCGAGCGGCGGCGCGAGCAGCTCGGGCGGCGCGTACCCGGCGTCGGCGGCACGAGGGTCCAACTACGACTCGGCGTACCACTCGGGCGACGGCAGCGACTCGCGCAGCTACCCGTACCACGTGCAGGGCTTCGGCACCGAGTCGAGGTCGTACCCCGTGCCCGAGATCTAGAGGCCGTTTCGGAGCGGCGTCGAGTCGGTCGAGGCGGGCGAGCTGTTGGACGGACACTGCGCGAGGGCCGGGCTTTTCCCCTTTCTCCTCTCCCTTCTTTAATCTTGCACACGGTACTCTGTTGTTCTGCTACTTGCATCGCGAGCCTCCTTCTACTGCCTCTCGACGCGGGCGAGCTCGAGAGCGTGACGAGGCAGGCGTCTTTGAGAAGGAGAGGTGCGAGCGCAGCTCTCTCGAGAAGAGGGGCGAGGACAACATCATTGCGTACCAACACGTCCGTCTACAGAGATCTAGTATGTGCACGACGAGAGGAGAGAGGAGAGGGAAAGAGAGCGAGAGGGAGGAGAAAAGGGACGAGGGAGGGCTCAGAGGACCGAGGGAGCAGAGCTCGGCGGGCTCAGGCAGAGCTGGTCGAGCGCCGGGATGGCCTCGGGCGAGGGATGCAGAGGTGTGGACATGTCGGGCGAGGGCATGAGGACGGCGATGCCGTAGCCTTGCCTGCGAGAAGGCGGAAGAAAGACGAGTCAGTACCGCGGTCGAGGGGAAAAGAAGAGAGCGAAAGGGGACGCACTCCTTGATCCAGGTCAGGAGCTTCTCGTCCTGCATCTGCTCCATCGTGAGGTAGACGTAGGTGCACCCCTCCTCGTGGACGAAGTGCAGATCCGGCTCGTGCGCGAGCTGCGCCGGCGTCGAGAAGTGCTGGCGACGCTCGTTGAGGACCGAGAGCGCCGTCGTTTGCATCGCCGCGCCCGACTCGTCGCCGTCCTGCGTCGACGCGAGCCACTCGGGCGATGCGCCGGCGTCGCCGGGCAGGCCCGAGGACGAGAGCGGGTCGCACGAGTACCCGTTGACGTCGCCCGCCGCCGCCGCCGCGAGGATGCTGTCGACCGTGAGGGCCGCAAGGTGCGACTGCGGCTGGAACGAGCCGCCGTACTCGGGCGAGCCGAACGCCGGGCTCGGCTGCGCGCCGTGACCGTCGAACGAGGGCGGCTCGGGCAGTTGCAGTGAGGCGTCGAACGACGACGACGCGCTCGACAATGCCGAGTTGGGCGGCACAAAGAAGTCCTCCGAGCCGACGTGGTAGCCCTGCGAGCTCGGCGAGCTCGCTGCGCAGGCCAGGGCCGACATGAACTTGCTCGCGACGATGGTCGACCGGCGCCGGTCGAAGAAGCCGATCGGCATGTCGCACTCGAGGCGCTCGACGTCGTCCACCGACCACGTGCTGTCGGCCGTCGACGGGCGGTCCGAGTCGTACGCGCCCTGGCCCGGCGGCGAGAGCCCGAAGCTCGGCGCGTCGCCGAACGAGTACTGCGACAGGCCGTCGCTCAGGCCCTCGGTCGGGATCGTGTCGAGGAGGGCCTGCGAGAACGTGACCGTGTCGAGCTGCTCGGCCGAGATGACGGTCGTGCTGAGCGACGACCGACGACAGAACGCCTGCGCCGGCGGGAGCAGCTGCCCGTCGTGGCCGTGCTCCTGCGGCTGCGTCGACGCCTGCGGGTGCACCTGCCCGTGTGCAAGAGCGACGCTGCCGCCGGCGAGGCTGACGCGGCGGACGGTGGGCTGCCAGCCGATCGACTGGCGCCGGCCGTTGAACGTCGTCGTGAGCGGCGAGATGAGCATGAGGTCGCCCATGCTGCCGGCGCCGACGTCGCTAGCCCTCAGCGTACCACGACGACGCTGTAGCGCGTCGAGCGGGCTCGGCGATGCGGCTGCCCGACGCTCGGCGAGGAGGGCGCCCGACTTGGGAAGGTCGCCGAGCGCCGAGCCGAACGACGTCGACGAAGCGAGACTGCTCGGCCCGCCGAGCGTGTAGTTCTGCATCTGGCTCAGGGCCTCGTCGTGCGCCGTCGAGGGCCGGGACGAGACAGGCGGGACGCTCGAGGGAGGGTACGCCGGCTCGACGAGGTAACCGGTCGGCGATGGGTCCGAGCGCGACGCGTCGAGGCTGAACTGCGGGTCGAAGGGCGAGACGTCGACAGGGAACGTGTCGTGCGGATAGGGGGCCGGGGCCGAGAGGTTCTCGAGACGAGGATCGATGGGGAAGGAGGAAGAGCTCGAAGCCGACGCCGAGAGCGACGAGTCCGACACCGACGACGACGACGAGAAGTGGCTGCCGCCGATGTGCGAGTCGAGTTGCGTGACGAAGGCAAAGGGCTGGTCCTCGTCGGCGGGGCCGGGCGGCTGCGTGCGCGTGTGGCTCGTCCGGCGCCCGTACTGCGCCCGGACCGCCACCGCCGAGAAGTCGCCCTGCTCGAGCTGCCGCGCAAGGCCCGACGACGAGGGCTGCGGCGCTGAGCCCGGCGGCGCGAGGTACGAGTACTCGTCGAACGAGGGCCCGCGCGAGGCGGCGACCGTCGGCTCGAGCTTGACCGTGCGCACCTGGCTCGACGACGCCTGCGACGGCGACGCCGAGGGTGCAGGCGTGGGCGCGCAAGCCTTTGCCCTCGACTTGGCCGGCGCTCGGCGGGTACGCGTCTTGCGCGGCGAGGGCTGCCGAGGGCGCTTGGCCTCGGCCGACGACATCGAGGAAGGCGCGACGTCCTCGTCGGCGGCGGTGGCGGCGCCTGGAACGCCGGACGGCATGTTGGCCTGGACCTGCTGGACGTAGTCGACGGCGAGATCGCCCTCGTGCCGGCGCTCGAAGCTCGTCGCCTCGAGCTTGAGGACCTGCTGGGCGACCTCGGTGCACGCGTTGCGCTCCTGGTTGCGGTCCTTGGGCTCGGGCTTCTTGCGACGACGGACGGTCTCCTTGCCGCGCTGTTGAGGCCGGTACCGATAGTCAGGGTGCAGGCGGGCGTGCTCCTCCTTGGCGAAGCGCGCCTTCTCGTCCCAGTAGTCCTTCTCCTCGGGCTTGAGCTGGTTCCACACCTGGCTGACGATCATCGAGATGTGCTGGCTGTTGTTGATCTCGAGCGACGCGAGGTACCGAGCGTGGGCCGTGCCGGGCGGGTCGGGGAGGGACGGGTCGACGCTCTCGGGCGCGCAGCAGTGCGAGCGGAACAGGATGAAGGCGTTGGGCGGACGCTTGATGTGGCCCGGCGCCTGCTTGCGCGAGTGCGACTTGACGGGCTTGCCGTTGCGGCCGATCTTGGCCGGTGCGGCGTCGGCGACGTAGGGCGACGAGGCGGTCGACGGTCGGGACGCCGGCACGTCGTGGCTCGACGCCGGCGAGAAGCTGTACGACCCGAACGACGACCCATGCATGTCGAACGAGCTCGCGTCGCTGTCCCACGCGCTGTACTCGCTCGCGCTCGTCGCCGACTGAGGGCGGAACAGCGGGAGCGAGTGCTCCGACCACGACGCCGGCGACGCCGAGTACGGGTGGTGCCGCGCGCTGCCGCCTCGACTCGACGAGGGCGTGCCGGCGCGAGACGATGCGCGAGTAGACGGGGCCGACATGGGGATGGGCATGGGGAGGGCCGAGGAGGACGAGGCCGACGAGCTGACGGTGTAGCCGGCGTCGCCCGAGGCGGTTATCGGCGTCGGCGGCTGGAACGAGAAGGCTGGCTGGGCCGGCGCCATGATGTACTGGTCGTGGTAGCTCATGCTGCTGGACGAGGAGAGGTCAATCGGCTGAGGGCGGGTGAGAGGACGTGAAATGGACCGGCAAGACGCACCTCGACGAGTGCTGGGAGCGCGCTTGAAGCGACCTGGTCGTGCGTAGTGTCGGTAGAGCGACAGCTGTAGCTGGCAGCTAGCGGCGCAGGTGGTGGGAGACGAAGCCCGCTCGCCTCCCTCTCGCGCAGGAACTCGCACCGCCGCGCCAGAACAAAGGGCACTGCGCGACCGCGGGCCGGCAGGCCGCCGTCCGCCCCGCTCGATCAGCCGGCAGAGCGCACCGGGTCGAGCGCATGGGGAGCCGGCTGGGGCAGAAGCGAGAATGAAGCGGAGAACAAAGAGGTCGAGTGTTGCACCCGCTCTCGTGGGCGAGCGGACGGCCGGGACGGCGCAAAGCTTGCAGCGCGCTATCCCTAGCGGGGGAGCAGCTCGCCCGAGCCGCACAGAGTGGCAGCTGCCCGCTGCGGTGCAGGCCAATTGATGAAGGACGAGGAGGAGGCAGCTCTCGCTCGCCGCGAGGTGCCCCGTTTCTGCGCTCTCTGCAGGCTCAATAGAACTGCAAGGAGACCCTCCTGGAGCTCCTCGCCGTGTACCGAGCAGCCCTGGCCTTCCTGCCGGCGAGCCTGTCGAGTCTCCGCGCACCGCTTGCAGTGCTCGCTCTGCGCAAGCTCGCTCGCACAGCGGCGACGACGACGGGCGACCGCACTTTCTCTCGTCCGTGCGGAGAACGGAAGCGACGAGCCGAGAGTGGTCTGGGGAGAGTGCTCACCGAGACGCCGCCAGAGTGATTCACTTCAGCTCTCGAGCAATTCTGGGAAGCGCGGAGAGCTCGCGATGCGCACGAGCGAGCCGCCTGCTTCTCTCGGGCGACGAGTGCGACGAAAACCTGTCGCCTCGCCGCAAGTACGACGGCCTGGAAGCGGCGACGATGGAGAGGAGGAAGAAACGGGCCGTCTCGTTTGCAACTCGTTCGCGCTCGAGACGGAACGCGGTGCTACCTCCAAGATCGCGACGTCGAACGTACACGAAAGATGGTCGAGCCGGCTCGGAGGAGAGAAAGGGAGGGAAGGGAGAAGGAGGGAGAGGAGCGTGAAAGTGGTCGTGAGGAGGAACGAGGCCGAGAGAACATGGACAGGGTATGAGGGGCGTTCGACGGGATAGTGTCGAGCGAGGTAGAGGTCGGTGAGGCGTTTAGATGAACTCCCAGGTGATCGAGACCTGCGTCGACGAGGAAGAGCGTGTCAGTCAGGGTCACAAAGGCTGAGGCTCGACGGGAGAGAGAGCGAGCTGGACGCACCATGCCCTCCTCCTCGGTGGCGATAGCAGTAAAGGCGGACACCGAGAGGTCGAGGCACGAGTTGTTGACGCTGCGAGACGAGGAAGATCGAGTTAGGAAGGCCGACTCGAAGGAGGAGAGGGAGGGACGCACCAGGTCGGGCACGAGTCGGCGACGGTAGCAGTGATCGTCTTGCCAGTCTCGACGCGCGTGAGGCGGACCTTCTGGCCGCAGTGCGAGCCGCCGGCGTAGGTACTGCGGGGGGAGGAAGGTCAGTTACAGGTACGGGCGAGGGACGGCGCCGGGTGGACGCACGCGGTCGGGAGCGCGACGATGTAGGCCGAGTCGGGGTTGACGGCTCCACAGTTGCCCGCAATGCCGTTCTGCGTGTAGAACCTGCAGGTGTGGGGCGGAAAGGGGAGGCAAAGGTGGTCAGCGTCCGGCAGGTCGTCGTACAGGAGAATCGTCGAGCTCACGTGGCGTACTGCGTCACCGAGGAGAGTCAGTCCGACGTGTCACAAGCCGAGAGAGAAAGGAAGAGGAAAGAGGACGCACGCCTCCCGAGTAGACGTGGCCGCCCGACGAGCCGCCCGAGGACGAGTTGTCCTTGTTATCGGCGGCGGCGGCAGCAGCCGAGGCCGAGGCAGCAGCAGCAGCCTTGGACGACGCTGTACGAGGGCGAGGGACGAAGAGAGGGTCAAGATCGTCGCCGTCGGTGAGGCAGAGAAGCGGGCAAGGGACGCACAGGCGGCAGCAGCAGCGGCGGCGTCCTCGGCGGCCTTGGACGAGGCTGTAAAGGGAGCGTAGGTCAGTCACAATGTCGGAGATAGGCGTGCGAGAGAGAAAGAGAGGGGTACGGACCAGCAGCCTCCTGCGAGGCGGCGGCATCGGCCGCAGCCTTGGACGACGCAGCTGTCGAGGAAAGCTTGTCAGTCGATGCTCCTTGTCGCAGAGAGACGCATGGGCGAGACTTGGGACGTACCGGCAGCGGCAGCCTGGGACGACTGAGCGGCCGAGGCCTGCGAGGCGGCGAGGATGGCGGCCTGGTCCGACTCTGCGAGCGGAAGAGCGAGTCAGTCGACGCTCGTCGCTCGTGCACAGCTGGAGGGACGGACCGTAGGCCTTGGCAGCAGCCTTCGACGAGGAAGCCGCGTCGGCGGCGGCAGCCGAAGCTGTTCGCGACGAGGAAAAAGGTTCAGCGAGACGATCGGGGGCTCGAGCGCGAGCAAGGGAAAAGGGACGAGTCGGGACGCACCGGCGGCCTTGCTGGCGGCAGCAGCCGACTGCGAGTCGTACGAGGTGGTCGGCGCCGGGGTGGTCGACGCAGCCGGGGCGGCAGTCGTCTTGGCAGGGGCGGCCGTGGTGGCGACCGGGACCTCGACGTCCTTGCTCTCGACCTGCTTGGCCGACGACGACGCCTTCTCCTTCGACGACGACGCCTTGGACGACGAGGAGTCGCCGTTGGCGACGACACCGGCCGCAGCGACGACGCCGGCGTTGGCCTCCTTCGAGAGGGTGATCTGGATCGGGAGCATGCCGACGTCGGCGTCGCCGCCGAGGGCGAGGAACGCCGACTTGGAGAAGGTCGAGAAGGCGGTGCGGTCAGAGCCGTCGACGACGGTGACGGTCACGCTCGCGCCCGTCGCCGGGTTGGTCGCGTACGCCTTGGTGCCGCAGAGCGACGACTTGGCGTCGGCGTTGGCGTACAGCGACAGCGGGAGGCCGACCTGGAGCTTGGTGTTGCTGTTGCGGGACAAGCGAGAAAGTCAGGCGGGCTCGCAAAGAGGAGGAGTCGAGAGAAAGAGGGGAGGAGGACGCACTCGATGGTCGAGCCGCACGCGCCGACCCAGCCGTCCTCGGCCCACCAGATGGCGGTCGTCTCGGTAGCATCCGAAGACTCGGTCGAGCGAGTCTCGACGGCGACGGCTGCACAGGGAGGGACACCGGGAGGAGGTCAGCTCGCGAGGTCGACCTTCTCAAGTCGAGGAACGGCGAGAGACTCACAGCCTGCAGGTCGTCAAAGGAAGGCGAGGGATGGGCAAAGTGTCAGTGACCTTGCTCGTGTCGTCGCTCCTTCAACAAGCTCCTCGGAACCCTCGTTCGGTCGCCCCCGCGTTCCGGCGCGTCCCTCGAAGGGGAAAGGGGAGGAGGGTGCGCTCTCGCTCGATGGACACAGGGAAAGAGGGGACGCACGCTTGGCACGACGGTGAAGACGCTCGACACCGCGACGGTGGAGCGACTGGCGCTCGCCGGTCGGGCCGTGGGCGGCGACGGACGAGGCAAATAGGGCGGCAGCCGAGAGGGCGACCAACGACTTCATGGCGAGGGCGAGAGGGTTAAACGAGTGTGGGTGGGTGCGATCGACGAGTCGGATGCGGTGTAAAGAGCGACGAGGACTGTCGAGGCGAGGCGAGGTCAGCTCGTCGAGTTGAATGAGGTGAAGGCGCGCAGGAGGAGGGGGAGCGAGCGGAAGGGCGAGGCGGCGGCGCGACTCACGACGAGAGGGCGGACCTGGCGAGACGGAAGTAGGCGCAGTCGGTCTTGAGGATAGCAAGCAAGCGGGACGAGGAGGAGCACGAGAGGACGGCGAAGGTGGGCTCGCGCCCGACGCGGCCCAAACACTCAACGACGCGCGCCGGATCGACAGGGTTTCATCTCTCTCGAGCTCGCCAACGGCTCTCGGTCGGAATCTCCGCACCTGGGCATGACGGACAGTACTTGTCCGCTCTCGAGCCCCTCTCGTCGTCGACCGCCAGCTGGCTCGGCTTCGTCCCTCCTCCGCCTCGACCTCTCGTGCTCGTCGTACTTGTCGGACAACCGCGCTCGAGCTCGAGCGTCTGGGTGAAAGTGGGCACCGTCGGCTCGAGCCCACGCGGCGCACCCGACGGTGGATCAGGGCCGCAGGCGCGCGAGCGAGCGAGCGAGCACGAGAGTCGAGGCGCTCTCCCTTTTTCGGTCCTCGCGCTCGCCGTGCTCTTCTTTCTTTAGTCGGCTGTACATTCGGGCGACGTTGCAGACCGCTTGCACGCTCGACGTCCTCGCAGCACGCCCGTCCCCACGCTCGATGAGCGCAAAGCGCTCAGGGAATCGTCTGCGTCGCCTCCGTCTCGGGCTTCTTCGCGAGACCCTCCCTCTCGAGTGCTGCGGCGAAAGGGGGGCACGAGGTCAGTCTGAGGTCGTCGAGAGGCAGGGAGAAGGGGGAGGACAGAGAGAGGGGGCGGACCGGCATCAATCTCGTGCGGCTTGTAGATCTTGGCGAACGGCAAGCCCGTCGCCTCGTCGACCGTGAGCGTGGCGAGCTCGACTGTGCGCGAGGGAGGCAGGAAAGATGTGAGCTCCAGCATCGTCGAGGACGACCGCGACGCGCCGCTGTCCGGGGCGGGACGCACGCTCGACGACGAGAGAGAGGGGACGCACGCTTCTCCGAGTCGAGGCTGGTCGAGTCCATCGTCTTGCTGAGCACCTTGAGCGCGAGCCCGATCGCCTCGTCGAGGCCAATGTCGTCGCGGTAGTCCTGCCGGAGCAGGCTCTGCGCCGTCGAGTTGTTGGCGCCGATGCACGTCGCCTTCCAGCCCGAGTAGTTGCCCGACGGGTCCGACGCGTACAGCTGGAACTGGTGGTGCGGGTCGTGGCCGGCAAACAGGAACGAGACGCCGAACGGGCGCAGGCCGCCGAACTGGGTGTAGCCCTGCTTGAGGTCGCACATCTTCTGGACGAGCTGCTCGACCGGCATGTCCTCGTCGTACGCCGCGAGGTGGCCCTGTGAGAGGTGAGGTGGACGGTCAGTGACTGTCGATGATCGGCAGCGCCGACGAGGAGGCAGGGACGCACCTGAGCCGCGTTGCGGGCGTACGACACGAGCGAGTTGGCGTCGGCGTTGTAACCTGCGACGCCCGTGATGACGTTGCTGCGGACGGTCGAGGGCCAGGGTCAGCTCGCAGGTACGACGAGGGAGAGTGAGAGAGAGAGAAAAGAGGGACGCACCCGTTGACCAAGAAGAGCTTCTCGCTGCTGCCCTTCTCCTTCTCGAGCAGCTTGCTCGTCACCTTCTTCTCGGCGGCGAGGACGAGCCCGGTGCGGTGCGGTGGCGGGTACTTCTTCTCGCGCTCGGCCCGTGCCTCCTCCTCCTTCTTCTTGGCCGACTCGGACTGGGCGGGTGCGGTCGAGGTCGACGTGCTGCCGGTCGCGGCCGACGGGTCGTCGACGGCCATGGCGTCGGTCGACTGGTCCGAGGCGACGAACGGCTTGGCAGAAGGACCGGGTGCGAGAATGCCGACGACGGTGCCAGCATGGCCTGTTGCGAGGGGGTAGGTGTGGGATCAGCGGCGGGTTCGGAGCAGGAGGGCGAGGTGGGGTGTAGCGCCCGCTCGTGCTGTCGCGGTGCCGTCTGGCCGCTCTGCCCAGCAGCATCTCCCTGTGCTCCCTCGATCGCCCCACAGTACCGCCCGTGGCGAGGAGAGAGAGGAAGGAGGACGCACTGATGGACTCGAGGGCGTACTCGACCTGGAACAGGCGACCCTCGGGCGAGAAGATGGTGCTGTGTGCGGGTACGAGGAGGCGATAGTGTCGACCAGGCGGGCAGGACGAAGGACCAGGGGGCGAGGGAGGGAGGGACGGGGGAGCGAGTCGTCAGCGTTGGTCGGGGCGGGGGAGGTGGGAGCCAGGCGCTCGGCTTGAGAGGGAGGGGCTGCCTGTGCGCGAGGCCGACAGGGGAGAGAGGAATAGGTGGACGCACGTCCTGGAATCGTAGCGGCGGGAACCCATGGTCGTCGAGCTGATGAGGAGGAGCGAGAGGAAGGTGACGAGTCGCTTCGTCGCCTGCGTCGACCTCGCACCGCCTCTCGTGCGGCTCTGGCTGCACAGCTGGGTCACGCGACGCTCTGCTGCGTGCGACCCTTGGCTATCTCTCTCTCGCCCTGCGCGGTCGCCCGCTCGTCCTCCTCCTTCCTCGCTCCCCTCTGCTCGCCCTCTGGCTCGCCTCCTGGGCTCGCTTTCTGTGCGGACGCGTGGTCGACGACGACGACATACAGCTCGCGATCGAGGCAGCCTCTCACCAGGTACGGTTGCGCTGCTCGTTCCAGGTCAAGGACTCGAGACGAGGCCGGGCAAGGAGGAACGACGAGTTGCACAACAACATCGAGCACTGACACAGACACTGCACACAGCCCGACCCACCCTCGTCACCGCTCCTTCGCCTTGCCCGCCTCGACGACAGCCGCACCCGCCTTGGCCGACCGGGCTTTGGCGACCCTGCGCGTCGGGATGCGCACGCCCTGCCTCGCGAAGCACTGCGACAGCGGCGTCGGGTCTGTATGTGCGGGTCGAGAGGGTCAGTGAGGGCTCTGGACGAGGGGCGGGGGGGAGAGAGGGCGAGGGAGGGGGCGCACCGAGCATGCCCTCGAACTTCTTGGCGGAGAAGACTCGGAACTCGTCCGTGAGCGCGTCGGCGACGATGGGCGAGACCGACTCGGTGCGAGACCGTCCCCTGCAACGTCGAGTGTACAGTCAGTCTGCGCCTGACCGCCGACGACGAGAGATCCAGAGAGAGAGAGAGACGCACAGGCCGATGCTAAGCAACCTGACCCGGATCCGGAACGCGCCCTCGGTCCTCACGCTCAGGTCGGGCAGCACAAAGTAGACGCCCGTGTCGCCCTCGACGTCCTTGAGCTTGTGCGCGTTCGTGTGCAGCGTCCCGATCAGGTTCGGGACGGCATCTCGCCCCTCGTCGTCGTCGGCGCGCTCGACGTGCACGGCCTGCAGCGGCGGCGGGAGCTCGGGCGCCCCGGTGCCGCCGACGCGACGTACGCGTACGTAAGGGATGAACATGGACGACTCGGCGGCCAACTCGTCCTGGCGAGCGGCCGCTTCGTCCTCCGAAGGCGCGCGCTCGAGCCGCTTGGCGGGCGGTTCAGCCGGCGTCGGTGGGAGTACGACCGAGTCGGGCGGCTCGTCGACGTGAGGGCGTTTTTTCGAGGCTCCTGGCGACGGGCGAGTGTCGGCAAGGGTCGAGGCCGCTGCTGAGGGGCGAGGAAGAGGAGGCGAGGCTGGCGCGGCGAGGCCGGAAGGGACGGACGAGCCGCCGAGGCACGGCGCGTAGGTGCTCATCGGGCTCGTACGCGAACTGGCGGGAGAGGGATAGCCGAACTCGGCAGAGGGAGGCGTAGGGGAGCGCGAGGGCGGTGACCCGGCGGTCGAGGAGGAGGTGCTGATGGTTGGTGCTCGTGTCGAAGTGTGCGACGGGTTGACGAGGTTGGCGTCATGCCGAGCGTCGCTCGAGCGCAGGTCGGCGGCGAGAATGAGGAAGGTCCTGTCGATATTGCTGCGGGAGCGCAACGAGAATAAGTACGCGAGCCGGGAAGGAGGAAAGAGAACGAGGCCCGAACGCACTCGACTGGGATTTCTCGGCCAGTCGCCCGGTCGTGGGCATACAGCTGGACGATGAGGGGTGGCGAGATGGGCCGACGGTCCTGCACGTGGCAGGTGGGACGAGGTCAGTCGACCGGCGTCGGGAAGAACGCTCGTTCACCGAGAGGAAGAGCTCACCCGGTCGCCCATGCCGCACATTCTCGCCCGCACCGGTTGCTGGACGATCTTGATCGTGTACGGGCTGCATGAAGAGAAGCGCGACCGCGACGTCAGTCGACCGGGACGAGGACAGCCCGCTGACGGGAGAGTCGGGAGGAGCGCGGCGAGAGTGGACGCACCAGTTCTGCGGCGCCATGGCGGCCCTCAACGCGTCGAATCGAGAAGCTTGACCGGGCGCACGAGAAGCGGCGCAGGGCGAGGCACGAGAGGGAGAGGAGAGCGCGAAGCAGTGCGGCGGAACGAGCGAGTGCGTCGTGTCGCCGGCGCAGTGCGGGCACTGGCGGCCGCCGCGATAGGCTCGTGTGAGCAAGAAGAGACAGCGAGAGGAGGAAGGAGCGGTCGCGGTGGATCCCGGAAAGCGGGTCCGAAAGATGCTCGACGGTCGCGGAAGCTCTTTCGCAGCGCTCCTGCCTGCTGCCTCTGCCCCGCAGATGCGGGCGCGCAGACCTGATCGGCAAACGAATGACTTGGTTCAGGCTCGGGACTCGGTCGGTAGAGAGCCTTCTTCCCACGGAGCACGTCCATGCCTGCGCTCAGGCCCACGGTCCAGCCTCGTCGCCGCTCTCGAGCCTCTTTTGCTTTGGCTCTCGAGCGTCGGCCTCTCTCGCTGCCTCTGCGCGAGGTACACACGGCCAGCTGCTGCCGGCCGAAGCACGTGTGCGGCCTTTCTGCGCGACCAAGTCCAAATTCGGCCTCGTGTTCCACGTCCCTCTCGCGCCGCCGACGTCGACGCGGCCAAAGAAAGGCCTCGCTCGCCGACCCGAACGACCCCACCTCGGGTCCTCGCCCACCGCGCACCGCATGCTCGTCCTGCGCGCGGCCCGCGCTACAGCTTTGCGCCCTGGCCCAACTGGTGCGGCATGAAGAATCAGAATGAGACGTCGACGGTACGAGTCGGGTCGAGGGAAACGAGAGGACGCACTCGCTGCACGGCCTTGAACCCCTCGATAAGGTCCGCCTTGAGGTCGTCAAGGTCCTCGAGGCCGACCGAGATGCGGACTGTGGGCGAGAAGAGGCGAGGTGAGCGCGCGGCTCGAGGGCGGGCTCGAGCGCGAGAGGGTGGGACAGGACAGAGACGCACCGAGTCGAGGGTCGGCGCCCGGGTCGGACACGAGTCGTTGCTCGATGAGGCTCTCGGCGCCGCCGAGCGACGTCGCAGGCTGCGAGAGAGGAGAGAACGAGTGAGCGAGGATACGCCGCTTTCGCCGCGGCCAGACGACGTCGCCCATCGTCGAACGAGAGGACGAAGAGAGGGAAAGAGAGACGCACAACGAAGAACTTGAGCTTGTGCGGGAGGTGCGTCGCGTAGACCGGGTCCTTGAGGAGGATGGCGAAGCAGGCCGGCCCGCTCGACATCTGCTTGCCCTCGCCGACGAGCTCACGCGCGTTGCCTTGCAGGCTCGTGTGCCACACGTGCTCGACGACACCTCCAGGTCCATCGAGATTGGCGCCGGCGTCGCTGCGCGACAGGGCGGCGAGCCACTGGGCGAGGGCGGTCGCGGTCGAGGCTTGGCGCGTGACGCGGACCGACAGGGTGCGCAGCGAGCGCAGGAGGAGCCACGCGTCGAGCGAGCCGATGTTTGAGCCCGTATAGGTGCGCGTGTGCCAGCTGCGGCCGAGGACAAGTGGGTCAGTCTCGCGGGCTCGATCGAGGGTCGGTGAGGAAGGGGGACGACGCACAGCTGCAGCCAGTCCTCCTTGCTCTTGACGCTCAGCGTGCCGATGAGCGCATCCGAGTGCCCGCCGAAGTACTTGGTGCCGCTGTCTGCTCGTCGGGCGCAAAAAAAGGTGAGCGAGCGGCCGCCAAAGAGGCTCGAGGACGGGCGAGCAGGGACGCACGCATGACGATGTCGGCGCCCCACTTGAACGGGTCCTGCAGCGGTGGAGGCGCAAAAGTCGAGTCGACTGCGAGGACGGCGCCTGCGGCATGGGCCTTTTTGGCGTCTGTGGAGAGAGAAGGTGAGTGAGGGTCCGAGAGTAAGAGAGGGCGCAGTCGACGTACAGGCCTCGATCGAGCGGGACTCGCCCGTCGGGTTAAGCGGCGTCTCGAGCCACACGAGGACCTTCTGGTCGGTCGGGTACTCGTCGTCGAGGTGGATGATGCGCTGCACAAGGTCGTCGAGGTCAGACGAGGGCTGACGAGGGAAAGGGGGCAAGGAGCGAAATTGAGGGACGTACGACCTGGTCCTCGCCTCGAACTTTGCGGTACACCTCGAGGGACGTGTGGCAGCCGTGGTAGCCCTCGCCGGGGGTAAAGGCGACGACCTGCGGGCTGACGTGGAGGAGCGCGGCCCAGAAGGCGGCGATGCCCGACGGGTAGACGACGGTGGGCCGGCCGATGATGCTCGACAGGACCGTCTCGGCGCGGGTGAGGGTCGGCTGCGTGTAGCGCGAGTAGATGTCGCGAGAGGGGGAGGACGGGTCCCACTTGTCGCCGAACGTCCCCGGCGGCGCGGCGGCAATCTGCTCCGGGGTCGGGTGGCGGAACGTGGTCGCGGTCCTGCAGGACTGAGGTCAGTTGCGGGTACTCTAGACGGGCTCGAGGGCGAGAGAGGGGACGCACGAGATGCTCGGAGCGACCTCGGGTCCCGACAGGGGCGCGTCCTGGTGGATGCCCCTCGTTGCGAGGCCCGGCTGCTGCGACAGGGCGTTGCTGCTGGAGCTGGAAGGCATGCTGATGTGGTCCTTGGGCGTCTGATGACGCGTGGCGAGTTGTACGAGCGAGTTAAGATGAAGACGACCGGCTAAGCGGGATGAACGAGGATGGACGGGGCGATGCGGGTCCTTTGTGTGGACGCCGTGTGGCCGGATTCGAGTAGATGCAGCAGAGCAGCACACAGCCCGAGGGTGCGTGAAGGTGAGGACAGGACCTGAGCCAGGCCGACGAGTTGGTCGTCGACAGCTCGCTCTCGCTCTCTCGCTCTCGTTCGAGCCGACCTGTGCGCTGCGCCGAGTCGCTACCAGAGGCGCAGCAGAGTACCCGCCAGCTTCAAGCCATGTCCTCGTGCGTCCCTCGCTCCTCGTCGCCCTTCCTCCTCCCCCCACTCACGAGCCCCTCGCGCTCTTTTGCAGCCCCGACCCTCTGCGCCAGCTCGACAGCGAGCCCACACAGCCGCCGCAAACCTACCCGAACAACAACGACCCGCCGTCCCTTCAAGCAGAGCCGTTCTCGGCCGGCTGGGACTCGTCGGCGACCGACGTCTCGAGCAACCCGACGGCTCAGCGGGGCGCACGAGCTGTTGAGCGAGGTGGGAGCGAGCACGATGATCACGATGCTCGAGTGGGCGCGCACGGCGACGACCCGCTCGCCCCGTCCCCTCCCTCGACCTCTTCCCCGACCAAGACCTCCACCGCCGCCCCCGCCGCCGCCGAGCAACGGCCTGAGCGAGCCGCCTTTTCCTTCAACCCCGCCGCGTCCACCTTCACGCCGTCGTCCACGCCGAGCGCGCCTCAAGAACCCGCACTCGCGCCCATCTCGATGCCGGCCGAGGTCCGCGCGTCGTCGAGAACCCGCTCGTCGTCCGGCGCCAGCACGCTCAACGTCGCCACGTCCGCCACCCCTCGCGGCATTCCCTCGCCACTCGCCCACCGCCAGTCCCTCGACCCGGCCGACGAGCCCCCTCCTTCGCCGTCACCGCCTCCCGCTTCCTCTCCACCTCGTCGCGCACCCCCGTCGCGTTCGCCCTCGACCGTGTCGAGTTCGCGTGGCTACGACCCGACGACCTTGCGCAACCTCATCGCGAGCTCGTGCGTCAACGGCGACCTCGAGCGCCTCCAGTCGCTCATGGCGCCACGCACGGCCGCCGACGACGGCGAGCCCGAGCCGCCGTCGACGTTCACGCTCGCCAACCAGACGGGCTCGCACAGCGGGCTCGCCCCGCTGCACTATGCGGCGCAGAAGGGCCACGTCGAGGTCGTCAAGTGGCTCATCGAGCAGGCGGGCGCGATGCCGGAGCTCGAAGATGCCGAGGGCGAGGTGCGTTCTCTCGCGTTCCCCTCTTCCCTCTCCTCTCCTTTCTCTCGGCCTGACCTTTTCACTTTCTCGCAGACGCCGTTGCACAAGGCCGCTCATCGAGGCCACCTCGACGTGTGCCGGTTCCTCATTTCGCGCAACGTCGACGTCAACACGCCCGACCACGACGGCTGGACCGCCCTGCACAATGCCGCCTCTCGCGGCTCGCTCGACGTCGCCCGCCTCCTCGTCGACGCCGGCGCCCGCATCGACGCGCCGAGCAAGCACCGCTACACGGCCCTCATGAACGCCGCCTCGAAGGGCCAGGTCCCGCTCGTCAACTTCCTCGTCAAGCGCGGCGCCGACCCGCTCGCGCGCAACGCGTACGGCGAGACGGCGTACGACCTCGCGGCGGCCGTGTTCGAGGTGCACATCTGCGGCGTGCTCGCTGCTGCCGAGCGGGCCGTCCTGTCGTCGTCGTCGTTGAGCACGAGCGCGAGCGGCGACGAGGGCTCGCCGTCGACGTTCAACCCGCTCGCCCTGCACTCGACGGTACCCGTCGTCCTGTACGAGAACCAGCGCCTCGCCCTCCCGACGCTCAAGAAGCTGTCGTCGCTCGGCGGCGCGACCAAGTGGACGCCCAAGGCGCTCAGCCGCAACGACAACCGCGCCGCCTACTCGATGCCGCTCTCGTCGCTCGGCGTCGCACTCGACGGCGGGCGTGAGCTCGACGACGACGAGCTGCCGTGCTTCCGCAGCGAGGTGCGCCTGCCCGTCGTCGGCGCCGAGACGACCCTCGGCGTGCCCGAGCGCCGCGAGGTCCGCAGCGGCGGACGAGTACGCGTGCCCGCCGCCGCCAGCGACGTCGCAGCGTCCTCATCGGCGACGCCCAAGACGATCCGCCCGCGCCCGAATAGCCGCCGCACCGACAGCAGCGCGGCCTCGTCCCTCACGGCCGTCCTCGCCGCATCGCCCTCGCTCTCGCCCGATCCCGTCATCTCCTCCTCGGCCTCGTCAGCTCCTCGCGCCGAGCCCGCCTGGATCTGGGCGAGCGAGTGGGTCGTCGACTACACCGCCCCGGCCTCGTCCGCCTCGGACGGCTGGTCGTACGCGCCCTCTTTCGCCGCGCCGCCCGACGAGTGGTCGCCCTCGCCACCCGCCGAGGTTGCTCGTGCACTCGAGGGCGGCCCGAGTGCGCTCGCGGCGCTCACGACCGGCGGCGGAGCGGGCGGCGGGCGCAAGTTCGTCCGCCGCAGGCGGTGGGTCCGGCTCATGCGCCGGCGGTTCGACCTGCCCGACTTTGGATTCGGCGGCGCGCCGTCGAGTGCGAGTGTCGGTGCGCAGGAGCGCGGCGAGGGCGACGAGAGGGAGCAGGAGGACGAGATGCGCGGCATGGACTATCGGGCGAGGGCGCGGTTTCTCGCCGGGGCGGCGCGACCTCGCTCGAGCGACGCTGCCAGCGTCCGCTCGGGCAAGTCGGTCGCCGACGAGCCGTTCGACGCGAGCGAGGAGGAGGACCGGGCCGAGCTGAGGAAGCTCGCGGCGAGGCTCGAGCGGGCGGCGGACGAGCTGCGGCGGGGCATGGGCGAGGACGAGGACGAGGAGCGCAGGAGGGAGGCGCAGGACGAGCTCGAGGCGTTCGTACACGAGCTGGCGCTCGTCAGGGCGCGAGTCGGCGCTGCCGAAGAAGACGACGCAGGTGCGCCCCCTCTCTCTTTCCTCGCCGGCCGACAAGACCTGACGGTGCTCCCTCCTCTGCAGACTCGGACGACGAGTTTGTCTACGCCGGCAAGGACGCCGACGACGACGCCCGCTCCATCTGGACGACAACGCGCCCGCCGAGTGTCGCCTCGGGGCCGTCGTCGTCGAACGACTACTTCGCCCAGCCCGTCTCGACCTCGCCACGCGCCTCGGTCCGCCCCGTCCTCACGCCCCAGATCGCCCCCGAGTTCCGCGTCCCGACGTACGAGCAGGCCCCGGGCGCACGCTTCAACATCGGCCCGTACCTCCAGCCTCGGCCGATCCGGCCCAGGTGGGAGCCCGACGAGGCGACCAACGAGTGCCGCCGGTGCTCGAAACGGTTCGGCCTCCTCACGCGCAAGCACCACTGCCGTCGGTGCGGCCTCGTCGTGTGCGCGTCGTGCTCGCAGCACCTCGACGCGCTCGACCCGTACATGGTCGCGCTCGAGCCGGGCGACTTTATGGAGGACGAGCACCTCTTCTCGGCGACGGCGCGCCGGTACCGCACGTGCAGCGACTGCCACACGGCGCTGTCGCTCATGCAGGGCACGAGCGGCGGCAGCGGCGGCGCGAGCGGCGACGGCCGGGCGTCGATCCTGTCGCCGCAGGCGTTCTTCCCAGTCTCGCCCTCGCTCGGGTCCGTCACGCCGAGCGAGGCCGCCGCGTCCGACGTGAGCGAGCTCGTCGAGTGCCCGGTGTGCGGCACCACGCTCGCGAGCGTCGGCGGCAAGAGCGAGCAGGAGCAGCACATCCGGGACTGCCTCGACACGGGCGGCGGGACCGTCTCGTCCGGTCGTTACCTCGGTGCGTCTCTCTCTCTCTCTCTTTCTTTCTCTCTTATCCCCTCGAGGCGCGATCCTGACTCGTCGAGTTCATCGCGCAGTGTTCAAGCTCCCGCCAGGTCCGCTCGTGGGCCAAGAATGCGCCGTCTGCTTCGACGACTTTGCGGTCGGCGACACGCTCTCGAGGCTCGTCTGCCTGTGCACGTTCCACCGCTCCTGTATAGACGACTGGCTGTCGCGAGGTCACTCGTGCCCTGTCCACCCGAGCCACCTCGAGTGACCTTTCCTTCCCTCCTCCCTCGTCCTCTCTCCTCGTGTCTCTCCTCCTTATAGCCTCGCATAGATCTCTCGCTGCAACCTCGTTCGTCTCGTCGTCATGATCTCATTAAATGCAGGGTGCGGATGACTACGTGATGAGGAAGAGAGAGAAAGAGAGAATAGAGAGAGAGAGAGCGGAAGAGAGAAAGTGTCTGTGGCACAAAGAGAAAGAGGAAGTACGACCCGCGTCCACCTAATCCCGCTCATGATCGCTGTCGTCCCACTCGCCGACGACGACCTCGCCGTGGAGCGACCCGGGTCGACTCGGCGCCTCGACCGAGACGTGCGGCGGAGGAGGGGTCGGTGCGTCGGACGTCGAGCGGCGCTGCTGCTGCTGCTGCTCGAGCAGCGGGTCGGCCTGCGACATGCTCGCAGATCCAGGCGTCGTCTGCTGCGCGGCGCCAAAGTCGGTCGAGGCGACGCCGGGGCTCGCGCCAGGAGGAGGGCCCGGGCGCGGCTTGCGCACGACCGAGAAGCCCTTCTGCTCCTCGGGCGCGGGCTCGAACGGCGGCTCGTCCTCCTCCCTCGGGTCGTCGAAGCCGCCGTCGCCGTGCCCGACGCCGCCGCTGCTCTGCGCTCGGCCCTTGCGGCCCTTGCCGCCGAGGAACCCGCCGCTGAGCGCCGCGAGGAGGCCGCCTCCTGCTCGTCGCCCGCCCGCCTCGTCGTCCGTGTCCGACTCGTCCGTGTACTCGTCATCGCTGTACTGCACGCGTTGGCGCTTGAAGCGGCCGAAGAAGCCGCCTTGACGGTCGCCGCGACGCGCTCGGACCCTGGTCGACAGGCGCCGGTTGTGCTCGTCGTCGAGGCGGCCACCGGGCGAGACCTGGTTCGAGAGGAGGGCCGACGAGTACGGGAGGGCCGAGAGGGACGGGCGCGAGGCTTGCCGCTGCGCCGGAGCCATGCCGGCGAGAACAGGGTCGCCTCCTGCCGACGGTCGTCGAGGGGCGTACAGGTCGGCCGACGATGCAGGGTAGGGCGGATAGGCGGTGCCGGCAGGCGTGATGCCGGCGTTGGCAAGCTGGTACGGGTTGCTGTGGCTCGCGCGACCGCCGCCGACGCGCGTGAAGCCCGAGCTGCCGCCGGCCGGACCCGGCGCGGCGGCGTGGACGACGGGCGCAGCGACGACGATGGCCGAGGCAGGCGAGGGACCGGTCGTCGCGACGTTGATCTGGCTGCCCCAGTGCTGGGGGCCTGAGCGCAGGATCGGGCCCGAGCTGGCGTAGGCGCCTGGACGCACAAAGCCCGGCCGGACCGACGACGACGCGTCCGAGGCGTTCTCCCAGCCTCGACTCGACATGGCCGACATGATGTAGCCCTCGTCGTCGACGAGCCCGGTTGAGGGGAACGGCGACGGCCCGCTGCCGAGCGAGAGGGTCGAGCCGCCCGCGCCGGGGTGCCCGGCCGGCCGTTGCGCGCTCGGCAGCATGTACGTCGCCGTGCCGACGCTCGACGCGTCGCTCCTGCCCCCGACCGTCCCGCCCGCAAAGTGCTCGAGGTGCAGGTGGCGCCGCCTGCGCTCCTCGACCGCGCGCCGCCTCGCGACTTGCGAGCGGGCGTCGGCGGCGCGCCGCTTCTTGCCGCCGCTCGCGCCGCCTGCACGTCCACCGCGACTCTTGCGCAGAGCGCCGAACAGGCCGCCGCCGCGAGGCGAACGCGACTCGTCGAACGGGACCCGGCCGACGAGGCGGACGACGAGCTCGAGGACCTTGAACGCGACGACGCCGATGAGGAGGAGGATGACGAGGCCCATGGCGAGGAAGACGATGTAGGCGACCCAAGACGCGGCTGCCGGCGAGACGTCGACCGTCGGCGACAGGACGACGAGGAGGACCGCGATGATGATGCGGGCGAGCGACAGGAGGAAGGCGAGAGGGCCCATCGCCGCATTGTCGCCCCACGGGAGCCACAGCGACGTGCAGAGCGTGTGCGCGACCTCGACGATGAGGATGATGGCGGCTTGCGCCGTACCCGACGCCTGACCTGCGCCGACGACGACGCCGATGACGAGGTTGGACCCGAGCGTGACGAGCGGGAACAGGATGCACTCCTCGGCGTAGGTGTTGTACAGCGGGCCAAGCGCGAGGAGCGTCGGCAGGTGGCCGTACAGGGTGCGCGTCGACTTGACGTGGATCTGCCACAGGGCGAAGGCGGGGTAGGCGACGCAGACGAGGGCAAAGACGACGACGGCGAGGGCGAAGGTCGAGGACGGCGCCGACGAGTAGAGGGTGAACTGGTAGGCGGAAAAGAGGGATAGGGGGAGGTGGAAGAGGAGGACGAGGCGGGTGAGGTTGCCCTGGAGGAGCGCGGCGTGGAGGCGCCACAGCGGGTGCTCGTCGTCCGGGTTGGCCCTCGCGAGCTCGTCGTCGTCGGCAAAGTAGTCGTCGTCGGCAAAGTCGCCGCTGCCGAGGAACCGGCCCATCGAGCCGTCCGAGCGCCGACGGTCGCCGTACGCGTCAGGCGTGGACACGTGCTCCTTGCTCATGGCGTGCGCGAGCGACTCGTCTTGCCCGTGCGCCGCCTTGTCCTCGATCGGCGCGTGTGGGCTCGCCGCTCGCCGCTTCGGGAAGACGGCGGCGAGTGCCGAGTCGAACGCGAAGACGACGACGTGCGCGACGATGGCGCCGGCGCACAGGGCGAAGAAGGTGAACGCGCAGATGCTCCACACGTCCTCGTGCCGCACGCCGATCATGCGCGACCACCGCTCGAGGCCGTCGCGCTCGCCATCGAGGTCGAGGAGGACGTTCGGGAGCGCCGGGTCGAGGTACAGCGGCGAGGTGACGTCGGCGATCTGCGACGCGTAGGCCGACGGGAGGGTCGTGTTCTGGGGCAGGACGGGATCGGCGGGCGAGACAAAGGGGAGGGACGAGTTGAAGACGAGGGTCGTCCACGCCGCTCGACGAAAAACCGGGTCTGTGGCGAGAGGACCTCGTGAGCACCGCCTTCTCCTCGGGAGAGAACAGAGAGAGAGGAAGAAGGACGCACAGGCAAAGCCCGGCCACGTGACTGCGACCGTCCCGACGAGAGCGAACCAGGCGACGAGCCCGAAGAGTTCGCGAAACTCGGCCGTGACGTAGCGCCGCAGGCTCCCGCTCGCGACGACCTGCTTGCCCGCCCACGCGCCGAACCAGATGCTGCGCCACATGCCGCGGTGCGACGGCCCGCCGTCGCGCGACGTGAGCTTGAGGGTGAGCGACGACGCGAGCTGCGTCTCGTTGTCGCGCAGGCACGCCGTGTACGAGGCGTACGCTCGCGCGACGATGTACAGGAGGAGGTAGGTCGCGAGGGTGCCGATGAGGACTGCGAGGTAACGACAAAGGGGTCAGGACAGGCTCGAGGGGGGTGCGAGAGAGGGAGAAGGTCGACTCGCGGTAGTGGACGAGGTTGTACGCAAAGTAGTCCGGGTAGTAGGGCGTGAACGACAGGTCGTAGCAGGCGAGGTGGAGGGCGGGTGATGACGGGTCGAGGGCGAGGAGGTTGGTTGTGATGGTCGTGAGAGGGTACGACGAGGCGAGCGGGATGGTGAAGCCGAGGGCGATGGCGCCGCTGTACGGGCAGCCAGAGTCGGTGACGACGGCCGAGCCGTTGGTCGTGACGCCCGTGTCGCCCTCGTCGGTGCGGATGTTGGAGCACAGGGCCGTCTTGTTGGACGCGACCTCGAACGACAGGACCTGCGAGTCGACGATGAGGGTCGAGAGGAGGCCGGCGCCGTCGCCGGCGCTGTCGCTGAAGCCCTCGCTCGTCGCGACCGTGTTGCCGACGAGGACGATGCGCAAGAGGTCGCCCGTGCCCGTCAAGACGGCGCCGTCCTCGTTGAAGATGGGCGAGGGGACGAGGTCGAGGTTGATGCCGGCGGCGTGGTACTCGCCGGGCTTGGTCTGGCCTTGGTCGAACTGGGCATAGAGGTCGGTAAAGACGAGCTGCTGGTCGACTGGGGCGACGAGGTCGCCTGAGCCGATACAGGACGACAGGCGGCGGGACCAGAGCACCTCGGCGCGAGCGAGGGGCGCTGCGAGCGCGGCGAGGGCGAGAGGGTGCAGTTTGCGCATCTGCGCGTCGGCTGCGAGTGCGGCTGGCTCTGCTCGTGCTCTCGCCGGAGGGTGGTTCGAGCAGAAGGGCTCGGACGAGAGGGTCGGGAGGCGGTGCGCGCTGGCCTCGTCGTCACGCTCGCGTAGGACCGGTGCAGTGTGATCCAGGTGCTCTCGAGAGCGCCAGAGAGCGCACTCGGCGAGCGAACTGTTCGGCTTGAGCCGTCCTCGCTGTCGTCTCTCGGCGTCTCCGCTCGCGACGGAGAACCCGCCGATGACACCTTTCTCGCAGCTCAGCGGGACCAGCCGCCCGGCAGGATGAGCGCAGAGAGTACGAGAAGCTCTCAGAGAGATCAGATCTGGCGCCCAAGAGAGGGGAGGTTGGCTGGCCCCGCTCGACTTCGGTTGCAGCCTCTCTCGCGCCCTCCTCGCCTCACGCACCCTGCTGTGGCTTGCTTCTGGCCCGATCAGAGCTATTGAGCCTCCTGCACGCCGTGCGCATCCGCACCGTATCGACCGGCACCCTCGCCGCCTGTTCCTCCTCGTCGCCTTTCCCTGCGCCAGCTTCCCCGCGTGGTCGTGTCACGGGCTCAGACTGCCAGTGCGTCGTCATTCTCACTACGTTCCTCGTCCGACGATCACTGACAGCGAGTCTCTGCAGTGCCCAAGATCGCCGTCGCTGTGGTCGGCGTCGGCCTCGTCGGCAAGGAGGTCGTCCGACAGCTCTTTGCGCCAGCGCTCGACGGCGTCTTCGAGGTCGTCTTCCTTTCTGGATCGACGCATGCTGTCGCACTCGAGCGAGGCCAGCGCTTCGACGACGCAGAAGCCCTGCTCGCCCTCCTCCCTCCCTCCTCGACTTCCCCTTCAAACCGGCCCTCCCTTCCCTCCGGCGCGACCTACTCGTCCACCGGCTTCAAGTCGATCGTCACGGCGCTCGTGACGGAGAGCACGTCAAGTGGGCAGCACACCATCCTCGTAGACTGCACCTCGTCGGCCGACCTCGGCGCCCTGTACCCCCAAGCGCTCTCGTCGGGCCTGTCGATTGTCACGCCCAACAAGAAGGGGTTTGCCTCGTCGAGCTCGCTCTACACCGCGATCGTGAGCGCGCAAGCCGAGCCGGGCGCCGGCCTGTGCTACCACGAGGCGACGTGCGGCGCCGGGCTGCCCGTCCTTTCGACCGTGCGCGACCTCGTCGCGACGGGCGACGAGATCTTGCGCGTCGAGGGCGTCCTCAGCGGCACGCTCGCGTACTTGTTCAACCAGTACTCGACCGTCGCCGGCGTCGAGGACGGCGCGAGGCCGTTCAGCGAGCTCGTGCGAGTCGCCAAGGAGCACGGTCATACGGTGCGCGAGATCTCCCTGAGCCTCTCTTCCTGTCGTTCTGGACCGTTCACTGACTCTCTCGAACGAGACACAGGAGCCTCACCCAGCCGACGACCTTTCGGGAGCAGACGTCGCCCGCAAGCTCACCATCCTCGCCCGGGTCGCCTCGGCTTCCTCCTCTACTTCCTCGGCACCCTCGTCCCTCCCACCTCTTCCCGAACTTCCAGAAGGTCATCTCTCCGTCCCGACCCAGTCGCTCGTCTCGCCCGAGCTCGCCGCCCTCGCCAACCCGAGCGAGTTCCTCGACAAGCTCGCCAACCTCGATGGCGACCTTGCGGCGCAGCGGGACGAGGCGGCTCGAGCAGGGCGGGTGCTGCGGTACGTCGGCGTGATCGACAGGGTGCGGGGCGAGATTCGCTGCGGGCTCGAGAGGTGCGTCCCGGCTCGCTTTCTGCCTCGACCTTCTCTCGCGCGCGCCCGACTCACGCTTTCGTCGCACGCGCACAGCTTTCCGCACTCGCACCCGTTCGCGAGCAGCACGGGCTCGTACCTCTCTCTCGCCATCTACACGCGTCGATACGCCTCGTCGCCGCTCGTCATCCAGGGCCAAGGGTACCCGCTCTCGGTCACGGCGGGAGCAGTCGTCGCCGATGCTGTGCGAGTTGCCGAGCGGTACGGGGCGCGAGTCGGGCTGTAGCTCTCTCTCTCTCTCGATGCAGGAGGACACGGTCGAGGAGGAAATGCACTGCGCTTCGGGTTTCACTGGATCGAGAAGAAGAGAGGGTCGTGCGCGAGGAGGATCTACTCGAGCGAGACGACGGCCTTGCCAAAGTTGCGGCCCTCGAGCATGTCGAGGAAGGCCTGCACGAAGAGAGACGCTGGTCAGCATGTCGTTCGACGAGTCGAGGAGGACGAGAGAGAGAGGGAGAGAAACAGAGAGCGCACCTCGCCGTTGTCGATGCCCTTGGTGACGTGCTCCTTGAACTTGATCTCGCCGTTGGCGACGAGCTTGGGCATCGTCTTGTCGAACTCGGTCCAGTCGTGGTTCGAGACGATGAAGCCCTCCCACCTGAGGCGCTTGGTGACGACGTTCGACGTGTTCTTGAGGCCGTACTGCTGGTCGGGCGGGAGGTTGTACTCTGCGGCGAGGCGAGTATGTCAGTCGGGCATCGAGACGGTAAGGGGCCGACACGATGAATGTGAGGCAGGCGGGCCTTAGAGGGAAGGAAGGAGAGAGAAGGAGCGGGAGGAGGAGGAGGACGCACGAGAGACGGAGCCGCAGTGGATGATGCGGCCGTTGTTCTGGATCGTCGCGAGGACAGCGTCGAGCGTCTCGCCGCCGACGTTCTCGAAGACGACCGACGGCGGGTGCTGCTCGAGGAAGTCCTGGGTCGACGTCGTCTTGTCTGCGTTTGGGAAGGTCGAGTTAGCGACGATGTCGAGCTCGAGAGAGGAGCTCCTGGCTCGACGCACAGTTGAAGGCGTGGTCGTAGCCGATCTCCTTGAGGAACGCGACCTTCTCGTCGGACCCAGCCGAGCCGATGACCTGCAGAGAGGGCGAGAAAAGGAGAAGGTCAGGTCCGACCGCCTCGTGCCGCCGCCCGAGACCGAGGAGGGGACGTAAAGACGCACCGTGAGACCCTCACGCTTGGCGAGCTGACCGGCGATCTGGCCGACAGCGCCCGAGGCCGCCGAGACTGCAAAAGCGAGGGATGAGCTTCTCCTCCTCGCGAAGGTAGGGGGCGAGGGACGCACTGAAGATGGTGTCGCCCTTCTTGATCCTGCCGATCTCGTACAGGCCGATCCATGCGGTGGCCGAGGGCACTGGGGGAGATACAGCGAGTCAGTTTGCGTGTTTGGGGACCGAGAGGAACGAAAGACTCACTCCCGCACGCGCCGACCATCGTCGTCCAAGCGATCCCGTCGGGCTTCTCGACCACCTTGGCGAGCTTCATGTCGAGTCGAGCCTTGGAAAGGAGGGCGTACTCGCTGTAGGGGAGAAGGCCCTTGAGGATGGCGCCCTTGGGAAAGTCGGGGTGGTCGGACCGTTCGACGATGCCGACTCCAAGAGTGTCGATGACCTTGCCGAGCGCGAACGCCTGGTTGTAGCTGGCCTTACTGGACGCCCTCATGCGGCCACGGAGGTACGGATCGAGGGATACGGCCTTCATCTTGACGAGTAGACCGCCCTCCAGGTCGACGGTAGCGACGTCGAGCTCCTCCTCGACGCGCTTGAGCGTCTTGCCGGGGACAGGGGCACCGTGCGGCACCTCGTTGAAGATGATAGAGGCGTTGACGACCATGCTGAGTGTAGAGGGAGAAGGAAGAAGAGCGGGAGCGAGGAGGGTGGGGGGACGAGAGTCGGACACGACGCCGAGCTGAGCAAGCTCCGGGCAGCGGGGTCTCCACCATCCGGTGTCGCGGACGGAGCAGTCGAGCGCGAGCGTACTGTAGAAGCTGGAAGCGTGAGAGAGTAGGAAGCAGAGAGAGGTTCGCGTGCACGCACCCCTCGACGTACTCGGGGCCGCCGACGTCGACGGGGCAGAAACGCGGAGCGACCGCCGATGAGGGTTTCGGCCGATTTCGCTCCCCGCTCTCTGTGCACCTCGACCAGCTAGCCAGAGCGCACCAGTGCACCGCCAGAGCGCACCACAGCAGCACCCGCCACCACGAGCACACCCACGAGCCGCGCCACCACCTCGAGCCAGCCCCCCTCCCCCTCGGCCCGCCCTCGTCCACCTCGGGCTCATCTCTCGCCGCCCAGCATGGCGACTAGCGCGCACCACAGCCCTCGAGCCCGGCGGGGGAGCCGCCCTGTGCCCTTCACCATGTCGATGCCGGCCCCGCCCGTCTCGTTCCCCGACCACTCGCACCCGCACCAGCTCCACCACCATCACCACCAAGCCACCTCGTCGCTGTGGCACCCCGAGGGCCTCGACTCGCCCAAGCAGGTCCTGTCGACGCAGCACTACCGCGACGCCGTCGACGACGTCCAGAGCGTCCTGTACGGCGGGCGAGGGCGGGATCGAGACGAGATCTCGCGCGTCGTCGGCGACTTGTACGATTCCGGAGCTAGTGCGTCCCGCTCTCGCTCTCTCTCCTGCCCGCGCACCACTGACTCGAGACCTGCGCAACAGCGTTCGAGAACCCGTTGACGCTTGCGCGAGGGCGCGACGCCGTGAGCGACATGTTTGCGCTCCTCGCCCTCGTCCCCGGCACCATGTGGAGCGAGATGGGCGACCTCACCGAGTCGCGCTCGGCGTACGACGGCAACCGGCTCGTCGTCTTTACCCACACGCTCCACATCAGCCTCCTCCCGTCGCTCGACTCGGACGCGGCCGCGCACGCCCACGCCGCGAGTTCGTCGACCGGCGCCGCCCACCCCTCGTTGCGGCGCAGCATCTCGTTCTTCTCGCTCCCCTCGACGCCGTACCCGCAAACGCCCTCGTCGGCGACGATGAACGGCGGCGCCGGACCCGAGACGCCCGGGGCGGCGAGCGAGGGCATCTTCTCCAAGACGCACCCGGCCTTGGGCGGGCGCGACCGGTGGCCGTCGGCGTCGGTCCTGTCGATGCTGAGCCCGCGCGCGATCGCGTCGGCGCTCACGACGCTACACCTCAAGCTGCACACGCGCCTCTTGTTCAACGAGGAGGGCCGCATCACGGCGCACGAGGACCTGTGGGGCGTCAAGGAGCTCGTCGAGGGCGTCTTTCCCGTCGTCGGGCACCTGTACGCCGTCAACCGCCAAGGACTCGGCTGGCTCGCGCGCATCGCGAGCCGGACACTGCTCGGCAGCGGCGGCGGCGGCGGTCAGGGTGCGGCGCAGGCGCACAAGCTCGCGGCGCTGCCGCCGGGCGAGGGCAAGCAGGCCGGCGGCGACGAGGAGGCGCAGCTCGAGGGCCAGCCGCAGTACCGCACGCCGAGGTCGGCGGCGGCGAGCGCCAAGTCGCCGTACGGCGCCGAGTACAGCCCGACGTCGCAGGGAGGAGCTGGAGCGCTCGGGCTCGACATTGGCGAGCGGGCGGTCGCGACGACGCTCGACGACGAGTGACGACGGTGCAGCTGTCGCTGTCGTCCAGGCGGCTCACACGTCGACGTCGAGCTGGAGGTGGAGGAGGGTTCCCCGTTGTTGTGCAGTTTCTCTTGGCCTCGTCTGTGCGTGTCGTCATATTCATGCTTCCCTTGTAACGATAGACAGCGTCTGCATCTGTGTCGAGTCGCGAGGAAAGCGAGCGAAAGCGTGCCGGCACGACGACGAGCTTCGCGGCGGGAGGAGGCGACTCGCTCTCTCTCGATCCTCTACACCTCGGCTCGACTCTGTTGCACCCGAGAGCAGTGCAACACACCCACAATGGACTCGATCGGGCAGCTCTCGTCGTCGCTCCCGCCCGACTTTGAGTCGAAGCAGCTCCAAGCCTCGTTCCGCCAGGCGGCACTGTCCATCACCGACCTCTTCAAGCAGGGCAAGCGCGCTTCAGCCAAAGGTGCGTCCCACCAGTTCACCTCCCTCTCGCCCTGCCCACCACCCGCCCCACCCTCGAACGAGCGAGCGAGCCCCTGACTCACGCCTCCCCCTCCCTCCCCTCTCGTCGTCGCCTCCCCCTCGACAGCCTACATCTCCGGGCAGCGCCAGGCCTTGCACGAGGTCCTCGAGTACCTCCAGGCCTTGCTCGACCAACCCGCAGCGAGCACTTCGTCTGCCGCCGCTCCCCTCGCCGGCACGGGCCCGGTCGACGTCGGTCGCCTCATCAACTTCATCTGCGTGAGCTCTCTCTCGCTCTCTGTGCGACTCGAGGGTTGCGGCAAACTGACACCGAGTGCTCTCACAGGCCCGCCAAGAAGCGCTCAAGGCCGAGGAGGAGAGCCACGACGACGACGACGCGGCCGCACCTCCTGCGCCCGCCGCTCCTCCCGTCCGCCGCGCCGCATCCGCCGCACCCGCTCCCGCCTCGCCCCTCCGCCCGAGCGTCAGCTTCCAGCGCACGGCGAGCAGCGGCGGCCTTCCCCCTCGGCCCGCCTCGGCCGCAGCGAGCACCTCGGCGCGGCACCACCACCACCACTCGCACGACCACGCCACGTCGTCGGCGCCCGCCTCGCCGCCCTCGTCGGCCTTCTCGCCCCCTTACGCCCGCTCCACCTCGTCCCACTTTGCGTCGACCTCGCACCTGCACTCGTCCGCCCCCTCGACCTCGACCCCCCGCTTCCCCGCGACGAGCACCGCAGGCCCGACCTCGTCGACGCCCGCCTCGACCTCGGCCAACCTCACTTTCACCGCCCCGCCGTCACCCTCACCGCTCATGCCCCACTCGCACGCCCCGCCGACATTTGTCACTGGCCCGGCCTCGCCGCTCAGTCGTGCGCCGGGCCGCTCGTTGCGCCCTCGACCGGGCGCGAGGGACCGTGCGGCGGGCAAGGCGGCGACCGGTGCGGCGGGTGCGGCCGCAGGTGACGACATGGGCGAGGAGTACGAGGTCGAGCTCGGCATGAAGAGGCGGTGGCCGGGCGGGTCGGCGGCGGGAGGAGGAGGAGGAGGGCCAGGACCGGGTTCGGCGGCAGGCGGCGCAGACGTCGTCGAGCTGGCGCCGCCCGGCGACGGCATGGAGCAGGGGATGGACGTCGAGGGCATGGGCATGGACGGGTGGGACGGGATCGGCGAGAGGCCGTTCAAGCGCGTTACGAGGAGGGCGCCGTCGGCGGCGGATGGTGCGGCGGGCGGGGCAGGAGACGCCGGCGCCGGTGAGACGCACCGGTGAGGCGTACGTCCGTCAGGAGGGAGGAGGAGGGGGCGGTCTCTGAGCTGGATGCGGTTCGTCGTCGTCTCCTTCGTCCTCCTTTCGTCATGTCCTTTTCCTCTGTCGTATCACACTCTCTCGCACTCGCCTCTCGTGTCCTGTCCTCCGCAATGCATCTGTACCATGATACACACTCGAGAGAGAGAGCTCTAATCTAGGTCTACTGCTCTGCCTCGTTGACCGCTCAGATCTCCTTGCCCTCCCACTCGCTCAGGACCTTGTCGAGCCGCGCCGACATGGCCGCCTTGCGCTCGTCCGAGCACCACGAGCCGTCGATGCCGTTCTGCGCGATGCGCCGCCACGTCGCCTTGTCGAACCCGAACGCGTCGTGCACGGCGAGGTAGTTGTCGAGGACGTAACCTGGAGGGTCCGATCGGCGTCAGGTTCCGCTTCTCGTCGTCGACGCTCGGACACAGAGACGAAGAGAAAGAGAGACGGACCGCCAAAGTACGCCGGGTCGTCCGAGTTGAGCGAGAACTTGATGCCCTTCTCGAGAAACTTGGGGATGGGCGACTCGCTCACGCTCGTGTGCACGCGCAGGCGCACGTTCGACAGCGGGCACAGCGTGAAGAAGGTGCCCCGTGCGGCGAGCTCGTCGAGGAGCTCGTCGTCGTCGGCGGCGTGCACGCCGTGGTCGACGCGGTTGATCCCGAGGTCGAACACGGTCTGGCGCACCCACGACGCCGGGCCCTCCTCGCCCGAGTGCATCGTCAGGCGCGGGAACCCGACCTCGCGAGCCGTGTCGTACACCGAGGCGAACTTGGACGCTGTACGAGAGAGAGCGGCAGGGTCAGGACGTCGTCCGGGAGGAGGAGAGGCTCGTGCACGCACGAGGGTTGTCCTTCTCCGACGAGTCGGCGCCGAGCCCAATCACGTCGCCGCTCGCGACGTACGGCTGCATCTCGACGACAGCCTGCTGCGCCGACTCGACGCTCAGGTGCTTGACGAAGCACATGATCAGCTCGGTCGTGATGCCAAACTCCTCCTCGCCCTGCGCGAGGCCCTTCTTGAGCCCTCGCACGACGACGTCGAGCGCGATGCCGCGCCCCGTGTGCGCCTGTGGGTCGAAGAAGACCTCGGCGTGGACGAGGCCGTCGCTGTGGACGCGCTTGAGGTACGCGTGCGCGAGCGCCGCAAAGTCCGACTCGTCGATGAGGACGTCCATCGCCTTGTTGAAGTAGGCGAGAAAGTCGTCGAGGTTGGCAAAGTTGCGGTAACTGCTCTCAAGGGAGGATGCGCAGAGTGAGCGAGGGCGTCGAGGAAGAGACGGCAAGGGAGAGTGCGGACGGACCGCTCCTCGAGGGCCGGGATCGTCGAGTACATGGCCTCGTCGAGCTTCATGCCGTGCTTGTCGGCGAGCTCGAACAGCATCTGCGGCTCGAGCGAGCCCTCGATGTGCAGGTGGTGCTCGCACTTGGGCAGAGCGCGCAGGAAGGCGGTCGCAGCCTCGCCGCACACTGCGCGCAGGGGTCCGTGCGTCAGGGTCTCGTTCTCGTCGCTCGCTCGCCGCCGCGCACAGAGTAAAAGGGAGAGGGAGACGCACTGGTCGATGAGAGGAAGCTTGCGGGGTAGTGGGGGAGGCGAACGAGCAACGGCGAGTCGGTGGCAGAACGTGCAGGAGAGCGAGAGCTTGAGGGCCGTGCGAGGGTGGGAGCGATGCGAGCAGAGAGAGCGAGGAGCAGGAGATCAAGCAATGGCTGGCGCCGGGCGGGCAATCGCTCGCGCCGTTGGCAGCTCGTCGCCTGAGCTAAAGAAAAGTGCGAGCCGGGGCAGGGCGGGCGGGGTCGAACGGCGCACGGGCCAGACTCTCGAGCCGAGAGAGCGCGCTGTCCGAGAAGTACCGGCTCTCTCGCACCTCGGAGATCGACGCGGGCCACCCGTCGTACACGGGCGCGTCGCCCGAGAGGGTCGCCCAAGTCGAAGCGAGAAAATGGCGTGCGATGCAGTAGAGGGCGTACAACAACGAGCTACGGACCTGCGCGAGCGACAGGACGAGGTCAGGCCGGGTACGAGGACGGGAGGAGAGGGCTCGAGGGGAGAAGGAGAGGTGGACGCACGACAAGCAGAAACTCCCTCGTGCGCTAGTACCACGCGCACCACTGCGGACGCGAGTAGACGAGGGATCAGGGCCGTACGAGAGAGAGAGGAGACAGAGCGAGAGTCGGACGCACGCCAACATACATCGACCCGAGGTTCTTGGGGTCGCGCGCCTCGCGGATCAAACGCTCGACCTGCTCCTCGATCGTGACCTCCTTGACGGCGACCGACTCGGGGTCCGACGTGACCTGCAGGCCGAGGAGCTTGTTCGAGATGGGCTCGAGCGCCTCGAGAGCGCGCGCCTTGGTCTGGTCGGGCCCGGCCGTGTCGCGCTGCGGGGAGAAGGACGACGACGACGAGGTCAATGCGGCCCGGCGGCGAGGAGGAGGAAAGTGGACGACGAGCTCGACGCACCTTCTTGCTGACGTACACCCACTCGACGAGCGGGTCGTGCAGGAACGTCTCGAGGACCGAGCGCAAACTGTCCTTGTTGGCGCGCAAGATGCGCAAGGTGATCTCGGCGGACCGCCGATAGACGCCTGTTCAGGTCAAGGCGAGTCAGTCCAGGCTTGACCGTCGACGAACAGGAGAGAGCTCGAGACGCACCCTCGACGCCCGTGACGCCCATGCCGTCGATGATGTTGTGCGTGAGCCGAAACGGGACCTTCTCGGCGACCTCGAACGTGCGACCCTGCGAGCGAGAGAGGGTCAGCGCCCGGGAAGAGGTAGGACAAGGCGAGGAAGAGTAGGCGCACCTTGTCGAACAGGCAGTTGAAGTCGACGTGGACCGTGTCGCCAGTGGTGCCGTCGAGGAGGATGTTCTCGCAGTGCCGGTCGCCGAGTCTGCGTGCACGCGTCGTGAGCGTCGGCGACAGGGACGAGTGAGAGGACGCGAGGGACGCACCCGAGAACGAAGCCGACCATCGAGATGACGGCGGCCGTGCGCGAGTAGTTGAGGCGGGCACGGTGCCAGGCCGACGGCTCGGGAAAGTTCTCGAGGAACCAGTCGTGGAAGACGGACGGGTACCTGGTCGAGACGAGCGTCAGTGACACTCCCGATCATGGGGAGAGGGAGAAAAGGGAGACGCACTGGCTCAGGACCTCCTTCTCAAACCGCTCGCCCGTCTTTTTCGGGTCGGCGCGAATCGTGTCGAAGACCTTCTTCAGCTCGGGGCACTGCAGGTAGGAAAGGCTGTCAGAGGTGCCATACTCGAGCAGAGCACGAGAGAGAGGGGGACGCACCCATGAAGAGATGCCGCGAGCCGTGTAGGCCTTGTTGAGGACGCCGCGCAGGACGACGACGTGCGGGACCCACTCGATGAGGCCGCATTCCTCGTTGAGCGGCACGACCGAGTACGTGCGGATGTCTGTACGAGAGAGGGCGCCGATGAGCAACGCGAGCGACGACAGAAACGAGGGAGGGAGGGAAAGCGAGCACGCACCGAGTTTGCGACTGCGCGCGTCCGAGTCCTTCTTGAGCAGCTTGATGATCATCGCGTTGAACTCCATCAGGCGTGCGTCCTTGCGCAGGTCGTCCTTGGGCTTGCACAGGAAGCTGTACGACCGGCCGTCGTTGCCGCGAACCGTGATCTTGCGAGGCTTCTGCAGCGAGCTCATGACGTTGATCACGTCCTCGAAATCTGCGTCGATGAGGAGCAGAGTCAGGGATGCCTCGAGGAGAGAGAGAGAGAAGAGGGAGGACGCACCTTGGAAGACCGGGAGGTTGTCGGCGAAAGGCTTGTGCGACAGGGCCTGCGACGAGTCGAACGGGAGCGAGACCGTGAGGGAGCTCTGCAACGGGATGATGAGCTTGGTCGGCGCCGCCTTGTACAGGGCCGGGAACGTCTTCTTGAGGCTGAGCGTGTCGACCTTGCCCGTGATCGGGTGGTTGCACAGGGCGAGGAGCTGGTCGACCAGGCGCAGGCCCTCGTCGACGAGGGCGCCGACGTCCGACGACGACCTTGACGCCGCAGCTGCGTCCTGTAGGGCAGAGAGCGAGTCAGGAGGGACGGGCAGGTAGAGAGGGCCGAGTCGGCGCACCTTGGCCTTCTGGAACACGCGCAAGTTGCGCTTCGAGCGGCGGCTCGTGTTGGACTTGGCGCCCGACGCCATCGCCCAGAAGCCGTGATGCGGATAGCTCTCGAGGACCTTGAGGAGGATGTGCTCGAGAACCTCGAAGAGCTGGTCGTTGCCGTGCAGGATGCGCGAGACGAGTTGCGGAAGGACCGTGAGCCACTGCGAGGACGCGTCCAGGGGGTCAGTCCTCGACAGTCTGAGTGCGTCCCCGACGTGTACAGGCGAGCGTGGGACGCACTTGGTAGACCGGGATCGGGTTCGAGACGGCGGCCTTGCGGATGTAGCTGTTGGTGCGCGCGAACGTCCGCGACAGCTCGTACGCCTCGCCCTCGGTCGACACCTGCGGGCTGTGGCACAGCGTCAGGTCGTCGTGACGGAGGACAGGAGCCGAGGGAGGGAGAGAGGACGCACTTGTTGCGCTTGGCCTTGAGGTACTCGATCAGGACCGGCTTCTCGCCCATCTCGAGCCAGATGGTGAGCAGACGAGGCAGCGCCTGGTAGATGTACTTGGTGCCGTTGCCGACCGAGCGACAGAAGAGCTTGACGACGTGCGAGCGGTACGCGATGATGTCGCTGCGAGGGTGGACGAGGAGGGGGACGGGATTGAGAAGGTCAGTACCGCGAGGCGAGGCGGACGACGGCAGTAAAGAGAGGGGGCTCACGTCGAGTACCGGTTGGGCCTGGCCTTGGGCGTCTTCTTCTCGAGCGAGTCGGCGATGCTGTCGTAAAAGTGGCCGAGCTCGTACGACGGGCTCTCCCAGTTGGGCGCGAGCGCCGACGACTCGAGGAACAGCTTGACGGCCTCGTTCTGCTCGACGCGACCGGCCTCGAGCATCCACCGGGCACGGCGGAGCGACGCCTTGGCGAGCGGCGACGGCTTGTCGAGCGACACGAGCGGGTCGTCGACCGTGCCCTCCTTGAAGTGGGCGAGGATCGGGACGAGGCGGTGGTCGAGCTCCTGCACGGCCTTGTACGACTGGCCGTTCGACTTGAGGAGCTTGGCGCTCTGGAGGAACGTCCACTCGGCGTCGCAGTCGCGCGCCTGCAGGATCGCGCTGTACGCCGTCTGGAAGTGGCCGGCCTTGCGCGCGATCTTGGACGTCTCGAGCCACAGCTCGCCGACCTCGGCCTTGATGGCGTGCTCGGCGGGCGACGTGAGGCGGAACCCGATGCGGCGAGTGTTGAGGATCGGCTCGCGAGCCCGGAACGACGGCGATGTCGTCGCGAGGCGGTCGCGGAACGACTTGACGAGCGACTCGAGGTGCTGCCCGCCGTCGAGCCCGAGCTGGTGGATCGACTTGAGCTCGTCGAGGATGTGCAGGTGGACGATCGAGTCGTACACGCGGCGGTACGACTCGCGGCCGGCAGCGACGACGGGCCCGCCGAGCTGCTCGCGCGCGTCGAAAAAGGCGCGCTCGACCTGCTCGCGGTCGCCGTTGCGGACGGCGCACAGGACGCGGCCGAAGCTCGCCTCGGGACCCTCGAGGTCGGGCACGTCGAGCGCGTCCTCAACCGAGGCCCAGTCGCCGACGAAGAGGGACGCCTCGACGTTGAAGGGCGCGAGGAGGCGCTCCCAGTCGACCTCGTCGCCGCGGCTGTGGAGGAGGCCGACGATGTGGGTGCGCATCGAGTCGTAGTGGCCGAGGTTGCGCAGGCACCGCAAGAGGCCGACGTGGTTGACCGGGTCGTCGGGCTTCTGCTGCAGCTTGACCTCCCAGCAGCTCTGCGCCGAGGTCCACCTGCCGGTGCTCTCGTGCTCGCGGATCTGGTGGAGCACGCTCGGCGACAGGATGCGGGTCGAGATGCCCTCCATGCCGTCGGGCTCGTCGAGGTGGGCGTAGCACTCGTGCAGGTTCTCGTAGTAGACCTGGAGGTCCTTGTCGGTGCTGGCGCCCTTCTGCGCCCGTTGCGCGACGATGTGCGACTCGAAGTTGAGGAGCGAGCGGGCGTACGCCTTGCACGTGAGGGCGGCCTGGCCGACGAGGATGTGCGGGATGTCCTGGAGGATGCCCTCGACGCTGACGAGCGCGTCGGTGAGGACGCCGTCCTCGAGCGACTTGTTCTTGGTCTTCTTGCGCAGGGCCCGGATCTCGCTCGTGCGCTTGCGGGCGAGCGTGATCCACCGGCTCAGGTGGTCCATGAGCGTAAAGACGGTCTGTGCGGGCGACAAAAGGCGAGTGTCAGTGCGACGGCCCTTGGCGCGAGAGGGTCGAGAGACGGTCTGAGAGAAAGAGGCGAGACGCACTTGAGCCGAGAGGAGCCTGCTGTTCTCCGAGAGGGCGTGCGTCGGCGACACCTGGTCGGTGAGGACCGTTTCCATCTCGACCTTGATCTTGGCGCGATCGTCCTCCGAGCCGCAGATGAGGACGTTGAGGAGCAGGTGCGGCAGGAGGTGCTGAGCGACGACCGTGTCCTCGAGGTGGAGCAGGCCCGAGAAGGCGCCGAACACCTGGCGCGCCGTCGACCCTTGGACACGCTGCAGGAGCTCGTTGGCGAACGTGCGGATCCAGTCGCGGTACGTCGACGTCGACGAGTAGATCGGGAACGTCGCGGCGGGCATGGGCTTGAGGTTGCCGAGCGAGAACCGGGTGCTGAGGAGCGGCGCGCACGCCTCGACGACGGTGCGGGGCAGGTGGTCCCACCGGCGCTGCGCCCGCTCGTTGACCTCGCCGGCCGTCTGGTGCGGCACGATGAGGCTCGCGGTGAAGCCGCAGAACCGGAGGAGCTCCTGGATGGCGTACGCGAGGAACTCCTGGTGCTTGGTGTCGTTGGTGCTGCGGTACGCGCCGACGAGCAGGTCCTGGACGAGCCGCAGCGCAAAGTCGATCGCCTCGTCCGTGTTGTCGAAGTTCTCGAGCACGATCGGCGGCTGAGGGAGCGGCGGCAGCTCGAACCGGTCTGGGTCGACAGCGCCGAGGATGCCGATGCACTCGAACGCGCTGTTGCGCAGGAGCTCGTTCTCGGGCCCGTCCTTGACCGACGCGCCGAGAAGGACCTCGACGAGGCGACCGATGCTCGGGTCGAACGAGTCGCCCGCCGCGAGCGCCTGGACCTTGACCGTGTTGGCCTCGAGGAGCGTCTTGAGCTCGCGCAAGGCCTGGTGCGTCACGACGTCGTTCTCGCTCGCGATGCGGTCGAGCAGGTGGCCGAGGCGGTCGTCGAACGTCCAGTGTTGACGCGCTCGGACGAGGCGCCGGTTGGCCTGCGCGAGCTCGTCGATCTCGCTCAGGTCGGCGACGTCCTGGACGTACCGCGACAGGTTGTCGGCGTTCTCGACGACGAGGTAGTTGATCGTCTCGGCTGCCGAGGCCCGCTCAGGAGGCGTGAGCTCTGGCCACAGGCGGACAAAGGCGGCCGTCGTCGGCCCGATAAAGGCGCCGATGTCGCTGAACTTGAGCGACTGGAGGAACGACCGGAACGCGTCGAGCGTGACGAGGCGCAGGCCGGGCAGGTCGAGAGCCGTCTGGAGCGTCGCCATGATCTGCCACGAGGATGAGGAGGAGTTAGTGAGGGCGTTCTCGGCGAGGTCGGGCGGCCGAGGAAGGAGGAAGCGGTCGACGCACCTGCGGCGAGAAGCCGGCGATGGCTCGCCCGACCATCTTGGTGATGGCGTCGAGGCTGCGGATGATCTTCTGCTTGTCGCGGAGCGGCCGCTGGTGGCCCGCCTCGTGCAGGCCACGGTTCATGTGCGACAGGAGGCCGACGATGGCGTTCTTGAGGATCTGGGCCGTGTCGAGCCGGTCGCTCGCCGCGTGGCCGAGACGGGCGCGCTCGACGGCCTTGAGGGCCCGCTCGGCTTGAGCCGTCACCTCGACGTCCTCGTCGCCGAGCTCGAGCGCGAGCTTGTACACGAGCGGGACGTTGACGGCCTCGAGGAGGCGGGCGAGGACGACGCCGCGACACTCGCGCATGAGCGTCTTGATGCCCTGCTTCTTGAGGTCGTCGGGCTGCATGTACAGGTGGGCGAGGATGGCCGACGTGACGGGCGGGTCGCACAGCATCTCGGCGACCTGGACGCGAGACGCGTCGGCGATCTGCTGGAGGAGCGTGCGCTCGTCGCGCAGGATGATGCCCGGGAGCGTGTGCTCGCGCGTGATGCGCAGGAGCGACTCGCGCGACTGGTGGAAGACCTCGAGGGCGGCCGACAGGGTCGACGGCGAGCTCAGGAGGACGGGGCTCAGAGTCGCAAAGTGCGGCTGGACGAGCGCGTACGGCTTGATGCCGCGGTGCGACGCCGTCTGCGACAGCTGGAGCTTGGCGCTGCTCTTGACGAAGCCGTTGCGGTGGCCCAGCCGGGCGACGACCCTCGCGAGCGCCTCGCACTCGAGGAGGCTCTGGGGCTCGGCGGCCCTCGCGAGCTTGCCGACGAGCTGAAGCGTCGTCTCGGTGACGGCCGGGCTGTCGCGCGCAAAGAGCTCGTCGACGTGCGCGAGCAGGTCGCGGACGAAGAACCCGCTCGGGTCGTGCTCCTTGAGCGCCTGTGCGACGGCGAGAAAGGCGTTGCTGCGGGCGCGAAGAAGGGTCAGTGCGGGCAGGCGAGGGGAGGAAGGCGAGGGGAGGAAGGCGAGGGGAGGGTCCGAGAGCGAGAGAAAGGTGGACACACCCGGCAGCCATCCTCGCGCTCCTGCTCGACCCCGCCATCTCCCTCTGCAGCGCGCCCATGACGACCCGGTCCTCGGCGACGGCCGCCGCGTGCTCGAGCGCGCTGTGCTTGAGCAGCCTCGCGAGCGCGTTCAGGACGGCGAGTCGCAGCGCGTCGCCCTTGGAGGAGCCGAGCACGGCCGGAAGCTGCGCCGTGAGCGCCGCGAGAGGGTCCCGCGTGAAGGTGCGGTACCCTCTCGGGAGGGCGGCGGCGGCCGACGGCTCGACGGCGTCGCACGCGGCGCAGTTGGGCGACGGCGGGAGCGCAAAGTCGCTCCCGACCGTGTAGGCGAGGCAGCCGCTCCGGGCGCAGCTCAAGAGGCCGATCGTGCGCGCGACGTGCGCAGTGAGGGTGGACGACGACGACGCCGCCGAGCCCTTGAGCGCCGTCGCGAGGCGCACGACCGTCTGCTCGGCGACCTGGCCCTCCAAGCCCTCAAACACGCTCGCGCCCTCGGCGCCGAACTGCTCGAGCGCCTCCTCGCGAGCGCGCCGCAGGACCGTGCTGACCGCCTCGCCCCACGGTCCTCGCCGCCGCCGCGCTGCGGTCGAGGGCGGCGCGCCGTCGACGTCCATCGCGCCGTCGCTCGAGGGTGCAGCGTCGGGCTCGTCGAGGCGGCGACGCTTGCGAGGTGCAAAGCCGCCGAGGGCGAGGGCGCTCACGTCGCCGCCGTCGCCGTCGGGCTCGACGGGCGCGTTGCGCTCATCGTGGTCGGCGACGAGCGCGGCGTAGGCGAGAGTGAGGACGGAGGCGAAGGATTGGAGAGGAGCGGGGAGGTTGGGCAGGGGGAGCTCGGCGTGGCCGTGCAGGAGGGCGTCGAGAGTGCGAGTCGGGACGGCGGGCAGGACGTCGAGCGGCGACGAGGCGTCGGCGGTTGGCGGCTTGGCGCAGACGACGGCGAGCGACAGGGTGAGTATCGCGGCCGCCTTGACCTCGACCCGGGTCGCGGGCGACGTGAGCGCCTCGATGAGCTGTGCGCCCTCGCCGACAAGCAGGCTCATCGCGAGCGGCTGCAGCTCCGACATGCCCTCGAGCGCACCGTCGACGGCGGCCGCCTCCCTCGCACGGGCCCACAGCCGGCCGAGCGCCTGCACGAGGGCGACGTCGAGGTTCTCGCTCTTCGGGTCGTCCACCTCCATCGCCTCGTGCTGCCCCTGACCTTGCCCCTGCACCACCGCCGCGAGCCGCTCGCGCGCCTCGTCGAGCACGCGCACGGCGAGGACCTGCGCATCGCGCGCGGCGAACGGTGCCGAGGGCCGCTCGAGCGCTCGCGACACGAGCGCGAGCCACTCTGCGGCGAGCTGCGAGCGGGCCTCGGCGCACTCGGCGGCGCTCGAGCCGGCAGCGACGACGACCTCGCGCTCTTTGCCCTTGCGCGAAGGGGCTGGCACGCGCTCGATGGGCTCGAATGAGCCGGGCGAAGGCCACGTGGCGGCGACGAGGTCGATGACGATCGGGCGGTACTCGGTGAGGTAGATCGAGGTGGTTGTCGTCGAGATGAGGATGCGGAGGGTCGTGAGGGTGAGGGCAAGGGCGTGCAGGGGCGACTTGAGGGTGAGGGTGGGCTGTCGAGGGCCGGAGGTGCTCGTGCTCTTCGAGGGGGAGAAGAGGCTCGGCTGGTAGGCGCGTGACGACTCGAAGAGGGGGATGGTGCGAGGATAGGAGGGAGAGGGCGAGCGAGGGTCGGGAAGGAGGGCTGTGCGGAGAGAGGAGTGGGTGAGCGTCGTCGGGGAAGGAGAAGAAGGGAGGGGGACGCACTGCGCACGAGCTTGATCATCTCGTCGACGAGCTCCTTGGCCTTGCCGATGCCGCCGTCCTTGAGCACCTCCTTGCTGATCCCGCTGCGCCACTCGACCCGGACCGCGTTCTCGCTCAGGACCTCGACGACGCCTTCGACGAGCGCCTCGAGCTCGTGGAGCGCCGCTTCGCGCCCGCCCGTCACCTTGGCGTACGTCGCGGCGGCGACAGTCGAGCGAGGGGTCGACAAGAGGGCGGCCTGCAGGCGCGAGCAGACGCTCAGGCTGCGCCAGACGAGGAACGTCGCGAGGTCCTCCTCCGGGTGGACGCCCTCGACGCCTGCGGCCGGCTGCATCGCCGTTGACGGCGCGAGGGCGGGACCACCCTTGCGCGGCGAGCCGTTGACGAGCGATGGCGATGGCGGGATGCGCGAGGTGGACGAGGGCGAGGTGCGAGAGGTGTAGAGGAGGAAGCGAGGCTTGGCCTTGATGCCGCAGAACGAGCCGGGGATGGTCGCCGCGAGCGCTTGAAGGTTCTCGGACGTCTCGGCGAGCTCTGCACGACAGGCAGCGTCAGTTCCTGACTGCGACGAGACCGAGGCAAGCGGAAGCGAGGCGCACCTCTGTCGGCGTCGAGGTCGACCTCGACGCCCTGCATCCAGCCGCCGAGGACGCTCTTGAGGAGGGCGATCTTCTGCTCTGCGTCCTGGCGGAGCTCTGGTGTGGCGAGCTCTGCCGTGTCGGGCTGGACCGAGGCGGCGGGGAAGGCAGAGGCGTGGATGGGGACGAGGCCGCGCAAGAGGGCGGCAGTGGCGTGGGGCAAGGGCTGGGTGGCCCTCGCCTGGGTCGCAGGACCGCCTGGGGGCGCCATCGGTGGCTCTGCCGAGTCGAGACGGCGGCAACGAGGGCGAGGCGGACGAGGTCAACCGACTTTCGGTACGGTCGCGCGGCGACGACGCGCTCTCGCTCGGCGGCAGCTCGTTCTCGTGTGAGGTTGCTTGCATTATGCTCTGCGTAGCTTCAGACGAGGCCCGGAGCGCGCAAACCGCGCAAAGAGGCAGAGTGTTGTGTGCGCTCTCGGGAGATCCCGTTCTCGCTGCTCCCTCTCGCTCTGTGCGAGCAGCTGCACGGCAGAAACACACTGCAAGCTAGTCTTGGTACCTCCCTGGCGGACCGAAAGCACCCTGCAAGACGAGAGGCGCGGCCGCTCGACGGTGTTCCTCCAAGTCGGACCACGCGCCAACTCTCGCTCACGCTCTGCCTCGCTCGCACCAAAAGCGCCACCGGTGCACACAGTCACCCGCGCACCTGTCAGCAGTACCGACACGGGCGACCCTCGCCTTCGCCCCGAGCTCCCCCGGTCTCGTCCCCTCCTCGCCGACACCTCCGCCTCGTCGTCACGCCCGGTTCGCGCATGCCGTCGTCCCCAAGCCGCCTGCGGGCACTCCTCGCCTGCTCGGCACCACTACTCGTCGTCGTCGCGCTCCTCGCTGCCGCGCCGCGAGCGGCAGCCTCCGCCCTCACCACCACCATCAACGCCAACGAGCGCTCGTGCTTCTACGCCGCCGTCGACAAGGTCGGCGAGAAGGTGCGTCCGCCCATACTCTCCCACGAGCTCGTAGCAGGCCACTGACTGCCCTCTGTACGCGCGCAGGTCGGGTTCTACTTTGCCGTGTGTCGTCCCCCGCCCTCGCTCCCTTCGGCTCGTCCGCCGCGACCTGGACATCCTCCTGACGCCTCTCACGCGACGCAGGTTCAATCTGGAGGGTCGTTCGACATTGACTGGACGGTGACGGACCCGAACGACAACATCATCATCGACGGCGAGCGCGAGCGGCAAGGCGACTACATCTTTACGGCGCACGCTGCAGGTGCGTCCTGCTCTCCAGGCCCCCTCTCTGCGTTGCAAATGGGGTCCTGACTCTCTCCGTTCCGCAGGTGAGCTGCTGTTCTTGTGGTGCTCGGCGTGGCACGGCCTCGAGCTGCTCCCGCCGGGCTCCTGCGAGTGAACCAGCTGACCCTCGTCCTCTCCCGCTCGCAGGCGAGTACACCTTCTGCTTCAGCAACGACATGTCGTCGCTGTCGGAGAAGCTCGTCGACTTTGACATCATGGTCGAGTCGGAGCCGCGACCGATCGCGCCGGCAAAGCCGACGGGCCTCACCGAGCAGACGTCGTCGCTCGAGGAGAGCATCTACCGCCTGTCGGGCAGCTTTTCGTCGATCCAGAGGACCCAGAGGTACTTCCGCACGCGCGAGAACCGCAACGTGCGTCCGCCTTTCTCGCTTCCTGTTTTCTCCCACCTCTCCGCCTCCCGCACTCGCGAGCCACCCACATCTTTCCTTCCTCTCCCTCGTCAACATATCGCCTCCTCTCCCTCAACCGGCGAGCGCCTATCGTCGCACGCACTGACCCTCTCCTCCTCTCGCCCTCTTCACAGGTTTCGACCGTACGCTCGACCGAGTGGCGCATCTTTACCTTCTCGCTCCTCGAGAGCTGCCTCATGGTCGGCATGAGCGCCTTCCAGGTGTCGGTCGTGCAGCGCTTCTTCTCGGGCCCGTCGAGGCGCAGGGTCGTCTGACCGGCGGGTGGCCGGCGGGAGGGGCCGCGCTCGCGAGGGACGAGGGAGGGGTGCAACGCGCTCGTTGGACATCGAGCTTGTGTGCGAGCGAGGAGGCGAGAGAGGCAGAGCGAAAGCTTTCTGCGCCAGGTCCGTCGAGAAGCTCTCTCTCCCTTTCTCTCTCGCAAGACGACGACGACGAGGCGGAATGCGAACTGCTTCGTGGTCATTTGGCACTACTCAGGGGTGTGTACTGTTGCGTTTGGGAGACCCGGGATCCGACGAGAAAGCTGCGGCGAGGAACGAGAGGTCAGACTCAAGGCTTGAGCGACGGCGAGAGGGAGGGAGAGTAGGACGCACCTGCACAACGAGACGATTACCTGCCACCGCCGTGGCCCGACTTGCCGCTGCCGAGCGAGGTCTGGTAGCCGCCGCTCCTGCGAGGTGCGGACAAGAGACAAGGTCAGAACGAGGCCGGGAGGACGAGGACGACGGCGAGGGTGGACGCACTTGGAGTCGTTCTTGCCGGTCCACTGGTGGGGCGTGTCGCCCGACTTGATCTGGCCCTTGGTGAGGATAATCTCGACGATCTCGTCCTCCTTGGTCGTCTCAAAGACGGCGTCGAGCTCCTGCTTGCTCGGGCGCGCGAGGATGCCCTGCGAGCCCTGGCCCGTGTGGAAGACGTCGAACGAGTCGACGATGTCGACGAGCGGGATCGAGCTGTGCACGAGAGGGGCAGGCAGTCAGTGTCGGGTCGGTAAAATTGCCGCCGAGGCGACGAGGGATGACGCCGAGTGGGGGGACGAGGAGGAGGGGGAGACGTACCGGTCTGCGACAGCGGATAGGCGCGACAGCGGGGGAGCAAGGTCAGAGCGAGTCACGAGTTGGACAGGTGAGCGAGAGAGGGCTCACCACCGCCCTTCCACTTCTCGGCAGCTGCGAGAGGTGAGTGGGGGTCAGCGGTCGGCGGGCGGAGCGGGGGAACGGGGAGGAACCGAGGGCGCACCAGCAACGTCGCCGACGATGATGATCCACTCGTCGGTCGACTGCGAGTCGGGCTTGTAAACGGCCTGTCGACATGGGCGCAAGGTCAGCTCGTGGTCGGGCGGCGTGTCGTGGAAGCTTGGAGGAGGAGGGGGGAGCGGGGAAACGGACCTTGTGGTAGCTCTTCACTGCGAGCGGGTAGGAGAGTCAGTCACAGTCCTTACGAGGAGGCTTGCGGAGGTGCTCACTGATTGATCGAGTGTCGAAGTGAGGTGTGGTGGTTGGAGGGAGAGAGAGAAGGAGAGGGAGCGAGGAGGGAGAGCGGTCGGCAGTGACGCTCGTCGGTGTCTCTCCTTTTCGCGAGCCTGCCTCCTCACCTGCTTGGCTTCAGTCGCCGACTTGATGTCGTACAGCCTGCGGTAGCTGACTGCAGTGAGGAGAGGAGGTGGCGAGCTGCTCGAGAGGCTGAGAGCGTCGACGCGCTGCCGTCCACCTCGTCGCGCACCGCGAGCAGCATGGATCTCGTAGACCTGGTCGGTAGCAGTAGTGTGCCAGTGCCAGCTCGCACTCTCAAGGCAGAGCGAAGCAGCGCGACGCGAGAGCTGCGCCTCGTCCAACCGTGATCGGAAGACGAGCGGGGCCGCCAGCTCACGCTCAGCCCCCGCGTGCGCTCGGCTTTGCTGCAGACGTGCTCACGCTCTCTGCAGACCCAACTGCGCCCCTGCACCGGCCGTCCAGGCGAGCGTGGGACCGAGCCGAGGCAACAGCTGCCTGTTTCGTTGAGCGTCGTCGCCATTTTGGACGCCGTCCGCTTCTCCCTTCTCGTCGCCCCTCCCGCAGCCTCGCAGCCTCACGCCGGCCAGTGCAACGAGCACCAGCACCGCTACTCGCCCCGCCAGCACCTGCCGCGAGCGCACCCGCCGCACTCGTCGCCGCGCAGGGCCCGTCCTCCCATCTTTGGACTCGCCGCCGCCCGTCGCAGAGCCTCGCCGTCGCCCGCCTCCCGCACCGACGCCGACTTGCGCCCCTGGGTGTCCGCCATGCACGCGCGGCCCTTATCGCCAAGCCGCTGCCCGCCCGCGCAGCTGGAGCAGCCCTCGTCGACCTCTCGCCGGCTCCGCAGCGCCAACACGCTCAACCACGGCGGCGCCTCGCTCTCGCTCGACACCGGCCGCGACGGGCTCGGCGGGCTCGGTATAGCGCTCCCGCACCGAGGAGCGTGGGTCGGCGCAGGCGAGGCGCACGAGGAGCGCCGTTCGGGCCCTGCTGCGAGGCGCGAGGCCAGCGGAGGCAGCACGGCGAGCCTGCACGGCTGCGCGAGCGACTCGGCCTACGGCACGCTCGACGAGCTCGACCCGTCGCGTGGCGAGGACGACGAGGACGAGGCCGGCGAGGACCCGCTGTCGTGGGCGAGCGAGCGCGGGCCGGCGTGGCGGGACCGAGTCGAGGCGTCGTTGACCGAGCGCTCGCGGCGCAGGGTCCAGTCGGCCGTCGCGGCAGACGGGTGGCAGCTGCGCGACGGCGTGCGAGGGGGCGACGCGGGCGACGGCCTGTACTGGCGGCGCACGCTCGGCGCGCCGTCGAGCCAGGGCAACACGGCCTCGTCGTCGCCCGACGTCGCGCACGAGCCCGTCTTCACGTTCGACCTCGCCTACGACGCCGACTCGTCGTTCGACAGCCTGCACTCGCTGTGCTCGCCGTTCGCGGCCCGGCCGTCGGCGCCCGCGTCGGGCTGCAGCTCGCGCTCGTCGCCCGAGCCGAGCGAGTACGGCGAGTCCGACTCGGCCGCGACGCGCCTCACGATGGCGAGCAGGCGCCGCTCGGCGGCGTTCCTCGGCGGCGAGACGGCCGAGGAGCTCACGACGAGCTTCCTCGCGAGGCGGCACACGTTGCCGCGCCGGCACAAGGCGCGCGAGGTTGGGCGCAAGCCGTCGCACGGCTCGTTGAGGAAGAGCAGTCGCTCTTCGCTGTCGATGAGCGAGTCGGACGCGGCCATCCTCGCTTCGACGCCCTCCTCGCCGACCAACTGGCCGTCCCTCCCCTTCCTCTCAACCACCGTCCTCCTCGCCACCTGCATCGTGTCGGCCGCCTCCCTCATCTCGCCCGTCGCCCTCGTCGTCCCCATCTCACCGGTCCACCTTCGACACGCCACCTCGTCGCGCGAGATCGCCACCGAGCTCGCCAACGCCGCCATCGCACCCTTTCTCGTTCAGCCGTCCCTCCCGTCGTTCGCCCTCGCCGCGATCAACCTCTACCTCGTCCAGAACCTCGACAAGACGACTACTTCGACGTCTCGTCGAGCAAAAGGCGCCCTCGCGGCGGCGCTCTGGGTCGCCATCGTGGGCCTGCGCCTCCTCGCGAGCTGGATCTTCGGGCGCGTGCTCGGCTGGGCCCACCCGCAGTTCCTCTCGACTCGCGCCATCCACGAGGCCGGAGCAGGTGAGCACCTCTCGATCTTCTCGCCCTGATTCCCTTCCGGCACTGACCCGATTGCCCCCGCCAGGTCTCGCGCCGGTCCTCCTCGCCCTCTTCCTCGTCCACCTCGCCACCTCGCGCCGCAGCGACACCTTCGCCTCGACGTCGACCCTCCTTGGCGCAAGCTTCCTCGTCCCCGTCTCTCACGGTGGCGCCGGGCTGTGGCTCGGTGCCAGCGCCGCCCTCGTCGGCGTCATTGCCGCGCTCGGCATCACGGGCTGGCGCGCCGCCACCGCCACCCCTTCCACTCGGCCAACATCCGCATCCGCATCGACGCCTGCCGCAGCCGCCTCGCCGGCGCCATCCGCATCCCGCAGCTGGACCTCGACCTTCCTCGCCCTCATCCTCGTGCCGTCCCTCGCCCTGTATCCCTCGACCGCGCGCACCCTGTCGCCAGCCTCGACCGACATCGCCTTCTCGCAACTACACCCTGCCGACCCGACTCTCGTCACGGTCCTCCTCATGACGGCGCCCCGGCCCGGCGACCCCGACTTCCTCGTCCAGACGATCGAGTCGTGGCTCGGCGCCTTCCCCGACGTCGACTCGTCGTCGTCCGCCGTCGTCGGCAACGTGTCGTCCACCCTGTCGAGCACCGCCGAGTCGGCGCTGCCCTTGCCGACCTCGTCCCGCCTCCGCCTCGTCATCTACACGCACTTTGCGACCCACCTCATGTTCGACCTCGCGCGCCAACACTTTGCCTCGAGCACCAAGGCGGCACACTACATCTCGTGGCAGCGCGACCCACGAGCGCTCGCCCCGGGCGCGCACGACCGCCTCGACCAGCGCCTGCACGTCGCTCGAGGCCTCACGCACGCCGCCGAGCTCGGCGGCGCGTACGTCCTCCTCACCGAGGACGACTTTCCGCTGTGCGAGGACGAGCGCCCAGTCGGCGACGAGGGCGCGAGGAGCTGGACGGGCGCATGGGCTAAGCTCCAGGCCGCGCTCGTCGCGACCAACGAGCTCATGCCCGACGCGCCCGCCCTTGACGGCGGCATCGCGACCGAGGCCTCGATGGGCCACTGCGGCCTGTTCCTGGCGACGGGCGGCTCGGGCCTCGCGATCCGCACGCCGCTCGCCGCCCGGCTCCCGGCGCTCCTCCTCGGCGCCGACGACCCGCACGGCGACGAGCGCGAGGCGGCCGCCGCTCGAGGCGATCTCGAGCTCCGCCACGAGGGCGACGGCGCCGACACGCCCGACTTGGTCATCCAGGACTGCCTGCGCGGCCGGCTGCCCGAGTGCGCGATCTGTGCGCCCGGCGGCGGACCGGCCGTCACGAGCGGGCGCAGCGCGAGGCGCCCGAGCAGGTGGGACGGCGAGAAGAGGGGCAAGAGCGGGCTCGCTGGGATCGAGCGGCTCCTGCAGCGGCACCTCGGGTACAACGCGAGCACGCTGCCCGGCCGCCAGTACGGTCGCGAGGAGTGGGCGTGCGGGTGGCGCCAGCCCTTTGTGCGTCCACCTTTCTCTCTCTTTCCCTCTCGTGCAAGCGAGTGACTGACCTCGCCCGGCCTTTGCAGAACGGCGAGCCCGACGTCCTGACGGTCTGAGCGCACTCGACGTCGCCGGCCCCCTCCCCTTCCTCTTCTCCCTCCCGCTCTACAGACACTACACGCCGCATACGCCTATCTATCGCGTCGACATCGCCCTGCGCGTCGCCGACCCTCGCCTCGTCGTGCCTTTCTGTACCCCCTTCCCCCGAGTACATCCTGTTGTTCCCTCCTCGTCATCTCCTCTTTATCCCGTAGCACGTTCGGCTCCCCTCTGCATTATGGCAAAGCGGCGGTTGGACAGTGCCCTGGCGTTGCAGCTTCGTCCAGGACCCAGCTCAGGCACGTGTTCTGTCGAACGAGAGCGAGCAGATCCCTCCTCTTCTCGGACTCGTTCTGCTGCCGAGCTCCGCCCCGGACGAGTGTTCCGCCGCGCATTCAATTGCGCACGATCTCTGCTCGACCGTGAACTCGTGAGCGAGCTGAACGGCAGCCCCCGCCCGCTCCCAGCTCTCGCTCGTGTTGGGAAGGCAAGCTCTGCGAGAGGCGGGCACACTGCGAGCGCGCCGGTTCCCGCACCGCAGCATTCCTGGAGACGAGGAGCTTGGAGCGGGCCGCAGGAGAGTTGGGCGCGAGCGAGAAAGGTCGACGCTAGCTCGTCGTCGACGTGCGCGGGCGCACGGACCGTCGGTTCTCGTCGTCGACGACGACGACCAGGGCGCCGCCCGTCTTCTTCGCGCCCCTTGCTGGGCACAATGGATTCGGTGCATCAAGCCCGAATGCGGACGTGTGGCAGCCCTCGGAGGAGCCCTCGCAATGTTGCCAGCACTCGTGCGAGCGGACAGTGCGCTTCGCCGAAGTGGGAAGGCGGTGACGCGAGCCTCGCCTTACGAGCGTGCGGGCGACTCGGTTCGAGGCTCGCTTGCGATGGTGCACCGACCGTGATCGCAAGCGCTTTCGGCGCTCGCCCGCCCGGTTGGAAGGTCGAAGCAGGATCCCGTGCGAGCGAGCTCCCCGCCTCTTTCGCTCCTCCTCTCCCACTACACACGCCTCGACGACGAGCCAGACGACCGCTCGGCACCACCAGCAGCGCACCCACCCTCGCAGAACAGCACCCGGGTCCCGACGTCGCGCAGCACACACACCCTCGTCGCCTCTCCCTCCCTCCCCACTTCTCACGCCCGCCTCGCGCCCAGCCTCGCGTCCAGCCGCACCCGCACCCGCCATGCCGCACCAGGTCGACGAGCACCGCAAGACGTCGGGCCCCAAGGCCAAGCTCATGGACGCCTTCCGCCGGGTCGCCCTCGGCGGCCGTCGCTCCTCCTCGGACAGCGTCCCGACCACCTCGACGTCGCCGCAAGCCGGGTCCTCGACTGCCACCAAGGCGACGAGGCCGACTGCGACCCGCGCGAGGAGCACCCCTGACGACCGCGACGCTCCGCCGTCTCGCCGCTTCCGCCAGAGCCCGTCGGTCGAGTCGCTCGCGAGCACGGCCCCGAGCAGCAGGCCGACGAGCGTCCTCCAGCCGCCGAGCCACAAGCTCGACAGCTCGAGTCCGGCGTCCGAGTTGCCCAAGACGTGCGTCCCCTCTCGCCCTCCCCATCCTCGTCGGCGTTGGCGTCGCTCACCTTGCTCTCGCCCTCTCCTTGGACAGGTGGGACGAGTGGAACTACGCCTACCAGCACGGCATGATCGACTTTGACGACCCGCCACCGCCGCCGTCCGACCTGCGCTCGTCCGAGTTCGTGACCCACACCGGCCAGTTGCGCGCGCCTCTCCCCCTCAACGAGTCGCGGCGGCAACGCGCCGTCGACTCGGTCGGCCTCGTCAAGGCCCTCGTCGAGCCGCCGCCGTACGCCGACTCGGACGGCGCCGCGACGTCGCCGACCAAGCGCCAGAAGGGCCCACTGCACCCGGCGCTCGAGAAGCTCGCCATCGAGGCCAAGAGCCGGTTTGGCGTCGACGCGTCGACCATCTCGCTCATGGACCGCGACAAGCAGGTGTTCCTCGCCGACGACTCGTGCCGGTTCATCGAGGACGTTGATGCCATTCCCCGAGAGCGTGCGTCCCTGCCTCTTCTCTCTACCTCTCTCTCTCTCGTCCCCTCGGCCTCAGTGTTCCCTCAACTGACCCTATCGTCCTCGTTTCCTCGTACAGTCACGTGCTGCTCGCACGCCATGCTCAAGGCGTCGACGGGCGCCAAGGACCCGCTCGTCATCCTCGACTTTGCGCAAGACTGGCGGTTCAAGCGCAACGGCTTCGACCCGTACGCCGAGGGCTTCTACGCGGCGGCGCCCATCATGCTCCCGGCCCCGATGGGCGACGACGAGGGCGCGTACCCGGGCGGCATCTTCTGCCTGCTCGGCGAAAAGCCCAAGCAGGGCTTCTCGGACCAGGACCGCCTCGACCTGCAGGCCATGGCCGACCGGGCGTCGACCGAGATCCAGCAGTACTCGACGCAGCAGCGCGAGAGCAAGCGCGCCGCCCTCGGTCAGCGTCGCGCCGACTGGAAAAAGTCGAAGCTCGTCCGCCGCGCGTCGATGCAGGTCCAGTCGCTCGACATGGTCGTCGAGATGCCGACGCCGCCGCGCACGCCCGACGTCGGCCAGGACCCGATCGACTGGGGCGACGACGCGGCGCAGGACGAGCTGTTTGCGCGGGCCGACGAGGCGCGCGGGGCCGAGGCGCCGCGCCGGCCGTCGCTCCCGGACTCGATCGGGTCGAGCGGCAGCGTGAGCGACCTGCAGTCGACGAGCGTCGCGCCGACGTTCCACTCGCGTCGCGCCGGGCGGCCCGGCATCGTCGCGGCGCCGGCCAAGCCGCTCGCGAGCGACGTCAAGTCGGTGCTCGACCTCACGACGCAGCTCGTCGCCGAGTCGATCGAGATGGACTTTGCCTACATCGTCGCCGTCGACCTCGCGGCGGCCAAGTCGGGTGCGGCGTACGCGGGCGCGTCGGCGAGCGCGAGGCCGTCGCCGATCCGGCTCGTGTCGACCTACAGCCTCGCGTCGTCGGGGCCGGCGCCCTTGTTCTCGGTCGAGTCGCACCTGGACGCCGTCGTGTCGGAGCAGCACTCTGCGCTCCTGTACGCCGACGACGACGCGGCGAGGTCGGCGGCGGCGCACAGCGAGGGCGACTTTTGCACGGGCCTGCTCGTCAAGGTGGGCGCGACCGACGACGGCAAGGTCGGGTTCGTGCTCGGGTGCTTCTCCGAGGACTCGCGGCGCGTCATCAACTCGGAGGACCTGCTCTTTGTGCGGTCGTTTGCGCGCGACTTGCGCAAGTATGTGCCCGCCCTCGCATGATCCTCCTCCTCTCTCGTTCTGTGCCCTCCCTCTGTCTGTCTGTCTCCTTTGTTGCAATCTGTCAGTCTGTGCCTCACGAGAACCTCATGAGCGAGCACCACAGAGCGAGAGCGGCGCTCAGCTCGCTCGTCGGACGCGCCCTCGTCGAAGCGAACGAGGAGCGCGACCTCGACCCTCCCCCACCTCCCGCCTCGCCCGCTCTACGCTCCCGCCAGGCCAGGTCGCGCTCGCCACCTCTCGCCAGCACCTCAAAAGGCCCGCGCGCGCAACCCCCGCCCCGGCCCTCCCTCGCCATGGTCCCCCGACCACCGACACGAGCCGTCACCGCCTTGGCCGTCCTCGCCCTCCTCGCGCTGTGCGCACCGGGCCTCCTCGTCGCAGCAAAGGCGTCCAGTCCACCAGTCGCGAGCTTGCGCGGCAGCACCGAGAAGACGGTCCCGCTCCGCACCCACTCGATCTACGCTCGTGCGTCCTCATCAGTTCCGCTTCCCCTCCAGAGACCCGGTCGAGCTCACGAGCACCTGTGCCGCACATGCAGCCTACGTCGACTCGGACCTGCAGAACCGGTGGTTTGACTTTGGCGGTTCGACCATCATCAACACCAACAAGCACATCCGGCTCACGCAGGACCGCCCGTCCCAGGCCGGCTGGCTGTGGTCGCGCCTCGCCCTCGCCCCGGCCTCGTTCGAGATCGAGTTCGAGTTCCGCGTCGACGGCAAGAGCAACAACATCTTTGGCGACGGGTTCGCAATGTGGTTGACCAAAGGGCGCGCAGGGACGGGCCCGGCGTTCGGCAGCACCGACTACTGGAACGGCCTCGGCATCTTCTTCGACACCTAGTGCGTCCCCCCCTGTCTCTCTCTGTCTCTCTGGGCGGCCCCCGAGACGACGTCGCGCTAACCCGCTCCCTCCCCCTCTCGCAGCGCCAACTCGCGCCACGCCTACTCGTTCCCGCGCATCTACGGCATCCTTAACGACGGCAAGAAGTCGTACGAGGTCGGCAAGGACGGCCAGGGCCAGGAGCTTGGCGCGTGCTCGGTACGCTCAGCCCTCTCTCTCCTTCCGACCCTTTCTCCACTCGCACCGTCTCTCGAGCTCGACTTGCTCACCCAGCCTCGCCCCGCCCGCAGATCGACTTCAGGAGAACGGACGTGACGGCCAAGGCGCGCTTGACCTACATCAAGGGCAAGCTCCTCGAGGTGCGCCCTCGGTCCCTCTCTCTCTCTCTCGCCTTCAGCCTCATTGACTTTGCCTCGCCCGTGCACAGCTCGGTATCCAGCACGCCAAGTGGGACGAGTGGACGACGTGCTTCGCCGTCGAGGGCATCGAGCTCCCGAGCCAGCCGTTCCTCGGCTTCTCGGCCTTGACCGGCGACGTCAGCGGTGCGTCCTCTCCTCCTCCTCTCTCAGGCGGGCCAAAGACTGACGGTCTCGTTCCGCACGCAGATGCGCACGACATCATCTCGGTCACGACCTCGAACAGTGCGTCTCGCTCTCTCTCGTCGTCGCTCGCGCCCAGTCGTCCGTTCCTGACCTCGTACTCTCCCCTCCTGCAGTCGCCTACCACCCTCCTGCGTCCAACTCTGTGAGACTTCCTCTCCTCTATCATGCCTCCATCTCGACGCCGTACTGACCGCCGTCGCCGACCCGCAGAAGAAGCCTCCTCCCAAGCGCGGCCTCCCCGGCGCCTCGTTCTTCTCGACCCTCTTCTCGCTCCTCAAGTGGGTCCTCGTCCTCGTCATCATTGCCGTCGCCGTCATCGCTGTCCGCGGTCGTCGCGCCACGGCAAACTCGAAGCGGTTCTGAAGCGGCGGCGGGGCTCGAGCGAGCGAGCGAGGGAGCGAAAGACTGAGACGGGGAGCCGGTAGAGCGACGAGCGAGGACCGAGCGGGGAGGAAGCCTCTCGTCTTCTTTGTGGACGAGCAATGCAGCGCATGATACCTTGTCTCGCGTTCGCGTTGCAGAGAGAGACAGAGAGCTACTCGTCGATGCCGAGCTCCTCGAGCACCTCCTCGAGCGCCTCCCTCGCGAGCGGGATCCACACCCACTCGCCGCCCTCGTCCGCCCCTTCGTCCTCGTCCTCGTCGTAGTTGACGCCCTCGACGACGTCGGGCGCGGCGCGCGAGCTGCGCACGACGCCGTGGTCCTTGAACTCGCTCAGGAAGCCGTCGACTTGGTCTGGGTGCGTCGCGATCAGGGCGTCGGTCGCCTTGTCCTTGAGCCTGCGGGCGAGCGCACACGAGGCGCCTGATTCAGTCGACGCGCTCTAAAGAGAGAGAGAGAGAGGAAGGGGAGGGAGAAAGAGAGGGGGAAGAGAGAAGGAGAGAGAGAGAGGCAGGACGCACGAGTGGAGCGACATGGCGACGACGGGCGCCTTGTCCGCCTCTGCGCCGCCGCCCGGGCCCGCAACGGCGAGCCTCATGGCGCGCTCGAGCTCGCGGGGCAAGCTCTCGGCGACGCGCACCTGCTCCTGTCCGAGGAGGTTGAACAGGCGCCTCGCGCGGTCCGTCACACTCGCGAGGACGTGCGTCGCCGACTGGGCGAGCGACGACGCGGTCGGGTCGAGGCTCGACGAGAGCGGCGGGAAAACCGAGGGCGGGAGGAGCTGCGACAGGGTCCCGAGGGACGACACCTCGACGTCGTACGGAAGGTGCGTCGACACATCGTGGTACAGGAAGGTGAAGGCGCGGAACTGGAGCTGGAGGTCGGCGGCGGCTGGGTCGCTCGACGACGCCGAGGACGACGACGATGACGCGGCAGGTGGGCGCGCCGTCGCGAGTGCCGTCGGGAACAGCAGCGGGGCGCGTACGTGGTCGATCGAGGCGACCAGGTGGATGTGCGGCTGGGCGGCGAGGAGGGCGAGGAGCGAGATGTGCTTCGGGAGGCGCAACGACGGGCCGTCGAGCGAGTGCAAGACGAGGTAGATGGGCTTGAGGGCCACCGCCGACGACGAGGCCGAGTGTGCGACCGAGGCGCACAAGCGGCGCACGCGCGACTCGAGCGCAGAGACCGGGCGCGCGGCCGAGTAGGCGCCGGCCGCCTTGGCCTTGGCCTTGCTCGGCGTCGAGGCGGCCGCCGCAGCGCCTCGCTTGCGCTTGCGCGGCGTCGTCGCGCTCGCCTCGTCGTCGTCGTCGTTGGCGGCGTCGACGTCGTGCGCGCCTCGGCCGCCGTGCAGGCGCACGAGGTCCTCGAGCGCCGTGACCAAGTCGACGACGGTGGCGGCCGTGTCGAACCCGTTGACGACGACGACATGGCCGCGGGACCTCGCGCGCTCGGCAAAGCGGTCGAGGACGGTGCGCTTGCTGCCGAGGCCCGTCAAGACGAGGTTGAACCCTCGGTCGAGCTCCCACAGCCAGCGGGCGAACTTGGCCTCGGCGCGCTCGACGCGGGCGGCGCTCGCGGCGCGGTACAGGTCGAGGGCGGCGTGGGGCTTGTGGTCGAACTTGCGCAGGGCGGCGGCGTAGGACGCGAGGGTGAAGGCCGGGTCGACCGAGGTCGAGAGGAGGGCGTCGCTCGTCTTGGTGGTCTGGGTCGAGTAGAGCATGTAGGCGTCGCCGGCGCTCGCCGTGACGAACGTGGCGGGCTCGTCGTCGTCTCGAAAGGCATCGTCGCCGTCCGACTGGTCCGAGTCGGCAACTTGAGCTGCGAGACGAGCGCGGCGCTTGGTGGGGGAGGGCGAAGGGTGGGCATTGTCGGCGGCTTTGCGCTTGCCCTTTGCCTTTGCAGACGACTTGGCTGGGGACGACTTGGGCGTGCGAGTGCTCTTGCGCGGGGGCATGGCGACGTTGGACGAGCGAGACCAACCGAGGCTGGATCTGCTCCCGCTCTCCTCCTCTCCCCTCGACCGCCCCGACGCCAGAGCTGGCTCGAGTGGCTCTCGAGCTCGACTGGTGTACACGCACACGCTGCAGCCACCGTCGCTCGCCTTTCCCGACCGCGCAAACTCGCGTCGCATCTTCATCAGCGACTCGCGTCCGCCCTCTCTCGACTGGTGGCAACGGTTCATGGGCCTGTGGGCAACGTCGTCGAGGACTATCGCAGTACCAAGGATACTACTGGGCCTGGCGACCGCGCTGTGCGGGCTGTGGGCGACTGGTGCGTCCTCCTCCTCCTCTCCTCCCCGTGTTTGGCACCCCTCTTCCTCTCCCCTCGCCCCCTCTGCCACCTCGCGACGCGGTGCAGGGGTCTCGATGGACTGACTCGGTCACCTTACAGGCGGAACGGCTGCGCGAGGCGGGCAGGGCGGTTCTCTGGCCGGCGCGAGGCGGGCTCTTGACCTCGAGGCGGCTCGTCTTGTCCTTTTGTACGTCCCTCGCACTCTCTGTCTTCCCTGCAGGACCTTCACATGGGTCTGTGCTCCTCGCCGAACCGCGTACTGATCACCTTGACCTCGCGCCGCAGGTTAGTCGCGCCCTCGATGGCACCTCCCCCTTCTCGGCCTCGAAAGCTTCCCCTCGCGCCCTTGCTGCGCCGCACGACGGCGCCCTTTCCTGTCCGAACGCTCTTCTCACTCCTAGCGAGCGACCCCATACCGCTCGGAGCTCTCGTTCGTCGTCGCACTCGTCCCGGCGGCTCAGCGAGTCGAGCCGTCGAGGACGGGTCTCTACGAGGCCGCGCCCGCCCTCTCGTGCCCCTGAGGGCAGCGGGCGCACTGTGGTGAGCCGCTCGCACGGCGCGCACCCCTGCGGAGCGCCCGTGCGCCCGTACTAAGCTCTCATGTTTCACGTACTAAGCTCTCATGTTTGAACAATAAAATTAATATAAATCAGCAACTTAAATAGCCTCGGCGGATCGGACGAGGAGATGTCTGCGGTGCAATCGAGCGCGTTTCCCGAGCCACTTCATCTTGTAGAGCGCGAGCTGTCCTCCTCAGCTCCCTTCTCAAGTCCGAGGTCGGCGAGGCGAGAGCTCGCTGTCTGCGGACTCGTGCCGTCTCGAGCGCGCCCTTTAAGCATATGAGAGGGCGCCCACGACGAGAGAAGACCGTCCCGGGCTTGCGGAAGACGCACGCCGACTGCGCCGACGAGATGGTCCGGGAACAGAGACGCGAGATGCTTGCGGTCGGACCTGGCTCTTTCTCGGTCGTGCAAGGCTCGATCGTCCTATCGAGACATGCACTCGACGACGGGCTCGCATCCTCGGAGAACGACAGGAGCGCTGGCACCACTCTGCGCTGCGGAGAAGGTCCAGGAGGAGAGACGCAGCTTCTCGCGATGGTGCCTCCCTCTTTCTCGGTTCTGCAACGCTCGCTCGACTTGTCGAGACGGGTACTCGTCGATAGACTCGCTGTCTCGGAACGCTGGGCGAGCGTCCCCTCGGTGCTTCGGTCGTCACGAGGCGCAGGGGGAGGGACACGCTTTCGCGCGGACAAACGGCGCTTTCTCTCGGTCCTACAGCGCTCTATCGACTTATCGAGTCGAGTGTTCGAGACTGAACGGTCCTATACGATAGTCTGCGAGCCCGCGAGCCGGGCGCGAGCGAGGACAGCCACGCTCGGAAGCAGTCGGCGCACCGTCGTACCGACTGCAGGCGGGTCCTGCGTTTCGACGGGCGCACCGAGAGCCCATCATGTGTGATAGGAAGCGGCAGTAGACTCGCTGGCGACAGCTGAGGACCAGAGACGCCGGTGCGACCGGTAAGAGCAAGTCTCGAGGCGCAGAGCGGCGCGCACGACCTCGATGCACGCCCCGAGCAAGGGCCAAGTCGTCAAGAAGAGCTGCTGAGCTCTAGCGACGGCGCAAAGCAAGGCAGCGGACCCAAGCTGAGCGAGGGGAAGCGTGAGAAGCTGAGCTGCGGGCGAGCCGCTCGAGCCGTCTCGCGCGGCAGCAGAGGGCATGGGGAGAGTGGCTGGCCCGAAGCAGTCGCAGGTCAGAGCCCACAGACAGTGCGAGGACGCGCCCCAGAAAGTGGAGCGGCCTCGAGGTCGAGGTCGGTGTTGAAGGAGGAGGAGCGGACGCGAGCTCTCGTCCTACCACAACAGCTCACTCGCCCGGTTCCGCCTGACAGCCAGGACTGCATCAGCGACCTTATCCAACCACCGCCCGCCGCCAGTACCGCCAATCCAGCATGTCGCCCGCGCCTTTCGCCTCGTCGCCGTCGCCGACCCAGGGCACCCCGGCCGCTCCTCCCGTTCCCGATGACTGCAAGCAGGGCACGCTTGGCTACTTCCACACCCTCGAGCGCCTCAAGGTGAGCCCCGTCGTCCCACCCGCACCCTCGCACGCGGCAGCCCTCATTGACCTCGCCCCTCCTCCCTCGCGTCCTTCAACCCGCTCGCCGCAGACCAACAAGCGCACCGGCTGGGTCAACCAGGGCATCCACCAGCCAGAGAGCGTCATGGACCACATGGGCAGGTGCGCTCACCTCTCCCTACCCCTCGCGCACAGCCAACGTCCTCGAGCTCACCCGCTGCCTCCTCGTCCGCAGGATGGCCCTCATGTGCCTCGCCTTCCCCGAGACGCAGACGCTCGACATCGGCAAGTGCGTCCTCTTGTCCATGGTGCACGACATTGCCGAGGCCGACGTCGGCGACATCACGCCCGAGCACGCGTCGGGCGTCTCCAAGGCGACCAAGCTGGCTCTCGAGGAGGTGCGCCCGACTCTCCCTCTCGCCTGTCCGTTCCTGGCCCCTCACGAGATCTGTCAACTGACTTGGCGACTGGGAGATGGACGCAGAAGGCGATGGACCGCATGTGCGGCCTGCTCGGCCACCCGTCGATCGCCGCCTTGCGCCTCAAGTCGCTGTGGGACGAGTACGAGGCGCGCGAGACGGCCGAGAGCAAGTTCGTCAAGGACCTCGACCTGTACGAGCTGTGCCAGCAGGCGGTCGAGTACGAGAACAGTGCGTCTCGCACGTCCACCGCCTTCAACCTCGCACCGCCCGGACTGACCCTCGCCCATCCTCGCCCGCAGCTCAAGGCTGCCAGACGCTGCAAGAGTTCTTCGAGACGACGATCCCGCGCATCCTGCACCCGGTCGTCAAGGGCTGGGCACGAGAGCTGTGCGTCTCGCCCGTCGTCGTCGTTCCACCTCTCGAGCCAACCGCTCACGCACCCCTTCCTCCTGCAGCATGGCCGAGCGCCGCACCCTGTGGGCGCAGCGGGGCTGGATCAGCTACAAGGAGGTGCTCCCTGCGCCCGACGTTCCCGCACCGACGACCAACGGCGTCGCGCCGCCGAGCAAGGCGAGCAACGGCATCCCCGTCCGGGTGTACGGCAGCCACGAGGAGGGCGAGGCGGCGGCGGCGGCGACGCAGGCTTGAGCGCGCCCTCGCAGCGCTCGCCGCGTCGTTGAAGGAGAGGAGGAGACGGTGTTGTACTGTACTCTAGACCTGCAGCTGCGCAACCTGGGTTCTCTCGACGTGCTGCGGCTCGGGGGAGGAGAGCGAGAGAGCGACTCGGTTCTCTCGAGCGGTCGCGCTCTCGTTGCCCGAGTGCGAGGCTCACGAGTACTAGAGAGTGGCTCACAGGTGCGCAGTGACGCTGGTCGAGGAAGCAGAGAGGGCCGAGTCGCGATCGTTCAACCTTCTCCTGGTGGTGAACCTCCCTGCTCCTTCCTCAACCGCACCTCGCCTCTCGACGACGAGCCAGCTGTCCGAGCCTCGCAGTCACTCGCTTGTCCACCAGCCACCTGTGCGTCCTACCCTCCCCAGCCCCCCTGCATCGCCGCTGACCCGTTTGTTGTGGTCCTCGCCCCTCCTCCTTCCCCCGCCCAGTTCACCTTCGCCTCGGCACCTGGACCCTCACCGACCGGTCAAGGCCCACCATGGCCGCTCCTCCAGTCGCCCCAGCGACCCCTACGCGCGACCACGACCCTGCGTCACTGCGCTCCCCCATCGTCCTCTCGACTCGGTCCCCCGCCGCTCCTCGCCCGGCCTCGGTCCTCATCCAAAACGTCCGCGGCGCAGAAGGCGGCGTCGAGGCCATCACGGCCCGTCGACGCAACAGCGGCTCGTTCAAGACCATGTCGACCGGCGGCCTCGTGTCCAACTCGCCGTTCGCCAAGCGCCTCGGCCAGACGAGCCCGACAAAGTCGGCCGCCTCGTCCCCTACCAGCACCCTGTACACCTCGAGCCGCATCCCGGCGCCTTCGTCGTCGTCGACGTCCGGCGGCGCGAGTAGCGCGCGGCGCACGAGCGGCTCGCGGCAGTCGAGCGGCGAGCAGGAGCAGGGCCCGGTCAAGGAGAACTCGATCCCGTCCGACCTCAACGAGCTCGCCACCGCCAAGGACGACGACAGCAAGAGCCGCTCGTCGTCGCCCGCGGTCCCGTTCCGTCCGACCCGCCAGCAGGCGCCCGCCTCGTCCCCGTTCAAGCCCTCGCGCTCGCCAATCGACGAGCCGGCGCAGCCTCGCCGCCAGACGTCGTCGTACGCGCACCTGCGCAGCAACAACCTCGTCTCGTCGTCTCCGTTCACGGCCCAGCAGGCGGCGCCGTCGCCCGAGCTCCAGCAGGTCCCGTACGAGATCGGCGCCCTCACGCTCGAGTCGGCCCCGATGGAGCTCTTCTACGACGACAGCTCGAGCGCAGGCGACCGCTCGCCGCACCTCGACGTCGGGCTCGGCGCGAGGCCCGGCCAGGGCGTCCTCGGCCCCGTGTCGCGGCACGCCGCCGGTGCGAGCGCGCCGCCGCCCGTCTCGCCGCCGCCGCCGTCATCGACGAGCACGAGCTCGGCCATGGCGCCCGTTCGGCGGGGCATGCGCGGCCCACGTCCGCTCTCGGGCGACGCCGCCGACGACCTCGCCGAGGAGCAGGGCCGGGTCGTGCGCCGCCAGCCGAGCAGCAAGAGCGTCGCGTGGGCCGAGACCGAGGAGGTGTTCGAGTTCGAGGTCGAGGAGGAGCGCCGTCGCAGCATGATGAGCGACGCGAGCGGCCTGAGCGACGAGGGCTACTACGGTCGGCGCGGTGCCGGCGAGGAGGACGACGAGGACAGCTCGTTCGAGGACGACGGCTACGGCGCGCAGCACGCGTCGTACTCGTTCGAGGAGGGCGGCAGCGTCGAGGTGCACGACGTCGACGACGGCGCGTCCGACGCCGAGGAGTCTGTCGTCAGCAACACGAGCTCGGCCATGGACGAGGTCATCGGCCAAATCGACTCGTACCTTCACGAGGAGTCGTACGACGCGGCCGACGTCTTCTCGCCGAGCCAGATCCTCGACGGCGACCACGACCACGGCGAGTTTGCCGACCAGCCCGACCTCCCGACCCACCACGACACGTCGGGCTACTCGTCGCCGGCCGTCCCTCAGCAGCGCGGCCCCGTGTCGGCGTTCAGCGTCTCGACCGCCGACGACGGCGCGAGCGACGTCATGTCGACGTCGGCGTACGGCGACGATGACGACCAGGACGAGCGCGACGCCCACTTTGACGCGACCCGCCAGGCCATCATGGGGCGCGCGCTCGGCGCTCCCGTCCCGCCGGTGCCCATGTCGCCGGGCCGCCCTCCGCTCCCTCCTCGTCCCGCATCCGCCACCTCGCCCGCCACTCGCGCCGACCCGATCCCGGGGTCGCTCCTCGCGCACTCGGACTCGCAGTTCTCGCTCCCCGACATCCCGGGCACGTCGCCGTTCATGGGCTTCGAGGACGACGGCACGGCCGGCTCGGTCGTCTCGCTCGCCAACAACGCCAAGCCGCACGCCGCCGCGACGGTCCCGACGACGCGCCCGCTGTCGCTGCACTCGCACATGGCCGTGGCGACGAGCACGCCCGTCAAGGCCGCTCGCGCCGAGCCGGCCGAGGAGACGACGCCGACCAAGTCGACGCCGTCGAGCACGGCCACTCGCGGCCTCGGCCTCGCGCCCTCGTCGTCGGCCGGGTCGCCCATCCTCGCCGCCCTGCACCGCTCGCCCGACGCCGCGACGGCGACGCTCGTCCCGCCGGGCAGCGCCTCGCCCGCCCTGTCGCGCAAGGCGTCGCTCGTCGGCAGCGACGTGACGACGTCGAGCACGTCGTGGTACGTCTCGAGCGTGACGGGCTCGCTGCGCGGCGGGCGCATCGGCAGCGGGCTCGAGAGCACGATGAAGCGCCACGAGGCCATCCTCGGCTCGCCGTTCATGCCCTCGTCGTCGGGCGCGTTCGGCGCGTTCCCCAAGCCGTCAACGCCCGCACCGGCGCTGTCGGTCGAGACGGCGAGCCCGGCCCGCTCGGCGTCGACGATGGGCAGCACGGGCAAGTCGACGCCGCCAACGTCGCACGCCTCGACGGCGGGCTCGAGTGACGCTGCAGGCGGCGGCGTCGCGCCCCGGTCGCTCAAGAGCGCGCGCGCGATCGAGGCGCGCCCGGCGCTCAAGGCGCACGGCGCGACCCTCTCGTCGGGTATGATGCCGACCATCGCCGCCTCGTCGCAGCGCGCCCAGCTCGGGCTCAGCGTCGGCTCGCCGCTGACGGCGCGCGTCGCCGAGGAGATGCAGAGCCCGCTCGAGCGCCTGCAGATGGGCGTCCAGGGTCGAGGCGAGGGCGCCGAGTGGAGGGACGGCGACAGCCTGCTCGGCGGCGCAGAGGGCGACGAGGCAGGGGACGAGGTCAGCAGCTTGAGGCCGGGAGCAGGAGCGGGAGCGGGCGGTGCGGTCAAGCGGCTGCAGAGGCGCAGGAGCAGGTCGACGGGCGACGCCGACCTCGCCGAGACGACCTCGTCGGTGCGTCCTCTCTCTTTCCTCCTTCCTCCTCCTCGTGCGTCGAATCCTGACACCCTTTTTCGCACAGGTTGGCGCGCAGCACACGATGCCCGAGCTCGGCTTCGAGCAGCAGCGCGGCGGCGAGGGCGGCGCGTTCGGCTCGAGCGTCCTCGAGTCGCTCGACGACATCTACAACTCGCGCAACCGCACGTACCGCGTCCGCGAGTCGAAGCACCTTGTCGTCGTGAGCGACATTGCCGGCCACACGGCGGGCGACGTCGACCCGGGCAAGGCGTGGAGGAAGAAGCGCCCCTCGAACGTGGTCCGTCCCTCTTCTCTCTCGCCATCGGCGTCGTCCTCGTCACTGACACGCTCGTTGGTCCCTACAGCACGAGATCAACCGCTCGATGAGCACCATGAGCGTCAACTCGCAGGCCGTCCGCAAGAACCGCGAGTTTGCCGGCCAGCTCTTTGTCCTCAGTGCGTCCCGCCCCTCTCCCTGCCCCTCACTGCGTCCCACTGACACGCCGCCCTGCGCAAACAGTCCGCGAGGCGAGCTTCGAGGGCATGCCGCTGCCGCGCACCAAGGCGATGGTCACGGCGACGCTCGACAACGGCCGTCAGCGGGTCGACGTCGCCGTGCGCGAGCTCGGCAACAAGGTCTCGCTGCGCAAGGAGTTCGAGCTGTGCGTCATCATCCTCCTGATCGTCCGACGACACTGTCACTGACCCACCGTCCTCTCCCACAGCGCCTGCAACCAGGACCTCGCCTTCTCGATCGACTTCTCCGTCCCTCGCCAGACGCCCGTCTCGACGCCTGTCCTCCCTTCCACGCCCTCGGTCCCTGCACCGACCCCACCTGCATCGCCGAGCAAAGCCCACCGCGCCTTCCGCATCTTCTCGTCGCCCAAGAAGAAGGCGGCCCAAGCGCCGGCTCGCCCGACCTCGACGCTCGCCGCCGCTCCGCCCCCGACGCCCGACCCGTTCTACGACTACGTGTCGTCCAACGGCCAGCTCGCGACGGCGCACGTCACGTTCGCGACCGAGGCGGCCGCCTGCCGGCTCAAGAAGACTCGCGTCGTCCTGCCGTTTGGCGCCAAGACGGTCGGCTCGCCCCGCTCGTGCAGCGGGTCGCTCGAGATCGACCTCCTGTTCGTCCCCGCCGTGCAGGGCGTGCCCAAGGCCCACTTGCCCAAGTCGATGGACGAGGTCCTGGACGGCCTCGAGCGCGCCGACTTTGCGACTAAGGTCGTGCACGAGAGCGTCCTGACGCAGCTCGGCGGCGACACGACGGTCCGTCTGCTTTCCTCTGCTCTTTCGCGCTCTTCTGGACAGAGCCTGACCTCTCTTGATGTCGATCGCGCAGGTCTGGCGGCGCCGCGTCGTCAAGCTGCGAGGGAGCACGCTCGTCCCGTACAACGAGGTGACCAAGCGCTCGCACGTCGAGATCAACCTCGCCCAGGTCGTCGCCGTCGAGGACCTCAACGCGCCGAGCAGCACGTCACGCGCCGCCGCTCGCGACGACGACGACGACGACGAGTCGGTGACGCGCATGGACCACTCGTTCCGCCTCGTGTTCGAGGACGGCAACCGCATCGACTACTTTGCCGACTCGCACGCGATCAAGACCAAGTGGCTCGAGGTTCTTGCCGCCGTCGTCGGCCAGGACGGCGACAAGAAGACGGCGCCGGATTGGGCCGTCGCCGTGCGCAAGCTGCCGCCGCCCAAGGCGCTCGCGCTCAAGGCCGCCGCCTAGCCTCGTCTTCCCCTGTCAATCATGTCCCTGTACAGCACCGCTCTCCCGCATACCCCCCTCGTCTTCGTCCTTTCCTTCAGCGCCGACCCTGCTTGTCGAGCAGCGACCTGAACCTCTCTCTCCCTCCCTCCTTCGTCCTTGCACCACTTATCTACCACCGTACCTTTTTGCCTCGTTGTTCTTCTCCTCTTGCAATCCACGGACCCGATCAGCTCGACGTTGCGGCGTGCGCGAGCGCTTTCGTCGAGAGGACAGCTCGCTCGAGGAGGAGGTGAGAGCAAAACAGTTCTCGGTGCGCGCTCGACTGCGGGAGAGGGTGCCGGGTGCAGATAGCCCTCTCCGATTCTGTTTTGCGCCATGCAGCAGTCCACGAGGGCTCAGCTCGAGGCTGGTTTCGACGCGTCTCGGCGCGGCGGGTGAGGAGGAGAGCTCCCCTGTTGGCTTCCCTCTCGAACGCTCACGATGCCGCCACGACGCAAGGCTGCGTCTGCAGCATCTGAAGCACTCGAACAAGCCGACACCAACACGCTCGCGTCCGGCCGCGCCTCGTCTCGCCGCTCGTCGGTCAAACAAGCCGTCGCTCAACCCACCTCGACCTCGTCGTCCACCCGCACCGCCCGGTCCAGCAGGGCAGCCCGCACCCGCATCAGCGAGGCCAACACTCCCGACGACGAGGCCGACAGCGACGAGAACGCCGATCCCGAGCGAGTCGACGAGGCGGCCGAGGTCGACAGCGATGAGGACAGCGAGCCCGTCCAGCCCGCCTCACGGTCGTCCCGCCGCACCACGACCTCCTCGCGCACCACCAACAAGCCCAACAGTCGCGCCTCTGCCCCCTCCAGCAGGCGCGGCGCGGCGGCCCCGCCTGCCTCGGCCCGGGCGAGCTCGCGACGAGCGGCGGCGTCCGCTGCGGCGAGCGAGTCGGACGAGGACGAGGACGAGGAGGACAGTGCCGAGTCTGAGGAGGAGGCCGCTCCTTCTCAGGCTCGCAACGGCCGCGGCGCGCGCGCGTCGGCCGCCTCCTCCTCTCGCCGCGCGCCGGCGAAGAAAGCGTCCGAGCCCGTTGCTCCGCCCTCGCCCTCGCCTACGCCGTCCCTGAACGAGGTGGACGAGGACGAGAAGGAGGAGCGCGACGAGCAGGACGAGGCGAGCGAGGAGGAGGCGAGCGCGAGCGAGGAGGAGGAGGTCGTCCAGCCGGTCAAGCGCAAGAAGCGCGTGTCGCTCGCGCCCACCTCGCCTGTCAAGCAGCCGGTGCTTCCCACGCCCGAGCCCGACTCGTCGGCTGCGGAGGAGGACGGCGAGGGCTCGGCGGCAGAAGCCGAGGAGGAGGAGCAGGCGTCCGACGACGAGGAGACGCCGCAGCCTCCCTCGGCCCGGGCCAAGAAGGGCAAGGGCAAGGCGCGCGCCGTCGAGTCGGACGTCGAGGACAACGCCGACGAGGAGGCCGCCGTCGCCGCCGCCGCCGCACCGGCCGCGCCCGCTGTCGCTCCTCCCTCGCCCGCCCCCTCGAACGGCGAGCGCGAGCGGTCCGCCACGCCATTTCCCGCCCTCGAGCCCAAGGCGGCTCCTCCCCCTCCTCCTCAGCCTCAGCAGCCGACTGCGCTCACGGCGTCGCAGCTCGCCTCGATCGCTCGTCAAGCCGCCGTCGACCACGCCGCGCTCGCAAGCCAGCGCGCCAAGGACCTCGAGGGCAAACCTCGCCTCGTCATCCACCAAATCGTTCTCGAGAACTTCAAGAGCTACAAGGGCCGAGGTGTCATCGGGCCGTTCCACAAGGTGCGTCGCCTTGCGTCGACGTCCTCCTCTTCCCCTCCCTGACATCCTCCTCGTCGCCCTGCAGTCGTTCTCGTCCATCGTCGGGCCCAACGGCTCGGGCAAGTCGAACACGATCGACGCCCTCCTGTTCGTGTTCGGGTTCCGTGCGACCAAGATGCGCCAGGGCAAGTTCAGCGAGCTCATCCACAACTCGGGCGCCGCCGAGCCGTCGGGCTCGACCTCGGACGCCGACAACGCCGACGACGCCGACGAGGACGGCTTCTTCGACCCCGAGGAGTACGACTCGGACGACGACCAGGCCGTGCGGAAGAAGAGCAAGGGCGGCAAGGGCAAGGGCAGGGCCAAGCGGCGCGAGGCCTACCCGCCAGGCGGCTGCGACTTTGCGACCGTCGAGGTGTGGTTCCGCGAGATCATCGACTCGGTGCGCCCCCTCTTGCTTCCTCGCTCTCGGCCGTAGACCCTGCCAGGTCGCCCCGACTGACCTTCCCGCCCCTCCTCGTGCAGCCTGGTACCCGCGACGACTTTACCATCGTCCCCGACTCGCAGCTCATCGTCGCCCGTACCGTCCGCCGCGACAACACGACGCGTTACACCGTCAACGGCCGTACGGCGACGCCCGGCGAGGTCAAGCAGCTCCTGCTCGGCAAGGGCATCGACCTGACGCACAACCGGTTCCTCATCCTCCAAGTGCGTCTCTCTCTCTCTCTCTCTCCTACTCTCTATCGCGAGCTGACTGACGCTCGTGCACGTCGCGCAGGGAGAAGTCGAGTCGATCGCGCAGATGAAGCCCAAGGGCGCCAACGACCACGAGGAGGGCCTGCTCGAGTACCTGGAGGACATCATCGGCACCGCTCGGTACAAGCCGCTCATCGAGGAGGCGGCCGGCGAGGTCGAGCGCCTCGGCGACGACCGGCAGGTCCAGATGAACCGCGTCAAGCTCGTCGAGAAGGAGAAGAGCTCGCTCGAGGTGCGCTCCCTCTCTCTCTTTCTCGTCCACCCTCTCGTCATGGGTCGCTAACTGACGCGCTACCGCGCACACAGACCCGCAAGAAGGCCGCCGACACGTACCTCAAGGACCAGGTCGTCCTCGTCTCGCTCCAGAACCGCCTGTACCAGCGCCACGCGCACCAGGCCGGCGCCGACAAGGCCATCTACGAGGAGCAGGCTGCCGAAGCCAAGCGCGAGCTCGACGCCGAGATGGAGCGCCAGAAGGTCGACCGCTCGCGGTACGACGCCGACGTCGCCGCGCTCGACGAGACCAAGAAGAACCTCAAGGAGATCGAGGACGCCGCCGGCGCGCTCTCGAAGGAGCTCGCGTCGTACGAGAAGACCAAGGTCCAGCTCGGCGTGCAGAAGAAGGCGGCCGACGTCAAGGTGTCGAAGCTCAAGAAGTCGCTCGAGGAGGTGCGTCCTGGCCATCATCGCCTCGCCCTCTCTCTCCCCCTCGCGGCGTACTGACTTACCTTTGCCCACAGGACAAGCACACGGCGCAGCAGGCGACGTCCGACATTCGCGACCACGGCGACACGTACGACAAGCTCGTCGCCGGCAAGGAGGACCTCAAGTCGGAGCTCGAGGTCGAGCAGGCGGCGCTCACCAAGGTCATGGACAGCCTGCGCGGTACGTCCTCTCTTCTCGCTCTTCCTCTCCCTCTCCCGTCCACCCTCACTGACGTCGCTCGCGTCGCGCAGACCGCATCGAGGGCTTCTCGCTCGAGATCGAGCAGCACCAGAAGTCGCTTGCGCCCTGGACCGAGCAGATCGAGGCCAAGCAGAACGAGGTCAAGATCGTGACGCAGCAGCTCGACGACGTGCAGGGCAAGAGCGCGCAGGTCCAGGACGACATCGAGCGCACCGAGCAGGAGATCGCCGAGCTCAAGACGGCCGCCAAGCAGAAGGCCGGCGAGCTGAAGGAGCTCGAGGCGTCGCGCAAGGCCGTCGAGGCGCAGATCCAGCAGGCTCGACAGCGTGTTCAGGTGCGCACGCTTCTCTCTCTCTCTCCCTCCCTCCCCGTCAAAGAGCCCGTCCCTGATGCCGCTCTCCTCTTCCTCCCGTACAGGCCGACAAGGCTGTCGAGGCCAAGCACCGCGCCGCCGCCAACGGCGCACGCGAGCGCACCGCCGAGGCCAAGGCGTCGCAGCAGGCGAGCCAGTCCAAGGGCCACGTCCTGTCGGCCGTCCTCAAGCTCAAGGAGCAGGGTCGTCTTCCCGGGTTCCACGTGCGTCCGAACGTCCTCTCGCCTCGCCTCCTACGCAGTCTCTGACAGTATGCGACTCGTGCAGGGCCGCCTCGGCGACCTCGGTCGCATCGACGACGAGTTCGACGTCGCCATTTCGACTGCCGGCGCCGGCGGGCTCGAGTCGCTCGTCGTCGACACGCGCGAGACGGCCGAGGCCATCTTCGACCACCTGCGCAAGCACAACATCGGTCGCGCGTCCTGTATCGCCCTCGACCGCTTCGGCCGGGTCGACCTGTCGCCGATCCAGACGCCCAAGGGCACGCAGCGCCTGTTCGACCTCGTCACGGCCAAGGACGCCTCGTACGCGCCCGTGTTCAAGCACGTCCTCAAGGACACGCTCGTCGCCAAGACGTGGGACGTCGCGCAGCCGGTCTCGACGGGCAAGGTCGACGGCCAGCGGTGGCGCGTCGTCACGCTCGACGGCAACATCGCCGAGAAGTCGGGCGCCGCACAAGTCGGCGGCTCGCGTCCTCTGCGAGGCAAGATGTCGAGTCGCCTCGCCGCCGACGACGTCTCGCCGCAGCAGCTCGCCAAGCTCGAGTCGGAGGAGCAGGCGGCGACGGCCAAGCTGCAGGACTTTGCCGAGCACTTCAAGCAGACCGAGGCCGACCTGCGCGCGCTCGAGAAGGAGCTCGCTCGTGTCGAGTCCGAGATCCCCAAGCTCGAGATGGACGTCGAGGCCAACAAGCAGGACGCCGTCCAGAAGGCCGAGCTGCTCGCCGAGCTTCGGTGCGTCCCACCTCTCTCTCTCTCTCTCTTTCCCTCTCCCGTACTAACACCTTTCTTTCACCCGACTCGCAGGTCGCAGAGCAAGCCCGATGCCGGCGACGTCAAGCGTGTCGCTCAACTTGAGAAGGCCATCGCGACCCTCGGCGGCGAGCTCGAGTCGCTGCGCACCAAGGCGGCCAAGTACGAGGACAAGATTGCGGCCCTCCAGAGCAAGATCGAGGAGGTCGGCGGCCTCAAGTTGCGCAGCCAGAAGGCCAAGGTCGCCGACCTGCAGGACCAGATCCGGCACAACGAGACGCGCCTCGTCAAGGCCAAGACGGAGCGCACTCGAGCCGAGAAGGACCTCGCCAAGGCGACCAAGTCGATCGACTCGAGTACGGCCAAGATCGAGGAGCTCGAGGAGGAGGTCGCCGAGCTCAAGAAGCAGCTCAAGGCCAACGAGGAGGAGGCCGAGCCGGTCCGCCAGACGGTCGAGCAGGCGCAGATCAAGGTCGAGGAGGGTCGCGAGCAGCTCTCGGCGCTCAAAGCCGAGCTCGACGACCAGGAGGAGGCCATCATCGAGTTCCGCAAGGCCGAGGTGCGTCGCCGTCGTCCTCCTTCTCTCGCCTCGTCCGACTACTGACCTGCCCCTCGCCCGTGCAGACCAAGCTTCGCGACGCCTTCAAGGAGCAGGAGCGACTGCTCAAGGAGACGAACCGCATCTTTGAGCACTGGGCGGCCAAGATCGGCGAGCTCGAGATGCCCGAGTTCGAGATGTGCGTCCTGCCTTCCTTTGTCCTCTCGCTCTCTCTCTCCGCCCCCGACTGACACGTACCACCTCGCAGCCTCGCCGATGACGATGAGGAGGAGGAGGACGTCAACCAGTACAAGGTCGACGAGGTCCTGCGCGTGCTCGAGGCCGACGAGATTGGCGAGATCGACGTCAAGAAGTACAAGGCCGACATCGCTTTCCTCGAAGGTGCGCCCTCGTCCCCTCCCGCACCACCATCCTTCGACTCGCACTGACCCGATCGGCGACTCGCAGAACGCCTCGAGAAGAACAACGCCGACCTCGCCGTCCTGCAAGAGTACCGGCGCCGCGAGGAGGAGTTCCGCAAGCGCGGCGAGGAGTTCGAGCTCGTCAACAAGGAGTGGGACGCCGCCAAGAACAAGGTGACCGAGCTCCGCAACGAGCGCCTCGTCATGTTCATGAAGGGCTTCGGCGTCATCTCGAACAAGCTCAAGGAAATGTACCAGGTCCGTGCGCGCTCCTCGTCCTCGTCCTCTTTCGTCCTCCCGTCCTGACTCTCGCCCCTTGCCCTCTCTGCAGCTCATCACTCTCGGCGGCAATGCCGAGCTCGAGCTGTACGACACGTCCGACCCGTTCTCCGAGGGCGTCCTCTTCTCGGTCATGCCGCCAAAAAAGACGTGGAAGAACATTTCGAACCTGTCGGGCGGCGAGAAGACGCTCTCGTCTCTCGCGCTCGTCTTTGCCCTGCACGTCTACAAGGTGCGCCCCGCTCTCCCTCGCCTCTCGTCTCGACGAGGGCAAAGGACTGACCCGCTCTCGCCCCGCAGCCGACGCCGCTCTACTTCCTCGACGAGATCGACGCCGCCCTCGACTTCAAGAACGTGTCGATCGTCGCCAACTACATCAAGGAGCGCGCAAAGGACGGCCAGTTCATCTGCATCTCGCTGCGCAACGTGCGTCCCGCTCTCCCTCTCTGTCGGCGACCTTGGACAAGGCGACTAATCCCTAGCTCGGTGCCGCGCAGAACATGTTCGAGCTTTCTGCACGTCTCATCGGCATCTACAAGGTGGCGAACCAGACCCGCAGCGTCGCCATCGGTGCGTCGAGTCGCCGCACGGTCCCCCTCTCAAGACCCTGACTGACCATCTCGCGTTCGCGCAGACAACCTGGAGCTGTCCGACATCCCGACCATCGCGCCAGATGCAGAGCAGGAGCAGGACGACGAGGCCGATGCGAGCGGCGACGACGGCGACGACGAGTGACCCGGACTGGCGCGTGGCGCACCCCTCTTTCGACTTTCTTCCCTCTCGAGGCTCTCGTTCCCTCTCTACTATCCGATTTGTCCAGTTCCCGCGCACTCTCCTCCGTAGCCTGTACTAGCCGCCAGTGACGATTCAGAGTATTCCACCGCGAGACGCAGGGCGAGAGAGACAGTGTGGGGCAAAGGTACAACGAGGAGGACGAAGGGAAAGACAGAAGGACAACCACGACGACGACGGCGACGACCGCTCAACCTTCAACCTCGACGAGCGACCCTCGTGCTGCTGCTCCCTTGCTCGGCCGTCCACCTGCGCTCGACCGCCCGCCGGCCCGGTTCTCCTTGTCGTACAGCGCCGACGAGGTACGTTGGCTCGTGCGCTCGACGATGGACGTGCCGTCGCGGAAGCGGGCCCGAAACAGAACTGCGAGCGTGCAAGGCATGAGTGAGAGTTTTCGGGGAGAGAGAGAGGGTGTGACGGACCGTTCGCGTTCGAAAACAGGCCGTCCTTGAGCGAGACGACGATGAACTGGCTGCCCTTGAAGCGCGTGCGGAACAGGCGGCCAATGTTTTCGGCTGTACAAAGGACGCGAGAGTTAGGGAGACGAGGCGGCAGAGGGCGAGAGAAGAGGAGGAGAGGACGCACTGTGAGACAGGTCGAGCGCGGCGTCGATCTCGTCGAGGATGTACATTGGCGCTCTGCAGGCGATGCCCCTGTCAGTCCTCGCACGACAGGACAGGAAGAGGACAAGGACGCACGGCTTGAAGCGCAAGAGGGACATGATGAGGGACAGGGCGATGAGGGAGCGCTGCCCGCCGGACAGCTCGGTCAAGCTCGACTTCCACACGGTGCCGAGGCGGACCTTGACCTCGAGGCCCTGCGTGATCTCCTTGCCGTCGAGTGTCTGGAGCTTGCAGAAGTTGCCGGGGAGGAGCTCGGCGAAGATGTTGCCAAACTCGCTGCGGACGAAGTGAGGGGCTCGTGCACGTCAGGGACCTTGCTCGAGGACAATGACGACGAGAGAGCGGCGCGAGACGCACGCGTTGACCTTGTCCCACGTCTTCTCGAGCGTCTCGCGCTTGTGCTCGTCGAGGACGGCGACCGTCTCCTCGATCTTGACCTTGTCCTTGAGGACCTGCTTGTGCATCGCCAAAAGGTCGCGCTCCTTCTTCTCGACGCTGCAGACGACGGTCACGAGAGTCAGTTGTGCGCCTCTCGATGGGCGAGGGACGACGAGAGAGAAGAAGGGGCGACGCACCTGTCGATCATGCTCAGGACCTTGGGGTTGACTTTGCGCTTCATGGTGCGGTGGTTCTCCTCGAGCTGGCGGCACTTGTCCTTGGCGCCGCGCATGTCGGTGCCAGCAAAGTTGTACGGCGAGTTGGGCTTGCCGAACGTCCTGTGTGCAGCGAGGTGCGGCAGTCAGTGACGGCGGCCATGCGGGTCGAGGCAAGGGCGAGGTTCGTGCACGCACTGGCACTCGTCGGCGATCCACTCGCACTCGGCCTCGCGCTTGGCGAGCTTGTCGGCGGCGTCCTTGGCGTCCTTCTTGGCCTTGTCGAACTCCTTGTCGAGCTGGCCCGTCTTGAGCTCGAGCTCGACAATGTCGCTCTTGCGCCCGTTGATCGCCTCCTTGAGCGAGTCGAGCTCGTCGTTGAAGCCCTTGAGCTTCTTGGTCTCGTCGGCGATGCGGCGCTGCACGGCCTGGAGCTCGACCTGGCGCTCGTCGATGACGAGCTGGCCCTCGGCGAGCGACTTGCGGACCTTCTCAATCTGCGCTCGCGCCTCGGCGAGCTCGACGCCGGCTGACGCGACGTCCTTCTTCATCTGCTCTGCGAGGGTGTCAACAGAGAAGGTCAGGCTCGATGACGGGAGGGACAGGTCTGACGAGGAGAGAGAGAGGGAGGACGGACCGATCTCGAGCTCGTCGGTGAGGACGTCGCTGCGGAGCGTGTCGACCTGCTCCTCGAGCTTGGCGACCTCGGCCTTCTTCTTGACGATGTCGGCCTTGATCTGCTTGACCTTGGAGCCCTTGTCCTTGGACAGCTCGTTCATCTCGCGCTCGATGCGCTTGACGTCGGCCTGCGCCTCGCCGTGCTTGGTCTTGGACTCCTCGATCTTGATCTGCAACTCGGCGACGGTCGCCTTGAGCGTCTCGACCTCGCCGATGACCTGCGCGCGGGTGAGAAGGAGGTCAGTTTGGCGAGAGAGGCGGGCCGGGACGTGAAACAGCGAGAGAGAGACGGACCCTCGTCGCGTTGCTCGTCGCCATCGACTTTTCGAGGAGGGCGAGCGCGTGCGTCTTCTGGTCGAGCGCCTTCTTGAGGTCGACAGCGCCCTTGGACCGCGCGAGGCTCTGCTCGATCTCGTCGAGCCGGGTCCGGTGCGCCGCCAACTCGCGCTCGAGCCGCTTGAGCTCCTGCACCTTGACGAGCACCTTGTCGCTCGACGCCTGGCCACCAGACAGCTCGGGCGTCGTGTCGTAGATGTCGCCGTCGTACGTGACGCAGCGCATGCGGACGGCCGGGTCGTCGGTACAGCGCTTGGCGATCGCCTTGGTCGGCGCGATGAGGACGTGGCCGAAAGCGTACTGCATGGCCCGGGTCGCGCGCTCGTCGTAGTTGATGAGGTTGAGCGCGAGCTCGGCGCCGTGCTTGCGCGCTGCGGCGACGCGCTGCTTGTCGGCCACCGACGCCTGGAGCGTGTTGACGGGGAGCAGGATCGTCTTGGTCTTGATCGTCTTGGCCTCGACGAACGCGGCGACGGTCGAGTCGTCGCGGACGGCGACGTGGTACAGGCGACCGCCGGCGGCCATCTCGAGCGCGGTCGCGGCGGCCGCGTTCTTCTCGGGCAGGTCGATCAGGCTCGCGAGCGTGCCGTACACGGCCGAGCGGTCGAAGCCCGGGTACGGGTCGTCGGCGTGGAAGTCGGTGCGGACGATCTCGCGGCGCTTGGCCTCGCGGCGCTGTGGGCGAGGAGGAACCGAGTCAGTGAGATCCCGGCAGAGGGCCCGAGGCGCGAGAGGGGAAACTGCCGTGGACGCACCTGTCGCAAGCCGTCGACAGCCTGCACCTCCTGCTCACGCTCGCCGTCGAGCCTCGCCTCCTCGGCCTCGTCGTACCCGGACGCCCTCAGCTGCGCCTCGAGCGCCTCCTTGTCCTTCCTCGCGCGCTCGACATTGGCGACGAGGCCCTTGCTCTCGGCCGCCGCCTTCTTGGCCTTGGGCTCCTTGTCCTTGAGCTCCTTCTGGAGCGAGTCGATGCGGTGCTTGGCGAGCTGGCCCTCGGTCTCGAGCGAGCCAGCGAGCTCCTTGGCCGCCGCGAGCTGGCCCTCGTAGCCGGACGACTTGGCGTTCTTCGACAGGCCGGCGCCGTACTCGATTGTCTGGAGGAGGTCCTCGGACTGCGAGAGCGACGTCGTGGCGGCCTTGAAGGCGGCCTCGCGCGCGGCGAACGACTCGGCGCTCTTGGCCGCCGACGCCTCGCGAGTCTTGCGCTGCGCCGTCAGCTGTGTGGGTGCGAGCGTGACGTCAGGTTCGTGCTACGCTCGAGAAGGAGAGGGGAAGGGAGGAGGAGAGAGAGAGGCGACGCACGTCCTTCTGCGCCTTCTCAAGCTCCTTGATGCGGGCCTCCTCCTCCTTGATCTCGCGCTCCTTGCCCTCGGCCTGCGTCTTGAGCTTGGCGATCTCCATGTCGAGCGTGTTGAGCTGCTTCTCGAGGCCCTGCACCTTGCCGCCCTTAGCGAGCTCCTGCGTGCGCGTGTGTGAGAGAGGGTCAGGCGACTCGACGACGACGACGACGACCACTCGGACGGTGAAAGCGAGGGACGCACCTTGTCGCGCTCCTTCTCGATCTCCCTCGCGCTCTGCTCCATCTTCTTGATCTCGCCCTCCATGCGGCCCTTGTCGGCCTGGGCCTCGTTGCGCCGCTTCTCGCCCTCGCGGATCGCCTCGCGCGCCTTGTCGACGCGCGCGTGGTCCTGGGTCCAGTCCCACGCGATGACGAGCTTGGACAGGCGCTCGAGCTCGCTCGCCGTCTTCTGGAACTCGAGGAACGTGCGCTTCTCGTCGCGCAGGCGGTCGAGCTTTGGCGTGATCTCCTCGCGCAGGAGCGACTGGATCTCGTCGAGCTTCTTCTCCTTCTTCGACATGGTCTTGATCGCCTTGTCCTTCTTCTCCTCGAACATGGACGTGCCGGCCGCCTCCTCGATCATGGCGAGGATCTCGAGCGGGCGCATGTTGAGCACCTTGGTGATCTTGCCTGCGCACAGGGAGGATGACGTGAGCTCGTACTCCTCCTGAGACGCCGATAGAGAGAGACGCACCCTGCATGATGAGGAAGTTGGGGTTGTTGATGTTGAGCTGGACGCTCTGGAACAGGTTCTGGACCTGCTGCTGCGTCGAGCGGTGCCCGCAGATGAGGTACTTGCTCTGGCCGTTGACCGAGATCTGGTCGAGGGAAAGCCTGGGTCAGAGCCGCACGATAACGAGGCCAGACGAGGGTCGAGGCGACGCACCTGGCGCGTAACCGAGATCTCGGGCATGTTCTCGAACCCGACCGGTGCCCGGCCCTTGTCCGAGTTGTCAAACACGATCGTGACGGACGCTCGGGTGACGCCGGCCTGGCCGCGCTTGTAGATGAGGTCGAGGAGGTTGGCCGCGCGGACCTGGAGGGGGCGCGAGAGGTCAGTGAGGGCTCCGTCGACTCGTGCGGGGGCGACAGAGAGCGAGACGCACAGTCGTGAGGTTGGTGATGCCGAGGACGAAGCAGATCGAGTCGAGGATGTTGGACTTGCCCGAGCCGTTCCTGCGAGGAATGAGAGGGGGAGGAGGGGAGAGGTGAGCAACTCCTCTCGGGGCGGCACACACTCGCGAGAGGCAGCTCAGGACGTACAGGCCCGTGATGGCATTGAAGCTCGAGTCCCAGCCGGCGATACTGGTCCGTACTGGGTAGCTCTTGAAGCCGTCGAGGATGAGCTCCGTGACCCGCATGGCGGCGAGCACGTGTCTGCGTGTGCCGTGCAGGGCTTCGTCAGTATGCTCCTGGGGCAATTAGAGAAGTGCACGACGCACTTGTGCCGGTGTGTGGTCGACGAGAGGCGTCAAACAGATGCGCGATGTTGGTCCACGAGTCGCGGGGTCGCCGAGTCGGGTTGCGCCGCTTCTGCGAGGTCGGCGAAGGTCGGTTAGAGCTCGTGCCGGTGGCTCAGGGCCTAGCAAGCAGGCTGAAGCGATAGCGGGTGAGTGAGCGAGGGTCGACGGTGGCCGACGTCCTCATCGCGCTTCGCCACTTTCGGCGCGCCTTGACGCTCGCTCTCGACCAGTACAGGACGCAGTGCTGGGCTCGCCACATAAATAGAGCTGCTCGACACGAGCTGCACTACTCTCGGGAGCCCCTGCGGCCGACCTCGAGCCAGTGAGCCAGTCTGTCGGTTGCTTGACTTTGGCTTAGCCTCGTTTCGTATTCTCGCTTACAATCACTCGCTCCCTGGTCTATTCGCTCTCTCTGCTGGCGCCCAGAGTGGCACGCGCATCTCTCGCTGCGGCGCGACGACGCAGAGCGCCGGCATGCGGCTCTCGAGCGACCGAGGGACGAGGAGGACGAGTGACACAGAGAGAGTCCGTTTTCAGCCGCGCGAGAGGGAAGGGGAGAGGACGAGGGGGCACTACACGACGAGAGGGAGGACGGGGGTGGGCACAGAGTCGTGTCGGAGGCGGGACCGGCGAGAGGGGCCGACGAGAGGGCGAGGAACGGTGGGTCGAGAGAGGCGAGGGCGAGAGTGCGACGAGGTGCGAGGCGAGGACGGCGATGGCGACGCTCACTGGTCGCGCGACTTCCTGTGGGTGCAGATTACGTCCGAGTGTCAGTGCGGAACGAGATGCGGCGGCGAGAGGCGGACAGAGAGAAACGCTCAAGCGACGCACCTCCACTCCGCCTCGGCCGCCGTTCCCTGCTCCTCAACCTCGGCAACGACGCTCGCGAGCGCCTGGGCCGCCTCCTCGTGGAACAGCTGCTGCGCCTTGAGGAGCTGGCCGAGGTTCTTGATCGGCTCGGGGTTCTCGAGGACCGAGCGCATGAGGTTGATGGCCGTCTCGGTCGAGTCGACGAGGTGCTCCTCGGCGGCCTCGACTGGCGGGCGGGTGAGGCGAGGGTGTGGCGCGAGGTGCGGTGTGGGCGAGGAGGGGAGCGTCGGTGTGGCGGCGGCGGCGGCGCGAGGGTCGGCAAGGAGATGGCGAGGAGGAGTACAAAGTGGGACGAGGGAGGACGAGGGCGAGTCAGACCAACTTCCAGGGCGCCCACGTGACACGAGACACAGAGAGAGAGTCACGACGCACCCTCCATGCGCGCCTGCTCCTGCTTCGGCCCGCCCGTCGCGTGCTTGAACGTCGCACGCGTCGCGTCGAGCGAGATTCTGCGTCCGAGCCGCGCCGACACCAAGCTCGTCAGTACATCGAGAGGCACTTTTCGAGCGCTGCGGCGGAGAGAGGGGGACGCACCGAGCCTGCTTGACGACCTGGCGCGCCTTGAGGGCCGCCTGGAGCGACGTGTTGAGCGTCGCCGACCACGGCGGGAGGAACGAGGTCCTGCAGGTGGGCGCCTCGAGCTTCATCAGTGTCTTGCTCGACAGGAGAGACGAGGAGGGTGGGTCGGCGGCATCGAGGTCGAGGGCGACGCCGCGCAAGACGAGGAGTGAGGGAGAGGGCGAGGAACAGCCTCGACGCACGAGATCTCGCCATCCATGCGGGTCCTCGCGGCGCCCACCTTGTCCTGCGCGACAGCGTACGTCTTGAGGACGTCGGCGAGGCGACCGGGCCCGACCTCGACGGCGCCGGACGCGGCCGCGCGCGAAAGGGCGTGCGGCAGCGTCTTCTGGTACGACGAGGGCTTCTGTGGGGGTGCGGCGTGGGGCGGGTCAGAGGGGCGAGGAGGAGGAGAGGGCAGGAGGGAGACGAGGACGCACGTCGGTCACCGAGGGCTGAGGGAGGTTGGTGCCTGCGTCCGGCGACGCTGGAGAGTCAGTCGACGTCCCGCCGAGCAGGACGACTCACAGACAGCAGGGAGCTCTACCGGACGCACCCTTGGTCGCCGCGGCAGCCCACGAGCTGAGGTTGTGGGCAATGCTGCCGCCAATCTCGGTCGCCGACTCGGTGAGGTTGACCGGGTAGTCGTACGTGCCCGTCTCGTACACGCGCGTGACGGCGAGCAGCTTGGTGTGCGCTGCGCGGAGGCCGTCGACGCGGCGCTCGAGGTCGAGGTACTCTGCGAGGAGGGGGCAGGCGAGAGGGGGTTCAGCTGGCTCGAGGAGGGAGGAGGAAGGGAGAAGAAGGGGAGACGCACCCTGCGGGAGCTCGGTGACGTCGTCGTTCTCGATGCGGCCGGTGCGCTCCCTGCGGTACGTGCACGACGACAGGGTCAGTGCGCTTCCGGCAAGAGTCGACGACGGAAGGAGGAGGACGCACTTGACGGTCTGGCTGAAGTTTGCGAAGCCCTTGGACAGGTTCTTGGACGCGTCGTTGAGGTTGATGTTGCTCGTTGCGCCCTGGACGGTCGACGCGGCCTGGCCGGCGACGTTCTGAAGGGACGAGGCGATGTTCCTGCGAGAGAGAGAGAGAGAGAGGGAGCGGGACAAGGTGGGGGGAGGAAGGGGAGGAGGTCGAGACGGCGGCGTCGAGGTGGCGGCGATTGCGGTGGATAGAGGGGAAGGTCGGGTTGCGCAGGAGAGGCGGACCGCACGAGCAAGTAGTGAGGCGGACGGGGGAGGTGGAGGGGAGGGACGAGGTTGAGGGAGCGAGGATGAGGCGACATCAGGACGGCGGTCTTTGAGAGGAACGAGGGACCGAGTGACGCACTTCCACGAGTTCACTGCGGGCGGCACAAGGGTGCACAGAGAGGGTCAGGGCCGTGAACGAGGTGTCCGGGGTGCGCGTCGACGACGGAGGAGGAGGACCGAGGCCTCGACGGCACGCGGTGCTTCGAGCGTTTGTCGTGAGGGGCTGATGAAGGGAGACGCACTGGCTGGTGTAGTGCTTGAACTGGCCTGGTGAGCGAGAGAGGGTGCAAGGGACGAGTCCACCTCGTCGTCGCCGTCTCGCTGGCTGGCTCGCTCCCCACTCCAGCTCTCGCTCCGACTCGACCGAGGAGCACCGCACTACCTTCCACCACACTCGCACACTCGACTAGAGCCACCTCCCGACCACCCGCGTCTTCTCGTCGCCCACTCGCCTCGCGCCCCTCATCTCACCGCGCGTCGTCATCTCCACCTCGAGCCCAGCCCGCTCCACCCAACAGAGCGACACCTGTACCCACCCACCCATCCACACACCCCGCCCCGCCATGACCGCCCTCGCCCAGCCCGCGTCCGGCTTCTCGTTCGAGAACGCCCTGCGCAACTCGTCCCTCGAGGCAAAGAACCTCGGCCTCCCGCGCGCCACCTCGACCGGTACCACCATCGTCGGCGTCGTGTACGACTCGGGCATCGTCCTCGGCGCAGACACCCGCGCCACAGAGGGCCCCATCGTCGCCGACAAGAACTGCGAGAAGGTGCGCCCCCCCCCTTTCCTCTCTCTCTCTCTCGCGGTTGGCAGCACGTCCCCTGACCTCGTCCCGCGCTCGACAGATCCACTACATCTCCGAGTACATCCGCTGCTGCGGAGCCGGCACCGCCGCCGACACCGAGTTGTGCGTCCGCGTCGCAAGCGCCTCCTCTCGCGCGAGCAGCCGACACTGAACCTCGCCCGTTGCAGCACGACCAACATGATCAGTTCCAACATCAAGCTGCACGAGCTGTCGACCGGCCGGCCACCGCTCGTCGCGACCGCCATGACCATGCTCAAGCAGTACCTGTTCCAGTGAGTCTCGCGCCCTCTCTCTCTCTCTCTCGATGCGCACTCGCTCGTCGCGCCCCTCACTGACTCTCGTTGCACCCATGTCCCCTTGCACGCACGCTCGTCCACCCCCGCAGGCACCAAGGCCAGGTCGGCGCCGCGCTCGTCCTCGGCGGCATCGACCCGACGGGCCCGCACCTGTACACGGTCGCGCCGCACGGCTCGACCGACAAGCTGCCGTATGTCACGATGGGCTCCGGTTCGCTCGCCGCCATGGCCGTGTTCGAGACGTCGTGGCGCCCCAACATGACGCGCGACGAGGCGGTCGAGTGCGTCGCGGCCGCGATCGAGGCGGGCATCTGGAACGACTTGGGCTCTGGCAGCAACGTCGACGTGTGCGTCATCGAGGGCGAGAAGAGCGGCGACGGGCTCAAGTACACGGGCAAGGCCAAGACGGACTACCTGAGGAACTTCCGCATGCCCAACGACAAGGTGACCAAGGAGCGCAACTACAAGTGGAGGCGGTGCGTCCCCTTTCCTCTCTCTTTCCTCAATCGAGACAGAGTCTGACCTCGCCCTTTTGTCGCTACGCAGAGGCGTCACGGCGTGGACCAAGGAGGGTGCGTCGCCCTCTCCTCTCTCTCTCTCTCTTGGCCACAGTGACCTGACACCTGCACCCGCACCCGCAGAGATCAAGCGTTTTGTCGTCGCCGAGGAAGTTGTGCCTGTCGCGGGCGGGCTTGCGTCGGGCCCGGAAGGGAGCGGTGCGGGTGCGGGCGCGAGCATGGAGGTGGACGCGTGAGAGGGGTCGGCGCAATGGACGAGCCTGTTCTCTGTGTCTCGCCGTCCAGAGAGTGTGTGCGAGAGAGTTCCCGCTGCTATCATAGCAGAGAGAGGCGAGCGCTGGTTCATCTTGGTCGGCTCCCCCACCTCGTCGAATCGTCCTCATCAGACTCGTCTCAACCGCGCCGCCACTGCTCGGCTCAGGGCCCTCACGCCCGCCCGCCCGGCTCATGGCGCTGCACCTCCCAGCCCACACGCTCAGCGACGCTCCACCCTCGCCCATCACGGGCGTGCACCTCAACGCCGACCGGTCCGTCTTCGCGACCTCGACCACCGAGGGCTGGGTCGTGTACCGCACTCAGCCCCTCGAGGTCCTCACTCGCCGAGGTGCGCCCCCACTCTCCCTCTCCACAAGGCCCACGCAGCTCACCCTCGCCGGGAAACAGACCTCCCCGACGCCTCGCTCCGCATCGTCCTCCCCCTCGAGCGCTCCAACCTCGTCTTCCTCGTCGGCGGACCCCCGTCACCGCTGTACCCGCCCAACAAGGTCGTCCTGTGGGACGCGCGCGCCCAGGGCGCCGTCGCCGAGCTCGAGTTTCGCGAGGACGTGCGCGGCGTGAGGGCGAGGCGCGACAGGCTCGTCGTCGTGTTGCGCAGGAGGGTCGTCCTGTTTGTGCTCGGCGAGGGCGACGCGGGCATTTGGCGCGAGGGCGCGTACGAGACGTGCGACAACCCGCGAGGTGCGCTCCCCCTCTTCCTCCCCCACTTCCTCCTCGCGCTCTCTCTCTCTCCCTCTCTCTCGCCAGATTCGCCTTCCTCCCGTCGCTCACTTTGCCCACTCCTACAGGCCTCGCCGCACTCGCGACCGCCCCACACTCGACCCTCCTCGCCTTCCCCGGCCGCCAACCCGGCCAAGTCCAGCTCGTGCGCCTCCCTCCCCTCTCGCCGCCCGGCGGCGACCCGCCTCTCCCCCCGCCACCCTCACACGACCCGACCGCCGCTCCACACCCGGCCACGTCGGTCCTCCTCGCGCACGAGAGCCCGCTCGCGGCACTCGCGACGTGCGACGACGGGCGCGTACTCGCGACGGGCTCGAGCCGCGGCACGCTCGTGCGCATCTGGGACGCTGCGCCGCCTGCGCGCACTCGAGCGGGAGCTGGAGGTGCTGGTGGTGGTGGAGCAGGTGCGCCAGGAGGGACGCTCGCGCGCGAGCTGCGGCGCGGGACGGACGGCGCAGAGATCTTTGACGTGGCGCTCAGCCGCGAGGGGGACCGGTGCGCCGTCGCGAGCGACAAGGGAACGGTGCACGTGTGGGACTTGAGGCGGGCGGTCGGGGCGGCGGGTGCGGGGGCAGGGGCGCGCGAGGCGGATGGGGCGGGCGAGCGAGAGCGGGCGGGGAGAGGCGGCGAGGGCAGCGGGGCGTCGTGCGTCCCTCTCTATCTCTCTCCTCGAGCACACGACGACCAACGAGACCCTGACACGCCCCCGGAACCCGCAGCACCCCTCGCTCGCACCAGCTCTCGCTCCTCAAGCCGTACCTGCCCAAATACTTTTCGTCCGAGTGGTCCCACGCCCAGTTCCGCCTCCCGCCTCCCCCAGGCGGGCCCACCGCCTCGCGCCTCCCGTTCAGCCTCTCGAACCCGGGCCCGTACCCGCACACGCCGTTCTCGGGCGGCGGCACGAGCGGCGGCTGTGGCGGTGGCGCGGGAGGTGGAGGAGGAGGGGAGGGAGGCAAGGGGCCGAGGGCGGCGTCGGTTGAGGACGATGTGTGCGTGTGTGCGTGGATCGAGGTCGACGCGCTCGACGAGGCGCCGGCGGCAGCGGCGGCGCCAGTCGTCGAGCCTCGTCCTCGACCTCGAGCGCAGGGCCGGTCCTCGTCCAGCGCGCAGCAGCAGCAGCAGCAGCAGCATGGGCGTTCGGGCGCCGCCGCATCGTCTACGACGTCGACGGCCCCGCCACCGAGGCGCAAGGAGACGCAGCTCGTCGCCCTGACGCGCTCGGGCGGGTGGTACCGCCTCGCGTTCGACCCTCTTCCCGCTCCCTCCTCTGCCTCCTCGACCTCCTCACACGCACCCTCATCCTCCTCATCCTCGTCATCAACCAAGGGCAAGGCGCCCTCGCGCCCGAGCTCGGGCACGTCGACGCCGCGCGCCGAGCGCGACCCGGGCGTCAAAGGGCTCGCGCGCGACTCGACCGGTGGCGGGTGCAGGCTCGTCGAGTACCGCAGGTTGGGCGGCGTCGAGGGGTGGTGAGAGGAGAGCGGTGCAGGGGGTCGGTCGAGCGGATTGGGCGGGCGGGCGAGAAGGATTGGGCCGAGCGGGTGGAGAAGGTGGGAGCGAGCGGGCGGGAGGGAGTGCCGCACCCTGCGCTCGACTCGACCATGTCACACTATCCAGTACCTTTACTTCCCTCGCCGGCTCGCGGTTATACCTCCCCCCTCGTTCGCCCTCGTCCTCGACTTGTTGTCCATCCTCCCCCGCACCTGTCTCTCTCTCAACCTCGCGCCGTCCGTATTGCGTAGCTCTCCTCGCACTCTGCCATGCTCTATTCTACTCGTCTGCATGACTTTGACTGTGAGATCCCGAGGCGGCAAGCGTCGTGAGGCCGTGAGTCTGGCGCTCGCCCGAAGGAAAGGAGACTCGTGCGCATCCAGTACTCTCTCGCGACAGCGCGACGCTCTGTCGCCGTTCCTCTCGCTCGTCACGGTCGGAGGACCTGCTCACCTAAACGAGGAGTTGCATAATCAAGCGGGAGAAAGGGGGTGTACGGGCTGTAGACGAGGGCGAAGAGGGGAGACTGCTCAAGCGGACGATAGACGAGGGGAGACGCTAACGAGAGAAAGGGAGGGGGACGAGAGAGACGAGAAGAGAAGAGAAGGGGTATCCAGGCGAGGGAGAGGCTCGAGAGGTTGAGAGGAGGAAAGGTCGAGAGAGGGAGCTACTCGTCGTCCGAGTGGTTGCCGCGCTTCTTCGGCGGGCCGCGCTTCTTGGGCTTAGGCTTCTCCTCCTCCTGTTTGCGGTGTACGAGTCGAGCGATGTCAGGGTGCGGCTCGGAGCGGGCAGGGCAAAAGGGAGGGCGACGCACCTCGGACTCGGACTCGGCCTTGGCCGCCTTCTTCTTGGACGCGGCGCGCTTCTTCTTGGGCTTCTCCTCCTCCTGTTTCGAGGGCAGTGAGAGAGTGCGTGTCAGGGTCTGAGAGGACGACGCGGGGGGGACTGAGGCGGAAGAAGGCGGCGCACCTCGTCGTCGTCCTCGACCTTGGCGGCCTTGCGCTTCGAGGCGACCTTCTTCTTGGGCTTGGCCTGCGCGCAGTCTATGTCGTCAGGGCACGTGGTAAACGCCTACCCAGGCCTCGACCACCGCCCGCGGCAGGCGTCGTGCGAGGCCAAAGAGCGAGGAGCGAGAGCCGGGACGCACCTCCTCCTCGGACTCGCCGCCGGTGCTGACGGCCTCCTCCTCCTCGCTCTCGTCCGTGTCGGCCTTCTTCTTCTTGCCTCCCTTCTTCGCCGGCGCCTTCTTGGCGGCCGTCTGCGTGGCGCATCAAAGACGTAGACGGTCAGTTCGCGCTCTCTCGACGAGGGACGAAAGACGGTCGCGGACGAGGGGACGAGCCGACGCACCTTCTTCTTGGGCTTTTCGTCGTCAAAGTCGTCGTCGGTGCCGTCGCCGTTGGCCTTGGCCGCCTTCTTCTTGGCGGCGGCGCCCTTGGCCTTGGGCTTCTTCTTGGGCGACTCGACCTCGTTGCCGTCCTCGTCGGACCCGGGCTCGGGCTCGGGCTTGCGCGCCGTGTCGGGGATGTCCTCGTCCGCAACTGCGAGGGAAGAGAGGCCGAGGAGGAGAAAGAGGAGGCGAGGACGAGGGGAGGAGGAAGAAAGACGAGGTCAGCTCGAGTGACGAGAAGGGGTCCGACCGCCCGAGTAGGGCCAGAGAGAGAGGGGACGCACCGTGGCCCGCCTCGAATGCCTTCTTGACGCGCTCCTGGTCCTCGGGCGTCAGGTCCTCGTAGCCGTCGAGCTCTTCGGCCTCCTCGAACGACTCCTTGAGGTTGTGGAACTGCTTGGCGGTCGTGCAGCCCCAGTGGCGCCACGCGAAGCTCGAGTTGCCCTCTGCAGAGGACAGAGTAAGAGTGGCGGTCAGGTCGTAGGCGGACAGAGGCGTGCAAGGACGAGGACGCACGGATCGTGACGAGCGTGCCGAAGCGGAGCGAGCCCTGTTTCGAGTACCGCACAAGGCGTGTCAGTTCCTCCTCACTGTCTGGATGAGACGGGGTCGAGGTAGCATACCTTGGGGACTGCGAGGAGGGGGAAGGAGGAGGAGGAAGGTCAGCTCGAGTCTCGTGTAAGGGGCTGGGACGGCGGGAGAGCTCACTCTTGGTACCAGAGCACGGTTTGGGTCCCCGACATTTGGACGTTCCGAGCTGTTTCGAGGCGCAGGTCGTCGTGCGGAAGCGCGAAGAGGGAGGGGGAGGTGGGGGAGGGGGTAGGAGGTCGTGTCGGCGGGTACGGCGTCGAAGGGCGAGACGGCGGGCGTAGGCGGTCGTAGAGAGGTGGTGAAGGCGACCGAGTGCGACAGATAGGCGGCAGGAGGTGTGTAGAGGGAGGAGGGAGAGGGGGTCGTGAGCGTCATCTCGAGGGAGCGAGCGCACAATGGCGGGCGCTGAGAGCGAGAGAGCGTGGACGGACCTTGGCGTATTCGAGGCGGTAGCTCATCGTGGCTGTCCCTGGCGGTGAGGGCGGTGGAGGGAGAACGACGAGGAGGGGGTTGAGCGACGAGGACGAGGACGAGGCGGCGGTGATGGCGAATTGACATTCTCGGCAGCGTCTCTCCCAATTACGGACTGCTCGTACCGCTCTACTACAACCTCAGAAGAGACCACACCGCGCCGCCGCATCTCGCCCGACAGTGAGCGCGCCCCGACCTCCTTCTCCGCCGCGTCCTGACCGCCGACTGCTCGAGGTCGACTCGCCGCGTCTTGCGAAAGCAAAGCCGAGCTCGAAGAGACGGGCCCAGACAGGATGCCAGCCGTAACGACACAGCTTGCGAGTCTGCGACCGCGTCCAGCACGGCGGTGACGAGGACAAGGTCGCTGCGAGCGTGCGAGAGCGACGCTTGTCGCGGCTAGCTCGCGAGACGAGCGTCCTCGCAATGAAGGTAGAGAGGCGCAGCAAGAGACGACATGCAGCAGACTGGCCGGCCGAGCGCTGCCGACGCACGAGGCCAGCGACAGGGGCGACACCGCGCCGTGCCTCGTCCAGCAGCGGACTTGCGAGCGGCCGCAGCGCTGGAGAACAACAGGTAGAAGCTGCAGAGGACCGGCGAAGAAGCGCAAGCGGCCACTCGTCGTTGGCGAGACGTTGCCGAGCAGGGCGGACGCGGCACGAGCGGTCGCAAGGCTCGCACTCCGCCAGAGACAGCCGGCGAGGGGCGCAAAGACCGCCTCGAAGCCCATACCTGCGTGTCGCCGACGCACGCCGGCCTGCAGGAGCAGTGGAGAGGGCGCGAGATGGCGTAGAGGTCGAGCGGGCGAGCGAGAGCCAGGGCGGCGACGACGGCACGGATCCTGGCGAGAGTAGGACGAGTGGGAGATGTGCTGTAGTCGAGGCTGCTAGGCGGCCCCTCTAGCTCAGGGAGAGAGCTGTGGTGGAGAGCGGAGCATCGACGGCGACCAACCAGAGCGTTTCGCCAGAGAGGAGGCGCTCCCACGCCCACCCGCGCAGCGCTCTCTCGCCGCCTCCTGGAGAGCAGTCGCGTTCCTGCACAGCCTTCGAGCACCTCGGTGGACACGTACAAACCGCGCTTGCACCCTCGAGTGGTCTGTGGCGAGTGGGCGACCGCCCGGTCCACCAGAGGTGATGAAGGTGCGCCCCACCTCTCTCTCGCCCTCACAGCCCTCGTGAGCCAGAGCTGACCTCACACACCCACTGCAGTACCTCTTCGCCGCCATTGACGCGCGACTGGCGCGCTCGAAGGACGGCGGCACTGCACCTCCTCCCCGCGGTCACCACCTCGACCCCGATGAGCTCAAGCGCCTCATCATCGAGGCTTCCGAGGCCGTCGTACGTCCCTCTCGATCCTTGTCGTCACCCTCGACGAGCGACCACTGACCGCGATGCCGCCCTTGTCCCTTCTCCCCCTCGCCTCTGCACAACAAACAGGACGACAAGTCGGCCGCCAACGACTTCCAGGAGACGCTCGAGCGCATCGTCAACGAGATCCGCAACACGACCGTGAGCATGAGCTTGTCCATCTGGTGCCGGGAACCCAACCTGACGCTTCTCCCTCGTCTCGCAGGAGCACTCGGGCCCGTTCCTGCAAAAGGTCCGCAAGGCCGACGTGCCCGACTACTATGACGGTGCGCCTCTCTCTCGGCACATTCAGCAGGACCGACACTGACTCGAGATGCCCCCCTCGCAGTCATCAAGCGGCCGATGGACCTCGCGACGTTGCTCAAGAAGGTTAAGCAGCAGTCGTACCGCACCAAGAAGGCGTTCGCCGAGGACCTCGACCTCATCTGGTCCAACTGCCTGCACTACAACTCGCACCCGGTGCGCCCCCTTCTTTCCCCCATTCCAAGCGCCCGCGCACGAGCTGACCCTCGCCTTCCCAACCCTCGCAGAGCCATCCGCTGCGAGCGTCCGCCGAGGCCCTGCGCGCCAAGTCGAACCAGCTCCTCGAGTTCATCACCGACCCGGCCCTCACGCAGCGTCAGCTCCTCATGGCCTCGGTCGGCGTTCACCGGGCGGGCAGTACTCGGATCGGGACGCCGGACGAGGACGCAGACGCCGACAGCGAGGACGAGGACGTTCGGAGCAAGCGCGGCGTCAGCGAGCGGTTGCTCAACGGCGTCAACGGCGATTGTGCGTCTCTGCGACCTCTCTCTCACCGTCTAGATCGTACTGACGAGCGACCCGGTCCTGCAGATCATCGCGACTCGGCGTCGCCCGCACCCTCACGCTCTGCGACGCCCAGTCTCGCCCGTCGCCTGAACCGCAAGATCAGTACAGCTCCTGTGCGTCCCTGCCTCTTGTCTTCCCCCCTCGACCGGCGGGTCCTGATCCAGGTCCCCTCCCGCAGCTCGCCCGTATCTCGGCCTCGCCCGAACCGACACCTGCGCCGACCGAGCTGCCGTTCGAGGAGCACCTCGCCTTTGTCCGCACGCCGCAGGGCATGCAGGAGTTCCTCCTTCTCGACCAGGAGCTCACCCGCCTCGAGGGCTCGGGCTTCAAGCCGGTTCGCTCGTCCGCCCTCCTCCCGCCGTCCGCCTTTGGCCCGTCCGCCTCGACCTCGACCACGCTCGGCCCACCTGCGCACAAGAAGCGCAAGAAGGAGCAGGTCGCCGACCTCGTCTCGCGCCTCAACCCGGACGTCCTCCCCTCGACTGCCGCACCTCCTCCTCCCGCCGCCGTCGACACGCCGCCCAGCTCGTCCGCCCCGACCCCTGCACCCCCTCCTCCTTCCTCTCGATCTCGCCCCCGCAACCCCGACGACCCGCTCGAGTCGCTGTGGTGGGACGTCGTCGGGCCCTGCACGACCTCGTCGTCGCTCCTCTTCTCGGGCTCGGCGCCGCCACCGCCGCCGCCCGAGACCAACGGCCTCAACGGCCACTCGACCTCGGCGTCGTCCTCGTCGGAGCGCGCAGCGCCACCTGCACCGCCTGCGCCACCCGCACTCGCGGCGGGCATGCCGCACGCGCCCTGGGTCGGCTACTGCGCGACGCCACGCACGTCGGCCGTCGGGCTGTCGGCGAGCGGCGCGCGCCTCGGCGCGCAGAAGGGCAAGGGCAAGGCGCGGGCCGACGATGCGCCGGCGGCGCCGAGGGGCAAGAAGCGCGCTGCGCGTGCGGCGGGAGGAGCGGGGGAGCGTGGAGGTGCGCCCAAGGCGGACGGGCTCGCGGTGCGCATGAGGAGGAACTGCGAGACGCTGCGGATGATCAGGAGGGTCGGCGACACGCTCGCGCGCGAGAGCACGGCGGGCGAGATGGAGAGCCCGTACGTGTCGGCGTCCGAGGGCGACGACAACGAGGAGGAGGCGGGTCCGGGCGAGGTGGGCGAGGGGCAGGAGCAGCGCTCGGCCAAGCGCCGCCGGGCGAGGACGGGCCTCGTCAGGGTGTCGGGCATCCCTCAGGACGCGATGCGGTGCACGGCGACGAGGGGCACGGCGGCGAGGGAGGCGATGCGGGCGGTCGGCGCGGGTCTGCTCGAGCACGCCGGGTTCGAGGGCACGAGCGGCGGCGCGCTCGACGTCCTCGGGCACCTTGCGGGCGAGTACCTGAGCAACCTCGGGCGCACGCTGCGGTTCTACGCCGACCGGTACAGCACCGACCTGAGCGAGAAGGTGCGCTCGAACCTCTCTCTCTCTCTTCTCTCCTCTCCTCTCTCGAGCCCTGAGACTGACCCGCTCTCTTACCTGCTCGCAGGACATCCTCACACGTACCCTGTCCGAGAACGGCGTCCCGTCGCCGTCGCACCTGTCGGCGCACGTCACCGAGGACGTCGACCGTTACGGCCAGCGCCTGTCGGACCTCCTCGCCAAGCTCGAGCGCACCCGCCAGGACCAGCTCGACGCCTTTTTCGCGCCGTCTGCCGCCGCCACCGACGAGCTCGAGCGCGCCGAGAAGGTGTTTGACGCCGACGAGGCGTTTGTCGACGGCGCGTGGGCGACCCGGATCGGCGAGCACTACTTTGGCGTCGCCGACCAAGGGCTCGACACCGAGCTCGCCGTGCAGAGCCTCGTCCTCCCCAAGTGGCTCCTGCGCGGCGAGCCGCGACCGCTCGACAACGAGTCGACGAGGTGCGTCGGCCTGGTCCCCTCTGCCCTCTCTCGCCTCTTCCGGAGCGTCACTGACGGCTGGACGGCTCGGACTGCTCACAGCTCGACCCTCGCCTACTCGCCACCTCCCTCGTTCGTGCCCCTCACGCCCTCGTCCATCTCTGCCCAGATCGGCCTCCTCCAGCCCTTCTACCACCTGCGCGCGTCGCACGCCTCCCTCGGCCTCACCGAGGACCCGTCCCTCTCGCCGCAGGCCCTCGCCCTCGCGCACGGCGGCGTCGCACGCGCCAAAGCCGGCGGCACGCGCCACAAGGTGCCGCCCTCGGGCCGGATCCCGTTCAAGGGCAAGAAGCGGCCAGAGGACCCGACCCTGCCCGGCGCCATCGCCGCCCTGCTCCAGGGCGCCAACGAGCCCGTCAAGAAGAAGAAGCGCAGCAAGGCGCTCGCCGTCGTCGAGGAGGTGCCGGTCGAGAGCGGGGCCGAGTGAGCAGAGGGCGCGAGGCGCGCGAGGGACTGAGCGGCGACCGAGGAGGACGCGAGAAGGCGAAAAGCAGACGCAGTGCCCCTGTTGAATACTAGAGCAGTGCTTCCAAGGAGTCCCCCTCTCGCGTTGCCCGCCGTGCGTGAGTGAGATGCGAGTGATTTGCGAGATGCGCCCGGTGTTGTCCTGCTCGAGAATGCTCCTCCCCCTCTGCCCAGACTCGTGGCCCGCTGCTTCTACAGGCCCTTGTCCCTCCTGTACTGCTCGATCTGCTCGATGCTGATCATCTTGAGCCCCCACTCGCGCGCAAACGCAAAGCAGTCGTCGCGCCGCGCCATGTCGCCGTTCGGGTCGTTGGGCTTGACGAGCTCGCAGATGACGCCTGCTGCTGGGAGGCCGGCGAGGCGGCACAGGTCTGCAGTCGACGTGAGAGAGGGTCAGCTGGTGCCAAAGAGAGAGAGAGAAGGAGAGAGAGCGAGAGGACGCACCGACCGACGCCTCGGTGTGTCCCCTCCGGACGAGCGTGCCGCCCTCGACAGCGCGCAACGGGACGAGATGCCCTGGCCGGGTAAAGTCGTCGGCCTTGGTCGACTGGTCGGCGAGCTTGCGGGCGGTTAATGCGCGGTCGTGCGCCGAGATGCCCGTCGTCGTGCCTGTGCAAGTGAGGGGTCAGGTCGTGCGGCCCAAGAAGGAGGAGAGGGGAGGACGCACCGTGCTTGTAGTCGCAGGTGACGGTGTAGGCTGTGCGGTGCTTCTCCTTGTTGTCGTCGACCATCATCTTGATGTCCAGCTCGGCGAGTCGCTCGGCGGGGAGGCAGATGCAGATGTAGCCGCTGCGAGGGGGCACGGGGGTCAGCCGTGTTGGCAAGAGAGAAGGGTTGCAGAGGGACGTACGACGAGTGCTGGATGAGCCAGGCCATCTGCTGCTGCGAGATCTTGTCGGCGGCGATGATCAAGTCGCCCTCGTTCTCGCGGTCCATGTCGTCGACGACGACGAGGAACTCGCCGTTGCGGAAGCTGGCGAGGGCATCGTCGACCGAGTCGAGCTGGACGGGCGTGCCCTGTGCCGTGACGGCCGTGGTGCGGACCGGAGCCGACGACGACGACGACGATGAGGGGGAGGCGGCGGGCATGGTTGTGGGCGGTGCGGCAAAGGCGGCGGCGGATCCGGCGAGAGCTGCAGACTGTGCGACGGCAGAGGCCATGCGTGTGCGAGTGGGTCGGTTCAAGCTGACTTGAGCCTCGAGCCGGATCAAGTGAGCCGGCGCGGCGGCGAGCGGGTTGCCTTCCTCGACCCTCCCGGCTCTCGCTCACCGCCGCCGCTTGCACGCTGCGACTGGCTGCAACAGCTGCGGCACTGCTCTCTCCCGGCACAAAGCTGCCCTCGCACCGCCAGCCGAGCGAGGCCCGCTCGCCTGCCGACCTCGGAACCTCCCCCTCGACCGCCCCCTCGCCTCGGCTTCAATCTCAGCCCATCCTGCCGCTACGGATTCGTTCTTGAGACGTCGAGCGGGACGCAACACGCAGACACTGGTCGATCAAGCAGCGGGAGCTGCATCAGAGGGCGACCCAGCCCCTTCCTTGCCCGTGTCGACCTGCCTCTCTCGCTCTGCACGCCGCCTCCCGCAGTTCAAACCCGATCGCTGTCTCTATGCACGGGACGACAGCCCTACGTGGGCCTGCCACGAGACCAGCCCTGCTCGCTCCTTCACGGCGACCGCGGGACACGCTCGGCTGGCTTGCTCGCTCGCGCGACGGCTCTCTCCTCCTCCTCCTCTTTCCTCCAGAGCCTACTCTGGTTGAACGCTACCCTCGACTCGCCGCACGTCAACCGCCGGTCCTGCACCGAGCCGTCGCCAGCTCGCTCAGCTCCACCACCTCGCGCCGTCATGGGCCAGGTCCTCTCGATCGACCAAGCCGACTACCCGGTACCTGCCGGCGCCGCCCTACAAGAGAACGCCAACTGGACGCTCACCCCGCTGTTCGTCGGCTGGGCCGGCAACGTCTTCCTGTGCGGCATCGTCGTCTCGTGGGCGGCGTCGTACTGGCCTCGCGCAAAGGGCGACAAGCCGCTCGTCAAGCTCGCGGTCGTCGTCGCCGTCCTGTTCGAGTGCCTCACGGCCATCGCCAACTTCTGGGTGCGTCCCTCGCTCTGTCTCTCTCTCTCGCTCTGGACGGGCGCGCGAACTGACCTTCCCAAATGCGCGCACAGTCGCTCGTCGACCACGGCAAGGACCAGGACCGCACCAACAGCGCCATCTCGCTCCTTAGAGGTCCCGACGCACTGTCGGTCACGCTCGGTACCGTCGTCGCCGTCGCCGTCCAGTCGTTCTTCGCGACTCGCTGCGTCCGGGTGCGTCCCCCTCTCTTTCTCTCGCTCGCGACCCCTCGCTGAGTCGACTCGTCCCTCCAGATCCTCCCGCTCAAGTGGCGGCTGCCGTTCATCGTCTGGACCTGGGGCCTCATCATCGCGTCGTTCGGCGGCGCGGTCGGCATAACCGCGATCGAGTGTGCGTCGCTCTCGAGCCTCTCCTGCCTTCTGCCCCGTCACTGATTCTTTCCTCCTCCTCGAGCCTTACAGTCATCAACAAGGGCGCGACAGACGTCACTCGAGGTGCTTCGCCCGACGCGTACAGCAACTTGTTCGACCTCGCGCTCGCCTGGCTCTTTTGTGGCATGGCCGCCGACGTCTCGATCTCGTACGTCCTCTCCTCGCACCCTCTCTACTCGAGCCGTCCTTGACTCTCGAGACTACAGGACCGTCCTTGTCGCACGACTGTGGACCAAGGCGCGAGCGGCGAGGACCGAGCATGGCGATCCGGACCTTGTCCCGCCTCTCGAAGCCAGCATCTGGGGGGTGCGTTCACCATCTCTCGTCGATCTTCTCAAAGCCCGCAGCCCTGACCAATCTCGCCCAACAGTTCATGCGGCTCGCGCTCGAGGCGGCCCTCGCGACGTCGATCACGTCGCTCGCCGCCGGCGTGACCTAGTGCGTCGAGCTTGTCCTCCCTCTCTCTCGCTCTCCCCGAGCCCGACTGACCCCCTCTCTCGTCTCCCCCAGCGTCACCCTCACCGCCACGACCAACGTCTCGTACGCGCCGAGCAACCTGCTGCCCGGCCTGTACGCGTGCAGCCTCCTGTGGGTCCTCAACTCGGCGCACCGGCTCGCCGACGAGATCAACCTCGCGCAGCTCAACTCGATCCAGCTCGTGTGGCAACTCGGGCCCGCGTCGTCGCACCTCCCTCCCTCGTCGTCTCCCGCCACCGCCGCCGCCGCCGCCGCTGGCGGCGCATCGCCGCTCCCCTCGTCGGCCGTGGGCGCGCTCGGGCCCTCGAACGAGCAGCGCCGCGCCGTGCCGCACGCGGTCGCCCAGGTCGTGCACGGCGTCGGGCCGGGCACGTGGGAGCTCAAGCGCGGGCTCGCGAGCGCCAAAGCGCGACAGCGCCTCGGCGAGGACGAGATCCACGTCATGAGCATCCGGAGGCGCATGTCGGGCGCCGTCGTCGAGCCGCAGCTCGCTGGGCCCGTCACGCCGCCGCCGCCGTTCAGGTGGGGGAGGGGCAGTATCGTGAGCTTGTTTGGCGGGTCGGCCGGGAGCGGGAGCGGGAACGGGTGCGGAGCAGGGAGAGGAGGAGGAGGAGCTGGGGCGAGCGGAAGCGGGCTCGAGCCCCCCTTGCAAGGGAGAGAGAGCATCGGGAGCATGTGGACGACGGGCACGTCGGCGAGCACGGCCAAGACGGGCTTTGGGACGGACGAGGCGGTCTGAGGGACGGAACTCGAGGTCGCAATGCATAGTCTGAACAACAAGATCGCGCAAGGGAGGCTACAAAGGGACGACGCTAGCCAAAGAAGACGTCGCTGCGCAAGACCCACTTGACGCCCTTGTCGACGCGACGGCTGCGGCAAGAGAGAGTGTCAAACCCTGTGACAGCGCGACGAGAGAGAGAGAAAGAGAGGACGCACCCCTCGTGCAGGGCGCAGTGCTGCCCGTGGCGGTGAAGGAGCGCTCGTCCCGACAGGAGCTCGGGCACGATCGCAGGGCCGTTGTCTCGCCTGGACGGTGCCGGGTAGAAGGCTGTCTCGCCGCCTGCGCGCGAGCGGAGAGAGAGGTCAGTGCCAGGGGTCGCGCGAAGAACGAGGAGGACGGGGAGCAGGGACGGACCGACGACGCCGTCCTCCTTGCCGGTCAGGTAGACGAGGAGCGTCCACTCGGTCGTCCAGCCCGTGTTGGGGTCGTGAACGTCGTCGTCAAAGTGCGGGCCGAAGAAGGCGCCCTCGGCGTAGCGGTAGCAGCGGATGTTGGGGTTGAGGCCTCGCGCACGCCTGCCGTTGCGGCCTTCGAGCGATGCGAGGGCGTCGGCGAGGCCAGTCTTGGTCCACAGGGCTTGAGCGAACGCGGGATCGTGGACCGAGAAGCGGTCGTTGGTGCGGGTCGCCTCGCCCCTCTTGGGTGCCGACGGACCTTGGAGGCGCAGGGTCGACAGGGTCGAGACGAAGGCGGTGCGGGTCTTGGGCGAGAAGAAGTTGTCGATCAGGACGAGGCCGTCGGCGGGAGAGTCGAGGCGGAGGGGACGAGGAGGCGAGGGCAGGGAGGGCCAGACGAGGGGCGCGGCTTCGGGTGCGGGTTGCTGTGCGGCTCCTTTGGCCTTGGCCATGCTCGACAGTGCTCTCTAGCGGTGTAGGGCGAGCGGTAGAGAGACCAACGTTGGGCGAACCTCGCCTGCTCTCCTCCTCCTTCTCCACACGCCGCGCATCAGCTCGAGCAAGCTCGCGACGCGCTGCAGCCATGTTCTCGACGCTCGCGCGAGGCTATGGCGCGCTCCAGGCGTCGACCCAGCCCCAGTCGGCGACGAGCACCATCGACCGCCTGTGCGACCGCCTCCTCAGCGGCGACGAGCGCGACGACCGCAAGGCCGCCTTGTTGGGGCTCAAGGGGCTCAGCAGGGACTGGAAGGCGGTGCGTCCCTCTCTCTCGGTGGCCTGTCGCGCGGGCACCGGGCGACGCGACTCGGACACGACGACGAGGTGGGGAGCGACGAGGGCGAGCGGGCAGCAGGGCACGCATGGACTGCATGGCAGCGCGTGTCGACTTGTACAGCTCCACAGCACCCTCGGTAGCAAGCCACTGACCCGCCCGTGACCCGCCCGCAGGAGGTCGGCTCACGCGCTCTCCCCATCCTGCTCGGCGTCCTCGAGGAGGACGCAGCCGAGGACACCGAGATGGCCAAGGCCGTCGTCGAGACGCTCAGCCTCCTGTGCGAGGTCGAAGAGCACGACGGACGTGTGCGCTCTCACCCTATCTCTCTCCTCCCTCCCCTCCCTCCTCGCATCCGGAACTGCCGCTGACTTTCTCGCACCTCGCAGCCTGTCCGCGACGACTCTGGCCTGCGCAACACCGACGTCTTCCTCGCCACGCCCTCGGCCCTCCACAACCTCCTCACCCTCCTCACGCCCTCGCACTTCTACCTCCGTTTCTTCTCGCTTCAACTTCTCGGCATCCTGCTCGCCAACCGCCCGCAGCAGGTCCAGCAGTACGTCCTCACGGCCGCAGGCGGCATCGGGCGGCTCGTCGAGACGCTCGACGACTCGCGCGAGATCATCCGCAACGGTGCGTCCCCCCGCTCGTCCCCCTTCCTCACCTTTCGGCACCTCGAGCTCACTCGTTCCTTCTTTCGCAGAGTCGCTCCTCCTCCTCATCGCCCTCACCACCCAGAACGCCGACATCCAAAAGCTTCTCGCGTTCGAGGGCGCCTTCGACAAGCTGTTCAACATCGTGCGGCAAGAAGGCGGCATCGGCAGCGGCGGCATCGTCGTGCAGGACTGCCTCGCCGCCATCGGCGGACTCTTGCGCTGGAACGTGTCGAACCAGGTCCGTCCACTCTGTCCTCTCGTGCCCCTCTCGCGCCGGCACTGACGCTGTCACGCGCGCACGCAGAACTACTTTCGCGAGACGTCGTGCATCCCGATCCTCGCGCCGCTCCTCCTGTTCCCGCGCCCGAACGCGCTCTCGGCCCAGTCGCTCGCCACCTTCGCGTTCCAGTCGTGGAGCGAGCAGAAGGTCATCAACGCCGGCCTCGTCATCTCGCTCGTGCGCATGCTCGTCGGCGGCGCAGGCGGCAGCGGCCGCAGCCAGAACCAGGACGCGCTCCTCAAGACTGGGCTCACGCGGTGCCTGATCGAGCTCGCGCTCGCGAGCAACGCGCCGGCCGTCCTCAAGTCGCAGGTGCGTCGAGCTCTACCGCCTCCTCCCCTCAGAACCGAAGCACTGACTCTTCCCTCGGTCCCACAGTCGCTCAACGCCCTCGCCGACATCATGCGCTCGTCGCCTGACAACCAGACGCTCCTCACGTCGCTCATCGTCACGCCCTTGATCCCGCCTGTCACGCCGTCGTCGCCTGAGACGTACGTCGGCGAGGACGGCATGGAGCACCCTCGCTCGTCCGTCGACCAGGACCGCGACGAGGACGACGACGAGCACGCGCAGCACCACCGCGCACCCCCGCCGACCAAGTGGCGCCGCGGCACGCCCGTGCCCGCTGTCGTCGCCGTCACGGCGCTCTCGGTCAACGGCGACGGCACGCCCGGGCGCGAGGGCCTGCGCGTGCGCGCCGCGGCCGCCAACCTGTTCACGAGCTACGTCGCCGGGTCCAACGACACGCAGCTCGGCATCCTGTCGACCATGAGCGCGCCGCAGCCCGACCACGGCGACGAGGGCGGCCAGTCGACGTCGAGCGCCGGCAGCATCATCCTGCACGCCCTGCGCGTCTTCCCCGCGCCGTCTGCCTCGAGGGGCGGCGGCGACCAGCTCGACAGCTACGTGCCGTTCTTCGCGGCGCTCCTCTTCTCGCACCTCATCTGCCACAGCGAGGTGTGCAAGGAGGCGGCGCGGCGCATCTACTTCCAGGGCGACGACACCGAGCCGGGCGGGGCGGGCGACCCGGACGAGCGCGCGAGCCTGGTCGGGATCCTCGTCGGCAACCTCATGATGGCGCAGCGCGAGCAGGCGCACAGCGTCAACGCGGGCCTCGGGCCCGAGAGGGGGCTCGAGTGGAGCAGGGTCATGGTCGGGTACCTGACGGCGCTCAGCGTGTGGCTGTGGGAGAGCCCGCACACGGTCAAGGAGTTCCTGAGCGAGGGGTCCAACCTCCAGGTCGTACGTCGCTCGTTTCGCCTCGTCCACCTCGTCGTCGTCGTCGTCGTCGTCGTTGTCGTCGTCATCGTGCGCCCGTCCTGACGGTCCTCGGACCCTTTCTCTCCTGCAGCTCATCCAGCCTATCACCCAGTCGTCGGGCGTCGACTCGATCATCCAGGGCCTGTGCACGTTCCTTCTCGGCATCTGCTACGAGTTCAACCGCGAGCCTGGACCTATCAGCCGGTCCGTCTTCCCTCTCTCTCTCCTCCCACTTCTCGCCGCCTCGAGCGCTCGCCTGACTCTTTCAACTCGATACAGCGACACGCTGCACCCGATCCTCCAGTCGCGCGTCGGGCCCGACCAGTTCGTGTCGCGCATCCTCCGCATGCGCGAGGACCCTCGGTTTCGCAACGTCGGGCCCAACGCTCTCGAGCTCATCGACGACGACGAGGCGCTCGCCGACGACCTCGGCGAGGAGGACGGCCTCTGGTTCGACTTTGCGTTCGTCGAGTTCCTCAAGACCAACTACGGTGCGCCCCACTCGTCTCTTTTCCCCTCACCTCGGCCGATCCTGACGAGCCTGTTGCTCCCCAGTCTCGGTACAGCGCGCCATCCTCGTCGACCCGCACGCGACGTCCCTCACCGGTGCGTCGAATCCTTCCTCCTTTCCCTCGTCCTGAACGCGCACTGACCCTTCTCGACGCACCGCAGGTCGCTCGATGGACGGCGTCTCGCCCGAGGTCCTCGCCGCCCTGCGCTCGTCGCTCGCGGCGCAGACCAAGGAGATCGACGAGCTGCGCGAGCACGTGCACGCGCTCGAGGCGCACCGCGAGCAGGAGCGCGCCGCCGTCGAGCACGAGTTCAACTCGCTCAACGACACGATCGTGTCGCTGCGCACGCAGCTCGCCGCGCTCCAGGACGAGAAGGACGACGACGACCGCGAGCAGGAGGACTTGCTCGTGCTCCTCGAGGAGTTGAGCGAGAAGCGCAGGAGGGACAAGCGGCGGTTGAGGAAGGCCGGGCTCGAGGTGTCCGAGGACGAGGAGGGCGCGGCAGACGGCGAGGAGGAGACCGGGAGCGAGGGCGAGCTGGAGGAGGAGCAGGCGCGGGCGCCGCAGCAGCCGCAGGAGCCGAGCGGCGCGACGAGCGCGCCCGACTTTGCGCCGGCGGTCGTCGACACGGCGCCGCTTGCAGCCTCTCCAGCCCCGCCGCCGACTACCTCGTACGACCCTGCACCCGTCCCGTCCGACTCATCGCCATCGCCAACCCCTTCCTCGCCGCCAGCCGCCGCCGAGGCCGCACCCCTTCCTCCCATCTCGCCGCCTCTCGCCGCCGCTCCCGAGCTCGCGCCCGCTCTCGCCGCCGAGCCCATCTTCCAGGACTACGAGCCGGCTCCGCAGCAGCGGCAGGACGCTGAGCCCGAGCAGCCGGAGCAGGCTGCGCCCGTCGAGAAGGAGAAGACGCCCGAGGCGCTCTCGTCCTCGGCGGCGAACGGCGTCTCGGCCGTCGAGTCGGTCGTCGCGCCCGTCGTCGCTCCTCTCGTCGAGCTCGCATCTGAGCTCGTCGACGCCGTCAAGAGCGCTCCCGAGCCTGAGCCCGCAGCCGAGCCGGCACCGGCGTCCTCCGCTCCTCCGCCCGCGAGCGCCTTCACCGCCGCACCCCCTCCTCCTCGCGCCTCGCACTTCCCGACCACGTCTGCCGCGTCTTTCAACCGCGCCCATGGCCTACCGCCCGCCGAGGCGATCGAGCCCGTCGTCGAGGTCGACGAGCGCAACCCGGGCCCTCGCGCCGGCGTCCCGCCGCCGCCGAAAGCGCTCGGCGGCGCGCGCCCGCTCGTCAACTTGCGCGCCGGCAGGGCTGCCCCGGGCTCGCCCAGGAGGGCCGGCGCCGCGCCGCAGCGGGCCAAGGTCGAGCCGATCGCCAACCCGTTCGGCCTGCCGGCTCCGCCGCAGCTCGTCGACGAGGACAAGCAGGACGGCGTCGAGGTCAAGGCCGACGACGAGGACGTAACGCTCGCGCCGCCGTCGTCGCCGCCCCCTGCGCCTGCCGCGACGGCCCAGCAGGACGTCGAGGCCGAGGAGATGGACGAGGAGGTCGTCGACCTGGCGCAGCCGCCTTTCTCGGCCCCGACCGGGAGCCCGGCCGCGCCCAATGCGCAGCAGGAGGCGCAGACGACCGGCGTGAGTGACAAGGCCGACCGCCGCACCTCGGTCGACGACCGCCTCGCCGCCGCATTCGGCGGGTCGGGCGACTCGGCCTTCTCGTACTCGCCGCCGGGCTCATTCGCGCCCGTCGCGCCCGCATCGACGTCGGACTCGAAGGACGCCTCGTCGCTGTTCGGCTCGCCGAGGTCGAACGGCGGCGGTCACGACGCGGCGTCGCTCTTCAACAGCGCCTCGAGCGCAGGTGGCGCCGCAGCCTCGTCGCTCGCCTCGCTGTTCGGCGCCGGCGCCGCCGCGACGTCGTCCAACTTTGCGTCGCTCTTCGGCGGCGGCAGCCCCAAGTCGTCGTCGCGCCACTCGCCTGCGCCCGCGCCGCCGCGGTCGGCCTTCTCGCCGCCGCCTGCTCGCGAGGAGTCGGCCTCGCCCTTCCTGCCCAACCGTGCTGCGGCAGCGTCGCCTTTCGCGCCGGCGCCTCCTCCGCCGAGGCGAGAGCAGGCCGCGTCGCCTTTTGCGCCCGCACCTCCTCCGCCCAGGCGGGAGCAAGCCGCCTCGCCCTTTCCTCCTGCGCCGCCGCCGCCCAAGCGCGAGCAGGCTTCCTCCCCTTTCACCCCTGCTCCTCTACCGCCGAGGCGCGAGGCTGCGGCATCGCCGTTCGCCCCTGCCCGTCAAGGCGCGGCCTCGCCGTTCCCCGCAAACGCGCTCGCGCCTCCTCCTCCCGCCTCCTCTCTCGCCGCCGTACCCGCCTCAGCGCCCACGCCTGCGCCCGAAGCATCACTCGCGCCTGCGCATGTACCTGCGCCGGCACCCGCACCCGCACCGGCGCCGCCTCGGCAGAACGCCCCGTCCCCCTTCGCCACGTCATCATCGTCGCAGCCGGCGAGGGACACCTCGTCGCTCTTCGGCGGCCCGCCGTCGAAGCAGGACGCCATGGCCTTCTTCGCCGCGCCGCACCAGCAGCAGCACGCGGCGAGCGCAGCCGGTCAGGGCGCCCCGTCGTCGTCGTCGTCGTCGGCAGTGTCGTCGGCAGTGTCGTCGGCGCCGTTCGGCCTGCGCCCTGCTCCGGCGGGCACGTCGCCGTTCGGCGGGAGCAGCACGAGCGTCGGGAGCGGGGCCGACGAGGCGAACTCGCCGTTCGGACCGCCGGCGCAGCAGCAGAGGAGGGACGAGCCGCATGCGTTCGCGGCGAGGGACGTGTCGTCGCTCTTTGGCTAGAGCTGCGGGGGTCTGTCTGCAAGGGAGCCTTCCGGTCATGATACGAGGGACGCTGAGAGCTCTTTGCGCGACTGGGTGAAACAGCGAGAGAAAGTTCCTGGCGCACCCTTGAGGGCGACGTCTCGCCGACCTTCTCAAGTTGCAGCGAGACTGAGCAGAGCTCGCCAGCGCTCTCGCGGATCTCGCGTATTGATCTTTCGTGTCGTTTGGGCACAGACTCGAATTGCCACTGCAAAAAGTGACGCGAAGCTACGGCGAGAGAGAAAAAAAGAAGGGGAACGAGACAGCGCGTCGTCGAGGTGGTACAGGACACAGACAGAGGAAGACGTCGACGCAGAGGCGCAATGGGTCGAAGAGAGGACGTAGATAGAGGCGGGAAGGGCGAGAGTGGGAGAGGAAGAAGGAGAAGAGGGGAAGGAAAGGGAAAAAGGCGACGAGCCGGCTCGCCGCCTTGACGCGACGACGGTCAGCCCGTCGACCGACGGCTGAGGCTAGGCGACGAAGCCCTCGGCCGCGGCGGCGGCGGTGCAGCGAGGCGCGGCGACTTGACGCCGACGATGGTCGAGCTCCTGCGCCGAAGCGCACTCGTCGCGCGCTCGAGCCTCGTCTCGACCGGCTGCGGCGCCTCCCACCGGACCGGGCTCGGCGCACGTCGTGGAGCAGACGTCGACGTCGTCGAGAAGGTCGATGGCTGTGGGCGGGAAGGAGCGCACGCCAATGGTGGCGGCGAAGGAGGAGGAGAAGGGGCACGTGCGGACGACGCCGTCAGATAGGCGATCGACATGCGGTTCGTCGAGGCGGCGAGCTTGGACATACGACGAGCGAGAGGGTCGACGTCGCGCTCGGGCTCGAAGGGCGGTGCAGGGCGGACGAGGCCCGAGGGCAGCATCGACGCCTTGTAGAAGAGCGACGGCGCCTCCTTTTCGGGCGAGACGTCGACCGACATGCGGTCGCGCGACGAGGTCGAGGTGATGACGCTCTTTGCGGAAGTAGGCGCCGGTGAGGGCGTGCGGCCGAACGAGAAGGTCGAGGCTGGGCCGACGCCGCCGGCAGGAAGCATGTAGCTCGACGAGGGCGGGAGCCCCGAGCCGCCGCTCGCGCCGACGTTCGACGGGAAGTACGACTCCTCGCCCGAACCGGACCGACGCCCTCGAGGCGCCGAGGCTGGAGGCGAGCAGGGCGCGATCGACGAGCGGTACTGGGTGAGGGTGGTCGATGGTGCAGACGCTGTGAAAGACGGATCGGGTAAGGCTCGAACAGATCGAGGAGATAAAGATGAGAGAGTGGGTGACGCACAGCGACGAAAGTCGACGAGGACGCCAAGAGCCGTCCTCTCGAGCTTGGTCGAGCCCTTGCGGGACGTTGCCGACGGTGCTGACGACGAGGAAGCCGACGGCCGGTCCATGACCTGCCCACCCTCGGTCGTCTGCGAGGAGCTCGACTCTTTGCGCGTCTTGGGCTGGCGAGGCACCGCCGGCCGGCACCGAGTACGCTCCTGGGTGACGAGGATGCGCTCCCTCGTCCCGCTCGGCAGACGATGCTGGTCCTTCTGCGAGAGGGTGGTCGTACACCGATGTCAGTACATGCATTCTCGAGCGAGAAGAGTCGAGACGAGGCGAGGAGAGGCAAAGAGGGCGACGCACCTTGAAGCGCTCGAGCCCAATCGCCTCCAGCTCACGCTCGATCTCCTCAACCGTGCTGAGCCTCGGCGCACCTCGCGCCTCCTGGTCCTTGAGCCGCTTGGCGTAGGCGATCCCGCAGCCGTTGCACAGGCTGCGCAACCCGGCGGGGCCCCTGCGCCACTCGGGCGTGTCGGTGGCGCCGCAGACGGCGCACATGTCGGGCATGGCCGGCACAACGTGAGGCCCGAGGTTGGCGAGATTGTACTGGGGCGCAGAGGTCGGCGAGACGAGGGGCGTCGTCGACAGGAAGGCGGACGACCGGCGAGTCGAGGCGGACACGTGGCCCTCGTAGACGGCGTCGGCGACGCGAGGAGCGCTCGAGAACGCCCTGGGCGAGGCGGTGTCGCACGACGTGTACTGTCCGAGGGACGAAGAAGGCGAGACGAGAGGGACGAAGGACACAGGGAGGGCTCGAGAAGACGAGGAAGGGTGGGACAGAGAGGAAGGGCGGATCCGGGGCTGAGGCCGACTGGCAGACAGGGCTGATTGACCGCCTGGCTGATGAAGAGGAAGACGATCGCCTTGAGAGAGAATGCCGAACGACTGGTGCGACGCCTGTGACGGGAGAAGGCGAGAGGAGGAGATCCGGATGGACGAGGACAAGGGGGAGGGAGATCGGCTCAAGTCAGTGAGGCGTCGACGGCATGCCTCGCTCAACGTCGTCGACGCTCTTGATTGAGCGGGCTCGACGGGAACGAGGCCATTGTCGACGAGGGAAAGGAGGAAGAGAGGGGACGCACCTTGGGCAGCTGGTAGACGGCGACTGGCGCACTCGTTGACAACGAACGACCTTGCGACGGCATAGTGACGACCTGCGGCGGTATAGCGCCGATCAGGACCTCGCCTCGACCGCCGGACGAGCGGCGACGGCTGGCGTCGTCGAACCCTCCTTCCGGCGCACGGACCCCTTGACCTCCTCCCGCTCTCGCGCCTGGACCGACAAGGTTGCGAGTCGAGGCCCACGCCGACGACGGTAGAGCCGGCGTGACGAGTTGCGAGACGACCCTGGCGGGCGAGGGCGGACGGCGAGAGACCTGGAGCGGCCTCGAGCTGGCCGGCGAAGGAGCGCTGGACATGGTGGCGCTGTCGAGAAGAGCGACGGCTCGCAGTTCGACTGCGTCAAGCTCTTCTGCGTGGCTGCGAGTCATCAGTTGTCTGCTGGAAAGAGCGAGACGCTCGCCGCGTATCAGGAGGAAAGGCCGTCGCAAGGGCGAGGAGAGGGAGGAGGAGGCGAGGACGCACAGGCGGTAGAACCAGTCCGACCAAGATCGCGGCTTGCTCGAGGTCGTGCGCAGAGACTGGCAAGAAGCGAGCGGGAGAGCGCGAGGAGGAGCAAGAGGCGAGCGTCGAGCATCAAACCGTGGAAAAGCGGAGCCCGGCGGGACGGACGAGATGCGCGGACAGGAGCGTCGCGGCGACGGCGTCCGAGATCGTCTCAGGAGACACTAGCGACCCGGAGCCGGCCGGGAAGTGCGACAGCGAGAGCGTCGCAGAAGCTGAAGCCGCCCTCGCCTCCTCCCTCGCGCGCGAGGCTCACTGCCGCCATTTGCTCCCGCCTGCCCCTCACCTTCGACACGCTTCGAGAGACAGAACGAGTGAGCCCTCGTCAAAGGAGGACGAGCGGCCGCCGGGCTTTCCGCGGACCTTCTCGAGGACGAACGGCGCACAAACCGCTTGTTGCAGGTTCTCAAAGAGCTGCGCGAGGGGTCAAACAAGTGTCAGGGCGGCGAGAGAGAGAGAGAGAGAGATGAAGGAAGGAGAGAGTGGACGCACCGTCTCCCGCATGAGCATCGTCGTCCTCGAGCATGGCGTCCACCGCCCCGAGCAACTCGCCCTCGCCGCCGTACTCCTCGCCGCCGTCGCCCTCGGTCGCCTCGTCCACCGCAAACTGCGGCCGCTGCATCGCCGCCTGGGCGAGCGCCTGCACGTCAATGTCGCCTGCGGCCGTCGAGCTGCGCGCGTCCGACCACGGGTTGTCCTCCGCCGGCGCGTACGACGCCGTCGAGCTCGAGCTCGGGTACGCCGGCATGCGCATGGCGGCTGCCGAGAGCGGGTTGATCGGCTCGGCGGCGGCGAGGGACGAGGTGGTACCGGAAGTCGCAGGAGGAGGCTTGGCGCGCGAGGTCGAGGTCGAGAAGAGCGAGTCGCGCGCAGTCGGCTCGATGGCGGCGGCGGCGGCATCGAGCTTGCCGATACTCGGACCTGCAGACGTATTATCCGTCAGGTCCGTGTCGCAGGAGGAGGAGGCGTCGAAAGAGAGAGAGAGAAGCGACGAGGACGCACGCTGTTCCACCGTCTGGATGTCGAGGCGCTTGCCGACCTCGTCGGCGAGCCGGTTGAAGCGCTCCTGCGAGACGAAAGGGTGATGTGAGTCTACATCCTTTCGGCAAAGGAAGAAGGAAGAGCGACACGCTCTGCCGCCTTCCAGAGGCCGAGGACGAGGCGGACGCACCTTGTTCTCGTCCGTCACGACGGCGCTCACGATGCCCCTCAGCCACCCGCCGGCGATCGTCTGCGGCTTGGGCTTCTCCTCGGGGACGAGGACCTCGAGGCGCCAGCTCTTGGTCAGGTCCGAGTCGAAAAAGTCCTCGAGGAGCGCGTCGGCGAGGATGCACATGCGGAACGTCGCGAGCGACAGGAAGGGGCGGTGCTCCTCGTCGACGGCGGTGGCGGCGGTCGAGGCGTCGGTCGAGGTGGAAGAGCCGAGTGCAGGTGACGAGGAGGAGGAAGAAGAGGTAGGCGGAGGAAGGGAGGACGGGTCGGGCTTGGTGCTCTCGGCGAACTCGAACAGGTTCTGGAGGAGGTTCGACACCGAGCCGAGGTAGCGGTCGCCGGGCTCGTTGCGGAAAATGTACTGTGCGCGACGAGGGACGAGTCAGTGCTGCGCCGAGTCGAGGCGCCGAGAGGAGGAAGAAAGGGGACGCACGAGGAGCGCCTCGGACACCTGCAGGATCTCGTCCTTGGTGAGGTACCCGTCGCCGTCCGAGTCGTAGATGGCGAACACCCACGCGACGTTCTGCATGAGGTCGTTGAAGAGGACGCCGTCGAGCCCGTGGACGATGTTCTGCGTCCGCCAACAAGGTGTCAGGAGCGCGCTCACGAGAGCGAGACGTGCCGCAACGGCCGTGAAAGTTGGGACGCACCTGGAACGAGAGCGCTCCTTTGCCCTCGACGTCCCACTTGGCAAAGACGCGGTCGATGACGGCGTGCTCGACCGGGACCCGCTCGACGTGCGCGATGAGGCCGTTGCGCACCACCTTCTCGTCCCTCGCCCACGTCGCCACGTCGCCCATGAAGCCGCCGAACGCCTGGCGGTCGATGCGGTCCTCGGGCCGAGGGTCTTCGCGCGGCGGCCGCCCGTCGGCGTCGAGCGTCAAGAGGCTCGGGTCCGAGGCGCGCGACGAGAGCGACGTCGGCGACGGCGCGTTGAGCGTGTTAACCGACGAGGCCCGGCTGCGCGACGTCGACCTCGCGGCAGCGATGGCGGCTTCTCGCTCGGCGTCCTTCATGCGCAGGACGGCGAGCTGAAAGTGGTCGTACGCGAGGCCGAGCTGCGCCTTGTCGAGCCGGCCGGTCGACGACAGGTTGCGGATGGCGGTGCGCTTGGCGAACGTCTCGATCGAGACGAGCACCTCGGAGCGGAAGCGCTTGCGCTCCGAGGCGATCGTGTCGTCCGTGATGACCGAGAACTCGCGAAAGGCGACGACGACTGCGGGACGACGAGCCCCCTGTGTCAGTCTGCTGCCTCTTGTGCACGAGGAGAATGTCGAGAGGGGGAAAGAGAGGCGCACAGAGCTCCTGGAACTTGGTGATCTGCCGCGTCTTGGGGTCGTGCGCGTTCGGGTGCGCCGAATCGCCGAGCGTGGCAAAGTACGCCTTGAGGACGCTGTGAGAGGTGGGCAGGGACGAAGGTGAGCTGTGTCGGGTGACGAGGGAGTAAAGAGAAGGGCAGACGCACTTGATGAAGGCGCCGTCGTCGGTCGTCTCGAGCAGCTCGGGGCTGTTGAGCTTGAGGATGGCGAGCCTGCGCGGTCGAGAGGCGAGTCAGTACCTCGCGATAGGGACGAGGGACGCAGAGAGGCGACGCACCCGACCTGGAAGAGCACCTTTGGGCCCATGAGGAAGAAGCAGTCGATGATCCTGCGCGCGCTCGCACCCCTTCGTCAGTACCGCGACGAGATCCTCGAGGTCGCGCACAGGCGAGAGGAGGGACGCACCTGAACGCAAAGACCATGGGCATGCTCGAGATGTACAGCGACAGGAACCAGGGCAAGCTCGCGACGCTGAGCTGGATGTCGTTGGCGGCAAAGTGGTCGTGGAGGAACGGGAGGCACCGCTGGACGAGGTGCTCGAACACGCGCTGATCGAGGACGGTGCCGTACATCGACGGGCTGCATGCGGGTGCGAGAGCGAGGGGAACAAGTCAGATCGAGAGAACGGGGCGACCGAGGAGAGGACGACGCGGCGCACCTGTAGTAACCAGGCAGGAGCCGGTCGCACAGGACCGTGAGGCACCAGAAGCACTGCTCCTCGGACATGTAGATGAGGAAAGACGCCGTGACGAGGTTCATGGCCTGCGAGAGGGCGAGAGACGAGGGTCAGGGACTGCTCGACAGGACGAGAGAGGAAGAGCGGCGCGAAGAGAGAGCTTGGGCGCACCTGGCAGTAGCCGAGTGCAGGGTTGCTCCACGAGTAGGCCGTCAAGACGCGCCGCATCGTGTCGATGCCCTTCTCGTCCTGGTAGGCCGGGTACTCGGGAAGGCTGAGAAGGGGTTCGAGTCAGTCCTCGTCGGCGTCGGCGTCGCAGAGGCGGAAGAGGAGGTGAAGGAGGGAGAGAGAATGCGTGGACGCACGAGCGGTGTAAGTCCTTCTCGATGTCGTCGGTGCTTGACGACCTCCTCCCCTCGTGGTCGCGCAGGATCTGAGCGTAACGACCCGGGTTGCCGAGCCGCAGGAACATGCTGCCGCACGTGAGCTCCCAGATCTCGCCTCGGAGGCGGTTGGGCAGGCCGACGAGGACGAGGCGCGTGAAGGACGGGTACCGGATCAAGGTCAGGTTGCGGCCGTACTCTGCGGCGAGTCCGGCGAGGTCAGTGCACATTCCAGACCGCCTCTCGAGGCGAGTGAGAAAATGAGAGAAGGTGACGCACGGGTGAGGAAGGAGCGCCAGAGCTTCATCTTGCTCCGCTCGCGCAGCTTGCGCGGGTCGCCAGGGAACTTGAAGATCATGCCGCTGCGGGTCGAGTCGTCGCCGAGTCAGTCCTCATGCCTCGGCGCCATGCCCTTGGACGAGCCTCGAGGGACGAGGTAGAGAGAAGGAGGGACGCACAGGCCTGCGTGGAATTTGCCGCCCTCGGTCCCCCACTCGGTCGTCCACGGCTCGTGCGACGTGTCGACCTCCTTGCCCTTGCCCTTGTTGTCGGCCGTCGCGCTCTCGTCGAACGAGATGAGCTCGCCAACAGGTGCCACGCCGGGCGTCGTCGCCGGCGTCGTCGCGTCGCCGTCCCGGTCGCGGTCGCGCTCGCGGTCGAGGTTGCGGTCGGGCGACAGGAACCACTCGGAGAAGAAGGTCTGCGCGAACGGCTTGAGCGCCTTCATGAGGGGCAGCGAGGCCTTGAGGCGCACGCGTAACTGGGCGCAGAACTGGTCGTTGGTCGGCCGGAGCGAGTTGAGCTGGAGGATCTGTGTGCGCCGGCCCTCTCGCGTCGTCAGTCGGCCATCGCTTGCGAGGTGTGAGGGAGGGATAGGGACGCACGATGCGGAGGCCGTGGAAGAGCGTCAGGCCGAGCGCGAACGCGCCTGGCGCGGTCCCCTCTTGACCTGGGGCGAGCTTCTCGACCCGGCGGATGGTCGCGAGCGGCAACGTGAGGCGGCATGATCGGCGGTCGAGGGACGTGAAAGTGAGGAACGAGGTCGAGAGGTAGAGCTTGCCCGTCTGTCGAGGGGAACCGGTCAGTCGCTCCATCAAGGTGTCGGCGGGAAAGGGAACGAGAGGAGGGACGCACGTAGGCATCCTCGCTACCGGCCATGGCGAGGACCGCGTGCACCTCGCCGATCGGTTCCTCGTCATCTGGCAGGCCGAACGCCTCGCGGAAGAGATCCTGCGGGCGAGGAGAGGACGGCCGAGTGAGTTGGGCTGGGCGCGGGAAGTCGACGCTCGAGAGAGGCGAGGGGAGAACGCACCTCCTTGGTCGGGTCCCGCCAGTATGCCCTGGCCTGGTGACGTCGCAGGCTCGTCATGGCGACCCGTGTTGAGCGAGAGGAGCGGGCGATGAGATGAGAAGGGTCGACGAGGTGGGGGTGCTTGAGGAGCGAGGCGACGGCGCGGCGACGAGGCGAGTCTGGTCGGGCTAGCTCTGATACGGTGGTCGCGTGCGCTGCGCGAGTCGAACGGCGCCGTGGTGCTGAGCTGTCGGCGAGCGAGCGGGTCGTGGTCGGGTTCGTCTTCTGACTCTCTCGCAGCGCAGCCGTAAAGGTCTCGCTCGCTCGGCCCTCGCTTGCAGGACACGACTCTCTGTGCGCTCTACAAGAGAGCGACCGCAGAACGCAGTGGGGGAGAATGCGGCGATACACTGCGGGCCGCCCTCCTCGGCCGGTCGACGCTCCTCTACTCGCCCTTGACCGGCACGTCCTTGGCCGTGACGTCCGTCTCACCCTGCTCCTGCGCCTCCTTGAGCTCCTTGGCCGCCTCGACGACCGGCGACGGCTCCTCCCCTGCCGCGCTCGCACCCTCGACCTCGCCCTCGCCCTCGCCGCTCGCCGCCTCGGCGTCGTCGATGTCGGCGCGCAGCTCGTCCTCGAGCTCCTTGGCAACGCGCTCGATCTGGGCCGCGTCCCCCTCGGCGCCGAGCTCGCCCGCGGCGGCCGCGTTCTGCTGCGCGAGCGCGTGCGCCTCGGCCTCCTTCTCCGAGACGAGGTCCTTGCCCCACCCGACCTCGCGGTAGGTAAACACCTGCGCCTTCATGCCGACGCCGCCGAGCGCCTCCTTGCGCAGGTAGGCGAGCCACGCCTGGACGACGGCGTCGTTGCCGTCCCACACCTTGATGCAGCGCTTGTGCTCCTTGCGCCAAAAGTTCTGCTGCGACTTCTTGTGCGCGAACGGCGAGCGCGGGACCGTGTACAGGCTCGTGCGGGTCGGGAGCGCGACGGCGCCCGAGGTCGGGAGGCCGAGCGCGCGGGCGGCGCGCAAGGCGAACTGGGTGAAGAACTGGAGGTCGGGCACCGAGTCGGTGTAGGAGCGCAGGTGGAGGGTCGCGACGTGGACGCCGTGCGTCTGCGGGAGCGGCACGTGGTGGCCAAAGACGGGCGACGGGTCGGTGCCGGTCGGGGTCGAGAGGGCGGAGGAGGAGGCGGAGGGGGACGAGGTCGAGGGAGGAGAGGGGCCGCGAGAGGGCTGCGAGGCGACTCTGTGTCGGGTGCAGAGAGGTCAGCGTGACTTTTCCAGGGCTGGCAGAGGCTGGGAGAGGGACGTACGGTGCAGGCGAGGTGCGCGATGAGGACCGGGGCGGAGGAGGAGCGCTCGACGTGCTCGCGGCTGGCTGGGCGGCAGTCGACGCTGCTCGGAGTGACCTTTGCGGGAGCGCGATGCGTGCTGCTGCCTGGCGAAGGCTCATCGTGGGCAAGCGGTGGTGGTGGACGGACCGAGGCGATTCTGGCCTTGCCTCTGCGCCTCGTCCAATACGGCCGGCCTTGCTTTCGCCCCGCCTATTCGCCCAATACAAACTCGCGCCCTATTCTCGCCTTAGCCACGGCCCTCGACCTCCGGACCTCCCCACTCTCGCCTCGCTCCCTCGTCGACCACACCTCGCCCGACCTCTCTGTGGCCTCGTCGACGTCGACACACACGCCACACCTCGACCTCACGCCGCACAGCCCACACCACCAGCCGCCCTCGACCACACCGACCCTTGTTTCCCCTCGCTCAACAATGCCCCCGACCGCCCTCAGCGGCTCGACCCAGCACTACCGCGCGTACGGCAAGCGCAAGACCAACGTCATCAACCGCCGTCAGCCCCTCGGCGCGTGGAACGCGAGCCCAGTCGCTGCGCCCGCGGCCGACGGCACCACCTCCTCGAGCGACGACTCGGAGACGACGACCGACGACAGCTCGAGCGACGACGACGACGAGCCCAGGGTCACGCTCGCCACCCGTACCGAGGCTGCACCCTGTCGGCGCAAACCGGCCAAGCAGCCCGCTTTCGCCGTCGTCGTCGAGTCGCGCCGGTCCTCGAGCACGCGACCTCCTCCCGGCGCGCGCACCACGGCCAGCACGAGCGCGAGCAAGGAGAACGGCCCTGCAGCTGTTTGGACGAGCTCGGTGTCGGGCAAGGTCCAGGGTAAGGCCGTCGAGCTGGTCAAGGGCGGCGCGACGAGCGGCGACGAGGCGGCGAGGCGCAGCCCGCTCGGCGGCGCCAGCAGCAGCAGCAGCAGTCGGCGTCGGCCCGCGCAGAGCGGCAAGAAGGCGGTGTACGGCGCGCGGCGGGCGAGGGCGACGGTCGTCTTGAGCAGCGGCTCGTCGTCCGAGGAGGAGGAGCGGCTCCCGACGCCGCCGGGTGTGCGGCGCACGCCCGTCGTCGTCCAGAGCAGCGGGTCGGCCACGTCGTCGCCGCTCACCTCGCTCCAGGCGACGCCCCAGGCCGTCGTCGTCTTGTCGGACGAGGAGAGCGAGGGCGAGGACGAGCTCGTCGACGACCGTGCGGCGCTCGTGCTCGAGGACGAGGCGTCCTCGTTGAGCGTCGCCGAGTCGAGCGACGCAAACGACCTTGTCGTCGTCGACTCGGCGTCGTCTCGCGCCGCGCCCAGGTCGGCCGGCCGCTTCCCTCCCCAGCTCGCCTCCCTCCGATCCTCCCTCCTCTCCCCCAACCTCTTCTCCTTCTCGTCCTTCGTCGCCTCTCCTCCTGCACCCTTCTCCGCCACCCGACCCGCTACCGCCGCACCCTGGCGCAAGATCGGCGAGGCGTCCTACTCGGAGGTGTTCGCCACGACCGACGACGCCGGGCGCGACATGGTCGTCAAGATCATCCCTGTCGCGGCGCCGAGCCGCAGCCGCACGGGCACCCGAGGCGGCAGCGCGCTGAGGAGCGACGTCCCGCTGCCGTTCGTCAGCTCGTGCGACGCGGTGCGGCGCGAGATCGAGGTGAGCGGCGTGCTCGGCGGGCGGGAGGGCGGCATCGACGGGTTCGTGCGCTTCAGAGGGTGCGTCGCTCTGTTCCTCTGCATCCTCGATGTCCTCAGTATCGTCGCACTCACTCGACCCATGGCGACCGCAGGGCTTTCCTCGTCCAGGGCTCGTACCCCGACGAGCTCCTCTCGGCGTGGGACGACTTCAAGCGCGCTCAAGGGCCCGCCTGCGACGAGCAGGTCCGACCCGGTGCGTCTCTCTCACTCTTTCCTTCGGCTCTACTCGATCCGTCGCCCTGACCATTCCTCGCCCCGCCGCAGACGTCCTTCCCGAGACGCAGCTCTTTGCGCTCCTCCTCCTCGACAATGCGGGCAGTGCGCTCGAGACGTTCAAGCTCAAGAGCTGGGTCGAAGCGGCAGGTGTGCTCGGGCAGGTCGTCGAGGCGCTCGGCAAGGCAGAGGAGGAATGCGGGTTCGAGGTGCGCCCCTCGCAGCCTTTCTCTCGATCGGTGCCGTCCTTCTGTCGACGTACTGACCCTCTTCCGCCTCGGGGCCGCACAGCATCGCGACCTTCACTGGGGCAACATCCTCCTGCAGAGCGTCGCAGCACGTCGCGCACCGGCCTCCTCTCTCTCGCACCGCCTCGCCTCCCTCTCGCTGGGCCAACCCTCCTCGCCTGCCCTCTCCCCGCTCGCCCTCCTCGACCCTACCTCCTGCGGCGTGCGCGCGACCCTGATCGATTTTACCCTCTCGCGCTGCTGCGTCTCGACCTCGGCCGACGCCGACCAGGTCGTGTTCGACCCGTTCGAGGACGACGACCTGTTCGAGGGCGAGGGCGAGTACCAGTTCGAGGTGTACCGGCGCATGAGGGCGCTCGTCGAGCGTGCGCAGGGTGAGCAGGGCGACAAGGCGTGGCGGGCGAGCGAGCCGAGGACGAACGTGCTCGTGCGTCCCTCTTCCTCTCTTATCGTTCTCTCTCGGCATGAGCGACTCGACTCACGACACGGCGCCCTTTCCTCGACCTCGCAGTGGCTGCACTACCTCGTCGACAAGCTCCTCCACTCGTCCCGCCTCCGCCTTCCTCCTCCACCTCCCCCTTCCCCCTCTTCCGCCACCCCGAGCTCGCCCCACCGCCAGTCCGGCCCCGCCGCCTCGCCCCGCCGCGCCCCACTCGCCCACCGCCCCGTCACGCGCCGCACCTCGACCGCGTTCGCCCCGTCCTTGTCCTCGCCCGCGCGCGCTCGCGCCCGCGCCAGCGTCGGCGGCGGCGTGGGCCGTCCCGCCGCGTTCGGCTCGCCGCTCAAGCCTCGCGCACGCACGCTCCCGACGCCTACAACGGCGAGCGCGCGAGCTGCGGCGGCGACTGAGGCGCGCGAGCGGGCGGCGCACGACGCGCTCGTGAGGGCCGAGCGGGCGCTCGAGGCGGCGGTCGAGGGGTGGGGGCTTGGGAGCGGGACGGGGACGGGCGGGCGAGGTGCGGCAAAGGGGAGGGGCAGGGCGAGGAAGGTCGTCAAGGTTCCGGCGGGGCGCGACGCTGGGCTGGCGTTCGCGAGCGCGGGCGAGTTTGCGAGGTGGTGGTTCGGCGGGTTCTGAGTACAGCGGTAGCGAGGAGGGATACCCTGCATCGTTGAGATACGTCGAGCAGCTTTCTCTTTTTCTCGAGCGGGGCCGAGCGAGCCACGGAAGAGCCGCTCTGCACGAGAAGAGAGGAAAGGGCCGGGAAAGAAAGTCTAGTGCTGGTTACAGGTCCCGCTGCGCGCTCGCCTCGCCTGCCCCGTCCCTCAGCCCACGCGCGCAATGACCTCGCCGCCGAGTCCCCTGCGGACGGCCTCGCGCCCCTCGACGTAGCCCTCGTTGCTCGCGATGAGGGCCACCTCGCCGAGGCCGAGGCCGGGGACGAACTTGACGCGGCTGCCCTTGACGAACCGGCGCACCTCGTCCGAGTCCATGAAGACGCGCCGACTCGGGTGGCTCACGAGGCGCATCTTGTCGAGGACGGGGCGGTCGTTGCGGTACTTGAGTTCGGCCCACACGCGGCGGTCGCTCAGGCGCGCGGTCGCGAACGAGGCCGGGTTCGGGGGCACGGCGGCCGAGGTCGAGGTCGAGCCGTACGAGACGGCCGAGACGAAGCCGTGCGAGAGGAGGAGCGACAGGAGCGACAGGTGCTGCTTGGTCGGCGCGAGGGGCACCCAGCGGTGCCGTGCGAGCGACGCGTTGGTGAGGCGGGCGCAGAGCTCGTGCGGGAGCATGGTGGTGTCGACTTGTGCGGGTCTTGGCCTCGCTCGGAGGAGAGGGCGAGGTGGAGGGAGGTCGGAAGGCGAGAGGGAGATGAAGGAGGAGAGCTGCGATGGCAAAAGGGCGGGTCAGCTCCGGGCAAGCGGGCAGGGGCTCGAGGCAGCGGCAAGAGACTCACTGGGTGTGCTCGTGGCTGTCTCGAGGCTGCCGGTGGTGCGAGTGCGGTGCGGTGGAGAGCAAGTCGAGCGGTCTCTTCTGTTCCGACTCTTTGCTCCACCGCATCCGCTTGTGCTCGATCCAAGCCGGTCAGAGAGACCGTCAGCCACATCCAGCAACCCTACACGCTCCACCTGCGCCGCAATCACCTCGCCTCGACGTGTCCTCGCACCCGTCCTCCTCCTCATCTCTCATCACCAACCGACAACCTCCGGCGACCCGTGACAGCACTTGAAGGCGCACACGCTCGACCAAGACCTACGTCAACCTGTACTAGCCGCGGTGCGTCCCCTCCTTCACCTCTCGCGGCGACTCGGCCTCGTGGCTGCCTCGCGCAGCTCCCCTCGGCGGAGCTGGTGCAGGCAGCCTCGAGTCTCGGCGTGACACGGTCGGAGAAAGGCAACGCGCTGACTCACACAGTGTACTCCCGCAGCTCGCCGCCGACACCCTCCTTCCGCCTGCCCCTCGCTTCACTCGCCCCTCTCCTCGTCATGTCGGCCCAGAAGCGCGTCCGCGGCGTCACCGTCGCCCGCTCCATCATCTACGGCAACTCGACCGTCCTCCTCACCGAGGAGGAGCGCGCCGGCACCGACCACACGCACCGCTGGACCGTCGGCGTCCGCAGCGCCGCGGCGCCCGCCTTCCCGAACCCGCACCCGTCGCAGCAGATTGGCGGCGCAGACGACCTCAGGTGCGTCCTGTACTCTACCTCGACGTCCGTCGAGCGACACTGACTGACTCTTGCCCTCCTCCTCGCGACAGCTACATGATCAAGAAGGTGACGTTCAAGCTCTACGAGACGTACAAGAACCCGTTGCGCTGTGCGTCCCCTCTCCTTCCTCCTTTCCTGTCGATTCGTAGCTCTCGAACCGGACGAGCAGACCATCTGACCCTCGCATGACCCTGCAGCGATCGAGCAGCCGCCGTTCGAGGTGACCGAGACGGGCTGGGGCGAGTTCGACATCATCATCAAGATCTTCTTCGTGCCCGAGGCCAATGAGAAGCCGCTCACGTTCAGCCACCACCTCAAGCTTCACCCGTGGCCGGTCGACCCGATCCTGTACGCCCAGCCGACCGCGACCGGCGAGCCGGGCATGCCCGTCCCCGCCGAGGGCGAGGCGCCCCTCCCCGCGCCCGTCCTGAGTCCCGTCCACTCGTGGCAGTACGAGGAGCTCGTCTTTACCGAGCCGACCGAGTCGTTCTACGCGACCCTGCTCGAGCACGCGCCGACGCCGCTCCCGCCGACCAACCGCCACGCGCGCCTCCTCACGCACCCGTTGAGCGCAGGCGGCAACATTGGCGAGTTCTCGCTCGAGATGGAGACGGACGAGGGCAAGCGCATCGACAAGGCGAGGGACAAGACGGTCGAGCAGATCGAGGAGATGCGGCGGCAGCTCGTCGCATTCGAGCAGGAGCTCGGAGGTGCGTCGGCTCGTTTCCCTCGTCATCTCTCGCCGAGTGCGCTCTCTCGAGTGGACCCTGTGACTGATCGTCGAGTATGTTCGCGTACGCAGGCCTCAAGCGCGAGGTGGACGAGCTGCAGACGGCGCAGAGCACGCCTGCCCCTTCGGCCATGGCGAATTGACCTCGGTCGTCTCGCCGCGCGTCGCCTCGTCGTCCCACCACCTTGTTGTAGTACCGCACCCTTCCCCTTGCATCTCTAGTTGGTTCTCTCGTCGAGCAGGCGGCGTTTCTCGAGCGCGCGCGAGCCTCTCTTAGCACGGACAGGAGCTCGTCCGCTTGGTCCGCGGACGCTCCGGCGCGTCGGCGAGCTCTTCTTGCCTCCTCTCGTCCGTGTTGCTCCTTCTCCCGCTCCCTCTCGACTCGTCCTCGACGGCCATGGCCGACACGCACTCGCCGCTCGTCCTGCCTGCGCCTCCACCGCCGCCGCCGCCGGCCGCCGTCGTCGCCGACCACGGTCGCCCGGCGTCCATCGCCTCGGACGGGTCAGCGCAGACCCTCCGCCCGAATGCTGCTGCCGTCGAGCATGCGGCCGAGCTCAAGGAGGTCAACGTCGACGACCTGACGCGCGAGGTGCGTCCCCTCTCACCTTCTCGCCCTCGCTCTCCTCGCCTCGCCGCTGACCAGCTCGCCCCGGTCCGCGCAGATCTCCGACCTCTCTACCCTCGTCACGTCCCTCTCGAGCGACCTGTCGACCCTCCTCACCCAGCGCGACAGCCTCATCGCCTCGAGCCCGCTCGCGACGCCGACGCACCTCGCCGCCCTGCGCACGTCGACCACCTCGCTCGGCGACGCGCTCGTCGCCGTCCTCCCCTCGGCCCTGCACAGCACGTCGCTGCGCCTCGCGCGCCTCGAAGCCCTCGCGCAGCAGGGCGCCGTCGCCGCGCTCGACGCCGAGCTGCGCACGCTCCGCGAGGGCTTGCTCACGGCGCAGGGGGACGCGGGCCGGATCGAGAAGGACGTGAGGGCGGCGGCGTGGGACGAGGTGGACGCGAGGGAGAGCGCCAAGCGGCGCCTCGAGGAGAGGGTGAGGGCGGAGAATGCCGGGTTGGGCGAGGAGCAGGTGCTCGAGGCGGTGAGGAGCGCTTTCGTCGAGGCGCAGAAGAGGGTGGCTCGGCTAGATGTGCGTCCCGTCTACCTCTCTCTTCCTCTCTCACAGACAGAGCACTGAACCAAGCGGATGCCGTGCCCGCAGGTCCTGAGCTACGCAGGGTGGGTCGCGCTCGAGAACCCGGCGACCGAGTTGGCGCAGCTTCTCGACGAAGCGGGCGACGCTCGCTCGGTGCGTCCTCACTCTCGCTCCGTCTCTCTTGCTGCTCTCGAGCTGCACGAGCGACTAACGAGCAAGTTGTCGCAGCTCGCGCGCACGGACACGCGCTTCTCGGCTGCGACGACGCTCGTCGACCCGTTCGCCGACCCAGGCGGTGCGACCGGCGACGGCTACGGCTACGACAAGCCGGAGAACGAGCACGACCTCGGCCTTGGCGGCGAGGACGGCGAGCGGCAGCCGCTGGCGAGAATGGCGACGAGCTCGACGGGCGGTCCGAGCGGGCGAGGGGACGAGGAGGCGCTCGTCGGCGGTGCGAGCGGCGGCAGGCAGAGAAAGTTTGGCCGGTGGATGATGCTGCAGATGCACTGGAGGGACTACCTTGTGCGTCCTCCTTCCCCTCGCTCGTCCACCGTCGGCGCCGACTGACCTCGTCACGACGCGCAGCTTCGCCTCGGCCTCCTCTTCTGCTCGGTCGGGCTCGTCGTCGGCGTCGTCGTCTGTGCGTGTCTCCTCTCTCTCGTCGTCGGGTCGCAGCGACGACGACTCACGCACGTCTCGCGTCGCAGACCAGTCGATCGCGCAGCAGCGGCAGAACGAGGAGGCCCTGTCGTCCCTCTCGTCAGATCCTTCCCTCCCTGCCGCCACCTCGTCGTGACCTTTGTATCCCTCCTTCTCTCGTACGTGTGCAACGCCGTCGACTCTCGTGCTCTGTTCTCGACGCAGCGAGAGAGGCCGGACTTGATTTCAAACGACGAGGCCTGATCGCCACGAGTCTCATCTCCGGCCGGTCGAGCTCCTCCAGCCTCTCGCAACTCTCCTTCGAGCTTTAAGCGTGCGATGGAGGGATGTCGCCCCAGCGTGAGCCGGCCGCTCGATGGTGGCGTTCACGGGGGCGAGAGAGCTCGTTTCATTCTGCACCGCTCCACAAGCAAGAGGCCGCCTCACCGAGCGGCCATCGCTCGAGCAAGGCAGAGCTGTCGACGGGCGTCCGGCGAGAGTCGGGGAGCTGCGAAAGCGAGCCGAGCGGACAAAGGGACCGAGCGGCAGAAGGTTGGTCGCGCGCGCGCGCGAGCCTCGCCCGCTCGTCCGCGCCTGCTGCGACGCGCCGCCAGCCTTGCGCTCGGCTTCGGACAGGGGTTTTGCGGGGCGGACAGTTTCTGTTGCGGAGCCGGCCGGTGAGAAGGGGAGGGGTCGACGACGAGGAGGGGAGGCGAGCGGCTCGCGAGAGAGAAAGGACGAGGGCGAGGGGAGCGCGGTACTTTACGAGGGGCGGCTTACTTGAGGAAAGCGCACGGCTCGAAAGCGGCAAAGGAAGCGCCCGCGGGCAACGGTGAGACTTGGGTTAGCGCGAAGAGCAGGCTGGCTCGCCTCGCTCACCGCCCCGCCCGTCCGCGCCCGCCTGCTGGGCAGCTACCGCCACCGTCCAGTGCACCCGTCCGACCGGCGCATCCGGCCCAGGCGCGCCAGCCGAGCGAGAGACGCTCGCTCCCGACGCTGCGAGTCTCCCTTGCCGTCCTCCCGACTAGCCTCGTCGCCCTCGCCAGCTCGACCTCGCCGCTCGAACGGCCGCGAGCACACAGCCACGGCGGTCGCAGGCGACTCGGACACGCTCTCGCACGGTCAACGGGCCCAAGCAGGTCCGTCGCCGCTCGTCCACCTCCACCTCCTCCGCCTCGTCCGCCGCGCCAGCCGGCTGTCGGATCCTGCCTCTCTCCCTCGTCCCTGAGCTGACCTGTTCCTTGCGACGTCAACAGCTCGACTCGGAGTACACCTACCTGCGATCCTCGTGCATGTCGCCAGCCTTGACGGCTCGACCTCCTCCCCGACCTCCCGCCGCGGCCCCGACTTCCCACTATCCCCTGTCGCCCTCGCCCAACCCGATCCTCTCGCCCCGCGCATCGTCGCTGTACAAGCACGCGCAGGCGCCACCGTCGTCTCGCTCAATCGGAGCCGGCGGCACTCGGCACCTCGTTCCGCCCGACGGCCACTCGCTGCCGTCGTCGTCCTCGTCGCCGTCGAGCGCCTCTCGCCCGTCGCCCATCCCGTCCGGCATCGCGGTCTCGCCGACTGCCGACGTCGACATGGCGACAGCGGCGGCGCCCTCTGCCTCGTCCTCGAGCGCGGCTCACCCGCACTCGACCTCGACCTCGCCGCACCCGCCTAACGGCGCCGCTCGCCTCGACACGCGCGAGTTCCCGCCCCCACTCGCGCCACGACACTGGACGGTCCTCAAGGAGGTCGGCGACGGCTCGTTCGGCACCGTCTGGCTCGCCGACTGGCACTCGCCGCTCAACCTGCCGCCGGGCACTCAGCTCCCGGGCCCGTCAAGCCGGCCAGAGTACAAGGGCAAGCAGCTCGTCGCGATCAAGCGCATGAAGAAGGCGTTTGATGGCGGCTGGGACGAGTGCCTCAAGCTCAAAGAGCTCAAGGTGCGTCCCCTCTCTCCTCCCCCCTCTCTCCCTCTCACGCCCTCTCGACGGTACTGACTCTTTGCGCCACCAACAGTCGCTGCGCCGGATCCCGATGCACCCGAACATCATCCCGCTCTACGACGCCTTCCTCCTGCCGACAACGCGCGAGCTGTACTTCGTGTTCGAGTGCATGGAGGGCAACCTGTTCCAGCTCACCAAGTCGCGCAAAGGTCGACCTCTCGCGTCGGGCCTCATCGCGTCCATCTTCTACCAGACGCTCGCCGGCCTGCACCACTGCCACGGGCACGGCTACTTCCACCGCGACCTCAAGCCCGAGAACCTTCTCATCACGACGACCGGCCTCGCCGACTATCCGGCCTCGTCCCTGTACGCCCTCCCCGGCGCACCGCCCGAGAAGGACGTCATCGTCATCGTCAAGCTCGCCGACTTTGGCCTCGCGCGCGAGATCGCCTCGAGGCCGCCCTACACCGAGTACGTCTCGACCCGGTGGTACCGCGCGCCCGAGGTCCTCCTGCGCTCGCGCGACTACTCGGTCCCGGTCGACATGTGGGCCCTCGGCACCATCCTCGTCGAGGTCGTCACCCTCAAGCCCCTGTTCCCGGGCGACAGCGAGGTCGACCAGGTGTTCAAGATCTGCGAGGTCCTCGGCGACCCGAGCACCGACTACGGCCACGACGACCGAGGGCGGCTACGCGGCGGCGGGCCCTGGACCCGAGGCGTCAAGATGGCCAAGGACGTCGGCTTTGCGTTCCCCAAGGTGCGTCCTCGTCCTGCTCTCTCGAAAGTCGGGGCCCGAGCGGGCAGTTCACCCGCTCACGTCGCCCTCTCTCCCTCCCTCCTGCAGGTCCCGCCGCGCAACTTTGCCTCGCTGTTCGACCCGAACACGGTCCCCGTCCAGCTCATCGACTGCATCGCCGACCTCCTGCGGTACGAGCCCAAGGCGCGCCTCACGACCAAGCAGTGCCTCGAGCACGCCTACTTTCGCGAGGTCGCCTACCGCTTCACGCCGCGAGTACCGCAACCGCCTCCTCAGCAGCTCCCGACACCCGCACCGTCGCACAGCTCGTCGTACAGCTCGACCCACCCGGGCTCGACCCTGTCGCTCAACTCGGCCGCCCTGTCCTCCTCGTCCTTGCCGACGACCGCCGCCTCTCTCGTCTCGCCGCGCAACGTCCCGCCGTCGCACTCGCACTCGCCTGCGGTCCCCTCCTTCCCCAACGGCCAGGGCCTCCCCTCCCCCGACCACTTCTCGCCGACCCACCCCGGCAGCAACAGCCAGCAGCGCCACATGTCGATCAGCTCGAGCCTGTCGGGCGCGTCGGGCCTGTCCGGGTACCAGATCCAGGTGCAGCAGGTCGCGGCGAGCCCAAACTCGTCGCTGCCCCGAGACGTCGACCAGCGCTCGGTCCTCTCGCTCCCGTCGCCCGTCGCCGCGAGCGGGTGGCAGAACGGCGCGCTCGGCCCACCCTCGACGGCGGCGAGCGCGCTGCACCCCTCGGCGGCGACGTCGTCGGGCCGCCGAGGCTCGTTCGCGCCGTCGGTCGCGCCGAGCACGTACTACGACGGCTCGGTCTACGAGGGCTTTGCGCCCAGTCGTGCATCGAGCATCATGTCGTTCCCGAACGGCGGCGAGGACGGCGGCGCGGGCGGGCGACCGTCGTCGCTGTTCCCGGCCCTGTCGCCGCAGCAGAGCCGGGCGAGCCACGCCCACCCGCGCCCGTCGTCGCCGACGAGCTCGATCTACTCGCAGCCGGCGCCGTCGATCGCGTCGTCGGCAGCTCCTGCGCCGACGCCGACGCGCGGGCGGTGGGGCCTGTTCGCCGGCTCGGCGGCCGACAAGGGCGGCGCGCCGGCCCAGTTCGCGTCGAGCAGCATCAACCCGCTCAAGCGGTCGCCGTCGAACGCGAGCATGACGAGCGGCGTGAGCGGCGGGGCGCACAGCGTCGCGAGCAACGAGGCGCCGCTCGACCCGAAGAAGGCGCGCAAGGAGGCCGAGAAGCTCGCCAAGGAGCAGGAGAAGGCGGCGCGCCTCGCCAAGGAGCAGCAGGCGCGCGAGCGGGCTCGCGCCGTCATGAAGAAGAAGAGCCAGCTGCAGGAGGCGGCCGACCCGCTGCACAACTTTGCGCTCCAGGGCAAGGCGGCCTCGTCGGCGTCGTCGTCGACCGCGGGCGCGAGCCTGAGCTCGGTCAACCTCTCCTCGTCGGCCGCGTCGTTCCTCGACAAGGGCAAGGCGCGTGCGCTCCCGAGCGACCGCCTCGTCCAGCAGCGCATGCCGCAGATCATCGAGGACACGAGCCGGCTGCGCGTCTCGGGCGGGCCCTCGTCGACCGACCCGTACGGCGCCGGCCCGTCCGGCCTCGCCGTGCGGTACAAGGCGCGTCGCCGCGACGACGACGACGACGTGCACTCGGTGTCGAGCGACGGCACGGGCGCGTCGTCGCAGCACTGGATGTTCCCGATCCAGCCCGGCCGAGGCCGGCCCGTCTCGATCTCGTCCAAGGCGACGTCGGCGTCGGACCCGGAGCGCCGCCAACAGCAGCTCCTCGACATGGACCCGCTCACGCGAGTGTCGAGCCTGTCGTCGCTGCCGCTGCCCAACGTGCGCGGCCCGGGCAGCGCCGTGCCGCCGACGGCGCTCAGCAGCGGCTCGATGCACCGCTACCCGTCGTACGGTCACTACACGGCGCCCTCGACAGGTCACTCGTCGCTCGACGCCAACTTTATCTCGAACATGCAGGGCCTCGCGACGTCGTCGACCTCGGACCTACCCTGGCAGCAGCAGCAGCAGCAGCAGCCGGGCTCGGCTCGACCAGCCGCCGCCGCCGCCGCCGACTTTCGCTCCGAGTCGCGCTCGCGCCTTGCGTCGCCGCACGCGCACGAGCGCTACAGCCCGTACATGGTGCCGCCGCACGGCCACGGGCACCACGTCCCGCCACGCTCGCCCGGGCCGACTTTGCCGCCGATCCAGTCGTTCGACAACACACCGCCGCAGACGCAGCACCCGCTCGTGCGCAGCGGGACGGCGGCGACGTTCGGCAGCGTCGCGAGCTTCCGCTCGACGCCGGCGAGCATGCCGTCGTACTTTGCGCAGCAGCAGGCCGGCGGCGCGAGCGGCGGCGGCAGCGGCGGGTCTCGAGGCGGCGCCGACGACGTCGAGCTGCGAGAAGGCGCAGCGCAGGTCTCGTCGACGACGTACCACCTGCCGTACCTGCCCGCCATGGACGCCGACCCGCCGACGCCCGGCCGCAGCCCCGTCTCGTCGACGTTCCCCTACCCGAGCCCGTCGCTGAGCGGGACCGGGCCGCCGGATCGTCACGTGCCGCACCAGTACACGCCCGGATAGCCCGAGGCGGCGGGCTGACCCACGGCGTGCGGCGAGGTGCGGCCGGACCCGTCTTTGGTCGTCTCGCTCGCCGCCTCGGCGCCCTCTTCTCCCTCTCTCCCTCCCCTCCTTTCTCTACACCTGTCTCGCCTCCCTCTGTATTAGCTTCCCTCGCTCTTTCTCGCCCGTCGTGGACCCGACCTTGTCGTCCCTCTCCCCCCCTCTCGTTGCTCGCATCCTGTCCTCCCTCGCACGATCCCCTTACTTCTACTCTACTTGCATTGCGCCACTTTGGCCTTGTCGTCGTCCCGTCCGTCAGCAGAGTACCTCGAAAGGCTGCCGTCGCAAACGAGAGCACCGCCCCGCACCTTCATCAAGCTCTCGAGCTCTCGGCCTCGCTCTCGGCTCGCCATCTCGCCCTGCTGCTGCGCCATGAAGCTCAAGGAACTCGAAGCAGGTGCGTCTACCCCCTGTCCCTCTCTCCATGGCCGCAGCTGACCCCGTTCCGCCCACAGAACTGCAACCGCTCAAGGGCTTCGGTGCGTCTCTCGTCCTCCCTGCCTCGTGGGTCGGCCGTGCGACGCCATGCGCGGCCTGAACTGACCTCTTGCCCATTCCTCCCCGCTGTGCAGCCGAGCCCAAGCGCGAGCTCGAGCAGTATGTCACCTCGGCGCACCTCGCCTCGCGCATGATCTTCACCGCCGCGACCCAGTTCGACGACATTGACGAGAAGGACATCCTCGACCTGGGCTGTGGGTGCGCCGTCCTGAGCATCGCGAGCGTCATGATGGGTGCCGAGTGCGTCCCACTCTCTCTCCCTCCCTTCTCTCCCTCGCCCACGCACTCTCTCGCTCACCGACACGCACACTCGCCCTGCAGGTCGGTCACGAGCGTCGACGTCGATCCTGAAGCGCTCGCCATCGCCAAGGAGAACGTCGAGAACGTCGAGATGGAGGAGCACATCGAGTTTGTCCACGCCGAGATCGGGCCGCCAGGTGCGGCGCCGACCCACGAGGCGGGCGTGCCGGTCCTCGACCCGTCGAGCCTCGGCAAGAAGTTCGACACGGTCGTCATGAAGTGCGTCGACCGCTCTCTCGTATCGCCGTCACCGTCGCTCACCCTTCCCTCGCGCAGCCCTCCTTTCGGCTCGTGGCGAAAAGGCATCGACATGGCCTTCCTCGAGACGGCCTGCCAGGTGCGCCTCGTCTCATCCTTCTTCGTCGTCCCTGCCACAGTCCCTGACCCGTCCCTCCCGCCGCAGCTCGCCGAGACGGCCGTGTACTCGCTCAACAAGACGTCGACGCGCGAGTTCATCGAGCGCAAGGCCAAGCAGTTCGGGTTCCAGGGCACCGTCATCGCGCAGATGCGGGTGCGTCCTCGCTCTCTTTCTCCTCCTATTCCCGAGCACGAGCCTGGCCAATCGCTCTCGTGCCCGCAGTACGACTTGCCCAGGACGATGGCGTTCCACAAGCAGAAGAGCGTCGACATGTGCGTGTGCAGGCTCTCGCTGCCGTCTTTCCGTGCGTCGAGCATGTACTGACGGCTTCGGTGACGCCTGATCTGCGCAGCGAGGTCGACATGTGGCGGTTCGAGAAGATGGCCAAGTGAGCGAGGGAGACCAGGACGACTTGGCGGCGTGTTGTATTCTTACGCAGTGTCTCTCTCCCCTTTGCCTCTCTTTTGGTTTGTGTTGTCAAGCTCCTCTCGAAAGTCCGGAAGCGAGAGAGCCAGCGAGAAGACGCCCCCGCAGCGAGGCTCGTGCGCGCTCCAAGCGGCCTCCTTCTCTCCACTTTGCCTCGGGCGAGCCTTGACGTGGACGCTCTTCGCTCTCTACATCTCTCGAGAACGCCGGCGCTCACAGAAACAGACTGTTGCAGAACCGCTACCGAGACGCACAAGCACCGCACGACCCTCTTGCGCTCGTCCACGAGCTAGCACCGCTCGCCGAGATAATGTCGCCTGCGAGGGAGCGTCGTCAGTGTTAGGTCCTTAGCGGGGAGCTCCCGGCAGTGTCCTGCGAAAGAGGACACGGCATCGAGAGCGTGTAGGACAGAGAGACAGAGACGCACCTCCTGGCGTCGCTCCTCGGGAACCGCTTGCCGCACTTGCTGCACTCGAACGGCCTGCGAACGGCCAGTCCATTGATCAGTCTCAACGCCTCTGCTCGCGAGAGACCGTGAGACCGAAAGAGGGGAACGAGGCGACGCACAGCTCGCCCGAGTGCTGGCGCTCGTGCCGAGTCAGGTCGTACCGCCTCGCGAACGCCTTGGCGCACGTCAGGCAGCGGTGCGGTTTGAGGCACGACGAGAGAGACGTCGAAGTTAAGTCGGAAGCGGAGAGAGGGGAGAGGGTGGGCGCTGGGGAGGGCGGACGAGAGGGAGGAGGGAGGGAGGAGGGGACGGGGACGGTGCTGCTCGACGACGACAACGGCGGCCGAGATCGAGGCGGTGAGGCCGACGTCGATCGTGTAGACGGCGCGGTCGACGGCCGCAGCTCGAGGAACGCAGGGAGAGCGGTCCGTGCGCCGCTCGTCGTGCGGAACGTCGTCGAGAACCACCTTTGCGGCGGGTCGAACGGCTGCGGCGCGGTCGTCCTCGCCCGTTGTGGGTGCCGCTCGTTGTAGAAAAAGGTGTGGGTGTGGGCGTGCGAGGGAGGTGAGGTCGAGGAGAGGGGAGGAGGAAGAGGAGGTGCTGCGGGTGGTTGTCGACTCGGCGGGTTCGGTTGCCTCGACAAGGCCCAGCTGCCGACGACGTGATCGTACGACGACGGTGAGGCTGGTCGTACTGGCGGGGCGAACGATGGAAGAGGAAAGGCGGCCGAGGTAGTCGAAGGCGGACGACGAGGCGGTCGAGGGTCGAGTGCGCCGTGCAGCTCGAGGAGCGGACGAATGCTCGGCAGGCGTGGCCGAACTCGTCGATCGTGCTCTTGCGGTGCGTCTCGTGGCGTCATGATCCTACAGGAGGCGGGGTGAGTCGGCGCGAGGCGCAAGATCGAGGTGGACGAGGGGAGGGGAGAGGGAGCAGGCGACTGCTCGAGGAGCGAGTACGAGAGAGGACGAACCACTGTGAAGCTGTAGAGAACGATCTGGTCGAGATCGGCTGGAACGAGAGCCAGCTGGACGACCCAGTCGACCTCGTCGTCTCGAGCGAAGTCAGTCGACGAGGTGGCGCAGCCCAAGGTCCGCCTCGGGAACAGGCACGCCCGCGCCTGCCCGTCGCCGACACCGAAGCCTGTTCTCGATCGGCCGTGGAGCGGGCAGCATCGCCGGGCTCGGACGCGCCAACTCACCTCGAGGACGAAGGCTGCGGCCGCCGACCAAGCAGCGGCGCGAGCTCCCTCTCCTCCGCTCGAGCGGGCACCAGCAGCTCCGCAGCCGGTGCAAGCTATAACCTTCAAGCTGCTCAGCCGGTGAGAGCGAGAGCACGCTCGTTCTGCGCGTGCACCGCCGCCGTCGACGGTCCCGCTCGACGATCCGAGTCGGCGCTCAGAGCCGCCCTCGTCCTCGACGGCCGCTCGTGCGAGGGCGCAGCGCAGCACACGAGTAGAGCATGACATGCTCGGCGGGTCGGGTGTTCCTCGGCAGCCACAGCAGGAGCGCAGCTGGCCGAACGAGACGCTCGCCTCGCTCGAGGAGCGGCAGGACGAGCGCGCCGTCTCTTGAGCGTCGGTCTCGTGCGACGCGAGAGGTCGACGAGCTGGAAGCACTGCAGAGTGTGCGGCGACAGGAGCGACGAGAGGAGGACGCGCGGACGATGGGCGGACGGCGGCGAGTCGAGGGGAGAGGGAAGGTGTGGCGAGCCGGCCCTCGCGCTAGTTGGCGACCGTCGAGGGCGCACGGAGATCTGTGCGTGCCCGTCGGGTCGCGCTGGGCTGCTCGGGGCGGCGGACGATGCGGCGAATCGAGGGCGGAGCGGGGTCCGGGTCGGCGACGGGCGAGCGAGGTGGGCGAGGCTCTGTGGCGGAGCGGCGCGGGTGCTGGCGGGGGATAGAGGGGAGGAGCGGCGTCTTGCGCCGTCGCAGGCGGTACCGTGGCGCTGAGAGCGAGGGAGAGCGGCCAACTGATGAGAGGCGAGGAAGGGAGAGAGGGCCCTCCGCAAGCTCCCACGACCTCGCGGTGCGCTCGGCCGGACGTACATCGTCGCAGAGCAGCTCTGCGAGTGTACTGCAGCGAGCGCTGAGCCCTGCGAGCGTTTGCGAGAGCACGGGAGGGCTGCTGCGACCGAACGACCGCCCGCACCTTCGTCCGCGCTCTCTCTCGCGGCTATACGTGGTGCAGAGAGGGGGAGCACCGGCTACGCTGCACAACAAGACGCATCTACACACCCGCGCCGCCTCACGCCGCCTCGACCTCCATCGCCTGCGCCGCTCCGTCGCCCATCTCCTCGTCCTCGCCGCGCTCGTCCTCGTCCTCGAGCCCGACAAACCGCCCTCGCCCCTCGCCGAGCTCGAGCACAAACGTGTCGGTGACGACGAGCTCCTCGTCGGCTCCCTCGCCGTCGCTGCCGTCCACCTCGCCGCCGGTCGAGAAGCGGTACCGCTTGGGCGGCGGCGGCGGGCACGAGTGCGGCGCAAAGTCGTCGTCGTGGTCGTCGTGCAGGTGAGGGTAGGCCGAGCGGTGCGCGTCGGCGATCTGGTGGGCGCATGCGGCGGCGCGAGGCTTGCGCAGGCGAGTCGCTCGCGGAGGCGGGACGTCCTGCATCGAGTCGAGTCGAGGCGAGATCAGTACGTGCGCACGGCGAGAAGGGATTCAGAGAGAGAGAGAGAGAGACGACGCACATCGAGAGAGCGCACGTCCTCAACGCGCAGGCTGACGCCGTCGTGCCCGTTGCCCCAGCTCCGGCTCCGAATCCCCTGCCGCTCGATCCCCTCGTACCGCACCAAAGCCGGCACGACGCCGAGCCGCACGAGCAACGCCGTCGGCACCTTCTCCTCCTCGCTCGGCCCGTCCCGCCCCGGCACCGCGATGCGCTCCTCGCCGATAGTTCTGGCCCGCCGGACCGCGTCCGCCCCGGCGCCCTTCTCGCCCGCGCGCAGCCGGCGGTCCCGCCTCGTGACGCGGAGCCAGCCCGAGTGCAGCAGGACGAGGAGCACGTCCGAGTCGTCGGTGTAGACGTCGGTGCCCCACACCTGGCGCTGCCGGACGGTCGGGAGGTCGGCGAGGTGCGAGGGGAGGACGAGCGGCGTCGTGGGCGAGGTGAGGGGGAGAGGCGCGCCTGTGTAGGCCGAGGGAGGGCCGAACGAGAGCGCGACGGGGTGCGGGTCGACGGGAGGGACCGAGCACGAGGAGCGAAGGTCGTCGTCGTCGCGCTTGGTCGACGCAGACGAGGACGACGGCGACGTGTGCGGGCCCATGACCCACGAGGTGGGCACGACGACCTCGACGTAGCCGCCGACGTTGTGCGCGAGCGTCGCGCCGTCGAGGAGCTCGGCCGGCGGCGTCAGGGCGTCGTACGTGACGCGCCCGAGGAATTTGCGCTTGCCGTCGGCCTTGCCGGCGCCGTGCTTCTTGGCCCACGCGTCAACGGCGTCGTTGAGGACCTCGACAACGGGCGGTCGCACCATGGCCTTGCGCCACTCGTCGTACGTGAACAGAGGCGTGATGTTGACGGGCGCAGGCGGCTCGGGCGGCGAGACGGGCGCGCGCTCGACGACGGAAGCTGGCGGTGCAGGCTTGGCGCGCTGGAACGACGGGTGCTGCGGCTGCTGGTGCGACTGCTCGGCGGCGTCGGAGCGGCGGCGCTTGAAGCCCGACTGGCTCGAGGCGACGGCGGGCGACGCGGTCGCCGAGGCCGGCGACGGCACGACAGGACTCGCCGCCTGCTGCGCCTGGGCCTGGGCCGGCATGCGGTGCGGGTCGACGGCGCCGAGCGACGGCGGGAACCGGTTCTGGTACTGCTGCGACGCTGGAGCTTTCGCCGCCGCCGCCGCCGCCGTGGCCGCCGACTGGCCGAGCGGCTGGCCAGGCCTCGCCGCCGCGCCGAGCGCCGGCACAGTCGACTGCGCACCCTTGCCCTGCTGAGCCGACTGCCCGGCGCCGCCCTGCTGCCCAAAGCGCTGCGCCTGCTGCTGCTGCTGGACCTGCTGCGCCTGTTGGGCCGCCTGCGCCTGCCACTGGTACGGCGTCGACGCGGTCGTGCTTGTGCTCGACGACGTCGGCTGCTGCTGCTGCGCCCGGGCAGGCGGCTGCGTCGGCGATCCGGCGGGGCGGTACGAGCCGAGGTTGGGGAAGAGCGAGTTCTTGAGGGCGGCGGCGCTCGCCTGCTGCTGCTGCTGCTGCGAGTGCTGCGGGTGCTGGTGGTGCTGCTGATGCTGTTGGTGCGCGTGCTGGTGCTGGTGCTGAGGCGTGCCGGCGCCGGAAGTCGGGGCGGACGACGCCGGCGCGGGCGAGTACGGGCTCTCGCGAGCAAAGGCGGACGGCAACGGCGGGTAGCTCGATCGCGCCGCCGTGCTCGCCGCCGTCACTGTGGGCGTCGTCGCGCTCGCCGGTGCCGTACCAGGCTGGTGCGGTTGCTCGACCGCCGCTTTGGGCTTGGCCGAGCCGGCGGTCGTGGGCGCGATGAGCGACGACGCGTACACGGGCAGCGTCGCGCCCGGCTGCGTGCGCGATGCCGTCGACGGCTTGTGGTCGCCCGCCGTAGCTGCCGCCGAGCGGTTGTCGGGCGGAAGGACGGGCGGCTGCGGCGTGGCCGCGCTCGACGAGGTCGGGGTCGACGCGCTCTGTGTGGGCGAGTAGGCCGAGATGGGCTGCGCTCGCGGCGGGCCCGACAGCATCGACGAGACCGACATCGGGTTGGACCGCGACAGGAGGCCCGACGTGCTCGACTGGGCGGCAGGCGCCGACGGCTTCTGCTGCTGCTGCTGAGCGGCGGCGGGTTGGGGCGACGGCGCGGGAGAGCTCGCCGCTTGGCTTGCAAAAGGCGAGCGGAAACTCGTCGCAGTGCTGGCGCTCTGGGCAGGCGGCGGAAGGATAGGCGGGGTCGGGGTGGGTCTGCTGGCCGGTGCGGCGGGGGAGGTCGCGGCTGGCGGCGAGCGGGCGCCGGCGCCGGGCAGGGACGGAAGACCGCCGAACGAAGAACCTGCGACATCGCCGGACCGAGCCATCAGCTGTGATGCTCGCGGGAGCAGGGCGAGCTAATCGAGGACGAAGCGCGACGCACCTGCTGCACCGCCGAAGCGCTTCTGGTCGGCGCCGACGCTGACCCTGCGCCCTTGGAGTGGCGGCGACCCGGCTCCGGCACTCGCGCTGGACGGCGGAGGCGGCGAGCCGGCCTGACCTGGCGCCGCAGTCGAGGGCGGACCGGGAGAAGGGGAGAACGAGTGGATGCCGGGGAGCTGGCGGACGGGCATCGAGTTGGGGAAGAGCGACTTCTCGGCCGACGTCATGGGCGGGCCCGGCATGTCTGTTGCGAGGAAGGAGGGGAGCGCCGTCAGTGCATGCGGGTGGGAGAGGACGGCCGACGAGGAGGAGGAGGGAAGGCAAACTCACAAGGGCGTGCGGGTTGCTGCTGCGGCTGATGTTGCGGCTGTGCTGTACCTGTGTGACTCGTTCGATCAGCTCTGCGCGGCGAGGGGAGAGCGGTGGGCGAGGTGGGACGCTGCTCACCGTTTGGCGGGGAGGCGGCCGACGCGGCGGGCGGAGCGGGCGACGGGTGCGGTTGCTGTTGCGGTGGCCGTGGCGACCGAGGCTCGCGAGAGGGCACCATGCGCGCACGGGCGAGTAGCGGTGGAGCTCTGAGCCGGTTCTCTTCCTCTCTCCTCCCCCGCGGCTCACGCCGGCCGTGTCTCGCACTTTCAGCTCTCGTGCGGTAGGGTGACGCAGGCTACATGGAGTGCACACAGAGGAAGGCACAGACTATACGCTACAAGGACCCGCACCGAGCGAAAGACCAGCTTCGCGTCGACGTCCACCGCCGCCCGCCCGCTCCTCTCCTCCTTCCACCACTGGCTCGTGCCCGCGAGACTCGAGCTCCAGCCGAGTCTCGAGCCAGCTCGCATACACCACCGCTCCTCGCTCGACCGTGTCCGCTCGCTCGCGTCGCCCAGCTCGCGGCGCTCAAACCGACGCTCGCCTCCTGGCGTACAGCCTCTCCTGCTCGGCGAGCGCGACCGCCCTCTGCGCGCTCGAGTCGACAGGGACGTACCCCTGCCGCCGCGCCTCGCGGTGCGCGATCGCGACCCGCTGCATGCGCGCGAGCTGCGCCTCGCGCTCGTGGTACGCCGCTCGCTGCGCTGCTGCGATCGCCTCGGGGCTCTCGGGCCGACGGTACGTCGGCGAGTCGTGCGTGTCATTCGTGTCGGCGTCGTCCGAGGTCGAGGAGGAGGACCCGGGCGCTGGAGCGAGAGGTGCTTGGCCCTTGCTCGACGACGACGAGCCGCGCCGCACCGGGTGCGACCCCCGCGTGAGCGCCTCCGGGTGCGCCCGCCAGAACTCGCCGTCTTGGCTCTCGGCGACGACGGGAGCGGCCCTCGCACCAGCTGCGACCGCCGCGTCGTACTCGCGCCGCCCGGGCACGGACCTCGCTCCGCCGGCGCCGGCGCCAGAGCCGGGCGGAATGCGCCGAGCGAGGGCCTCGCGGTACGCGACACGCCCCTCGAGCGACGTCGCAGGGCTTGCGACCTTGCGCGCCGTCTGGGCGCGAGCGTGCGTCGGCGCGGGCGGCGGGACGTAGCCTTGCGGCTTCTGGAAGTGCGGCGGGTGCGCCTTGGCGAGGCGCAGGGCCGACGGGAGCGGGAGGAACGAGGCGATGTACGTCGCGCTCAGGACGATCAGGAAGAGGGTGAGCGCCTTGGACGGCGTAAGGATCATGCCGCCGCTCGGAGGTCGAGAGCGGCTCGCGCCGGCCATGGCCATGCGCAGGATCGTCGCTGTCGATGTGCGGCGGTGGTGCGCGTACGCCTTTGACGCCGGTCGACGGTGACCGGTGACATGCGGCGGCGGCGCGGCGGTGGGAGCGAGGCGCGCTCTGGCCGCCTCGGCTGCGGTCGCACGCTCTGGCGTCGCCGGCGGCGAGGGCGGGAAGCTCATCTGCTCCTGCTTGGTCGAGGGCGGCGTTGTCGAGCGCGAGGGCAGGTCGGAAAAGCAGCCGTCGGTCGGCGTGTGCGGCGGGCTCGCCGGCGTCGAAGGACGGCGGCGGTGAGGTGCGGGCGACTGCATGAACGCCGGCGCGAGCTGAGGCGCGCTCGAATGCGACGCCGACATGGTCGTAGAGGAGGGGTTGCTGTGCGATGCGGGAGCAACAGGTGAGCGCAGATCCTCGTCGCACGGAGCGGGAGAGAGAGGGCGAGACGCACCGAGAGTTGACTTCGCGTGGGCTCGAGCGTCGAGAGTCAAACGGCTTTGTGCGGGTTGCAGCGTTCGTTGGCGTGTCGGTTTCGACGTCTGGCAGCAAGCGAGCAGCAGGTGGGAGAGCAAGAGAGCCTGCAACGACGCAAGTTGGCCGGCTCGCGGGACGCCTCTCGACTGACCCGCCCGCAAGCGGCTGGTCCCTCATGCGGCGCTCCAGATGCATTCGTCGGGCGAGGTGGGCAGCGCCTGCACACAAAGACGACGTCGGCGGGCCGGCCCTTGAGGACGTTCTGCGCCTCGTTCGCCGGAGGCGGGAAGGTCAAACTCGGCGAACGGGCCGCTTTCGGAAGGCGGCTGGTTCGTCGTCGTTGGCTGCGACCTTGGGCAAGCTTCATTGACGAGGGTCTCGAAGCGTGTCCAGGCATGCATGGCGACGCTCAGAGCGGCAAGGGAGACAGCATCGAGACGAGCCTGCGGCGACTTGGCGACGGGCGACCAGTGTGCGTCTTCTTGAGCCCCTCTCTCGCTCCACGTACAGCTCTGTGCGCCTCGAAGCTTATGCAGAAGAAAGCAGGCGACGAAAGAGGAACAGCGAGGAACAGCGAGGGATGTAGAGGCTGAGCGGCAGGGGGAGTCGCAACTTGGGAAGGTCAACTCGCTCGCGCGCTCGCGCTCTTGCTCGTCCGACACGGCGATTTACACTGCTCAACAGCTAGATCTACAGTATACAGCGCCCTCAGTACTCGTCGCTGCCGACACTGCTCCCGTCGTCGTCGATGAACGGCCTGCTCTCGCGCTCGTACCGCCGCGCGACGCTCGTCTCGATCCACCCGCCGTCCGAGTCCTGCGTCGTGAGGGCGTAGCCTGCAAGGCGAGATAATCGTTAGGACTGTCTGTCGTGGGAGGCAGAGACCGGCTGGGCTTGGGAGCGCGCGCGAGAGAGAGAGGGGGTTGGACGCACCGACGCGACCGCCAAAGAGGCTGAGCAGGACGGGCAGGAGGACGAGACCGTGTAGCGCGCTCGACACGATGAGGGCGAGCCACATCTTGAAGTAGTACGTCTGTGAAGGGGGGCGAGGCAAGAGAGTCAGAAAGGCCGCCGAGCGGGAAAGGGACGCAGAAGCGCCGACGACGTCGAGGGAAAAGAGAGAAAGAAAGGGCTCACCCGGAGCAAAGCCGACTTGGTGAGGCCGAGAACAGCGATGCCGATGAGCTTGGTCGCGCCGATGCCGCTCACGACGCTCGCGCCGACGTCGTCGAGTGCCGCGACTGCGCGCTCGTCCCGATCCCTCGCGACGCCGCCTCCTGCACCGACGAACGCCCTCGCGAGGTGGGCGCAGAACTCGACCGAGATGCCGACGGCGATGACGAGGTTGACGAGCGACAGCGGGTTGAGCGAGACGCTCCACGCGCCCATCGTCCCGAGGACCGTCACGAGCGACAGGAAGACGGTAATGGCGACGACGGCGCCCGTGCGGAACGACCCGAGGAGGAGCGACGTGATCAGGAAGACGGCGACGAGGGCGAACGTGAGGACCGCGCGAGCCGTGGCCCAGATCTCGTCGTCTGCGAAAGGCAGGTCGTCAGGGGCTGTCTCTCGTGAAAGCTGGACCGGGAGAGGGACGAGAGGCGGACGTACACGACGCGAAGAAGACGTAGAAGAGCGAGTACGGGAAAACGTGTGCGCCGGTGCGCCGAGACAGGTCGCTCGCGATCCTCCTCGCGGCGGCGAGCGCCTCGATAAAGTCGCTTTGCGTCTTGAGCGGCGTGTGGTACGTGCGGAAGTGCGACAGGGCGACGTTGTCCTTGTTGCCGTCGGCGTCCTCGTGCAGGGCGAGCGCAGACGAGTAGGCCGCCTTGCCGCCGAGCGGGCAGGACTCGTCGGTCGGCGACACGAGCCACTGCTCGAGGTACCGCATGAACTCGCCGTCCTGCGGGAAGCCCTCGACTGCAGGAGAGAGCGATGTCAGGTGCAGGTCGAGCCGAGGAGGACGAGAGGAGGACGTACGGGTCGTGCTCCAGGGGGGCTCGCGGTCCTCGAAACACGGCTTGCACGCGCCGTCTGGGTCGTTCGGGCCGCAGAACTCGGTCTCGTTGCGGCGCTTGACCCGACAGCAGTCCTCGAGGATCGGGTTGGTCCACGAGATAAAGTCGTCGAGCCAGACGGCACTGCGGGCCGACGAGGGGGAAGGTCAGTGCGTGGACGCGAGAGAGGCGAGGGAGAGAGGACAGGGGGATGTGGACGCACGGTGGTTCAGCGAGGTACGAGCTCTCGGGACGTTTGCGCTCGGCCTCGAGGACGTTGGCGAGCGAGAACTCGTCGCAGGTCGAAAACCGCGAGCACAGGTGCCGCACGTTCGACAGGGCGGACGCGTTGACGTTCTCGGCGACGAAATAGACGGGAGGGCCGACGTCGAGGTAGGCGTCGATGCTGTTGAAGTAGTCGACGAGGTAGGACGAGGAAGGGAGCGCGAGGCGTTGATCTGCAGGGAAGGGGTTCGTGCGTGCGTCGTCGGCGACGGCTCGAGGCGAGCAGGCACAGAGAGAGAGAGAGGGGACGCACCGAGGCCAAGGTCGACATGCCGAGCGCCGATCCAGCTCAGGACGAACAGGCCCGAGAAGAGCGTGAGGACGAGGAACTTGACCGGCTTGCGGACGAGGTTGGGCGCGTAAACGTTGCGGACGAAGCGGGCGAGGAGGCTCTCGCGAGGCCCGGGTGTGATGGCGAGCGCAGGAGTAGGAGGAAGCTTGAGGCACGGAAAGCTGTGGAGGGAGAGGCATTAGCGACTGTCGCAGGCCGGGCGAGGGAAGGAGGCAAAGGAGGAAAACTCGCCAGTCGACCCGGTTGGCCTGCGCGATATCGACGAGCGTGTCAGTCACGCCCTCGACGCAGAGGTCGAGAGAGAGAGAGAGAGAAGCGGGCGCACTTCGACACGATGCAGGTCGAGCGTCATGAGGCTGACAAAGACCGTGACCTGGAGGACCGTGTTGACGACGACGGCGCCCGCCGCATAGATCGCAAAGTTGGTGACGGCGGGCATGCCCACGAGGGCGCCGAGCGCGAACGCGACCGTCTCGCAGCTCGCGCTCAGGAGGATGCTCGGGCCGACGCGGGCGAGCGTGCGTGCGACCCTCTCCTCGACGTCGAGGTACTGGTCCGAGTCGTCGTCGTCGTCGCCCGGGAGGAGGAGCGAGCCCTGGCGGTACGAGCGCGCGTTCTGCTGGTCGAGTTCGTGCGAGAGGAGGAAGACGTTGTCGACGCTGCGGGGGTCGAGCGGGTCAGGCTCCCTGCACCTCGCTCGACAAGGTGAACGAGAGAGGGGACGCACCCGATGGCGAGGACGAGGAACGGGATGACCTCGGCGATGATGAGCGTGACCTTGACGCCGGCGGCCGAGCACAGGGCGACGCTGGTCGACACGCTCAGGAGGACGATCAGGATGCCCCACAGGCCTGCGAAACGGGGCGCGCATCGTCAGGCGCTGTACGAGTACGACGAGAGAGAGGAGGAGAAGAGAGACGGGAGGAGGGACTCACCGAGAAGGAACCTCGAGTCGACGAGGACCTGCTTGCGCACGTACGCTCCGAGCGCCCTCGTCCCGTTGACGAGCTCCGGCTCTGCGCTCGCGCTCCTCGACCTCGCCCCACCGACGTGCGCCCGCTCCTCGCCGAGCTTGATGGCGCCTCCTGGACCGCGAGCCCGCCGCACGAGCCACCTCCCGCCGCTGACGAGGGCGGCGAGCGCGAGCGCGGCGGCGCGCACCATGGCGCGCACGAGCCCAGTGCCGCTCCCGCCGAGGCTGACGGCGACGTACACGAACATGACGACGTACGAGCCGGCGACGATGGGCACGTCCGTGTTGGTCGCCGCGTTGAGCTCGCTCTCGAGGCTCGTCCCGACGCTCCAGCTGACGCGCACGCCGCGCTGCGCTGCGGGGCCTCGCGGCGCGGCGAGCGCGCGCAGGTACGCCGCGAGAGTGCGCTCCCACGCCTCGGCGCGTGCGAGCTCGTGCGGGTCGAGCGAGTTGCGCACGACGTAGGTGAGGATGACGGCGCGGGCGTCGTGCGGCGCGCGAGAGGGGGCGACCGAGAGGACGAGTTTCGGGTTGAGGGGCTGGCCGAAGGGAGGGAGGCACGAGGCTGGGCTCGCGGCGCAGTCGTCGAGGACGGCGGCCCACGTCAAGGGCCCGAGGCCGTCGAGCGAGTTGGACAGGTACCCAAGCGGCGACTGGACGACGCACTCGTCGACGCTCGGCGACTCGCCGTCTCGTGCGGCCGACGTAGGCGCGAAGCACACGTCGGCGAGCGAGACGCCGCCCTCGTCGTCGGGCGAGCGCAGCGCCCGGACCTCGTCCTCGACCTCGACGAGCCACTCGAGCGTCTCCCAGCTCAGGACGGGCTCGTCGCTCGGCGTCCACGCGCTCTGCGACCGCTCGCTGCCCTCGTCCTCGTCCTCGGCGCCGTCGCCGTCGACCTCGCGCGGCGGCCCGCCTGGCAGCGCCGAGAGGAAGACCTGCTCGGTGCGGTAGAACGGGCCGAACGCCTCGTCGAACCGCGCCTTCTCCCTCGCGACGGCGCTCCCCTGCGGGACCCACAGCTTGACCGGGTCGCGCTCGATCGCGAACCGGCCCCAGCCGAGGTGCGCGACGGCGCACGCGGCGAGCCCGGCGGCGAGCGTGAGCGCGGGGCGGCGCGCGCACGACAGGCCGAGGCGGTAGAAGGCGCGCGTGAGGGCCGTGTTGAGGGCGTAGTACCGCGGCTGGCTCGTCGTCGGCGGGGCGCGGAGCGGGTCCGAGTCGAGGAGCGACAGCGACGCGCCGCCGCCTGCGCCTGCGCCAGACGACGCCGTCGAGTGGTAGAGCGACCTGCGCGACGTCGACGGCGACGACCCGCTCCCGGCCGTCCCGCTGCGCCCCCTCCCGCCGCCGTCGAGCTCGCTCTCGATCGACCGCGCGCCGACGAGCCCGCCGCTGCCGCTCCCGGACGAGCGCGAGCGCGGCAGGCCTGGTCGTCGCGTCGCCTCGTCGCTCAGGAGCGGCGCGTCCTCCTCGCCGGGCGCGAGCCGCGCCGAGCGCGCCCACTCGCCGCCGAGCCGGTCCCCGAGCCGGGCCCACACGCCGCCGCGCGTCTGGTCCACCACCTCGTCGCCGTCGTCCGAGCCCTCGCCGTCGCCTGCCCCGAGGTGGATCGCGCCGCGCCCTCGGTGCCCGGCCGACGAGCTCCAGCTCCAGGCCGACCCCCAGCGGCGGCCGGCCTCGCGCGCCGCGTACGCCGCGACGGCCGCGACGAGTGCGGCGGCGTACGCGACGCAGAGCGCAAACGGGAAGCAGTCCATGCGGCCGACGCGGCAGCGGTGGGCGCGGCGCTCGGCGGGCGAGCGCACAGGCGGGAGGGCGGCGCAGACGGCCGGGCAGTCGGGGCAGGCGCAGCGCTCGGCTGGGTCGGACGAGGCGCACGAGATGGAGGGGATGTTGAGGGGTGTCGCGGCGGCGGGGAGAGAGGAGAGGATGAGGAGGGAAGAGGGGGAGGGAAAGTCGATCTGGAAGGGCGAGCCGAGCGCGCGCTCCTGGCCCATGTAGCGCAAGAACGACAGGTAGTCGGTCGCGCCGCCGCCGATGAGGTCCATGGCGTAGCCGTTGGTGGCGCCAAACTTGACGCCCTTGCAGCTGTCGAAGAAGCCGGTGCCGAACTCGGTCGAGACGGCAAAGTCGACGCTCTTGACGGCCTCGACGGGCTTGCCGGCCTTGCCCGACAAGGTCTGGGTCGCCGTGACGGCGACAAAGAGCGACTGGTCGGGCGAGCAGGTAAAGTGGCAATAGAACTGGCGGAAGTTGTTGCGGCACGCCGGGCACGACGCCAGGAGGGGCTCTGCTTGGGCGAGGCTCGCCTGGAGGAGGTCGAGCTGGCCGAGGGTGCAGCAGGTGGTCGTCGAGAAGTCGTCGCCGCAGACGCCGGCAAGGGTGGCCTTGAAGACGAGGTCCTCGTCGTGCTGCGGAGCGAGAGAGAGAGAGGTCAGGGCGGGCGGGGAGGAGGAGGGGGTGACGAGGGAGGGTAAGGGCGCACTGGTTGGGCGAGGCCGTTGTCCGGGCAGGGGATGTCGGACCCGAATGCCGATTTGCGGCCGCACGAGTCGCGCATGGCGCAGCGGCCTGGCTCGCGGAGGAACGAGGTGGGGGCGGCGTCGAGGTGGGCGACGACGGCGGCGGGGAGCGCGCACGCCAGGGTGAGGACGAGCCAGTACCCAGCTGTGGGCATTGCAGCAGTCGCTGTGGTCGACCCTGAGCCGAGTGAGGTTCGAACGAGGAGGACGAGTTGGTTCGTCGTCCTCATCGCGCGACCACCCGGTCCCCGCTCTCGCCTCGAGCCCCGCCAGAGGCCTGCGACTCGACCCGTTACAGGGTGCATGGCCGCGCGACCGACCCGCGACCCCCTGGGCGACCCGTCTCAGCAGCTGCACCCTCTCCAACCTCTGGCCTCGTCGTCGTCGTCGACCGCGCCCGACCCGGCCCACACGGCCTCACTCCGCTCGAGGTCGCTCGCACAGGCCCAGCAGGGCCTCGCATCCACCCGCCCGGGCGTCAGCATCCCGCCACAGCCTCGCCGTCCTCAACCTCTCGCCCCGCTCGCAACCACCGACGCGACCACGACCACCACCACCGCCGCCGCCTCGTCCGCCATGCAGCCTCAACAGCAGCAGCAGCAGCAGCCTCAGAGCTATGCCGCAGCCGCAGCAGCAGCCGCAGCTCAGCGTCAGCAGCAGCACCAGCAGTCGCCCGCACCCTCTCAGCCCGGCCAGCAGCACAGCAACGAGCCGCAAGCAGGTCCGTCCCTTGCACCACTCTCTCTACAGCCTCGCACTCGCCGACTGACCCACCATGCCCGACTCGCAGTGTCGCCGCAACCGCCACCTCGCCCAAAGCAGCTCGTCTACACCTTTCCGTCCCCACCACCCGACACGGCCGACCTCTTGACAGAGCTCGAAGAGTTCTACAGCTACGTCGAGGTCCCCCAGGTCCTCGAGCACGCCGACAGCTGGCGCGAGTGGTGGGACGGCGACCAGGGTCCGTCGGCTCGTTCCCTCTCGTCGAGCGCGTGTGCACGTCGCTGCGCTCGCCCTCTTCGTTGACCGGCCTCTGACGCACACCAACCTGCCCCCGCAGAGTTCCACAAGTCGCCGCCGTCGGTCCAACGCGCCGCCGTTGCCTCGCTCCTGACGACCCTCAACTCGACCGCCTCGACCCCGTCTCAGCGCCAGTCGGCCGCCCGCCACCTCCTCCACCTCGCGCACGGCTGCTTCGGCCCAGGCGTCAGCACCTCGCCCGAGCACCACCTGCACCTCATCCTCACGTCGTGCCGCGTCCTGCGCCAGGCCGGCGCCCTCGACGGCGTGTGGTGCGCCCTGCGCCGGCTCGGTCGCGAGTGGGACGACGCGAGCGCGTTGAGCGCGGCGCATGCGGCGAGGAGCGCGGCGCAGGGTCAAGACGGGGGCGACGAGGACGAGGGCGGGACCGGCGGCGAGTACTATGCGCGGCAGGAGGCGGCGAGGAGGAGGGGCAGCGCGCACGAGGCGCCGTTCGACGAGGAGGCCGAGGAGGAGCGCGAGCGCGAGCGCCAGGAGCACCTCGACGAGGTCAACGCCGAGCTGGCGCTCCTCCTTGCGACCCTGTACTTCATGGTCGAGTGCTTCCGAGGCGAGGAGGCGTGGGGCGAGGAGCTCAGTGCGTCCCTCTCTCTCTCTCCTTCTATCCTCGCGAGCGATACTGACTGCAATTGTGCTTGTCCCCGCAGTGACGCTCGAGCCGCCGATGCCTGTCTACCTGTTCAACCAGGTCGCCGGCCTGCGCGAGAAGAACGCTCGTGGGTACCCGGTCAAGAAGGTCCGTCCGCTCTTTCTGCCCTCTCTCCCCTCGCATCCTGCGCTTTCTCCTGACACACTCCAACGGGCACACAGCTGCTCCTCCTCCTGTGGAAGTCGATGCTGTGCACCGTCGGCGGCCTGAAGGACGCCGACCGCACCAAGGTCCTCGTGCGCGAGATCGAGGGCTTGCCCAAGGACGAGCCAGGCGACCGACCGGCCTACCGTGCGTCCTGCTTTCGCTTTGTCTCTACGAGGGAGACGCACTGACACTCGGCTCGACGTGCAGGACCCTGGACCAAGTCGTCGCCGCCCGACCTGCTCGAGTTCCGCAACGAAACGCTCGTCAAGTACCCGTCGTACACGGCGCCGACGGCCGCCTCGCTCCTCCCTCTCCCTGCACCCCTCGCCGCGCTCGGGTCCAACCCGCAGACGCTCGACCGCCTGTCGGCCGCCGCCGCCCCGACGCCCGTCCGCCCGACGTTCAGCTACCACGTCAACGCCAACCACGACCCGTCGCTCCCGTCGAACCAGCCTGCGCCTCCTCCCGCATCGTGGCCGACGCAGCAGCAGCAGCAGCCGCCGACGCCCGCTCCCTCGCCACCGCCCTCGCCGGCGCCCATCATCCAGCTCCCGAACGGCAGCACGCTCGGCGGGCCGCAGGGCAACGGCGTCGGTCCGCCGGCCAAGCCCAAGAAGCAGCAGTTCCAGACGGACCAGACGCGGCCGTTCCCGCTCCCGTTCGCGCCGGCCAACGCGTCGCGCGGGCGCGCCGTCCCGCGCGCGGTCGAGGAGGCCGGCGAGCTGTACCGCGCCAACCTGCGCGTCAGCACCGAGCTGTGGCAGGCGTGGAAGGTGCGCGAGGAGTTTACGGGCGAGGAGATGGGCCTCACGCGCGCCGAGGAGGTCGAGCGGCAGCAGGTCGAAAAGGAGGAGGAGCGGCGCAAGTACGCCGCGAGGGAGCTCGCCGGCGGCGAGGTCGGGCGCAAGGCGCGCGCGTTGGGCAGGAGGCTCGAGGCGCTCGTCATTGGCGACGGCGGGGCCAAGAAGTTGCAGCGGCAGGGGACGGCGAGCTCGAGCGAGGCGGCGAGCGTCCGGGGCGCGTTCAAGCCGGGCGACGAGGGCGACGACGAGGTCGCCGTCCTGAGCGACGACGACGACGACGACTCGGCCGACGACCCGATGGACCCGCTCACGGTGCTCAAGCAGCTCGGGCGCCAGGCCCGCCGCGACGCCGACGCCGAGGTCGACTCGAAGCGCAAGAGGACGCTCGACGTCCGGCGGCAGGACATCAAGCGGCTCGAGCGCGTCGAGATCCTCTACGTGCGTCCAGCTCTCGCTCAGTCCTGGTCGTGCCCGCTCGCTCCGAGGGAGGACGCCGGCCTTGGTGACGCGGAGCTGACTGACGCTCGGACCCTCGACCGCAGCGCGAGACGCTCGCCCACCTACAGAGCGCCGTGATCGTCCTCCTCAAGCTTCTCCTCGCGACTGTCACGGCCAACCAGAACCTGCCCAACCCGGGCCAGGCCGGCGAGCCGACCTCGAGCGGTGCGTCCCTCCCTTGTCCTCCCCCTCGTTGCCCTCACTGACAATCCGCCTCCCTGGTCGGCGCAGATCCTCCTCCCGACCTTAGCCTCGAGGACTGCGACATCCTGCGGCACCGCGAGATCACGTCCAAGGCCGTCTCGGCCATCGTCATCCTCACCCTCAAGTGGTTCAAGACGAGCCGTGCGTCCCTCGCCCTCCTCGCCTCTTGCCGAGCCGCACTGACTCTCGCTCGCACGCACCCACAGACGTCATGAAGTTTCACTACTTCTCGCAGCTCCTCGTCGACTCGAACTGCCTGCTCCTCATCCTGAAGATGTTCGGCATGCAGGAGGTGTCGACCCTCGTGCGCGTCAAGCACGACCGCCCCGAGCACAAGTGCGTCCTCTTTCTCTCCATCGTCGTCAAGCGAGAAGGGACCTGACGTGGTTCGCCGTCCTGCAGCTTCTTCAAGTTCTGCGACGAGCAGTTCAACCCTGGCTCGTCTGCCTCGTCGCCTCGCCCCGAGGCCCTCGCCCAAGCTCCTCGTCTCGACCTGAGCTCGGTGCCCAACAGCGCTGGGTCGTCGCCCACCTCGTCAACGGGCGCCAACCAGTCGTCGTCGAGCTGGGGCAGCGCCGGCCAAGCGCATGGCGACGACGTCGAGCTCGTGAGCGACTACTCGTGGCGCAACTTCTTCTCGACCATCAACTTTGTCCACATCCTCCAGAAGCTTACCAAGCGCAAGACGCACCGGGTCCTCCTCATGGTCCAGTACAAGAGCTCGGTGCGTCCCGCTCTCTCTCTCTCCCTCTCTCGACTTGCGGTCCCACCTGACCCGCTCCTCTTGTGCGACGCACAGGCCATCCTCAAGCGCATCCTCAAGGTGTCGCACCCGACGCTGCAGCTGTACGTCCTCAAGGTGATCAAGAGCCAGGTCCCGTACTGTGGCCGCAAGTGGCGACAAGGTGCGTCACCCCTCTCTCGTCCCCGACCGCCGCAGCCTCATGACCTGACCTCGGTCTTCCTTCTGCGCACAGCCAACATGAAAGTCATCACGGCCATCTACCTCCACTGCCGCCCCGACCTGCGCGATGAGTGGCTCGCCGGCGTGGACGTTGACGCCGACGTCGAGGACTCGCTCGTGCGTCCCACTCTATCTCTCTCTCCTCTCCCTGTATCCCTGCGCGATGGGCGAAGGAAACTGACGTCGCTCTTTGCCTCACAGCCGCACGAGCAGGCGCTGCGGTCGCTCGTCCGCTTCTTCAACACGAAGCACTACTCGAACCACGCCCCGGGCCTGCACCGCCGCTCGTCGTCGCTCCCGCAAAACCCGAACGAGCCGTCGCCCGACTTCAACCCGGGCCCTGTCGCGTCTGCGCCGCTCCCGCCGCTCTCGCCGCACGGACCGCCGCCCGACCAGCACGCCCTCGACGACGTCTTCCCGCCGCCGCGCAGCATCGCGTCGATCGACCTCAGCACCGACGTCCCGCTCCAGCTCGCGTACGGCTCGATCGACCCGGCCGACGACGACGACGACTTTGGGAGCTTTGCCGTCGACGACCTGCTCGAGGCCGGCAGCGGCGGCTCGCTCGACTCGGCGCGGCACCCGGGCTCGGCGCACGAGTCGATGAGCGCCGAGGGCATGCACGGCGCAGGCGCCGACTTATCGCTCGACTGGCTCAACGACCCGCTCGCGGTAGGCGAGGCGGCGTGGGAGCGCATGGGCCTCGACGAGGGGTACGACGGCGCGTGGGACGACGTGAGCGACAGCGAGAGCGTCGGCGGGTGGGGCTTCATGCGGTTTGGGCTTGCGGCGGGAGAGGGACCGGGAGGTGTCGCGGCGGGCACGACGGGCACGGTGGCGGACGATGGCGAGGAGGTCCTCGACGAGCGGTCGAGCCGGCACGAGTGGGAGCACATCAGGTGCGCCTCTCTCTCTCTCTCTTCCTCTCTTTCTCTCTCAGCCTGTCGCCTCTGAACTGACATGCTCTCTTTCGTCCCGACATGCAGCCCCGACACGATCTCGGCCCTCGAGGAGGAGCGCGACGCCGCTGCTCGCGTGCCCAACTCGCCCCGCCCCATACGTCGCCGCTCGAGCACCGGGCCCGTCTCGCCTGCTCTCCGCCCCGTCCTCATCGACCGCGACGACGACTCGGCAGGTGGGAGCGCCGTCCAGGGCGAGGAGGAGGAGGAGGGTCCCGTACCGACGTCGCCTCACTCGGGTCCGGCGATTGACGAGGTCGAGCTCATCTTCAACCGGTGACGTGCCCGCTGTAGCGACGATGTGCAACCTGTCTAGCGCTGGCCCCACGGCTCGGGAGAGCGAGAGAGACGTGCGTGCGCCGGACGTTGAGAGCGGAGTCGGGCTCGTGGCTTCTGCCATCCCCTCGCACCAGCGTCGCGTCTATGCTGCTGGAGCGCGCTTGCAGAGCTGCTCTGCGACGACGCAGAGCCGGCCGAGCGCACGGCGAGGCCGTGGGAGCTCGCCTCGGTCCCTCTCTCCCTTCCTCGCCTCTCATCAGTTGGCCGCCCTCCCTCGCTCTCAGCAGCACGGTACCGCCTGCCGACGGCGCCAGACGTCCATCCTCACCGATATCTTCCTCCACCACCCGCGCCGCTTCGCCACAGCGCCTCACCCACCTCGCTCGCCTGTCGCCGACGCGGACCGCGCTCCGCCTTCGACTCGCCGCATCGTCCACCGGCGCGAGCAGCCCAGCGCCATCCGACGACACGCAGACATGCCTGTACGCCCTCGACGGTCGCCAACCAGCGCGAGGGCCGGCTCGCCGCATCTCCCCTCACTCCTCGACCTCGCCGCCGTCCGCGCACCGTCCGCGCGTCCTCCCCTCGACCCGCCTGCCGCTGCGCGTCTCCCAGTGCATCGAGCTCGTCGAGCTCCCGCGTCGCACGAGATCGACGCTCAAGGATTGGCGCAGTCGTCCTGCCGCTCCTCGTGCTCGACGAGCGAGGCGAGCGTCTCGTTCGGCCAGCTCTGCTCTTGCTGTGGCTGCCGAGGAACAGTCGAGCCGTCAAATCTGTCGTGCCCTACTCGTGTGCTGCGCTGCGACCTTGCGCGAGCGGCCGTCGAGGACGAGGGCGGCTCTGAGCGCCGATCGTCGAGCGGGACCGTCGACGGCGGCGCTGCACGCGCAGAACGAGCGTGCTCTCGCTCTCACCGGCTGAGCTGCTCGGCTGCAGTAGCTTACACCGGCTGCGTAGCTGTTGCTGCCCGCTCGAGCAGAGGAGAGGAGCTCGCGCCGCTGCTCGGTCGGCGGCCGCAGCCTTTGTCCTCGAGGTGAGTTGGCGCGCCCGAGGCCGGCGATGCTGCCCGCTCCATGGCCGATCGAGACCAGGCTTCGCTGTCGGCGACGGGCACGCGCGGGCGTGCCTGCTCCCGAGGCGGACCTTGGGCTGCGCCGCCTCGTCGACTGACTTGGCTCGAGGCGGCGGGGACGACTGGGTCGTCCAGCTGGCTCTCGTTCCAGCCGATCTCGACCAGATCGTTCTCTACAGCTTCACAGTGGTTCGTCCTCTCTCGTACTCGCTCCTCGAGCAGTCGCCTGCTCCCTCTCCCCTCCCCTCGTCCACCTCGATCTTGCGCCTCGCGCCGACTCACCCCGCCTCCTGTAGGATCATGACGCCACGAGACGCACCGCAAGAGCACGATCGACGAGTTCGGCCACGCCTGCCGAGCATTCGTCCGCTCCTCGAGCTGCACGGCGCACTCGACCCTCGACCGCCTCGTCGTCCGCCTTCGACTACCTCGGCCGCCTTTCCTCCTCCCTTTTTCGCCCCACCAGCACGACCATCTTCACCGTCGTCGTACGAACACGTCGTCGGCAGCTTCGCCTCGTCGAGGCGACCGAACCTGCCAAGTCGAGAACGACCCGCAGCACCTCCTCTTGCTCCTCAGCTTCCTCTCTCCCCTCCCTTCTCCTCGACCTCAGTCCCCTCGCACGACCACACCCACACCTTTTTCTACAACGAGCGGCACCCACAACGGGCGGCCACGACCGCGCCGCAGCCGTTCGACCCGCCGCAGCGGTGGTTCTCGACGACGTTCCGCACGACGAGCGGCGCTCGGACCGCTCTCCCTGCGTTCCTCGAGCAGCGGCCGTCAACCGCGCCGTCAAGCCGACCAACGTCGGCCTCACCGCCTCGATCTCGGCCGCCGTCGGCGTCGTCGAGCAGCACCTTCCCCCTCCCTCTCTGCCTCCCTCCTCCCTCCCGCCCGCCCTCCCCAGCGCCCACCCTCTCCCCTCTCTCCCCTCTCGACTCGAGCTCGAACTCCTCCTCGCCGGGCCTCAAGCCGCACCGCTGCCCGACGTGCGCCAAGGCGTTCGCGAGGCGGTACGACCTGACTCGGCACGAGCGCCTGCACTCGGGCGAGCTGTGCGTCGTGTCGTTCCCCTCTTTCGGTCTCACGGCCTCTCGTGAGCAGAGGGGTTGAGACTGATCGATAGACCGGCCGTGCGCAGGCCGTTCGAGTGCGGCAAGTGCGGCAAGCGGTTCCCGAGGAGCGACGCGAGGAGGTGCGTCTTTGTCTCTTTGCCCTACATGCTCGCGGTGCGGCCCCCTCGACAGGGACGGCCAAGAGCTACAAGCGGGCGCCACACTGACGACGCTCCTTCGCAGGCGACATCTCCTCGGCGAGCGGTGCGAGCTCGAGAAGGAGGAGGAGGAGCGAGCGCGCCTCGAGCTCGTCTCTGCTCGCTCGCGATGGTCCGGGAGACGTCTGTAGCCGCACAGTGCAACTGCAACGAGATCGTGTCTCTCTCCTTGAGCGACGGGCGGGAGAGAAAGAGAAAGAGAAAGACAGAGCTGGCGATACAACAACACGACCCTCTCGGACACCTCGCGCCTGGCCCTCGCCCCTCGCGCCTCTCGCTCGACTCACGCTCGCGACAAACTAGACAAACTTGACGCCGTCGCCGTCCTCGCCGAGGCCCTTGAGGACCTGGGCCTGTCCGCGCTTGACGAGGAGGTCGAGCGCCTTGCGCAGGAGCGGGACGGGGAGGCGGTAGAACTCTGTGGCGGGATTCGAAGGAGCGAGTGTCGGTGAGGCGCTGGGAGAGAGAGGTACAGGGAGAGAGAGAGAGGACGCACCGGTCGTGTGGGCGAGGTCGCCGCCTTCGACGAGCTCGTAGAACGTCATGACGCTGTTGGTCTGGCCCGTCTCCTTGACCTGCGTGGCGGTGTTCGAGTCAGTCCTGTGACGAGCCCTCGAGATGGTCGATGGAGAGAGGGAGAGGGACGCACCCAGTCGTAGATGGCCGTGGCCCATTCGTCGGGCCGTTTCCAGTAGACCCACACGGCCGACTTTGGGGCAGCGGGTGGCTCGATCCAGGCGGCGTGGCCCTGTGCGACGAGGTCTTCGAGGACGAGCTTGAGGGTCGGGAGGGCGAGGTGGCGGGCGAGTTGCGGGTTGGAGAAGGGCTCGAGGTGGCACTGGTCGTGCGAGAGGTCGAGGCGGAAAGTGCGGGTGAAGCGGGCGTGGGCGAGAGTGAGGGTGCGCCAGGTTGTGAGCTGGTGGTGCCAGGTCTGCGGGTTGGGCTGGCGGGTAAAGAAGGGCGGGAAGTGGTACAGCGAGGGGAGGAGGAAGCCAGTGGTGGGGGAGACCGAGGGCGACAGCGACAGTCGCGGCTGCGGCTGCTGCTGCGTCGTGGGTGGTGGTGGTGGGAGCCGGGATGAGAGAGTGGCGGGCTGCATCTGTGCGTCGCTCGAGCTGGGTGCGACGTCGAGACCAGAGCCGACCAGTCGAGGACGAGCGAGGAGGAGGTTGGCTGCGTCCGCTGTCGCCCTCGACCTCTGCTGGGCTCAAGTGCACTGCTAGCTCGCTCGCACACCGTCTACCGACACCCCGAGCACCCGCACCGCCGTCCACCGCGCCGCCAATCAGCCGAACCCTCATCTCCGAACCTCGTCCCTCATCTCCAACCATGGCCACCGACCAGCCTCCCGCCGCACAGCAGCCTGCAGACCCCAAGGGCAAGGGCAAACAGTCCCCCAGGGCCACCGCCATGATCGTCATCGGCATGGCTGGCTCGGGCAAGAGTCCGTCCGCTCGTCCTCGTCCTCGACCGTGCTCTCGTTGTCGCCTCGCTCCCACAGCGAGGCGGCGAGGGCTGCGACCTGGCCGGCGCTCGAACTGACACAGCCTCGCACTCGCCCGCAGCCACCTTCATGCAGCGCGTCAACTCGTACCTTCACGAGCGAAACCAGCCGCCCTACGTCCTCAACTTGGACCCGGCCGTCATGCACCTCCCCTTTGACGCAAACATCGACATCCGCGACACGGTCGACTACCCCGAGGTCATGAAGCAGTGCGTCCCCCCTCCCCGCATCGTCGTGAGCACCGCCTCACTCACTCACTCCCGCTCGCTCGCAGGTACAACCTCGGCCCGAACGGCGGCATCATGACGGCCCTCAACCTGTTCACGACCAAGTTTGACCAGGTCCTGTCGCACGTCGAGAAGCGCGCCAACGACGTCGAGTGCGTCGACCTTTCTCTCCCTCTTCCTCGTCCTCCCCGGCCTCCCTCGCTCACTCTTGCCTTCTCGCCCGCCCGCCCGCCCGCCCGCCCGCCCGCAACAGCTACGTCCTCCTCGACACGCCGGGCCAGATCGAGATCTTTACGTGGTCAGCGTCGGGCTCGATCATCACGGACGCGCTCGCGAGCGCGCTCCCGACCGTCGTCGTCTACATAATCGACACGCCGAGGACGACGGCGCCCGCCACGTTCATGAGCAACATGCTCTACGCCTGCTCGTGCGTCCCACTCTCTCTATACCGCGTCCCTCACTCGCCCACCCGAGCACTGACGCCGGCCCCCTCGACCAGCATCCTGTACAAGACGCGCCTGCCGTTCCTCGTCGTGTTCAACAAGACGGACGTCCAGTCGCACCAGTTTGCGCTCGAGTGGATGCGCGACTTTGAGCAGTTCCAGGACGCGCTTCTCGAGCGCCGCCAGACGCACGGCGACGAGGACGGGCCCGCGTACCAGGACAGCTTGATGAACTCGATGAGCTTGGTGCTCGACGAGTTTTACAAGCACCTCAGGGTGCGTCGCGTCGCTCTCTCTCTCTCTCTTCGTCGTGCTTCGGCGACTCTCCCTCCCCTTCCTTCCCTCGGCGCACGGACCCCCGCCTCTCACCCTCTCTCTCGCGCACCTGCCTCCCTTCCTCTTGACGCACCCTCCCTGACGCACACCTCTCTCTCTCCGCAGGCCGTCGGCGTGTCGGCCATGACAGGCGAGGGCATGGACGAGCTGTTTGACGCGGTGCAGGAGGCGCGGCAGGAGTACGAGCGCGAGTACAAGCCCGAGCTCGAGAAGCTGTATGCCGAGAGGGTGCGTTCCTCTCTCTCTTCATCTGTCCTTGTCTCTCGTCGACTCGGACTCGACGATGCCGCCTCGGCGCCGCCGAGCGTCACTGACTCTCTTTTCCACCCTCCCCTGCCCTCTCCCGCGCTCTCGCCCGGCCTCGCTCCTGCAGGAGAAGAAGAAGGAGGCCGACAAGGCCGAGTCGATCTCGCGCATGATGCGCGACATGAAGGTGTCGCCCACGACGGGCCAGGCGGCCGTCCCACAGTCGGAGCTCGACAAGTACCTCGACCCGGCTGGCACGGGACAGGCGGGCGAGGTCGAGGACGGGGAGGACAGCGACGACGACGACGACGCCGAGGTGATTGACCGCAGCTCGAGGACGGACTACTATGCGCTGCCGGACAAGAGGCGCAGGGGGACTGGGCCGGGAGGAGCGGTCGAGGGGCCGGACGGCAGCTTGTGGCCTGCTCCCTAGAGCTCTTCTCTCTCTCGTGCAACGTCGAGACGCATGTTGTACTGCTTGTCATGTTGCTCGATGCGGTCTATGAGAGAGAGAGAGAGAGAGAATCTACGACAGGAGGGCGAGCATCTCGTCGACCGAAGTGACCTTCTCACGCAGCTTGCCGAGCGCCTGGCCCCGCTCGCGCTCGACCCGGTCAATCACCTCCCAGTCCTCCCAGCTGACGACCCTCCTGCCGCCGCTGTTGTCCTCGATCGTGCGCGCATCGAGCGCCGGCCGCCGCTCCTCGACCGCCCCGCCGCCGCCAACCGCCGCTCGGGCCTCGACGAGGTCGTTCGCGACGACGTCTGCGGCCGCAAACGCGTCAAACATGGTTGTCGCGACGACGCCCGTCGGGCCCCTCGCGAGCCACCCGCTCGTGTACAGGCCCTTGACGCGCCGCTCGCCGCCCTCTCCATTGCCCTCGACGACCCTGCCCTGCCCGTCGTTGCGCACGATACCGCGCCGCTCGTTGAACGGGAGGCCGGGCAGGCCGATCGAGCGGTACCCGACCGACTTGAACACGAGCGACGTCGGTGCGACGCTCGTCGTCGAGGTGGCGCGTGCAGACGCATGCGACGGGTCCGAGCCACCGACGAGCTCGTTGTGCGCGTACCGGACGGCGCCGACGCCCTGCGGGTGCGTGATGCCCTCGAGCGCGCCCGGAGCGTGCGTCGCGGCGCCGTCGCTCGCCGGGAGGAGCTCGAGCGGGCTGCGCAGGAAGCGCAAGCTCCACGAGCGCGCGGCGTCGGCGGGGCGCGCTCTGCTCCCCGCGCGCAGGAGCCCGAGCGCGCGCTTCTTGGCGCGTGCGCCGTCCATGTGCGGGTGCGCGTCGACCTGGGCGGCGGCGGCGTCGAGGAGCGCGGCGTCGTCGGACGAGGTGGCGAGCGCGACATTGGGCAGGTTGAGCATCTCGCGCAGCTCCTTTGTCGTCGCGGCGAGCTGGAGCGGGCCGCGGCGGCCGACAATGTCGACGTGGCGGATGCGGCTCTGGGCGAGGGCGGCGAGGACGGGCTCGGGCACGTCGAACGGCTTGAGGGCGTCGGGCCCCTTGACGAGGATGCGCGCGACGTCGAGCGCGACGTTGCCCTGGCCGATGACGGTCGCGTGCTCGAGCTTGGACAAGTCGAGCGAAGGGGGCGCGAGGAGGCCCGAGTGGTACGGGTGGCCGTTGTACCACGAGACGAAAGTGCGCGCCGAGACGACGTTGAGGAGCGTGTCCTCGCCCGGGATGCCGAGGGGCCGGTCGAGCGATGCGCCGTACGTGAGGAGGACGGCGTCGTAGTGGTCTCGCAGGGTGTCGAGCGAGACGGACGCGGCGAGCGACGACGGGTGCGGGTTCGGGACAGAGGTGGGCGCCGACGACGACGACGACGAGGTCGAGCCGCACACCTGGACGTTGCCGAAGAAGCGGAACCGCGGGTCTCGCGCCGTCTCCTCGAACTTGTGCTCGCAGTTCTGCGGATGTCGAGCGGGTTAGCTGGCTTGATCGCGACCAGGAGAGGAGGGAGAGGGGGGCGGACCTTGACCTCGGGGTGATCTGGCGCGACGCCAAAGCGGGCGAGGCCAAAGGGGACGGGCAGGAGCTCGAACAGGTCGACGGTCGTGTGGTCGGACCCGTCGAGGCTGAGCAGGCGCGACGCAGCGTAGAAGCCGGCTGGCCCTCCTCCGACGACGCCGATGCGCAGCTTGTGGCCGGCGAGGCTCGCGGCGGTGCGGCGTGCGGGCCACGGGCGGGCTGGCGCAGATGCGCGCAGGGCGGGGCGAGCTGCAGCTCGTATGGGCGCGCGCTGCATGGTGGAGGAACAACGAGCGAGCGAGGCGGTGCACTCCGAGTCGGCCGCGGCGGCCACCTTCTCTCTGCGTCGACCAGCTGTGGCCCTCTGCTCCTGCTGCAGCAGTGCAGGCTGTGGGTGAGCGCAGTGGCTGCTGCTCGTCTCTCCCTCGAGCCGCTCCTCGCCGTCTGCCGGCATTCGGCGTCCTCTCAGCTCTCCTGTCCGCGCACGGTGGCGGACTTTCCGGTCCGCCCACCTCCTGTGCGACGAGCACTGTGCTCGGGCCAGCTTTTCTTCCCCTGCTCCGCTCCCCAGTCCCTCGAGCCATGGCTGCCGCTGCGCCGTACGACCCGCCGCCGCGCTCTCGCTCAGCCTCGCGCCGCTCGTCCACCCCGAGCATCTTCGACCGCGTCCGCGAGGGCCTCGTCACGGCCGAGCACATTGCCGACGAGGCGGGCCAGGTCGCAGCGTCGGTCGGCAAGGCGGCGAGGACGGCCCAAGCGGTCGAGGACGACCTCGAGCGCGCGTACGGCGGCGATGGGCGGCGGGGCAGAGCGAGCGGGACGAGGGCGACGTCGACGCCGAGCGCTCGCAGGACGTACGAGGGCGAGACGACTGAGGGCGAGTCGGAGAGCGAGGCGAGGACAGGCTTGATTCCTTCAAACGTCGACAAGGTGCGCCCTCTCGCCCTCACTTCCTCCATCTCGAGCGGTCCACTAACCGCTTCACGTTCAGCAGACGAGGCCGACGCCCAAGGTCGTGCCGTACCAGCCGGCGAGCTCGACGACGCGACAGCGCAAGAAGCCCGCCACGTCAAGCGCCGGCTCGGTCGCCGCCTTTTCGTCCACGGTGCGCTGCTCGTCCTCTTCCAGCTCTCCTCTCGGACCTTGAATTGACTCGTCAGGTTCTGTGCAGGTCGAGGCGACGCAAGAAGCCGTCGACGACCTCGCCGACGACCTCGAGCTCATCGCCTCGCAGCGCCACAGGCTCACGGGCCTCGCCTACGAGCGCCACACCAAGTTCCACAAGCGGCGCCCGCTCGACCCGCCGCGCACCCGAGCCGTCGAGCTCGACGAGGCGGTCAAGCTCGCCGCGCTCGTCGCCAACGCCAAGCCCGACCTCGAGCGCGCGTACCGCGACGTGAGCGCGCTCCAGCCTCGCCTCGCCGCACTCGTCGGCGCCCCCGCCTTGTCGTCTTCGTCTTCGTCATCGTCTCGTGCCCTGAAGCGCGCCCGCAAGGCGTACGACACGCTCACGCGCACGTTCGCGGCCGTGCTCGACTTTGTCGAGGACCGCGTCAAGGAGGAGGTCCGGGCGCGCGAGGACGGGCAGGCCGAGCAGGCGTTGCTCGGCCGCATGAAGGACGACCATCCCGAGTGGGAACGGGCCAAGCTCGTCGCGCAGCTGCAGCGGGCCAAGAAGGCGGCGGGCGAGACGACGCTCGCAAAGGTCGACGTGCGTCCCCTTCTTCCTCTCTCTTTCTCTCGGTCTCGAGCCTTCCCTCACCCTCCTCTTGTCCGCTCGCAGCATTCTCGCGACCCGTACACCGCCCGTTGGCTCCTCCAGCAACCCTTTACCGGGCTCGACGACGTTCTCCAAGCGATCGACCTCGCCGAGAACGGCATCACCAAGCGCGACGACGAGAAGACGGGCTCGTGGGCGCTCGGGTCGCTCCTCTCGAGGACTTTTGTGCGTCCCTTGATCTCTCTCTTTCCTCCGTGGTCCCCGCCGAGAAGCACCCTGACGCCTCGAGCCTGCCCGCAGTCGCCGACGCGCACGGGCCGCTCATCGTCCAGCTCGCGCAAGTCGTCGCGCGCCCGCAAGCGCTCGCGCGACGAGCTCGAGGTCGGCAAGACGCACCGCTACCGCTCGGAGGACAAGCCCCGAGCGTCTGCCGGCGGCGACTCGAGCGACGAGAAGGACCTGCTCTCGGGTGCGCCGACCCCGACGCCCAAGGGCGGCGGCGACGACGACGACAGCGACGACAGCTTTGACGCGTCGAACCTGCCTGAGCGGGTCCCGACGGACGACACGTCGGGTTACGTCGAGTCGAGGGAAGAGCTCATCGAGGACGCAAAGGCGCAGCGCAGGACCGAGCAGTGCGTCGAAATCTCTCTCTCTCTCTTTCTCTCTTTCTCGCCTTCTTTGCGCATGGACTGACTCTCGATCGACTCGTCGCAGCTTCTACACGCCCCTCGTCATCGTCTACTGGTGCGTCCTCGCTCCCCTTTTCCGCTCCGCCTCTTCGCCTCGCCGCGACACTGACGCTCCCTCGCCCGCCATTCCTCGTGCCGCCCCTCGCCTCGCAGGATCTGCATTGCCCTCCTGTACATCTACTACCTCGTCGCCCGCCTGCTCGGCTTTGACTCGCCGCTCGGCAACGTCGACCTCGGCTCGACCTTTGGCAACTCGGCGTGGAACGACACGCGCGACGGGCTCGTCCTCACGAGCACGACGGCCGCCGTCGTCGTCGAGTCGACGAGCAGCAGCGAGACGGGCCCGAGGGACCTGACGGGTGTGCCGAGCGCGACGGGCCTGAGCGAGGTGCTCGACCGTGCGAGCAGCCTCGAGGCGCTGCTGTCGAGCATGAGCGGGACGGCGACGGCGAGCGCGAGCGCGAGTGCGAGGGAGGGGACGGTGACGGCGATGGCGACGATGGCGCACGGGCGGGCAGAGGGCGAGGACGAGGAGTGAGAGTCGACGACTTGAAGAGAGGTCGGGTCGGAGGAGAGCTGCAACGACGAGTTTGGCCTCGGCCGCAGCGTAGCATGTGAGAGTCTCGAGCGGCGGTAGCATAGAGGCCTGTGCGGCCGGGAGCAAGCTCGTCGTGCGACAGTGTGTCCGACGAGCCGAGTCGCAGCGAGCTGAGGGAGGGGCGGCAGGCGGCGTCCAGGGCAGCGTGGAGAACGTCTCCCTCGCTGGAGAGACTATCGTTGCAGCCGTGTAGACTGCACCCTCGCCCGCTCGAGCTGTCTTCAGGAGTCGAGGGTGCAGGAGAGCAAGAGAGGGAGATGAGTCGTGCGAGCCTCGCTCGTCCTCCCACACCCGCACGATGCTCAGGACAGCACGAGCACGGGCACGAGCAGCACTGCGGCGACCAGCACCGCCGTCGACGAGCCACCGCAGGCCGGCAAGCTCTTTCCCCGGCGCCTCTCCTCCTCCCCCGCCTCCCCCTCCTCCGCCTCGGGTCTACATCCAGCCTGCGACCATCTACCCGTTCATCCTCCTGTCCATCATCACCTCGCTCGCCCTCAACCTCGGCCACCAGCGCACCGCCCGCGACACCGAGGCCGCCCGGTACCGCGCCCAGCTCTCGGTCCTCGAGTCGCTCCTCGCGCGAGCGACCGCCACAGCCCGCCCGCTGTCTGAGCGCGACCAGGACGACATCGAGCGCGAGCTCGAGCTCGTCGGGCTCGGCAGGGGCAGGGACAAGGCTGTCGTCGGCGCCGAGACGAGCGTGCGCGAGGCGACGAGCTGGACAGAGGTCTTCTTCGGCAAGAAGGGCAAGGCGTACGAGCAGGTCAAGGACGACACCGACTGGGACAAGGGTCCGTCCCTCTTCTCACTGCCCGTCGCGTGACGAGATGAGCCCACTGACCCTTCGTCCTCCTCGCACCCGGTCCATCCTCCTTCCCCTCTCTCCCCGTCCCACCAACGCTTTACCTGCAGTCTTCCGCGAGGCCGACGAGGCCGAGAAGATCCGGCAGAGCGCGCCACCGCCGGCCGTCGTCCCTGCAGCTTCCTCTCCCGCCCTTTCGCCTGTCGCCGCCGTTTCTTCCCCCGCCCCTCTTCCTCCTTCCTCCTCACCCGCACAGCCTCCCACACCCGTGCCACAGCCTCCCCCTCCCGCAAAGCCAACCTCGAAGGCTGTCTACCTGTAGCCCTGTCGTGCAACCCGCAGCATCTTCCGGCTCCTCGCGCTCGTGCCCCTCGAGAGAGAAAGGACCGCTCGCTCCTCGCTCGTGCTCAGTCTGGACACCGTCCGCAGAAGAGAGCTCGCGAGATACATCGAGCACTAGGCTGTACAACAACTGCGCGCGCCGTCCCTCGCACCGAGCTGCTCACGCACGCACCTCGTCCCTCGCGGCGAATGGCGAGCCGGCCTCGAGCCACGCCGGCAGCTCGCCTCCTCCTCCTCCTCCACTCGCCCCTGCCGCCCCTCCTCCACCCACAATCGCGCCGTCGAGCGGGTCAAAGCCCGTCTCGAGAAAGGCGCTCATGAACGACGCCGGCAGCGGCGACAAGTCGTCGAGGCTGAGCCCGAGCCCGCCCGTGCCGGCCGCGCCGCACGCCGCATCGGCCGAGGGCGCCGGTGCAAAGAAGATGTCGCCCGCAGGTGGACGACGAGCGCCGGTCCCGGGCGAAGCGGACGACGCCGGCGACGAGGACGAGCCTGGCGCAAAGACGAGGCCCGACGCCTCGAGCGAGGGGTGCGCGCCGGCGAGGAGGGGAGACGCGAGGAGCTTGGCGAGCGACGTGGCGCTCGTCTGCTGGGCGTGTGCGTCGTGAACAGGCGTGGGCGCGGCGTCGCTGTCGACGCGGCGGCGCTTGGTCGAGGTGCGAGGCGAGGTCGGCAAAGCGGGCAGCTTGGCCTCCTCGGCGAGGAGGTTCTCGATGAGGGCGGCGCCGCGAGTGGCGATGGCCGAGAAGGACGTCATGCCGCGCAGGGTCGACAGGGCTGCGACGACCTCGTCGCGCTCGGCGGCGAGGGTCGAGGCAGGCGAGGCCTGCTGGAAGAGGTCGAGGCAGACGACCGAGGCGGCGGCACTGATGCTGCAACGGACGACGAGGTCAGTCTCGGTGAGGGTGACACTCGGAGACAGAGAGCGAGGACGTACTGGTACTGCTCGAGGCGGCCGAGAGCGAGAAAGAGAAGGGTCCGTGCGGACGTGGGGTCGACGTTGGCCAAGGGCGAGAGAGGGGCGAGGGCATGGGTCAGTCTTCTCGATTGAGAGAGACGGAAAGAGAGTAGGGAAGACGAGGACGCACAGGCACGGTCCACATCCTCGAGTCGCCGATCCTCGCCGCCTCGCGCAGGATCGTCCTGCTCGCGTCGAGCGCCCGCTTGCGCGACGGCTCGTACCGCCGAAAGAAGGCACGATGAAGCGTGAGGACCTTGTGCGCCGAGCTGATGATGAAGGTCGTGCGCATCCAGGCGGCGTTGGGCGGCAGGCGGTCCGAGTGCGCCGAGTCGGACGTGAAGAAGGCGGGCACGCCGTCGAGAAGCTGCAGGACGTGACCGAGTCAGGCTTGTTGTTGCTCGGTCGAGTGAGGAGGACGATCGGGACGCACCTGCTGCAGCTGAGCGTCGAGCTCGAGGATGTGCTCGTACGACGGGTTCGGGTTCTCGTCGACGTGCTGGAACACCTGCTGGAGGATGCGGGCGACCTGGATCCACACGAGGAGGCGAGAGACGACCGTGTACTCGGTAGGCGGACGATTGATCAGGATGCCCGTCATGAGGTCCCTGCGAGCGACGGCAGAAGCGAGGTCAGGTCGCGCTCGAGGAGAGAAAAGGGCGGGTCCAGGGACGCACTCGTCATGCGCGTTCGAAGGCAGCGGCGTCGTGACCTGAGTAGGCTGAACGGCCGTCGTTCTGCGATACGGGATCTGCGAGAGGAGGGCCAAGGTGGTCAGTCTTGCTCGTCGACCTTCTCAACTGCCGCGCAGAGGGAAAAGGGACGGACCGAGAACCAGTCTTGGCTCGTCAGAGCCCAGAAGACCCTCTTGCGAGTCTCGTACGCGATCAGGCTCTTGGCGCGAGCCTCGAGCGACTGGCCCTCGACCGATGCGAGCCACAGCTCCTCGGACGGCAGGCGGTGCAGGCCGAGGTCCTGGGCGAGGCAGATACCGCTGCGGGTGCACGAGGCGTCAGTGACTCGACGAGACGAGGAGGCTCTAGGGGAAAGAAGGGAGAGGGGGGACGCACGTCGAGAGAAGCATCGGGAACAGGTTGCTCTGCGGGACGTCCTGGCAGCCGACGACGAGGATTGTGATGGCCTGGACGGCGTGCAGCTGGTGGTTCTCGAGGAAGTGGGACCGGTACAGGCAAGCGAGGGCGGCGTCGAGGTGCGTCTTGGTGAGCGTGCGCATGTCGTCTGCGTCGTGCACGGTCCGCCAGGTCAGACTCTCGCCCGCCGTGCAGCCTCGAGATGACGATGAGGACGCGAGGACGCACCGTCGTTGAGCCCGAACGGGCCGAGCTGCTTGAGCTGCTCCCTCGTCATGTGCTTGACCCCGCACGCAAGCTGGGCGAACAGGAGCGCGAGCCACGCCGGGCTCGCCGTCTCGAACCTCGTCTCGTCCGGATGCGACATGAACTCGGCGAGCTCGGCGCGGAAACTCGGCGCGTGGATGCAGGCGTGGTGCCACCCGGTCGACTCGAGGGCGTGCTCGATGATGAGGTGCGTGTCGGCGGGAGGCGGGAGGACGCGCGCGAGCGAGGCGGACGTCGGGAACTGGGCCGACGGGTGCTGAGGGAGCGAGGCCGGGTCGAACACCGACGACAGGTGTACTGGATGGTGCGGCGAGATCTGCAGAGCGTGAGAGTGGGTCCGTGAGCGGACCGGTCGACCTTCTCAAGTTGAGAGTTCGGGAGGAAAGGGAGGCGAGGCGCACCTGGGCGTTCTGAGCTGACGACTGAGGGCCAGTGAGCGCCCTATTGCGACCGAGAGCCTGCAGGACGGGGCAAGATGAGTCAGTAACCCGGGTGCAGCGACCGAGAGAGGAGAACAAAGCCGGCGCACCATGAACTCGAGGCTCAAACTCGCGGCGACCTCCTCCTCGCGCAGCTCGTCGCTCCTCTCCCGCCCTTCCTCGTCCCGCTCATCCATCTCGGCACCCGCTCCCGCCTCCTCCTCGCCCCGCGCCGCCTGCCCCGCCTGCTCGAACGCCCCGAGCCCGAACTCGCTCGACGGCCCCGTCCCTCCCTCGAGCCCGCGCCCGCCCTCGAGCGGCGGCAGCGTGAACGCCGTCGTGTGCGAGCTCGACGCCGAGCGGTCGAGGCCGTACTCGGGCGGCATGGACCCAGAGCCGCCCGACGTGGACGGGCGCGAGACGCGTTGCGCGTCGTGCTGATGCGGGTACGGGTGCGGCGAGTGCGAGGGATGGAGGGGTGGCGGCATGAAGGGAGGGTAGGCGGTGGCGCTGCCCGAGGCGTAGGGCGTGAGGCCGCTCGACGAGACGAAGATGTCGCCGTGCGGATCGTGCAGGCGAGAAGGGAGAGGGAAAGGGGGCTGCGCGCTGCCGTCAAACGTGAGGCCGACGGCGTTGCGCATGTGCGACGAGGCGTCGTCGTCCGGCTTGACGCCGTACGGGGCACGAGCGGCGCCGACGCCGCCTTGCAGCGCCGCGTTGACCTCGGCGCACCGACCCTCGTCCTGGGCGAGTCGACCGAACGCGGCGACGAGGAGGCTCTCGAGGCCGGTGAGGCGCGTGCGCAGGCCGTCGATGGTCGAGTGGATGGCCTCGACCTCGGCAAAGGCGCTCATGGCGAGCGCGTCGACCGTCGCCGGCGTCGTGTGCGCGAGCCGAGGGTCGCCCGACGTGCCCGCCGGCGTGATAGGCGGCGTGCCCGGCGGTCCTGCGACGCCTAGAGGCGGTGGAAGAGGAGCGGCCGAGTACTGGAGGGGCGTACCGCCGGCGGCGGCGACTTGGCGCAGGCGGTCGGCGTCCTTGGGGCGGACGTGCGGGACGATGTGGCACAGGTGCGCCTTGTTGCGCTTGACGCAGTTGCCACAGCTGTACGAGGAGGAGGGTGAGCGACGGCCCATGAGCTCCAGCTCGTCTCGCGAGCCAAATAACTCGCACGACGAGCGAGGGGGACGAGGCGACTCACGGAACGCCCTTGTCGCACCTCGTCTTCTGCTCGAGGGACAAGGACAGACGAGACGTCGTCGTTGCGGGCGTCGTGGAATAGCGAGGCGCAGGGAAGAGGCGAGGAAGAGGGAGCGCGGCGGACGCGGAGGTTGCACATTTCGAGGCGGAGGAAAGTTGGCGTAAACGGGGAGGACGAGGGCGATAGGGAGAGGGGCAAGTGTCAGTACTGCGTCCATCTGGTCGAGAATGCGCCATGAGGCCGCACTGCGGCCCATCGCCAGCCCTCTGTCCCAGTACACCGGCGCCGACGAGACTCGCAAGAGGAACCAGCGGACGCACCCTCCTCGCGCACTCCGAGCACGAGCTGCTCGCCCTCTGCGAGATGCGTACAGTCGGCACGGTCGGCAGGCTCGCCATCAGGACGGTCCCAGGCGCCGTGGTCGTCGAGGATAGCTCGCCGAGGCCTGCTTATCGGGCGAGGTGGAGGAGGCGAGGCGGTCGGTCGCTGAGGGCGCTGTGAATCGGTGGGCGGGCGCTGGACGCGGGCGATGAGCCGGAATGTGCTGGCTGGACGAGGCGCACGCGCACGGCGAGGTCGGGGGAGCGTGCTGGAGCGAGAAAGCCAACCCGGCCGAGCGAGCGAGCGGCCACGACGCAAGTTCCCATTCGGCTTTTCTCTCTCTCTCTTTTGTGGAAGGAAAGCAACGAGCTCTATGTGCGACTGCAAGAGAGGGCAAGAGACGAGGAAGGACGAGAGGCTCGGGGGTACTGACTAGAGAGGGAGGGCGAGGGAGAGACGACCGGAGAGACGAGGCTACCCAAGAGAGAGAGAGAGAGAGTGACGAGAGAGAGAGCCTGCTGAAGAGAGGGGAACAAAAGAGAGAGAGAGAGAGAACGTCCTTTTGAGAGCGACTAGCGCGAGGAAAGGGAGGGAGACGAGTTGGGCGACGATGACGACGCTCACTTCTTGGCGTTGAGCCAGTCCTTGACCTGCGTGGGTGCGCTCTGGGTCAGTACGAGACGTAGGAAGGGAGAGGGCAAAAGAGGGGGACGCACGATGTCGGCGAATGAGACCATGCAGACCTGGAGGACGCGCGAGGAGTGTCAACACGTCTGCTCGAGACCATACCTCGCGCCTGCCTTGCGCACACGCAGGACAGACTAGAGGAAGAGAGAGCGACAGCGGACGCACCGTCTGCCAGATGCCGAGGCCGATGCGGGGCGTGACGCCGCGGTAGAGCCCCTTGATGCCGTTCTCGCGGTAAATGTAGGCGAGCGTGTTGGCGATCGTCGGCTTGGCCGGGCGCGCAGCGTCCGTCGGCGCCGCCTTGGCCATCGACTGCATCTGCGGGTCGCAAAAGGGGACCGAGAGGGGAGGGTCAGTCTGGGTGCGGTGCCATCGTTCGGCCAGCTGCTGTTCGTCCTCGTCCCAGCGAGGGCGAGCCGCAGCGGACGGGAGGGACGGCATAGACGCACCTCGACACGGACGACCTCGATCGGCTGGTTCCAGCACCCAAGCGCGCCGCCGAACGTCGACGCGGCGATGCGGTCGAGCGTGTCGAGCTTCTTGCCCTCGGGGATGCCGCGCGCGTTGCGGATCGACTGCTCGGCGAGGCGCGCAAAGCCCATGCTGCGTGGCGCGAGGCAGCGTGTGAGCGAGTGGACCCTGCGAGAGAAGGAGAGGGAGAGGGAAGGAGGAGACGCACCGAGAGCCCCAGTTGGTCATCTGGCGGAGCGCGACGGCGTTGACGCCCTTGTTGATGCCGCGGATGCCGTCCTTCTTCCACATGTCGCCAAAGAGCTTCCACCTGCGCGCGATACTCGGTGCTCGTCAGTGACCGCTCGCTCTGTCGCGACGAGAGGGAGAGAGGCACGACGCACGTCGACGGCGGGTTCTGCCCGTTGACGGCCATCTTGCTCCTCGTGATCTCGGCCGTCTTCATGCACGTGCAGAAGCCTGTGCGCGTGGATGGATCAGTTCGAGCTCGAGGCGAGCGCGACCCGGGCAGGGCTCGCGCGCTCGAGCGAGGGAGATGGAGAGGCTCGCGACGCACCGACGGTCGCGTACGCCTGGGCGACACCGCCACCCATGCCGCCGAGGAGGCCGGCCGTCGCGGGGCCAATGCCGGCCGTCATGGCGGCGCCCTCGATCTCGGCCGCCGCGAACAAGAGGACGGCGCCCTTGGTCGACGCCTCGATCCACGCCCACGGGATCAGGCCCTGGTAGACTGCGTGCGTGTGCGGGTCCTCGACAAGTCAGTGCTGCTCGACTGAAGAAAGGAGAGCAGGAGGGAGCGAGGGGACGCACAGCCGAGGACACCGCCGCGGCCCCAGACCTTGGACAGCGCCGTGCCCATCGTGTCGCCGCGCTGCGACGCCATCTGCGTCTTGACGACCTCGAGCGGCTGACCGAGGGTCGTGACCTGGAAAAGGAGACGTGGCGAAGGAGTGTCAGTGCGACTGTCCGACGAGGTGGGGAGCTGCGCGTCAATCCTCTGGCAGGCACGCCGCACGAGCTCCTGGAGAGCAGCCCAGGCAGGCGAGAGATACAGAGACGGCGCCTGCTCACCTCGAACATGTTCATGATGCCGCCGAGGGCGATGTTGGACCAGTTGATCTGGCGCTTCTGGCCGGGGACCACGGGAGCTGCGTCGATGGCCATCTTGGTGCTGGAGCCGCGTGTGCGGTGTCGGTGCGAGAGGGTGTGGAAAGGCGGGGAGCTGCAAAGCACAGGGCGCAGGGTCAGCGACGGGTCGAGCGAGGGCGCGCTCGTACGAGGTGGGCGGGAGGGGGGTGCGTCAAGCGCGACGGGGGCTTGGGGGGAGGCGCCAAGGGGGGCGCAGATGGTGCTAGAGAGGAACACTCACAGTGCTAGAGCTTCGAGGCGAGCAAAGGCGCGTCGAGGGAGGAGGGACGAGGCGTTGAGGAGATAGTGGGGTTGAGGACGTGGAGAGGTGCGGGCGGGTGAGGTCGACCGAGGGCTGGCGAGAGGGGTGCGAGGCGCTCGAGTGGCGGACTGTGAGCTGTCGTGAGGCTCGAACAGAGAGCTAGAGGTGGGAGGAAGAGGAGAGGAAGCTCTGCTCTCGAAACTTGGGGCAGGAGGAGCGTGAGCGTCGATCACAGCTCGCTCTCGACCGTGCGCTGGCTCGCTCAGCTCACTGTGTTGTAGCTGCAGTCGTACGTCGCCTCGTGCCCTCAAACGCGGCGCGCGAGAGCGAGAGAAATGACGAGACGGCGGCCAATCGCTCGCAGCGAGAAGCAGCTCTCGAGCCTCTCGACGCACGCCGTCGCACACCTGCCTGTGCGCCTCTCTCTCTCTCTGCTCTCCGACACGCTCTCGACGAGGAACCGGAGATGTTCGGCACGGTGTCTTTGCGCCGGGAACGACGGCGAGTCAAAAACGGGCGCAACGCTCGATTGCACTCGTGCTGCTGGATGCGTCTGCTGTGGTGTCCGGGTGATGTCGCGGCCTTGGCCTTGTCGAGCGCGTGCTCGTGTCGCTGCGGCGCTGCCGCACGGCGGATGGGCTGCGGGCGGAAGGAAGGTGAGCGGCGGGCCTCGAGACGTCGAGAGAGGCGGGACGCACCTGGATAGCCCGTCCTGACGATTCTTGTGGTCGCCTCGGTCGGCGAGGTCGTCCTGGCAGGCGGGCGTCTCGTTCACGCCTGCTTCTCGGGCAACTTCGAGCGCAGCCAGTCACGCAAGTCAACGGCGCCGCCTGCGACGCCGCCGAGCGCGAGGCCGAGTGCGAGCCTGCGCGCGACGGTGTGTCGAGAGAGGCGGTCTGCGTCCGGCGGGCGGAAATGAGCGTGCCGAGCGCGACAGAGAGTGGCACGCAGAGAGAAAAGAGAGAGGTGGACGCACACCACCAGCTCGCGGTACCGGCCATGCCCACGCCGGCGACGCCGCCCGCGACCGCCTTGGTCCTCAACGCGTCGTCGCTCGCTGTCGGGTGAACGAGCTGGACGGCCGAGCGCAGGCCCGAGTCGACCGTCTCCTCGAGGGTGAGAAAGGCGCCGGTCCAGAGGGCGAGGCGACCGCCGGTGCGCAGGCCGCCCTTGATGCCGGCCCACAGGACGCGGTAGTTCTTGGTCTTCTGGTAGAAGTACCAGCTGCGGCGAGTGAGAGGGCAGAGGTCAGTCAACGGGGAGGGAGGGGGAGGGGGAGCGAGGAGGAGAGAACCGCTGTCGCGGCGGCGGGAAGACTCACCCCTGGACGGTGGTGGGCAGACGGTGGGCGTTCTCTGCGAGGAACTGCTTGGCGGCGAGCTTGGAGGACGAGACGAGGCCCGAGGTGAAGCCGAACAAGAAGGCGGAGGTGGGCGCGAGGACGACGAGGGAGGGCGCAGGGCCGAGTGGTGGCGGCTGTGGAGTAGCCTGGGCCATGTTGGAGTACAGCAAGCACTCGTACAGGCCTGCTTGGCGCAGTGGACGATGAGCGACGAGCCCGGGTTCGCTCCATCTCGTCGCTCGAGGAAACCCTTTCCCCTCTCGACCCTTCCCACCTCGACCGCGCCGCTCAAGGTCGCACCAGGCTAGCCGACAGCTCATCGCACTTGGACAGCTCTCGCCTGAGCCGCTCGCGCAAGCCCCGCAGCTCGTGGTCGTCCGCGTGCCGTCACCTCGAGGTGGAGACAGAGGTGCGTCCCTTCTCCGACGATCGACAGCTCCAGGCGCCGCATGCTCACCTCGAACCTGTGCGCAGTTCCTCGTTCGACCGCAGCGACATGCCTCGCCCTGCCCCAGCAGCGCTGCGACGAGCTTCATCCGCCGTCGCCTCGAGCGCCGCCGCGCCTTGCACCTGCCGACCTCCACCCAGGCCAGCAGCAGCTCCGACAGCACCGCCATCAAGCCCGTCGTCGTCAGCACCTTACTCGACCGCGGCAACCACCTCGACCGCGACCCTGTCGGGCGCCGCCGTTCCGCCCGTCCTCGACTTCCTCGCACCGGGCTTTGGCTTCTTCTCGCGCGCCCTCCCGCCAGTCTTGTCATCAAGCGCGCCCCCACCATCTCGAGCGCCAACCGCTGCGCCCGGCACCTCCCGCGCCGAGTCGCACCGTCCTGCGCCGCCCCATCACCGCCACTCGTTCGCGCGCCCCGCCGCCGCCGCCGCCCTCGCCTCAGCCGCACGCGTTCGACGTGCGCTCGTGGCGCCCACTGTCGACCTCGGTCTCGGCGGCGACGGGCACGCCCGGCGCACCTTTGCGCAGGAGCGCGATCCCGCTGCCCGCCGCGTGCGTGTGCGGCAGGGTGCGCCAGAGCTGCTTGCGGTGCAGGGGCAAGTCGACGAGCGCGGTGAGGCGCTCGAGGGCGGACGAGGGGCCGTCGGTGCTGCTGAACCGGGTGGAGGACGAGGAGCTGGTGGCGGTTCCGCGCGAGGGCAAGGGCAAGGAGGTCGAGCGGGAACCGCGCCAAGCACGGGGCTCGAGCGAGGGCAGGAGCGGGTCGGGAGGACTTGCCGGCAAGGAGGACCCGACGACAAGTACGTCTCTGCTCCTGTCACGGGTGCCCGGGCGATGCACTGACCTTGTTCCACGTCCTGCAGCGACATCGCCCAGCCCGCCCGTTACGCCTTCCTCCCGCCTGCGTTCCCTCCTCGCCCAACACGCCCCGCCTACCCTCCCACACGTGCGCGGCACCGGCATCATCCGCGCTCGCCCTTCCTCCCGCACCCGCCGCAAGTCGACCTCGCCGCGCACCCCTCCTTCCTCGCCACACACCCTCACCGTCGCCCAGGCGCGCGCAGCGCTCGACGCGCTCACCGCCGCCGCCCAGGACGGCGACTTCTACCATGCCCTGTCGACGAGGGAGCAGCTCGACCTCGTGCGCGCCCTGTCGACGGTCGCACGGGCCGTCCAGCCCTTCCCGTCACCCGACCCGCTCGCGCCTCGATCCGCGCCGGCCGACGCACGCCGCACCGCCCTGCGCCACCGCGCCTCGGGCGCCATGCTCGACCTCTTGCGCCGCTCGCGCCACAGCCTGACGGCGTTCGCGTCGCTCGGCACGTCGCCGTACTCGAGCCTGCGGCAGAGCGCCGCGCTCCTCCTCCTCGACGCCTTTACGCTCGCCGATGCGCTGGGCGCTGTCGGGCACGCCCTCCTCGGCGACGGCGACGGCGACGGCACGGTCGAGGCGCGCGAGCTCGCCGAGGCGCTCGAGACGCTCTTTCGGCCGCCGCCGTTCGACGCGGTGGCGGGCGGCGCGGCCGTCGCAGACGGCGAGGCGAGCTCGGGCGAGAGGCGCAACAGGGCGAGGGACGTGGCGATGCGGCTCGAGAACCAGCGCACGGCGTTCGCGCTCCTCCTCCAGCTGTGGCGCACGCCGGCGTCGCTCTCGTCGTACGCCGCCGAGCAGGCCTTGCGGCTCGTCACGTCTTACGCCGTCCCGCCGCTCGACGCCCTCTTCGACGCGCACGTCGACGGCTCGAGCTCGTCGACCCGCGCCCAGGACGGCCTCAATGACGTCCTGCGCCGGTCGTACGGCTCGCTCCTCGCCGCCCTCGAGCCGTCGCCCGCGTCGTGGTTCGTCGACCGCATGGTCGTCGAGGGCGAGCCGCTCGCCGTCCAAGCCGAGCGCGCGGCCGCGCACCTCGTGCGGTTCCTCGCCAAGACGGGCCACCCGATCGCGGCCCTCGACGTCTACCGCGCACTCGAGCAAGCCCGAGCCGACGCCGTTGCAGTCGACGACGCCGAGACGCTGCGCACGCTCAGCGCGCTCGTCCTCGGGCTCACGCGCGAGCGCCTGTACGACGACGCCGCGCCGCTCGCCACGCAGCTCGAGCGCGTCGCCGGCGCCCTGCAGGTCGACGCCGACACGACGAGCGCGACCGAGAGCGCCTCGCTCGACGATGGCCCCGGCGAGTCCGCCGCCGCCAAGCTCGAGCTCGTCGCCTCGGCGTACCGCACGCTCGCCAAGCTCGCGTCGGACCAAGGGCGCAGCTCGACTCTCGAGCGCCTCCTCGGCCGCCTCGCGCGCCTCGGCATCAAGCCGTCGACGTCGCTCGAGCCGAGCGCGCGACGCCTGCGCGTCCAGCTCGTCCGGCAGGAGCTCGAAGAGGTCCGCGCCGCGTTCGCCTCGGCCGACGTGTCGCGTGCGAGCGACGGCGACCGGGCCCGGCTGTGGGCCCAGCTCATCGTCGCGCACGTGCGCGTCAACGACGTCGAGGGCGGCATCCGGGCGCTGCAGGACCTCGTCGGCGCCGGCCTGAGCGCGCCGCTGTCGGCCGTCAACTCGATCCTGCACGGCTATGCGCGGCGCGGCCACGCCAAGCAGGCGTACGACCTGTTCGGGCAGCTCGCCGGCGGCGCGTTCGAGACGCTCAAGCCCGATGCGACGAGCTGGAACGCGCTCGTGCTCGCGCACGCCGTCGCCCACGACCCGAGCGCGGCGGCGGCGGCCGTCTCCAGCATGAAGGCGGCCGGCGTCGCGCCGACCCGGCAGACGTGGACGACGCTCATGAACGCGTACGTCGAGGCCGGCATGTGGTCGGCCGCGTTCACCGTGTACCGGTACCTCGAGACCAACCCGGACCCGAGCCTGCGCCCCGACACGCCCGTCGCCAACGTCATGCTCAAAGCGTGTCTCGTCACGGGCACCTCGGCGCAGAAGGTCCTCGACCTGTTCACCCACCTCGTCATGAACGGCGTCCGCCCCGACATGGCGACCTACACGCTCGTCATGCAGGCCCTGTGCGCCTCGAGCATGATGGGCGCCGCCGAGGACCTGTACCGCTTCATCGACAGCGGCGACCACGTGCACGGCTTTGCGTCGCGCGGCGCCATCAAGCCCGACGTGGCCATCTTCTCGTCGCTCATCGCCGGGTACGCTCGGCGCGGCGACGGGCCCAAGGCGCGCGCCTGCCTCGCCGAGATGCGCGCTCGCGGCTTCCACCCGTCGTCCGTCACGGTCGCCATCATCGTCGGCGCGCGCCTCATGCGGTACGAGGACGACTTGAGCGGGACCCGCCTCAAGAAGGCGATCGAGCTCGCGACGACCCAGGCGCGCTCGTTCCTCGAGGACGCGACCGTCGACAGCGACGCGCCGTCGGTCGTCCGCAAGCAGCGCTCCGAGGCGCTCGAGCGGCGTCGCACGCGCCAGGCCGTCCGCGTCGACCGGCCCCTCGCGGCGGGCAGGGAGGCGCTCGCCGTCTTTGGGCCGCTCCTGCGCACGCTCGCCCGCACGGGCGAGGCCTCGGACGCGCTCCAGCTGTTCGAGGAGATCCTCGACCGCAGCGACGAGCTCGACCCGGACGCCGACCCGCCCATCGCCCTGTACACGACCCTCATGACGGCCTTTTGGCAGCGCGACCAGCCGCTCGGGCCGCTCCAGGCCGAGGCCGCAGCCCGCAACGTCAACCTCGTGTGGACCACCTTGTACGACTCGGTCGCACGGCGCTTTGTCCGCCTTCGCGCCGTCGATCCCGCCGCCGCGTCAAGCAGCGGCCACCGGCCGAGAGCGGCGGGGTCGATCCGGCGCAGGCGGCGTCGCTTGTGCCTCCCGTTCACATCCTCGTCGAGTCGGCGAGCCGAGCCGGCCTGCACATGCTCGTCGAGCCGACCTGGCGCCGCCTCGCCCGCGAGGGGTTCGCTTCGACGCGTCCAACTGGAACGCGCTCGCGCTCTACTTCATCCACGACATGCAGCTCGAGCGCGCCCTGTGGATCACCGAGCACGTCCTGTGCGAGCCGACGCCGCTCAAGGGCCTCGCGCGCACCGGCGACGCCGGCTCGGACGCGCCCGAGGACATCCAGGTCGCCGACTTTGAGCGCGAGCTCGGCGGCTTGCGCCGCGCCGACGCCGTCGGCCGCTCGCCCGCACGCTTGTGGATGGGCCGCATCAAGGCGCGCGAGTCGCGCCGGCCGCAGACGCAGGCGCAGCTCGTCGAGCACCTCCAGAGCCTCACGACGAGCCCGACCGCCCGTGACGGGACGCTCGGCGCCAAGCTCGGCAGCGCGCTCGCCGACGCGCACAAGAAGCAGAGCGCGGCGCTGTGGCACCCGTTCGGGCGCACGCTCGGCGAGCTCGAGGCGGCGCTCGACCTCCTGTCGGCCAAGGGCACCCTGCGCATCGAGCGCAAGTACGAGCGCCGCCTCGCCAGGGCCGACAGGGCTCCTCTCTCGCCCTCGATCGTCACTCCAGCTCCCGCCTCGAGCTCGACCTCGTCGGCGTCGACGGCCGAGGGCGAGGCCGAGCCGGGGACCGAGCGCGGCGAGGTGAGCACCCTCTCGCCGCAGGAGGCTGCCGAGGCGAGGCAGGACCTCCAGCGCCGTCACCCGAAGACGATGCGCGCCCTCGAGCTGTGGCGTACGCGGCGCGAGCGGCTCGCAGCCGAGCGCACGGCGCACGAGCAACGCGCCGGACGAGCTTTCTGAGCCGGTACGCACCCTCTCTCTCTCTCTCTCTCTCTCTCTCTCTCTCTCTCTCTCTCTCTCTTCCTCTTTCACCGGGTCCAAAGCCTGACCCTGCCTCTCGCCGTCCGTCACAGCCTCGCTTTCGGTCGATTGGCCACCGTCTCGTACATTTCGCCGTCTTCCTCTTTAGCGACGAGGTCGACTTTCTTCCCTTCCTCCCCCTCGTCGCACCCGCACTCGCACCCGCAGCCGCATGACTCGCCGAACCCGCACTCGCAACCTGCACCCCCGCATCTCTAGACCCTCCTAGATCTCGTTGTACCCCTCGTCGTGCGCCGTCTGCCGTTGCCCTGTTGTGCCCGCTCGCACCCCCTCTCGCACCTCGCAACTCAGTCCTTGCCTCTCTCTCTGCCTCGTCTTCTCGGTGCATCTCTCGAGAGATTGTTGCGACGAGGTTGCACGCTTCTACTCAGCAAAGATGATAGAGGAGTGAGAGAGCTTGCGCGAAGACCAGAGGAAGAAGAGGCCGGGGGAGGGAGAGAGGACGAGGCACTGACAACAGCGGCGAGTGCGCAGGACGTGGGGTTGTACAAGGTGAGGAGGAGGAACTGTGCAAGGAGAGTCTCGACAAGACGGAGGGGTGGCTGGGAGGGAGAGCTCGTCGGGTCACGCCGCGGCTGGGGGAGCGCCTTCGGCCGCAGGAGGAGGCGCCGCCGCCTGCGCGGAGCTCGCCGCCGGGCTCGCCAGCTCGACGATGAGCCTCACGGCGCACTCGAGGAACAGGTACGGGCTCGACACCTCGGCCGCCGTACGGCGCTTGCCCTGCGCCGGGGCGCTCGCACCCCCTGCGCCGCTCGACGACGCGACGCGCGAGCCGAGGAGCTCAGGCTTGCGCGCGCGCAGCTCGTCGGCCGTGTTGCTGTGCGGGACCGACGACGAGAGGGCCGGGGTACCGGGCAGGGCCGAAGCCGATGCGGCGCCAGTGAGCGACGGGAGCTCGGCCGTGCCGAGGTAGGGCGACGTCATGGTCGACCCGGTCGGCGAGACGATGTTGGACCCGGTTGGCGACACGTCGCTCGAGCGCGGCGGAGCCGACAGGTTGGACAGGGAGCCGATCGCGCCGGACGAGGGCCGCAGAGGGCGGTACCCGAGGTTGCGGAAGTCCACCAGGTAGTTCTGGTCGTCGATGCGGTACAGCTGCAGGTCCATGCGCACCTGCAAGAGGAGGGTGAAGGGCCAGAAAGTCAGTCGAGGCTCGGGAACTCGGTGAGGAGGGAGAAAGAGAGATGAGGGGACGCACCATGACGTCGTCCATGCGGCACCTCGTCTCGACAAAGTAGAGCTCGTGCGCCTTCTTGATGCGCTCCTCCTCCTCCCTCCGCCTGCGCCTCTTCTCGCTCTCCTTCTCCTCGGCCCTGCTCGAGCCCTCGTCCTTCTTGCCCTCGCCGCACGGACCGCCCGCGCCCTCGTCGCCTTCTCCCGCCTCGCGCCGCACGCGCCACTCCATCTTGAGCGCCTTGAGCGTGCGGTAGATCTCGAGCATGACCTCCATCGGCTCGCTGCGCGACCGTATCCCAAAGTGCCACCGCTGGCGCAGCCGCTTGGTCGTCGACGTCGTCGAGCTGTGCTGCTGCACCGACACCTGCGGCACCGACGCCGACGTGACGGCCATGTTGGTCCCGCCCTGGCCCTGTTGCTGCTGCTGCTGCTGCTGAGCGGCGTCGCCCGCCGCGCCGGCTGCGGGCGTCAGGCTCGTCGTCGGCGTGAGCGGCTGCGCGCCGCTGCGCAGCGGCGAGTTGAACCGGTGCAGGAGGGGCCGGCTCGGGGCGCTCAGGGCCGCAGCGAGCTCGGGATCGTCGTCGAGCGGGCGCCGGAGCGACGTCTCGAGGACGCGGATCGTGGTCGGCGCCGAGGGCGGTGCGCGAGAGTCGATGGTCGGCGTGGACGGGTCCGAGTCGGCGGCGGGCTTCTTGCGCATCGTCGGCTTGCGGTTGCGGGGCTGCGAGAGTGCGCGAGCGAGAGAGTCGGTTACAGGTTTCGGGAGAGGGAGGAGGAGGAGAGAGAGGGGACGCACGTCGCCCGGCGGCGCGTAGAAGCTCTGGATCGCCTCGGCGTCCTCCCAGTGCGCTGCAGTTCAAGGAAAGAGGCGCAACGTCAGTCGAGCTGCGCGCGAGGAGGAGGAAGAAGAGAGAAAGGAGGGACGCACAGCCCTCGACCATGCGCTTGTTGTCGCGGCACAGCTGGTACGCGATCCGAAGCTCGCGGTCGCCGCCCTCCTTGAGCTTGCTCCACACGTCGTCGCTCTTGAGGTCGGCAATCTTGCTGCACAGGTCGTCGACGATCTCCTGGTCGACGACGCCGAGGCCGTCGACCCACTCGCGGCGCCGACCGTCCTGCGCCGCACCTGCGCCGCCGCCGCCAACGAGGCCCATGCCGCTCAGCGCGAGCGCAGCGCCTCGTCCGACGCTCGCCGACGCGAATGCCGCGATCGGGTCCTTCTCGGCGACGGGCGTGCGCGTGCCGTCGCTCTGGCCGCCGGCGAGCGTGCTCGGCGTGAGCGGGCCCATGGCGCCCGGCTCGTTGCCCGTCGGCGTCTTTGGCTCGCTGCCATCGACCGAGCGCGGGTGCTCGACGTGCTCGTACGAATGCTTCTCGTCCTGCCCCTCGTACGGCGCCGACAGGGGCGGGAACAGGTACGACGGGAGGTCCTTCTGGAACCAGGGCAGCTGGCGCAGCTCGTGCAGCTTGATGCGCTTGTTCGAGTCGACTGTGAGCATGCGCGACAGGAGCGACCGCGCCTCGGCCGACAGGAAGGGTGGGAGCGAGAAGATGCCGCCTGCGCGCGAAGGAACGAGGTTCGAGTCAGGTCCGGCTCGCCTGGCGCCGACGACGGGACGAAAGGAGAGAGCGAGAGGGACGCACCGTTGATCTTCTTGAACAGGAGCGGGATGTGGTCGTCGTCGAACGGCAGGCGGCCGCACAGCATGACGTACAGGATCACGCCGCACGACCAGATGTCGATCTCGGGGCCGGCGTAGAGTCTGTAAGGCAAAGCCAAAGCCGATCAGTACACGCTTCCGAGCTGGCGGAAACGAGTGCTGAAAGTGCGGCGGGCGGCAGGACTCACTTGCCGCTGATGACCTCGGGCGCGGCATAGTTGGGCGAACCGCACGACGTCTTGAGAAAGTCGCCGTCGCGCATGATGTTGGACAGGCCAAAGTCGGCGATCTTGACGTTCAGGTTCTCGTCAAGGAGCAGGCTGTGCGCGAGGACGACGAAGGCAAGTCAGTCCGGCTCTTTTCGCTCACAAGGAGGGAGAGGAAGGGGTAAAACGCCCGTGGCGGACGCACTTTTCAGGCTTGAGGTCGCGGTGCACAATGTTGTGCGAGTGGCAGTAGTCGAGGGCGCTCATGATCTGCTGGAAGAAGCGGCGCGCCTCGTCCTCGGGCATCTTGCCTCGCCGCACGATATAGTCGAACAGCTCGCCCGAGAGGTACTCGATGACCATGACGATGTCGGACGGGGTCGAGATGACGTCGTAGCTGCAGGGGGATGCGGAACAGGGTCAGCTCGCGTGCGCAACAAGGCGGCGAGAGACGGCGGGACGCACAGCTTGATGATGTGGGGATGCCGCAGGAGCGAGAGGTACTGGATCTGCGGCAGGGTGGCAGAGTGTCAGTCGAGTTGCATCTACTACAGAGCGCATGCATCTTTCTGCGCGGCGCCCGGTAGAGAGTGCGCCGTCAACTGACCTCGCGATGAACTCGGTTGGACATCTCGGCGGTCGAGATCTTGCGCTTGCTGATGAACTTGAGGGCGACCTTGAGGCCCGTCTTGACGTGTCGTGCGACTGCAGGCGAGGACGCAAGGGGGGGGTCAGTGTCGGTGGGGGGAGACGAGGAGCTGCCGGGGTTAAGACGGCAAGGGCGGAGGAGGGGAGGGAGGGAGAGAGGGGACGCACGCTTGACCTTGCCAAACGAGCCGGTGCCGAGGGTAGCTGCAGGGTGGTGCGGGGCAGGTAAGCGTCAGTACGTGCTGGCGCGGGCAAGACGACGCGGCGGGAACGAGGGTGGGGGGAAGCCTCGGGCGGAGGGGCGAGGGAGAGCCACGCCCTGACGGCTCGGCGGGTCGAGTGGGCGCTCAGAGAGGGGCGGCGGACTGACAGAGGATCTCGTACTCCTGCGCAGGGCCACGGACCGTGGTCAGCGAGGGCCAAGGGAGCGGCCGAGGATGGGGGGGAGACAGAGGACGCACTCCGACGACCGTGGGCTTCTTGGACGACGACGAGGGCTGTGGCGGGTGGCCAGGGGTCGGCAGCGGTGCTCGGTGCCCTTCCTTGTGGGCTGGCATCGTGGTAGCGAGTGAGGGACGAGCCAGAAGCCTCGCAGAGGGGAAGGCCCGGGGTCGAGGCGATCCAGCGGGCGGCACTCGACAACAACCTCGTAGCTCTCTGTGTGAGCTCTGGGATCTTCTTTGACTGCATCAGACGCCGCCTAAGCCACCTGCACAGACACCCGAGTGAGATGCGGTCGAGCGAGGTGGCCGCTCCTCGTCTCACCGCTCTCGCCGCCCTCGCTCGGCTCCGAGCAGCTCGTTCGGATGGTTGAACTTCGTTGGAGAGCCATGGACCCGCATGCAAGCTGGCCGCACACACAAGAGAGAGTCGCAAGTTGCGACATGACGCTTCACCCCGCAGACGACACCTCGTCTCGCTCTCCCACACCTCGCCTCGCCTCGAGAGCGCACAGCGACGCCTCGAGCGCAGCCACACACGATCGAGCGAGCTCTACCCGCCAGAGCGCGCCCCGCCAAGAGCTCCATCAGCGGTCCTCCCTCGTCTCGAACCAGCGCGCCCAGACCAGCTGTGCGTCTCGTCCCGTCTCGCCCTCTGCCGCCCAACCTGACTCGCTTGAACCGTCGCACAGACTAGATCCAGCTCGCCACCGCAGAACCAGGCGCAACACGCGAGGCCAGCCATGAGCGACCCTCCTCCTCATTCAGCACCGAGCGGCTCCAACGCTCCTCCGCCAGAGCCCATCCACCAGGCCCAGCTCGACGCCGCCGCTCCCGCCCCGAGCTCTGCCACCGCACCCACCGTCGCCGCCGCATCCGCCAAGACGCCCAACCTCGTTCGCCAACTCGGCCAGCTTGACGTCGACGACCTCTCGGCCGGGCCTCCCTCGACCGCCATCGGCGCACCTCTACCAGCCCAAGCCTCGCCCGACCGCGACGGCGGCGGACCGCCGTCGTCCAAGCGTCGCAGGAGCAGCGCGACGCCGTCCCTCGACCCCGTCGCGAGTACGTCGAGGTCGTCGCCGAGCGCCGCCTCTCGCGCCGTGCGAGACGCCCCTCCTGCGTCGGCGGGCACGCTCGCCGGAAGCGTGCCCGAGCGTCATCCGCAGCAGTGGCAGGAGCAGAATGGCGGGACCGGCGGCGCCGAGCAGCGACACCTCTCGCCCGTGCCGGCCGCGACGACTGCGACGAGGGGCAAGAGCCCGTCGCCCGCCCTCAGTGCCCTGTCGCTCCCGTCCTTCCCCGTCCTCCCTCCTTCAGCCCCGACCGCCGACCAGACGTTCCAGACGCCGTCCCAGGTGTCGTCCATCCTGTCGCTCCCGCCGCCGCTCCTCCTCCAGCTCGCGCGCACGGGCACGCTACAGGAGCAGAGCGCCATCGCCGAGGCCAAGGGCGTCAAGGGCTACCTCAGCTCGATGGCCATCCCGCCGCCGAGCCCGACGACGCTCGTCAACACGATCGCGCGCGAGGGCCTCGCGGCGACGACGCTCGGCGGCGCGTCGGCAGCGTCGGTGGCGTCGGGACCCGCCGGTGCATCGACGTCGTCGAGCACGACTGCGACAGCGAGCGCGACGGCGAGCACGTCCGCCTCGTCCACCCTGCCGACCTTTTCCCTCCCGCTCTCGCTCCCCCTCTCGTCCTCGTCCGCCTACGACGACTCGGACGGCCAAGGCCACCCCTCTATCCCCGTCCTCCTCGGCCAGGTCTTTGCCCCTCCCCCTCTCACGCCTGGCCTCCTCGCCCCCATCCCGGGCATCCCCAACCTCGGCGACGTCCTCCTCCGCCTCTCGTCGACCCCGTCCACCGACCCGACCTCGTCCACGTCGGCCGCGTTCGAGCCCGTCTTTGCGAGCGTCGAGCAGTGGAGCGTCCACGCCGCTCAGGAGCACGTCTCGTCGGCGCCGTCGGCGTCGCGCCCGGGCCTCCCGACCTCGCGCTCGTTCAACGACCGCGAGGTGGCCCACCTCGCGCAGCAGCTCAAGGGCTGGGCCCTCAGCGAGCAGAGCAAGCAGGTCGACCAGCGCGTCGTCGAGGCCAAGAGCGCCGCCGTCGTGCTCGCCGCACAGGCCCAGGCGGCGACGACGGCGGCCGGCGAGGCCGGTACGGCAGCGTCGACGAGCGCGGGCGCAGGAGGTGCGGCGGGTGCGGGCGCGGGCATGGGCGCGAGCACGAGCGTCGCCGAGGCGGCCGAGCTCGGCGCGTACGCCGACCTGTACAAGAAGCAGCTCGACGCGCTCGCGAGCGGCTACTTTGCCCAGCTGCACCGCGACGCGCTCAAGCGCCTCACGGACGAGAAGACCGACTCGACGACGCCGTCGACGCCCACCCGGCCCTGGCTTCCGTCGTCGAGCGCTGCGGGCGGCGTCCCGGCGGCGGCGGCTGGTGCGGCGCTCGGCAGCCCGGGCCTGAGCTCGTCGCGCGCACCGACGCTCACGAGCCTTACGTCGCTCACGGGTGCGCGCTCGCAGGCCGAGGCGATGCACGTGCGCGCGAGCGCGGCCGCGGCCGTCGCGGCGCAGGTGCTCGCCGCCAAGGAGCTCGCGCGGCACGCCGGCGAGAAGCTCGTCGGCATGGGCGTCGACCCGAGGAGGGTCGTCGAGGAGGTCGAGGGCCTCGTCGAGGAGCAGAAGGGCTCGAGGAGGGGCAGCGTCGTCGCGGCCGAGAAGCTCGGCGTCAGCCTCGCGGCGGCGACGGCGAGTGCGGCAGCGGTCGGGCTCGTCGGCCCGACGACGTCGGCAGCGGCGGGCGCACCGGGCATGCGGCGCAGCTCGACGACGGGCACGAGCGCGAGCATGGGAGGGTCCGAGCCCATGGCGGTGGAGGACGTCGGGCGGGTCCCCACCCCGTCGACGGCGGCCGGGCCGCACAGCTCGATCCCGGCCGACTTTCACCACCAGCAGCAGCGCCCGGCACTGCCGTCGGTCCCGAGCGCGTCCCTCGCCGAGCTCTCGTCGCTCCCGCCGGCGCAGCAGCCGCACGCCGCACACGCCGCACACGCCGCCGCCCATGCTCAGCAAGCGAGCGGCGTCCCTGTTCCCCCGCCTTCCCAGGCGCAGGCGCCCGAGCACCCGCACGGCGCCGTACCCGCCACCGTCCACGACCTCCCCGACCTCGCCGCCCTCGCGACGCCCGAGAAGCGCGACTACCTCCTGTCGTTCGCGCACCAGACCTACTCGACCGAGCCGCAGTCGCCCAACCTCCTTCCGCTCCTCCACACGCTCGAGGCCGTCCACCCGGACCACCTGCCGACCCTCCTCCTCATCAGCTGCGTCTACTACACGCGCGGCGAGCTCGAGAGCAGCCTGTACTACAACAAGCGCCTCCTCGAGTTCGACCCGAGCTACGTCGAGGCGATGAGCAACATCGGGACGACCCTGCGCGCCATGGGCAAGTGGCAGGAGGCCGAGGCGTGGTGGTGGAAAGCGATCAAACTTCGCCCGACGTGCGTCCCTCTTTCCCGTCTCCCCACTCGTCTGCACCTCAAATGACTCTTTGTGCCGCCCTGCAGGTACTGGGACGCGACCGAGAACCTCCTGGGCGTCCTCTGCAACCCGAGCTCGACCGTGCAGTCCGCCGCGCCGGGTCAAGCCGCTCCGCCGACCGCCGCCCGGTACAAGGAGGCGCTCGCCCTGTGCGACTACGTCGAGTCGCAGATCTTTGCCCAGCCGGCGTCGGCCGCCAACCCGGCCATCCCGCCGACGCAAGAGGCGTTCCTCCGCCCGCTCGCCCACATCCCGCGCCCGCGCACGCTTCCCGCCGCCATCCCGTTCAACCACGTCCACCGCCTGCAGAACCTCCTGTACGCCAAGGGCAACTTGCGCCTCGCGCTCGCCGACGCGCCCGGCGCGCAGGACGAGTACGAGAAGGCGATCGAGATCGCGCTCTCGCTGCCCGAGTGGGCGAGGCGGCACGTCTCGACGGGCCTGCACTGGCCCGTCGCGGGCTGCACCGTGCGCGACCTCGTCGTCGCCGCCGTCGTCATCGGGCGCATCCTCGCCGCGTTCGCCGAGAGCGCCACGCTCGTGCCGCAGGTCGCGCGCGAGCTCGGCGTCGCCGACGAGCAGGGCGGCGTCCCGTTCGAGCGCCTCGTGCGCACCGTGCGCGACGGCGGCGACGCGTACGTGCGGCGGCTGTTGCACATGGGCGGCGGCGTCCTCCCGACCGTCCTCCTCGAGCCGACTTTCCTCAACCAGCTCCCCGGCATGCTCTTCTCCGAGACGCGGTCGACTCTTCCCGCCATGTTCGACCCGGCCGTCGCCTCGAACCACGTTGCCGCCGACGACCCGTCGCGCAAGGGCATCGTCCAGTCGACCAACCAGACGACGTCGACGATGCTCCTCACGCTCGCCAAGATCCTCCAGGACTCGCTCGCGCCGACGGCGGGCGCAGTCAAGCTCACGCTCGGCGGCGTGCCGGCGAGCCAGAGCCTCCTCCTCCCGCTGTACTACGTCGCGCTCGCGCTGTACCCGAGCCCGTCGACGTGCAACAACCTCGGCATCCTCCTGTCGACGCTCAACGCGACGACGGTCATCGGCTCGCAGGACCCGACGAGGCCGCAAACCGTGCTCACGGGCCAGGTGCGTCCCGCTCATCCTCCCTCGGCGCTCGAGCCTCTCTTCCTCCGAACACGTCACTGACCTCGTTTCCTCCTTCTTTCCCTCGCCTATCCCTCTCGTTCAGCAACTCGCCCTGCGCTACTACGAGACGGGCCTCAAGCTCGACCCTCGGCACCCGCACCTGTACACCAACCTCGGCTCGCTGCTCAAGGACCTCGGCCAGCTCCCGCAAGCCGTCGGCATGTACCGCCGCGCCGTCGAGTGCAACCCGTCGTTCGACGTCGCGCTCGCCAACCTCGCCAACGCCGTCAAGGACACGGGCGACGTCGAGGGCTCCATCCCGTACTACCGCCGCGCCGTCGAGCTCAACCCCAAGTTCCCCGAGGCCGTGTGCGGGCTCGTCAACGCGCTCGGCGGCGTGTGCAACTGGCAAGGTCGCGGCGGCGTCGGCGAGGAGTGGCTCGTCGATGGCGAGGGCCGGCTGCGCTTCGCCGCCAAGACGCCCGACGGCGCAACCGTCCGAGACGGCTACATGCGCGACATCTCGGACCTCGTGCGCAAGCAGCTCGTCGAGGGCTCGGCGTACGGCGTCGGCGCCCTGAGGTCGTACGGCGGCATCAACGAGCTCCTCACGCTCGTCAGCCGGGCCCTGTGGGGCGTGTCGCCGGCCGAGGCGGGCGAGGCGGCGATGAAGCCGTGGGTCGCCCGCTTCCAGTTCCTCCTCGGCGACTACGACCGGTCGGCGCACAACATCAACGAGGGTGGGTACCTCGTGCGGCTCGTCGAGCGCCTCATGCGCCGCATCCAGCGTCGGTGGTACCTCGACACGTACGGCCGCACCCCGTACCTCCCCGTCGACAGCTCGCCGCCGCCGCGCATCGCCCCGTCGCAGGCCGACGTCGACAAGTACCGTCGACCGCCTCTTCCGCCCTCGCTCCCGCCGATGCCGGTCCCGACCGTCCTCCCCTTCCACTGCTTCACCCTTCCCGTCACGGCGCGCGAGACACGCCTCATCTCGCACCGCACCGGCCTGCGCATCTCGCACGCGACGCTCAACCAGCCCTGGATGCCGCCCATCGTCTACCCGCCGCCTCGTCCTCCTGTCGCGGGCAAAATCAACATCGGCTACGTCTCGTCCGACCTCGGCAACCACCCGCTGTCGCACCTCATGCAGAGCGTGTTCGGGTACCACGACCTGTCGCGGTTCAACGTGTACGTGTACGCGACGTCGCCGAGCGACAAGTCGCCGTACCGCCTCAAGATTGAGGCCGAGTCGCAGCACTTTGTCGACGTGTCGAGGTTGCCGACCGAGCAGATCGTGCGCCGTATCGTGCAGGACGAGATCCACGTCCTCGTCAACCTGTCGGGCTACACCAAGGGCGCGAGGAACGAGGTGTTTGCCGCGAGGCCGGCGCCCGTCCAGGCGAGCTACATGGGCTTTGCGTCGACGCTTGCCGCCGGGTGGTGCGACTACTTCATCGTCGGTGCGTCCCCTCTTTCTCTCTCTCTTCCTCTCCTTCCGACATCCCTGACGTCGGCGAGCTTCACAGACCCGATTGTTTGCCCGCCTCGTCTCATCTCGGGCAACCAGTGGCGGTGGGTCGCAGGCTTTAACGATTCCGAGGCGCCCGACACGAGCTACGTCGCTCCGCCGACCGAGTTCGAGGGCGACCCTGATCCCGAGAGCGACAACGAGTCGTTCGTCTACACCGAGAAGCGTGCGTCCACGAGCCTGTCCCTCCCCGTCTCTCTCCGTCACCTTGACCTCGACCTGACGGTGCCGGTCTTTCGCTCTTGCACACAGTCCTCTACCTTCCACACTCGTACTTCGTCACGGACCACAAGCAGGCCTGGCGCGAGGACGAGAGCGCCGGCGTCGTCCCTGGCGAGGCGCCGTTCCGGTCGTCGCTCCCGGCCGGCAGCCCCGAGGCGGCATGGGCGGTCGAGGAGCACAAGCGGTGGCGCATGCGCAAGCAGATGTTCCCGCTCATCCGCGACGACACGATCATCTTTGCCAACTGGAACCAGCTGTACAAGGTGCGTCGCCGTCCCTCTCGGTCGACCTTCTCAAGTTGGCCTCGTCCCTGACTTTCTCTCCCTCCCTCCCCCTCTTCCTCCTCGCCGACACAGATTGACCCGTTCATCTTCCGCATCTGGCTCTCGATCCTGTCTCGCCACCCGAACTCGATCCTGTGGCTCCTGCGCTTCCCTGCGCCGGGCGAGGCGCACCTCAAGGAGACGGCCGTGCGGTGGGCCGGGCAGGAGGTCGCCGACCGCGTCGTCTTTACCGACGTCGCCAACAAGAACGAGCACGTCATGAGGGGCCGCATCGCCGACCTGTTCCTCGACACCACCGAGGTGCGCACGGGCCCCTCCTCTCCTCCTCCCTCCCTCGTCGAGCCCCGGCCTGACCCTCTCTCCCTCCTGCAGTGCAACGCCCACACGACGGCCGCCGACATCTTGTGGTCCGGCACGCCCATCCTCACGTTCCCTCGACACGAGCACAAGATGTGCTCGCGCGTCGCCGCCTCGATTGCCGTCGCGACCGGGCTCGGCTCGCAGATGATCGTCGACAGTGCCGAGGCGTACGAGCAGCGCGCCCTGTCCCTTGCGGCCGGGTTGAGCTACGAGATGGTGCCGGCGCACGTGGGTGCGGCTGCGGGCACGATCGAGGGCGGCGAGCAGAGGAGGGCGAGGGGCGAGTTGGCCGACATGAGGAGGAGGCTGTTCCTCGAGCGAGAGCAATCGCCGCTCTTTGACACGCGCAGGTGGACGCGCAACCTCGAGAAGGTGCGTCCCCGTCATCCTCTTCTCTCTCCCTCCCTCGTTCCTCGTCATCGTCGCCGCCGACTCGAGCAAGGGACCTGACCTCGTTCTCTCTCTCGCCGCACACAGGGCATCGTCGAAGCCTGGGAGCGCTACGTGTCGGGCGCCGAGCTCGAGGACGACCCGCACTGGGCGTCGAGCGTCGGTCGGACGCTCGCCAACATCTGGGTCGCCGACGACGTCGACTCGCACAATGTCGAGGCGCGCACGCCCTACTTCCAGTAGCCTGCCCCCTCTCTCTCTTCCCGTACGCGCTTTGTCCATAGATCGATATCCTGCGCGTTCGAGTTCACGCCCCGTTCGCTCGACCGGCGAAGAGGTCGTGGTCCCTCCCTCCCTTTCCTCCCGTCGTCGCTCCCTCCTCCCACTCGCAACCCGCATGCCGTACCTCTTCAGAATCTCTCCCCGCAAGCCGGTCGCATAGCAGAGAAGCGCAGAGAGAGCGAAAGAGAGAGAGAGAGAGAGAGGTTTGACGAGCGGCGCCTCGAAAGCGGACGCAGCGACGCCGTCGTCGCACAGCCAGAGAGAGCGGCCAGCTTTCTCGCTCGCTCGCCGACGTCGAGCCTACTCACAGCCAAGAGCATGGAGTATTTTCGTCCGCTGCGACGAGCCTTGCGCGGCCGAGGAGTGAAACGAGCGGACGACGCAGTTGGGCCGCGCCAGTCCGAATCACAATCGGCTCGATCGCAGCGTGTCAGTCCAGCGGCGCTCGGAACCGACGCACAGCTCGCCGCAGACGGTATGTACAAGGACGCTCACAAACGGACGAGAGGCGCGAGACCGAGATAGGCGAGGAAAGCGGAGCCGTTCGACGAGCCGAGAGGACGAGGGTCCGACCGTGCCCGGCGCTCACTCTCAGCATACGCTTCAAAGCGCTCCGCGAGACTCTATGCGAGCGCGCTAGCGAAGCAGAGCAGTCTGGCTCCTCGAGCAAGCCGCTAGCCTTCTCTCTCTCTCTCGGACAGCTCTCGACGCACCGCTCTCGCGCACAAAGGGAGCTCAAGAAAGCCCTCGATGCACGACCCGCCCACTCGAGATCTACCGCACCATGTCGTCAGTGAGCCTGAACTCGAGCACGTACATCTCCTTCCTCGGTGCGACGTCGCGCACGAAGCGCACGGCAAAGTCGGCGAGCCCTGGGTGCACGTCAAAGCCGAGGACGGCGGTTGCGCGCTGTGTGGGTGCGCAGGAGAGAAGAGAGTCAGGGTACTGGGCGGGACGAGGGCGCAAAAGGGAGGGGAAGAGAGGGGCGCGGCGCACCTCGCAAATGTCCTCCTCGGCGCGCTCAATCTCCTTGGTGAAGCAGTAGCAGTGCACGAAGGGGAGCCCGCCCGCCTCGTCGATCGCCTTGTGCGCCTCATGCTCGCCGACGAGGTCGTACAGCGGGCGGTACAGGCCCCGAAACGCGTCGAGGAAGGTGAGGGCCGATGCGGGCAGGTTCATGATGTAGTGGTTCGGGAGCCGCCGTTGGGGCTTTGAGGGCGCGGGTTCGGGTGCGGGTGCGGGTGCGGGAGAGTCGGCGGATGGTGCAGGGTTGAGGGAGAGGGCGGCGAGAGAGTCGGCGGGAGGGGAGGGGGAGGTGGAAGAAGAGGAAGGAGGAGGCGGCGCCGTCTTGGCGGCGGCTTTGGCGGCGTTGGCGGCGCGTGCTCGTCGTGCGCGCTCGCGAGACGACAGGGTCGGGACGTAGGCCGGGAACGGCTCGTTCCAGATGGCGAGGACCGAGCGGCGAATAAAGTCGCGCCCGTCCTCGTTAAAGGTGCGCACGTTGCGCTCGACCTGTTGGGACCCGCCGACTCGGTCAGTGCGCGCGCCGACGTGGGAGCGAGAGAGAACGAAGGAGGAAAGAGGGACAGACCTTGTTGAGCGACGCGTTGTCCTTGAGGGCCTCTGCGCTCGCCGGGTTGAGGTCGCTCGCGAGGACGGCGCACCCTTTCTTGCCGGCCGGGATCGAAAAGGGCCCGACGCCGGCAAAGCCGTCGACGATGACGTCGTCGGGCGAAAAGGTCGACACGAGGCGGGCGTGCTCGGTCTGCAGGCGCGAGTTCCAGTACACCTTGGAGAAGTCGAACCGGAACTTGCAGTCGTGCTCGGCCTGCGCGCGACGAGGCGACGACGCGGTGAGCGAGCGCTCGGGGTAGAGCAGGAGAGGGCAGGGACGCACCATCTCGACAACAAAGTCGGCGTCGCCGGCGAGGACCTCCATGGCAAAGTTGCGGTAGACGTTGTCGATCATGTCGAGTTTGTTGACGACGGTGCGCAGCGTGCGGTTCTTCTGCTCGAGGGCTCGTCACGGTGAGTGCATGTCGTCGAGGAGGTGGAGGTGGCCGAGGGACGCACGTCGAGGATGACCTGGCCGATGAGGTGCTTGTGCGGGAGGTACTGCTCGCGCAGGTTGAGGTGGGCTGCGGGTGCGGCGAGTCAGGGCCGGTCTCGCGAGCGTGAGGGCGGGACGGGACGGACCGATGTGGCCGACCTGGGTGAACGCTGTCGGCGACTCGTCGAGAATGTCCTCGGGAAGGACGGCCTGGAGGATCTGGTCTGCGCGGTCCGGGCGCGGTGCGGTGTCAGGACAGGTTCGCCGGCGAGGGTCGAGCGGGACGGACCAGAGGTGAAGTAGTCGTAGCCGAACGTGACCTTGTGCTCGACGAGGCTGGCGTCGCTGCGCTTGAGCGTGTCGAGGAGGTGGGTGGGGAGAGCGGCTGTGCACGGCGAGCGACGCGGTGTCAGCTCTCTCGGGCAAGAGGGGCATGTGGGAGGGGACGTACAGCGGTCTGCTGTGCGCAAGAGGACGCGGCGGTGCTCTGGCGAGTCGTCTGGGGCGACGGCGGCGACGCTTCGGAGTCGGAGGATGTAGCTGCGCGACGACGACGGCTCGACGAGTCAGGTCGGGGCTTGGGTGGGGATGAGGGGGAAGCTCGTGGACGTACTCTTTGGCGTCCTTTTGCATGAACTGGGTGGTGCTGGTGGCGGGGAGGCGAGCTGCGAGGACGGTGAGGGTGGTGTTGAAGGCGTCGCGGTCGAGGTGGTGCATGCCGCGGTGGACTGGGGGCTGGACGGTGGGCTGCATGGCGGTGCGAGTGTGCTTGGTCCTGGACCAGGGAGCAGACCACACGAGGCGAGAACGGGGCGTGAGCATATGCGACGCGAGCGAGGCGAGCTTGACCTCGTCGCTCCTCGTCCTCTCTCCCTCCTTCTCCTCACTCGCTCATCAAGCTCGCACCTGCTGCAGCTGCATCCGTCTCGTCGGTCGAGGGAGATACTGCTGGGTCTCTTTGCAGGTCCGTCCCTCTTCCTCCTCGCGCTCCCCGTCCCTCCTTTCCCTCCCGACCTCCCCCTCTTCACCGTGCTCGACAAGATGCACAGACGCGTATGCCTGCCGGCTGCGTGCTTTGTTATCCCTGGCCTAGTAGGGCGATCCTACGGGACGCTCCAACATGCCGACACCTAGTGTAAAAACCCTGATCTCTGCACACCTCTCGCCCCCGTCGTCGTTCGTCGCGACGAGCCTCAGCACCCTCACACCTCTCTCACGAGCATGTCCCTGACTCTCTCGCACGCACACAGGTCTCGAGCAGGTCTCGATGTCGAGGGGCGCAAGGACGGAGCGGCTGTGCTGCAGGTGGACGAGCGGCCGCACGACAGGGAACCTCTGCTCAGCGGTCGCTCCCTTATTCTCTGCGCCGCAATGCACTCAGTCTCTCTTCGTACCTCTGCGCGCGTCACCTCGAGAGTCCCATGAGCGAGTGCGGCCTTTGAGGAGGCGAGAGTGCGCCCAAGTCGAGCGAACCTGTGCGGCTCGAGAGCGCCTTTGCCGACGGCACCTGCGTCGGCGTCGGCGTTTCAAGCTTCCAGTCGTCGAGCCCCGCTAGCTTGCTGTCCAGCTGCGAGCTTGAGAGCCGAAGCCCGACGCCTCGTCGTTCTCTGGTGGTCCGGTTCGCCCTCGTCTTCACATCTCTCGCTTGGCCTCGTTCAGCTACGCCGACCCTCGATCACTCGCCTAGCTGCTCAGCAGACCTCGCACCACCGCACACCACCCGCCTGCGCCCTCATCGCGCCGCTTCCCCACACGCCGCTCCCTCGTCCACCTCGCTCGCCACATGTCGACGCTCGGCAAGACTGGACGTGTCGCCAACCCGACGTACGAGCCTCAAGCATACGCCCAGGGCGGCTACGCCACTTTCCGCAGCTTCTAGTGCGTCGCCTCGCTCTCTCCCCCCCCTCTCTCGCCCCACCTCCCGACCCGGCCAATCGGCTGACCTCTGTGCAGCCCGTACTACCTCGGCGAGCACTCGAACGCCATCTGCGTGAGTCCCTTTGCCCTCGCCGACTAGGACCGGTCCACGAGAATGAGCTGACTCTCAACTCCTCCACCCGCAGCGCCGCCTTCATGTGCGTCTCCCTCCCTCTCTCGCGCCCAAACTAGCCACGCGCACGACTCCTGACCCTCTCTCTTTCACCGCCACACAGCTCGTCGGCACGACCATCTCGCTCGGCGTCTTTACACGCGCCCTCGTCGCCGCCATCCCGCTCCTCGCGACGACCAAGGACCGCCGGCTCGACGTCCTGCGCTTTGGCGACGACGGGTTCAAGTCGATCGGAAAGCTGCTCCTCGGTGGGCTCCTGCAGGGCTACGTCTGGGCCTGGTGCGCCCCTCCTCTCCCGCTCCCCTTGCCTTCCCTCCCTCTCCTCCCGCTCTGACTCCCTCTCTCTCGCACGCGCGCAAAGGGTCGGCCACTTTTTCTTCGAGAAGAACCGCCCGGCAACGTTCAAGCACCCGTTCTACTCGTTCCTCGGCGACCTGACGCTCTGGCGCGAGGTCGTGACGTTCCGGCGCCGCGCGTGAGCGAGGGCGAGGGCGGCGCTCGTGCGGCGGGCGAGACGAGGCGAGCGGTGGGCTGTTGAGGTCGTTGAGGAGGAGGGAGACGCGGTTGTCGGGTGGGTGGGTCGCTGAGGCCCGGTTGTGAGGGCGGACGAAAGGCGGACGAGGTGTTTTCTCTCGGTTCTCGAGCCTCGCCAGAGCAGTGCTGTTTACTCTCGTGTATTGCAGAGTCTCAAGAAGACGTGACTTGACGAGAGGGACAGAGAGAGAGAGCTACACGGGCAAGAGAGGGAGAGGGAATGCGGAAATGAGCCGAGGCGAGGGGGGAACAAGAGAGGCGCTCAGGACGGGGCAGGAACGAGAGGTATGCGAGAGGGGGAAGCGAGAGAGGGGACGAGGGGTATGTACAGCTGAAAGAGAGGCCGCGAAGGAGGGGGTACGACGAGACGCGGCGAGGCAAAGTCGACTTGAGAAGGCCGACCTCGCTCACATGACGGCGCACTCGCCCTTGGGCGCCTCGCCGCTCGTCGCCGCCGCGTCACCGCCGGAGCCGCTCAGCACCCTCGCGAGCGCCGACCCACCGCCACCGGCGCCGGCGCCGCTGCCCTCGGCCCTCGCGCCCGGCTGGCTCGCGCTTCTCGCGTGGCTCTTGCGCCTGCCGAGCGCGCGCGCCCCGCCGGGCTGCACGACGACGACGACGTTGCGGCTGCTCCTGCGCTTGAGCGCCTGGTCCTCGAGCAAGGGCCGAGCGTGCGCAGGGGTGGAGGACGTGGGCGACGAGGGAGGGACGGCGGGCACGTTGGCCGACGACGACGAGCTGCCGTTGGCGGCGCGGTCGTGCGACGTGCCGCCGGCGCTCGAGCTCGGCGTAGTAGTCGTCGTAGGCGGGTGCGGCTTGACCGACTTGCGGCGCCCGAGCGAGCTCGGCGGCGTCGAGTCGGGCGTGCGCGACTTGGCCGGCGCGAGGAGCTGCCGAATGGCGCCGCTCGCGGCGGCGACGGGTGCGGGCAGGGTCGGGGTCGAGGTTGAGATCGAGGCGGTCGCCGGCGACTGCGACGAGAGGGTCGACGGCTTGGGCCGGCGCGAGTTGCGGAAGGGGAGGTAGTCCGAGATGGCGAACGAGGTGCTGGTCGGCGACGAGGGCGAGGTCGGCAAGGTGGGGTAACGCGACAGCGGTGACGCGCTCGTCGTCGAGAGGCCGAGGAGCTGGGCCCGCAGGTCGCACGATGGCGCAAACTCCTTGCAGCGCGAGTGGCTGATGAGGCCGCATTCCTGGCACAGGACGGCGTGGCGCTTCGTCTGCTCGCCGCAGACCTTGCACATGAGAGCTGCACGCACAGAGAGCGAGGTCATGTCCGTCGCGTCGTAAAGAGAGGGGGACGAGGGGACGCACCTTTGCTGAAGCTCGACCGCACGAACGAGTGAGGGCGGCGGCTCGCCTCGGCCGCAGCTGCAGTAGCGACAGGTTCAGGTGACTGCGAGAGTGTGGAACATGTCAGGTCGGGCCCGGCAGAGCGCGATAGAAGGTCGAGAGAAGGGACGCACAGTGCCACGCTCGTCACCGGCCGAGTACCCCGAGTCGAACGACGTCCTGCCCTGCTCCTGGCTCGCGAACGGCGGCGCCGGCGCCCTCAGCTCGGACGCAGGCTCGGCGAGAGCGCCGGCGAGCGAGAAGGCCGGCGTCGCCTGCATTGAGCGACGCTGGTCGGACGAGATGCGGCGCATGAACGGGAGCGAGTCTTGCGGGCGCATGTCCTGCGGGGCGCAAAGTGCTGCGTCAGGGCGGGCGTGCAAGAACGTCGAGAGAGGGGGAGAAAGAGAGGCCGACGTACGAGCGACAGGTCAAAGTGCTTGGCCAACCACGGGTCCGTCGACAGCTCCTCGGCCGTCGGGCGCTCGCTCGGGTCCTTCTTGAAGCACCGCTTGAGAAACGCCTCGAGCTCGGGCGAACAGCGCTCCGGGATAGGCGGGCCGTCCGGGTCCTCGACGATGCGGAACATGGCCGACATGGCGACGAGGCCGGCGTAAGGAGGCACGCCGTCGATGAGCTCGATGATGGTCGCGCCGAGGCTCCAGATATCGGACGCGGGGAGCGCTCCCTTGAGCGAGATGACCTCGGGCGCCACTGCGACGGCGGACGAGTCAGTCAGCTTGACCCCGAGAAAGAGGAGGGGAGGCAAGCTGGACGCACTCCAGTTGGGCGTGCCGTTGGCCTCCTTGGTCGACGTGTGGAAGCCGCGAGTCGCCTTGATCGCGTGCAGGTTTAGCGAGACGCCAAAGTCGGACAGCTTGATGTTGCCGTTCTTGGTCCCGAGGATGTTGGCCGCTGCGACGGGTTGAGAAGGTCAGTCAAGGCCGGGCGAGGAGACGGTGACGACGAGGACGCACCCTTGAGGTCGCAGTGCACGACACCTTGTCCATGAAGGTAGGCGAGGCCCTCGAGGATCTTGGCCGTGTAGCTCGCGACGAGGAGCTCGGGAAGCTGGCCGAACTGCTTGATCGTCTTCTCGAGCGAGCCCGACTCGCCGTATCTGCGCGCACAGAGACGCCGTAAGTCGACGTCAAGGGGCGAAAAGGTACAAGAGAGAAGGGACGCACTCGAGGATGATGTTGAGGTAGTGCTCCGTGCGCACCGCGCCGTGGTAATGGACAATTGCGGGATGCGACAGCCGCCGAAGGAGCTTGACCTCGCCGCTCAGCTCCTCGATCTCGTGCTCGGTCTTGCCCTCGAGCAGGATGCGCTTGACGGCGACGACCTGGCCGCTGCTGAGGTTGAGCGCGCGGTACACCGACCCGAACTGGCCGCGCCCGATCGACTCGCCGAGTTGCTGCGGGCGACGAGGCTCGTCAGGACGGGTCTCGCGCGACTGAAGGCAGAGGGAGGAGAAAGAGGGGGAAGAGGGACGCACGTAGGTCAAGACGGGCTTGCCGTTCTCCCTCAGCACCAACTTGGTCCTCGTCGGCGCGCCGCTCGAGACCCTCCTGCTCGCCCGCCTCGCCCGCAAGTCGGTCTCGATCGTGACGCCCTCCTCCTCGTCGGCGCTGAACGCGAGGCTCTGGTGGCGCGTGCGGATCGACGACGGGCCGGCGCCGAGCGACGAAGGAAGGCCGATACCAATGCCGTACCGGCCGTCTGGCGACGACGCCCGCAGGTCGGCGTGTAGGTCCGAGACGCAGCGCTTGCCCGCACGAGGCCGACTCGGGGCAGCCGCGCCCATGCGCGAGCTCGCGGCGCCGCTCGGCTGCGGCTGCGGCTGCGAGCGCAGCCCGAGCTCGTCCTTCTCGTCGCTCGTCGGCTCGACCGCGGCGCCCGAGCTGAGCGACCGGTCGACGAGGCCGAGTCGAGGCGGGCGCAGAGGACGAGGCGGCGTGAGGGCGAGGGGCGAGGCGCCGGGGCGCGTGCGCGGGACGATGTGGACGTCGGCGCCGAGATGCGCGGCCGCGCCGTCGAGGCCGACGCGTGGCCTTGTCGTACTGCTCGACGAGAGACGGCGCTGCGGCGAGTCGGGCGTGCCGCGCTTGGACGGCGAGCGTCTTGGCCGCAGCGCCGGCGCCGAGGACAGGGGCAGCTCGTCCTCCTCGACGATGGCGAGGACGTCGACGGCCGACTCGGTCGCCCGACGCTCGCTCGTGATCGTGAGGGCGTACAGACCCGGCTTGGCGTGCGAGCGCAGGTCGCCGTCCTCCTCGGTCGACAGCGTGAAGCTCGTCTCGCTGCTCATGCGGGAAGGCGCGCTCGGCCGCCAGTCCGAGAACCGCGTGCTGTCGGGCGACGACGACAGGGTGAGGCTCGGCGACGTCGTCGCCGTCGCCGCCGACGGCTGCGGCTGCGAGTTGCGCGCCCGGACGAGCCGACCTTTGAGATCGATGCCGAGCGGGACCGGCTCAGGGTGCAAGCCGACCGTGTTCGAGCGGACGAGGGGAGGAGCAGCGACGGCGTCGGCCTCGGTGCGAGTCGCAGGGAGGATGAGCGAGGTCGAGCTCGTGGCCGTGACGGCTGAAGGAGGGAGCGAGGGAAGAGGTCGGGTTGGCGCAGGTGGCGCGGCCGACATGGCGGGGAAGGGGAACGCGGCGAGCTCGTCGGGGATGTCGCCTGGAGCGGGCGTCGGGCCCGTGAGCTTGAAGAGCGCCTCGGCGCGGTTGGCGGCGCGGACGGCCTCGTCGATCGGCGGCGAGCGCGAGGTCGAGCGGCGCACGACCTCGTCGGGAGGTGCTGGCGACGGCAGGGGCGTGGGTAGGGCCGGGACCGACCACAATGCCCTCGGCGAGCGCGCGCGGTGCGTCGACGTGCGCCTCGACACCTCGTACTCGACGACGGCGACGTCGATCGGCGACGAGGACGTCTCGGCGAGCCGACGAGTCGACGGCGGTTCTTCCGCCGCCGAGGAGCCGGCAAAAGGCTGCATTGACGACGGCGACAGGGGCATGAAGCTCGTGTGCTCGTCCTTGTCGGCCGCCCACCGCACCATCGGGCTCTGCGGCGAGAGCGGCGGTTCGACCGACGCGCCCGCGCTCGTGCCCGACCCGCCGACCGCCCATGCCGCCCACTCGCCCTTCTCCTTGCCGGGCGTCGCTAGCTCGGGCGAGCTCATGGCGAACAGCTGCGACCGGTCGCGGTAGTTGCGCATCGCGGCGCCGGCGTCCTCGCGCTCGTCGCGACCTGCGACGACCGACGGCGGGATCGGCGACGACGACGACGGCTTAGCCGGGCGCTTCGTTGCCGACGACGACAGGCGGCGCGCCGAGGCGATGAGCGACGAGCGGGCCGACTTGCTGCGCTTGAGCGGCGGCGCCGGGCTCGACGACGGCGGCGGCGAGCGGGCGACTCGGCGCTCCTTGGCCCTGCTGAACGAGAAGGGCCTGCCCCTCGACTCGAGCGTGCCGCCGTCTTTGGTGCTGCGGCCGGTGCCGAGGAAGGGAAAGTGCGCCATGCGGGAGAGGAAGGAGGAGGTCGGCGACGCGGTTGGCGAGTTCGGGTCGTCGAGGGCTGGCGGGTCACGAGCTGGACGTGTGCCGGTAGAGGTACGGTGGGCCATCGCGACGGTCGACAGGCTGCCGACGGCGCGAGCAACGAGAGGGGAGGGGCGAGGGGCGAGGAATGAGGGGATGTCCGAGGACGAGGCGGGGGCTGTCGCCGAGGTACCGCGCTCGTTGCGGCTCACACTTGCCGAGGTGGAGGATCGCGAGAGCCGGCTGCTCGAGACGGGCGCAGAGGCGAGTCGGTCGTCGGTCGAGAGGATGCGAGGCTCGGCTCAGCGACGAGTGACGGCGCGTCGGTGTGCGGCGTGCTCGAGAGGACGGAGCTGCGGTGTGCGACAGGTGGTCAGCTCGCAGGCCAGAGATCGAGAGAGAGGCGGTGAACTGCAGGCCCACCTGGACCGGGCTGGTGGGCGAAGGAGGGCGCTAGCCGGAGGACGAGGGCGATCCCGCCTGGGTGACCGAGGTCGCGCGAGGTGCCGAGGACGAGGCGCAGGTGCTGCTGATCGCTGGCTGCTGCTGCGCAGGTGTGCGGACGGGTCAGGCCGCGGCCGGGTGGTGGGGGAGAGGGGGAGGGAGCCGAGGTGGACGCACACTGGACCACGGCGGGAGGCGAGGATGAAGGCGCAGGAGCGAGATGGCTCGAGCACGGTGCTGGCCCTTCGGCAGACGAGCTGCACCGAGCGGACGGCGGTGTGTGCGTCCGGGGTGCGATCGAGAGATGAACTCGACGAGAGTCTCTTTGGAGACGCCGTGCAGCTGCGGCTGGGGCTGGTGCGGTGCGAGTGGACGACGCAGGTCGCGCATCAGTGTCGGACGGCAAACAAGTGGACGAGGTGAGGAGGAGAGCGCAGGAGAGTGGCCCTCCTCCTCCTCGACGCAGTCAGAACTGGCCACGCCGTCCGGCTCGCGACGTACCTCGTTCTTTGAGCGGACAAGTCCACAAGGAGCAGACAGAGAGCTACGCAAGCCTGGCAGCACAAACATCGCTCGAGAGGCAGCAGACCTTGCCTCGTTCGGCGCGGTCAGGAGACGAGCCGTCGGAATGTCGGCTGTGGCGTCGCTCTCTCGGCTTCTCTCACCATGTGTGCCACGGCGACAGGTCTTGCAGCCCAACGAGAGTCGCTGCGAGGTACAACGAGACCGGCTCAGAGCGATGTCGAGCCGTTCCTCCTCCTTGTTCTCTCCCTTCTCTCGACGCATCGTCGCGGTGCCGCGCGTCGGGTCGCGCGCTTCTCGCTCGACAGGAGACATGGATGAGAGTGCAACCTCGGAGATCAGCTGAGGTGGCTCACAAGACGTCCCGAGCCGAGGAAGCCACCAAGTGCCGCAGCTCTCAGGCCTCCTCGCGCGACGACACTGCTCACGACCGGGCGCGATCCAGAGGGTGTGTACAGTCGTGCTGCAGATAGGACAGGGATGGGGATGCGCAAATAAAAGGGATGGGACGAGAGCAACAGATACGGGTACCTCGAGAGCGGAAACCGCCTCCTCCTCCTCGCTCCTCCTCGCTCCTCCTCGCTCCTCAAACGGCGATCTCCTGCAGCTTGTCCGTGCCGCGCACCTCGATCTCGCCGTACGGCGACGGCTGGTTGAGCTTGACGACGTCGGCGGACGACAGGACGAGGAGCTCGAAGAAGAACGAGGCGGCAGCGCGACGAGAGGCCTGTGGACGAGATGCGAGTTAGCGACCCGGCTCCTGGCAAAGACGAGGTTGAGAGGAAGAGGAGCAAGTGGGCGCACCTGCTGAGCGACCTGGGTAAACTCGACCTTCTTGTCCTCGGGCCGGTCGGCGTCGACATCGGCGTCGAGCTGCTCCTTGAGCACGCGCACCGCCTTGCGCGTGTTGCGGCTCTGCAAGCTGATGCTGCCGCTCTTCTGCGTCAGGCTCTCGCCGTCGCCCGCCGCCGCCGCCGCCCGCTCCTGCTCGGTCCCGAGGCTCTGGCTCAAGATCTGGCTCTGGCTCTGGCTCGGCGTCGCCGTGCCCGCGTGCGACCGTGCCGCGCCGACGCTCGACACGTCGTCAAAGACGGCGAGCGGGCCCTCCGAGTGGTACTGCGGGAGGTCCTCGCGCGCGAGCGCCGACAGGACCGACTGGGCGGGTGTCGCGAGCGGGTCGGCCTCGTCGGCGGCGAACGCGCCGCCGTCGGTCGTGCGGCGCTTCTTGCTCGGGCGCTTGGGCGTCGCGAGCGGGTCGTCGGCGGCGAGAGGGTCGTCGCCGAGGTCGAACGCGCCGGCGTCGAAGCCGCCGAGGTCGTTGTCGAACCCGCCGCCAAAGTCCTGGTTCAGGTCGGGCCCGTCGAACGCGTCGAGGCCGAGGTCGGCGCCGTCGGCCCGCAGCAGGTGGCTGTTGCTCGACAGGACGCTCATGGCGCGGCGACCCTGCTCGACGGCGCGGTCCTCCTTGCGCTCGCGGCCCTCGAGGCGGATCTGCTCGCGGCGGGTCGGCATCACGTACAGGTCCTGCAGCTCGGGCGCGAGGAGGCGCGGCGGCGCGAACATCTCGAGAGACGGGTCGTTCTTGTTCGCCTTGGGCAGCGCGCGAGGGAGGAGGGCCGAGAGGGGAGCGTTGAGGAGGGCGAGGTGGAGGCGGGACGACGGGAGGTACTCGGGCTGCGACAAGAGGGGCGACGCGTCAATACGGCGGACCAAGGAAGAGAGAGTGAGACGAGTCGACGCACGTCCTTGAAGCGGTCCTTGCCGTCGAGACGCCCGGCCTCCCACTTGAGCTCGATCACCTTGTCGGTCACGACGTGCTTGACCCGCTTCTTGGCCGGCGGCTTGTCGTTCTCCTCGGCCTTTTGCCGTGCGGCGATCTCGGCGGCTGCTCGCGGCGTGAGCTGGAGCGAGGTCGTGTCGTCGCCGTTGGCGGTCGGCGCTGCAGGGACGGTTCGCGAGGTCAGTTTCGAGGCGCAGACGGTAAAGAGGAGGGGGAGGAGCAAGGACGCACTGTTCTCGCGGGCCTCGTCGTCGAAGCCGCCTCCAAAGTCCTGCTTGAGGTCGACGCCGCCCGCGTCGTCCATGAGCCCGAGGTCGAGGTCGAAGGCGCCGGCGTCAAAGCCGCCGAGGTCGTTGTCGGCACCCTCGCCGAACGTGACGTCGCCCTCCTTGCCGAACGACAGGTCGAGTGGCCCGAGCGAGTTGCGCTCCGACGCGTTGGCGACCGAGTCGCGGCGGCCCATCTCGACCGACTCGTCGTCGTCGGCGCGCTCGTCGCCGTCGTCGCCCGAGCCACGTGCGCGCTTCTTCTTGTTGGCCGTCGCCTTGTCGTGGCTCGGGCCGGCGAGACCGGCGAGCTCGTCGTCGTTCTCGAACAGGGCAAAGTCGGGGTCGAACCCGAGGTCGTCGAGGCCGTCAAAGCCAAAGTTGGACGCGTCGTCGCCGCCGAGGGCGCCGCCGTCGTACGCGAACGACTCGTCGAGCGTGATGTCGGCGATGTTGGCCGTCAGGGGCTTGCCCTTGCCCTTGCCCTTGTCGGCCTTGGCCGCGTTGGCGGCGAGGTGCTTCTCGAGCGACCACTCCTCGTCGGCGAATTCGAGCGCGAGCATGTCCTCGAGGTCGCCGCCTTCTCGCCGCAGGTTGATGTCCTTGCCGCCCCTCGCCGCGTCGTCGCCGCCTGCGCCGTGCGCGCCCGTGCCCTCGTCAGGCAAGTCGACCGCGGCGCGGCCCTCGTTCTGGAACGCCTTCTTGACCTTGTGGAGCGTCTCCTGGGCGTCGTCGAGGAGGTACTTGGTCTTACGACTGTAGATGCGCGCGATGCCGAGGAGGAGCTGGCCCGAGAGCCGGAGCGCCATGGGCAGGAGCTCCTGGCCGAGGATCGACTGGACCGACTTGGGGATCGACGTCGACGTGAGCGCCTGCTTCGAGAGCTTGGACGACAGGTGCGACGCCATCCACACTTGCGCGAGCGCGCCGCGCTTAGTGAGGAGGTCCGAGTTGAAGAACATGGTCGTCGGCGGGCGAGCAGGTTCAGGGCGATGGAGCGGATCTGTGTGCGACGACGCCGGTCAGTCAGTACATGATCCTGTCGTGCTCCCGACGATGCTGTGTCGCCGTGGCGGGCGCCATCGCAGAGGCGAGAGAAGGCCCGGCTGCTCGGCTGCTCGAAGCGACTCGACAACGCCCAGCCAGGATCGAGACCGTGCGTCTCGCACGCGAGTACCCGCGGGCCACCTTGCGCAGCTTGCGGCACGCCCCTGTGCGCGTACGAGGCCGCCTGCTCGAGATCACGGGCGCGACGGAGTGGGGGGCGAGCACGAAGATACGAGGGGGAGGGTGCGCACCTGCAGAAGTGCCTGTGGCGCGTGTATGAAGGTGGGGCTGGTACTGGTCGACTCGCCGGGCTCGTTACCGCGGTGGTGGTGGTGGTTGTTGTGCCGAGAGTTGATGAGGGAGAGACGCGTCGAGCGGGGGAGATGAGGGTGAGCGAGGGCGACGGGGCCTCGGCGGGTGGTGCTCAGCGGTTGCACAGGCGGGTGTGCTTGGCCTGCGAGGAGTGCACCTCGACCAGCGGGGCGTGCGAGCGTTGTGGGCGGGGGCGACCAAGGTGACGAACGGCGCGACGAGGAGGCGGGCTTTCACCTCGTGGCGCCCTCGCCTCGCCGCAGGACTGCGTGCTGTACCTCGGGACGGACCCGCACTTGATCTCTGGCCATAGCCGAGTCGACAGAGCCGCCGCCCATCGTTGCCGTGCTCCCGCTCTCCTGCTCGCTCGCGGCCGGCTCGGCTGCCGCTCTCCTCGCCTCTGGCTGCTCGGCGCGACTCTCGTGCGGCTTTCACAGGCTCTCGCTAGCGCTCAGGGAGCTCTCCCTGTCCAGGCGACGGACCAGGCGGCCTCTCGTCTGTCCTTCTCGACCCCCGCCGCTTCCGACCCACCTCCGTCGTCGCCGACCCGGCTACTCAGCGAGGAGGACGACAGGAGACTCTCGGCGAGCAAGTACCGAACGTCAGACGCAAGGAGACGGACGTCCTCTGATCGCCAGAGACGGCGCCGCCGCATGAGCCTCCTGGCCGTTCCGCGGCCGCTCTTCGCTCTTGGTTCCGCCCCTCTCGCTGCCGCTCTTTGCTCTCAAGCACGCGCAAGTCGTCGCACCGGCTGCGTTCCGACGCAAGCGTCATGCTGCATGAACGCGCATGCATGCGCGCACCTCGCTCTCCGCACCTCTCGGTCCGCTAGAAGCGCTCGCAGCACCTCTCCACCTCTTCTCGCTCGTGAGGGACGGGCCCTGCATCTGCGGCTCGACAACGTCAAGCTGCTCGAGGGCTTCGCGCCTCTCTCCCTCTCTCTCTCTTCTGCTTTCTCTCTCGCGTCCTGCGCTCGACCGCACGCGCCGCGCCGATGCACGGCGTCTGCTCCTCGAGCATCAGTGCTCGGGCAGCTCGACGCCGGCCCTTGCCTCGGCCCGCAGTGCGCAGAACATGGGCAGCGTTCCCGGTCCCGAGCGCGCCCGCGAAGACCTGGGCGCGCGAGCAACGCGTGGAAGCGTGACAAGAGCTCGCTCTCGCCAACGGCTCGCTCGCCGCCGATGATCCTTCTCGCCCCGTGAGTCGGCTCGATCTCTCTCGCATCAAAGGCCATTGTCGACGATGCGAGATCGAAGCAGCATGCACCTCAGCAGAAGACGACGAGCTGACCTTGCTCCTCTCGCGCAGCGTCCAAGTCACCGTACTTCCGCCGGCCCTCCTCGACGGCTCATCGAGCTTTCGACGGCCGGCGCCGATGTGCGTTGGTCTCACAGCTGCTCGCTGCGCGCCGCACCGCAAGCTGGGCTCGCCGGCGCCGCTGCCGGCCGCCGCCGCCGCTGTGTGACCCCAGCATTCCTCGCCGTGATGCACTTTTCCCCAAGGTTCATGAACCTGATTGACGGGCTGGAAGGGCGCACGAGCATCGCGAGTGCTCATTGCGCTCCTGCTCCAAGCCTGCGCGGCCGAGAGTCGTGCGGCCAACGCTGCATTGCTGGCCGGAGGCTCGAGCGCTCAGGACTCGCTCGACGACGGACGACGTCGCGACGGCGCTCGCTCGACACTTTCCTTGCGACGCTCTCTCGAGCTCGATGCGGTTCTGCAGTTGCGAGTCGTCTGACGCCGTCGAGCTGAGCGCCGACGAACGTCTCGCCCGCTCGTCGTCCTCTCCGTCGCCAGCTTTCGCTGGCAGGAGCACTTACGCGCTCGACACCCACTGTGCTCTGGAGCATCTTGGCATCGAGCCCTTGAGCGAGCGCGTGCAGCGCGTAGAACGAGAGCCAGCTGAACGAGGACGAGCCTGCGGAGAACAATCCGCTTCACCCGGTCCGGACGCCGTCCGCTTCGATTCGATCGCCGCGGGCCCCGCGAGTTTAGCCTTAGAAGTTAGCGGCGTGCGCCGACGCGTCGAGTGGAGAGAACTCTGTCGTTCAGGCACTCGAGGAACGGCCAAACAAACATGTGCCGCACGGGCGCTCGTTCCTGACCGTCCTCGCGCGTCGTCGCCAGCTTCTCTTGTCTCCCTTCTCTCTCACGTCCTCTCGTCGCTCTACAGTTCCGTGCTCTCCCTCGTCACTCGTTCCTACCCTCGGCAGTTCCACCTCGCCACCTACACTCCTTTCAAACCCTCTCGTCCTCGCCCTCTCCCCTACGTACCTTTCCTCCCAACCTCGCCAACTTTCGTCGCCATGCCTTCGTTCAAGACCATCCTCGCCTCCATCGCCCTCGTGGCCCTCTCGTTCTCGTCGGTCTCGGCGTCGTCCGTCCACCACAACGGCGGTGCGTCCCTTCTCTCTCTTCCTCTCTTCCCCTCGTCGCTCAACATGCGACACGCGCCGAGGTCGCGTCGTGGCCGGAAATCCGGCCTCGACGTTCATCGAGCTGTCGACGTCGGCCGTCTGCGCGAGCCTCGAGAGCAGGAGCCACTTCGACGGGAACGAGCGCGAGCTGACCTTCCCAAACGCGGTCCTCCCAGGTGTCGTCCGCCGCAGCAACATCGCTGCCCGCGACGTCTCGCCGTCGCCGGCTGTCGCCCGCCGCGCCGCCGCCGCCAAGGCCCTCAAGAAGCGCGCCATGTTCAAGGGCAAGGCGTCGTCCATCATGACCGGCACCAAGCTCGCCGCCATCGCCCGCCGTATCCGCTGCGGCCAGAGTGCGTCCTCCTCTCTCTTTCTCTCCAGCTCTCTTCCCTAGCCTCGAACGCTGACCCACCCTCTCTCGCCCGCCGCACAGACACGGTCTGCCAGAACCGCGCTCCCCTCGGCCCGGCCAACTCGGCCAACGTGTGCTACCGCGGCACCTGCGCGTACGCGTGCAACACCGGCTTCGCGCAGCAGGGCGACCAGTGCGTCGCGACCCTCGCCGCCAACCAGCAGTGCGGCGGCGTGACGTGCGACACGCCGGCGAACGGCTACGCGCTCTGCAACAACGGCGCGTGCGAGGTCGGCTGCAACCTCGGCTTCACCCGCTACTCGACCAACGGCAGCCTCAGCGGCCCGTACACCTGCATCGACACCGCCAACGACGCGACTCGCTGCGGCACCGGCGCCAACCTCGTCAACTGCCCGGCTTCCTGTGCGTCCTCCCTCTCTGTCTCTCCCTCGACGGAACCCGTCCCTCCTTCGTTCCGTCCCTCGTGCATCGCCGCGAGCTCGACGAGCACTCCCTGACCCACCTCTCTTACTGCAGACAACGGTCTCGGTACCCCCGAGTGCCGCAACTCGGTCTGCCGCATTGCCTGCCCGACTGGCAGCGTCCTCCGCCGCGCCGACTCGACCAGCAACCCGTACTACTGCTGTGCGTCTCCCCCTCTCTCTCCCAACCCCATGTCCGCCGTCGAGCCGGGCGTTCCTCGGCTCGGCTCGAACGTCGATGCGCCTCTACGAGAAGCACCTGAGGTGCACCGTACTGACCTCACACGTTCTCCCACCTAGACAACGGCGAGGGCAGCCTCGCCAACTAAGCGCAGTGACGCCTAGGGCGCGACGCATCCGTCGCCGCCGTCGTCGCAGCCTTCCCCTTTCCCCTTTCCCCTCCGTCTTTCTCCCCTTGTGCCTCGTTAATCTGTCCGCGCCTCGCGTCACTTGACCCCATGCCCTTCATCGTCGCCTGCATCGGCTGATGTGTGCGACGGTGCGGGAGCTGTTGCGCGTTGGCCTCTTCGGTAGACCTCCCCCCCTCTTCCTTCCCCTCTTACGACCCCTCGTGCCCTTCACGCGACGAACGAACCGCATGTCCATTCTCATAGACGTCTTCTCCTCGCTCTTTGGCGATCCCTGAGAGGCTGGCGAGAGTGAAAGAGCGGCCGACGCAGTTGCGAGCGCGCTCTCTGTCGCCCGGCGCACGAGCCCTCGTCCGACTCGCTCGCACTTTTGGCTCGAGTCGGCTCGCCGCTGCGCCCGACCTGCACAGCTCGAGTGCAAGAGACCTGTCGCACTTGCGCCCGACGCGTACCGCTTTCATCGTCACCGGCCGGCGCCCGGCCGTCTCATCACTTCCTCCTCGACTCCTCCTTCCTCCCACGTCGCCCTCGCCGCCCAAAAGCACCATGGCCAGTCTCCTGAGCACCCTCCAGCACCGCCTCGACGACCCCAGCATCCCCTGGAAGACCGTCGTCGCCGCCTCGGTCCTCGCCGGCGAGCTGTTCGAGGGCTACGTTGGGTGCGTCCCAAGGCTCCCTGGTCCGCGGTGGAGGGCCCTGTACGGCACCACGAGAGCTGACCAACGCCTGTCCCCTCCCCTCCACTCGCCCCATGCAGATCTCGACAGCGCCGCTTCCTCGACCCGATCCTCCACCCGACCCTCCCCGCCTCGCTCAAGCCCTACCTCGCCGCCGACGACGCGCAGACGACGTACAGCAAGAGCCAGGCCTATGCGCGCCACAAGATGTCGTTCTCGTCGGTCGTGTCCGCCATCGGCCTCGTCGAGTCGGTCATCCTCCTGTCCAACCTCTCGCAGCCTGTCCTCGCCTCGCTCGGGTTCAACGTCGGCACCGTGTCCGACTGGACGCTCCTCAAGGGCTTCTGGGACGCGGCCAAGTACGTGCCCGGCGTCGGTGTCGGCGGGCCGAGCGAGATCCGGCAGACGATGGGCTTCATCGCCCTGTCGACGGTCGCGAGCACGGTCCTGTCGATCCCGCAGGACTACTACCGCAACTTTGTCATGGAGGAGAAGCACGGCTTCAACAAGATGACGCGCCGTACGTTCATCAAGGACCTCGTCAAGGGTGCGTCCGCCTCTCCTCCCTGTCGTTCCTTTCCGTCCCTTTCCCCCGTCGCCTCTTGCCGCGCGAGATAGAGCGCCTGACCTAACGACTCGATCTCTTGCAGGCCTCCTCGTCTCGCTCCTCCTCGAGGTGCCCCTCCTCGCCGGCGTCGTCAAGATCATCCACTGGGCCGGCCAGGACGCCGTCCTGCGCATCGTCAGCTGGACCATCGGCTTTGTCTTCCTCGTCCAGCTCGCCATGATCGTCGTGTACCCTTTCGTGATCGCGCCCCTGTTCAACAAGTTCACGCCGCTCGCCGACGACTCGCCGTTCTACCCGCGCATCAAGGCCGTCGCGCAGCGGGTCGGGTTCCCGCTCGACGCCGTCTACGTCATTGACGGCTCGACGCGCTCGAGCCACAGCAACGCCTACTTTGTCGGCGTCCCGGGCCTGCCCAAGCAGATCGTCATCTTCGACACCCTCCTCGAGAAGAGCACGCCCGAAGAGGTCGAGGCGGTCCTCGGTGCGTCCCACTCTCTCCTTCTCGTGCTCTCTCGCGCCTCTCAGAGCGAAAACTGACTCTCTCGACGACGCAGCACACGAGCTCGGTCACTGGAAGGGCACCCACATCGTCTACCTCCTCGTGACGAGCCTTGCCCAGGTCGCCTTCTCGCTCTCGATCTTTTCCCTCCTGCTCTCGAACGGGCCCCTCCTCGCCTCGTTTGGCTTTGCGCCCTCGACCGGCTCGACCCTCGCCGCCAAGGTCGCCCACCCGCTCTTGCCCGCACCCGTCGGCCCGACCGTCGTCGCCCTCTTCCTCGCGTCGACCCTGTTCTCGCCCCTGTCGACGTTCCTCAAGTTCTGCACCAACTCGGTCACGCGCCGACTCGAGTACGACGCCGACGCGTTCGCGGCCAAGCTCGGCGGCAGCTACGCCCGCAACCTCAAGAAGGCGCTCGTGACGATCCACGAGAAGAACCTGGTGCGCCCTCGCTTCCTCTCAATCTCTCCTTCCCTCGTCTCGACGAGCCTCGTCCTCCACGTGCGCCCAGACTGACTGTGTGCGACCCTGCAGGCTGTCTACGGCGTCGACCACGTCTACTCGGCGCTCAACCACAACCACCCGACGCTCGTCGAGCGCCTCGAGGCGCTCGACGCCAAGCTCGACAAGGCGGGCGAGAAGAAGCTCGAGTAGAGACGATGACGAGCGTGGTGCGCGGCGCTGGAATGAATGCTGTCGCTCTCTCTCTTTGTCCTCTTTCTCGCTCTCGGAGAGTCTCTCTTGGGCGGGTTGGCGACGACGATCAACAAAGAAAGCAATGCAGAGAGACAAGATGAGACGATGAAGGATAAGAGAGTGTACACAATGTGCGACGAGAGCTCACTCGTCGCTGCCGAGCGTCGCGAGGTGCGCGCCGCTCGAGCCTCGGCGGAGCATCATCGACAGGCGCCGAGGGTCGCTCGACAGCGGCCTCTCCCTGCGCCCCTCGTTCTCAAAGCTCGTCGGCTCGGGCGACGAGTCGCCCTCGGCTCCACTGCCGCCGAGCGTGCCCGACTGCGACTTGGACCGGTTGAGGATGAGGGTCGACAGGCGGCGCTTGGTCGCGATCGCCTCGGCGTCGTCGCCGTGCTCCGTGTCGTGCGTCGCCGTCGACACCGTGTCGCGGTCGTCGTCCGAGTCGCTGTCGAGCGCTTTGCGCCCGAGCGCGCGCCGGTACGTCGTCGGCGCCGCCTGACCCTTGGTCGGCGACGACGACGAGGCCGTCTTGCGGTGCTGCTGTTGCTGCTGCGGCGCCGGCCCTCGGGTCTCGATGTTCTCGATCGCGGCGCGCACCTTGGACGGGTGCTGCAGGGGCGCGAGCGCCGGGCCCTCGCCAAAGGTCGGGTCGAACCCGAGCGACTCGCGCGCTCGGCTCGTCGGCGCCGTCGCTGCTGCCGCCGCCGTCGAGCGCAGGTCCTGCCGGCTCGGGAGCTGAGCCAGACGCTGCTGCTGCTGCTGCTGCTGCTGCTGAGGCTGGCTCGGCAGCTGGGCGTACGCCGAGACGGGCCGAACCTTGGTCGGCGTCGACCTGCTGCGAGACGCCGACGACGGCTCGTGCGCCTGCTGGCGGGCAGCCATCGGCGCCGAGCTCATGCCCTGCTGCAGGTCCGAGCCCGAGCGCTTGTGCTTCGGCTGCGGCTGCGGGCGCTGCTGCTCGGCGCGAGGCCCGAGCGCGCGCTCCTTGGTCGGCGACGTGCGCCCGCCGCCGCCGCTCGTCGTCGTGCCACGGCGCTCGCTCTGCGGTACGACAGCCGGCGCGCCAAACATGTACGCGCCGACGCCATCGAGCGAGAGCGGCTCGTCGCTCGACGCGAGGCCGTCGTAGGCCGGCATGGGCGAGCCGACCGGCGCGCGGCTCGTCGTCGGCGGCGGCGGCGCGGCAGCGGCAGCAGCGGCGCTCGAGAAGATGTCGGGGCGCGACGGGCTCGAGGGAGGAGGTGCGGCGTGGCGCGAGAGCTGAGGTGGGGCCTGCTGGCGGAACGGGATGCGGGGCGGCGCGTCGGTGAGCGGGGCGGTCGAGGCGCGCGTTGGCGAGGCGCGAGGCGCAGAGGGGAGCGGGCGACGCTGAGCCGACGCCGTGGCGCTGCGGACGGGCGACTCGTACGAGAAGAGGAGGTCGCCTGTGCCGAGGGCGTGGCTGCCGCCGGTGCGCTCGCGCTCGGGCGTCTCGGGCGCAGCGCGCGACAGGACCGTCGCCGACTTCTTGGGCGAGACCTGGAGCCGCGACGGGGCGCTCGGGAGCGTGACGGCAAAGGCGGGCGGGGCGTCGCGGTACGGCTGGCCGGTGGCGGCGGCGAAAGGGCCGCTCGAAGCCGGCTGCGACGGCGCGCCGTGCCGGGCGTAGTAGCGCTCGCGCGCGTCGTGCTCGAGGGCCGGGTCGACGCGCTGCTCGTGTCGAGGAGGGAACAGCTGCTCGTCGGTGACCTCGCCCTGGGCGTACTTGCGCGCGAGGTCGCCGTGCCCGACTCGGGCCGCACCGAGCAGCGCATCGTAGTCGACCTTGCCGCCGTCGACGTGCTCGTCGTCGTCCTCCTCGAGCGCGCTGTGCAGGCCCATGTAGGCGCCGGCCGTGCCCATGGTGCCCGCCTCGACGTTGGGCGAGTAGACGGACGGCGACGGGCAGTCGTCGCGCGCGCCCTGGCCGATGCCGAACCGCGCCCGGATCTTGTCGCTCAGCCGACTGCTTGTACTGCGCACGCTGCCGCTGCGGGCGACCCAGCGGTGCGCCGCCGAGGTCGACGCCCACGGGCCCGGGCCGAGGTGACGGGCGCTCGGGCCCTGAGCGACTTGGCCGCGAGCGAGGAAGTCGTGCGTCGACGACGAGCGAGGAGGAGGGACGAACGGCGCGTCTTGGACGGCTGGGGCGTGCGAGATCGACAGGAAGGGGACGTCGGGGTGGTCCTCGAAGCGCTCGGGCCTCGACCCGCCGCCGAGCAGGTTGCTCCACCGCGACGCGCCGCCGCCTTTGATCGGCGACGAGCCGGCGTCCTTGTCGTCGTACTTGTCGTCGACGAGCCCGCCGCGCTCCTCGGCGTCCTGGTCCGGGTCGACGCCGCCCTTGCGGCTGCGCAACGAGCCGCCGCCGACTGCGCCGCCCCACCACGCGCCGGCGCCGACGTTGCCGTCCGTGTAGTGCGCGTCGTCGTCGTCGCCCGCCGAGCGCGCCTTGCCGCCGCGGCCCCACCATTTGCCGTACGTGCACGCGGCGAGCGCGAAGGCGGCGATGATGGGCAGGCCGACAAAGACGGGGATGAGGTACGAGATCTTGAAGGGCGAGCTCGAGCTCGTGCCGTTGCCCGAGGCGTCGGACGCGAGGGCGGCCTGGGACGGGTTCGAGTAGCGCGAGACGGTCGCGAACCGGTCGGTCGAGGAGGTGGACGAGGTCGAGGCGACGGTGGCGGCCGAGGTGGCCGACGACGACGAGGCCGAAGAAGAAGAAGAGGTAGAAGATGTGGCCATGGCCGTGGCTGACGAGGTAGTCGGCGAGGACGAGGGAGGCTGGGTCCAGATGGACGAGGACGAGGAGGGGGAAGTCCATGCGGCGGCGGTGGGGGACCACGGGCTCGCCGCTGCGCTCGTCGTAGTCGTCGACGTCCAAGCTTGCTCTGTCCACGCCTGGGTCGTCGTGGCCGCGGTCCAGTCTTGGTCGGCGGCGGTCGAGGTGGGCTGCGAGTCGTCGGCGGTCCAGGTGTCCCACGCGGCCGTGGTGGCTGCGGCTGGCGGGTCGGGTGCGGCGTCCCAGCCGGTGTACTGTCCCGAGTCGTACGTGGCGGCGTCGGCCATGGCGGGGGCGAGTGCTGCGGGACAGAGGGCCGAGGTGAGCGAGGGCTCGCCCGTTGAGCGAGGAGGGGAGACGGGGTGCGCACTGGTTGAGGTGGTGGGTGCGAGCTGTAGTCGAGTGCTGTGCTCGAGGCTGTAGCGAGTGCGAGTGGGATGGGCGAGAGGGAGGAGGAGAGGGAGGAGCAAGAGGAAGGCGAGACGATCGTTCAACACGACGCTCGTCGTCGTCGCCGCTCGCCGCACTTTGCGATCTCGCCCATGTCGAGTGGACCTGCACCAGCTGAGAAGCAGCTGTGCTGTGTAAGAGAGTGCAGGAGAGCGCCTGTGCTCTCAGGCCGACCTGCGTCCGCCGAGAGCTGCCCGGTCCACCTTCCGCGGACTTTCCGCCAGCAGCTCCTCGTCCTCCGCTCTACCACCTGCATGCTCAGCAACCCGCACATCGACCTCCTCGACCTCTTCCCGGCCGCCTCGACTGCCGGCCAGACGCCCCTCGTCCTCCCCGCCTCGTGCCTCGCCCTCGTCGGCCCGGTTCCCTCCAGCTCGCTCCTTCACCTCGCACTCAACCACCTCCGCCAGTCCGACAGCGACGCCCAGTCGCCCGCTCTCCCGCAATCGACGCGAGCGCGAGGCAAGCAGCGAGCCCGGGACGACGACGACGACCTCGATCTCTCGGCCGCGGCGGGCGACAGCGGCGATGAAGGCGGCGGCGACCTGTGCACGAGCAGCTCGCCCGCACAGCAGCGCCGAGTGCTCATCCTGACGCCGGACGAGGCCGCGCTGCGAGACGAGCTCGCGAGGGAGGGCGACGTCTCGCTCTTTGGCTCCAGGCGCGACGGCGAGACGGTCCGGCTCCTCGACAAGGTCGACATCCGGTGCGTCCCTTCCCCTACTACAGTCGCAAAGATGCAGCGAGAATCAGGGCTGAACTCCCCCGCGTGCAGGTACCTCCCCTCGTCCTCCCACCTCACCTACTTCCTCTCGGCCGTCCACACCTTCTCGAGCCGCCACGCACCCGACGCCCAAGCAGCTTACCGCGACTCGGGCGCCAAGAGCCTCCTCGACCCGACTTGCCTGCCGTACGACCCGACGCTTGTTGTCCTGCACTCGCCGAGCGACTACCTCGACGAGCCGGTCAACGAGGGGTGCGTCCTCGTCTCTCTCTCATAGTTTGCCCCTGCGCACACGGGTCCTCTCGACTGACACGCTGCCCGATAGATGCGGCATCGACGCCTACGCGTCCATCGTCGCGCACTTTCTCTCGACGGGCGCCCGCCTCGGATCCAGGTGCGCGCTCGTGCCCCTTCCTCTGTCTCTCAGCCCCTCGCCTGCCCTGTTCCTCCCACAGCTCGCCCCTCCTCGTCGTCATCGACCCTCTCGCAGCCCACACCTCGCTCCCGCTCCTTCCCGCACGCCTCCAGGCCAAGACCAAAACCAAGAAGCGCTCGTTCGGCGACGAGGGCGACCCGGCCCCAACGACGACGACGACGGGCGGCGACCGCAACTCGATGGCGCTCGTGAGTGTCCTCGAGCGCTTCTTCGACTATGTCGGCGAGGTCGAACCGAGTGCGTCGCCTCGTCCGCCCCGGGTCCCTGCCCTCCTCGCCCTCCCTGACTCCCTCTCGTGCCCACAGTCCCGCCAGCCTCCCCTCCCGCGCCCGATATCGCCCCGCCCGGTCCGCAGCAGCAGCAGCAGTCGCAGCATCTCCTGCTCTCGTGCGCCGCCTCGCCCCGCCTGCGCACGACGACGCTCGCGCGCCCCGCGAGCGCGCACCTGCACCGCGTCGGGCTCGAGGTCGTGCTGCACCGCGTTGGGGAGGACGACGCCGAGGGGGAGGAGCCGGGCAGGACGAGGATTGAGGTGAGAGGTGGGTGAGCGCGGGGGCATGCAACGCGGGACTAGAGGCAGCCAAGCGTGCGTGGGATGAGAGGCCGAGAGAGCTTGCTTGCTCTTTCCTTCTCGCTCTCGGACGCAGACGGTGCCAGACGCTTCTCCTTAGCGAGCAAGTTGCGACACTCTCGCATGTGCTGCTCTCGAGAGGCTCTCGATTGCGCGCTCGGACCCTCTTGCTCACGGAAAAGGCTCGATTGCAGACGGCGGCGACGGGTCGAGCGCTACTTGAGCCACTCGCCCTTGCGGGTCGCCTTGGCCACCTCGCTCTCTGCCGTGTCCTCAAAGTAGCGCCTGCGCGCGAGCGGGATGGCGTAAGAGAGTGCGTCGCGACTCGAGAGCGCGAGGGGGAGAGAGAGAGGCTGGGGCGTACCTGTACACGCTCTCGTAGTTCTCGGGCAAGCTCGACGTCGCCTTGACGCTCGGGCGCTCGAGGACCCGCTGCGCCCACATCGCAAACTCGTCGCCCACGTCGCTCGCGCTGAACCCGCGGTGCTGTTCGAGGAGCGCGAACCGCGCGACCCACGGCCCAAGCACCGCCTCGACCCAGCCAAAGTGGTCACCGCGCGCCCAGGGCGCGCCCTCGCCGACGAACCACTGGGCTTGGACGTCCCGGAGCGCGGCGACGAACGCGTCGTGGCCGTCGCGCTGCTTTTCGGGCTCTTGCGCCTGGACGTAGCGGTAAAAAGCCGGGACGACGACGTTCGAGATGTGCTGCACGGCGAGGCGCACGAGGCCGAGCTCGTGTGGGTCGGTCGGGCGCAGCGAGCGCGGGGACGGGAACGCGTCGTCGAGGTACTCGAGGAGGACGAGCGACTCGTACAGGGCCTTGTCGTGGTGCTCGAGGGCCGGGACGAGCCCTTTCGGGTTGATGGCGAGGAAGTGCGGCTCCTGCGTGTGGCAACAAAGGGTGGGGTGGGTCAGTGAGGGTCGCTCGGCGAGGAGGACGAGGCTCGCTCGACGAGGGGCGCGAGAGGCGGTGGTTCGGCGGCGCACCTTCTGGTAAGGGTTGACCTCGCGGTACTCGTACTTGAGGCCCTTCTCCTCGAGAGCGATCCAGACGCGCTGCACGAACGGCTGCGTGGGCAAGGGAGGTCAGTGAGGGTGCTTTGAGGGGAGGGCGAGAGGGACGAGGACGCACGCAGAACCAGCCCTGTTGCGCGTCAAGGTGAGTCAGTGCGGCTCTTCTGACAGCTCGTTCGTCTCAAAGAGGAGAACACGAGACGCACGGCGTGGAAGACGAGGTCGTGCGGCTGCGAGTGCTTCTTGACGGTGTCCTCGGCGGCGCCAGTAGCGTGCGGCGGGTCGATCTTGTCGGGCATGGCTTTGCGGTAGGTTGCGGTGGAGGTGAAGGGTCGGAAATAAGGCTGTGCGGAGCGGGAGGTGAGGTGCGAGGTGAGCGAGGTGAGGTGGAGGGATGACGACGAGGAGGTGGGTTTTGGGAGGGGAAGGCGTGTGGAGGTGAGAGGGGCTCACCAGACGGTAGGCGAGTGTAGCTGGAGAGGCCGCAAGTCGACAGGAGCGGTGTGAGAAGAGCGAGAGCATCAAAGAGATGAGAAGGCCGAGCCGAAGTGGGGACAAGCTCGTCCACGCCTCCTCACAGCCTCGCAGCCGCCGCACAGCTGCTCGCCCGACTGTGCAGTAGCCAGCGACGCTCCCTGTCGATCGGGCCAGCGCGACCGCGCACTCGCCCCGTCTCGCGCCGACACCTCGTCCTCCCTCGACCTCGACCTCGACTACAACCCTCAGCACGACCGCCAGAGCAGCGCAAGTCGCCCCGATCTAGCCCAAAAGAGCCTCTCGCCGATACAGTGCCGCGCTTTTGTCCAGGTGCGCCGTCCTCGTCCACCCCTCTCCTTCCCTCGCCCGAGCTGACCTCGCCCACCCGCGACAGCCCGTCTCGCCGCTTCAAGCCGTGCACACTCGCGCCTCAGCCGCTCGAAACAACATTTCAGCGAGCTCGCACGGCCGTTCCGCCTCGAGATCGGCGAGCGCGAGATCACGAGCCTGCGGGCGGCGACGACGATGCCGCTCTCTGCGCCGAGACGGTCTCGCTGCATCCTGCTGTTCGCTGGGTGAGCTCGACCGGTTCTCTCTCTGTTCTGGTGGCGCGCGAGAGTCGACATCCTTCGAGATCGAGCTATTGACGCCTCGTCTCCTCCCTTCCTCGCCCTCGAAGCGCAGATCTTCGCGCACGGTCAAGGGCAGTCGTCGCCACATCAAGCAGCGCACTAGACGTACGAGGCGCAAGACGTCGAGGTGCAGCACCACTTGTGCCCTCGCAAGGCTCGTCAAGGTGCGCTCGAGCCCGTTCACCTGGTTCCGCCTCGTCCTCTCGCGACGGTCACTGAGCCAGCCCTTCTTCTTTCACAGCCTCGAACTCGGGCGAGCCTATGTCTCCTCGCCAACTCGGACAAGCGCAGCATATCGCCGGGCGGCAGCGGCGTCACGGGCGTCGACGTTCGGCGGTGCGAGGAGAGCGAGGGGCGGCAGGAGGGGCGGACGCGGCAAGCAGTGCGGCGCGTTCGGTCGAGTCGTTGATAGCAGCTGCGAGCATGTACGAGCCGGGCCTCCGACGACGAGACGAGGAGGTCCGAGCGACGCCGTCAGCTGCGCCTCGCCGGCGGCGGCGGGACATCGTCTCGACCTTTCCCTCTCTCCCTCCCTCTCTTTCTCCCGCCACCTCGCCTCGGCCGACGACGGCACGCGATGCAGCGTCTCGTGTCTCCCGCCTGCCCCGCCGCACCGCACCTCTCGCCCTCGGCTCCGGCCTCCTCCATCGGCTCACCCTCGCCCGCCGCCCTCCCTCCGCCACTCGTCCCGACCGAGCACCCGCTCTTCCTCAGCATCGACGCCTCGTCCTCCGAGGTCGTGCGCGCGTGCGTCCTCGATGAGCGCCTGCGCGTCGTGTGGACCGAGGAGGTGTCGCTCGACGTCGACCTCGCCAGCTACGGGTGCGTCGCGCACCGAGTCCTCTCTTTCGGCGCTCAGCCTGTCAGTCAGTCGGAGCACTGATTGCGGCCCTCGATGAGTGCGCAGCATCCGCCACGGCGTCTACACGCTCGGCGACTCGGTGACGTGCCCTTCCGAAGCGCGCCTGCACGCCCTCGACCTCGTCCTCGAGAAGCTCGCCCGCGAGGGCCCCGACCCGACCCTCCTCGGCCGCGTCGTCGCCATCAGCGGCGCAGGTCAGGTGCCTCCGAGTCTCTTTCCTCGATCCGCTCGGACGTCCGCCGAGGCGAACTTGAGAAGGCCGTCCTGACCCTCAAGGCCTCGTCACACAGCCCCACACGCTCCACTACCTCTCGCCCTCGTTCCCCTCGCTTCTCTCGGCCCTCTCGCACACGCCCTGCGCCCGCATCTCGTCGATCCTCACCGCCGACCGCGCCTTCTCGCTCGCGCACCCGCCCACCTCGGGCGACTCGTCGGCCGCGCCCCAGGTCCGCGAGCTCGAGCTGCACTGCGGCGACTCGGCGGCGTCGATCTCGGCGTCGATGCACGAGGAGGAGGAGGGCGGCAGCGGGCGCGAGAGCGTCGCGCAGAGGCGCGAGCGCGGCAGGGTCGAGATGGCGCGTCGCACGGGCTCGAGGGCGACGGCGCGCTCGGCGGCAGCGCAGCTGCTGCGCGTCGTGCAGATGGACCAGGGGATCGGTCAGGAGCTCGAGCGGGGGCAGGTGCTTGGCGGGAGCGGCGTGCTCGGCGGGACGGATAGGGTCGTGCTCGAGGGTGGGCTGTTCGCGAGCGTGTTCCTCGGCAGGTGCGTCGGCTGTTGCCCTCGTTGCTCGTCGGCGTCGACGTTGTCGAGGCTGTCGAGCTCGGTGTACTTGTCGTCCTCCTAACGCTCTCTTCTTCTCGCAGGTACGCCCCGACCGACGCCGCCGACGCGTGCTCGACCAACCTGTTCGACCCGGTCGGCGCCAAGTGGGACGACGACCTTCTCGCGTTCGTCGGCTCGGGCGGCAGCAAGATGGGCGAGGGGGCGCAGGCGGCGGGCGAGAGGCTGAGGGCGCTGCTCGGCGAGGTCGAGGTCGATGGCGGGGTCGAGGTGCGTCGTGCGGTCCTCTCGTTGCGGGACTCTCGAGCTTGGGCGCTCGAGTGGCACTGCTTGGTGCTGGACCCTTTGACCTGACTCCCTCTCGTCCACAGCTCGGCAAGATCTCGCCCTTCTTCGTCAAGCGCTTCGGCTTCTCGCCAAGTGCGTCCCTCTCCCTCGACCTCTTCTCCTTGTTCGCCCTCGCCCTGACCTTGTCTCCCGTTCCACAGACTGCATCATCGTCCCCTTCTCGGGCTCGGACCCGTCGGCCTTCCTGTCCTTCCCGCTCTCGACCTCGGCCTCGCCCTCGCACCGCGACGCCCTCCTCTCGCTCTCGTCCGTCGCCGACACCGACACGCTCGCCGTCTCGATCGCGCGCTTCGTCCCCGACCCGGAGCGCAGCGTCGTGCGGCACCCGGCAAAGGCGTGGTGGGAGCTCGGGCCGGTCAAGGGCAAGGGCAAGGGGCGCGAGCGGGTTGAGAAGGTCGACGAGCAGGACGAGGAGGGGACGCCCGACTTTGTCGCCTTCATCTCGTGCGTCGCCGTTTTCTCTTCGTCTTTCTCCCCTGGGCCGGCCCCGAGACTGAGGCATCGTCGCCCTCCCTCGACGCAGGAGCCGCGACGCCGGAATCGGCCGCGCCCTCGCTCGCGACATGTACTGCAACGGCCAGTGGCCCGTCTTTGCGCACCTGAGCGCCATCGTGCCGCATGGTGGAACGATCGGGTGCGTCGAGCTCTCTCTCTCGGACCCTGCCGCCCGGCCTCAAGGCCGGTCGGCTCTTTTGGCCGTAGCAGAGTGCCTGAAGCACGCACCTCTCCCTCCCTCTCGCGCAGGCTCGACGACAAGCACTTCTCGTTCTTCTTCCCGCACGGCGAGGCGACGTCGGCGCAAGGCCTCGTCCGCTTTGCGCACGGCGCGCGCGTCACCGAGTTTGTCGACCGCAAGATCAACCCTCGCCTGCTCGTCGAGTCGCAGGGTGCGTCGAGCTTCACCGCCTCTCTCTGCGTCTCTCTTGCACAGACACGGACTGATTCGTAGTGCCGTCGGTCCACAGTCATGTCGCTTCGCATCCGCCTCGCGCACCTGTACCGCTCCCTCCTCGCCGACGACGACCCGTCCCTCGCCTCTCTCCGCCCGCACGACCCTCTCGGCTTCCCCGCCCGCTCGTCGGCCTTCTCGCCCTCGCACCTCATCCTCGTCGGCGAGGCCGCCGAGAACCCGGCCCTGTCGTCCCTCGTCTCGACCATCTTCCACTCGCCGACGTTCCTCCCGCTCGCCGGCGGGCTCAAGTCGTGCGCGCTCGGCCAGGTCGGCCTCAAGGGCGGCGAGGCGCACGCCGAGTTCGAGCAGGACCGCCAGAAGACGACGGCGGCCGCGCTCGGGTCGGCGTACAAGGCGGCGTGGGCCCACGCTCGCGCGGCACACGGCGTCAAGGTCCCGTTCGCGACGTTCCTCAGTCGCGCGGTCGAGGCGCAGGCGCTCGAGATCGACGGCGGGTCGGCGTCAACGACGAGCGCGGGCGCCAAAGTCGAGCAGCACCACCGCTCGGGCGGCTCGTCAGCGGCGGCGTCGCGCCCTTCTACGGCCTCGGCTTCGGCGTCGGGCTCGGGCTCGGGCTCGGGTGCGGCGACGTCGACGAGCGCGCTCAGCCGCCTGTCGCTGCCGCGCCACGGCCACAGCGAGGGCAACGGCTCGCGCTCGGGCCTCGAGCAGCGCTCGAGCCCGGCCGCGTTCGGCGCGCACGCGCTCGGCTCGTCGCGCGACGGCGGCGGGCTCGAGGACCAGCAGGAGGGAGCAGGAGGAGGGCGTGGGCCGACGGGAGAGCTCGCGCCGGACCCGCCGGGCCTGTCGCTCGTCGCCGTCCCCGACCAGCACGAGGCCAAGTACTACGACAGCAGTGCGTCGGCTCCCTCTCTCACTCTCTCAATCTTCAGGAGCATCACGAGCCGAACTCACGCCATTGCGTCGCCGTCGCAGTGCTCCCCGAGTTTGTCCGCCTCGAGCGTGCCGCCCTCAAGGGCCTCGTCTAGCCGGCTCGGCCCTCGCGCGCCTCGGGCCCTCCCGTCCAGCGCCAAGGTCGTTCTCGTCGTCATCATCGCCCTCGTCGTCAACCGCATCTCGTTCAGCATCATCGTCCGCATCGTCCCACTCGCCTCGCACCTCCTACCTTTCCTCCTTCCCCTCGCATTCGACTCTCTCAGCATGGCTCCCTTCTCGCTTTCCTCCTCCTGGATAGACCCTTCCTCGTCGTCTGTCTCTCTGTCTGGATCGTCCTGCATCGACCGCTTGCCTCGTCCTCGTCGTCAAGATCCGCAGCAGCGAGAGCGACCTCGAGGTCGTCGAGAGGAGAGCTTGCGGACGCGCTCTTTGCTTCAGATGCTGCACGAGAGAGACGCACAGCTCGATACAACAGCTCACCTACAGGCTCGACTTCCGGCTAGTCTATTGCGCACGTTCCCACGCACTCGGCGCCGGCCACGTCTTCTCGAACCACTTCTCCAGCCGCTCGTCGACGTCGCGCATGCTGCTCGCCGACGCGCCCATGACGTCGTCGTTGAGCGCGAAGAACGCAGCGTCGAGCTTGTCGAGCTGGGCCGAGAGCAGGTCGCCGCCGTGCCGGATCGACTCGAAGGCGGCGGGCGATGAACCGAGCGTGTAGCTGTAACGGTGGATGAGAGCGGCGCACTGGGAGTCGAGGAGAGTCAGACAGGCTCTTGAGAGAGGTCGAGAGTGGAAGAGAGACGCACCTTGGCTCGCAGAGACGGTTTCCTGCCCTGCTCCTCGTCCTCGAGGCCGCGCGAGAAGTCGATCGTGCGCCAGTCGGTACCCTCGAGCCCGACCGCCTGCGGCCTCAGGGCTTCTGCCTGCTGCTCGCCCATCGACGCCTCGTCGGCGAAAGCGCCGTCGCCCTCGCTCGCCGGCGGCAGGAAGCTCTCGAGCCCGGCCTCGCCGCTTTTGCCGACGAGGAGCACGATGATGCAGTCGCCGCACTGCGGCTTGTCGAAGGCGATGCGGCGGAACGTCTGCGTGACGGAGCTGATGCCGGTCGAGGCGAGAGACAGGAAGTCGTCGCCAAAACAATCGACGAGGTCGAGGGTGCAGACGGGTGGCGAGGGTGATGCAGAAGGGGAGGACGACGTGGATGAGTCGACGGCAAAGGAGGGCCAGGTGAGGTGCGAGGGATAGAGGCGGTGCGGTCGAGGCCGAGAAAGGCGTAGCCGTCGTGCGAGGAAAAGTCGAGAGTCGTCTCGAGCGGGTTGGGAAGGTCGACTTGGTCGTGTCGCCGCGGTAGGTCGACGAGCGTGCGTCGACGAGGCGGGTCGACCTGCAGGATGTGCGAAGACGAGGGCGAGTCGAGTTCGTGGCCGAGGGAGGAGAGGAGGGCCCGGCGCTCGGCGTGCGAGTAGGTGCCCGAGCGGTCGAGGTCGGAGCGCGCGACGAGGAAGGACCACAAGCTGCGGATGCGACCTGTCAGAGCCACGTTCTACCCTTGAAAACGACGGAAAGAGAGACGCACAGAGCCTCGCGGTGCTTCTCGATCGTGTAGTGCGTGAGGAGGAAGAGCGGCTGCACCTCGCTCGGACCTCGTCCTCGGAATCTCGACTCGGCCGTCTGCGGAAAGCGTCGACGTCAGGGTTTTGGTCGAGTGACATGTGTGAGCGAGAGAGAGGAGGACACACCTTAGTCATGTCGGCCAGGAAGACCTGCTGCATCTCGCGAGCGATCGGCAGCGACAGCGTCTTGGCGACGTGCACGAGGTACGGCCGGGCCCGCTCGCCAAACCGTTGGTCTGTGCGTGTAGGAGATGCTGATCTCGGTCAGTGAGCTGGTCGGGCGTGCGAGCGAGAGAGTGAAACTCGAGGCGGCTCACCGAGGAGCCATGCCGAGTAGCCGAGTCCTCGCCACTCGCCCTCGGGATCCTCGTGCGCGTTTTCCGGCGCGACACCCTTGACGAGGAGGTCGCGCTGCAGGCGAAAGACCGGGCCAGCAAGAGGCGAGGCAAAATCGGTCGTCTCGAGTTGCTGCAGGACGAGGCGAGTCGGTCAGTGAGACGAGCTCGTGCGGGACCGAGGACGTTCAAGACGCACATGGTGCAAGAAGAAGTCGTCGTTGAGGTAGATGGCGGTCGAGGCGGAAGTAGAAGAGGGAATGTTGGCGAGCTGCGACTCGATGGCGAGGCTGCACGAGGAAGAAAAGGGGTGTGAGCGTCGTCCTTTGTGTAGAGCTTGGGCGAGCCGGGACGCACCTGTTGAACGAGGGGAGGACCTTTTGCTGCCACGCCAAAGCGCCCGAGGCGCCGAGAGCTGGGCCGGCCTTGAAGATCTCGGAGTGAGGATGGACGAGGAGCTGCGGCGCCGAGGTCGTCGCGACGACCTGCGGCTCCGAGAAGGCGATGCTGGACAGGTCGAGCCAGTGCGGCAGCTGAGCAAGGCGGAGCTGACGAGAAACGTCGTCAGGATCGAGACGCTCGCGGTCGGCGGGCGAGAAGGCCCACGTGTCGCCGACGACGAGGTGGAGCGTCGACAGCGACGACGCGCCGAGCGACTGGACGACGGAGCGCACCGAGAAGCGCAGCTCGTCGTGCTCGCTGCAGAGAGGGGCGACGACGTCAATCGATGCGTCGCTGAGGGCGAGTAAGGGAAGGGAGGAGGAGGGGGCACGTGCACGCACCGGAAGTGCCGCAGGACGGCTGCTCCTCTGAGCCGTCTCCTGACGGCCCGCATCGCTCTCCTCGTCCACCGCCGCACCCTCGACCGCCTCGCTCCCTCCTGCGCCGCCTCCTCGCGCCAGCTCGTCATGAGCTCGGCGCTGCTGCCGTTCACCCAAGTCCACACGGCGTCCAGCTTGGGCCGCGCCGCCTCGTCGGTCCAACGCCCGTCGTACGCCGTGCAGATGGTGCCCGTCGCGATGTAGCGCTCAAAGCAGGAGGCGGACGAGGCGAAGGACGAGGTTGAGAGGGGATGCTCGAGGGGGACAGGGCGGTAGAGAGGGTCGAACGCGGTCGAGTCGAAGGGAAGGACGCCGTCGTTGACCGACTCGGGGTCGGCGAGGTACTGCTGGGCGAGAGACGGGGCGAAGGAGGTGTTGAGGCGCGGCATCGACGAGGAGAGCGCCTCGCTCTCGTACGGCCGTGACGCCTTGGCCGTCGAGCACGACGACGTGGCCGCGAACAGGGACGCGGTGATGCCGACGGGGACAAGCGAGGCGATGACCAGCACCGCGATGCGCTGCACCCGCCGTCGTCGCCCTCGCCGCGCCTCGTCCTTCTCCTCGACGACCTCGTCCGCCGTCGCCAACCGGTACCGCGGCAGCAACGGCTCCGTCGCGTCACCCGCCTCGCCGTCGTGCTCGTGCTCGTGCTCATCGGTGTCGCTGGTCGAGATAGGCGACCCAGGTCGCGAGGGCAGGGCGGCGCCGCTCGAGAAAAGTGCGGGGTGCGCAGCACGCGCATCTGCCGCCGGCGGCGGAGCGCACTCGAGCGCAGCGGGCGCGCGCATGAGGGTCGCAGAGCAGCGAGAGCGAGGTGCACTCGAGCGCGCGCGAGAGAGAGAGGGCCGGCCTCAGCGAGAGGAGCCGGCACTCGCAGCTGGGCGACGGGCGCACGCGACTGTGCAGCGCAGCAGCACCCCGCACTCGCAACGCGCCCACAGCTCGAGACGCCCACGCCCCTCTCGACCGCTCGTCCGCAAACGCAGCAGTTTTGAGTGCGCGTTTGATCGAGAAGCTGCCGAAGCCGCCAAAGTTGGCGGGCCGCAGGATCGTCGAGACGGGAATAGCCTCGTCGCGAGATGAGCGTTGGCGGAGGGCGGCGACGGCTCTTCGAGATGCAGGCCGGGACGAAGGGAGACGAGATGTCGTCGGCCGGATCGGTCGACGGATTGTGGTCGAGGTGAGGGTCTGTGGTCGAGGTGAGGGTCGGTGCGTGAGACGACGGCGGTCGCTCAAGAGGTCGACCACGGCGCAGAGCAGGCTCGCCGGTCGTCACGGCTCATCTCGACCGTCGTTGTGCGCGTGATGAAGCTCTGTTGACGTCGCCGACCTTGCCCCGCCGCTGGATCGTGTTGAAGAAGGTCGAGTGAGGGGGAAAGGGCGACGGCTCCGTCGCCGACTGTCAAGGTCGACCAAGTGACGCTGTCGCTCGGCGAGGTCGTCGACGGGGACGTTGGAGCCGGCCTAGAGCGAGAAAGACGCTGCTGGAGGCTGCGCTGACCGGAAAAGCGTCGAGGAGGAGGTCGGCGACAGGCATGCGGGTCTCGAGGCTGGCGCACACGCAGGCGGCACAGGCAGCGCAAAGGCGACCTTGCACACGCCTGTCTTGTCGTCGACGGGCTAGACGAGCCCTGCTTCGAGGGCGAGGAGGGCGGAGAAGCCGACGAGCTCCTGCTTGGCGGGCGAGAGGATGGCGGGCTCGACGAGGCCAGCGTTGGCAGCAAGAGCGCACAGGCGCGGCCTTGGCTATGCGCGGCGGTGCACGGGTGGTCCACAGCCAGTGTGCGCGAGCGTGAGCGGAGCAGGTGTCGTTGTCGTCGGAGGACGAGGACGAGCAGCTGGCTCTGGACCACAACGACGCGTCTCGCCAGAGCGAGATCAAGCACCAGCACACCTCTCGCACGCCTGATCGCCACGCCCTACCGCCCGAGTGCCCCAGCCAGCTGCGACCTCCCGCTCCCTCGCCTCCCCACCGCCTCCCCGCCTCTCGACCCTCGCTCTCCTCGCCCCGCCCCACGACCATGGCCAGCCGGACTGGCTCCCCTGCCCTTCACACGTCGCGCAAGCAGCAGCCCTCGACCGCCGGGGCCAGCTCGGCCCGCTCGTCGCCCAAGCCCGCCGGCACCCCTCCGCCTCCTGCCGCCGCCGCCGCCGCCTCGAACGCGCCGCAACAGCCCCTGCCCGACCTCGACCAGCTCCTCAACCTCCCGATACGCGTCAAGGTCGCCGCGGCAGGGCCGGGCGTGGCGGCGCGCGACGTCGAAGGGTCGCTGTTCGCCGTCGACTCGTCGTTCATCGTGCTCGCGGCGGCACCGGCGGGCAGCAGTGCGGGCGCACCAGCAGGAGCGGCGGCGGCGGCGGCGGCAGGAGCGGCGGGCGCAACGGCGCCGAAACGGACGTTCCACTTCCTCAAGACGTCGACGCTCGAGTCGGTCACGGTCCTCTTGCGCACGGCCGACCCTTCCCTGCCCGCTCCTTCGACGCCGCTCTCGTTCGCGCACCTGCCGCGCACGCCCGCCGACGTGTCGCACGCCGTGTCGCGCGCGCTCGCGGCCCAGGCGCGCCTCGCGCCCGCCGGCGTGTCGGCCGACGCCCAGAAGCTGTTTGACGCGCTCGCGCGCACGCTCCCCGTGAGGTGGGCCGGCGAGAGCATCGTCGTCCTCGACGAGGTCGTCGTCGACAAGCCGTACGGCATCGCCAGCGTCAAGGGCGCAAAGGGCTCGGCCGAGCGCGTCGAGCGCGTGCGGAAGATGGTGCGTCCGGCTCTCGCTCTCTCTCCCTCGTCTTTGGCGGCGGGCGGCGCTCTCGTCGAGTGCGCCCGCAGCCTCGAAGGACGAGTACGGGACTGACCCTTTGCCTCGCTCGCGCGCAGCTCGAAGGGATCCGGAACCGGTTGGGTCTGACGACGCCGCAGCCGGCTGCGTAGCTCGTCGCCCTCTCGCAATGCAGTCGTCGAGAGCACTTTGGCGGCCGAGTGGCCTGAGAGAGCGGATCGAGCAGGAAGAGAAAGCGGACCTCGTCGAGCTGAGAGGATGCGAGCGAGATGGTCCAGCTCGCAGAGGGGAGGAGAGCGAGGACGAGACCCAGCTGACGGGCAGCAGGATGGGGGCGGCTCGCGCGCCAGCCATGCGAGTGCAGGGTGTGCAGCCGAGGGCATGCTGGCCTGGCAGCGAGTTGCGGTGGCCGCGTTCGAGAGGGAGAGGCGGAAGGTCGAGGCGAGAGGGAGGAGGACGAGGGCGGCGTTGTCGGCGACGAGGGGCGGTCGCGAGTTGGTGCCCGGTCGTCGATGAGGTTTGTGCGGCCGTTCAGAACGAGGACTGTGCCACAGAGAGTGTAGCAGAGGTGGGAGGGAGAGGGGCGAGCCGTGCTCTGGTGCGCCGCTCGTCGTCGCCATTTTCGCCTCCTGGCTCCTTCGCTTCGTCCCCGTTCACCCGTCGACCGCGTAAGCTGTTCCGCCCAGCCAGGTCCTGCTCAACCGACACACGCTGACCTTGCACCCCAACCCCTCGCCCGCCCACGCCGTCCCGCCGTCAACTCGACTCGCCCTCCCCCTCTCCTCCTCGACCTCGCCTCGCCGACCCGCCCTCACCGCTACCACCGCACTTGTTGCGCTCCAGCCATCATGTCCGACGCCAAGGCCGCTGCTGCGAACCCCATGCGCGAGCTCCGCATCGACAAGCTCGTCATCAGTGCGTCCCCCTCCTCGTCGCCTCGTCCTCCTCGTCGTTCTCGCTGACCCCCCCCCCCCCCCCTGCGCGCCAAAAAAGACATCAGTGTCGGCGAGTCGGGCGACCGTTTGACGCGGGCCGCTAAAGTTCTGGAACAGCTTACGGGCCAGACGCCCGTTACGTCGAAGGCGCGCTACACGGTCCGTCACTTCGGCATCCGTCGCAACGAGAAGATCGCTGTGCACGTCACCATCCGCGGCCCCAAGGCCGAGGAGATCCTCGAGCGTGGCCTCAAGGTCAAGGAGTACGAGCTCAAGAAGCGCAACTTCTCGGCGACGGGCAACTTCGGGTTCGGCATCCAGGAGCACATCGACTTGGGCATCAAGTACGACCCGGGTATCGGGTACGTCCTCTCTCTTCTCTCGGTCCCTCGACGGTGTCCTCGGGAGCGAGAACTGACCGCGTCTTGCCGCCCCACAGTATCTTCGGCATGGACTTCTGTGCGTCCTCGCCCTCCTTCCCTCGACACGACCCTCCCCCTTTCTTCTCGGCGTTCGACGACGGGCGCAGGCGTGCGGCTCGGGACGTGCGGCGGCGGCACGGTGGTGCAGGACGAGCGTCGAGGAGCGGGTTTGAGGGCGAGATGAGCGTCGAGTGGAGCGGGCCGGCGAGCGAGCGGTGCAGCGGGCGCAGGCGAGCGAGCGACGGCGGCCATGTCGAGGCGACCGCACGAGCCTTCGTCGTGCCGCAGCGAGGGCCGTGCGCGTCGGCTGGACCGTCGAGCAGCCTCGAGCCCATGTCGCCGAGCCGGGCCCTCGCTTCGGCCAGCCCCTCCTGCCGACCGCCGCCTCGCGCATCACCCTTCCCTGCATCCCTCGAGCCGTCGACCTGACCGTGTTTCCCTCCCCTCTGCAGACGTCGTCATGGGCCGGCCAGGTGGCCGCGTCGCGCGCCGCAAGCACTGCACCGCGCGCGTCGGCTTCTCGCACCGCGTCAAGCGCGAGGAGACCATGGTGCGTCCCCGCGCTCTCTCTTTCTCTCTGTGTCTCTCGTGCCCGCGAGAGAGACGACGTTCCTGACGAACGCCCTCGCTCGCCCACAGGCCTGGTTCAAGCAGCGCTTCGACGGCATCCTCCTCGGCCGCAAGGACTAGAGCGCTCGTCTCGCGCGCTCTGGCAACCCTCGCTCTCTGAGTCGAAGAAGGACGTGAAGGTCGGGAAAGGTGCTGGCTGCGACGGCCAGGAAGGGAGACAAGAGGGAGCCCGGTCTTGCGTGCCATGCCAGGAGGTTCCTCTCTCTCTCTGCGCAACGGCAAGCGAGCGAGAGTACGAGAAGCAGAGCGAGACGGGCGTTAAACGTCGACGAGAGCGATCGAGACCTGCTTTCGCGAGAGGCAGCTCTCGCACTTCAACTCGCTCGCACGGGCCGCCCAATTCCAGGAATCCTCCTAGTCGTTGCAGCTCCTCCCTGCTCGTCGCCCTGTATCGCTCTAGCCCTCCTGCTCCTCCTTGACAGCGCGCTCCCACCCTTGCATGTAGGCCGTCCGCAGCGGGTTGAGCTGCGCGTCCTCGTCGTCGTCGAGGAGGGCGCCGTTGACCTCGTCGTACTTGTCGTCGTCGCCGCCGCCACCGCCGCCGCCGCCGGCCGTCTCGAGCTCGCCGAGGAGCGCGTCATCATCATCGTCGTCGTCGTCGTCGTCAGGGTCGAGAAAGGCGCCGCCGCGAGAGGGCGTCGACAGGCCCGAGGCCGAGGCCGAGTTTGGGCCCGTCGACGAGGGCGCTCCCGCTCGCGCTCGTCCTCCCTTCCCTCGTTTCCCTCGCCCCACCACCGTCGTCTCGCCCGACTTTCCTGCCCCCGCTCCCGCTCGAGCCGGCGCCGCCCCGGCGCCGCCCTGGCCTGCCGGCCCTCGAGCGCCTGCGAGCGCCCGGAGCCAGTCGTCGGCCTCGGACTCGGACAGCGAGTCGTCCGTGTCGTTGCCGGTCGGAAAACTGTCCGGTGCGGGAGAGAGGGGAAGAGGAGAGGGAAGAGTCAGTGCGTGCGCGAGTGAGAGGGGGCGCGAGCTGAGGAGCGACAGGCGGCGGCGAAAGAGGAAGAGGCGCCGCCAGGGAGAGAGGAGGCGAGGTGGGTAGGCGACTGGAAAGGCGAGAGAGAGAGGGGGGGGAGGGACGCACAGGATGCCGCCAAACATGCCTCCGTCGTCGTCCGGGTCGAGCTCGTCGCCCGTGCTCGCAACGCCCTTGCCCTTGCCCGTCGCGGCCCCACCAGGAGCCCCGATCGCCGCAGCGCGTAGCGCGCGTCGCTCGGCACGCGCGCGGTCGAGGGCGGCAGCGCGACGCTGAAGCGCGAGCGAGTCGTGCAGCGAGAGGGCGGCCGTGCCGGACGGCGAGGCCGACGAGGACGAGCCGGGCGTCGGGCCCGAGTTCTTCTGCGGGCGCACGAGAGGTACCGCTCGAGTCAGACCTGCATGGAGCCCGGTTGAGGGCAGGAGAGAGAGAGAGGGAGGGACGCACGAGAAAGGCGGCGGCGGCGATGCGGCGTTTGGCGCTCGGGCTCGCGGCCTCGTCGTCGACTGGCGTGGGTGCGACTTTGACGTCGAGCATGGCATCGGGTGCGGGCACGAGTGGGCCGTCGAGGTGGGTGTCGGCGAGGTCGTTGCGGATCTGGTCGAGGTCGCGCAGGTGGGCGAGGCGGGCGAGGATGCGGTCGTGCTGGTCTCGGAGGCGGGCGTCGCCGCCGGGGAGCTGAGCGGCGCCGCCAGTGTCGAGGAGGCGGGTGGTGCGCTCGAGGCGGTCCTCGAGCTGGGCGTGCGAGAGGAGGGCGAGCGAGTGCGGGGTCGAGGCGTGCGAGGTGCGCGGGACAAAGGGCGACTTGCGGCGGTCCTGTCGGAGGGTGCGGGCCTCTTGGCGCTGCGAGGCGTACGAGCGCGACTGGAGGGCGGCGCTGGTGGGAGGTGGGTGCGAGGTGGACGACGACGAGGTCGAGGGGAGAGCGGGGAGCGAGTTTGGGTCGGCCGGTCGCGGGAAATGGAGGCCGTTCAAGTTCATGGCTGCCGTTGTACGCTGGGCGGGTCTGTCGGTGCTCTGAGCGGTGTAGAGAGCGAGAGGGAGCAACCTCGCCCAGGCTGATGACCTCGTCGTCGTCGTCGCAGCTTGGCTCTCACACCCTCGCACCGCACCCTTGGCTGGACCAGGACCGGCTTGCTTCAACCACAACTTGCACAAGATGCAGCCACCGCAACCGGGCTATCCACCCTCGCCCTCGCTCCTCTCGCCCTCTGGTCGCCCTGCACCGCCTCGCACCGACGACCTCCCGACCTACGCACAGACCCAGGCCGCGTCACCTTCGAGCCAGCGCTTCACCAGGTGGGGCGGCTGGGTCGACAAACGCACTCAAGAGCGCCAACACCCCGACCCTCGACCCTCCTCGTCGTCGTCGTCGCCCAACCTCGACCTCACCCCTCGCCACCACCTCGAACCGCACCAGGACTACCTCCCGACCCCGTGCACAACCGACGACGGCACCCGCCCTCGCAGCACCAGCGCCGCCTCGTCGTCATCCGGCCCCCGCTCGACCCTGCGCCTGTCGCGCTCCTCGCTCCTCGACCGCCTCGGCTCGCGCTTCGACCACGGCATCCCCGACGAGCCCTCGTGCGCCGTACCGCTCCCGACCTCGCACACGCACGACGACCGGTCCGTCCTTTCTCTCTTGCACCTCTCTCTCTCTGTAACCCTCGACTGACCTTGCTCCTTCTCCAGCCTCGTCCTTGTCGGCACCGCCAACGGTGCGCACCCCTCTCTCTTCCTGAGCCGTACTCGTACTGATCCTCCCTATCGCGTCACAGGCCTGTACCTCGTCGACCTCGCGCCCGTGTCAGCCTCGGCACCCCTCACGACCTCTGCCCGCTCGCCCGCCGACGCCCGCACCCTCTGCGTCTGGCACGGCATCGGCGTCCACCACCTCGAGGTGCACGTCGACGTGCTCGAGTCGACGGCCAGGACTGCTGCGCGCATGCCCGCGCCGACCGGGTGCGTTGTCGCCCTCGTCGACGTCGCGCACGAGCGCCAGGTACGCACCTGGAGCCTCGAGGCGCTCGTCAACTTGGCAACCTGGCGCGCCATGGACGAGGTGCGTCCCGCACTCTCTCTCCCTCTGCCTGGCCAGCGGCCCCGAGCCTGTACTGACGCTCGGTCCGCTCGCGTGCAGCACTCGGTCCCGCTCGAGCTCGTGCCAGCGCACTTTTCGACGAGCTCGAGTCGCAGCGGCCACATGCACGGGCACCACCATCATGGGCATCACCACGCGTCGACCTCGTCGACATCCTCGGCCGCCACCTCGCCGTCGACGTCCTCACGCCGCCGCCCATCCTTCCCCTTCCTGCACAAGACGACGCACGCCTCGCCGGTCAAGGACGCCCAGGTGCAGCCCTCGTCGTCGTCGTCGCCGTCGTCCTCCCCGGCGACGAGCGCGAGCGCCTCGCGCCTCTCGCTGCACCCGCTCGACGTCGGGGCCGCGCCTGCGTCCGCGCTCGGGCCTCCTCCTCCTCCTTCGGCGCCCACCTCGGCCTCGTCGCCCAGCATGGCGCCGCAGCACCTCGAGCAGCCGCTCGAGTGGGCGACGAGCGGCGCCCGGCTCGTGGTCCCGAAAAGCGCCGGGGCCGTCGTTGCGTGCCGCCTGTTCCGCATGCCGCCGCCGACGGCGCCGTCGCCGTCGGCCTCGCCTCGTTCGGCCGGTCAGTGGGCCGGCGCGAGCTCGTCCGACGATGATGGCGAGAGCGACAGCGACGGGTACGACGACGCGCCGGGCGCTCGACGCGCGCACGCAGAGCGCGAGCGTCGCCGCGTCGAGGCGGGCAGGGCGCTGCTCGTCGTCGTCGGCTCGGCGAGGAGCGTGTGCGTGTTTGAGCTGGCGGTCGGGTCCCCCGGTGCGGGAGCTGGAGCTGGAGCGGGCGAGGGCTTGGGTTCGGGGAGAGAAGGGAGGATCTGGACCTTGACGAGGGAGTTCTTCGTGCGTCGTCGTCGTCTCTCTCTCTTTCTCTCGGGCCGGCCGAACGAGCGTACCTTCTTTGCTACAAGTCACTAACGTTGCACCCTGTCGTCGTCACGCAGGCTCCCTCGACCCCGCGTTTTCTCGACCTCGTCCGCACCACCTCCCCTCCCGCACCTTCCCCCGCTCCCCTGCGCGCCACTACCTCGCGCCCCTCTCCCACCTCGTACACGCCTCCTCGAGGCCCGACCTACCCGCCCGACCTGCACCTCGTCCTCGGCACGTCGCACCGCGTCGTCCTCGTCTCGCTCGCGACGGCCGCCGTGCACGAGGTCGACGTCGTCGCGCCGTCCATGTCCGACACGAGCCCGAGCACGAGCACGAGGAGGAGGGCCGGCAGCGCCGCGTCGAGTCGCAGCGAGCTGTCACCGCCACAGGGCTCGAGCGCGCTCGGGCACCGCAAGACGCCGTCGCGCGCTGCCGTGGCCGCAGCGACTGCCGCGCTCGGCCTCGGCGAGCTGCGCAAGTCGCTGTCGGCGCTCGTTGGCGGCACCGGCAGCGGCGGCGGCGGCGGCGGCGGCGCGAGGGGCGGTCGGGCGGTCCCGGCGGGCATGGACGAGGGCGAGGTTGAGGGCTTGGTCGCCGGGCGGCGCGTCGACGAGGAGCGTCGGGGCGTGCGCGAGCCTGACAAGGGTTCGGAGAGGGAACGGGCGAGGTGGACCGGGTGCGACGTCGTCGCGCTCCCCGGATCCGGCGCGCGCTCGGACCGCCGCTCAGGCCGCCACACGTCCTCGCCGACCCGCACTCGCTCGCTCGTCCTCCTCACGCGCGGCAGCACGTCGTACCTCGTCCCCTCGCTGCCGTGCCCCGCCCCGCTCGGCGCGCCCGACCCGCCTCTCGGCCTCGACCGCTCGCCGTCATCTCCTTCCTCCTCCTTTTCTGCCGCATCGCCCACCGGTGCCGGGCCCGCCGACTCACTCGCGCTCGACGTCCGACACGCGTTCCACCACGCGCTCGGGCCCGTCAGGCGCGTCGTCGCGCTCATGCCGCCGGCGCTCGAGGGCGAGAACGAGGGCGAGGGCCGCCCGGTCCGGCTCGTCGTGTGCGCGTTCGCCGAGACGGGCCTCGCCGTGCAGGAGTCGGGCGTGGTCCTCGCCTCGGGGCTCGTCGCGCCGCTAGCTGTGCCGGGCGTCGCTCGCGAGGCTCTGAGGAGGGAGACGGGGCCTGAGCGGCTGGGGGAGGAGCTCGGCGCCGCCGACGAGGAGGAGGAGGACGACCCGCCGCCCGACGCGGCGACGCTCGACTTTGCGCGTGCGACGAGGTTCCTGTGCGGGCTTGGCCGCGGCGGCGGGGCGGGCTCGGGCTCGGGAGCGGCGACGGGCGCACTGTTCGCGGTCGAGGGGCGAGGTGGGTGGGGGCTGCAGCGGCTCGCGGTGGCTCTGTAGCTTGCGCGAGTCACTCTGAAGCATTGTTCCTCTCGTGCGAAGTGGGAAGCTCGAGTGCCGCCCTGGCTCGAGAGAGGTGCTGTCGCGAGAACCCCTCCTGCGAGCAAGCGCCCGCCTCGTTCACCCAGCCCATCCTCGACGCGATCTCGCCGAGCTTGCGCCTTACTAGAAGCTCTAGCCACGCCGCAAGCTCCCGCAACAGCTGCCCCTGCGCCACGAGAGCCTCGTGAGAGCGAGAGGCGGGCCTCTCTCGACGCCTTTCAATTCAAACTGGACCCGGCCCAACTACGTCGAGTCCTTGTTTGGCGCTCGGACCTGCGCCAAACCTCGCACTGCACCGCGCAAGCACATCGCGAAGCCTTGAGCGCACGCAAGAGCGAGCTTTGTGACCCGAGCCTCGCTCCTGGCCTGAGCGTTCACGCCGCAAGTCAGCGAATCGCTAGAGCAAGTCGTTTAAGGTCACCATTGCTCAAGCTCGCTCGCTCGCTCCGAAAGTGCTCTCAGACGGTCTCTTTCCGTGTCGCATCGGGATCTCGAGGCGCTCTCGACGGAAGGCGACGGCAACGAGCGGCAGCTCTGAGGCGCTTTGCAAAGGTGGGCTCGAGCGGTTCGCTCGAGAGAACGGAGCGGGGAAGTTTCGCCGCTCAACTGATCCTCCTGCTCTCGAGAGGCTGCGCCACGGGAAAGGAGGCTCACGGTCATGTGCACGAGACGTAAACGAGGAAAATGTGATGCAGACGCGAAACAGAATGTCCACAGCTATGTACGACAAGCTTCTTCTCCTCGTCGACCCGGTTCTTCGACTCGTCCGACACACACGGCGCTCTCGTCACCCGACGCACACACTCAAAGGTAGATCGGGAGCGTCGCCTTGTTGACCTCGGCGCTGAGCTCGTAGAGGCGTTCTGCGAGCGAGAATTACGATGAGAGAGTCAGGGTTTCTGCTCTCGAGGCATGCTCGTCGAGAAAAAAGAGGAAGTGGGACGCACCGCCCTTGAGGAAGTTGAGCGGGCAGGTAACGATGTGGCCCTTGATCTGCGAGAGCTGCTCCTTGATGTGCGAGACGGGCATGTCGAGGCTCGCGATGTGGCCGGGCTGCGGACGGCGGCGAGAACGAGAAGGTCAGTCACGCCGTCGTGCCAGACATCAAGAGAGACGGGGGCGCACCTTGATGGGTGCCTGCGGGACGAACGCTGTGGGCGAGGAAGGAGAGGTGAGTCAGAAAAAGGATCTCAAGTCACGCTCGAGCCCTGTCGACGACGCACCCTTGTACTGCGCAAAGGGAATGATGGTCAGGACCTCGGTTGTAGACGTCGTCGAACCAGTACGAGAGAGAAGGAGACGCACCTGAGCCCAGGTCTCGACGTTCTTGGACGGGACGCAGTGGAAGAGGTCGTCGAAGATCTCGGCGTTCCTCGCCGCCGTGTCGCGCAGGAGCGCCTCGGTGCGCGGGTCGAGCGGGTCCTGCGAGGTGCACGTCCGAGTCAGGGCCATCCTCGACGGCGGCAGGCCGAGAAAGGAAGAGAAAGGAGGCGACGAGCCATGACGAGCTCGTCCTCCTGGGAGCCGGTCGCGTCGTCGTGCAGGGTGCCGACAGGGCGCATAGACGCCGTGACAGGCTCGTCGCCGACAGGCGGGCACATCTCGGGGGCCGAGAGGCCGAGGTGGTCCTTGTAGAGCTGGCGGCGGAGCGTCGCAGCGAAGCGCGACACCATGACCTGCAGGAGGGAGCGACGCTCGTCAGTACGTGCGCGAGGTTCAGGAGGAGGATAGAGAGAATGAGAGAGGACGCACAGGCTTGCCGTCGAGACGCGAAGGGATGAGGTCGTCGAAGTCCTCGATGACGACGGCGATTTCCGAATCGCGGTCGCCGAGCATGCTGCGCTCGTTGATGTTGGCCGAGCCGATGAGGCACCTTTGGTCGTCGACGATGAGGAGCTTGCTGTGGATGTACAGCTCCTCGGTGACGAACGCGCGCCGCTCGCTCGCCTCGTCGCCGCTCCACGGCTCGTCGACGACCGAGCCCGTGCCGGCCTGGCTCAGGTGCGAGATCGAGTCGGCGATGCTGTCGCGGATCGAGTCGGCGCCCTCGAAGCGGCGGATCGTGGCCCACGCCTCGTCGTACGACGCCGGGAGCGGCACCTGGACGACCGGGTTGGGCTTGGCCGCCTTGCCCTTGTTGTCCTTGCCGTCGAGCATCTGGACCTCGCCGCCCTCCTGCGGGATCGTGAACTTGACCGTCTTGTTCTTCTCGAGCTCCGAGGCGAGAGCGTCCTGGCCGAGGTAGACCCTGCGTACGACGAGAAGGCGAGGACGGGAGGAGATGAGGGAAGGGTAAGGTCAGGGCCGCACTCGTCGGTACACGACGCGAGGAGTGACGAGGAGGGACAGGGTTGGGCGAGGGAGGAGGGACGGACCTCGCAAGAGCAGCCTGGGCCTGAAAGAGCGTGACGCCCGACGCCTCCTCCATGCGCTTGATGCGCTCCGGGTCGTAGTTGAGGCGGTCGAACGAGCGCAGGTTGTAGACCTCGATGTAGTCGCTCGCATTGACGCCCTCGCGCTCGAGGAGCTCAAAGATCGAGTTGCCGCCGCGCGACAGGGAAAAGTACTGGGCGCCGAGGATGGCGAGCGTGCCCGAGTTGCCGTACAGGTCGCCCGCGAAACCCGGGATGGCCGGGATGATGATGACGACCTTGAACTTCTCGCCGCGCTTGTGCGCGCTCAGGACGCGCTGGACGAGGGCCTGGCCGATGAGGTTCTTGACCGGGCTCTTCGGGTCGGACGAGGCGCTCGTGATGAAGAACTGGTTCGACAGGAGGACGAACGACTTTGACTCGGCGATCATCTGGCAGTAGGCGGCCTGGATCGACGCCTCGGTCGGGTGGATGCCGTGCGACCAGTCGCTCGCGCTGCGCAGGACCTGGACGCGAGCCGAGCCCTTGAGGCCAGTGCCGCCGACAGGAGGCGAGTGCGCACCCTCCTCGCCGGGCTCCTTGTGGTGGCAGAAGTAGTGACGGCCCTCCTCCTTGAGTCGCTCAAAGTGCGGATGGCGCGAGATGCCGTCGTTGAGGCCGTCGATGTGCGGGAAGGCGAGGAGCGGGTAGCGCGACTTGTGGCGGTACTTGAGCCCGCAGATGAAGTTCCAACCTGCGCAGGAGAGGAGGAGGAAGGAGGAAGGCGGGAAGGAGGGAGGAAGGAAGGAGGGAGGAGGGAGAGGAGGTCAGTGCGGTGACGATGGAAGACGAGGACGACCTCGGGGGAAGGGCGAGGCTCTTGACAATGGCGCGAGGGAGAAAGTGAGACGCACGCTCGACAAAGTGCTGCGAGATGTCGAGAACGGCCGGCCCGACGAGCATCGAGTGAACGTCGTGCCACGGCATCCTCGCCGCCTCGGTCCTTTGCGGGTTGTTGGCGGCCCACTTGTCGACTTCGACAAAGTCCTGGATGCGCGCGTTGTTGAGGTCCTGCCCGGGAAAGATCGTGCGCGACATGTCGGTCGGGTGAAGGTCGGCGAGCGGGAACGCGCCAGTGTCCCACCGGCCGAAGCAGCTGTCGCACGAGGGAGAGTGTGAGTGCACGGTCTCGTCGAGGAGCGAGACGAGAGCCAGCGAGACGCACATGTCGAGGCCGCCGATGCAGGCGACGAGGTTGTCGACGACGACGATCTTCTCGTGGTGGCTGTAGAAGAGCGTGACCTCGCCGCCGAGGTGGTCGGGGTGACGCACGCAGCGGATGCGCTCGTGAAGGTCCTCGAGGTGGTGCTTGGTGTGCGCGCTGCTCATAGACATCGACTGGACGACCTCCTGCGGTGGTCGGGCGAGCCAGGGTCAGTGCGTGGACGCGAGGGTGTCGAGCGAGACGCCGACGAGCGAGAGGTGGGCGCACCTTGTAGACCATGACGTAGATGTCGACGCCCTGCTCGGCCTTGCGCAAGAGGAGGCGGTCGAGGCGGAACTCGGGGTGCGCCTCGGGCGGGCGACGCAGGAAGAGCTCGGGCGTGAGCCACCAGTCCGCGATGAAGATGGTCTCCTTGGCGTTCTCGATGATCTCGCTCAGGGCCCAGAAGTACGAGTGACCGTTCTGCGCGAGACAAGCAGAGGCGACGAGGTCAGCTTCAGGGTCGAGATGGTCCAGGACAGGGGACAAGGAGGAGAGCAGCTCACGATGTACCTGCGTGCGGTTGCGGCTCTGAGTCAGTACACGCGCATGAGAGTCAGAAAGAGAGCGGGACGCACCACTTGGCGAGGTTGCCGTCGCGCACCGGTGCGAACGACTCGAAGCGGTGCTCCCGCCTGAGCTGCATGCGCGCCTCGTCCTCGGCCTTCTCGTGCTCCTCGTCGTGGCGGTGGTCCGGGTTGACGGCATCTGCGCGAGCGAGTCAGCTTGTCCCGTCCATGGCCGTGCGAGATAGAGGAGCGGGGACGCACACGCGACGGTCTCCTTGAAGCGCTCGGCTTTGGTCGACTGTGGGAGGACGTGGTCAACTCAGCACGGTCATAGAAAAGGTGCAGAGTGAGCTCACCAGGTCGTCGAACTTGTCGCTGAGCTTGTTCATGAACTTGCTCATCTCGATGATGACGGGGTCGAGCTGCCGAGGTGGGGGAGAGGGTGAGCGGGCGATACAGAGGGAGAGGAGGCTAGATCGAGGGACTCACGGGCTTGACTGGGCCGGGAGAGAGCGCTGGCAGGTGAGCGCGTAGTGTGAAGCGAGAGCAGAGGGGGAGGACGAGCAGGCGACGAGCGGGCGAAACTGCCAAGTCGGCGACGTGGCGGCTACAAGCTTTTGTTAATGACTAGACTGTGCCCGTTCCCTCAGCAAGTCCTCGATGGTCTAGTGGTTATGATTCGGCTCTCTCACAGCCGCGAGCGGGGTTCGATTCCCCGTCGGGGAAATTCATCTTTTGGTGGCTCCGCTCCTTTTTGCTGCCATTGCAAGCCACTGCGACGGTCTCGTTGCAAGCCCACAGTCGTTCGCAGCCTTTGCAAGCCGACCAACAAGAGCGAGGGCCTCGATGCCAACTCGACCTTCTCGAGTCGCTTTCCACGGGCCTCGCTCGCTCTCACGGCTGCAGAAAGGTATTCGCGAGGGCGTGATACTGCAACTGCACGTCTATGGACCCATCTACGTTCACCGCAAGGAGCCCGCCTCAAGCCGGCGGCGCGCCGCCCATGCCGAACGCTCCGAGCGGGCCGTCCGGCGCGTTCGGGTCCTTCTGCACGGCGCAGTACACCTCGCCGAGGATGCCGAGCGCGACGGCGCGTTTCCGCAGCGTCGCGAGCGGGACGTTGGCCTCCTCGGCCGCGAGGGTGAGCAGCAGGCGGTCGCACACCTCGCGCACGACCGACTCGACCTCGAGCTTGGCGCCCTGTGTGTGTGTGGCCGAGTCAGTGCGGTTCGCGTCGAGGAAGCGCCGTCGAACCTCGGGGAGAGGCATGGCGGCGCGATAAGACGAGAGTGGGCGCACCTTGAAGAGAGCGTGAAGACCCTGCGAGAGTGCGCCGAGGAGGGGGAGGAACGAGTCAGTGCGACGCTCGACAGGCGGCACGAGAGCACAAGAGAGAATGAGAGCGAGAGAGAGAGGCGGACACACCATCTGCGCCGCCTTGTCCTCGAGCTTGCGCTTCTCCTCCTCGGGCAACCCGCTCTGCTCGGCCTTCTGGATCGCCTCGTACACGTCCTTGAGCGCGTACGCGCTCCTCACCGTCGACACGGTCGCGTTGAAGATGTGCGCAGTCGACTTGGCCGCGTGGAACCAGCCGCCGACGCCGAACGGGATCGGGCCGGTCGACGCGAGGTAGTGCCTGCACGAGAGCGAACAGTCAGCTTGCCCCCGACGGCGGAGAAGGAGGACGAGACGGCGACGGACTTGGACTGCGAGAGGGCGAGGAGGAAAGGTGGGTAGGGAGGGAGGGTAAGAGTCGCCTCGAGTTCAAGGAGAAGAGGGAGGAGCGAGAGGGGCGCACCTTCATCGTGTACACAAGGCCGACGGCGTGCAGCAGCTCGACGCCGTACGACTCCTTCTTGAGCTCCTCAGCCTCGATCGTCCACATCGTGCGCACTGCGACACGAGGAGGCAGCGTCAGGGGCCGTCTGCTCGCGACGGGAGAGAGGGGCAGAGAACGGCGGGCGCACCTCCCTCGGCGATCTGAGCGTCCTCCTCGCCCGACGCCTGCTCGCTGAAGAGGGCGAGCTTGTCGCGCAGCTTGTCGGCGAGGTGCTTGACGCGCTGCTCGCGCACCTTGGCCTTCTCGGCGAGCGCACGCGCCTCCTGCTCCTCCTTGGCCCGCTTGCGCGCCTCCTGCTCGGGCGTCAACGCCGGCTTGGTCGTCACGGGCTTGCCCGTCTTGGGGTCGACCGTCGTCGCGACCGTGCTGCCGCCGGCGGTCGCGGCACTGCCACTCGCGGCGGCGGTCGACTCGTCGTCGTCGTCCTCGTCGGCCTGCATGGCCGACTTCATCTCGCTGCCGAGCGAGATGGTGCCGATGATGTCCTGGAAGCGCTCGCCGCCGAACAGGGTCGAGAAGATGGCCTCCGGGTCGACCATGTCGTCGGCCTCGCCGCCGTCCTTGCGGCTCTTGCCGAACTCGTTGTACTGCTTGCGCAACTTGGGGTCCGACAGGGTCGTGTAGGCGACGGCGATCTCCTTGAACTTGTCGGCGGCGGTCGGGTCATCGGGGTTCTTGTCGGGGTGGAACTGCGACGACGAGGACGAGGTAGGGGTGAGCGAGGGGCGCAAGGGGAGAGGGGCACAGCGAGGCGAGGCGGACCTTGATGGCCTGCGGGAGGGGCAAGAAGAGTCAGTGACGGGTACGACGGGGAGCAAGGGGAACAAGGAGGGACGCACGAGTCGACGGTAGGCCTTCTTGACCTCCTCGGGCGTGCAGGTGATCGGGAGACCCAGAAGCTGCGGTGCCGGTTGCGAGGGTCAGCTCGGCGCGCCGACAGAGGGAGGGAGAGAGAGAGATGCACGCACATCGTAGTACTCGGTCTCGAGCGGCTTGTCGTCTGTGTCGGTGCGAGGGGTTCAATGAGGCGGTGCGGCGAGGTGGAGGGGAGGGAGGAGAGGGGGGAGCGGGCGCGCACCTGATCCGATCCTGCGCTTGCCCTGTGGTCGGGGCTTGGCGGGCTTGTTGATCCAGGTGTTGCCGCACTGGGCGCACTCGAGGTGGAACGAGGTGTCGGACGAGGTCGAGGAGGGAGGGACGAACTCGAGCTGGGCCTTGCAGTGAACACACTGGGCGTGGACGACGGTGCCGCGCTTGAGCGTCTTGACTGTGGGCATGGTGCTCATGCCGGTCTAGCTGTGCACCGTGAGCGAGGTCGAGGGTGGGAAGCAGGCGCACCCGCCTCGTCCTCCGCCTTCGCCTTCGCTTGGCTCCGGCCACACCCTCGCTCTCCCTCCTGGCTGGACGTATACAGCTTGAGCATGTCCGCGCACTGTACAGGCGAGCACTGCTGCAACGGCGCAGCTGCCCGTGCCACCGCCTCGCTCGCTCCCAGCGTCACGCTCATCGCCGCCGACCTGGCACTCGCCGTCCGCTCTACCGCTCGCCAGCTCGACACTTGCGCAGCTCCTCGCGCCTCACTTGCAATGCGCCGTCGGCCCGCTCGACAACTGCGATCGGCAGTGTGACGCAAGTAGCGCTCGCCGGTCACGTGAGCCTCACACGCTCGCTTCGGACTCGCTTCCCCGCCTCCTGCCTCGTCCGACGCCGGGCTCAAGGGTTCCCCTCGCGCATCTCGTCCCCTCTCTCGACTCTCGCGACCCGCCGCAACACGATGCACAATGGCGCCAACGTGCCCGCCGTCGCCGCTCCACCACTCGCACCGCCGACCTTCCCTCCTGCCGTCGAGCCCGCACGGCACTCGCGCCTCGCCGAGTCGCTCTCGCCGCCTCGCACCACCTCGCAGCGACGGTGGTCCCACTCGAGGGGACGACCTCGAGCGCTCGGCGGCTCGAGCGTCGAGCGCAGCATGAGCCGCGGGACGGCCGACTCGAGCGGCGCCGCTCGAGCGGGGACAGGGTGGAGCGAGAGGAGCGACAGCAGGGACGGGTCGCGCGCGCCCATGCTTCGAGGTGCAGGGCCACCGCAGACGGGCGAGAACAGGGAAGCAGGCGGGCCCGCTCGCGAGGTGACGGACGAGAAGGTGCGGCTCGAGGACGGCGACGAGCAGGCGGTCAAGGGCGTGTGGGCAGTGCGGCTCGCGAGGCACTTTGTCGGTATTCGGGACAAGAGGTGCGCACTCTCGCTCCCTCTCTCTGTGCGCGCATCGCCGACTCTGACTGTTCGCGCGACGCACAGGTCCTTCCCGGCTCCCCTCGTCCGACCTCTGCGGCACCTCTCCCCTCAGACCGAGGGCTATATCCTTGGCTTCCTCGGCTCGTTCCCCTCGATCCTCATCGCCTGCGCCATCTCGCTCGGCCTGTCGACCCTCGACTCGAGCGCATTTTCGACCACGCCCCTCACGGTCGGCTCGTTCGGCGCCACCGCCGTCCTCCTGTACGCCGTCCCCGAGGCGCCCCTCTCGCAGCCTCGCAACGTCATCGGCGGACACCTCGTGAGCGCCGTCACGGGCGCCGTCATCTCGCAGCTGTTCTCGCTCTCAAGCCGGTTCGACTCGGGCGAGTTTGTCGTCGACAACACGCTCGCGGCGAGGGGCAGCTGGGGGAGCTTGACGCCCGTCTCGGCGTCGTTGGCGGTCGCCCTCGCGACGCTTGCGATGCAGGTCACCGGGACCGTCCATCCTCCAGGTGCGTCCCTCGCTTCCTCGACCTCGACCTTCTCAAACGCAGCTCTGACCTTCTGTCGCCCCCGCAGGTGGTGCCACTGCTCGTGAGTCTCCTCTCACTCTCTCTCAATGACGTGAAAGCCTCTGACTTGTCTCTTGACCGCAGTCATCGTGTCGTACTACCGCACGACCTCGTACCGGTGGACCTACGTCCTCGACGTCGTCCTCTCGGTCACGGCGATGACCGTCTGGGCCACATTCGTCGGCAACCTGGGCCGCCGCCGATACCCAACCTTGTGCGCCCCCTTCGCTCTCTCGCACCTCTCGCGCTTTGACCCCCTCGCGCCGAGACTGACCTTCTCGCTCTCGCGCACGCAGCTGGTGGACCCCGAACCCGCCTCCTCCTGCACCATCCGCACCCGCAGCAGCTCATGGCGCTCCTGCGCCCTCGTCGACGCCGTCCAAGCAGGAGAAGCGCCCGCCCTCGCCGCCGACGCACCACGAGCACGCGCCCTCGCTGTCGCCGAACGAGGACCTCGAGCGGCGCTGGCTCGGTCGGCTCGGCGAGGTCGACGAGGAGGCACTCGGCGAGGGAGACGAGCCGGCGAGGAGAGAGGAGGAGCGTTGGCTCGAGGAGGAGGCCGAAGCGGAGGAACGAGGACGAAGGGCGACGAGGCGGTAGATCCCTCTCAGCGCCTGCAACAGCATCATGTTCTCCCTTTCTGCCTCTCGGCAACTCTCGAGAGCGAGAGCGTCCTTCCCGTGCACGAGGATCTGCTTGCGAAAAGAGAGGCAAGAGGGAGGACGAACTACGACGAGCAGGCACGGGCAACGATGAGGTGGGGACGCAGCTATGGATGACGGGAAGGACGACATGCGCAAGATGGATCCGGCGAGAATGGACAGGCGAGAGGGAAGGGGAGTGTCTGCGAGGGAAGGGAGGGGGCGAGACCGGGTGGTGGTACAGGTTCGAGCGCCGGCGACGAGAGTACTTTTTGGGGAGCGGGCGACGACGAGCTCGTCAGAGCTTGAGCTCCTGCAAGACACGACGAGCTGTGGGCGATGAGAGAGTGTCAGTCGAGTGTGCTCGGCGGGAGAGGCATCGCGAGGGCGAGGAAAAAAAGAGGGGGGACGCACCGAGAACCTGGTACTGCCACGTGCTGCCGCCGATGCGGCGGAACTGGAGGCCGTGGATGCCCGGCAGGAGCGGCATCTTGATCAGGAAGATCTCGAAGCGGACGATCATGTCGCTGTTGGCCGCCGAGCTCGACGTGCCGCCGAACTGCGAGACGTCGACCTGCTGCGGCGACGTGCCGGCCGAGCCGGGCTGCGACGACGGTGCTGCGCCGGCAGCAGTCGCAGTCGAGGGCAAGGGCTGGTGGAACGACGACGACGAGGCGCGGTCGCTGCCGCGAGGCTCGTTCGTGCTCGTCGGGAGCGACTGCTGCGATTCGGCGGCGCCGCCGGTCGGCGACGGCTGCTTGTCGCCGGCTTGGCCCGACCCATGCGACAGGAGGAGCTTGCTCGCGCGACGCTTGAGCGTGTCGCGCTTGCCCTTGCCGGCGCCCGCAGCTGCAGCGCCGCCGGCGCCGGGCACGGTCGACAGGTCGATCGACGGGACGTGGGCGCACTCGAAGCCGTTCTTGACGTCGCGGTGCTGGACGCCGAGGCGATCGAGGACCTGGATGAGGTCGGCGCGGAGCGTGTGGATCGGCTTGGTCGTCGTCGTGCTGACCGAGAAGAGGCCCTTGAGCCACACGGGCTTGGCGCCCTCGCCCTTGTCCGACGACGACGACGCCTTGTCGTTCGACCTCGACGGGCCGAACGCGCTCGTGTCCTGGCGCGCGCTCGTCGACGCCTCGGGAGCGGCCGACGCCCGTCGTCCTGCCGCAGCCGAAGCGGCCTCGTCGGCTCCACCGCTGCCGCCACCGGCTGCGAGCTCCTCCTCCTCCTCGAACATGCCCGCGATGTCGTTCTGCGTCCTCGGGCGAGGCGGTCTCGTCGACCCGCCGCCGCCGACCGAGCCCTGCCGCCGCCGCTCGAAGAAGCCCGCGTTCCCGCTCGCGCGCCCGAGCGATGCCGACTCGCTCGCCGCTCCGCCGCCCGACGACGCGACCGACTGCGACAGGGGCGATGATGCGCCGGCCGCCATCGAGACGCCGCGAGCGTGCCGGCTGCTCGGCGAGATGTCGCCGACGGTCGACGCGCGCGCGACCGGCTTGCCGTCCGGCGGGCTCGCGAGCGGCACCTCGGACCCGCTCGAGGGCAGGCGCCCGGTCGGGGTGGGCGTCGCCGGCGGGCGCAGCGTCGACGAGGGCGAGTTGCCCGTCTCAACGACGAGCGGGAGCGTCGAGGCGGCCGTCTTGTTGCCCGACTTGTGCCCGACGGTCGCGATGCTCGCACGCTGCCGATGGCCCTTGCCGTACGAGCTGCCGTCGGGCGACGTCGACACGGACGACGAGCGGCCGAGGAGCGAGCCGAAGCGCCGGGCGAACGGGCCCGGGCTCGACCCACTCGCGGCCTGAGCGAGCGGCACATCGTCGCCGGCGGCGGCGATCTCGGCGACGCGCTCGCGCTCGCGGTCGGCGGCCGACGACCCGAGCATGAGGCTCATGCGGTTGGTCGACGACTTGCGCTCGCGCGGCGACGGCGAGACGGGCGCCTCGTACTCGCCCTGGGCGGCCGACGGGCGCGAGCTCGGCGTCGGGGCCGGCGAGCCGGCGATGTAGCTCGAGCGCTTCGACGCCGACGACGGCTGCGACAGGTCGAACCCTGCGGCGCGAGCTGGCGCCGTCGCCGGGACCGGGGCGTACTCGTCGCCGGTCGCGCGCTGGCGAGGCTGCGGCGTGAGCGGCATCGGCGGCGTCGGCATCGGCGGGCGGCTGTCGACCTGGGTCGGGGGCGAGAGAGGTGCGCTTGACCCGGCCTGGTAGGCCTGGGCGGGCGCGGGAGGAGGAGGAGGGCCGGTGAGGGACAGGGTCGACGACGCAAAGACGCCCGGGCCCCAGATGCGCTCGCGCTCGATCTTCTCCTTGACGAGGTAGTAGATCGAGATGAGTGGGTGGAACCCACGCGTCGGGTCGAGCTGCTCGGGCCGAGGCGCCGTGCCGTTGCCGGCCGCGAACGCGCCGTTGACGCCGTAGCTCCCGCCCTGCGTACCGCCGAGCGCCTCCTGCTCGTCCGACGCCCGAGGCGGCGCCGTCGTCGCGCCGGCGAACGCGGCGTTGAACCCACTCGTGAGCTTCTTGCCGTAGAAGCCGAGGCCCGAGAAGCGCTTGTTGGCCGTCGGCGTGCGCTTCATGTCCTTGCCGTCGACGCGCATGGCCGGCCGCTCCTTGTCGCTGTCGCTCGCGCCGCTCGAGCCCTCGCCGCCGGCGCCGTACCCGCTCCCGGCGCTGCCGCCGCGCACCTCCCAGTTGCGGACGGCCTGGCGGTACAGCTCGCTCTGGACGACGTCGGTCAGGCGCGCCGAGATCTCGGCCTCGGTGCCGAACTCGAAGCCCGTCATGCCGCGGATGACCTCGTCGTCAAGCTCGCCGAGGCGGAGCGGGACCCGGGTCGGGATGTGGGCGGCGGGAGCCGAGGTGAAGCCCTTGACGATCCACGGGTGGTTGAGGACCTCGGTGAGGGTGGCGCGTTGAGCCGGGACCGTGACGAGCATGCGCGACAAGAGGTGCTTGCACTCTGTAGGAGGGCGAGGGCGAGGAGAGAGTCAGTGAGGGACCGCTCGAGCCGTCGTGACGATGGCGAGGACGACGAGGAGGAAAGGGGACGACGCACCGGCACTGAGCCACGTCGGGTACTCGACCTGGCCGCGCTTGATCTTGGCGTGCAGGGCCGGCATGCTCTGGTCGTCGAACGGCACTTTGCCGCACACGAGGACGTACAGGACGATGCCGAACGACCACACGTCGACCTCGGGCCCGGTGTACGGCTTGGCGTTGAGGAGCTCGGGTGCGGCAAAGTACAGCGAGCCGCAGAACGTCGACAAGTGCGACACGGGCGAGTACAGGTTCGACAGGCCAAAGTCGATGATCTTGATGTTGCCCGTCTTCGAGATGAGGATGTTCTCGATCTTGAGGTCTGTGCGGCGCAAGTCAGAGTCAGTGAACGGACGCCGAGAGAGAGAGAGAGCACGAGGGGACGAGGAGGACGCACCTCGGTGGACGATCGAGTTGGCGTGGCAGTACTCGAGCGCGCTGCCGATCTGGCGGGCAAACTTGCGCGCACTGCGCTCGCGCAGTCGGCCGTGCGAGATGATGTAGTCGAGCATCTGGCCGCCATTCACGTACTCCTGGACGAAGTAGTAGTGGTGCTGCGGGTGTCGAGAGCGAGAGAAAGTCAGTGAGGACCGAGAAAGAGAGAGAGAGAAGGAGAGGGAGAGGGAGGGGGCGCACAGGGTAGATCATCATCTCGCGCATGCCGCAGATGTACGGGTGGTGCAGGAGCAGACACAGGCTGCCCTCTCGCACGGTGCGGACCTCCTTGCTCTGGTCCTTCTGCGCCGCCTTGGCGACAAAGCTCGCGCTCGGCTCGGCCTTCTTTGCGGCGGCGGCGGCGACGGCGTCGACGGCGACCTGCTGGTCGTGCCGAGCTTGGTCGACTTGGCGATGTGCAGCGGCCGTCGAGGTGAACCGAGGGATGATCTTGATCGCGACCTAGCGGGAGGAAGCTCGTCATTAGTGACGTGCACGGACCGCAACTCCCTCGCGCTCGTTCGACGGCGGGAAAGTAGAGAGAGCACGGGGCACACCTTCTCGCCCGACACCTGGCTCACGCCGAGCTTGACCTTGCCCATCGACCCGGCGCCGAGCGTCTTGGTGAGCTGCCACTCGCCGAGTGCCCTCCTGCTCCTGCTGCTCCCCTCAACCGGCCGCTCACGCTCGCGCGTGCTCTCCCTGCGCGACACGCCGTCGCCCTTCTGTGCCGCCGAGCCCGAGCCCGACGCCGAGCCCGACGCGGCGGCCGTAGCGGTGGCGGCCGCGGCGGCGGCCATGGCGGCGCTCCTGCCCGCGCCCGAGACGCTCCCCGTCCGGCTCGGCGGCTGGCTCGCGCCGCGCTCGCGCCCCCCCGCCGTCACGCTGCTGCGCACCGACGCGTCGCGCTGCAGGTGCGCGCCGCCGCTGACGCCGTTCACGCCGCCGGACGGTCCGAGCGACGCCGCGCCCGGCTGGGCCTGGCCGCCCGACGACGACGAGCGGCGGCGGTGGTCCGAGTCGCGGCGCTCGACAAGCGTCGACGAGGGCGAGCCGGGCACGCGCGCGAGGTGCGGCGAGTCGCGGTACGACGACGAGGAGGCGGGAGGAGGGGTCGACTGGGGCGTCGCGACCGAGTACGAGCGGCCGTGGGACGCCGACGGGGACGAGTGAGGCTGCGCCTGGCGCAGCGAGTTGGAGCGCGAGACACTGCTCGAGGGGCCGGGACCGGCGAACGAGCTCGCGGAAGGCGGCGCGAAGCCGACAGGCGGCGGCGGCGCGCCGGACGTCCCGCCGACGCTGCGGGCGGCCGCCTCGCGCTCGTCGCTGCGACCGTTCCAGTCGCTCCACCGCGGCGTGTGACCCGCGTCCGTCCCGCCGCTGCTGCCGTGCCCGACCGTACCGCCGTTGACGCTCGCGGTCCCCTCGGACTCGAGCGTGCCCGACCCTTCTGCCGTCCCGCTCTCGGTCCTCGGCGAGTCGGCCGAGTACTCGCCGTACCCGCCGACGCTCGTGCTGCCGCCGCGCGTAAAGGACGGCAGGCTGCCGAGCTCGTCGTCGTGGCCGGCATCGCCGCCCGAGGGCGAGATGGGCGTCGAGGGGACGGACGAGCCGTGCGGGTCCGGGTTTGACGTCGACACGAGGTCGGCGGGGTGGGTGCGGAGGGTGAAGAGTGGGGGAGGGCTCGCAGGCGAGGTGGGAGAGGCGGGCGAACGGGTGAGGTCGGGGAGGGGCGAGGTCGCGTGGTCGAACGTGGAGGGGGGAGGCAACTCTGCCTGGACGGCGAGAGGGCTGATGGGGAGCTCGATCGTGTGCGCTGGCGGGGTCGGCTCGCCGTACGGGTTAGGCGATGGCGGAGCGAGTCGGGCGCCGTCACGAGGAGGCGGGATGTCGATCCCGGCCGACGACACGTAGGCGTCGTGGTCGTGGTCGGCGAGCTCCTCGTGCACGGCGGGGAGGCCGGCGCTGCTCGAGTCGTGTGCGGGTGCCGCTGGCGGCGTCTCGGCGAGGGTGCCGTCCGGGTGGGGCGAGTCGCCGTTGACGGTGGCCGGGTGCTGCAGCTGGTCGAGGTGCGAGGTGGCTTTGGCGCCCTGGGCGAGCGACTCGAGGCCGTTCGAGCGGTGCTCGACGGGCAGGGCGGGCGAGTCGAGCGGAGAAGGAGGTGCAGACGTCGACGAGGGAGGTGCCGAGTCGACGAGAGCCATGGCGGCAGCGCGTGATGGGCTGTTGACGGGGGACGAGTCAGTGTGGGTAGTCGGGTGCAGGGACCGGAGCTGGTTGCGCCCAGCCCCTGGTCTCGACGCGGGAGAGAGAAAGGTGGGCCCGCGTCACGCACAGAGATGAGGAGGGAGCGCTCGACGCTCAGGCTGTGCGGTGCCTGTCGGAGAGGTGCAGGCGGTGTCGGTGTCGTGCTGCTGCTCCGGCGTGGCTGTGCTGCTGCTCCTGGGCGCGTGTCGAGGGGGCCGAGCCCGGATGAGGATGCTGGCGGAGGCCGGGTCGAGGCGAGGCGGGCGATGGGCGACTGGCGCAGGGCAGGAGCTGGCGCGGTGGGTGGTGCACTCTGCGGTGTGTGCAGCGCTCGCTGTGCGTGCTCGAGCGTTCGAACGAGCCGTGGGACGAGGGTCACTCAAGGTCACCTTCAAGCCCGACGGCCGCTCCGCTCTCGACTTGCCTCTCGTGCGGGCGAGGGGAACAGATTACTGCCGGGTCGTCAATACACTCGTCGTCACGCTAAGGACGCTCGCCCGCTCGCTCTAGTACTCGCGCCCGTCGAACCGGATTCCGAGCCCCACCTGCGCCGCCGCCGCCGCCGCGAGCTCACCGCTGCAGTCCTCGACGACGCTCGCCATGCTCGGCGGCGGCCCAAACACGCTCGACACGGTGCGCTCGGCCGTCCCGAACGCCGACGGCGGGTGCGCAAACAGGTCCACCTCGCCAAAGTGGAACGCAGGCTCGTCGACCTCGCCGGAGAAGGCCGACCCGCAGCCTGCTCCTCCTCCTCCAAACGCCGACGACGACGCCGCCGAGGCCGTCGACGGTGCGCGGAACAGCGGGAGCCGGCCCGTGCCCGCGCCCGGCGCGCCCGTGCCGACGCTCAGGCCGCCGTACCGCGACGTCGACCTCGTCGGCGCACTCGACGCCGCCGTCTCGTACGTCGTCGAGCTCGCGCTGTCGTCCCACAGGACGCTGCCCGCCGCCGTGCCGTACTCGCTCAGGGCGTCGTTGGCCGCGTCGTCGAGCCCGGACGCGGCGAGGAACTCGTGCGGGTCGAGCGAGAAGGTCGGTGGCGGCGTCGCCTGCTGCCGCTGAGGGTCGACGCTGACGAACGAGGACGACGAAGCGGGCGCCATCGACGACGCGGTGCGGTCGAGCCACCCGCTCGTGCTCGACCCGGGGCCGATGCTCGCCGCGTTCAGGAGCGCGTCCTCCTCCTGCGCGGCGAGGAGCTCGCGCCGACTGGCCACGGCCGCCGACGGCTTGCGCAGCTCCCACCGCCCGAGCGAGAACTGGCGCGAGTCGGCGGCGCCGGCGAAGGGCGTGTTGAGCGGGCCGCCGAGCGACGCCGGGCCGAGCTGGGAGAGAGGTGGCAGGGGGAACGTGTACTGCGGGTCGTCGTGCGCCGACGACGGCGCTGCGACACCAAGGGCCGCGCTAGCGTAGCTGCGCGCCTTGTCGGTGCGGCACGACGCAGGCAGGTCGTCGTCGTCGCCCTCGCCGTACTCGTCATCGCCCTGCTGCCGCCGCGTAACCGAGCGCGACAGCGGGTGCCTCGCGCCCGACGACGACGGCGGCGAACGTGCCCTCGAGCCGCCAGGCTGCTGCATGCGCTGCGGCGACGGCGACGTGGACGAGGCGGGCGAGCCGGCAAGCCTCGCGCGACAGTGCGGCGAGGGCGACAGGGTCGAGTCCGAGTCGTACGCCGGCCCGCCGCCGCCGCTGCGCACGACGATGTCGGGCGACACAGGCGACGAGGCGTGCGTGAGGCGCTGGTGGATCGATGAGCGCGTCTTGCGCGGCGTGACGGCGCTCGTGCCGGGCTTGACGGGCGACGAGCGCGTGCGGGACGGCGGCTTGGCCGGCGACGTGGACAATGAGGGCGAAGGCGACGAGACGACGGCGATGTCGCCGAGTGCGCGCTCCTCGGCGGCGAGCTCGGCCTCGACGCGAGGGATGATGGCCTCGTCGTCCTCGCCCTCGAGCATGGCCTGCCCGATGAGCTCCATGCGGCGCTGCTCGCGCACCGGGTCGACGTCCTTGTGCAGCGACGGCCGCTTCGACCGACGCTTGAGCGGTGACGAGCGCGAGTTGGCGGCGGCGGTGCTCTTGCGGCGAGGGCGACGTGGCGACGGCGCGACCTCGAAATCCGGGTCGGACGCGGCGCCCGGCGCGGACTCGTCCTCGGCGGCGTCCGAGTTGACCTCGATGTCGTCGGCGACGTCTGGCACGGCCGCGACGGCGGGCTCGTGGTTCTCGGCGAGCTTGGCCGCCTTGGCCATGGCCTTCTTGCCCGAGCCGACGGGCGCTCTCGGCCGGCGCTGCTTGGGCTGGTACTTGTACTCCGGGTAGCGCTCCGAGTGAAGGCGCTTCTCCTCGGCGGCGAGGTCCTCCCACTTCTTGCGCTCGACGGGCGACAGGCCGCGCCAGACCGAGCCGACGACCTGCGAGATGTTCTTGTGGTCCTGCGAGCCGTGCAACGCTCGTCAGTCGCGATCCCCAAGAGAGAGGAACAGACAAAGAGAGAGAGAGGAGGACGCACGGTGATACCCATCGACTTGGGGATGAGGTCGGTCGAGACGGCGTGCGACCGGAACAGGATGAAGGCGTTCCTCGGGCGCGGCACGTGGTTGTCCGAGAACTTGCGGCCGTGCTTCTTCTTCTTGGCCATCGCGTAGGTCGACTGGACCGGCGGCGCCGACGGGACCGGGTGGCACGCGTACAGGGCGAGCGCCGTGCTGACGGGCGTCAGGTTGCGCGGCGAGGTGGCCGACCACGACGCCGAGCTCGAGGTCGGGTACGGCTCGGGGCGCAGGCGCGTCGGGTCGACGGGCGAGGGCGCGTTGCGGAGCGACGAGCGCGTCGGCGGACGGGACGAGGGCCAGCTCGACTCGGCCGGCTCGCGCTTGGGCGACGCAAAGACGGACGGCGTGGGCGGGAGCGGGTGATGGGGAGCGGCGGCGAACGGGTTGTGAGGGTGCGTCGAGGAGGCGTGCACGGGCGGGAGGGTGTAGGTCGCCAAGGGAGGGGCCGAGGCTGGCGGAGGAGGGAGGGCCCACGAGGGTCCGTGCGGCGGGTACGGCTGCGCCGAGTGCGGGTGCTGACGCGGCGGCGTGTGGAAGACGTCGTCGTGCTCGTCGATGACCGCGGCGTACTGCGGCTCGACAGCGCGGCGAGGCAGCGTCGGCGCCGGACGAGCCTCGCCGGGCGACTCGGGCTCGAACCCGCCGAGCCGGAGCCACTCCTCCTTCGAGATGCCGATCGCGGGCAGGCCCTTCGCCGCGACGACGGGCTCGAGCTCGAGCTCCTCGGGGAGGTCGGGGAGCGCCGGCGTCGAGCCGGGCGAGTCGGGCGGCGAGCCGTGGTCGATGACGGACGCCGTCGAGAAGACGCGGCGGTGGTCGTCGTCGCGGTCGTGCGGGCCGTGCGGCTGCTGAGAGTAGGCGGTAGACGAGGGCGGAGGAGGGAAGGAGGAAGGTGGCAGTGGAGGAGGAGGGGGTTGCGCCGAGTCGAAGCTGAGGGCCGGGTCGATCATGTAGTACGTCGCGCCGCTCGACGACGGGCCCGCCGAGCACCAGTACTGCGGCTGCAGGGCGTGTGTGTCAGGTTCGTGTCGTGTCGAGTCACGGCAGAGAGAAAGCGAGGCGCACCTGCTGCGAGTCGCCGCCCTGCGGCCACGAGTCCCAGTCTCCGCCGTGCTCCTCCTCTGCCGCGCCGTACCCTGCTCCTGCTCCTGCTCCCTGCGGCCCCCTCGCGACCACGCTGGAAGGAAGAGGCGCCGACGTGCCCGAGTACGGCTGGAGGCCCTGAGCTCGGCGAGCGCGCGTGTTGGGCCCGTCGGTCGGCGGCGGCACGAACTGCCAGTGCTCGGGGAGCGAGGTTGATGAGGGGGGCGAAGGTGGGTACTGCGCGGGCGACATGGCGAGTCGAGGAGGTCGAGAGAAGTGAACGAGGGACGGACGCCGAGCAGACGGGGAGGACGCGGTCGACGAGGAGGAGCTGGAGGTGGGAAGGGGTCAGCTGCTGATGCGAGTGGTGCACCGAGGTGGACTGTGCGAGTGTGGGACGCACCTCTGAGCTCTGTAGAGCGGGTCGAGGTGATGACCGGGGTCGTCGTCCGTGAGGAACGGACGGCGAGAGGCGCGGGCTGGACGAGACGGTGCGCTGGCTGCTCTGGCGGGCAGTGCAGCGGTCGGTGTGCTCGTGGTGGTGGCCGGCGAGTGCGCTGGGGTTTGATCGAGCGAGAGGTGGGAGGAGGAGGAGGGAGGACCGAGGCGATGAGGCGGCCACAACCCCGCACGAGGCGCGAGCGGACCAGAGGAGGCGCGAGCACCCGCGCCGGCCTGCTCGCGCGTTTGTTGTGCAAGCCAGCCACCGCACACCGTCTCTCGTCTCTCTCTCTCTGATCGGCTACCTTTCGGCGAAGGAACAAAGACCAAGCGTGAGAAGGACGGACGCGGAACTGCCGACGCGAGGAGGAGAGGGCGACCGACATGACCGCCAGATCGATACAAAGCGCACACGCTGCGAGAGCAACAGCCTCGAGCTATCCGCATGCCCAAGAGCGGCGCAGGAGAGCGAGGGGCGGCCGTGTCGCCTCGAACAGATGAGGCGGGGAGGGGGAGGAGGAGGACGGCGGCAGCTCTCGCTCAAGATGGGTTCAAGGGGGGTGCATTGCAGTCCTGCACAGTGAAAGAGTCAGCTACTGGCCTCTGCGAGCTGCACAGAGAGAGCTGGGCGCACCTGATCTCGCCGCGCAACCGCGCCGACCTCTCTCCCGCACTCCTCCCGCCGCTGCACCCCCAGCTCGACCAACGCGCACACCCACATGCAGAACAACAACCAGTCCGGCGGTCGAGGGCGCGGCAGGGGCGGGCGGGGCGGTCCTCGTGGTGGAGGAGGAGGGCGAGGCCGCGGCCGGGGAGGGGGAGGCGGCGGCCGCAGCTTCGGCAACGGGCCCAACAAGGTGCGCCGTGCGACTGTTCTCTCCTCCTGTCAGTACTGACCCTCGTCCACGTGCGCAGCGTCCCCGGTTCGACGGCGGCGAGGGCACCTCCTCCTCCTCCGGCGGCGCCTTCTTCTCGCCTCGCATGCTCGAGAACCCGTGGGCCCACCTGCGTTGAGCCAACCCCGGCACCTCGACAGCATCGACACCGAGCCGCAGCAAGGCTCCACGACCTCGTCCACATCGCAACGCCGGCGACCCTCCTCCTCGTCCCCCTTGCCGACTGTCGCACTCTTCCCCTTTGCCGCCCTCGCTCGCTCTCGCGACTCTGTCACTCTCGTCCTGCGAGACGCATACCCGGCTCTGCGCCTTCCGAGATACCCGCCTCTTGTGTAGAACCTCTTCCTCTCGCTCTCGAGCACTGCAGCCCTTTTCCCTTTTCGAACCGAAAGAGACTCTGTGTACTGCAACGAGGCCCTCGAGAGCCGCCTCTCCTCTACAGCGCCCTCTCGACCGCCCTCGCGAGCGGCCTGACAGGCCTCGTCTCCTCGAGCTGGAGCGCCCACACGAGGCACTCGCGCTCCTTGTCGGCCCGGCGCGGCTCGCACACGCGGTAGCACCGCGCGAGCTCGGCCCACGCCTCGGGCACGTCCCACCCGCCGTGCGCCGTCAGGGTCGACAGGAGCGCTTCGGCGAGCGGGAGCGACAGCGCGAGGCCGCCCCTCGGCGAGGCCAGAGGCGGGACGGCCGACGTGAGGTGCGACGGCGGCGGCGGCGGCGCAGCGCTGTACGGCGTGGCGGGCGCACCGTCACCAGACGCAGGCGCCGACAGGTACACGCGCGCGAGGAGGACCCGGCTCGCGACGTGCGCCGGGTCAAAGCTGAGGCCCTTGGTGAGCGCCTCGCGCGCTCGGGCGACCTCGCCGCGCACGAGGTGCAGTAGCGCCGTCTGGCTCCACACGTCGGCGTCGTCGGCGTCGAGCTGCTCGGCCTCGCCGAGTGCACCTCGCGCCTCGTCGTACAGGCGCGCGCGGCGGAACGACGCAGCGCTCGCGAGCCACGTGTCGACGAGGAGCTTGGTCGCGAGCGGGTTGCCGTCGGTCGCGGGGCGAGCCGACGCAGGCGCCGGCGACGACGACTCGGCGAGCGACAGGTTGGCGAGCGAGCCGTTGACCGACTCGGGACGGGCGCCGCTGCCGTTGCCGTTGACGGCGACCGACTGCCGCTTGACGCTGCGGCGCCGGCTCACGATCGACGCCGTGCGGCCGAGCTTGTGCGACGCGCCGTCGGTCGTCGTGCCGTTGACGAGCGGGATCGCCGGCGCGAGCGCGCTCGTCGGCCTCGACGACGTCGGGTTGGCGGCGGCGCCCGCCGTGACGGACCCGGACGGCGGCGCCGCGCCACGAGGGGCGTCCGAGATGCGCGCGTAGGCCGACGAGAAGAAGGCGAGGACGTCCTGCTGGTCGGCGAGTGCGGCGGGAGCGCCCTCGAGGTACTCGACGACGGCGCCCTTGGTGAGCCGCAGCTGCATCTCGACCGCGAGGCGCTCCGTCTCGTCCGTCGGGCGGTCCCACCGCTCGTCGACGTCGTGCGCGCCGTCGTCCTCGATGTCGAGCGCCGTCTCGAGCACCTCGAGCGCGCCGCGCATGTCCTTCTGCGCCGAGACGCACAGGGCGAGGAGGTGCCACGCCTCGCGGCTGCGCTTGTTGCGCTCGACGGCAGAGCGGGCCGCCTCGAGCGCGCTCGAGACTTGTCGGAGCTCGAGGAGTTGGAAGGCGAGGGCGTAGTGGGCGGCGAAGGACGAGGGCGAGAGGGTGACGGCGGAAGTGAGGTGGTTGAGCGCCTCCTCGTGCTGGGCTGGGCGCTGCTCCGGGCTCGCTTCTGCAGTGCGAGAAACAGTGAGCGCGACGTGCATGATGCGTAGAGAGGGAAGGAGAAGAGAGGGAAAGCGGGCGTACCTTTGGCGGCGAGCGCACCGAGCGCGACCCCGAGCGCCGTCTCGATCCGCGCCTCGACCTCCTTGTCCGCCCTCAGCTCCTCGTCCCGCCCCTCGTCAAAGACGGCCCTCGCCCTCCTCGCGAGCTCGACCGCCTCGCGCGGCTCGCCGACCTGAGCGCGGCACAAGAGCCGGACGCCGAACAGGGCCGTGTCGACGAACGCCCGGTCCGAGTCGATGTCCGAGTCGTACGGGCCCTCCTCGCGCCCGTCCTCGTCGCCGCTCCGCTCGACGCCCTTCTCCTTCTCGCCCGCTTCTCCTGCGCCCGCCGCACGAGCCTCCTTCCACGCTCGGGCCCGCAGGACGCGCATCTCGCGCGCGACCTCCTTGGCGTCCGTCTCGCGCGCCTTGTCCCACAGGTCACGGTACAGGCGCAGCGCCTTGGTCGCCTCGAGGTGGCGACCGGCGATCGACAGGGCGCGGACGAGGTGCCGCAGGAGGAGGTGCGACTGGAAGGTGTGCGACAGGGCCGAGTACAGGATCTGCGAGCGCACGACAGGGGCTGAGGTTCAGGGACTCGTTCGAGTGAGAGAGAACGTCGAGGGAGAAGAGGCGCACCTCGATGACCTCGCCGGCCTCGCTCCTCGGCAGGCCCCTCGCCCTCCACGCCGCGACGACCTCGTCGAGGAAGCGCAGGTAGACGGCGTTGGTCTCGCCCGCCGGCGGCAAGCTCGTCCCTCGCCGGATGAGCGCCTCCTCGGCCCGGTGGCTCCTCGCCATCGCGGCGCCGTCGACGCCGGGACCTTCGCCGGCGCCGGGGCCCTTGCCCGTCGCCGCGCCGGACGAGACGAGGTGCCGCAGGGCGCGGTGGACCCACAGGCGCTCGGCGGTCGGGAACGCGCGCCCGACGGCGAGTCGTGGCGCCGAGGCGCAGCGGTCGAGGTACTGCGTGTGGGCCTCGGTCGACGAGGGCGCGAGGACGCACAGGCGAAAGAGGGCGTGCGCGCCGACGCGGTGGAGCGAGATGTCGTCGGTGGAGGAGGAGGGTAGCGCTTGGGCGTAGAGGGTCGAGGCGTGCGAGTAGGCGGTGAGGGCGGCGTCGGGCGAATGGGCGTCCTCGGCGAGGTAGCCTGCGCGAGGAAGAGAGGGTCAGGTCGCGCTCGTCGAGCTCGGGGGAGAGAACAGGAGGGACGCACCCTCGACAGCAGTCGTCAAGACGCTCAACGTCAGGTCGTACGGCTCGCCCTGCGCCGGCAACTGGCCCTTGCTCTGCAGCCCTGCGAGCGCCTGCCTCGCGTCACCCGGCTGCCCGACCATGTACCGCGCCCACGCGAGGACCGCCCTCGCGCTGTCCGCCTCGACGCCAGGAGCTGCGCTCGAGGTGGCGCTGGCGAGTGCGTCGAGCGCAGGGAGGATGGCGCCGCGGTGCGAGGTCGGGACGAGTGGGGGAAGGGATGGGGGAGGAGGCGTCAAGCTCGCGCCCGAGGCGAGGGAGGTGGCAAGCGAGTCGGTGTGGCCGTACAGGTGCGAGTGGACGAGGTGCTCGACGTGTGCGGCGGCGGCGGTCACTGTGCGCGGGGGAAGAGAGTCAGCGAGACGGTTCCCACGACAAGCGATTGAGGCGGACCTCGTCGTGCGGGCAGAAGAGTCGGCGGGTCGCCCAGCAGCTCGTAGCGACACCCTGACTGAGCATCGCTGGAGCTGCTCGACCGCGCGAGGACCTCCCGCTCGGCTCGGCCGTCGAGGACGAGGAGAGAGAGAGAGAGCGGGGCGCACCTTCTCGCGCCGGGTTGTGTTTCCTGAACTTGCGCAGGAGCTCTGCCCAGTCCATGCCGCCCTGCACCGCCGCCGCCGCTGCTGTCGCCGTCGTCGTCGGAGCTCGCCCAGCTGGGCCGAGTGCCGCCCCGCCTCGTTCGCCTCCCTCAGCGAGCTGCTGCGCCGCGGCCGGGTTGAGCGCACCTTTGGCGAGGGCCGGGCTCGAGTGCGTGAAGAGGGCGAGCCGGCGAGCCGAGTCGAGTGTCGCGGCGTACCGGGCTCCTTTGGGCGACGCCGACGACGAGGAGGACGAGTGCGAGTGCGGGTGCAGGTGCGGGTGCGGGATGTGCGGGGCCATGGTCGGCGAGAGTGCACGGTCGTGCAGCTGTAGCGCTGTAGCTGGCTCGAGGTTGGACGAGAGGAGCGAGAGCGGGGCCCGCTCGACCGCGGCGACTTCGGCGAGGAAACGAAACAACGCGTCGCCGTCGCTCGTAGCAGCCGCCGGCCGGTGTACTCGATAGCAAGACCGCTCACCGGGCAGGCTCAGCCAACCCGCACCCGAACAAGGCGCTGTCGCTCGCGCTGCGCGACCCTGAAGCTCGCACGGAGCCCTGTCCCTCTCACCTCTTGTCCTCCTCGGCCGTGCACGATGAGAGCAAAGGGACCGCAGAGCAAGTATCAACAGCGACGACGAACGAGGGCGCAGAGGCAGGGGGAGGGAGACTACAAAAGGAGAGAGAGTCGCCGAACGAGCGACGCAGGGAGGGGAGGGGGGGAGGCTAAGGGCGAGAGGGAAAGTCACGGGCGTACAGGACGTCGCATTAGAGTGTACAGGAAGAAGAGACGGAGGCGAATACAGGAAAGAGGGAGGGCAAAAGAGGACGAGGAGGAAAAGGTAGGAGGGCGATAGAGAGACGAGGCTTGTTCGCCGCGCTCGCGCCCGTCCATCTCGACACGAGCACGCCCTGCTCGTCTCAGCAGGCGCACCAGCTCGAGCCCTGCATCTTGTCGTCGAGGTTGACCGTGCCCTTGCCGCCCGGGTACGTGCCCGGCGGCCCGCCTGCGCCGCCCTGTTTCCGCCCGCCCGAGGCACCGCCGGCTGCGGCGCCGCCGGCGGGTGTCGCCGTGCGCGTGTAGAGCGAGGGACACTCGATGATCTGCGTGACGGGAAGGCGAGAGCGTCAGGCGACGCATTCAACGTCAGCGCGACGTCGAGCAGGGAGTTGTCCTTCCTCGACGTCGCGCAGGCTCGAGCACGACCGACGCAGAGAATTAGAGAGCGCGAGGGCTCACCTTGTCGACGACCTGCCCAAAGATGCCCTCGGCACCGCTCACGTCGTCGCCGCCCTTTTTGGCCGAGCACTCCATGAAGAGCCAGGGCGGGTCGCGCGACGCGGCGAACGCGCGCCCTTCCTCGGTCGACACGGTGCGCGAGAACTCCTGCAGGTGCGGGCGTCGAGCAAAGTCAGTGCCGCGTCCATACACTCGACTAAGCCTCGCTCGGCCCGCTCGAGGCCGGCCAGAGCGAGGCAAGCTCGGCGCAAGAGGACGGCGCAAAAAGAGGACGACAGCGGACGCACCTTGTCGACCTTGTTGCCGACGATCATGCGCACGACCTCGCGGCTTGCGGGCCCGGTACCGGCGAACGTGTCGAGCTCGTTGATCCACGACGCGAGGCTGTCGAACGTGTCGCGGGCGGTGATGTCGTACACTGTATCGGGGCGAGAGGTCAGTGTGCGTTCACCTGTTCAACGGGCACTATCTCGGGCCGACACTGAAGATGCCGTCGCCCGAGAGTGAGTAGGAGCAGGGACGCACCGAGGATGACGCCCTGCGCGCCGCGGTAGTACGAGCTCGTCAAGGTGCGGAAGCGCTCCTGGCCGGCCGTGTCCTGTTCCACAAGACAAGAAGATCGGCTCAGTCAGTGTGCTGCACTTGCGCGTGCAGGAAGTCCGACGAGCGACTCGTCGTCGGTGCGGAACGGGGGGGAGTGCGAGCGAGGGGACGCACCCAGATCGACAGCTTCCACCGCTTGTTCTTGCGCTCCATGACCTTGACCTTGAAGTCGACGCCGATGGTCGCTGCATCGACGAACGCGCCGCTAATCAGCTCGGGCGCGAGGGAGGAGATCTCCTTGCGGGCCAGCCGAGGACGCGAGGCGAGAGGGGACGCACCAGAGGTTTCATCGGGCGAGAGGAACGTCTCGTCAGTGAAGCGCAGGAGGAGCGACGACTTGCCGACCGAGGATGCGCCTGCGCGAGTCGGGGTTGATATCGGGCGAGGGGGAGGGGGCGGCGAGGTGGGGTGGGGGTGCGTCAGTGGTTGCTCGGCACGGTGAGGGCGGGCTTGTACGGCGCGAGGCACTGTACTGCCTTCTTGGATGTCCCTCTCACGCGTCCACGCAGCCCTGGCCCTTGTGCGACTGGCCCGCGGCGAGCACCCACCTTCCGAGGCACGCTCCTCGACGGCGAGAGAGAGAGAGGGAGAGGGGACGCACCGATGACGAGGAGCTTGAGCGTAGTCGGTGGCTCGGACATGGTGCCGAACGACGGCTGGCTCGTCGGCGTGGCGGCAGAGTAGCTGCTCATGACGGGCAGCCGAGAGGAGGCGGTTGAGCGAGGGGGGGCCCGGGTGCGACGGGCGAGCGGCTCGAGGTGGTGGGAGGTGCTGGTGGCTGATGTGCGAGTAGGTGGGCGCGTCGAGCTCGAGCGCAGCAGGTGGTGGACGCGAGAGAGGAGGGAGCAAGGGCAGCAGGCACCGCCTCGCTCCACGATGACGACGGCCGCCGCTTCTCTCTCTCTTGAGGCCCGGTAGAGCACACGGTCTTGCTAACGAGTACCTCACAAGCAGGACTGTGCCCTATCGGAAAGCGCGGCGAGAGGAACGCTCTCGGCCACCTCTCACGCGCTCGGCGACGACGAGCGCAAGGCGACGACGACGGCAATGGCTGGCATAAGGGAGAGAGGGTACTGCAGAACGAGAACGAGAGGTCGTGAAGGACGAGAGGGGGTATCGAGAAAGGGGGGAGGAGAGGGACGAGCGCCGCGGCGAGCGAAAGCGGATCTCGCAGGCGCAGTCGCGCGCTCAGCGACGGCCCGCCGTGCCCCGGCTCGCCGCACTGCCGTAGCCCATACCCTGCCCGCCGCTGATCTGGTCGAGCTCGAGCTCGAGCTGCTTGATCTGGCCGTGCGCCTGCTCGAGGTCCTTGTTGAGGCGGTCGCGCTCGGCAATCAGGTGCTGCTCTGTGTACAGGGCTCGAGGGCGTCAGGTCGCCGTCGCCATGATGTCCGTGACGCACGCCTCAGAGAGGAAGGGAGAACGGCGAGACGCACCCCACTGGCGGAACCGCGCCTCCTCCATCTTGACCTGCTCGGTGAAGCGCTTGCGGAGCTGCGCGACGGGGTAAACGAGGTCAGTCAGGGCGCCTGAGGGCAAGGGCGACGCACGTCGGGCTAGGACGTGCGCCTCGAGAGAGCGAAAGAGAAACCGGACGCACCGCCTCCTCCTCCTCCTTGAACTTGGGGTTCTCGACCTTCTTGACCTTGGGCTCGCTGCGCGCAGTGAGAGAGGCGACGGTCAGGACGACCCGAACGACTCGGGGACCTCGCTTCGAGATAATCACGCCTCGAGCGCGCCGTCCCGCACGAGGAACGGGTCCGCGCACCGACGACGAGAGAGGGAGGAAGAGGGACGCACCCGAACTTGCGCGTCTCCATCTGCGCCTGCCGGTACTGCTCGTAGTGGCCCTCCTCGGTCGTCTGGATCAGGTCGAGCATGTGCGTCCGGATCAAGAGGCTCCGGAGCTTCTTAAAGTCGCAGTGCTCCTCGTTCTCGACCTCGGCGACGCCCCACAGGTACTGGCGGCCCTTGACCGTGCGCCCGTCGGCCGTCTGGACCTCGGTCGTCGAGCCGATGATCGAGAAGGGGAGCGCGGCCTGTGCGCGAGGGTGCCGTGCGGCGAGACAGGGTGAGCCAAACTCGCGCTCGGGAGGAGAGAGAGAGAGGGGGAGGAGCGAGGGACGCACAGAGAGGAGGCGAGCGTGATCGGCAGACTGCTCGTCGTCGGTCTCGACAGGCGGGTTGTAGACCCGGATGCCCTGCGCCGAGATGACCTCGCGAATCTGCGCGCGCGTGGAGAAGAGGTCAATCGCGTGCTCTCCTGCTCCCGCGCCGCTCCGAACGGGCTTGTCGAAGGGACGCACCTTCTGCTTGAACGCGGCGAGGTCGGTCGGCGTGAGCGTGTCGGCCTTGGCGACGATCGGGATGAGGTTGACGCGCGAGCCGAGGCGCTTCATGACCTCGATGTCGAGCGGCTTGAGGCCGTGCCCGGTCGGGCGGATGAAGTACAGGCACGCGTGAACGCGCAGGTCGAGCTTGGAGCCACGCTGCGGCTGCTGCTCTTGGCGCATGAACGACTCGTGCTGGTCATCCTGTCGACGGGGGAAGAGGCTCGTCAGGTCGTCTCTCGAGAGTTGAGGCGATGAGGGAAACAGGCGGGCCGCACGATGAAGTCGACGATAGGGATCCACGAGTCGCGGTTGTTGACGTAGTCGCCAAAGCCCGGCGTGTCGATGACGGTCAACTTGACCTTGAACTGCTTCTCCTCGAGCTCTGCCTTGACGATGTCTGCGAGGGCGTCGAGAGAGTCAGCGTGGCGCTCCCATACAGCACCCTTCATCCTCGACTGAGTGGCCGAAAGGCGCATGGGCAGGGAAGCGAGCCAACCCACCGATCTCGGTCGTCTTGTCCATCTGCTTTGCGAACCGGCGCGAGTAGTCCTTGACGGCGGCGAGCTCGGTCGAGAAGAGCGTATTGCTGTGTGCGGCGAGAGAAGGTGTGTCAGTGGCAGGGGCTGCAGAGCGTGGCAAGGGTTCGTCGACGGCTCAGCTCCTCGGCGCCGCCTTGGTGAGAGGCGGTGCAGGGGAGCTCGCTCGTCCTCAAGCCGCTGCGCCGATCGCCAACCACAAGGGAAGCTCGCACGCACATGAGGGTCGTCTTGCCGAGGCCGCTCTCGCCGACGACCATGAGGGTAAAGTGGCCGCCGCGCTTTGCGACTGTCGCGTGGTCGACGAGGAGGGGTCAGCGCGGCCCTCGTCACGGGAGGGGCAGGAGGAGGGGACGGACCGATCTTGTGGCGCTGATTAGGGAGGTTGCTGATGCCGATGGCGTCCATGCTGGCGGTGGTGGACGAGGACGAGGAGCGAGAGGGCGGAGGAGGAGAGGGACGACGAGCTGTGCGCGAAACCACGGGCGAGGGAGGGGGCAAGGCGACGGTCAGTGATGAGGCTTCGAGAGTGGTTTGAGTGGGGCGCACCTGGCTGCAGAGGTTGTGCAAGGCGAGGGAGAGTGTTCGGGGTCGCGGGGGAGGAGCGAGCACGAGGACGAGGCGGGCGAGGTGGGGCGAGCTGTGGGCGCGTCACATGGTCAGTGTGTGCTCCCTAGACGCGGTAGGTGCGGTCCTGGGACTCACTGCGCGCGAGGACGGTGCGGGGACGAGGTTGAGGTCGAAGGAAGTGGAGCCGACTCTCTCTCTCACTCTAGCGCTCTCCCTCTCGCTAGCCGTGAGCCCAGCCACTGCTGCAGCCACGCAGGAGGCCTTCTTCGCGCCACTCGACGTGCGTTGCTCGCACTGGCAGCCGCCGACACCTTCTCGTCCTCGTCCTCTTCGCCGACCGCTTTCCTGCTCCTCTGCTCGCCCGCGACCGCCTCGCCGGGCCAGACGGGCTGGTCAGCATCTGCCCTGAGCGTGTCGGGTGGTCGCTACTACATCGCTGGGCCAGCCTCTGTCCTCTCGTCACGACGGCCGCCCGCTTTGCCCTCGTTCGCTGCTCGTTCGCGGCTCTACTGTGCTCGGCTCGGCTCCAACCTGCCGAAACACACGCTCTCGACGACCGGAGCACGCGTAGGAGGGTCACAGTACCGCGTTGCACGTCGTCCTCGCCCTGCTCGCCCCTCGCGACCTCCTCGAGCCTGCTCTCCCTCCCCTAACTCAGCGTCCCTGCCCCAAAGGAGCCGCCCCTGCGTCCCGGTCCACCGCCTCGAGCGAGCTGAGCCTGTTGACGGTGGGCAAGAGAGAGTCAGTGTCCTGCTCGGGCTCGTCGTCGTCGTCATGCTCGTGCGCGCGGCTCGAGAGGGATCAGGCGGCGGGTGTATTAAGCCCATGCCGCGAGCGTTTCATCCGCAGAGACACCCTCCAAAATAGCGTGAAGGAGGGTGGCAGCCCTCCCAGTGCCCGCCAGGCCCGCGTCGACCGTGCGCTGAGTAAACAACGAAGACACGGCGGCGAGGGTCCGGCGAGCGCCGACGAGGGCCGTAGGACGGGTGCCAGCATTTTATCCTCACGTCCCAGGGGTCCGAGGGGCAGTGAACAGGGGACGCACACTGAGAGCCGGGTGCCTTGAGGTGCGAGTCGAGTGGTGGGAGGAGGAAGGAGAGAGGTGAACCGTCGGGTCGCGCGCGACGACTTTCTCGCGGTCGAACCTTTTTCCAGCACGTCGTCGAACTGCTTCTGGTGAATGCGCGCGCTGGGCGAGCTCCTCGCTATGCACTGAGAGACGGGCGACGAGCGAGAAGCGAGCGCTCGAGAGCAATCGAGCCGGCAAGCCAAAGTCAACCAAATTTACTATTCAAGTCAAGCAAAGTCAACCGGGCGGCGAGCTTACGAAGAATGCTAATCGAGAGTTGAGTCCGAATAGTAATGAGGGCGCGCCCGTTCCTCCTCCTCCTCGGGCGGCGACTCGCTCAACAGGCGCACTGCGCTCGCCTCGACATCGGGTCCGACGCTCTCGAGCTCTCTCTGCGACCCTCTGAGAAAGCGACTCTCGACGAGGCGCACGAGAGAAAAAGCGGCAAAGAGGTTGTTCGACAGCAACACGGGCTCGCGCGCACCAGGAGCTGCGCCCTGCGCCCGTCCACCGGTCCGACTACGCAAGAAGGGGAGCCACTCGGGGAAAAGAGAGGGGAGCGACTCGTGCGCAGGGGAGCGGCGGTGACAAAGAAGGCAAGGCGAGGAGGGGGAGGGCCGGCGCGAGCGGGAGGGGGAGGGTACAAGGGAGGGAAGGCACAGGATTAGGAGACAGAGAGAGACGGCACGCAGGAGGAAGGGTAATCTAGAGACGAAGGGACGGCAAAGCGGGAAGGGAAGGGAGGAGGGGAAGGGGAAGGACAACAACAAGAGGTGGGGGGGGACGACGGCGGCGCGACAGCGCTCGCCGGGATGAAGAACGAAGGCGAGGTGCACGGCGACTCGACGAGAGGCGCCGAGACCCGCAAAGGGAGGCGACGGCGACGAGCCGCCGCCCTTTCTCGCCCGGCGACCGGTTCGGCGCCGAGCGCGTCGACGACGACGTCGACGAGCGTGCGCGCTCAGTACGAGTCGCGCCCGATGCCGCGCATGATGCCCGGCGGGGCTGCTCGCGCGGCTCGAGCTCGCGCTGCCCGGCGTGTAGCTGTGGCTGAGCTGGTGGCTCGAGCTGCCGTTGCCGCGCTTGTGGCCCGGCGGGAACTGCGGCGGCGGGTGGCACCCTTGCGCGAGCATCTGCAGGCCGAGCGCACCGTGTGCGCCGGAGTGCTGGTAGTGGTACCGCAGGCCGTTCATGCTGCGAGGCGAGAGAGGGAGGGACGAGGTCAGGGCTCGGGCTCTCCTCGACGACGACGACGACGACCGAGAGGGGGAGAGGTGGACGCACTTCTTGTACCGCTTGCCGCAGCTCGCGACGTGACACACGTAGGGCTTGCCCTCGTTGCGCGGGTCGATGCCGTCCTTGGCCGCGTTGGCGCCGCAGTGGCCGTGCAGGCGGTGGTACTTGAGCCCGTTCTGCTGCTTGTACGACTTGTCGCACCCGGGCACGTTGCACTTGAACGGCTTCTCGCTCGGCGGCGTGTAAGGCCGGCCCGACGGCGAGATCTGGACGCCCTGGCCGAGAGGATGCAGCGCCGTCGGGAGGGCGGCGAGGGAATTGGGGCCGAGCGCGGCAATGGCGGCCGCCGTCTGGATCGGGTCCTTGAGCGTCGTGTTGGCGAGGGCCGAGATGGTGGCTGGATCGTGCGGGTTGATGATTGGGTGAGGAGGAAGGGCTGCGAGGGCGGCAGCGGCGGCGGCGGCCGAGGTCGACGACGACTTCTTGGGCTTGTGGTGCGACGACGACGAGCCGCTCTTGTGGTGGTGCGACGAGGACGGGCCGGGAGAGGGCGAGTGCGACGACTTGTGGACGGGCGACGCTCGGAGCGTGGCGGGGAGGCCGAGCGAGCCCGACCCGGGCGAAAGGATGGGCATGTCGTCCTCGTCCGGCTCCGAGTCCGTGTCCGACTCGGGCTCCTCCTCGTCCTCGTCGTCGTCGTCGAGCTCGGGTTGCGGCGACTCGTGGATGACGACCTGCGCCTCGTTCGGCGGCGAGCCGTGCGGCGTGCCCGGGAACACGAGGCTCGGCGCGAGCCCCCCCCATCCGCCCCCACCAGTGCCGCCGCCGCCGCCGCCGCTGCCGACTGGTGCACCGAGCGCCTGCGCCGGGTTGACCGTGCCGTTGGGGAGGAAGCCGAGGCCGTTGTCGACCGGATTGGGCGGCTCGTCGAGGTTCGGGGTGGTGCCGCCGTGCGACGACGACGCGTGCGAGTGCTGCGCGCCGCCAAAGTCGATGATCGAGGGCGGGAGGGTCGACGGTTGCGGGTGCTGCGAGTTGATGGACGGCGAGCGGCGCTTGCTCGCGCTGCCCTGGAGCGGGAGCGGGTTCTCGAACGCCGACATGGCCGGCGGCTGCTGCGCCGCGTAGCCGTTGGACGACGACGACGCGAGGTGGCCGCCGCTCGACGAGCCGGCCGACGACGCGGGCGAGTTGGCCTCGTCCTCGCCCATGTCCATGTCGAGCTCCATGCCCGAGTCGAGGTGGAGCGCGGCCGTCGCGGGCGAGTCGGGCGTCTCGAACGACGACAGGCCCGACTTCTTGAGCTCGAAGCCGCGAGGGCCGTGGCCGATCAGGCGCGGGCTCGGCGGACCCGAGATGGTGCCCTCGCTCTCGGCGCCCTCGACCTCGAGGCCGTCCATGTCGCCGTCCTCGTCGGCGTCGCCCTCGTCGTCGAACGAGACGTGGCACTCTTCAAAGTGCTCGAGGAGGCCGTGCAGGTCCTGCAGGTCGAGGCCGCAGCACGTAAAGTTCTTGAAGAACTGGGCCTCGATCTTGGGGCGCTCCTCGAACGAGCGGCCGAGCGACATGGCCATGGACGAGAAGCCCGGCGACGACGACAGGTCCTTGAGCGAGGTCGACATGGCGGCGAGCGAGAAGGGCGAGTTGAGGCCGAACGACCTGCTGAGCGAGGTCGACAGGGCCGGGTGGAGGAGCGGCGAGTGCATGCTCATGCTGCGGGCGTGGCACCGACAGACAGTCAGTGTCGTGCTCTGAGAGGGGCGCTGGCGCTGCACGTCGTCGAGTGAGGCCGTCGTGCGACTAGCGCGGCAAGTCGAATACGGTCGACTCGGGAAGCCCGAGGGAGGCCGCCACCTCGTCGAGGCGCGCCGACTCGAGCACGGCTGGCACGGCGCGCAAGGTCGACGTGATGTGGGCTGTCGAGCAGGCTCGTCCACAGAGCCGCTCACCGCGCCGCGTGGGTACGCGACGGGGAGCGGGACCGGGGATCTCGCCCGGGGAGGAGCGAGAGGGAGGGAGGGAGGGGGACGCACTCTGGCGAGAAGTGGCTCTCGCGCCGGGCAATCTGCACGGGCGCGGGCATGGCGGGCGAGCAGCAGGCGGGCGCTAGGTGTTGTTCGAGAGCCGAATGTGGCGGCCGGGGGGTGGATGAATGCGAGGCGGAGGCGGCGGGTCGCTCGGCGGTGCTGCGCGACGAGGCGGCGTCGAGGCGGGTCGGGACGGCGACAGAAAGTGCTGGTCGACGTGCTGGACGAGGTCGAGCCTGGCGGGAGAACGGCTGCGCGGGAGACAAGGGGAGAGAGGCGAGGCGAGGCGGCGGCGGGCGCGGGGAGGACGAGGAGAGGAGACGGCGACGGACGGATGGACGAACGGACAGGGGGTCAGCCTCCGGTGTGTGCGGCTGAAGGGTGTGAGACTGTGCGGACGCACCTTGTCCTCGTACGAGTGGGTCGGGAGGGGGAGGTTGGGCGACTGGCGACGACGACACCCTCTCTCCGCCCGCTGCTCTCTCGTCGGATTCGGGCTTCCCTCGGGCGCGCGTTTCGCTGGGCTAACTGCGCATCCTTCGGCCTCTGCGTTCCCCCTCTCACTCGCTCCGACCCTGTCAGGGACCAGCTCGTCTTAGCGTCCCTCTCAGTCTATCGCGTCGCTCCCTCGTCCCTCTCGCAGCTCGCACGTCGCCCTCCCACACTTCCGGCTACCGAGGTGATCGTCGCCCGCTCTTCCACTCCTTTCCACTCCCTTGCCCGCTCGCACTCGCCTCCTCCTCGCACGGCGGGCGAGAGCCACCCACAGCGCCGGCCCTTGAGCCCGCGTCCGCTCGCTACCATGTGTGTCGACCGCTTTGCCGCTACCGCTACCAGTCTCACTCTCTCACTGCGTCGATCGCACCCTCTCTTCTTTGCCGCGGTTGACCGCTGGAGCTTGCCGCGCTTGGCGGCAGTCGACGGCTCGTCGGCTGCGGCCTGAGCGTCCGTCGCTTCGTCCCGCTCTCGCCGGCCGAGCTGCGCGCTCTCGTTCGTCGACTGACGCTGCGGCACGTAAAGACGTCTCGCCCGCACCAGGGAGAATGAGCGCGACCCACTCGACGACGCTCGCGCGTGCGTGGAACGTCGGCTCGCCTTCCTCGTCCGGCAGGGGAAGACCCACCGCGACCTCGTCCTCTCCGCTCTCCGAAGCTTGCACTTTGCCGCACGCGGCGTCTCATCTCGTCGAGAACCTCGTGCGGGGGCGGCGGTGGGTCGTGTGCGCGGCGTCGCTGCTTGGCGAGGTGCTTCGAGAGGCGCTCAGAGGCTTCGCAGAGACTTGTCACGGGCAGCCAGAGCCGCAGCAGGTCGCACAGAGGTACTGTCGAGCTGTGCGAGCGAGCAAGAACGCCGTCGCCGTCGTCCAAAGCCGCTCATGAAGGCGACCTGGCAACTTGCGAAGGTCGACCTCCAGCCCCGCTCGAGCCTCCGCCTTTCTCGCAAAACGAGCTAGCTTATTCGCGCGAGCGCTCTTGCCGTCACGACCAATCTCGACAGGAAGAAGGGAGCGACGCCGGCTCTCGTACTATCGCTTTGCGCCTTGCCCCTTGGCGAGCGCGCTCGGCCCCTTGACGTCGCCTCGAGTCGCCCGAGCAGACGACGGCACTCTCCCGAGCTTCGAGAGGGGTGCGCAGCTGCAGGCGCTCGATCGCCGTATCAGAGCTTCGGATGACATGTTGTTCGAGCGAGAGATCCGCTCGACCAACTGGACGACGAGCGACGAACCCACCTCGGCCTCGTCGTCGAGCGCACTCGGCCGGAAAGTGCGCCAGCGCAACCGCTCCTCGTTTCGCGACTCAGGGCCCTTGTTCGGGAGAGAGAGCAAGACTCTCGGGTGGGACGAAGAATGGACCGGGCTGCGAGGTGACGTGCTCGAGGAGATCGAGGGACGAGGAGGAGCTGAGCGCGCTTTCTCTCGAGTCGCCAGGGCAGCGCACCGAGGCCCCGGGGAAGCAGATAAGCCATCGCACGGCTACAGAGCGGCTCGACGTCATGGTCGACGGCGGGAAGCAGTCCCGGGAAGAGCGGTCCCGCGAGAGAGAGAGAGACGAAGGCCGGGAAGCGCGAGAGCAGCACTCGCTCGGACCTGCTCTCGACGCCGAGAATGAGGCTGCTGCACGGCTCTATTGCACTCGTTGCGCTCGTCGTACTCGGTCGATGCTCAGACGTTGCGCAGGTGCAGACTCTTGGCCTTGGTGACGGCGTCAAAGCCGTAACGAGAGAGCGAGATGCCGCGCCCGCTGTCCTTGAAGCCGGTCCAGCACAATGCGGGTTCGAGGTAGTCGCAGCTGCGAGCGCGAGAGCGTCAGGAGGGTCCGCCAAGGACGCCGAGAGCGGAAAGTGGGCGAGAGACGGACCGGTTCATGTAGACGGTCCCGGCGTCGACGTCGTCGACGAGCTCGTAGTACGCCGACGTGTCCTTGGTCCAGATCGACGCCGTCAAGCCGAACGGCGAGTCGTTGATGAGCTTGAGCGCCTCAGCGTCGTCCTTGACCTGCGTCGTGCGCGCTCGACAAGGTCAGTTCGGCCGACGACGACGACGATGAAGCGAGAGGACGGTCGAGGCGCACCTTCATGATGCCCATGACGGGGCCGAACGTCTCATCGCTCATGACCTTCATGCCGTGGTCGACGTCGACGAGGACCTGCGGCGCGACGTACGTCGTGCCCTCCTTGGCGAGCGGGAACAGCGACTCGTCGATGAGCGCCTTGGCGCCCTTGGACACTGTGTGCGCGCAGGAGAGAGTCGGTTTTGAGCCCTCTGGAGAGGGAGAGGGGACGCACCGGCTTCGGAGATGTGCTCGCGAATCATGGCGGCCGAGCGGAGCGAGATGACGGGCCCGAGCGTCGTTTCCTCGTCGCGAGGGTCGCCGAGCTTGTAGTCCTGCGCGCTCGTGATGATCAGTGACGCGCTCGAAGACTCAAGAAGGCGCAAGAGGGAAAGAAGGACGCACTTTGACGACCTTGACCGCCTCCTCGACGAACCGGTCGTAGACGCTCTCGTGCACGTAGACGCGCTCAACGGCACAGCACGACTGGCCCGAGTTGAACATGGCGCCATCTGCGACCGACAAAGGCGTGATGAGCGAGCGCCCGAAGGCGGTGGGCGAGGAAGAAGAGGAGGAGGGAAAAGGGGGCGCACCGACAATGTTCTCGGCGGCGTAGGCCGGGTCGCAGTCTATGCGACTCGAGCGGACGGTCGAACGTCAGTTCTCCACGCTCCAGAGAGACTCGCGTAGCAGAGAGATCGAGACGCACCCTCCCTCACGTACGCCGCGTCCTTGCCGCCGAGCTCGAGGCCGACCATCTTGAACCCGTGGCCCTTGTCGGCCGCGTCGGCGGCCGTCTTCTCGACACGCTTGCCGTTGGCGACGCTGCCCGTGAACGAGACGAACGGCACGAGCGGGTGCCCGACGACGTAGTCCATCTGGGACGGCGTGAGGTGGAGCGTCTGTTCGAGGTACGAGGGTCAGTCAGGCGCGCTCTCTGACGTGTCGCAGTAAGAGGGAGAAGGGGCGCACCTGGAGGAGGTTGGCGGGCAGGCCGGCCGCCTCGAACGATTCCTGAATGCGCTCGGCGACGAGAGGGGTCTGCGGCGACGGCTTGAGGAGGACCGAGTTGCCGGCGAGCAGGGCCGGGATGAGGGCGTTGACCGTGATCATGTCTGCATCGTCGAGAGGGGCATATTCAGTAAGACGGACGGCGAAGGGTTCCACGAGGAGGGGGACAGGGGGAGGGACGCACAGGGGAACTGCGGGAAAAGGGGGGTGCGGGAGTCAGTGCGCGCTCGGCTCGGGAGGGCGGCTCGATTCGACGAGAGAGGACCAGTCGACGCACGTTCCACGCGCCGACGAGGAGGCAGACGCCGACCGGGGTGCGGCGGATGATGCGGGTGAAGCCCTCGGGCCTGCCCTCGTCGACGTTCTCGTCCTTGAGGGCCTTGTCGGCGTGGGCGAGGAGCCACTGAGCGCGGTCCTTGAACGTGGCAATCTCGGCGGCCGTGTAGCGCTTTGGCCTGCCCATCTGGCTCGTCAGTTCGGGGCCGAGGTCGAGGGCGCGCGAGGCGAGGTGGTCGACGGCGGCGGTGACGAGCTTGATGCGGTCGGCGAGCGGGACGTTGCGCCACTGACGGTGAGCATGGTGCGCCTGCTCGAGGTGGTGGTCGAGCTGGGCGGTCGAGGTCGGGTACGGGCGGGTAACGAGGGGCGAGCCGTCGACGGGCGAGATGGTGGTCAAGGTCGTGTGCGGGTCCTGGACGTTGTTCTGCGTGGTCGGGTCGTACAGTGCAGCCATGGTGTGCAGCAGCAAGCGGTGGTAGCGAGTGAGGAGCAGGAGAGCAAGGAGGAGAGAGGACGGCCGAGTGGCGCCCTTTCCTCCCTGCTCGACACACAGCCCTAGGTTCACCTGAGCAGCGCTAGACTCGCTCCTACATGCAGTTCAACGACCCTCGACCAACCGGCGGCCCTCCCGTCCCGGCCCTCGCCCTTCTCGCCGCCGTCTACCCTCCTCATCTCTCCGACCTCCCCACGCCGCCGTCGACCCCTGTGCGGCCTGCGAGGCCGTTCGTCACCCTCACCTATGCCCAGTCCCTCGACGGCAAGATCGCAGGCCCCGGCGGCACCCAGTTGCAGCTCTCCGGACCCGAGTCGATGCGCCTCACTCATCAGTGAGCTCCCCTCTCTCTCTCCTGACGAGCTGCCTGAGACTGACGTCCGCTCGACTGAAACAGCCTGCGAGTACTGCACGACTCGATCCTGGTCGGCGTCGGCACCGTCCTCAACGACGACCCGCAATTGACCGGTCCGTCCACCTCTCGTCTCGTCCTCCTCGCTCTCGCACCCGTCCTTGCCGAGAGCTGACCCTGTCCTCTCGTTCCACAGCCCGACTCCCCTCCCTCCTTCCCCTGTCGCAGCAACCTCGCCCCGTCATCCTCGACTCGTCCCTACGCACCCCGCCAACCTGCAAGCTCCTCGTCAACGCCCAGCGCGGCATCAGCCATGGCGTCACGATCGTCCACCGCGCGCTGTCGGCGACGAGCGAGGAGGACGAGGACTTGAGAAGGCGGGCGGCCGACCTCGAACGCGCCGGTGCACGCTTGATCCCTCTCGAGCCAGACGGTGCGTCGGCCTTTCCTCTTCTCGCTCTCTCTCTCTCCTCTCGCAGCTCGCGAACCTGACTCCTTCCCTCGCCTCCCGCCGCGCAGAGCACGGCCTCCTCCCGCTCTCGGCCCTCCTCTCGCACCCGCACGCCTCGCACCTCCTCGGCCGCTCGCTCATGGTCGAGGGCGGCGCGCGCATCATCGCGTCGTGCCTCGCCGCTCCGCCACCCGGCATCGTCGACCTCGTCATCGTCACCGTCGCGCCCGTCCTCGTCGGCGAGGACGGCGTGAGCGCTGTCGCGCCGCGCAAGGCGGGGCAGGGCGCGCCACCGAGGCTCGAGCACGTCAGGACCGAGCTGTTTGGGCAGGACAGCGTCGTTGTTGTGAGGCCGGTGTACGAGGGCGTCGAGGGCGAGGGCGGGGCGGCATAAAGCCAGGGCCGAGCGATGAGGGGAGGGAGGAGCCTTTCTCGGCCCTCGTCTCATCTCTCTCGGCCTGACGGGCGTCTTGTCTCGGCGTGGCACATAGAACACACACACTTGTAGCCAGTAGCTCACACTGCATTATACACCGCATCTCGCTGTCCCTTCTACTTCTCGTCCGCTCGAGCCTCCTCGTCCCGCTTCCTCGCTTCTCGCTCCTCGCCCCTCACCCCCACGTCCACGTCCCGCTCGAGCTCAGTCCTCCTCGTCTCCTTCGCCTCCCGCACCCGTCCCACCCTCGGGCGCCCTCGCAAAGAACTCGACGCCCTCGTCGCGCCCTCGCGAGCCGACGATGGTCCAGAAGGCCGACTCGACGGCGGGTGGCAGCGCGTCGAGCGTGTCGACGAGGGCGGCAGCCGTCGAGGCCGGCGTCGGAGAGGAGGTGACGAGGAGGTTGGCGGGGAGCGAGGAGGACGAGGGAGAGGTGGTCGAGGCGGAGGGAGAGGCGGTGCTCGGCGGCGAGTCGGGCGGGGTCGGCGAGAGGTAGGCGACGCTGTACAGCGGCTCGATCGGGGTCGGCGGCGAGGGCTCGGCGGATGAGGCGTCGAGAGGCGTCGGGGAGAGGAGAGGGGCGTCGAGGTAGGGCGAGAGGAGGGCGCGAGCGGTCGGTGCGGGCGAGTCGGTCGTCGAGAGGACGGGTGCGGCGAGGTACAAGACGTCTGAGCCGATCATCCACGCTCATCAGTGCACGTCCGACACGAGGAGAGCACCGAAGAGAGAGAGATCGTCGACGCACAGTAGCCCTCGGGGCAACTCATCGTCCCCGATCCGACCATCAAGGCCGAGCACGTCCCGAGACGCTCGTCGAACGCGCCCGGCGGGAACACGAGGAGCTTCGAGTCGGGCTCGTCGAGGTCGGCGTCGTCGTCGGTGGCGCCTTCTGGTCGTCGAGGGGGAGGGAACGAGATGGGCGAGGGGAGAAGCGCGATGAGGTGCGCGGTGCGAGGGACGGAGGAAGGGGCAGGGTCGGCCATCGAGGACGAGTGAGCCGGGACCAGGGTCGAGAGGAGGTGCGGGGAGGTGACGACCCAGTCGCCGGTGAACATGGTCGGCTCTTGACCCTCCTCGAGCTGGACGGGGATCCCGAGTGGGCGCGTCTCGTCGCTCGGGGCGTCCGAGGTCGACGCCGCAGGTGGCGGAGGCGGCTTGTCGTGAACGGCGAAAGGCGGCTGCGAGGCGGGTACGGGCAGGCCGACGGTCGGGGACGGGTCGAGTGGAAGGATCGGCCGACCGAGGATCTGCCCGCCGCCCCAGACGGCGCAGATGCTGCAGCAGGAAGGGCTTCAGTGCCGGTCCTCAGGACTGAGAGACTGTGTGCGCACCGAGAGAAGCCGCCGACGAGGTCGCCCGCACCGCCATAGTGCCCGACGAGGTACGGCGACGGGCCGTAGCGACCCATGCTCTGGATCATGGCGCGTAGGCGTTGCAGCGCCGGCAACGCGGCATCTGTACGGGTGGCTGAGTCAGTATACGTGCGCGTGGCGCGCAGTAAAAGGGAGCGTGACGCACCGGTCGGCGAGGAACAGAGAGCGAGGGCGTAGGCGAGCGACGAGGCGACCGTGCCCGACAGCGAGAAGCCCTTCTTGAGGTAGTCGACAAAGCTCGTGTCGGGATCTGCGCCACAGTAGGCCGTCAGTGGCGCCTCGCCGAGGTCCGGGCAGAGAAAGAGGGGACGCACCTGCCGCAAGCACCTTGTCGTGCTCGAGCGAGTCGTCGCCGGCGGCGAACAGGAGGAGCTTGGTCAACCGGCGCTTCTCGACGAGCGACAGGGTCGGGTCGTTGAAGACGTCGGCCTTGCTCGCCGGCACGCGCACCGCCTTGCCCTTGCCCGTGCCCTCGCCGCCGCCGCCGCCGTCGCTCTGCCACAGGGCGATCCCGCCGAGGAGGCCGAACTGGAGGTAGCTCGCGACTTTGCTGCGCACGAGGAGGTCGATGGCGGGACCTTTGGCGCGGAGGAGGACCGGGTACAAGCTCAGGGCGAAGCGCTGCGAGATGCGGCGAAGCGAGTCGGGTGGGGACGACGACGAAGGGTCGGCGTCCGAGTTGGCGGCGGCCCAGTCGGCGAGCTCGAGGAGCGAGAGCGAGGCATGCTCGGTGCCGTAGTAGGGTGCGCTGTCGAGCTGGAGGACCGAGTAGCCGGCCTTGGACAGGGCGCTGTTGCGAGGGAGGAGGCGGTGCTGGGTCAGCTTCGACGAGGGCGAGGAGCAAGGGGGCGAGAGGGGACGCACGCCGCAAGGATAGACTCGTGCAGGCCAGTCCCGGCGATCAGGACGTTGAAGTGGGTCGGCTCGTTCGCGTCCATGGCGAGTGCGAGAGCGAGAGCTGTACGTTGCACTCTCCCACTCCACTTCGACAGCTCGGGGCCCTGCTGGGCGAGCTCGATCTGCTTTGCACTGGCCACCAGTAGCCCTGGACGTGCCCTCACTCGGCCACGCGCTCCCCTCGCCGTCGAGTGGGCGGCGCCATGTCCATCCGAGTCTTCATCAGCTCTGGCTCGCTCCCACGCTCGGGGCTTCGAGGCCCGCTGTTGGACTCGCTGGCCGTCCCCAAGACGGTCCTTGCTCCATGCTGCCCGGCTCTGCGGCGCGCAGTAGCGAGGAGAGCTTCTGCTCCTGCTCGGCTTCCTCCGGCTCTGGCTTGCTCTCCTTCTCGACCTTGCTGCCCAGGCATCTGTCCTGTTCTCGCGGTCGACCGACTCGACGACGTCTCGAATGTCGTTGCAAACCAGGACGTTTACTTTGAAAAAATTAGAGTGTTCAAAGCAGGCCTTTGCCCGAATACATTAGCATGGAATAATAGAATAGGACGCGCGTTCCCATTTTGTTGGTTTCTGATCTTCGATCGCAGGATGCAGCGCTGCAGTCTAGCGGGCACGGCCGCCAGCTCCCTCGCTCGCTCGCTCTCCGCTCGTGCATTTCGTGCGCTGCCGTAGTTCCCAGCCTCTCGAGCTCGAGGAGCGGACGGGACGAGCCATATATCTTGTCGGACACGAGAGGAGCCGCAGGATGGCTCTCTCGACCGCTCGCTCTCGTACTCGCCGACGCTCGAGGAGGAAGAGGCGAAACGAGATCGTCATTACGGGCCAAGGCCGTGCCGAAAGGGGTATCGCTAGAGTGTTGCGAGAGAAGTGTGCGAGTGAGGGGGAAACAGGGGGCGAGGACAAAGTGTGTATAGACAGGGCGAGGAGAAGAGGAGGAGGGCAGTTGGGCTCGCTTAGGCTGGACTAGCGAGCGCCTCGCCTGCGGCTTCCGCAGCGGCAGCAGAAGACGTCGCCGAGGCACGAGAAGATGGCCACAAAGACCGACGTGATGCCCTGCGTGCGTCGAGAGAGAGAGGGTCAGTGCGTCGGTCAGACCTGCAGACGACGAGCGAGGCCGCCGCCTGGATCCTCGCTCGAGCCGAGAGAGACGGGACGCACGCCGATGATGGCGTTGATGACGGAGCCGATGGCGCTGACGATGGCCATGAGGCCGCGGCCGATGGCTGCGAGGGAGGGAGGAAGAGAGGTCAGCTCGAAGTCCGCCTGCGCGCTGCGGCCCGCCGCCTCGACCGGCACAGCCGTTCGCTGTCGGGCGTACAGCTCGTCGACTTGTGCAAGGGGAGGAGAACGACGCCGTGTAACGAGGTAGAGAGAGTGGAGAGGTCGACGAACCGCTGAAGACGCTGGCGATCTGGTTGCGCAGGAGCAAGTCAGTACGACGCTCCTCGCCTGGCTAGAAAGGGGAGCCGGACGCACAGCAGAGCAGACGACGCCCATGTTTGCAGAGAGGCGAGGAGGTGGCGGTGAAGGTTGAGGCTGAGGAGGAAGAGAGAGGACTGTTGCTCGAGACGTGGGTCAGCGGGCGAGATCTTCGCGAGGAGATCAGGGAGGGAGGGAGATGGGCGCACCAAGGCAGGGCGAGAGCAAGGAACCGGACGAGAGAGCGATAGGCGAGGCGGCGAGGGCGGGGACGAAGGGTCGAATGTCAACTCGGGTCGAGGTCACTCTCGTCGTCCCTTGTCGAGAGAGATGCGGACGTACAGGTGCTTCGAGTGCTGGAGCGAGTGAAGAGCAGGAGGACAAGCTTGACGCAGAGCTCTTGTGCGCGGGCAAACAAAGCTCTGGCGTGAAAACGACGTCCCGGAAGAACGCACCGCGTCATCCGCAGCCGCGGCTGACCAGGTGCACACGCCCAAGGCCGAGAGAGGACGACAGGAGGCTTGTGGTGCCCCGTCTCTCGGCGGGCTCTTGTACGTCCGTACGCGTACGAGGAGGCAGACATGCCTGACGAGCCGCGCTTGAGGAGGACTGCGCGGAGGAGGCTCGTGCGCTGCGCAAACCGTCCTCCGCCCGCCTCCTCCTTGACGTTCGTCCCAGCCCTCTCGCTTCCCCCGACCTCCGTAGCGACTGCTTGACGAGCTGCTGGCGGTGCGTGCTCGCGAGCCGGCCCTCTTGCTCACCGGCGCCGTCGACGACGCAGACACGTCACGGGCCGGTCCTGTTCGAAATGTCCGCTCTCCTGCTCGACGCAGCTGCCTGCTCGCCTGCTGTCGCTCAATCCTGCTGTGGAATGAGTTGTGCACAAGCTGAGCGTCAGTCAAGCGAGGTCGGAGGGGCACAAGTCGTTCGTCTTTGCACTTCCGCTTCCGCTCCTCGCTCAGGTCTACGACGTCTCGCTGCGGGCGGTTCGGTCCTGGCACGGCATGCGCTTCGTCAGGTCCAGGCTCGCCGGCGCGAGCTCGTCACGAAGAAGGTGTACGAGCTGCGAGACGCGCTCGGGCCTTCACCTTGTCGAGATGCGAGGAGCGACTTCTGACTTTCGTTCGCAGGTGGCCACTGTCGGGCTTCGCCTGCCTACATCCTTTGCTCCGCGCAAGGCTCTTGACCGACGCAGACGAGGTAGCAGCGAACGTCACGGCGACGCCATTGCTCGTGTGTCGGCATGCGGCGCTTTGCGCGCTCGAACCTGGAAAGTGCTTCTTTCGTTGCGGGCAGCCGACAGCGCTTGACCTCGACCGTCTTCTGCGTTCTCGAGCGTCCTTGCTCATGTAGCTACCGAGCGCTGCGGTCGCGCCAACGCTGAGAAAGGCGACCGCCGCTGTCGAACGAAAGGCTCGAGCGAGTTTCCCGTGTGCCGCTCGTCGGTCGCGCTTCTCTTTGCCCCTCTCCCGTTCGATCTCGAGGGTCTGGAGCTTCAGAGATCACGATCGCTCTTCGCCAGAGAAGCTGTGCGTCCACACGAGGTGGACCTTCTCAGCGAGTCGGCGGGCCGCGGCTGAAGTAGAGCTGGCGCTGCAGGATTTGCCCTACCAAGTCGTTCAAGTAGATTTTGCGGAGGCTGACCCAGCAGTCCGACGCCGCAAAGGGCGATGGACGACGAGTCTCTGATTTTACCGACGAGGAACGACGAGCGGAGGACGAGAGGCGTCGACTGCTCTCCACCCACACCGCTGCTCGCGCGCTTGCCCCCTCCCTTCCGCCCTCCTTCAGCAAGCCCAGCACCTGTACGTCCCGCCACGCGCCGCCCTCTCTTTGTCGCGAGCCAGGCGGCAGACGTGCTCACATCTCCCTCACCTCCCACCTCGCCTCGCCTCGACCCTCGCCGCACCGCCCTGTGCGCACACAGCCCCGCTTTTAGTGCGTCCACTACCTCTCTTGTACCGGCGGCGGCGTGCAGAGCTGACCAGCGAGCCGTCTTTGCCCCCTTCCCCCCTCGTCCGCCTCCTCCTCCGCACATAGTGAGCACCCTCCTCAACAAGCCCTACGACGCCTTTGCCGACGAAGGCGCTGAGGACGAGGTCGAAGTCGAGGTCAAGGCCAAGCCCCAGAGTGCGTCTCTCGGTCTCTCTCTCTCCTCTCGACGGCGGTCAGCAGCGGGAGGTCGCGCTCCAGTGGCGGCCGGCGCGTGCGGCAGCGTATCGGCTCGGGCGGCGTGTTACATGGACCAGTAGAGCTCTTGCGAGACGTGCTGCAGAGTCGGCCGCGCCGCTGTGCGCGAGATGGAATCCTCACCCGGGCACTCGAGCTGACCTCCTCGACCTCGCCCTGCAGCCAACCACATCCACATCCGTATCCAGCAGCGCAACGGCCGCAAGACCATCACGACCCTGCAGGGCGTTCCCGCCGAGTATGACCCCAAGAAGCTCCTGAAGGCGTTCAAGAGTGCGTCGTCTGCGTCCTCTCCTCTCGTCGTGCAAGGCAGCCCATGCACGCGGTCGTCTTGCGCGTCCTTACTGGAGATCGCGACTGACACGCCTCCTTACTCCTTTCGCAGAGGAGTTTGCGTGCAACGGCTCGATCGTCGAGCACGAGGAGATGGGCAAGGTCATCCAGCTCCAGGGCGACCAGCGTCAGAAGATCATGGAGATCCTCATCGAGGAGGGCATCGAGAAGGACACGATCAAGTGCGTCTCTGCCTCTCCCACCTCTCGAGGTCGTTGCGGCTGCGGGAGGACTGGCACCCACGCTCGTTCCCGCCTCGCAGGATGCACGGTTTCTAAGCCCGCCCGCGCCTCGACCGACGTTCCCTCCCTTTCTCAGCACCTCTCCTCTCCTTCTTCGACCTTCTCTCGCCCCGTCATCATCCCCTCGCCGTTCCTCATCGCCATCCGCCGCATCTCGCATTCTCGCTCGACCTCGCCTTCCGCCTCGCCTTTCGCCGTCACCCTGCGTGCTGCGGCCCGCGCGCTTCCCGTGTGGGCGTCGCGTATCGTCGACTGTACGTGCGGGCAGTGGTCGCATAGACCGGGCGAGCGCGGCGAGTTGTCGTCAGGCGTTTGGGCGAGGAGCCGGGTCCGCAGCTTTCCTTTCCTCTCCTTCCCTCTTTCTTCTCCCTCTCGTACAATCCCTCGACCCTGTAAACACCGAGTCGCAGTCTCTCCAGGTCTCTTGTCCGTCGCACGTAGTCGAGAGGCTGCTGTTCTCTAGCTCTCGGGGCGGCGAGAGAGAACGAGAGAACGAGAGAAAGAGAGGTGAGATAGACTCGACGTTGCACGCCCTTGCTCCCTCGCCCGGCCCGCATCCTACACTGTTTCAGAACTCGTCGAGCTGGATGGCAAAGAAGTGCGAGTAGGTGATGACTGCGAGGCGCGCGAGGCTGGTCAGATTGCCGGCTCATCTCTGTCGGTCTCTCTTTAGGTCGGCCCGTCGCGCTCTGAGAGGCCGACGAGTCGACCACAGTCGAGACGACGAGTAAGAGGAAGGGACGCACTCGTCGCGTAGCCGATCAAGCCCCCCGCTGCGCTCATCCACGCCGCGGCCTGGTGGATGACCTCTGCGTGCGCGAGCACGTACGGCAGCGCGACGCCGCTCACGAGGAAGCAGCTCGTGAGAAAGTGGCCAAAGTCGACCGGGCCCGACGAGTACTCGGCGCTAAAGTCGTCGGCGCCGGCGCAGCGCGAGAAGAGCCAGTTGGGCAGGGGCGCGAGGGTGAAGAGGATGGCTGCGGGTCGCGACGGCGTAGGGAGGGGGAGGAGGACAAGGGCCAAGTCAGTGCGGGCACAAGTGCGGGAAGATTGAGAAAGGACGCACCGGTGAGGAGAGGAAGCCAGTTGCCCCACAGGGCGCACGACAGGATGATGAGGAGGAACGAGAGCGACAGGACGAACGAGAGCGTGATGAGGGCTGTGGGAGGCAGGGTGTCAGCGCTCGTCGCAGCTCAGGAGGGAGAGAGACAGTGGGACACACTCTTGAGCCCTGCACGCGAGTCTGTCATGGTGGAGCCGAGCCGAGTCGAGGAGGCGAGGTCGGGGTTGACGAGGGTTGGCGAGGCTGTGTCTGCGAGTGGGGACAAGCTGTCAGAGCTGGTGTCCTTGTGCGCGGCGGTTGACCCATGCTCTGCGCGTCTGCGCTGCGAGAGCAGGCGGCCCTGCTCCCGGCCGTCGTCGCGCGGCGGCAGGGTTGCTCGATCGCGACGAGGCCAGTACCGGGCGGCCTGCGCGTTGCGGGATCGGGGCGAGAGGACACGTACAAATGTGCTGGAGGTGTGCAAAGGGCGCCTGGGCGAGGTGGGCGGTGGTGGGCGGAGCGAATGGTGGCCGAGTGGGGAGGCGAGCCTCGTCTCGCGCCGTCACCAACACCCCGCAGGCCCATCTGCTGCCTGTGTTGGGCCCTGCAGTACCACGCGCTCAACCGCGCCAACCACGACTAGCAAGCGCCTGCTCACGAGCTGTTGCCGCTCGTCTCGCCGACCTGGCTCTCGACTCGGGCTCCTCCTCGGCTCGCGTGCTCTGCATGGGACCTTGCGGCCGCCCGAGCTGCTCGCTGGCCTCCGTAGAGCCACTCTCCCACCCGCGCGGCCGTGCTGCTGTATGCGGAGTGAGGCTATGCGCGCACGCTCCTCCCTCGAGCCTCCTCCCCCGCTCGCGCTCCCTCTCTCGCTCTCTCTAGCCACCGCCGAGCTCCACCGCCTATGTCGAGCGAGCCAGGCGACCCTCGCGAGTCTGCCGAGCCGCCCTCGGCCCACCTCAAGCGGCAGGCGTCCCTCACCGCCGCCGCCCTCAGCTCCTCCGCCGAGCTTGCCCGCAAACGGGCCCGCGTCGCCGACGACGACGACGTCGTGCTCGTCTCCAGCGAGTGCGTCCACTCTCTCTCTCGAGTGTGCCTATCCTTAGCCAAAGCTGACCCGTCGCACCCCGCAGCTCGCAGCGCTTCCCCTTCTCCTCTCGCCTTCTCCTCGCGAGCTCATCCGCCTGGCAAACCATCCTCCCGCCACTCGCCGTCGTCCAGCAAGGTTCAACGACCTCGTTACCCGACGCGCGGTGTGCCAAGCCGGTCGTGCAAGAGCTGCCCGAGGTCCACCTCGACGAGTCGGCCGACACCCTGTCGTACCTCCTCCACTTCCTCGAGCCCGCCCCGGCACAAGCCCGCCCTCTCAGCTTTCCTCGCGACTGGGAGCTCATGCGCGCCCTCGAGCGGTACTCGGTCCGTCCACTCGCACTCTCTGTCGGTTCGACGCGAGAAGCTGACTCTCTCGCATCCGCAGGTTTGGCGAGGAATCGACCAGATGCAGGCCGCTCTCTCGTGCGTCGCGACCGTCCTCTTTCACTTGTCGAGAGCCGACACATCTGCCATTTCGGCGACGAGCTCAAGTTGTCCTGGCCCGTCTCGCAGGCAGCAGCATCTCTCGACCGCCCTCCTCGCGCCAGCCTTTGTCTTCTCGCAGCTCTTCTCGCTCCCGAGCCTCGAGCACGACGTCGCGCATGCAGCGGGCAGGCGGTGTGCGGCCGATCCGGCGGCGGGGGCGGTCATCGCGGAGGGGCTGGTGCAGGGCGTCGAGGAGACGGGGTGCGAGCTCGGCAAGGTGACGCTTCTGGTTGCGTCCATCTCTCCCTTTCTCGGTTCTGCGCACGACTCTCGGAGACGCGAGGGTGCTGCAGATAGAAGTTGAGGTGCTGAATGCCGCTCTTGCGCGCCGTCACAGCTCTCGCACCTTCTCCGGCGCACCTCGTCGCTCGCCGCGCTCCGCGCTCGCGCGCTCGACGCCCTGCGCGCGTTCGACGCCGAGTACGACTGCGAGCACTCGTGTCGCGGCATGACGTACGGGCACCTCGTCGACGCGCTCACGACGACGAGCAAGAAGCGGCTGCGCAAGCTCGACTATGGCGTCGACGACGGCGGCGAGGATGGCGCGGGCTCGGGCGTCGACTTTGACTGCAAGGACTGCAACATGCGGTGAGAGAAGGTGATCGAGACGCTGCTCGAGGGCATCAAGCAGCTTCCCGAATGCCCGTTCTAGCTGAGAGAGGAGAGTCGTCGTTGCAACTCAGACGTTCGTCTTCTTCTGGACCTCGTTCTCCTGCGCCTCCCTCGCCTCTCGCCGCTTCTGCGCCCACGCTCGCGCCTTCTCGGCCTTCTGCTCCTGCCTCCTGCGCCGCTCCTGCTCCGTCGACTCCTCCTCCTCGACGACGCTCGGGCCCGCACCGGGCTCCTCCTCGGGGGGAGAAGCGGGCACCGACTGCACGTCCTGCTCGTCCGCCCGGGTCGCCTCGTCATCTCCCTCGCCCTCGTCCTCGTCGCTCGAGCCGTACGCCGCAAGCCCGGCCATGCCGCCGCCCTTTTCCTCCTGCTTGACGACCGGCTTCTCCCGCTCGTCCTCGCCCTCGGCCCTCAGCTCGCCGCTCCTGATGCGCTCCCACGTCTCCCTCCACCGCCCACCTCGCGCGCCCGGGCGCAGGAACGCAAAGCGCGCGTCGGCGCCGTGATTGGCGAGCACGCGCATCTCGAGGAGGGCCGGGTTGGGCGACGACGAGAGCGTCGCGTGCAGGCGGTGCATGAGGGCGAGCTGGGACGTCTGCGAGAATGCGAGAGGCGAAGGAGAGAGAGTCAGGGCTCGGTGCAAGGGGAGAGAGAGGCGCAGGAGGAAGGGGAGCGCACCGTCTCCTCGGCGAGCCTCTTCTCCTCGGCGACCCGCTCCTCCTCGTCTCGCTGCGCCGCCGCCCTGACGCGCGCCTCGCGCTCGTCTTCGAGCTGCCGCCGCCGCGTCTTGCGCTCGATCGCCGTGCGCTCGGCCGGCGTAAAGTAGAACGACTCCTCGTGCGTCGAGGGGAGCGAGTCGAAGCCGCGCGAGGTGGAAGAGGCGGCATCGGGCGCAGGAGGGGGAGGAAAGGACGGAAGGAGGTGGAGGATGTCGTAGCTGTCCGTGTGGGAGGGAGGGACGAGTCAGCAAGGCGGCCAGGAGATGGGGGAAGCGACGGAAAGCACCCGTGACGGCAACGAGGGCCAGCCCGGACCTCGAACCGGAGCTCAAGCTCTTCGAGAGCGCCTTCGAAGCAGACCCGCAGCCTTTCGCACGCGAACGGGACCGCGGAACGACCGTGCACCGTCGTTGCAACTCCAGCACCGCCTCCTCCGACCGAGAGAGAGTCCGAAAGGCAGGGAGAGCAAGACGCACCGATCTGTCCACACCTCGTGACCGTCTGTGCTGCCCGCCCACCGCACCAAGCCGCCCCTGTGCCCTCGCTCGCGACCGTTACGCCGCGCCTCCGAGTCGTCCTCATTAGCTCGCCGCACGTTGGCCTCGCGGACCTCGCGCCACTCGTGCGGGTCGAGCAGGCGCGCCTCGTGTGCGCGCACGCCGTGTGCGACGCTGGGCAGGAGGCGGGCGAGTGCTGGGTCGGTCGAGGGCGGCGGGAGCGAGTGGACCGAGGGGAGCGAGGCGAGAAGGTGGAGAGGGAGGGTGGGCGAGGGAGAGCGCGTGCGGGCGCGCTTGCTGGGTGGTGGCATGTCGAGTGTGCGCAGCGCAGCAAGCTCGAGGAGCGAGGTGAACCGGTCGAGCGAGAGCGGCTTCACCTGGGCTCGACCGCGACGAGACGATTCAGGGTGCTAGCTCTCGCTCTCTCTGCCGCTCGATGCGAGGCAGTACACAGTAGGTTGCAGGTGCGAGAGCGACAGAGCCCGAAACATCGGAGAACAGGCGAGAACACAGAGGGGAGAGAGGGAACGGTCGGCAAAGGAGGGTCGCAGGTCGATCTGGCGAGGCGGGATCTGCTGGAGGAGCGTGTCGATGAGAGTCCGACAGTGGTTGACCAGGAGATGAAGGAGGAGAAAGAGGAACTCACCGAAGCGAGGTCATGCAAGTCGTCGGCCGCCGCCGGTTTGCTCCGTGTGCATGTCGATGCTGCGCGCGCGAGAATACGCGTGAGCGCCAGTCTGTGGTCCACCAGAGCGAATCGACGTACGTCTCTTCCTGCGGACGTGCGCCGCGAGAACGAGGCAGAGCATGGTCAGTAAAGGCGCGAGAAGGGAATGCGCCTCGACACCTCGAGCGTCGACCAGGAGACCCAGAGGGGCTCACCTCTTCCATGCCGAGCTGCGAGAGGAGACGTGAATCAGAGACGAGTACGCAGAGCCCGTGAGACGAGGATAAGGTGGACGCACCCCCTGAGGAGCTGCAGACGCGAGTGTCGGGCGCGCGACGGGGCGAAGGCGAGGATGTGAGCGTCCGGACAGAAGTAGGGTTGCGCGCCAGGCGAACGAGGACGCACTGTCGTTGACGTCGATGCGCTTGCCGTCAAACGTGAGCCGGACGCTGTCGACAGGTCGTCCGCGGTGGTCTGCGACGGCCTGCGGGGGCATTCAGGGTCAGCAGTGCCCAGTCTCGAGAGCGCAGAAGAGCGAGGCTCGCTTTGTACACTTTCTGGAAGCGGACGGTGCCCTTGACCTTGATGGTGAGGCCTGCGAGAACGAGTTGTCAGCGGCGGGCGAGAGTTGAGCGAGGGGAGGAACGAGACGGCTCACTCTCCTCGTTGGCGCCAAACTGGATCGTGAGCTCGTGCTTGCTCGTGTCGGGCTGCACGTACGGTCGACCGGCGAGTGTGCGAGGCGGCGAGGGAGCGACAGAGGTTGATCGAGACGAAGGGGGACGAGGGGGACGAGGGCGGGTGAGCAATGCGGACCGCGAAGAAGGGCAGGGGGCAGTCGTGGGCGCACCTTTGCCTCGCTGCCGTGACCAGGCTCGCCCTTGACCATGGTGGAGCGTGTGGACGAGGCCAGAGGACGTCGTTGCGCTCCAGCTCCAGGCCAGCTCGACGCTCTCACGCTCCGCGAGGATGCCCAGGAGCGGCAGGGGCAAAGGCCTGTCTACGACACAGGACCCGCTCCTCACTGCCACGCGCTGGCAGCCCCACGCTCGCCCGCACCCTCCTCCCCCACCACCTCCACCGACCTCATCTGCTCCGGCCAACCCTCGGCCGCCAAAGCACCAACGCCGCAAGGGACACGCTCAGCACCACTCGCCGACATCGTGGCAACCCGTCCACCTGCACCACTTCAGCCCGACCGCCGCCGAGTGGCTCCCCCTCCACCTCGACCCCGCCGACCCGTTCGACCTCACCTCGACAGCCGCCACCTCGCTCGACCCGAAGCCCGACTCGTCGGCCAAGGTCGTCGTCCTCACGTACAACACGTGGTCGTCGTCGCCGTCGCACACCTCGGCCCAATCGCGCGCCATCCTCGACCTCGTGCGCACCTCGCGCTCCGACCTCGTCGTCCTCCAGGAGGTCACCTCGACCTTCTTCCGCCTCCTGTCGCACGAGCCATGGCTCCGCGAGTGGGTCGTCTCGACCCCGGACGACTTTTGGCGCGTCGCGGGCACGGGCGCCAAGAAGCGCGGCAAGGAGGGCGACGACGAGGCGTGCGTCGTCCTCGTTCGGCGGGCGCTCGTCGGGCGAGGGACCGAGGTCAAGATGGCGAGGCTCGACAGGGCGAGAGACGAGGGCGGGAGGGCCGCCATTGCGGTCAAGCTGTGCTCTCGAGGGGTCGAGCAGGTCCGTCCTCGTCTCTCCCCCTCGGTTTCTCGACCTTATCGAGGTTCGCAAGCTGATTCACGAGCCGTGCTGCCCACAGATCCGGCTCGTCACGTCGCACTTCTCGCCCTTGCCTGACAACGCCTCATTGCGCTTGCGGCAGTACAAGGCCTGCCTGTCCTTCCTCTCCTCCGCCCCGGCCTCCTCCACTTCGTCCTCGTCCTCGTCACGACCTCCTCGCCCTCCCATCCGCCTCCTCGTCGGCGACTTCAACACCTCGTCGGCCGCCGAGCTCGCCCCCTTCTCGTCACCGCCGCACTCGCTCACCGACGCGTGCCCGTCGGCTCCTCCCCCTCGCGCGCCAGCGTCGGCGCACGACGCCTCGTTCGCGAGCCCGCCGACGTTCGGACACCTGTACCCGCTCGTGACGGTGCACTCGCGCAAGGCGCGCAAGGCGAGGCGCATCGACCGCGTCTACTTTTCGGGCGGCCCGGGCGCAGGAGGAGGAGGAGCCGCCGGGTCGGGCTCTCGGTCGGCGGCGGCGGCGTCGAGCGGCGGCGGTGCGAGGGTGCGGGTCGTGCGGTACGAGCACCTCGGCGGCGAGAGGGCGGTCGAGGGGAGGGACCGCACGGGGAGGGACGGCAAGGTGTGGGCCAGCGACCATGAGGCGGTTCGGGTCGAGTTGGAGTGGGGAGGGTGAGCGGGTGCTCCTGCGACGCTGCTGGCCTGCGTCCCGAGCGCCAACGACGAGAGTGAGAGGAAATGGCGAGACCTGGCTGGTCGAAGATCGCTCGTCACTTGATGAACTCGATCCGAGCAGAGCGAGAGGCGCGCCCCCCCTCCTCTCCCTCCAACCCGCTCGCGAGCCGCAGCTGCTCGCCCGAACAGCGTGACCGACTGCCTGTCGACGCTTCTACAGCCCACACTGCGCCTCTAGACGCGGCCCTCGTCCCCCGTCGAGTTCCCGTCGCCCCGCCGCGTTCGGCAACCTCGCCGCCCCGCTCCATCACCGTCACCAAGCACCGCCAGGCGCACCACCAGTAGCTCGCACCGAGCTCTCCCGCCGCCATGCCGTCCCTCCACGACACGCGCCTCCTCGCCAACCTCCTCAAGACGGAGAAGGATGCGGCCACGGCGTGCGCTCCCTTCTCTCTCCCTCGTGCTCACTCTAAACAGCGCAGCGACTGACTCGAACGTGCCCCTACAGCTTCAAGCACTACGCCCACACGGCCGCGACGGCCGGCTCGGCCCTCTCGGCGTGGAGCGTCGCCGACAGCGCCGACACGCCCGACCTCATGGACGCCGCCATCCGCATCTCGCAGCTCATCGCCACCTGCTCCGACTCGCAGCGCCTGTACCTCCAGGCCCTGTCGGCCTACCGCGCCGCCCTCAAGGAGGTCCTCGCCCGCGAGCAGGCCCTCCGCACCGTCCTGCGCGACCGCGAGATCCTCGTCAACCGCCTCATCAAGATCGGCAACAAGAAGGTCAAGGACGGCCAGGAGGCCGACCACCAGCACAAGCTCGACGACGCCCAGCGAGAGCTTCAAGCCTGCGAGAGTGCGTCCTCCTCCTCTTCCTCCTCCTCCCGCCCTTGTCTCTCTCCCTCGACCGGATCCTGACGCCTCGGCTCCCTCACGCAGCGTTCTTGCAGGAGGAGGAGATCGCCCTCGCGACCGCCAAACGCCGCTCGTTCCGCCACGGCCTCCAGCAGCGCATGCAGTCGATGGTCGAGCTGTCGCGCGTCATGGAGGAGTGCGCCGCCGAGGCGGTCGCCATCCTCGCCCAGCTGCCCTCGCCCGACGGCGACGACGACGCCGAGCACTACGACGCGACGGCCGCACACGCCTACGACGTCGCGTCCGACATGGGCGACTCGATCGCGCCGAGCCAGAGCGCGTCGCAGGCCATGAGCCGCGCCAGCTCGTCGTCGTCGCTCAACGACGAGTACCACGCCAACGCGCCGCCGATCCCGAACAACCTGCGCATCGACCCGTTGCCGGCCCGTGCGGCCTCTCCGCCGCCGCGCTCGCCCGTCGTGCGCGCCAAGTCGCCCCTGCGCAGCCCGGTCAACGCGCCGCAGCCCGTCATGCCCGCCGTCCCGAGCGCGCCGCCGCCCATCTCGAGCAAGGTCTACGTCGAGCGCCACGCCGGCATGCCCACGTTCGACATCCCCAAGGCGCCCGACCTGAGCCGCCGCCCGGACGACTCGGACTCGGAATCGGACTACGGCGAGCCCGCCGCGCCGGCCGCCATGCGCAGCAGCCACTACCCGCTCGACTCGCCGCCGCTCCGCCAGCAGGCCTCGTCGATGCGCCTGCGCCGCCGCGCCATGAGCGACACGAGCTCGGTCAACGAGAGCACCGCCGGCGGCGGCCGCAAGCGTCGCGGCAGCTTCTTCGGCGGCATCGCGAGCCTCTTCTCGCGCAACAAGGGCCGCCGCGACCGCGAGCCGAGCGGCGGGTCGGCGCCGCCCGAGTTCGACTACGGCAGCGCCCGCAGCCGGCTCGCCGGCACGGGCGCCAACGGCGGCGGTGCGGCGGCGGCCGAGTCGCGCAACGACGCCGTCCTGCGCTCGGTCCTGAACGCGGGCAAGCTCCCGGCCCGTCGCCGTGGCGGCGATGACGGCGGCGACTCGTCGGACGAGGAGCGGCGCCCGACGACCCGCCACGTCAACGACCCGAAGGAGCGCTACAAGGCGTTCAGCGACGTCGGCCGCTCGTCGTCGCCGGCTCGCCCGGTCGCGACCCGGAGCCACGTCGCCGCGTCCGAGATCGGCACGTCGTCGCGCCCCAAGCTGCAGCGCAAGGGCACGAGCGCGAGCACGAGCACGGCGCGCCCGCACGCCGCCACCACCGCTACCGCCGCCGCCGCCACGGCCGAGCCCAACGGCAGCGGCCTTGGCGTCGAGCGCAAGAAGACGCGCAAGGTTAAGAAGGCGGCGAGCGACATCGGGCCGGCGTCGGCTATGCCGCAGGGCTGGTCGACCGGCGGGCCCTTGTCCCGGTCGACGGGCGCCGGCGCCACCTCGCTCGAGGTCCCTCGTGCGCCCGGCCGAGGCGACGGCATCGACGCGCTCGCGAGCGGCGCGACGCTCCCGCCGCCGCCGCCCATCCCGCAGCAGCAGCCGGCGTTCGCGCCGCGCTCGAGCGGCACGCCGTCGTCGCCCGCCGAGACGGGGTCGCTGCGCCGCAAGAAGACCAAGAAGGTCGCGCCGTCGGGCGGCGTCACGCAGCCGAGCGAGACCGTCATCCTGTCGGCCGAGGCGCTCGGGATCCCGACCTCGAGCACGCCGGCGAGCTCGGGCGCAGCAGCGGCAACGAGCAACGGCGCACCCGTCCACCGCCCCGAGCTCAGCAGGAGCAACACGGCGAGCACGACGGCGACGGCGGCGACGGTCGAGCGCCGCAAGAAGAAGAAGCTCGCCAAGCCGGCGCCGCCTCTCGCGAGCGGCCCGCCGCCTGCGCTCGCCGCACCGCTCCCGACCTCGGACGACCTCGCCGCCACCCTCCCCAAGTCGGTCTCGGGCACGTCGGCGCTCAACGCGCAGCTCCCTCGCCCGGACGACCAGCCGCCGACGACCGCGCTCTCGAGTCGCCCGCAGTCGGCCGCCGCGCCTGTCGCTCGTCCCGCATGGATGAACAAGGACGACTCGGACAAGCCCGTCAAGGCGCTCGTCGACAAGGAGAAGAAGTCGAAGCGCATGTCGTCGCTCCACGGCGTCACCAACGAGACGTGGGTGTCGAACCCGGGCGTCGGCGCGCCGGCCACTCGGGCCCCGCCTCGTCGCGCCGAGGGCCACGTCGGCGAGGAGAGCCTCCTCACGGTCGTCGACCGCGCCGAGGGCAACGAGCGCACGTCGCGCTCGTACGGCACCACGCCGCTCGCGACGCAGGGCCTCGCGCCCGCTTCGGCGGCGACGGCGGGCCTTCCCTCGCCCTCGGGCGCCCTGAGCGCAGCTCTGCCGTCGGCCCCTCCTGCCCAGAGCCACCAGCCGTCGTCGCAGGCCGTCCTCCCGCGCCCGCCGACGCTCGACGTCCCGGCCTCGCAGCTCACCAAGCGCAAGTCGGTGCGCCTCGCCGAGGCGGCCGACCCGAGCCCGCCGCTCTCGTCGGCGACCATGACGCCGTCGCTCAGCATGCGCTCGTCGTCGTCGACGGCCGCACCGCGTCACGGCATCCTCATCCAGCGCGAGGCGTCGCCCGCACCGGGCTCGGTCGCCGCGTCCCTGAGCGAGCGCGCTGCGTCGCCCTCTCGCGCCGACGGCTCGGCGCAGTCGAACGGCGGCGGTGGTGGCGGCGGCGGCATCGCCGGCGCGTGGCCGACGCGAGCGAGCATCCGGGCCGCCATGGACGACTCGTCCGACTCGGACGAGGAGGGCCGCAGGGCGTACCGCCAGGCGAGGAAGATGCTCGGGCGCGGCACCAAGGAGATGGACGACGCCATGGCGGGCAGGAAGGCGCCGACGAGCGAGGAGAAGGGCAAGTCGAGGGCGGTCGACGCATGAGCGGGCGAGTCGAGGAGGGTCAGGTCTTGTAGCAAAACCTCTCGTGCGCTCGCTCGCAGCAGTCGAGCGAGCTAATTCTATACTCAGATATCATCCTCTCGTAACGTTCTCTCCCTTCGCCTAGAGAGCGCGCTCTCGCTTACAGAGGAAAGCAGCCGACCTTGGCCGTCAAGCTCGCGAGGACGCTCAGGCCCGGGTGTGCGGCGCCGTTGGCCGGGTCCTGCTCGGCGCTGTCGGCCTGCAACTTGCGCATGTCGTTCTTGTGCGGCAGGAGCCGGTAAAAGTGCTTGAACGTCAACAGGTGGCCGAACGTGTTGGATCGGCAGCTGTGAGAGAAGGGGTCCGAGAGCGGGAAGTGCTCGCGAGTCGCTCTCGACGGACGCGGCAGGACTTGCGAGAGGAAATGCAGTGCGAGAGAAGAGAACAGGTTGCGCTACACAAGTGGGCTCAGTGCTGCATGGCGACGGCTCCATTGGCGGCCGCCTTGCTGCCGAGAAGAGCCTCGAGGCCAGGGAGGTGACTCTGCGCGCACAGGACGAGCTCAGTCAGTCCCGTAGATCGACGTCCAGTACATCCTCGACGTCTCGTAACAGTCGTCGAGGCCGCACATGCGCGAAGGAGGGAAAGGAGGGCTCACGACGCCAAGGGCAAAGTCCGGGTGCAGCGCCGAGATCTCGAGAAAGTGCGTCGTCGCCGCGCTCCACACGACGAGGTCGGCCGTCTTGTCGTAGTACGCCTGCTGCCGCCACGCGTTGCGGATCTGCGAGATGGCCGGGTCGTACGGGAGGAAGCGCTCTGCGAGGGGTCGGTGCGGACGAGGGAGAGGGCGTCAGGGACGAGGTCGTGCGCCGACCAGACACGGAGAGAAGGTGAGGACGGACCGCTCGGGTTCTTCTTGCTCCTGTCGAGGGCGAGCATGACGGCCCTCGTGTCGTCGCACACGCTCAACAGGTCGAACTTGCTCAACTTGACGCCGTTGAACGCGCGCACGGCCGAGCGCAACAGGCCGCCGTGCGAGTCGAGGAGGAAGACGCGCAGGTGCTCCCAGTGGTCGTGCAGGGCGCGGTCGATGAGGAGCGTCTCGAGCGGCGTCGGGTGGACGGGAGGAGGAAGGTCGGGGAGGATCGTGATTTTGGCGTCCTGCAGATGGAGAAGAGACCCAAAGGGTCAATGACTTGCTCATACACGGTCGCGAGGAACCCTCGTCGTCCGAGAGACAGGGCCGGGAGAGATTCGAGGACGCACCTTGCCCTCGCGGAACGGCGGGTACCGCACGCACAGCTGCAGGTACGTCTGCAGCGCATGGTGCCACAGGCTCTGCTCGTCGTACGACGAGAAGCCACACGAGTCGATCGCGGCGATGGCGGGCCCGACCTTGAACGACTGGAAGCGGTCAAAGTCTGCGGCGCGAGGAGAGCGAGGGTGAGTCGGCGCGACGACGGCGGCGACGACGGCCACACAGGGAGGGCGAGAGGGACGCACAGTGACCGTAGAGGCGCATACACTCGGCGTCGCGTAGGAGAACGACCCGGCAGAGCTCGGCACCTCGAGCGTGAAGGTCGAGCGGCGAGAGCGAAGAATAGATGCGCATGTCTGCGGGCGCTCGAGTCCTCGTGTCAGTGCCCGTTCGCCCTGACGCACAGAGCGAGAGAAGGCGAGAGAGGGACGTACGCTCAGGGTCGATCTTGCCGCCCAAACTCGGGCGCCCGGGGCTCATGAGCCACGACTGGAGCACGTCGGCTTGTGTTGGCGGCAGGACGAGCGTGCCCGTCCAGACGGCAGCCTCGCGAGGTGCCGACGTGAGATGCGGTGAAGGTGGACGCTTGAGGGCGGCGTCGAGTCGCTGCGAGGGTGGACGAGGGTCAAGGAGGGGTCCGAGCGCCGAGAATAGGCGAGCGGGCGCACCTCGATGTCGGTCGACGATTCCTTGTACGCCTCGCCGTAGCGGTTGATGATGCGGCGGATGACCTGGGCACGTGAGGAGTGAGCTATTGTGGCCCACACAGAACGAGGAAGGGAGAGGAGGACGCACCGAACCTGCGACGGCGCCATCGTGCACGTTCGAGTGAAGCTCGCGCACCGCCTTGGCCTGCAGGCGCGGTCAAAAGTCAGTACAGACCCGGTTGATCACGAAGAGGACGTCGACAGGGCGCACCATAGTTCCCTCCCTGCGCCGGCCGAGGCCGCCCTGCTCCTCCCACATGCGCACGACCTCGTCCGGCCCTCGCTCCTCGACCTCGTCATCGTCTCCTGCGCCCACCTCGTCGCCCTCGCGTACTGGGCCCTTGTCCTGCCGCCGCTTGATCGCCCACCGGCGCTTGGCCTCGCGCAGCAACCTCGCGCCGTCGGTCGGCTCCTCGCCGTCGTCGATCCCGCCCGCGCTCGCGGTCAACGGCTCGTCCATCTCGAGAAACTCGCCGAGGCGGCGCTCGTGCTCGGCGGGCGAGCCCTCGAGGTCCGACAGGGCGCTGAACAGGGTCGCGAACGACCACCGTTGGGCGTCGAGCCACGCGAAGAGCTCGGAAAGCTGCTGCACCTTGCGAGGGCGGGCTTGAGGCGGGCTCGACAAAGGCGTAGGGGCACGAGGGAAAGACGAGGGAGGTGCTGGGGGAGGCGGGGCGGATCGGGCTCGCGGCCGACGAGGTCGAGGGCGGGCGACGCCGTTCGACAGGCCGTTGCTGGACCACGCCGCGCTCTTGCCGTGCCCGTTGACGAGCGGCGGCGAGGGCACAGGCGGGGTTTGGATGTGCTGGAGGGTCGAGGGGGTGGCGGGAGAGGCGTGGGGCGCGACAGGGTACGTCGGGGTGGGCGCGTCGGGGAGGAGGACGGGCGACGGGGCGTCCTGCGGCGGGTACAGGACCGAGCCGAGCTGCTTGGCGGCCGGAGCGGCATAGTACGGCGTCGATGGCTGACCGTAGTGCGCCGACGGGGCAGGCGGCGCCGCGACAGGGGCAAACGAGGAGGCGAACGACGAGAAGCTGGGCCACTGGAGCGCGTCGAGCCCGCCCTGCGCCGGCGCCACCGAGTACGTGGCCGCCGCACCCTGGTGGTACTGCTGTTGGTGCTGATGCGGCTGGTGCGGCTGCGGCTGGCGGTGCTGCTGGAAGTGCGGCTGGACGAGGTCGAGGTGGGCCGAGGGACCAGGAGGGCGGATGCGCCGAGCGCGGTCTGGCGGGAGCGAGTACGGGTGGTACTTGGAGCTCGACACTGGCGGGAAGGCGTGCGGCTGGTGGACGTAGGTCTCGGTGCCGTTGGGCGACGCGAGAGGCGCGAACGAGGAGGGCGCCGAGGCGGGAGGAGGAGGAGAGGCGTGCTGTGCGGCGAGCGACAGCTGCGCCTCGAGCCACGCGAGGTCGTCCTGCGACAGCCCTGCATCGCCGAGCTGCTGCCCTGCGCCGTAGCTCGCCGCGTCGAAGACGAGCTGGTGGTGGTGGCCGCCGTCGTCGTCAGGTCCGCCGGCGGGAGGTGGACCGGCGGTGAACGACCCAAAGTCGAACGCTGGCGGGAGCTGGTCCATGGGTGCGAGCCCGACCTGACCGCTGGGCACCGCGCAGTAGTAGTGGCCGGAAGCGAGCGGCGAGGGGAGGGCCGCGCTCCTCAATGTCGACGGCCAGCACGCCATGCCGGCGCCCCCCCTCGGCCGATCGGCCGAGATGATCATTTCTCCGCACTTTCGGGCGATTACGAACGCGATTAGCTTTCTGGAGTGGAGGTCGCTGGCGGAGCAGCTGTGGACAGGTTTCGAGCGAGTTGTCGTCGCACAGCGGTGGAGAGGAAGCGAGAGAAATGTGAGAGGAACGGCACAGGCTTGGCACAGGTGCATCGACAACAAGAGGCGCGTCGACGGGAACTCGAGGTGGCTAGCGCACTGACCCTCCCGCGCTCCGGGTCAGGGAATCGCTGTCGTCCCGTCCGCTGGCGCTCTTTCTTCAAGCTGCACGTCCCACGCGACGTCCGTGAACGACCCTGGTCCGAACCCAGAGCGCAGACAGGCAGCCGTGACGGTGAGCCGCAGCTTCGTGCGCGCTCGACGCAAGCCTGTGCTCGTCTCTGACCGTCAGGCTGCGCGCGAGGGGCTCGTCGATGACGCGTCCGAGTCTCAGGGAAAGAGCCTCACCGCGGTCAACAGTCGAGCAATCTTGTGCGCCGGACGAGCAGCGCTTTGACCCGCGGCGGAACAGAAACAGTCGGTGGTTCCTCTCACCGCAGCGCATTGCTCGAGGGCAGCTCGCCGACAGCTCGTATCCTTCTGTCGAGAGGCTTGAGACCTACTGTCAAGCGAAAAAGACGGCGTGCGAGTGGGCGAGCGAGCCAGCAGAGGCCAGCGGTCGCGGTTGGACCCTTTTCTCGTCTCGGCGTCGCGATGCGAGCGCTTCCCGAATGCTGTGCCGGTCGAGTGTCGACCAAAACAGGCTCAAGCGGGCCCAAAACGCGAAAGAGGGCCGAGGGAGAGCTGTGCGCTGCTTTCAGCGCTTGCCGCAACGCTGAGGACGAGGTGGTGGCATCGCTCGCCCCGGGCGTGCTCGTGCTTGCACCACGGACAGGTCGCTGCACTCGCTGCTTCTCTGAAGCCCACTGCCCGCCTGAGGAGAGCTGTCGCGGGCTGTTGCTCGTCGAACCTCGCCTCCTCATCTCGTCGCGACCACTCTCGCCTCCCACACACCGCACACGCTCGCGCTCCGCCGCGCAGAAGCATTGCAGCACTACCGGCAGCTCCTTCACCACTCGCACCACCCGCCACCGATCCCGGACATCGAGCACGACCCGCAGACGGACCCCGCTTCGCCAGTTCGTCCGCCTCGGCTCGGCATCGAGCCTGCACCAGCTCGCCCTGCCCAAGGCCAGCACTCGTCTTCCTCCGCCCCCAGTCCTTTCTCGGTACCGCCCAGGTGCGTCCCATCCCAGCCTCGCCTCCCCTTCTTCTCCTTCCCAACACGCGCTGACCTCGTGCTTGCGCCCCTCGCCCTCTCCCCTTCCTCGCCAACGTCCGCCTACATGCCGGGCCTGCTTCTACAGCCGAGCCACATGTCCACCGGGCTGCACAACTCGCCCTCAGCTCGAACGGCCGACCCGACAACTGCACCGCCTCTCGCACCTCAACCACCATCCCGCTCGCTCGAGGGCACCAGCGCCACGTTGGAGCGCTGGCGAGAAGACGCAGACGATGGCGCAGACGATGGCGATGGCGACTGGGCGATGCCCGTGTCGCGCAAGGAGGTCAAGGGCAAGGCGCGAGCGGTGCCGGGCGACGAGTCGGCGCGAGGGGACGAGGTGCGGGAGGACATGGCGGCCCTGCGGGCAAGGCGTGCAGGTGCGTCCAGTTCCCCTTTTGCGCGCGGCGTGTGTGCGCGAGCCTCCTCGCACGTATCGTGGACTCAGTCCTTGCCCTCGCAGTCGCCTCGGAGAGCTGGGACGACGACTTCGACTTTCACGCGCCGCCTTTAGCGTCGCCGCGACGCGTCAGCTCTCGAGCTGCTTCGTCCTCGCGATCACGGCCGACGACGCCGTCCCACCGTCAAACCTCGTCCGCCTCACACGCCCCGTCGGCCCCGTCCTCGCGGCACGGCAGCCCAGCCGCCTCGCCGAGACGCGGCTTGTCCGTCGGCGGCCCCGCCACCCTGTCGCTCGACTCGCTCGCTTCGTCCATTGCCTGGAGCTCCGACCAAGAGCCGACCGTCACCGTCCTGTCGAGCACGCCGGCCGCCGCCGTTGCGCCCGTTCCGACCACCCCGCGCGAGCCGCACCAGTCGCATCGACCCTCGGCATCAACCGCAACAGCTCGCCCTGCCCTGTCTCGCCAGACGACGCCCCGTACTCGCATCCCCAAGCTCTCGCCGAGCCTCTCGGTCGGCGCCCAGCAGCCGTCGTGGACCGACTCGGCGCCCTACACCGACTCGGACTACCGCGCCGACACGCCGTGCCTCACCGAGGACAGCTTCAACAGCCTCACGACGGCTGAGGACGAGCTCGTCACCGAGCACGAGGGCGACAGCACGCGCGAGGTCGCAGCCGCTCGGCCCTCGGCACCCGTCGTCGAGGCGACGTTCGGCTCTCGGCTCAAGTCGATGAGCGGCAGCAAGAAGTGGAGCTTCGGCCGGCGAGCAAGCGTCGTCCAGGTCGCGCCGGTGCAGCACCAGCAGCAGCAGATGCCGCCACCACTGCCGCCGAGCTCGAGGCGAGCGGGCACGCCCGAGGTCATGGTCGTCGACCGGCACGAGCTGCCGCGCGCTCGGCTGTCCAACTCGCCGCGCTCGAACCTGCCGAGACCCGTGTCGCGCTCGACGGCCGGCGGCAAGGGCAGCGGGAGCACGATCGGCTCGACGTCGTCCGCCGTCAAGGCGCAAGAGCAGCAGCAGCGTGCCCCGCACTCGAGCAGTACCTCAACCTCGACCTCGTCGACGTCGGCGGGCCGCGCTCGACGCACGAGCCTGCAGTTTGCCCCGGCGCCGCTCGTCCCGCCGTCGTTCCTGCGGCGCGGCTCGCTCGCCTCGACCCGCTCGCCGTCCGAGTCGGTCGCCGTCAGCTGGCGCGAGTACTCGGGCACGACGACCGAGGGCGACGAGGACGAGGACGACGATGGAGAGACGACGGGCGCCGACCTGAGCGACTTCTCGGGCGACGAGGGCGCGCGCAGGCCGCGTCGTCGAGTCGCTCGCGGCGCAAAAGGCCCTGCGAGGCTCGGCGACGCCATCACGCCCTCGACGAGCTTCGCCACGACGAGCACGCGCCCCGTGTCGCCCGTCGACTCGATCCTCGGCGGCGACGGCTCGCGGTGGAACGCGAGCCAGGTCTCGTTCGCGTCGTCGGCATCGGCGTTCGCGCTCCGCAGCGCCCCGTCGAGCACGTTCGTCGCAGGGCCAGGCGCCGACGCGACGCACGGGCAAGGGCACAAGCGCAAGCTCACCAAGCGCCGCCCGTCGTCGGGCCTCTCGCCCAGCTCGAGCGCGCACGACCACCTCGTTGCCGGCTCGCTCGGCACCGCCAGCGACCGCCCGCTCCTCGCCCCTGCCATTTTCTCCAACTCGTCGGGCGGCAGCTCGCAGCCGTCGTCGAGCCGCACCGTCCTGCACCGCGCCCGCTCGTACCAGCGCCCACCCCCTCCCGCCCTTCCTTTCGCCGACGACTCGGACGCCGAGCGCGCTCCGCGACAGCGCAGCGTCACGAACCCGGTACGGCAGCTGTCGCAGGGCGGCGGCGAGCGAGGGCAGGTCGTCGAGGTCGATGATCCCGAGTGGCTCGGCGTCATGCCCTTTCCGCCCTCGCCTCCGGCGTCGCTCGAGACGCGCACCCTGTCGCCGGCATCGGCCGCGCCGCTCGCGGCCCCGCCGTCTCGGTCGTCGCGCATGTTGCGCAAGGTGTCGGGCGCCGCGCCCAAGTCGCACCCGCCCGTGACGGGCCGCACGCAGGGCGAGGCCAAAGCGCGGCGCGGCAGCGGCCTCGGCCAGGCCCTGTCGAGCCTGCTCTCGCGCTCGACGTCGGCTCTGCCGCTCGGCGGCGGCGAGAACGGCGGCGGCAAGCGTGCGCCGAGCCCGGCGCCGTCGGGCAAGTCGGGCAAGTCGGGCAGGAGCGGGCTCTTGCGCAGGCCGTCGAGCAGGGCGTCGAGGGTCACGGCGGACGAGGCGAGCACACCGCCGTTGCCCAAGTCGCCGTCGTTGAGCGCACTGCGCAAGCGCTCGTCCGTCTTTGGGCCAGCGCCGCCACTGCCGACGTCGGCCTCGTCACCCGTCCTTCCCGCGCCAGCATCCCCTCGGCCCCTCCTCTCGACCACCTCGTCCTCTCCCGCCGCAGTGCCGCGGTCGAGCTCGACCTTCTCCTTCCTGCGTCGCCCTCGCGCCTTTTCGCGTACGGCGACGAAGGAGGCGCCCGTCTCGCCCGTCCTGCCGCAGGAGCGCTCGTCGCACCAGTTCTCGCTCGACGACACGCCTCGACCCGCATCTCGACCCGCCCGAGCGCCTCACCCGAGCGCGCCACCAGCCGACGTTCCTGTTCGCAATGCGCAGGCGCCGACAGCTCCTCGCGAGCAGCTCAACCCCGAGTTCAAGATGCCTCGCTCCGTCAGCAACGTCTCGGCCTTCTCGTCGACCGCGAGCGGCACGGCCGACGCGACCGAGTCGACCGTCATCGCGCTCGGCTCCCGCAACGTCGCGGCGACCCGTCTCGAGCGAGGACGAGCGCACGGCGACATCCCGCCGGTACCTCCGCTCCCGCGTCACGTTCGAGCACGCCCCGGCGCGGCCCCGGTCGGCCACCGCCCGTCCGCCTCGCTGTCGTCCATCATGCCCCTGCGTGCGGCGTCGCCTCGGCCGTCGCTCGTCCGGGCTCAGCCCTCGACGCCCGAGCAGCGTCTCGCACTCGACGAGCCTCTGCGCCCCTTAACGGCGCTCGGCGGCCCGGTCGACCGCGGCGGCGACGGCGACAACGAGCTCGACTCGGGCGACGAGCTCGCGCTCCCGAGGCGCAACAGCCTCGGCGACCTGCGCATCCCGGCGCGCATCACGAACGCCCAGAAGAAGATCGAGGAGGACCTCGAGCGCGTCAAGCAGTTCGCCAAGGCCGTCGAGGGTGCGTCCCGCTCTCGCCTTCTCTACCTCTTCTGTCCTGCGCGCCGTCCTGACTTTCTTCCTCGCACTCGTTGCTCGTTGCAGAGCTCAAGGCGCTCCGCCGCCAGTACGACCAGCTCATCTACGTCTTTGCCGAGCCGACCACGGCGCCGACGCACGTTCCGCAAGAGCGTCCCTCGGCCGACGCGCTCCACAAGACGGCACAGGCGGCTCGCCGCGTCGAGATCGACTACTCGGCGTGGTGGGAGCAGGCGCAGACGCTCATCGACCTCGGCGACGGCAAGCCGGCCAAGGACAAGGCGTCGCCGGGCACGCTCGCGAGCAGGCGGGACCGCTGCGTTTCGCTCGCGCCCGAGGTGACGCCGCCTCGTCGAGCTCGCTCCGTCCTCGCCCTCCCGTCCGAGTCGGAGACCGAGACCGAGGCGTCGAGCGCTGCCGGCGCGCTCGGCAAGCCCGGGTCGGTCGCGCGACGCCTGAGCCATCGTCCGAGCGCGTCGTCGATCGAGACCGAGGCGAGCGTCGCCGTGCGACAACGCGAGATGCTGCGCGGTGTCCTCGCCCCGACGATGAAGGGCGCGTCGCTCCCCTCTCGCGCACCACCTGCGCCTCGACCGCCTCTTCCTCGCCTCGACCCGGGCCTGTCGACCGTCAAGCGCACGAGCGGCGTCCCTCTCGGCCTCTCGCACACCCTGTCGCCGTCGACGCCAAGCTCGCCCGCCGCCAAGCCGCTCCCGCCGGTCGCCGCTCGCCGAGTCAGCCGCGGCGGCGTCTTCGGCATCCGCGAGTTCCTCCTTCGCCTGCGGTCCAAGGCGACCGAGGAGCTCGCCGCGTCGGTCGGCAGCATACCCGTCGACTCGCAGCCGCACCCTCTCGCGGCTTTCACACCCTCGCTCGGCCGCCGGTCCGTCTCGGACCCCTCGACTCGCCCTCGCACGCCGGTCCGAGCGGGCGGCGCGTCGACCCTGCGCACCTCGGCACCGCCTCTCGCCTCGGCGCCGCCGTCGTCGTCTCGACAGTCGTCGTCGGGCGAGTCGGACGAGGACTGGGACGCCGACCTCGCCGACTCGGTCGGGTCGCCGCCATCGCGCAGCTCGATGCTCGACCTCGACCTCGGCCCCGACGCGTTGGTCGCGGCCGCCGTGTCGGCTCGGCGCGAGCGTACCCGGAGCGTCATCGTTGCGGGCGCAGGGGCAGGTGCGGGTGCGGGCGCGGGCGCCAAGAGGGGCAAGGGCGGCGAGATGATGGTCATCACGACCGAGGCGATGCCGAGCCTGCTCGCCAAGGTGCGCGAGGTGCGCGAGGCGTGCGAGGCGTGCATCGGGCTGCTCAAGGGCCTCACGGTGTAACTGGTCTACCTCGTCGAGCGCTCGGTCCTCTCCTCCCCTCCCCTTTCCGTCTCCTCGATTCTCCCTTCTCTGCTTTCCCCACCTCGTCTCTGCGCTCTCTCGCACACACTGTCCCTCTCTCGCTCTTTTGAGCACTCTTGCCTCTGCAACACGCACAGCAAACTCGCACTTTCTCAGTCTCGTCTACACAGTCCTCGTTCGCTCGCTCGCCGAGAGGAATCAGAGAGAGGACTCGCTAGTACTTGCTCGGGTGCACGAGGAGCGTGCCGCCGTCGACGAGGATCGACTCGCCGTTGATGAAGCGGTTGACGACGAGGTTGAGCGCGGTCGAACCAAAGTCCTTTGCCGAGCCGCTGCCGCCGACCGGCGTCTTGAAGCCAAACTCGTCCGACGACATGCCTGTGCGGCAAGAGCACGTCAGAGAAGGCCGCACCGAGAGACAAGGGATCCGAGAAGGGAGACAGAGAGAAAGAAAGAGAGAGGCTCGAGCGCACCTTGCTTGCTCGACACGCCCCACTCGTCGACGGTGCCCGGCGCGCTCATGCCCGTCACGACCCACCCAGGCGCGATCTGGTTGACGCGCACGCCGAGCGGGATCAGGTCGTATGCGAGGAGCGACGTCATGTGGGCGATGGCGGCTTTGGAAAGAAGGTAAGGGTAGCCCGACCCGCCGGTCGCCGGGTCCTTGGTCTGCGCGCGAGCGAGAGAGGGTCAGTGTCGGAGAAAGGAGGGGACAAGGAGCTCGAGACGGACCCAGCCGTTCATGGACGACGTGTTGATGATCTGCGGCTGGAAGCGGTCGCCGTACGGCGCCTTGCTCTTCGAGGCGCACAAGAGCGGGAGGAACGCGATCGAGAGGAAGTAAGGGCCGAAGCTGCGTACGGCGCACGATCGTTAGTCACGGTCGCAAGATAGAAGAGGCAGAGACGCACGAGTTGACGGCGAGGGTGCTGCGTGGGCGAGCGAGGTGAGCACGTCTGCGAGCTTGGGAAGGTCCGAGCGAGGGGACGCACCTCTGGAAGCTGTCGTCGGCGAGCTTGAAGTAGGCTTCCTTGAACGCCTCGGCTGTCGCCTCCTTGGGCGCGTCGACCTTGTCGCCCATGACGCCGGCGTTGTTGAAGAGGCAGGTCACGTAGTCCTCCTTGTCGGCGAGGGCGGCGACGATGCGCTCGGCGCCGGCTTTGGAGCCACAGTCGCCCTGGATACCGACCATCTTGCCGCGAGAGCCACTCTCCGAGGCGAGCCGCGAATAGCGGGCCGCAATGTCCTGCGTCTTGCGCTCGTCGAGGTCGACAATGTAGACGCGAGCGTGGTTGGCGAGCAAAGTCGAGGCCATCATGAGGCCGATTCCAGATGAGCCACCTGCACGAGAGAGTGCGAGTGAGTGGCTGTGACTTGGACGAGAGGAGAGTAATGCAGAGCGGCTGCGCGCTGGAGAAGAGGGGGGAGACGGACCGGTGACGACAGCGACGACGCCCGAGAGGTCGTACATGGTCGCCGCGTTGAGCGACTTGAGGTCAGGCGGTGCAGACATGCTAGATGGAGGTAGTGCGGGTTCTTGCGGGTCGACAGGTGGGCGAGGGCGAACGGTAGACGTAGCCGAGAGCGAAGAGGTGGGAGAGTGGAGGTGGGGGAAAGGTCGAGGGGCGAGGACTGGCTCGGCGGTGCGGTGCGGCGGGCCCAGGTGATGCAGATGGGTGCTCGCCAGGTGCAGCTGCGCAGCAAGAGTCTACCGCGAGAGCGTGACGACGTGCTCGCCCCACTCTTTCGTCGTCGTCCACCTTGTCCGACCTCGACCTCTCGCCCGACCCACCATGGACCAGGTCCGCGCAAAGCTCGACCAGCTCAAAGCTTCGCTCGAGGGCAACATTGTGCGCCCACTCTCCCCCTCCCTTGCGCTGTCATCGCGGACTTCCCTCATCGCGTTCCCCGCGACAGGACTTTGTCGGCCAGGACCTCGCAGAGCAGCGCGCAAAGTGGCTCCTCTGGTCATCTGCAGTGTGTGGACCCCTCTCCCTTCCACCCTGTGTCGCCTGAACGAGCTGACACCTTTCCCTCCTCCCCTCCAGCTCATCGCCCTCCTCGTCGGCGCCGTCCTCCAGTCGGTCCGCCTCTCGCTCGGCATCTTTGCCGTCGGCTTCTTCGCCACCCTCGCCGTACGTCCCAGCTCTCTGTCTATCTCACCGAGGCGTCCCACTGACTCACGTTCGCCCCCGACAGCTCGTTCTCCCTCCCCTCCCGGCCTACACCGCCCACCCGGTCAAGTGGCTCGACACGCTCGACGAATTCGGCAAGCCCCTCGCACCCGAAGCAGCCGTCGCAGGGCCGAGCGAGACGCGGAAAGCCCGATGAGGGGGCACGGTCGAGCAGGCGACGAGGGCGTTTCGTGTTGTAAACCTGGCTTTCACTCTCTCATTGCGCTCGCCCGAACGCGAGAGACAGCGAGAGCACGGCGAGAAATCATGCGTCTAGTTGTGCCCCCGAACATACCCTCGTAACCCGGCCGAACCCTCGTCGAAAACCCACCCTCGTCTCGCCCGCTCGCACGCTCAGATGAGCTCGCCCTCGCGCACCCGCCCACCGCCTGACCCGCTCGAGAGCAAACCGAGAGCCTCCTCCTCGAGCGCCGGGTCGAGCGCGCGCCCTTTGCCCTTGCCCTGCCCGCCTCGCTCGCCGCCGCTGCCGCCGCCCTTGGCATCGCGCAATGCGAGCTCGTACTCGTCGTGCGCCCGCAGGCGCGCCTCGCTGTCGCCCTTGTCGAGCCACGACACGCCGGCCGCGCTCGTGCTCGGTCCCGCTGCTGCACCGAGCGGCGACGTCGCCGACGACGACGACAAGGGCGCGGCGTCGTTGCCGGCGCCTTTGCGGACCGCCTCCCACTCGATGCGGAGGAAGACCCACATCCACCTGCGCACGACCTCGAGGGCCTCGACGGCAAAGAGGCCGCTCTCGACCTCTTGGGCCGAGTGGAGGTGCGACGACAGCTTGAGCGACCACGTCAGGCGCAAGAGGAGGTCGACGCAGATGGCCGTGTAGTACACGAGCGGGTTGGGCAGGAGGAGGATCGGCCGCAGGAACGGGTACGACAGGTTGGGCGTCGCGGCCGTGCTGAACGCGCGCGTGTGGCCCGGGCGGTGCGAGTGCAACAGGTGCGACGGCGAGTGCGACGCCGGCTTGGGCGACGGCGGCGTCGGCGTGTGCGGGCGAGAGGGCGCAGGAGGGAACGTCGTCGACGCGAGGACGTGTTGCGGCGGCGCGCCGTTGAGCGCGTGCTCGTGCGGGCCCGGCGCGGCCGCGGTCGGGTCGAGGAGCGCGCCGGCGGCGAGGGACCGTGCGCGGCCGTGGCCGTTGCTCTGCGACGCCGAGGGAGAGTGGCCCACACCCGTCGCGAGGTGGCTCGGGATGCCGCCGCGGTGCGAGTAGGCCGACGACGGCGGCGGATTGATGAAGGCGTACGACACGGCCGGGCTCGAGTGCCACCCGGAGCGCGACAGGAGCGACAGGCCCCAATCGTTGGTGACGTCCCACCAGAACGAGTAGAGCGAGTTGACGAGGACGGCGAGGAACCTGTTGCGGGTGAGGGGGCGAGTTTGTGAGGTGCACCCGCGAGAGAAAGAAAGAGAGAGAGGGAAGGCGCTCGATGGGACGCACCACAGGTTGAAGAGGGTCGTGCGACCGATCCACCGCTCGCCAGCCTCGTGCAGGTGGTCGTCGTCGGCGTCGAACGGGTCGCCGATGATGGTCTGCATGGCCGACAGGATGATGACCGGGAACGCGGTCGCGTACTTGAGCGCGTTGAGGAGGGACCGCCTCGGGGTCGGGGTCGAGCGCGTGTAGACCTCGGACAGGCACTGGCGGAACCGGAACAGGTACGGGAGGCTACGAGGCGGGGAGGGAAAGAGAGATCAGGTCGAGGTTCGAGGGCGAGGCTGCGAGAGAGGGACGCACCTCGTCATGAAGGGGACGCCCCACACGCGCTTGCAGGCGTCACCTGCGACGCCTGCGACGCCCTCGCCGGTGAGGACGAGGCAGCCGGCGAGCCATACGTCGCCGAGGACCTTTGCGCTCGAGGTGAGGATGTCGGCGAGGATGATGTCGCAAAAGGGGACGGCGGCGTTGAGGGACGGGTGGACGATGCGGCGCAGGGCGCGGAGGAAGCGCAGGCGGTAAGGGCGCGACAGGGCGTTGCCCGGCCAGCACAGGGCGACGACGACGGCGAGGGCGACGAGGCAGGGCACGAGGCGGTACTGGACGACGAGGTGCGGGTCGGCGCCGGTGAGGGCGCCGTGGAGGAGGGAGCCGAGGGCGGCCCAGGCGAGGGTGGCGGCGGCGAGCGAGTACAGGGGTGGGTACAGCTTGGTCGGGTGGACGTAGGGAGGAGGTGCGCCTGGCGGGAGGCCGGCGCGGCTCGAGGCGTTTGCCGGTTCGAGGCGGACGTCGAGGACGTGGGCCGTGTCGATGCCCAAGTGGCTCAGGAGGTGCAGGTTGGTCGCGAACCCGAGGGCCGTGACGGCGCTGAGGACGACGATGCGGAGAGGGAGCGGGTACCGCAACCCAAAGTCGCTCAGGCCCGGGTGCACGGGCGCGTCGATGTCCATGGTCGGGTGCGAGTGGGCGCTCGCCCTGGTGCGCCTCGAGGGGCGAGAGCCGGGTGTCCGGGGTTGAGCGTGTCGACGAGGAGGGAGAGGCGGGCGAGGTCGGACGAGGTGACGAGGCGACGCCGCGCTGGTTCGAGGTGGTTGGCGGCGTGTGGTGGGCGATCGACACGCTGTGCTTGGTGCAGCTTGGCAGCTCGGGGGGTGGTCGCGTGAGCCGGGGTGAGGTTGGACGAGCTCGTCGTCGATCGGCTCGAGGTTCGCTCCCTCTCGCTCGTCCCACACGGCTCTGCCTGCACGAGCACCACCCGAGGAGTGTTCCCTGTCACCTGCAGCAGCTTTCGAGCCCACCCATCGACACGGTCACGGTCGAGCGACGTCACCCCACCTCTGGTCGCCTCCGGCCTCGCGTCTCTCTCGGCCCTCGTCTCGCCTCGACACCGGCCAGCCTGGCCCCCGTCCACAGTGCACTCGACTGCAACGCAAGCAGCGTTCACTCGCCCACAGCAGCCCGCCCGCCTCCCGGTGCGTCGTCGTCGCCACCCTCTCGGACCCTTGGCACCCACTCGGCCCCCCCTGCGTCCCCTCGCAGCTCACCCGCCTGCGTGCCCTGCAGCTTCGACCGCCTCATCAAGCCCTACAACCGCCATGCCGACGACTGAGCCATCCGCCGCCGCGCCGTCGTCCCTCTCCAAGATCCCTCGCCGCCGACCGTCGACCCACGCCATCTCAGCTCCGGCTCCGCCCCCTCTTCGCCCGGCGTCCCCAACCCGCCGCGAGCGCTGCGCGTCGCTCCCTCCTTCGGCCCCGCCATCGCCCGTCAAAACCCACGCCCGCCGCTCGAGCAGGTCCGCCATCCCTGCACCTGCACCTCCCCCCTTCTCCGACCTCGCAGCCGGCGCCGCCGCACCACCACCGCCGTCGACGCCGCTCCAGGACCGGCGTCGCCCTAGCGCCGGTGCACACGGTGCCGACCGCCCGCCCGACATGCGCCGCACCCCGAGCCTGTCCATCTACATCCCTCCCCCAACCTCGACCGCGCACCCGCACGTCCAACTGCCACCCACCGACTCGGGTCATCCACCCACGACTCGAGGAGACGCTCGTCCGTCCCGAGTCCGCCCCTCGCCCACCTCGGCCGGCCCCGGGTCGGCCTCGTCCTCGCCCGCGCCCTGGACCCCTCGCATCCGCCACGCGTCGCAGCCCGTCCCCTCGTCGTCCTCGCCCTCGTCGGCGTCGTGGCCCCGTCCGCCGCGCACGCCCTTCCCCAAGCGGCCCGCCATGGCCGAGCGCACCCCGAGCGCGAGCACGGTCGCGACGTACGTCAGCTTCGACCGCTTCGACCTCGAGGCGCCGCGCACCCCGGCCGAGGAGCGCGAGCGCCAGGTCGCCGAGTTGCGGCGCGAGCGGCGCAACAGGACACGGTGGTGGTGGAGCAGGTGTCGAACGGCGGCCGCGGCGGCCGACGAGGACGGCGAGGACGAGTCGGGCAGGGACGAGGAAGAGGCTCGTGCGGGCGAGACGACGGCGCTCCTGCGGCCGAGCGGGCGCAAGGAGGGCCAGTCTCGCACCGAGTACGTCCTCGGCGAGGTCTGGTGTTACGCACGGGTGCGTCCCTCGCTTTCACTCACGAATTTCTCCTCTCGCGCCCCCTCAGACTGATTTTCCCTCCCTCCCTCTCTCCCTCGCGCTCGCAGCACATGCTCCCGCCCATCCTCTTCTTCGTCGTCTTCGTCCTCGTCATCGCCCTCGCCGCCTACCGCCAGGCCGTTGCCCGCATCGTTCATCCGCCGCAGCCGTGACCTCGAGCGCGCGCCGGCTCACGATCCTTCCTCCTCTCGCCTCGCTCCTTCTCCGCACATAGCTCTCGCCCCAAACTTGTTGTCCTCACGATGTCTCTCGACTACACGCCCGCCCTCTCCATAGTCTACACGAGCCCCTCTCGAGACCTCGCTCCCCCTTGTCGTTGCTTCCCTCTGCCCGAGTCTCTGTCACACTTGCCGCATGTCTCTCACGAAGCTCTCTATCGGCGTCGTGCGAGAGAAACCGCGTACGTGTGACAACAGAGAGGGGAAAGCTACGACAAAGACAGGGACGTCGCTCGAGTCGAGAGAGCTTGCCAGCGCTCGCCCTCGCTCACCGCACAAACAGCTTCTTGCGACGCGTCGCACCGCCCATGCCCGCACCTTCGTGCTCCTCGAGGTACAGCCGGTACGCCTCGCGCAGGTCCTGCGGCGTGAGCGAGCCCGCGTGCGGGTTGACGGCGCGAGCTGTGCGAGGGACGAGAGGCCGGGCGTCAGGACGGCGTGCGGCGACGGGGAACGAGGCGAGGGAGAGCGTGGGCGCACCTTTCTCGACGAGCTCGCCGACAAAGACCTTGGCGACACCGCGCACGACCGTGACGATCGACTGCGAGACGGACTGTCCGAGGACCTGGTTGACGACCTGCGAGTGCGAGAGGGCGCAAACTCAGTGCGCCGGTCCTTGTGCATCCTCCGAGAGAGACGAGGGGGGCGCACCTTCTTGACCGAGCCCTTGTTGAGGCCGCTGCGGCGGTACGTGTCGTACCGGTCGTTCTGCGCCTCGTCAAAGTGGTCGAGCAGGACGCGCACGTCCTCCTTCTGCTTGGCCGCCTCGCGCTGGTTGCTGCCGAACTGTGTTTCGAGGTGCTCGGCGTTAGCTCGGGACGGCTCGAGGGAGAGAGAGAGAGATGGGACGCGCCTCGTCGTCCGAGAACTCGAACACCTCGTCCTCGGCGTCCTCAGGCTCCTCAGCCTCGCCCTGGGGCGGCCCAGGCTCAGCTCCCGCCGCACCGCCCTCCTCGGCCGTCCCTGCCCGCCCCCTGCCCGCCCCACCCTCGACCGCGACGCTCGCGCTCCGCCCGCGCGCTGGCGACCCGACCGCGCTCGCCGATGCAGCAGGCGGGCTGCTCGCGCCGACTGGGAATGGCGAGTCTGCGCCGCTCGCGCCGGGCGACCCGGCGTCGCCTCCTGCGGCTGCTGCTGCTGCGGCGGCGGCAGCCTGAGCCTTCTTGGTCGGCTTGCGGGGGCGCGCCGCGCGAGGCTTCTTGGGCTTGGGCGCAGACGCAGGTGGTGGAGAGCCGGCGGTCGACAGAGCACGCTTCATCGCTGGCTCGAGCTGGGTGGAGAGAGCGAGAGCGAGTTGCGGGTCGAGAGCTGATGAGGTGCGAGTCGGCGGGTCAGTCAGAGTCGAGCACAAGCGTCTCTCTTGCGGCAAAAGCCGCCATCGAGGCATAGAGACTCTCACGCACTCGCGCACGGGCCGGACAGGAGGAGGAGCATGTACATTTCAGGCCGCACGCGCGCAACAACGGGAGAGAGGGAGCTAGCGAGAGGAAGGGGGAGGGGGGCGAGGGGTGGAACGAAAGAGGGCTTGCACAGGAAGGATAGGTCGAGGTGGAACGAGCGACTAGTTTGTCCGGTTCAGTCCGAGCTGCGAGGCGAGGGGAGAGAGAGGTCAGTCACGCTCGTCGGCGGGGAGCTTGGACGAGGCTGAACGGGTCGACGCACGCGAGTCGCCTGCTCCGGGTACTCGGACAGGAACGCGAGCTGGGCTCGGGTAGCCTGTGGGACGAGGATGAGGGTCAGGACTTGAACAGGCGAGATGACGAGAGAGAGCGCGAGATAGGGGGACGCACGTTCTCGTACGTGAGGGCGTTGACGAGCTCGGGCTCGGTGCGAGCCATCTCGGCGCTGCGCTCAAACATCTCGACAGCGTCGTGCACCTTGTTCTGCTGGAGGAGGAGCTGGGCGAGGGTCGCGACGCCGACGTCGCACTGCTCGTCGATGGCGACCGCCTCGCGGCAGATCTTCTCGGCCTCGACAAAGTCCTGGCGGTGCTGGAAGATGGCGAGCGCCTTGTTGACCATGGGCAGGACGTTGCGCGGCACGGTGAACTTGGACAGCTCGATCGACTTGTCGAACTGGGCGACCGCCTCAGTGAACTGCTGCTGGTCGAGCAACAGCTCGCCGTAGTAGTTGTGCACCTCGGGGCTCTGCGGGTTCTTCTCGACGAGTCGGCGGAACTGGTGCAGCGCCTTCTCGGTCGAGCCGCTCTTGTACTGCGCGACGGCGAGCTGGATGTGCGAGAAGATGAACGACGGGTCGAGCTCGCTCGACTTGCGGTACTCGGCGATCGCCTTGTCGAACTCGCCCGTGATGAAGTAGACCTGGCCGCGGTGGTAGAAGCTGCGACAGGGGCGAGCAGGTGGGAGAAGAGGGCGAGGGGCAGAGGGTCAGGAACGACGACGAGGCCGGGGCGGGAACGAGAGAGTAGGAGAGAGAGCGAGGCTCGAGGACGCACACATCGGCGTTATTGGCGTTGATGGCAAGGGCGCGCTCAAAGTCCTGCATAGCGTCGTCCGGGCGGCCGAGCTCCATGTGGACGCTCGCCTTCTTGACCCAGCTCTGCGCGCTGTCCGGGTCGACGTCGGTCGCGGCGTCGAGGTCGGCGAGCGCACCCTCGGCGTCGCTCATGATGAACTTGAACGTGGCGCGCATGTTGAGGGCGGCGGCGCGAGCCGGGGCCTGCGTGACGCCCTGGTCGAGCGCCTCGTTGAAGAGCGACAGGGCGTGCGTAAAGTCCTTGGCCGACAGGGCCTCGAACGCGAGCTGGAGCGTGCGGTCGCCCTGGGCCGGGTTGGCCGGGAGCGCCGGCGGCGCCTGCTCGCGGAAGGCGGTAAGGTAGGCCGTGATGAAGGTCGGGCTCGGGAGGCGCGGCTCGCGCGTCGCGAGGATCTGCTGCGCCTTCTCGGCGGCGAGCTGCTTCATGACGCGCTCGACGCTGTCGGTCGTCGCCTGGTTCTGGAACGAGTCGAGGATGGCCGACGCCGTAAAGTCGCACAGGGCCTTGTACAGGTTGTTCGGGCCGCCGAGCTGCTCGCGCGCCGTCGCGCGGCGGTTCAGGGCCTTGATGTACGACGGGTCGAGGCGCAGGGCCGAGGTGCAGTCTTCGACGACCTGGTCGAGGTCGTTCAGGTTGGTGTAGCACGCGGCGCGGTTCGAGTAGAAGACGGCCTGCTCCTCGCACTCGATCGCCTTGGTGTAGTAGGCGATGGCGTCCGTGTACTGCTTGGCCGAGTACAGCTTGTTGCCTCGCGCCTTGAGCGCCAACGCCGACTTGGACCGGGCCTGTGACGGTGCGGCATCAGCTGGCCGTTCGACGACGGCGAGGAGAGGAGGGAGAGAGGAGCGGGGCTCACCTCCTTGTCCATGACCTCGATGTCGGCGGCCGAGAGTCGAAGAGGGTCTGTGTGAGGGGCTCTGTGTCAGTGGGAGGGTTCTCGCTCGTCGAGTGGGAGTGCTGAGGGGCGAGTTGCTCGAGAGAGGATCGTCGGCGAGGTGAAAGCGAGGGAGGGCAGGCGGCAGCGTGCGCCTCGCTGTGCGGCATCGCTCTCCTCGTGAGACGGTGCGCATGGCGTGCAGCCTTGCGCCCGCTCCCTGCACGAGGGTCGAGTTGCGCCGACCCAGCGTCATGGCAAAGAGAGGGAGGAGGGGGAGGGGGAGAGCGGCGAGGAAGGCGACGGCGGACAGGGGACAGGGAAGAGAGGAGGGTAGACGCACCGTCATCGTCGACAGGCTTGACCTGGGCGGCCTTGTCGGCCGACGAGGACGAGGACGAGCCGGTCGGGCTCGACGAGGGCTTGTCGGCGGCGCCCTTTGCCTTGCGCGACTTCTTCGAGTCCTTGGTGAGCTTGTCGGCCTCCTTCTTGGCGTCGCGGGCGGTGTCGCGCACCGTCTTTTGGGCCGAGGACGAGTTGGCGTAGTAGAGCGAGCCGGCGGTCAAGATGGTGAGGGACGCGGCCGCGACGAGGACGGCGCGGCGGTGGGTCGTGAGCCAGGTCGACAGGGCCGACGAGGAGCTGGTCGTGGCAGTGCTCGGGCCGGACATGCTTCTCGGGGCAGGCTGAGGGTGAGGAGAGACGCAACCAGCTCGTCCGTCGTCGTCCTCGGCGGCGACTGTGCGAGATTCCGCCTCGATCGCGCTTTCGTCTGAGCAGAGAGGGGGCCATGTGGTCCGAGTATGAGAGTATCGCGAGCTGTACATTACACTCGTCTGAGCGCCTCGAGAGGTCGAGGGTGCGAGACGTTCGCTGTTGTTCCTCGCGCTGGTTCGTCCCTCGCCCTCTTCCGCACCTCGGCTCTGCTGGTGCCAGTGCCCGCGCGCACCCCACGCACACCTCTTGTCGAGCCCCGCGCCCAAGTCGCACCCTGTCCCGCAGCGTGTAGCCGCCTCGGTGAGTGACCCTTCCGCTCGTTCGCCTCGCCCCCCGGATCCCGTCCTCACTCGCTCGACCCCGCGCAGCTCGTCCAGTGCTACCAGCGTCCTCTCGAACACCTGTACCGCGGCCGCCACCGACCTGCACCACCCCGACCGCGCTCCCTCGTCGCTGAGCGACTCCCCCCCTTTCGACTCGCCTCCTCGCGCCAACCTCCTCCCCACCTCGCGCCGGCCCTCGACCAGGCTCGCGCACCCTCCTACATCCCCTCTGCCGCCCACCCGTCCTCTCCTCACCTCCCCGTCGACCTCGCCTGCGCCGTACGCCATGTCGGACCCGGCCCCGCCTCCTCCACCTCCTCGCGCTCCCCTTTCGGACGCCGAAATCGCCAGCGGCCTCAAGGCCCTCCGCCAGAACTTCAAGGTCGCCGCCATCGCCCACTGGGCCGTCCTGTTCGGCCACCACGTCGGCTTCGAGTTCGACACCGAGGTGAGCGCTCCCTCCTCCTCCTCTGCCTTCCCCGTCGGGCCGGGCCCGCTCTGCGCCCTCTCGCGCATGGCGCACCTTCTTGCACCTGAGAGCTCAGCTCTCGGGCATTGCCTGTCCAAGTACTGACGATCTCTCTCTCCCGCTGCAGGCGTTCGAGCTGGACCTTCTCGGCGTCAAGCCCGACACCCAGGTCCCCGAGCTCCTCGGCAAGATCCTCAACACGCTCGCCAACGACCGCAACACCAAGTGCGTCCTCGCCTGTCCCCTCGCGCCACACCTCGCGACGCCGCGCTGACTCTTTCCCGTGCCTCACCTTCTCCCTTCCTCTCTCGCCCCGGGACCCTCGTCCACCGCCGTCGCTCACCCTCTCATCTTCATACAGGACTCCCTCGCCCTCTTCTATCCGCTCCTGTCCTCAATCTGCCAGTCGACCCCGCTCCTCAACCAGCTGAAAGGCGGCATCCGGTTCCTCGATCTTAGGTTCTCGCTCCTCGACGACGGCGAGGCTGTGGGGCTATCA